GTCTTAAAATGCTAAAAATGGCTTTCTATGACTAATATCTTTCATTTTAGAGCATATTTGGAACATTGAAAAGTCGTCAAAATTGACCAAAATGGTAAGGCTTTCCGTTACCATTTTGGTCAATTTTGACGACTTTTTCAACTGTTTAAAAACTGTCTTAAAATGCTAAAAATGGCTTCCTAAGACTAATATCTTTCATTTTAGAGCATATTCCGTTGGTTTTTGGAACATTGAAAATCTCGTCAAAATTGACCAAAATGGTAAGACTTATCCCTTACCATTTTTGTCAATTTTGACGACTTTTTCAACTTTTCAAAAACTGTCTGAAAATGCTAAAATGGCTTTCTATGACTAATATCTTTCATTTTAGAGCATATTTGGAACATTGAAAAAGTCGTTAAAATTGGCCAAAATGGTAAGGGTTACCCCTTACCATTTTGGTCAATTTTGACGACTTTTTCAATTGTTCAAAAACTGTCTTAAAATGCTAGAAATAGCTTCCTAAGATTAATATATTTCATTTTAGAGCATATTTGGAACATTGAAAAAGTCGTCAAAATTGACCAAAATGGTAAAGTTTACCCCTTACCATTTTAGTCAATTTTGACGACTTTTTAAACTGTTAAAAAACTGTCTCAAAATGCTAGAAATAGCTTCCTAAGACTAATGTCTTTCATTTTAGAGCATATTTGGAACATTGAAAAAGTCGTCAAAATTGACCAAAATGGTAAAGCTTACCCCTTACCATTTTAGTCGATTTGACGACTTTTTAAACTGTTCAAAAACTGTCTTAAAATGCCAGAAATAGCTTCCTAAGACTAATATCTTTCATTTTAGAGCGTATTTGGAACATTGAAAAAGTCTTCAAAATTGACCAAAATGGTAAGGCTTACCCCTTACCATTTTGGTCAATTTTGACGACTTTTTCAAATGTTCAAAAACTGTCTTAAAATGCTAAAAATGGCTTTCTAAGACTAATATCTTTTATTTTAGAGCATATTTGGAACATTGAAGAAGTCGTCAAAATTGACCAAAATGGTAACGCTTACCCCTTACCATTTTGGTCAATTTTGACGACTTTTTCAAATGTTCAAAAACTGTCTTAAAATGCTAAAAAATGGCTTCCAAAGACTAATATCTTTCATTTTACAGCATATTTGGAACATTGAAAAAGTCGTTCAATTTGACCAAAATGGTAAAGCTTACCCCTTACCATTTTGGTCGATTTTGACGACTTTTTCAACAGTTCAAAAACGGTCTTAAAATGCAAAAAATTGCTTCCTAAGACTTATATCTTTCATTTTAGAGCATATTTGGAACATTGAAAATGTCGTCAAAATTGACCAAATTGGTAAAGTTAACCCTTACCATTTTGGTCAATTTTGACGACTTTTTCAAATGTTCAAAAACTGTCTTAAAAGGCTAAAAATGGCTTTCTAAGACTAATATCCTTCATTTCAGAGCATATTTCGTTGGTTTTGGAACATTGAAAATGTCGTCAAATGTGACCAAAATGGTAAGGCTTACCCCTTACCTTTTTGGTCAATTTTGACGACTTTTTCAACCGTTCAAAAACTGTCTTAGAATGCTAAGAATGGCTTCCTAAGACTAATATCTTTCATTTTAGAGCATATTTGGAACATTGAAAAAGTCGTCAAAATTGACCAAAATGGTAACGCTTACCCCTTACCATTTTGGTCAATTTTGACGACTTTTTCAAATGTTCAAAAACTGTCTTTAAATGCTAAAAATGGCTTCCAAAGACTAATATCTTTCATTTTACAGCATATTTGGAACATTGAAAAAGTCGTTCAATTTGACCAAAATGGTAAGGCTTAACCCTCACCTTTTTGGTCAATTTTGACGACTGTTTCAACTGTTGAAAAACTGTCTTAAAATGCTAGAAATAGCTTTCTATGACTAATATATTTCATTTTAGAGCATATTTGGAACATTGAAAAAGTCGTCAAAATTGACCAAAATGGTAAGGCTTTCCCTTACCATTTTGGTCAATTTTGACGACTTTCTCAACTGTTTAAAAACTGTCTTAAAATGCTAAAAATGGCTTCCTAAGACTAATATCTTTCATTTTAGAGCATATTTCGTTGGTTTTTGGAACATTGAAAATCTCGTCAAAATTGACCAAAATGGTAAGACTTATCCCTAACCATTTTTGTCAATTTTGACGACTTTTTCAACTTTTCAAAAACTGTCTGAAAATGCTAAAGTGGCTTCCTAAGACTAATATCTTTCATTTTAGAGCATATTTGGAACATTGAAAAAGTCGTTAAAATTGGCCAAAATGGTAAGGGTTACCCCTTACCATTTTGGTCAATTTTGACGACTTTTTCAATTGTTCAAAATCTGTCTTAAAATGCTAGAAATAGCTTCCTAAGATTAATATATTTCATTTTAGAGCATATTTGGAACATTGAAAAAGTCGTCAAAATTGACCAAAATGGTAAAGTTTACCCCTTACCATTTTAGTCAATTTTGACGACTTTTTAAACTGTTAAAAAATTGTCTCAAAATGCTAGAAATAGCTTCCTAAGACTAATGTCTTTCATTTTAGAGCATATTTGGAACATTGAAAAAGTCGTCAAAATTGACCAAAATGGTAAAGCTTACCCCTTACCATTTTAGTCGATTTGACGACTTTTTAAACTGTTCAAAAACTGTCTTAAAATGCTAGAAATAGCTTCCTAAGACTAATATCTTTCATTTTAGAGCATATTTCGAACATTGAAAAAGTCGTCAAAATTGACCAAAATGGTAAGGCTTACCCCTTACCATTTTGGTCAATTTTGACGACTTTTTCAACTTTTCAAAAATTGTCTGAAAATGCTAAAATGGCTTCCTAAGACTAATATCTTTCATTTTAGAGCATATTTGGAACATTGAAAAAGTCGTCAAAATTGACCAAAAAGGTAAAGCTTGCCCCTTACCATTTTTGTCAATTTTGACGACTTTTTCAACCGTTCAAAAACTATCTTAGAATGCTAAAAATGGCTTCCTAAGACTAATATCTTTCATTTTAGAGCATATTTGGAACATTGAAAAAGTCGTCAAAATTGACCAAAATGGTAAAGCTTACCCCCTACCATTTTGGTCAATTTTGACGACTTTTTCAATTGTTCAAAAACAGTCTTAAAATGCTAAAAATGGCTTCATAAGACTAATATCTTTCATTTTAGAGCATATTTGGAACATTGAAAAAGTCGTCAAAATTGACCAAAATGGTAAGGGTTAACTTTATTGTTCCAAAAAGCAGCCAAATATGCCCTAAAACATGCCATCATTTTTGCCATGGTAACGGATACCTTACCATTTTAGCGATAATTGACGAATTTTGAAATTTTTCCAAAAATCTGTTTATATGCTGAAAATGGCTTCAAATATTCACTAAGACTACGATATTTAGTTTTTGAGCATATTTTGTTGGTTTTTGAAATATTGAAAAAATCTTCATTTTTGGCATGGTAAAGGATGCCTTACCATTTTAGCGATAATTGACGAATTTTGAAAATTTTCCGAAAATTTGTTAGTATGCTGAAAATGGCTTCAAATCTTCACTAAGACTACGATATTTAGTTTTTGAGCATATTTAGTTGGTTTTAGAAATATTGAAAAATCTTCATTTTTGGCATGGTAAGGGATGCCTTACCATTTTAGCGATAATCTACGAATTTTCAAAATTTTCCGAAAATGTGTTAGTATGCTGAAAATGGCTTCAAATATTCACTAAGACTACGATATTTAGTTTTTGAGCATATTTAGTTGGTTTGTGAAATATTGAAAAAATCTTCATTTTTCGCATGGTAAGGGATGCCTTACCATTTTAGCGATAATTGACGAATTTTGAAAATTTTCCGAAAATGTGTTAGTATGCTGAAAATGGCTTCAAATATTCACTAGGACTACGATATTTAGTTTTCGAGCATATTTAGTTGGTTTTTGAAATATTGAAAAAATCTTCATTTTTGGCATGGTAAGGGATATGCCTTACAATTTTAGCGATAATTGACGAATTTTGAAAATTTTCCGAAAATGTGTTAATATGCTGAAAATGGCTTCAAATACTCACTAAGACTACGATATTTAGTTTTTGAGCATGTTTAGTTGGTTTTTGAAATATTGAAAAAATCATCATTTTTGGCATGGTAATGGTGGCCTTACCATTTAGCGATAATTGACGAATTTTGCAAATTTTCCGAAAATGTGTTAATATGCTGAAAATGGCTTCAAATATTCACTAAGACTATGATATTTAGTTTTTGAGCATATTTAGTTGGTTTTTGAAATATTGAAAAAATCATCATTTTTGACACGGTAAGAGGTGCCTTACCATTTTAGCGATAATTAACGAATTTTGAAAATTTTCCAAAAAGTGTTAACGTTGTGAAAATGGCTTCAAATATTCACTAAGACTACCCTATTTTGTTTTTGAGCATATTTAGTTGGTTTTTGGAATATTGAAAAAATCTTCATTTTTGGCATGGTGAGGCATGCCTTACCTTTTTAGCGATAATTGACGAATTTTGAAAATTTTCCAAAAATGTGTTAATATGCTGAAAATGGCTTCAAATATTCACTAAGACTACGATATTTAGTTTGAGCATTGGTTTTTGAAGAAAGAGAGTTGGTTTTTGAAATATTGAAAAAATTTTCATTTTTGGCTACCATTTTAGGGATAATTGACCATTGAATTTTGAAAATTTTCCAAAAATGCGTTAACATCTGAAAATGGTTTCAAATATTCACTAAGGCTATATTTGGTTTATTTTTGAAACATTGAAAATCATCATTTATGGCATGGTAACTGGGGTAAGGGGATGCCTTTACCATTCTACCAAAATTGACGAATTTTGAAAATGTTCCGATGTAATGAAAAAAATGGTGAGTGGAGGCAGTTTAGTTGAATATTTGGTGTTTGCTAAGAAAAAAATCAAGAGATCAACAATAATTTTCACATTTTATTTTTACAAAATAGATTTAGCCAAATAACTAAATTAGTTTTATTTCAAATACACTTGATAATATATTTAACAGTGAGGTTAGGGAACTTATATACCCTCAATGACTTATATTTACATTTCTTGAATATCTATACTCTAAATATAACAGAATAGCTTGGGAGGAGGGAGGTAGGATTTAATAATTTCTACTTTTTTGCATGAAATTACTATTTTTAGACATATGTTAGTTATCTTGAAGATAGGATGCTTTGTTCCTTTTCAAATGTGTAACCATACTGAAGAAAAAATAAAGGACTAATGTGATTTTTATTATACGGTACAAATTTTTTATAACAAAAATCAAATTTTCACTCACATTTCTCTCAATGTCATCAAGAGTTCGGGCACTAACAATTTTATCAGATTTCTAAATATATTAATAAAAGTTTAGAGATTTATCACTTCCTGAAGACAACATTAAATAAAATTATTACTACTCATAATATATTACTCACAGGTTTTTTCCACAACATTTCAAATTTTGGATTAACTTGAAACAACACACCATGAATAGCTAGAATAAATAAATAAGCATAATCTTTTAATAAAATCATTGGGCATTGTACAGCTTGCAAATCTTGCAATATACTTTTAAATTATTTCATAGAACATACCTGATATGTGTTTATTGCTAGGTGAAGATGGCTGATTGTGTGTTGGTGGTGCTGTACCTTGTAAGCTGATAGGAACAGGCATAACATGGTGCTGTCCAGAGGGATAAGGTAATGGCTGGTTTGATCCAGAATAACTAACCACACAGCATAAAAGATAATTTAATATAAAGCTAAAACTAAGTAATAAATTCTTAAACTATCTATCAAATATGTGATCAAATATACCACCATGACTATCTCCTCTGCAGGCGCTAGGGAGCATTTCGGGCAATCACCGCCCAACATATTTGGCCAGAAAAGGGCCTGCAAAGGAGGTAGCCACCATGACATAGCTTTTGCCAACACATACATTTTCAAAGGGGCAATGCTATGTACCTTGCCGGACAGATGTGTATCAGATGTGTTTCAATTGAACATGCAGTATTCTACTAGGAAGGTGAAGCCAAACTTGTGTGAGTGTTTAAAAAGCTAAAATGTAGCACTCAATCAATATGTCTTGTTGAAATGAAGGTAATTGAGACTTACCCTGATTGTACATTTGGAGGTCTGTACTTCATTGCAGAATTATAAGATGGTGGCTGTCTAACATTTGAATTTGGGACTGTTTGAAAACCTACATTGAGCCCATTTACTTCATTTCTACCAAAAAAGCACACCAAATCAGTTATACGTTTTTAAAATGATATTATTATTACACCTATGACAATAACGAGATAATTTTCTTCATTTCTGGTTTGGGTACTTTCTACCTCCTTTGTCTTGTATGAATGTAAATTGAAAGTATTTTTTGAGAATGGATGCATAATTACATACAATCTTAAAGACCTAACTGGGGACTTAACTTGCAATTTTCATGATGTTCCCAATATTTTATATTCTAAATGATTTTTCATTACAGATTTGAGGAACTTTAATTAATTACCCGGTATTTTTATTTTATTAATCATAAAATAATATCAACGTACGAAATTGTATACAAATTCCCCTGAAATTTTTCTCCTTTTGACAGCTGAATAGCCACAATGTTCACCACACCACTTGCAGCTGTCCGAATGCTATCTTTTTTTAAGCATAGTACATGTTTGCGCAATGCCTTTTCACTTGCTGTAATTATACAGAGTAAGATGTATATTTCACACTTATATTTGATAATTTTCAAGTATCACTGATCTCTGCATAGTAATAGACTGTTTATTCATTAGGTTGTTAAATACAAAGGAATCTTTTCACATGACAAGATGATGTATCAATTTATACTCACAATCATTGAAACAATTTTTAATAGCAGTGAAACCAACAGGAATAGAATCTCTATCTTTCACTATGTTTAAATCTGTCACTATTGTTGGCGAATTCTAGAAAATATGTGAATTCACATGCAAGTTTATAACAAGTCCAACTTATGTGAAGATAGGCACACTAGGTTCTCAGCCCAGACATACAGCAACAGCTTTCCTTATATAGCAGTTATAATACATCAGGTCAGTAATGTTAAAGTACACTGGGTACTTTCTTTGCCTCCCAAACTCCCAAAATTCACAATATATCAATGCAGACAGACATTTGTTGTGTGGGAGCTGCTGACTCAGCTAGTGCATACCTGTATTCTTGCAAAACATAAATATCTTTCTCCTCCTTTCAGAAAAGACCCTTCATAAAGATTAGCATCCTGGCCATTGATGGTTGCATTAAGCTACAGTACAAAAAACGGCATGGTATGAAATAAATAATATATAAATATTTCATATTGATTAGATCAATAATAAGATCATTCAACAAAACAATAGGCTTTCAATGTCAAAATAGGAGACGGTTGTAAACAACATATATATGGAATTATATATATTTATTTAGAAACAAAACGAAGTTAATAGTGAACCAATATGGTGTGATTTGCGTTGGATACGTTCAAAATGTAAACAAATTATATAAAATGACGGAAGTGACGGAAACGTACATTTGTAGGGTAAACACAAATACTACAAAATAATGCTATATATTGATATATACTTACAATTGTGTAGCCTTGTGGGCATTTATCTTTACCAGAAACAACGATAATATCTGTAAGAAACTGCCCACTTGCCATTTAGAAAATGTATAAAGGATTTCTTGAAATAAAATATCAGTCTTGGAAACTATTCAGTGGTGTCTTCTGTCAAAGAACATTTTTGAATAATATTTCGAAAAATGACGCCGACTATCCACAGTATGACATCATCAGCACCATTATACGGCAAGAGCAATACTTGAAGTAAGCCGGCATTCTAAAGTTTTTTAAAAAAAAAGCGATCGCACGACAATTTTGCACATCTCAGGCAATTTTTTAAAGTAATTTTAGGCTGCGAATTTCTTACCTATTATTGGCAACATTCCCTTAAGCTTTGCTCTATCCGACGGTTTATCAGAAGTTCCTGCCGATGCTGGCTGCACGTTTATTACGAGTCCGCTGCCGATACTGTAGGCACATATGCCCAGTTAAATGACTTTACAACTTTACAGAGTTCACTTAAGTTGCATTTGAACTTTGAAGAACAAATTTGAGTTCAAAACAGTTTTCTAAACACGCTTTATTACTGCAGGAGAACAAGGTGGCTCAACGTTTTTTTAAGATAGAAAAATCTATGAAAATCGAGTGAAAAATTTTTTTTTTGTAGATTAGAAATGTTTTCACACTGGAACCAAGGGCAGGCAATATTCGTCTTAAGAAAGCGCGCTTTCAAATGAAAGTAATGAAGCCGGAATGACGATATGAAAAAAAATATTTTCCCATTTGTCTTTACATATATCTTTCCACGTTTGATATCTAAATTTATTTAAAAACTGAAAAACAATTTTATATTGTTATACATTTATTTATAGTTGATTCACACGATGACATATAAATGATACAATACATTTGATAAATATAGATGATCTGAAGAGGCTTCAAAAAGCTGGTTCCGGTATCTTTGCTCTTCTCAGGTTTTTTAAGATCTGATGATATTTGACTCCATTCAGAGGTTTCAAAAGCCAATGATCTTCTACTGTTCTCAATCTTCGAAAGCTGATCTTAGGCTCTTTTTTCGAGGCTTACTGATTTCAAACTCATTTACAAACTTCAATTTTGAGTTTTAACTTAAGATTTCCGCAGTGTTTATTACACAGTGTTCTGGGAATCGAACCCAGAGGCCAGTAAATTTCTCAAGTATTATCAACGCAAATGTTTAATTTATGATCTAATTGTCCTTATCTTAATATTTCTTGAGAGGTATAAATGCAGGTTTTTGTAGTATTTTGTAAGCTTCGTCTATACGCATCAAAATAAAACCCGGCGATATTTAATGTTTTCATGAAATCGAAAGAACACTAGGGACAAGTGAAAACGATTCTTTCGGTCTTATCGCAATGTTTGCTTTGTTTCAGAAGTTTTGGCCCCATACATGGACACTGTTTTTTTTTAAGGAGGGAAACCGGAGTACCCGGAGAAAAACCCTCCACCGAAATCGAAATGCCGGAGTTCCGAAGCCGAAATAGCCGAAGGGGACCCCCCAAAATAAAACTATATTTACATGTTTTTATTACTTTATTTCTAATTAGATATCTATTTACAAACTACAGCCTGAAAAAAAAACAACACAATTAATGAACACATATTGAAAAAAAAAGCAGCTCCATTGAAGATTTTGAACGCCATATTTGAAGGTTGAAATGGGAATTAGCGCGCGCAATGTCTGTCGTGTCAGATAAACCCAGATGTGGATTCTCAATCATGCGCTTAACTTAACTTAACCTATGGTGCATCCTATATCGCACCCTGGTGATCCTCCACAAACTGGGTTGCATGCTCCTTATACGATTGTTCAAGTAAGTCAAACTCCCATCCAACCTTCGTAGAACCAACATTTTAAGTGTAAAAATGCTGTTCTTTTATTTAGTGCGTGGCATACTTTCATCGAATTTTCATTCCAACGTTAACACGATCTTATGTTTCCGCAGAATTACGATTCGCTGAAGTATTTAAGTACCAAGTATCAACTGGAACCGCCATTTCATTTTTGCATTTTTCGCCGCGCGAGCGCTGCATTTTAACGGTCTGATCTGGATCATGCACTGATGTCGTTGTCGGCCGAAACAGATGATGAATTTATGACAGTTGTTTTAATCGTCTCGTCAGTAGTTCCTAAGTCAGACCGTGCGAACTCCACTTACTCCGGCAAAGATTTAAAGGCACAAAATCTTCATCCGAAAGTGCGCAGCGTGCAGCTGAAGACACTCCGTTCCATAAAGAGAACATTATAGAACAGGTGCTCCAGCGCGAATTATCATTTACTGCTTGGTACTTAGCGCCACAACAATTTTTCAAATAGAAAAACGCTGCTAACGACGCATAACGTTTACCTCCGTCAGACAGTTTTCAGTTTAGATGTCTCTAAGTGAAAAATATCTCAGAGCATAAACGTTAACCGAACGCGCGCGCTACGATACCGCTCGTCTGACTGAAGATCAAGAACAACCATGCAAGCTGGATGTTTGCAAACCAGTTTTTAGACGAATATTGCAGCTGTGCTTGGTCTTCCTCAGACGTTCCTGGTGGTTTAAAAGACTGCATGCGCGCTGCTTTTAAAAAGTCGTCGTCGATTACCAATTTGGAATCAGAATCTGCCAACTCTTTTTGCGCGGCCGAAATTCAAAGATTGCATCTCTGCCATTTTGCATACTGTTGTTTTTTTAATTTTGTGAAAAGCACCATCATTATGATGGTCGTATATATTGAATGCATGCACCTAACTTTTTCCTTTAAAATCAATTATGCTAAACTTAGTTGAGGTATCATGCAACTAATTCAAACCTCGCACATGCGACCGAGGAGCCATGCAAACTATTAAAACCTCAACCATTCACTTGATAATTTCATTTTAGATTTTAATTTGAAAAACCATGCACAAAGTTTTGAAATTTCACGATAGCCATTATTGGACTACCCTTAGCGAAGACGTCAAATGCATCTACACACGAGTGATAAATTTTCACGAAGGAAAAACACGTGAACAATTCACGAGTTACAACTTTAACTTTCAAACAGCCAGTTGAAAATTTAACATGCAAGGCCAAAACATAGGGACCGGTCCAACCAAGTGTGGAAAATACATTCGACTAAAACCACCAGGAGACCTCGAACCCAGACTTAACAAAAGCCTATTTGATCGCAATGTAAACTTAACTAGAAGGTCTGGATTCGAGATTGAACTACAGGACCTATAGTATACCATAAATATAAAGTGTGAACCTGAAAGTAGTCATCATCTTTATCTGTCATCGCAGGAGTCTTAGGCCTCGTCGTTTCGGTGGTCATCGTCATCGGTGATCGTCGTATCTGCGGTCATCGTCATCGGTGGTCGTCATATCTGCGGTCATCGTCGTCGGTGATCGTCGTATCTGCGGTCATCGTCATCGGTAATCGTCGTATCTGTGGCCATCCTCATTGGTGGTCGTCGGCTGGTATCTCACTTATCCTCGGCCGTCGCCGTCAAAATCGTAGCCGGTCGTCTTCAGTGCATCAACTTCAATACATCAATCTCATCAACTTCGATGCATCAATTGTCTCATCTTTACGAATCCAATGAACGCTCTAACTCAAAGCGTGGAAGATCGTTTACAGTTCGTTATTCACAACTTGCGTTCAGTAGCTTTCATAACTTCAGTTTTTGTAGTTCACACCTTCATTTCGTCTTTCAGAATCATCGTATAGTTTGTAGTATATGATTGATGTAAATCAACGTCAACCGTCTTCTCTGGCTTAGAAAGATCAATCCAGTTTGGTGCGGTTTGCTGCTCCACCAGTTATCTTTAGAATGTTCAGTTTTAGCCATTGGAAATGTCAAATCAGAAACAGAGTTGACCTCGACGCAGTTATTAACACGTTGTTTCATTGGCGATGATTTCTTTCACTTTGTATCATTTATAATGATTTGATACTTCATATGTTAAGATTGGATATAAATGCAATCCCAATTCGCACGCATAATTTTTATCCTACATTTTTGTCGAAAATTTCAACCGAAATATCGCACTTAAAATTCAATTCATTTCAACTTATTCAGGATTGTTGAAATAACATTTTTTAGACACACTATCCCCGCATATAGTCAGGGATGATTTGAACGATTTTTTAGTATTTTAACGCAAGCTGTTTCATGTACACTTGCGTGTTTTTTTTTCATTTTAAACCGATGCAGACTAAAGCATTATATACTGTAAACCCCTTGCAAAGATATTTTGACATGCGGATATAGTTTTGCCTATAGCTTCAACACAGAAATACAAATGAGGGGCCCCTTTCACCCGTATTTCCTTACTGTTAGAAGCGACCAGTTAAAACTGGTTAGAAGCCTGTACTGAACTGAGTTCGAAAATGGAAACTGAAGGAAGGTAAACAGAGTATTACGCAATAGTCCAGCATCACATCGCATGCATCATGAATTGTCGGTTGGTATCAGATGCCAAACAACTGAGTGAAAATGTTCCCGTTAGAAACGACTCGCGTGTTGAGATCCAACACTAAGCATATAGCAAAGTGTGGAAATAGGTATATAATATATAATATAGCAAGATCTGGAAATAGGTATATAATATAGCGAGATCCGGAAACGAGTGTGTGTCATGACCGTGAACATATAGCAAGGTCTGGAAATAAGTTGTAATATGACCGTGAGCATATAGCAAGGCCTGGAAACAACTCCATAACACAACTGTGATAAAGAAAGTCCTTAAAGCAAGTCTGAAACTTGACCATATAAGCATATAGCTTGTCTTACAGCGAGTCAAAAACATGACCGTAAGCATATAGCAAGGTCTGGAAACAAGTGTATAACATGACCGTGAGCATATAGCAAAGGTCTGGGAACGAAATACCAATGCCACTGGATTAGGACTTCAATTTGGCAAGTTTATGAAAATCATTTCATCGGTGTACACTGAAAACCTTCTGCTCAAATAAGAAATACTTTCGAGCTTCCAGATGCGCTCCTGAAGTACGAACCTTCGTAAACACTCCAGTGACTTCGCAGTTCAGTTGCTCACACCGAAACACGCTCCGGACGCTCGGCTGAGCTGCCGACTCTCCCCAAATGCCAGTTGGGCCCGCAGGCCTCCCAAAGGATGCACACATGAAAGGCGGCGCCTCCCCCCACATGCACACAACTGACACCCGGGGAAAATCAACATCACAGTCGGACATTCGAAGCATACTCCGGTGCAGGCGACTGAACTGTGAAGTCACTGGAGTGTCCACAACAATTCCTACTTCAAGAGCACAAATGAAACCTCAAACGCATTTAGAATTTGCACAAAAGGTCAACAATGCACACAAATAAAATAATCCCCATGCCCTCACCCCACTGAAGCCCCACGTGCAATCATGAATTTCTTTGCCTTTTGTGGCTTCTGTGGCACGAACAATTTTTGAGTAGAAAACATTTTCGAATTAGCGCGCACTTAGGGATTGCATTCAGTCACCTTTCTTAGTTGCTTTTTATTCTTACATTTCCTTTTCTTTCCTTTGGCTTTGGAAAATTGCGAACGTTTCTTTCTAAAAATTGAAAAACGGAGTCTTGATGAGTGAAGAATTTTGAAGCAAAGTTTGAAATCTACACAAACATACTGCAGGCCAGCGTGTTCAGACATTTGTCATTTTTTAATCGTTTGACACCCGCCCTCTACATTGCCTTTGTCCAATAAATTCGTGCGCCTGGGTCTATCCTTTCGTGTCTTTTTCAGGTCAACATTTGTCGAACCGTTTAATATACGAATTAAAAATATGCAGGATAGCTTCTCTTAAACCGAAATAAACTCATCTTGCCAAAATCCAACCAAAATCTCATATCTTGCGCTAATAAGTCAATGTATTATGAATAAAGTAATAAAAGTTTTTGATAACGCGCAGGGAGTTACTGAAGACGATATAATACCCCGGGTTCCAAAAATAAACTCACATCGTTGGAAAAAAATTTATAAGTTCAAATGAAATAAGAAAGGTTTGTAAGTAGTCTGATTACTTATAGCTCCAAATACAAACTACTATGAAAGAAACAAATTCACGAAGGAATATTACATGTCCAAAGGGAGCTATCTAAAATTTAGTTTCACATAAACTAACCTTGCAGGCGTAAACGAGGTTACATCTCTCCGGAAATTTTGCGTTGTTTCCCAGGATTTTCGCTCTAAAATGATGAGGAATGAAAGTATGAGTGAAAGGAAACTTATGATATCAAAACTAAATGCAATACTGAGAAGATTTTGCCGCAAAAATCGAACAAAATCGAGGCACATGGTCGTAACCAGCAATGCAAATTTTGCCGTTCAAATTGAACAAAATGCGTTGATCCGTAGCAGCGAACATTGAGATAAATAAGTACCTGCACACATGTAGCCATCAGCAGCGCTAACAAGATAAACGACTTGTTAGTTGATCATGAAACGTTCGCTTCTTCTTAAATCAGTGTAGTTTTCTTTTCACAACTTGAGGCGAAACGTCTAGCCTCAACAAGGAAATGTTCGAGAATGGGCCTTTAGTCATTCAGTGTGAAAGCACCTTCTCCATATGCAAGCTTCAAGTTTCCCTGCTTCATGAAAATTCCCCTTTCTGATTGGTCAGAGAGAACAAAGGATGCCATACTATTGTTTTTAACTGGACGAGAACCCGAGTAATTTATTATTCATGAGACTGAAGCCTGGAAGTCCCAAGAACGTCACCAGGTTATAAAATAAATGACGTTTTTGCATGTTGAAATTTTAATGTCCGTTTGCTGTTTATTTTATTTACAGTTTACTCAATACCCTAGTCTATAGAAAACGGCGTATTTCACCATGGTGAGTCCCTCGGAAAACGCATTTTCGACCATGGTCGAGTTCGCCGGAAAACGGCGTATTCGACCATGGTCGAGTCAAAACGGCGTATTCGACCATGCGAGTCCCTCGGAAAACGGCGTTTTCGACCATGATCAAGTCCGCCGGAAACATGATGAGCTCTCTAAATATTGACGGAATAATCGACATGGATGGATTTGACATTGGATGGATTTAAAATGGTGCATGGGACTTGTCGAATAAAGATCGCAAGACATGCTCATATGTTCGGCAAAACATTCACAAACTTCCATTCGGCGTTTCAAAACACTCAAACGCAGCGCCGCTCGCGAACTTACAAGATGTCGTAAAATACTTTTACGAAAGAAACAAAAAGATGATTTCTCATGTCCTCGCATTTAAAGACGGGAATATAGAAAAAGATCTGGTAAATGGACTCGAAATACGAAGTATAAACTTAGAAGATCTTGAATGTCCTAGAGCGGATAATCTCTTCTATTGACTATATGCTCGACTCAATCGAGTCATGTGAAAATCACATCACCAAGCTCACCGAGCTTAATACTCATCAGCATTGCGCAAAAGTTGAAGTCGACAAAAGTTGTCGGCTATATTTAATCTACTGACAGTCATCAATCTCTTGTTAATGAATTTTTAAAAAATATTAATTTACATTCACTTGATCACATGTACGATATTTCCTTTGCATTTAATATTAGTGAGCGAGAGAAGTAATTTGACGATTAAAGGCTAATTTCCACTCCGGAAAACGAGCAGCGGATCGGATTTTTTTCCGAGCTGGCCCCGATCCATGAAGTGATTTCGGATCGGATCAAAAAAAGTTAAAACTATTTGAACTTTTTTTTATCCGGTCTCGGACGCTTTCGGATCAATATAAGCCAAAAATTTCAACAGACGGCGCACGCGCGGATCATCTTTCGTTCCGATTCGATCCGCTGCTCGTTTTCCGGAGTGAAAATTAGCCTTAAGCCTTTACAGTACTTTGTGTATTTCTTACAATACAGTGTATTTTGTAGACCTCATTTATTCATTGGTTTCATCGATAAATCAAAGAAAAATAACCCCCAATTGAAATTCTCTTGGTGCGGTCCTGACCGTAGTTTGACTTTTGATGGAATATAGCTTGATTTGTTTATAGAAATGACCTATATTTTATATGAATTTTGAAGTTTACAAAACTAGCTTTTACAACATTTTGTATACTCTAAAGTTTGAACAATTTACTCTATCATTAGATTCAAGTGTTTAAAACAAATCATTCTTAAAAATACCATTTTACGTTAAACTAGGTCCAAGTTGTAAGAGACTCAATTCAAAAACGAGACTCTCCGGGAGACAGAATACCTCATTGAACTATATTATGCGAAGATCAGTCAGTCATATAAAGCTTCGCAGCGTCAGGTTTATTCATATAAAACCGACTTTTTGGTTTACGGTTGAATTAGTTCAAAGGTAATCTCAAAAAGTGCACAATTTTTGAGAGCACCGCCACTGCCACTAGCGTGTTGTGACAGGAAATAAAGAAAGCATGCGAGTGAGCAAGATATTTTTACCTGAAGTATATCTGATTACAAGTTTTAATATTTTTTTTATGTTGTGTGCAATTTTTCGTTCAAACTGCGTAATTGCCATATTTTGTTTCAAAATGTTATTTGTGATTGTTCATTGACTAATTTACTCGTCTGCCAGTTTGTGATTGTTTATTTATGATTACTGAACTTCACCCCCAGGATTCGTGAGATAAGATCATCAGTATGGTCGGCTTGGAATGTCGGGACGACTAGGAATCGAAGGTGTGGATTTTCCAGGGGGAGGTGGAGCAGGTCGACCCAACACAGTCGGTCGTCTACAAAGACGGCGTTAAAAGTGAGATACATTCAGTACTAATAGTTCAATAACAGTTTCCTCAGAAATTGGGTAATGATCGTTTTTAGAAGATGAAACTAATGGTGGTTGCAGTAATGGTAAAACATGGAAGGCTTTCCCATAACCCTCGGAAAATTTGCACCCTCCGATAAAATAAATTGCCGCCCCAACAAAAAAGTACGTGGTTAAAAATAGGTCATTCAAAAAACCAAATTACAATGGATACTTCGGCTCAGTTTGCTAATAATAGGCAAACTGACGATGCAATATTGATATAGCCCATATAGGCAGATCAGGCTGGTCGAATATACTGTAATATGTGAGGAAAATATAACTACACTTACTTTGGGATCGAGGGTATCGATGATGCATCAGGACGATTAGGGATAGGAGGGGTTAAACCAATTGAGGATGCCATATTATAAGCGGCATAAGCATTTTGGGCATTTTGTACTTGGGCGTTTATTTCATTGCGATCTGGGATGTTGGGTCGTTGAGCGGGTTCAGGGTAGTTTTGTCGTGTGCTCGGTCGACTACGTGGCGGAGGGTGCCTCGTGGGGGTAGGACTGCTGGATGGGCGAGTGGGAGCATTTGTGGACGGGGGTGGTCGACTGAAAAAAAATAAGTAACTGAGTAGTCAGAAATATTGGATGACTATGGTAACACTATTGTAGTTCCATTTGTGAAAAGCAAGATTCCTCAATTCAACAAAATTCAGTGTCAAAGTTTCATGAACCATTTAACAATCTGTGAGTTTTCACTATAGTTAGGCTGTATTTCAGGGGTGGATCCACCACTAGTGCACAAATTTGCATTACAAAACAAAGTGGTTATTTTTTAGCAGTTTTCTTGTGTCATGCAAATTAGTGCACTAGTGCTGGATCCACCCCTGCTGATGTAAAAACACACCTTGCTTGAGGTCTATAGTGTGACGCTGGCTCATCATCTTTCTCTATTGGAGGAGGAAGAGGGGTGGATATTGTGTGCATATTAATATCACCAATGATATCTAGTGCTTCTTTGGTGCTCTGATATAATCTCATCATTTCTTCTCGTCTTAATGCCTCTTCTTCGCTTTCTTCCATCATAGTTTTCTAAAGTGTCCAGACGATTCAAAAATATGGTAAATTTAAGCTTTAAAATATAGTAACTTTACTAACAAAATATTTCTCTGAAATAAAAACTGTTCCTTACAGTGTCCCCACTTGAGTAGATATGAGCCAAAATCTCGGAACCAATGAAATCTTTGGTCTAAAAACAAAATAATTTGGAAAAAAATCAAATCAAATAGCAGCCTTCAACAACTATTGCTGGCCTGAACGAAACGAGTGTCATCAGAGAAGGAGACATGTGTAGCCTACTCAAGGTGACCTCAAACTGATTAACTGTCACTATAGTACTTAGTATTCTCCCCACATTTCAATGACATGTGAATTGAATTGAATTGAATTTTTATTAATAATCTGGATAGCAGCTTACAAGAGCTGAAGTATACAGAATTATTTACAGTAGAAATACCCAATATACAAATTGTTGTGATGAACACTTACTTTAGACCGATTACTAATTTATATATTCTATTACTAGTGATTTACATTTGATTGACATTTAATTACGTAGGCTTAAAATTGGGGTATCATATATCTGCACGGACATCATTAGAATGAAGGCAATGATACAAGTTAAACTGCTAACCTGTAACTGTATTTGTTTGTGTGAATCAACACGAGGATATTGGCACAGAAGTAAGTTAATTATAAAGTTAATATAAATTCCGTTATAATCAAACAATAATATCTTATTCATTATTCATATATTAATATTTAGATCGAATTGTGTTTGCGCACAATATTACTTGTGACAATAAATACGATATACCAATATCCAGTCGTGCTGCGTAGTAATACGGGCGTATTGTCGATTCGACGAACCATAAAATTCGATTTCTTGATTACCGTTGGCGAGTGGAATTGGCGATATATGTTAGATCAGATGTGAACAGTGAAATATTGTGAACAATGACAGAGGTTTCAGAGGAATACGCAAAAGCCAAAATTAGTCGACGCACAGCAAAGGCCGCGCTCGCGCGGATTGGAAAGGCCGCAGAACATGAAGTCGCCCATAAAAGACCACAGAAGGAGGTGCGCGACTCCCTATTAAAGTTAAGTAAAGCCTTTGATGCGCTTGTTTTGAAGCATGAGGAATTAACAAATTTAATCACAGATGATAAAGAGTTTGAAAAGGAAGAAACATGGTTAACAGAGTGTCAAGAATCCTTCTTAAGAACCGAATTAAGGGTAAAAATGTATCTGGAAAGTATCGAAGATGAAATTTCGAAAACAGATTTGCCGCAGCCTTCAGGAATGATTGGAATGCAAAATGAAAACGCGCCAGAGACAACACTTTGAGGCAAGACACGGGTGTTGACACGAGCGAAGTTACAACGGCTACGGGCGGAAATGGGAGTGATGAAACGCATGATGTGTCGGATGTACAAATCGCACCTAGTAACAACCAGGAGACAACGAATGAAAAAAAATCCTGTGGGTTTCAAATGGAGAAGCCAAAGTTACCAAACTTCTCAGGAGATGTCAGAGAATATGTGATCTTTCGGGCCGACTTTAAAAACACGATCAAATCGAGATATAGTAAACGGGACGCAATAACTTTGTTACGAACATGTTTAAAAGGCAAACCTCTAGAGCTGATTCAAGGCATTGGGTCAGATTATGACGCTGCGTGGGAGTATTTGGACTCCATCTACGGGGACGTGGGACATGTGTCGGATACAATAACGCAGGATATTGCCCAGTTTAAAACTTTGCAAGAGGACGAAGATGCACGCTTCTGCGACCTTGTACATCTAGTGAGGCGATCCTATAACACTTTGAAAGAAGTCGGTGCGCCAAGTGACCTTGATAATAGTCATATGCTAGTGATGATAGAAAAGAAGATGTGTCCTAGTGACAGAAAGATATGGTCAAGAGATCTCGAAAGGGAACGCAAGCCTGCAACATTCAACGGTTTGATGGAATGGATGACAGTAGAAATGAAGTCAAGGATGAGAGCGACCGCACCAATTAGAAATGCAGTAACTAGTCGTCGAAGCGTAAACCATTTCAACTCTGGTAAAGATCAAAAGGAACGACATAAGTGTTGGTTATGCAAAGACCCTACACACTGGCCTGATCATCGTCCGAAGTTTCAGTCAATGAGTGTGGACGAGAGGATAAGTATAGCCAAGTCAAACCATGTCTGCTTCAGCTGCTTAAAACGAGCTGGTCGAGAACACAAGCAAGCTAACTGCAAAAGAAGGCGCCAGTGCATTAAGACAGAAAATGGAGAACAGTGTGCTCACTATCATCACCCATTATTACACAAGAGTAATACAGTCAACATTGGTATCGCATCATTACATGAGAATGAAGAAGCTATGCTTCCGGTTACTACAGCGGATATATTTGGTTCGAACAGTCTTCGTAAACGCGGCAACGTACTTTTCGATTCTGGTGCCCAGGTGAGTCTGATCAGGCAAGAAACTGCAGATAACCTCAAACTCAAGGGAAAGGAAATTTCGGTTACCATAACGAAAGTTGGTGGTCAGGAAGAAGAATACACACTAAAGTTTACAACGTCCCAGTCATCGCAGTGAGTGATAAAAGAACATATTCGGTAAAGGCAATCGGAATCCCAGTAATTAGTTACGAGAACAGTAGAATTGACGCGACTAGCCTCGTAGAGCAACTTGGCCTGTCTGGAGAAAGAATAAGAAGAAACAAGGGACCAATTGATCTCTTAATCGGAATAGATCACGCTCAGTTACACACTGGTCCAACAAAGCAAAAGGATCACATCGTCGCAAGAAAATCTCCATTAGGATGGGTGTTGTTTGGCAACAAATCAGGGGCATCGGCGCCAGGAGAAACAGCAAAAGTCCTCCACGTAAAGTATACACCACCAGTCGACATATCCGAGTTTTAGCGAACAGAAAGCATGGGTGTCCTCGTTAAACCGTGCACTTGCGAAGCGGATAAACTAAGTCAAATTGAAAGGGAAGAAAAGGTAATGATTGAAAATTCAGCACAGAAGATTGGCAATCAGTGGATGATCGCGTATCCCTGGAAAAAGGACCCAAGATCGTTACCTGATAACAGAGAGCAAGCTTTGAAGCGACTCGAATCAACAGAACGCCGTCTTGCAACGAACCCAGACCAAGCCAAAGCCTACCAGGAACAGATGGTTCAAATGGAAGAGATGAAATTCTCGCGAAAGCTATCGACGGAAGAAATGGAAAAGTACGAACGTCCTGTGCATTATATATCACACCATGCTGTTATACGACCGGAGAAAAAAAGCACGCCACTCAGAATTGTTTTTAATTCGTCCGCAGTGTACAAAGGAAGCAGATTGAATGATTATTGGAAAAAAGGGCCTGATCTGCTTAATGGCCAGTTCGGGGTGATTCTGCGTTTTTGAGAGAATGAAGTTGCGATCAGTGGCGACATATCAAAGATGTATCATCGCGTACGTATTCCAGTTGAAGATCAGCACGTCCATCGGTATTTATGGCGAGACCTCAAAGTAGATCAAGAGCCAGACACCTACGTGAAGACCGTATTGACGTTTGGGGATAAACCGGCGCCAGCTATGGCTCAGATCGCACTCCAGAAAACAGCTGAAGAGAATCAAGAGTTGTATCCACAAGCGGCAAAAGCGATCAAGGCCAACTCATATATGGATGACCTATGTGATTCACTCGATTCCGTACAGCAAGCTCGGAAACAAACTGAGGACATCGACAAGATTTTGAAAACTGGAGGGCTCTGCGTGAAGGAGTGGATATGGAATAAGACACTGGATGAAGAAACAAGCAATGAAGAAACAACGATAAAAATGCTCGAAGGAGATAAAATACTGGGTTTGGAATGGAAACATAAAGTTGACAAGTTTTCGTACAGGGTGACCTTTCCAGCATAAAGAACGAAGATGAATCAAAGATTACAAAATCATCGCTCACTAAAAGAATTATCCTTAGCCGAATTGCAAGAATTTACGACCCAATTGGCTTTGCGGCAGCCGTTCTTATTCGAGCGAAAATAGGAATTCAAGAATTGTGGATGATGGGTCAAGATTGGGATCAGAAATTGCCAGAGGAGATATGCAAAAAATGGCACGAATTTTTCAAGGAACTAGAACACTTAAATTCAGTCGACTTTCCACGTTGTTTAACACCTTCATTAGCCATGGGGGTTCCAATGTTATGTGTGTTTGCAGATGCCTCACGAAAAGCCTTTGGCGCTTGTGCATATATTCGATGGCAGCTCGACCATGGAAAATTTGAGTCCAGATTCATTGCTGCTAAATCCAGAGTCGCGCCGCTAAAAGAACTGACGATTCCTCGCCTAGAGCTACAGTCGGCGGTCTTAGCATCACGTTTGGGTAAGAGCATCCGAGAAGAATCGAGATTTCAATTTGAAAGAATCATCTACTTTACAGATAGTCAGATCGTTTTGGCTTGGATCCGTAGTCACGCTCGAAATTACAAACCATTCGTGTCGTCGAGAGTGGGAGAAATACAGAGTTATTCCGATCCTGCTGAATGGAGACACATTAATGGTGAACTTAACGTAGCTGACGATGTTTCTCGTGGGGTAGCAGCTTCAGAGTTAAATGGTCGATGGGAACATGGTCCATCATTTTTACAACTACCAGAAGAACAATGGCCCGAAGAGGTATTGAACACGAATAAAGAACAACCAGAAATGGAAAAAGAGCAACGCAAAGTAAAGAATGTTTTAAGTGTCGTATCCATGAGAGCTGAAGATGTAATGAATGTGAAGAAATTTTCAAGTTGGTGAAGATTGATTAGAGTCACAGCGTACGCACGAAGGTTCATCAAGAAGTGCAGAAAGCGGAAAGAGCAAGCAAGTCAAAATGAAGATCAGAGTGTACCAAATCAGACATCCTTATCAGTCCCAGAATTGCAAGAGTCCGAGCTGTTTTGGATCAAAGAAGCACAGAAAAGTCTTGTTAATCGTGTAACACAGGGGGAATTTAAGTCCTTGACTCCATTCCGAGATGAAAACGACGTTCTGAGAGTTGGTGGAAGAGTATCAAAAGCAGATGTTTCCTATGATACAAAGCATCCAGTTCTGTTACCCAATTCACATTGGATATCACTGTTGATTGTTCGAAAGGCACATCAATTTGGTCACAATGGCGTTGCTGCAACAACAGCCAAGACACGAAGAAAGTACTGGATCATAAAGGCTAACGATTTGGCAAAATCGGTCAAACGCAAGTGTGTATTCTGCAAGATGGCTCAAAATTTGGAAACCCAATTCATGGCAGATCTCCCAGATATCCGTTTGACACCATTTACCCCGCCGTTTCATAATAACGCTTGTGATTACTTCGGCCCAATAGTAGTCAAGGTCGGTAGGAATAAGACAGCAAAACATTACGGCGTTTTATTCACCTGCCTAAATACCCGATCAGTCCATCTCGAATTAGCCGTCGATTGCTCAACAATGGAATTTTTGCAAGTTCTATGCAGATTCTTCGCAATCCGTGGAACCCCGGCCGTGATGATCAGCGATAATGGCACACAGTTTGTTGGAGCAGAAAAGGAATTAAAAGAAATGCTAAAGGGTTAGACGATGGATGAATTGCGTGAATTTTGTTCAGAAAAGGGAATGAAATGGAGATTTACAACTCCGAAAGCTCCTCACCATAACGGATGCGCAGAAGCGTTAGTGAAAACCTGCAAGAAAGCTTTAAAGAAGGTATAATTATATGGTTTTAATACGACAGGATTGGTCAAGTAGATGTAACATAATGGACATATGATCTGATTGTCCAATAGCAGGAAAAATTTCGGGTTCTTCATACCAGTGTTTCATATTGGTAAGGATCATATCTAAAGTCGCTTTTCCACGAGTTGGTTTCTTAACAATTTGTTTTAAAGACGAATTTCTGCAAAGTTGTTTAGTGTCAAATTGATTGAAGTCGCCCATGACAATAACACCTGCTCTAGGAAATTGCGATAAGATTTTGTCCAGGGATGCAATCATATACTCATATAGTTCGTTGCCATCTGCGTGGGGTGGATGGTACACCACACAAACAAGAATACATGAGGTTTCTCTGAGAAGTCCATAAGGTCTCAGTTTGAATCACAAACACTCATGGTTGGGGCAACCAAGGTTTGGAAGGGTCACGAAAGGTATACAAGATTTCATGAATACGCAAACTCCTCCACCTCGTTTCTCAACACGGTCGTTTCGAACTAAATTATATCCCTGGATATGTACACCGCTGTCAGGAACATTTGAATTTAACCAAGTCTCAGTTATTCCAGCAAGATCTACTTCGTTTGTTTTTAAGACGACATCTAATTTATCAATTTTATTCGTTATAGCACGCACATTAGATAGGAAAAATTTTGGCAGTTGTATGACTATCGTTGGGACTGGATTACTTAGAGTTTTCGGTATTTTAACTAAATTATGATAAGTACCTCCTCTTTTCTTTACGTTTCGATTTCTTTGGAAGTTTGTAAGTCGGATCGGAATCTTCTTTAGGATAGGGGTATCTAAGGTGGGGTACCCTACAGTTTCTCGAAAATTTTAATGCACATTTTAAATGCACATTCTAAACGTTTGACTAGAAGACTAAAAGAGCCGAAATCTATTTAGAACTTGTGCCTGGCAGGCGTTGCTATAGCAACAGAGACGTTTCAAAATGGCCGCTAAAAAGCATTTAATCGAGTTTATATCGCAAACGAGTTCGGTGACCCCCAATTTTTTTTTCTTCAAAATTTTACACCATAAATGGTTTATCGTCAGTAAAGTTTTACAAAAATTCTGTCCAGTGCGATTTTTTTAAAGGGCTAAAATAACGTTTTTTGCAATAGAAAAAATCGCACTAGACAGAATTTTTTTACAACTTTACTAACGATAAGCCATCTATAGTGTAAAATTTTGAAGAAAAAAAAATTGGGGGTCACCGAACTCGTTTGCGATATAAACTCGATTAAATGCTTTTTAGCGGCCATTTTGAAACGTCTCTGTTGCTATAGCAACGCCTGCCAGGCACAAGTTCTAAATAGATTTCGGCTCTAGGTATGTTGCCAGAAAGATATATAAAATTTTAGTCTTCTAGTCAAACGTTTAGATGCTGAATATCCCTGTTTAAAATGTGCATTAAAATTTTCGAGAAACTGTAGGGACCCACATTAAACACGCCCATCCACACTATCACAGGTCAAAATTGGCTTCACCAAGTTGTTACTTTTTTTGACATCATTCGCCTCACAAAACGTAGATGATTTCCCATTTCCAAATTCGGGGATTTCGCTTGGGGTATGTGGACAGTAGTACTTAGTATTCTCCCCACATGCCAATGACATGTGGACGGAGTAAGCTTAAAATTTCCTAGAAACACATATAGCGAAATTTCCTACATTTCATCAACTTACGTTCTGCACAATCATATACATGCAGGTCTTTGGGACAAGATCTCTGATGGTTTTACTGACAATCTTGAGGTAGGAATCAACGAGATTACGGATAGTCTCGACTTGCCTTTCCATCTGGGGGTCAAGACTACCCAATTCACTGCTCTGAAAGGAGAAGAAACGATAAAGATATGACTGCAAAACAGAAATCAGAATGAGCGGTTTAAAGCACTAGCGATCCTAAATGTACCTTATCAGATTCATTCATTTCTCTTTGTGGATAAACACCTGCTCGAAGAAACGATGCCTTCCATTCATCAATAATATCTTGAGTCTCACCAGCTAATTCCAACTGCTTGTGGTCTTTGAACAAGTTTCTGTGGCAGATAATGAATTATTAGAATTCCTCCTAGAATTCCGAAGCAAGGTAGAAAGCCTGCGAAGTGGGAAATTGTAATATAAAGAAATAAAAGCACAGTAGACAGGTGAAGTGGACTAAGAAAGCAAGATTATTTGTAACCTTCGCTTTAAAGTTATTCGTAGAGTTTATCGATTGCGAAGCGTAGAACTTTCATTAATTAAAAACATCAATCTGATGGTACATCATGGTACATGTACATACATACAGTGTACATACTGTATGAGCTCACTTTTTTGAAGCGAGGTAAACCTAACCACAAAATTGTAAACCTACTTCTGGTCTGGATTAAAGATTGCAAATGCCGCTTTCCTTGACATCCACCCAGCTTCTAAATCTCGCAGCTTACATCCCTCTAAACGTAACTGATACTTCTGTTCTTTTTCCTAAGAAGATTATCAAAATAAAATACCAAATCAAGCTAAGTTTAGAATGTAGAAAAAGATTCCAACGAATGAATTTAGAATATTTTACTCACTTCTTCGTCTTTGTACCAGGAGAGTGACTCAGCTGTATAAAAGGCATTAAAAAGGTCAGGGTGAATGTAAAGTATGTTGCAACATTAACCTAACGCGGCCTATCTTGATTACCTGTGAGAATAAACCAGTATTCTTTGGCTACAACACTTTTCATAAAACCTGTGTTTGAAATTTGCAACCATCCTTTGCGAATGACCTACACATGAACACCATGCTGTTATTGGATGTGATTGTTGACGATAAAGGCTGATTAATGTTCACAACTTCCCCAAGAATATTGCCACAGTAAAACCCTTTAAAATGTTCTGAATTGGACCAAATTTTTCTATAAAACCTTTATTAAGACGATAGCGTTTCTTACTTGATTACCAATTCCCTTTCGCTTTCTTTCACCAGTTTGAGAGGAGGCGTTTGAACTTGCTCTGGAAGGTAAGGTCGAAGAATATTGTGATACCTTGACAGTACATTTGTTATTGGAAGAAGGCTCGTGATAAAGTTACTTACGCTGCATAACCAATAAAATCTTGATGATTAGTGTTGATATATGACAGTTCAATGTCAATAAGAAGTGTCACGTGGTCTTTCGCTCTGACTTCTCCATTCTTTATATGGGTTGACACAATCCTGTCGACCTCGTCTCTCAATCGTGGATATTTTGCCATCTGTAAAATAAATTTACATGTGCAAGTAATTAGCGTACTTGATTCCTTTTCCAGCTAGTTTTACACACTTCTTTTTTGAGTTTTTCTTGTAAAAAATCTTCACCTTTAAAAGTGGTCTAGAGAATGAACTATCAGATATGTACAGTAGAGTATATTGATTAGGAAACAGCATTATGACATACATTTTATGCAATGGTACATAGCACGTAAAAGAATAAACTTTCTTATTCTTACCTTATCTGTACATTTTCTGATCACATTAGTTACTTCATTCATAACAAGATCAATGCACTTTGTTGCAGGCGTTTTTAGTTTTCCAATCTGCTTTTTGACGATGGCCTCAAAAGCCATGTCTGGAGTAAAAAGACCAACTCTATAAACATGAGTTGGATCGTTTTAGTATGCATAACAATTACTATTAAATGCAATTATTATAAGTGCAGGAACTTATTCATAATTCTATGCTGTTTTCTCTGCATACTAAACATGTGGTTCCTTACCTGACACCACGAATATTTTTGATAGCAAAACTGATTTCTTTTCTTAGCTCTCGCTCATCAAATTCCATCTAAAAATATGATGGGAAATATATTCTTCAGACTCCAGTAAGCCTCCGCAGTAATCTTATGCCGTATTATACAGCAAATTTATCACAACTGTTTTATTACATCTGCAGACTTTGGTTAAAAAAAGTTGTATGCATTTTTGGACTGACTAACCACCACACTGTAAAGAATAAAATGACCAATAAAATCGCACTTAATAAATGTGACCTCACCAACCTTCACTAACTCATAGGGAAATCTTTCATGGAAGACTCTGTTAATCCTAGCACCACCTGAGAGTTGTATTGTATCAATTTGGTCCCCTGTGCCTTCAATGGCTTCTTCAAAATCACTGTGAAACTGTTGAATCATTCTGCAGAAATAAACATGTTAGCTAGAACACATATGAACTGTCTGTATCAACTTTGCTAGCAATACAAAATCACGTACTGCATGAGAGCTTTAGTCTTCATTGAAGGATCATCGGGACGGAAATTCTTAAACTGCTGAACATCCTTTTCCAATGAAATTAACTGATCCTGTAAACTACTTCGTAAAGATGGCAAACTGTCTTTGATATGATTGGTTAGTTGCTGTAAAAAATGAAAGAATTTAAGAAATCAAAGATTGCTGGTATATAATAGGCTGCCCAGTGTTCTCCAACCTCACTGTCAATTACAATGAGGCATGGTACAGTATACTAGCCTCAAAGGAGATACTTTATTATTTACCTGATTAAGAACCTTCTGAAGATGAGGTGTGCCCATTTTATCAGCCATATGTCTAAAAGATTGAAGATATAGCGATTAGGTTTAGGTTTTCTATGCTTCTTTCTATTCTTTTCTGTGCTGCTTTCTATATTCTTTCATGAATTCGTAGTCTATTTTTTAAAGCTAAGCAATAGCGTTTATTAGACTGTACCTATAACTTGAATGGCTTAGGAAGAATTTTCTTTCTGCAGCTAAAGCAGCTCTGATGTCCTTTCTTCCTTCTATATCTTTTTGACTTCGATTAACAACTCCAACATAACCTACATTCACAAAATGAGATTCAGATAATATCTGGAAAGCTGGTCACCATATGTTTGGGAATTTTGACAGACATTATCTATCTGGTTTCTTATTTATGGTTTAGCATTTGTTACCTCTTCGTAGCGGAAATGTTTTGTTCTCTAAGATATCTCTAGCATCAGTCCCACTGTCCATCAAATCAAGTTTTGTAATCACACCAATTGTACGAATGCCTTCAACAAAAACACACTTTTTTACAATAACACAGAAGCAGTAAGTGCATGCATGTTCCTTTTCATATAATGAGCACGTTTTCAACGTGTTTATGTTTAGATCTTAATTTTCTGTAGAAATCATACATATTTTGATTTAACTGTTTAAAAACGTTTGTCAACTTTATATATATATTTAAGTTATGAAACATATAGTGAAGTGCCATAAAAATCCTATCACGGTACATGTTATTGAGTGCTCATCCCTACCTTGTGGGTCAACTTCTCTTGCAATCTTTAAAGCATCAGAATTAGCAAGATCTGTGTTAGCTGGGGTTACAGCAAGAATCAAACAGTTTGGTTTGGTAATAAACTGTAAAAGCATGTCTCGTATTTGAATTTCAATATCCTGAGGTTGGTCACCCACAGCTATCTTTGTCATACCAGGAAGATCAATCAACGTCAGGTTTAGCACTAAAAATATAGTTCAGATTGGGTTTAGCATGATTAATATGTACTCTAGGATTGCAAGGAACTTTCTAGGCTTGCAGCAAGGGTTAAATATGCCACAATCTAAACTTCCTTATTATGCTCTCACTCATTGTTTTTATGTAAGCCATTAGGCATCTCCAGGAGATTTACTATCATTAATTTTCATGCTGCTCTTGGTTATATTGCAATATATTCCAAAAGCATCTAAATAAAATGCTTTGAACTAAAAACAATTTGATGCACTTGTTTTCTTACCATGTGGAGAGTGCACTCTGAGGTTGATAGGAATATTAGATATTCCTTTATTACTGCCAGTAAGACGGTCTGTTTCTCTTACTATCTCTTTATTCACATCATTAAAATCAGTGAAAATTTTCCCCTTTGCATGAAGAAATTCAGCATACTCTAGAAATTTATAAATATTTGAGGAAATAAGATACATGCTAAATTATGTATTATCATAGTAATTATGATCAGTTAGCAATTAGTATCATATAATTACAGAAAATATAACCCATATACCACAATATATAGAACTATAGAAACTCAATAAAATGTGAACATTTTGAAAACTTAATTTCTAGCATCTCAACTAAATTTTAGTTTAGTTTTGTCATCATCAGGAAAAGAGTAGTAATATTACATAAGTTATGAATAATGGCAGACATAAAAATATTTTTGACCTGTTTTCTCAGGAATTAGTTGCAGAATCAAAGGTCTTCTAGTAACAATTCCTGAGCCTCGAGGGAGAAAATCTCTAAAAATAAAACCATGCAAAATATTGTAGCAATTAATAATGGCAAGAGTTGTTCACTTTATTTATTGACTTAATGAGTTCTTGACCTTCAAAATATTGTAAGAAATCTTCAAAACTTTTACATTTGTTTAATTAAGTTATAAACTATGTGTAATTATTTCATCAAATCTGTAAGTGTTGAAGTTATAAACATATTTTTCAGAGTTAATAGCATTATCGAAATTTAAGCCAATAAAACCAAACATTTCTATCATTGTAAAGTGGAACAGTTACAGCAAAGTGCAAGAACTATTTCCTGACTTTCTCTGTTGTGTGAAGGGCTATCATTTAATATATGATACTGTTAATATTAAATTAAATGCTATTTGAATTATGATATGATTTAATGACAAATAACAAACTATTTTCGGAGTATGACAAGTGCCAATGCCCAAACACAATTGTACTGTATGCCCATACAAGACGAAATCTTAAAAATGGATAAAATCGCTCTCACAGAGATCGATTATTCTGATTTTAAAACTAAATCTAAACTATAAAAACAACCTAAAAACAGAAGAAAGAGTTTTGATCTCCTTCGAAACAACGTACGAACTACTAACCTTCCAACAAAATTCTCTAAAACACTGCTTTTTCCAGCACTTTGACTTCCGACGACTGCAATTTGTGGCAGATCTATAGTCGCTGTTTGGCCAAGCTGTGAGAAGCAATCCAGCAATTTATTCATAATAGGAATGAGATCCTCCATTCCCTTGTTTCCAGCCATTTTGGAGCTTTAAACGGCTGAAAACTAAAGGAGTAAAATAAAACCAACTTATATAAACAAACAGATGCTTTCAGTATGAGTATGAAATCTCGATCAATTTTATTACTCAGACGCTTTTGCGCATGACAGTATTTCGTAATGTTTCGCAACAATGCCACTGATCTCTTTTAAAAAGAAAATGTGGATGATTAATCACTGCTCATCTCACATTCCAGACTCGATCCCGTCGAAACTATCATCAATAAAAACGAAGGTGTCGGCGACCTCGTATCCAGGGTAATTTCGCTGAGTTATAGGGGGTGTCGGATACAAATATGCCATTCGCCTTTTTGCGTCCCCGTACCCTGTAATCACCAAATAATTCAATATTTTATTGGCTACGGTCCACTAACCATCATATTTACGAACCATAATGTTTCCGTCTGTTGAGCAGCACCTGACATATGCACGAAGCACGACTATACTGTATATCTGGTAAATAAGGCCATTACATAGAGTTGGTACAAGGCGATGACTGAGGGGGGCACCCACCCATCCGGCAGCCTAGTGATGGTTGCTTATTTATGATGGTTGCTCAAGTGATCTTAGTGATGGTTGCTTATTAATGATGGTTGCTCAAGTGATCTTAGTGATGGTTGCTTATTAATGATGGTTGCTCAAGTGATCTTAGTGATGGTTGCTCATTAATGATGGTTGCTTAAGAGTCGAGCAATTTTTCCTCAAATCATTTATCTGCCCGACCAACATTTTCGCTGGTGTACGTGTTTTATATTACCAAAAAGGTCCTTGTGGTAATGATCGCATTGTATAATTGGCGCATGAATGTTTGCCAAGATTAAGAGAATTTCCCTTTATCTCATCTTTCCAAAAATTTCTTTATTTACTCAAAATTATTTCAAATGTGAAATGAATATTTACAATATTTACACGAGTCCAGGGCCGCCGCTATAGAAGCTCAACTGGGGGGGAGGATAAATATTCATACATTCATGTTCGTACAAGCGTGAAAACAATAGCTAACAGAAGAAATCAGTCGGGAAATAAGACGAATATATGAATATGCAGTATGCACCCCTCAATTAAACTTCTAGCGACAGCCCTGCATTAGTTATATATACAAATAATTTACTTTATGCTCCCAGTTGTTTAGAAAGCACGAACTGCTGTGCGTTAAACTAAAACTTTAAACTTTAGAACTAAAGACTAATAAAATTTTAGCTGGTTTGAACGGCCGAGATTAGTGCTTTTTGCTAAGAAAGGTTAGTGTTACTTCGACCGTTTCACTGTTAATTCGCAGCTACTTCTTAAATATATTTTCTGATATCTTTGCTGCTTCGGAGCATCTGAAAATTTTTGTTCGAATAACTTAAATAGGATTGAATAATACAGTATAAATGGAGACCATTTAGTTTTATCTGAAGGCTAAACAGTTATTAGAAAAATGAGTGACAAATTAATTCCTATCCAAGTCGTTCCTACCTCATTTTTCAACTGATAAAGGTGTATCTCCCTAGACACATGACTACAATGCTATTGCCTAAAGCATACAGGGCATGAGAGAGCCAACTTCCATTTTTAAGGAAGCTCTAGCTTCTTGCGGATTTCTATTTTCTATCGCGTCGCTACAACTGAACCTCATTTTAAATGTTATGCGCGAATATTGACGCATATATAAAAATGCCGCCACCTTTCGCTTGCAATCAGAGAGTGACGATGACGAGATTTTCTTCAGGGTATCATCAGAAAGGCTATACTGAGCTTGACTGCACTGGTTGTCGACCTCGTGACGAGCCGCCTCTGTTGCCAGGTCTTAAAACATATCTAGATAGAAAACGAAGTCGATGACAAGGTTAAACGTTATTATTGATATCACCCTCATCCCCAATATCTTCGCTGAGGCGAAAATTGATGGAAGTCATATAGGGATAGGGAAACGCTGTTCCTTTTCCTCCCTTCCTCTTCACCCTCTCTCCTTCCTTGTCTCTTCCTCTCTCCTTTCCTTCTTCCTCTTTCCATCTCCCTTGCTCTTCCCCTCCCTTCCCTCCACTCCCTCTATCTCTCACAATATTACAATGTTACCAGTAACTTACATGATATCCCCAGGAACAAGTGTCCACTCTGGGGGAGGATTACTCACGACATACGATACCGTACGATGTTCACTCATATCAACTGGAAGAAATCCAGAACACAAACTTTAAATATTTTAGCAAAAAATATTGCCAACAAAACGCTATACACAAACATACATTCTCCTTCAATGTTCAAAGATTTCATTCTGTTTCTTATTATTCTTTCAATGTCTTTAGTTTCAGCACTTTTCCCTGATCCCATTGCAGTTTCCTACAGCAAAATGACAAAATATTAAGAAAAGTACCAGCCGTACGTTCTGAGCAGTAAGAGCTCTTCCGCGAGAATCACTGAAAACATCATCGTTATCTGACACTAGTTTCAGAAGCATATAAATTTAATTCTAGAAGCAAATTTTGAAATATATGGACGTCAGAGCAGTCAAAATTGTATTATCGCTAAGTAATCTACAAGAGTATTATGATAGGTTAAAATTTATTTGCTTTTGCAAAATAAAAAACGTTGGAAATTTTCGTCGCGTTGCCAAATCGCGTCCTGTCTGTGTAGGCTTTGAAGAGCAGCAGACCAACGCAGCTGAAGAATAGTTGTGGACTTGTGGTAGTTGATACGCAGGTGGGAAAGGTTAAAAGCATATTTTTAAATTTTAAATCCTAAACAACTAACCTTTTCATATTCTTCAGTTCTTAACATCCCTACAGGGATTTCCCCAGTTGTTGAACACAATCTTTGATACAAACATCCATAGTTTCCTAGCCACATATGATCCTCTGTTAATTTGATCTACAGAAAAAAGATGAGAAAATAGTTTCAAATTTACACGTATTGGTCCTATTTTATTTGTGGTTTCACTTTTTTGGCGGGTACCTCCCCAATGACACAATCGTAGAGATTCCAATTATTGGCCATGCACCCCCCCCCCGCCGCATCGATCATATCAATAACTTACCGAAGTCAGATATCCAGATCCCATCGTTTGTTTCAAGCCTATAGCTAGACTTATGAGATCAATCATGTAATCTTTCACAAATGTCTGATACAGCAGAGTATCGATCATACTGGCACTAAACGCACTTCCATCTGCGAAGGATTCACTGAACATATAGTTCAGATGTGCTTTCTTAGTTGTGGCTGTTTTTGATTTCTAAAAAGATAAAAGTCGAAAACATTAAAAAATTATATTCTAATAAAAGGCATACGCGAAAAACACTGACATAATATCAATTTCTCTACAGTCAACAGGCAGATGGAGAGAGACGATGGCTCAGAAAAACAAATTATTTCCAACACCAACTTTGTGAGAATCAAGAACTATAAAACGACATGTTGTAGGAAAATCCAGTTTTTTTAATTTAAATTTTGCATTCATTTTTGCTTCAAATATTTATGTCTTATGAACGTAACGTCTCTGATTTCTAAGCATTATATCTTATAAAGAAGCAATCAATATATCTTTCACGGTTGCATATACAGGGTATTCCAAAGAAAACCAAAATTATTGAAATCATCTATTGTTAAAATTTAAACGACTTGTTTACGAATTTTTGCTCATACTAAATTTAAAATTTGCCAGAGAAGAGAGACATGTCGAAAGTATAAATATTGATAATAAATTCATTTTACTGTTGTGTCATCCTTCATAAAAATGCTTATGTCAAACACCTATACACTTGTGAGTGTCTCAACAGGGTACTTAGTTATTCACACTCTAGCTGTTACTATGTTATGGGTGATTTCAATAGTTTTGGGGTTTTGGGGGAACACTCTGTCATGTACACTACAACATGCACGATACACGTCATTATTACTGCACGACGTTATATAGCTCAGTGTTATTCATACTTTGACAGATTTTCGTTTCCAGGCGTCTTCGTCTTCCTCATTGTCTTCGACCACTGCTTCCAAAATGCCAGAGTCAAATTTCATGAATCTCATGTTTGAGGTATGGGTGAGTTCAACGGAAAGATTAAGTCGAGGAAATAATCTGTGAAAGCAAAAAATCTCTGTTATTGCAATGTGTGAAGGATTGATCTACAAAATTTAAAACGATGTTTAAATCTGCGGAATGCGAGATCTTACCTGAATATGGTCTGTACACTGACAATGGTTAAAGCATCTGCCATAAATTCTTCATCTCTCTCGTCGTCTTGACTGCCGGCTTTTGCTGCACGCGTCACCACCACTGTGTCTGATTTAAGTATTCCCGCTTCAAGTAGATCGTCCAGACTGAGAAGTAAGATATTTTAGTTAACAAATATCCTAACATACACAACTCTATTAGCACAGGGGGGGTGTCATCTCTGAAGGGCAACTTTAAAATTACGGACGCCATGTTGCAAAAGGGGAAAACACAATGGCCAATACAATTAATGATCATCCTAATCACTCTGGATAAATTATTCAACTCTTGTGAACAAACAATTTACCTTGACACAGAACCCACAAAATAGTAAAGCATGGGAAAGCAACATATGGCTTGCAAGAAACTCTCAGACGGTCTGCAAGAAAGATTATCAGAAACTTATTATCACGGACGCATTATATAGGATTAATCGCATATATTCAAGATTAATTTTTTCAATCCTTACTCTTCTCCCACTAAAAGAACGATGGGCTTGAGGGATAAGCGGGGTAAATTAGAGGATCTTAGGGGTAGGATAAAGTTGTATAATCCAGCTTCGACCACAGGAGAGGCAAGAATGATGGCACCTTCTTCTCTCTGTTTTGGGCAGGGATTGTGTTCACAACTCTACAAAATATAACGAGAAAGTTCGTTTTCCTACGCGATGAATTTATTACTGAATAACCGGAGTAGAAGCAGTTGATCTGGTTGTCCTTTTTCTAACAACATTTTTCAGGAACAGCGTCTGGAGATCTGAGCTAAATTAATGAAGGAGTGTTTTACACTACATCGCTGGGGAGAAAAATACTTAATTTGATTAATCTAACTTTGATTATACTTATACTTACGTCTTTAAGATTCAAACAACATAGTGGTAGACTTTCTGGCAATAAGTGGCATTTCATAGTGACTCTTCCAATATAAGGAGAAATTGGAGGAATTTCGATAACATACCTTGAAAAAAGTAGACAGGCATTTTTAGAAATGAGCAAAATACTATATTACTGACAGAAGGTCTTTCCTTCTGTGATCAGATTCCTGTGATATTTTTTACAACCTGTGGTAAATGTCGTTTCTCATGCGCCGAATACTTTAACAAAATGGAGGATTGACGAATGAAGATCTGTTGTTTATTTGCTTTATTGCGTTTGCAAATGAAAAAGAAAGCTTTTCTCTCAGTGAACTTACTCTGGTATTTTTGTAGGAGGAAGGGCACCAGCCAGAGCATCTTGAAGATCATCTTCAACGTCAGAATCACTTGGAACAAAGTAATTGACAGACGATCCTACTGACAACGTATCTGTTTGTTTTATTTGCTCCAGTGGAATACTATTCCCAGTTTGTTGTTCGGGATTTGTTGTTTCTTGTGGTGGCTGTGAAGAGCCTGTTTCAGGTGCAACATGGCCGTTACTTGCACTGCCTGCGTCTTTTTCATTTTCATAATTCAAGGATGTTGCGGCTAATATATCAAAGGTAACAACAGTATAAGCACCAGATTACTGTCATAATTATTATCCTTTTTAACATGATCATCATTAGAAAAAACTTGAATGAACAGAGAGAATCATGATTGGAATCATCATCACAACATTCACAACAATAATCACCAAAACATTTAAATCATCATCATCATCATCATTGTCCCGACTACCAACACAACCGTCCTACTTATCATAACCATAACTACCACCATAATAAACAGCTTCACCATCAATACCAACACTACGTCTACTTACTTGCTCCATTACTTCTGTTATCGGACATTTCGATCATAATCTTATTTGAATTATCGCTAAAGTCGCCGGATGAGCTTCCAAACTTCGTGGATTTTGTCTCCTTTATTTCCTTAAAGGCACTTTCCTCTTCACTCGACATCGATATATAAAAACACGTGTCATTGTATCCCATCAAATACGAGCTGCCAGGATTTAGCAGAACTTTTGAACTCTTCGCTCGCCGCACTCCAATCAAACATACACCATACCTAGGTTTCACAATGACTAAGCTTCAAAACTTGTTACCACCCCCCGTACCCGGCATATCTCGAAGTTGAGGGGAAAGTTTTCAAGATATGTCCTGAATCTACTAAACATGTTACAGTACGAAAACTTCGAGGTTCTCAAATATTCCAACTAAGGCTCTATAATCTCGCACCTTCTATGAGCATGAAATGAAGCATAAGAAAAGCTCTTTTTATTAAATGGTCTGAAGACAGTGCTGTCACCGAGTTTAATGTCGTAAATCTCATTTCCAGCGCAACGTCCAAACATCTCATGCCATGGCACATCTGCTGAGCCGTCTCTGGAAAAGAAATGTCAAATATTTGTTACAAACTGCTGGGGCTACAGCTATGTTACTAATTCATGTCACGCAGAGCTAGATCTACCTTAGTCGTAATTACGTGAACTGGTCATCGCATCATGTTTTGTACTTTATAAATAACATCAGTTATCGATTGGCTCAGTTTAACTTACTGTTGATGTAAAGTATGAAGCAATGTTGTGACCAATGTGGTAACCCCAGGACAGACACAATTGGCTGCCATCAGAGCGTTTTTTAACTCGTCTTCACAAACAACATGTTCTAACGAAAGAAAGGAGGTTGCAGGAATTCAAAACCACACAGGGATTAATGAATGGATGTTGCCGAGTGGGAAACAACCTACAACTGACACGAAACGCTCTTACCTGCAAAACTGACATGAAATTTGTTTTCAGCTTGTAATATTTGAACATAAAGCGGGACTTCAGGAGCATAGTCTTGAATAGCCCACGTACGCAGAATTGTGTGACGATCCTAGAAGTATTGGGTAGTTTAGTGGTGTTGATGGAGTACAAGTGTCTGACGAAAATTGGTTCACTCCAGTAACATCTCATAAGAGTTCTTCTTAAGCTATTTTTCATAGACTTCAGCGAAACTGTCTTCTCTTGATGTTTCAATCAACTAATTGGTTCACTGTGCATTCCTCCTTTTTAAAAGATTGATAAATCAAGTATAAACTTTGTTTACTTGTAAAAAATTCTACTTACTGCGCCTTCTTTGTCTGGACTGCTGCGATCGGAAAGAATAAAAACTCCTTCTGAAACTGAAATCCTACAGAAAGAGAACAAAAAATCCATGAGATCCTGCATTAAATTACTTATTCAGGTGGCTGAGTACAGATTGTTAGTAACAATCCTAGAATTCGGTATTTCATGAATACGCCTCAAAAGTTTTGCTCAAGGTATGGGTTGCTCACCTCGCTCGTTCCAGGTCATTGTCGTTCAAAGCCGAGCCTTTGATATAAGAGACTTTATGTGCCCAGGCTGCCACTTGAATCAACATTCGTAACTGACTGTCGATATCCAAAGGACATAGCAACACCACGTGATATTCCTGAACCAATCAAAGTGTGTGAAATGGAATGTTTGGTCAGAATAAGAAGGTAGTTTCTAACATTCGTGATGCACAGATTTATTTTACCTCTAATTCTGCCTGAGCGTAAAACTCTTTAAGGAAATCCAAGACCAGTGTTGGGCGAAGCGTGGAGCCACACACGACTACGTGACGATTGTTTCCTTTTAGTATTCCACCAAATGCTCCTCCCTCTTTCTGTGTTTGCGCCATGTGGAAAGCAAGTTGTTCAAACTGTGGAAGAAACATTTAGATGTTTATAAAAGTACGCTAAAATTAAACCATAATTACATTAGACTTTATCAGTTGTCAACTGTCCATCGTAAAGATTTTACAACAAATAAACAAACGAGAACACTTTCTAGATAAAAGTCACGATCACGCAACTGCAATAATCAAAATATAGTTACTGAAGTGGAGTACCAACAAGTAGATTATCTGCTGTTTCTAACTTTTTACTCACCTGCATCGGTAAAATGATAAGCGCCATAAAAATTGAGAACATTACAAATGTTTGAGCGGGCCAGTCACCCGGAACTGAATCCCCATATCCTACTGTACTGAATGTTACCACCACAAACCAAAGACTTTTGAATGTACCCCATTGGTGTTGAGCGCGTTCAAAATGCTGCACTCCACAGACACTATAAGGCCAGAAATACTTCAAGTTCTATGCTTTAATCAGAAAATAGAAGTGCGAAATGTACTTACCATGTAAATATAATGCTTGTTAACGTCCCAATCACCAAAAGAACTTTCTGCATCAGTGCAGATTGTTTTTTCTGTAGTTGGTGAACGTTATTCTAAAGGAATTACACACAAAGTCACGTCAATAAAATTGAAATTGTTTTATTTTTTTCCAAAAGATGGCTTCATTAAGAAGAGAAAGAAATAAAAAATGAGGGGAAAAACTTACAAACATATTTTCTGTTAAACTGTTAGCGATCCAGCAGTTCAAGTATAATGGGTTATACAAATTTCTCAAATCCGGCCAAAATATCTAAGAAGAGAAGGAGCATGCGCATCACTGTAAACCTATAGTATGTAGTGAAGTTGATAATGAACAATGTTAAACAAATGATGTTTTATAAATGATATGGGTTTTACTTACGGACACAAAGAGAGGCAATGTTAAAAATGTCTCCAAAATCATGCGCATCGTGATCTTCGAAAGTATCGATCCGCCCTGTTCGATAAACCAAAATTAAACTCAGCACAAAGTCAGGGATGAAAGTTGCGAGGAAAGTTGATTCTTCAAAGAGCCAGTCGAAGGCAATAATACCTTATACTCCAGGAAAGCAGTAAAAAATACTTCCATCAGACAGAACAAAGAAATAACAGTCTAAAAGAAAAATAAGTAAATCTAGTTTATTTATTATCAATCACTAGCGATCCTCTTAAAAACAAGTGAAACTTAATTATCTGCAGAAACTAAATGATGGACGAAGTGCAGTGAACACCTTAATTCTCACCTGTAAAATCCATAGTATAAGAGGCCGGTCTATCCACAACAGACTCCAACTAAGAATGAGATTTTTGAAATAGTAAATATACTTGAAAGTATGAAGAAATCACTAAAAACAAACTGAAAACCTACTATCTAGATTCTTTTAAATCTGGGCAACACCATTTTGCTGACGTTCTATCAATTGGACAGTCACCGCTTGAGAAAGAAATATGCAGATGTTAAAAATGAAGATTAGCCTTGCAGCACCATGATAGTAAAAATATAGAGCATTACCCGCCAGCCTGGGTTATACTACCTACCAGCCTGGGTTATACTATCTACCAGCCTGGGTTATGCTACCTACCAGCCTGCTGACATTGGATCATTATCGCTCTCAGTTCGAATGACGTAAAGAACACAGGAAGTCAATTTAAGTGTGACAAGGAAGAGTTTCCATCGATAACCTTAAACAAAAAACAACCATTTGTAATCAGGATTGTAATTATAAAGACGCCAGAATGTTTGATATACAGTAACAGAAATAATATGTATTAACCGTGGTTGAAATTATCGATATTTAGATTGTCTTTGAGACCAAAGATTTTACACTTAATTGAAAGCATTCGATTGTTCACAGACTTAGCCTGGCAGAGCAGTATCTGGAATATTGGCAACAAAAAAAGAGAAATTCTAATCCAAACTGGCAGCCTTGTGAAAAATGCAACTCAGGTTTTCCAGAAAGAAAGTTGAATTACCGAAACTAAGATATACTAATATTCTTTTATTTAGAGTAAACAAAATAAACGCGGTGTATCAACAACTATAAAACTGAGATAGCAACACGACTACTTACTCGTTTTAGGGTTTGTCAAAAAGAAACGGATGAGCCGTTCTTTTAAAGAATTGTCATTCGCGTAATGTTCAACATGAACCCTATTAATGAAAAACATACAATCATTAAACTTGCACACTAAACTTTAACTTAGGGCCTGTTTATATGATGAAGACAAGTGCGTGACTGGGCGTCCATCCAAAAATTTCAGTGAGAACTTTAGTTCAGAAATAAAGAATGTTTAGTCAAATATTTGTTTACGCAATACATAGCATTCTTGTGTTTTGAAGTCAGCCATAAAGTCAGAGTGCAATGTATACGATCATTTTCAACTTCTCATCCGACCGAGAGATGGATGGCGCTATCCTACTTTTCAATATAATCGTTAAAAAATTGTCCGTTGTGCGGAAACCTGGGCTGAACCTTAGTATTCCTAAATTTCCCACTGTTGACTCCAAATTCATTGCTTTTCAGACACGTTTAAAACGGTTGAAAAAATTACTAAGGGTTATCGGTGTATGGTACTATCCAGCCTTCGTATAACCGGCCAGGTAGATCAATAAAACAGTTTTTTTTCTTAACCTTCGTAAGCTTAGTTTTCAGGTAAAACATTCAAAATCAATCCACAGCCAAATGGAAATGAATTAGTTACGAGTTGATTGAAAACTTCCCACTTATCATCAGTGCATGCATGATCTTCCATGCACTATCTAAAAAGATTATTAGGTTGCTAACTAAGGTTTATTCCATGTTTTCATCCCCTCTTCAAGTCTAGTCATGGACTGTTTTTGATTATTGCAGCTAATAACTTTATCGACACTACGGTTGATTTTGCTAAAGGAAATATATTCTTGTTCATGATTTAGAAAATCCTTTAAAATGGAATACTAAATATTGATGGAAGTTGATGTTAATATTTTACATGCACACATGCACACATATCATGCAGTGACAAGACTGATATGATAGCTATAATTAGCGATAATACAATCTGAATTGAAAGGTCACGAAGGTCTCGCGACAGTTCGAATCAACGTGTGGGTTAAATTGAGCTAAGCCTGAGAGGAATATACTTCATTGCCGTAAGTGGAATAACATAACCGGCAGAGAATTAGTTATCATGATAAGCATATTCTCATGTGTACAAAACATTATTAAACGTAATTTCCCAAAAAAATAGAGGCGCATAAAAAGATAGTTTTCTTCAAGTCATGCTTTGAAGTTGTGTGCATTGAGATATATTAATCCTGCCATAGTGGAGTTTGAAGTTAATGGTTTTAGAACATGAATTAAGAAAACAATAACATATGGCTTCAACATATGTTATACGTTGAAAAAACATAAACGTCTAAAACGCGGTTCCTTCAACAAACACAAACAAAATAAGAACATAATCCACATATAATCTCATAGAATCAGAGAACAAGACATTGACAGAAACAATTAAAACGTAATAAAAATGAATACGAAACGCAATACAAGATTAAAATAAACACAAAAACCTGTCTTTGCCATCTTTTGCATCCACTTTCGGGCCAGCTGTCTGATACCTAGAAGAAAGCGCATCTTCGTAATTTTGAAATTTTACGGCTTTTCGAGAACGTTTTTCCTCATCCATCGGGACAATTTTCGCCATTCCTAATGCACTAAGTTAATAAATGTAGCTTCACTAGTTGCTATGACAACTTACTAATAAAACTTGCAGGTACCAGCCCTGTATTTGATTAGTAATCCCAATGAAAATTGCGAAGAAAAACGGCAGGTACCTCACATTTGATTTGCATAATCTTTGATGACTGAACATGCACAACATAGGAGCTTGAAAAGAACTAATAAAGTAGCAGCCGGTTCAATATTTTAAACTCGCGAGTGTCGACAGTAAACAACGATATACACTACGTTTATAATACGCTTGAAGCGAAGAACAGGCTTCATCAGTTAATTAGGCAAATGCAGTTGAATAAACGCTGAACTAAATTAGCCCAAAATATTAACACTGGGGAACACTCTGTAACTGCGTTCGTTATTAATATAAGTAATATGTTTCCATGACGACTGAAATAAATAAAACTGAGCTGCTGGGTCCTTATATATGTGTACATTCACATACAGGTGTATAACTAAGGCATATCAGTCAGCATATTTCGGCAGATATTTTATAGACTCTAAACAACCTATATAGCTATCGAAACGAGGAAGCTGGAAATGAATCATGGGACATGGAGTAACTCTGCAAACTAGAGTTACATGATTTTTTCTTGTGTGTTTTTTTCTTTTTGCCATTTGTATTTATCAACACAAGAAGTGTTTAAGGAGCAGTAAAGTTTGCACAGTCCTAGCGTCATATTTCACTGAAATGTTTTGTATATATATATATATATATATATAATGGTCATTTTAAGGTGCACTATATAAACTAATTTCATTTCACTATTTAGTCATTTCAATACTACTACGTCGGGATAGCGTAATCCGAAATTCGTTTGCTAAACCGTCCTCTGTCGGTTATAGTATAGTATACAAAGTCACAGCTGGGTACAAAACCTATCAGATTCAATATTGTCGCGTTTTATTGTCTTTCACTTGTAATGTACACGAAACGAATCAACTACAGAAAATGCTGAACTGTTTCAACATACATCAGAGGTGCTTTATATTCGACAAAACTGGATATTGTGAACAGATAGCCCAGATACGTCTGTCTATAAAAGCACCGAGAATAACAGGGAATCTAGCGCCTAGCGGTAAACTGAAATCGCTTCTGTTGTTGGATTTGTTATACCTTAACACATCAGTGCCTTCGTAATGGTCCCAGGACATTGCGCCGAGTTCAGTTAAAGCACGAGATAACCCATCGAGTTGTTCGTTGATGTGTAATTTCGTTTTTACTTTCACCAAAAGTCAATTCCTGTTAAGACGCAGCGTGCATACAATAACAGACTGCAGTTAGCAAGGCGCTGTTTTTTTAGTAACATTTACACAATTGTTTGTTAATTATCAGCGATATGAGATCATTAATGCACGTAGGGGGATATTAAATGCCCGGTATAGTGGGTTAAATCGTTTTACTTGGCTGTCGCCAGACTAATGATGCATGGTTAAACGCGACATTATCGTCCATTTTCAAGGGAGATCAGAGAACTCTCAGAATCTGTGACAAAAGGCATAGAGACTTGACAATGCGTTACGTAATTCCGCACTATATAATTCATGAATTCTTACGCCAAACGCTCTACGTTACAACAGACCATACTGGTCTGATATATATATATAGGGGTGTCAAACGTAATGCATACTCTACGTTAAAACACTCAGCTTACAATTAGGACAACCTGAGTATTCTACTTTGAACGAGTTCGTCGTCATTCTAGGGCCAGTTGCACGAAAGCAGATAAAGCAACCCTAATTTTAGAATACCAACGTTTAACCGAAGTTCTACCGAACAATGGGCGGTTTAAGAGCAACTGAAAAAACCACTATCCGATGAATATCACTACCAGCTTTCATACAACTGGCCTCTGGGGCGAAACTAACCAGGACATTTTGATAAAGTGTAGAATAAGTCAACAAGTATAAATAAGTCATTCCGGGCAAACAAGTGCACAAAAACCTCCGACCAAAACTGCGTGTTCCATGCAATTTTATTAAATTTGTGAAACTGCCCACGGTTTTAAGTATGAAATTTTTCAAAATTTCCTCATGCATGCTAGTGCTAGGTTTTGCCTCCCGTACTATATTTAGGTTAAAAATCAATTTCGTATCGCATCCTCGTAAAAAGGTTTTTACCTGTGTTGAAAGATTAGAAATACTTGGTACCAGTGCGCACAAGTCTGCTGAAGAGCGCGATCCTATACTTGCGGATAATCACAAAACAATTAACTTCCCCTGCATCCAAATACTATAGTTCTAAGTCTTTGCCTAAGTGACACCTCTACTGATATTATGCCTCATTTGTTTTTCACGAAGGACGCCCAAGTGTTTTGCAAACGAAATAATTATATTAACGCACGCTACTACCAGAATTTCACAAACAAAACCACATTACGTCAAGGATCACCTAAACTATCCTCCCTCAGCCTGCACATTCTCTATTCCGTTTAATATATTCATTCGCCAAACTATCATCGAAACCTATGATATTTATACATTATGTTGCCTTGTTTAACTGAATAGTTCACATAATCTGTTTATCCCAGAAAATACACATCATTTATCAAAGTTTACACAACGTTTGACTTTAAGCTGTGAAATGCAACACCTCATCATTCACACAACAACTGAACAATACCCCTCCTCTACATATTTGAAGTCATTTTTTCAGATCATTTTGAAATCAAATCCTCTACATATTTGAAGTCAAATTTTCAGTAAAATCAGGCTATATTCCTCTGCAGAACGAAAAATATATTTTGTTGTGAAGAGCATCAATTCAAACAGTAACTTACCCATATTCAACGTATGAAGAGTTGGTCCGAGCTGAACCACTGTATAGATAGAGCTCTTGACGATCAGTGGGGGAAAAGTTTTGCATTATAACTAGGCCTAAATTTCAGTGTTGTTTAAAAATATATTTCCCACAGTGACTGAGTATATTCAAGACAACTTCCGACACAGAACAGCTTGTGCTTACAAATGAGATTTTAATGACATGCTAATACGATGCAAATTTGGTTGCTGGTGAGAACTAAGAAATGTTACAAATGATTTTAGGGTAGTCACTACTCGATGCCATTGCCATGTGATAAAACGATGTATTTGTATCGCTTTATAGCTCTAATTGTATGGCTAAAGGCTGATAAAAATATATTTGCCATCAATTGACGTCGTATTCAGCCACTTTTGTGTCTGAGACACAATACAGTAAAACTGCAGGATCGGCAACAACACTGTGAACACATGGTCCATTTCGCGGTTAGATCGAGAACCTTTGGGCTTTGGTTGATATACGTGTGATGATTGCCAACAATGCAATGATAGACTTTTAATCAACTTGGCCGGGTCATTTTCACGACATGAACATAAAATAAGTCTTGGTTGCAAGTCCATTTCTAATATTACAACATCAATACTTCAAAAAACATCTCAATATTGATGTGAGAACAGCTTGTCGATACTGAAAATGATATGTAAATAATCTACCACGGCTAGCAAAAACAATACATATTTATGGCCTTAGGTGTGGAATATTTTCTCCGAAAATATACTTTTTATCTTATAAATTCATATCTCCATGCAAACACGTCAACAATTTGAAATAAGATAGCCGCCTTTTACTAAATCATTACTTTAATCTACACATTGAATTGCAGAAATTGTTAAAAATAGAGTTTACTAAAAAAAACGTGGAAGTACGCTAAGCGCATATATTATCTGTCGTCGCATTTTATGTCGTTATCCTGCTATGTACCCTCGTAGAGCATAAAAACTGCATCTGAATCAGTAACCATCCAGTTGTCACGAGAGACCTCTGCCAAACAATGCAATCGTGAATCGCGATGCTTCACCCAAACAATTAAGGAGCGGGTTTGAACTACATGCAGGCTTTCTAATACTCATAAAATAGTTTCTTCCTATTATAAAATAAGAATATCAGTATACGAGACTGGCAAAAATTACAAAACTAGATGAGAATGCAGTCGAGAGTGAAAAAACTTGACATTTATTTTCTTATACTAAAAGGTGAGAAGATTTCCTAAACACATGCACAACAGGAAACCTTTACTCCTGGCAGACAGAGCCAGTGATGGGCAAAAATACTGAGTACTTCAGTTTTAGATTATTCGAAACTAGAAATCTTTTACTTTTCAACGGACTAAATTCAACTAGTAAAATATCCCCCAACCCTCCTCTCTACCCGCCAGCGTCCCTATATATACCGCAAAATGGATAAAATCCATAAGTATAACGCTTTAGTTTGAACAATTGCGTGAATTATTCCCAAAGCTGAGAAGATTACATCTAACAACGACGGACGTTAGTTCTTACAATCTATCTATCTAATCTATCTATCTAATCTTTCTATCTAATCTGTCTATATCTAATCTATCTATCTAATCTTTCTATCTAATCTATCTATAAGATCATCAAACGTCTCAGCTCCTAGCCAACAGAACTACCGCAATACTTCAAGATCTTCATGGGAATGTTGTGTTGCATGGCAATGCAAGTGCACTTAAGGTCAATTCATGCAGTCAGGAAATGCTGTTGGATTACTTGGATAGGTATCTTGATATGCATAGTGAAAAGTTTTCGTTACTCTTAAATCAGTGATAAACTCTTCCGATTCTCTCACGCATGCGCGAACTCTGACAGGTTTCATGTTGAGTAGGAATTTCAATTACACCAAACAAGATCTCAGTCAAGGCCACAGACACAGCCATTCATACTTATTTTGACGTTTCCGTCGCAACAAACACTACTAATAGTACAGTATATAGCAGTAACACTATGCTGACTTTTGCAGTTTAATAATCAACGTTTATTTTGTTGCGTATTGTATATTTATCTTTCATTTATATTTTGTTGTTTGAATAATTATTATTGTGAAATCTCTAGACAAATTGGACCAAAAATAATAAAATTTTTTTGTTAAAATGTATAGCCAAACAAATAAACCAAAATACAATTATATAATATCATGGATTACAGGGGCACTGAAGGGCAGGTACGATAGAATGACGACTATATCATGAACCGGCGTACAAAATGGATGAGAAAATGTCTTGATCGATTGCCTTGGTCAGATTTTAATATTGCAGCATAAACTAACTAATATGCGCACTTTTCTGGTATGAAAGATTTTGTATATATATATATATATATATATTAATATATATATATATATATATATATATATATTTTTATATATATATATTTAAAGATGAATCCCAATACTGCATGTATAATGTGCATGAGATAATTTACTTCAGCCCTATAGAGTAAACGCCAAAGCATATATTAAGTTAAGTACAAAACAGCCGTTCAACAAACAGGCAGGGAGCATAATATTAATATGGGAGACTTGATGTGAAGTAGTCATATAAAAGCATATTAAAATTGGAAAAGATTAACGTTTATTGTTATCAAGAAGTTGGGGGCGGAAAGTATAAATTCGCCGTGACAAACGATTGTTCAGAGGTTACAACAAGAATCTTTCTGATACATGTAATAAGAGTAACATGATGAATTTCGGAAACAAGACGCGGTTACTAACAACTTACCAATTTTGGCCAGAATACACTTCTAAGTTCCTTTTTTTGTGGCCAAAAAGGTGTAAATTACGTCGACCTTTCAGCTTCTTCATGATTTCATTCCGGGATTAACCATATTCCATCAAAAACTGCACACAAAACCACTACGTGCGATCTTTTGCTCTGACATTATGCAAATATTTCGGTATTGCTCTTGGCAACTGTTTTTTTAGTTGATATTTCCAAACCACCTGTCCCCGGAACAGACTGCAAACTAAATAAGATAAGATAATAAGCGTTATATATAAATGTCTATCATAATCTTGAGCTTAAAAACTGGTTTTTGACGAATAAATGCGAGAAATGATAAATAATAGTCAGTGCTGTTTTAGTTGCTAATATCGTACACTAAATGCACTGAAGTTTCGGGCAAATGTTATCACATATAGCTAGAAGACAAAAACCAGCGGCAGTAGTGTGAGGATGAAAACTGATACATTTAGCTATAGCCTATATATTTTCCAATTTTTTGCTTCCACTAATTTTGGTACCACACTAAGTTAGCAATATAAAGATTGAATGTTAGTGAATTTCCAGGAAAAACAATGGCTGTGGCAAAAATCTCGCCAAGTGAACTAAAAAATAGCTTGTTATCATTGCTGGGCTCTGATACCAACACTTGTTACAAGTAGCTACCATCATGCAAAACTGATTTATTAATGAAAGTGTTTACAAGATAGCTATACTCGTGCATGCAGAACTACATGACTGTCAAAACTTCAAATCATATAAAAATGTACGGCAATGAAGATGGTTTCAGTTATCAGACGTATAAAATTATGAAGAAGAAACATCTTAATTATAGATAATGACAATTACGATGACTGAAAAAGGTCATCAGCGACCCAGTAAAGATGTGAACCAGATAAACAAGGCAAGGTCAAGCGTTTCAAGGAAGCTTTGTTTTACGGCAAAAATGAAGAGCACATGACAAGATCTTACTATTGCTTAGCTGGAGGGGTCAGTGTATCTGTGTTTGTATATCACGTCAGGTTTGATAATTGAACGACGTGAACAATGGATGCAAGGCTATACTTGAGGTAAAAAGTTATCCAATTTGAAGTCAAATTCGATTCCCAGAAACGCGTGTCTTTTACTATTGTATGAACAAGGAAGGACGCCATGGAGAGCGACTTTACATTACACACTGGACCGGAGCAATCCTTAAACGTTCAAAGGCTGAAAATACTAGTCTATATCACGAGAGATACTATTTTATGCAATTGGATGATATCAGTGATAAAACGTAACATTGGAATTGTTTATATAACACCCACAGGGACCTGCGGTTGATTTTAAGAGAAGTGTCAACACTCTCGCCCTCACACACTGATACTGATACTCGCCCTTAACCCGGAGCGAACTTTACATTTGCGACGGCTAGAAAATCGAATACAACTTTATACGAGATTTTAGGACGTGGTTTGACGCAACTCTTAGGTCGATAAAATGCCTCTGACAGAATTACTAGTTTACTAGCCATTGCCATTGTCGTTTTGGAACTACTTATACGTTACTTGAATATGTTCAATAATATAGTACATATATTTTTATATTTTTAAATAATTTAGTAAATATTTGAATCATGCACCAAAGAAATGATTCATGTCATATGTTGGAATAAAATTAAATATAATAAAAATCTCTTATAATAGAAGTTGACCACAAAATCATCTTTCGGCAATAACAAATAACCCAATATTCTTTGACCTTTGCGCTCTGAAAGACTGATGTTTTGATGTTTCAGATAACATGCAATATTTAAGATTTTTAGTCGAATGTAGCACGTAGATGAATGATTGAGACCCTAATATTTAATAACAATTGTTTACTGCAAAGTTATCGCGAATATTAACCGCCGACATTCGGAAATTGTGTGAATGACCACAATTTAACTCAGGGCTGTCGTATGTACAACTACAAGTGTTTAATATTTAGTCTCACACTTCAGTTGACAGTTAACTCAATAAGGAAAGACACATCACAAAATACGCCAGGACCGCGTTCAGTCAAAGTCACAATACCTTTTAACGACGAATTCAATTCTTTTCACTTCTAAAATAAACTCAAATAAAGAGTATTGATTCAGCATTCAGCTGAGGAAGTCATAACTCGACGTTTATTCGTCAATATTCGACGGACAAATTTATTCAGTCTCTTGCATAGATGAATGATTAATCGCCTCCTTTATTCAAAAGATGCGTGTGTAGGACGCGTCAGCTCAGGCTGAACACGAAGTGGTAAAGCTAAAGGTGAGCCACAAGATGAATTCGACAAGGATTCAAATGATTTGATTACGAAGAATAAACAGTACTGATTCGGGTGTTCACGGAGGAAGTCGTGCTTTGAAAGACGAAATAGATTTAATAAAAACAGAGAACCACAGGACTTCGCTCAGTTTCGTAATTAATTAAAAGAAATTTATGTTGGCGATTAAGACTAGTTCTATGTCACATGTCTTAATTTGTCGTATTAATTTCACATTTAAAAACAATTTGAATTCAAAATGGTAATAATATCATCGTGTGATGGCCTGATAGGCGACAAATAATTTCAACGTCAAGTGGTAAAAAACACATCGTCATGGGAACTAGCTATATCTATCAAAAAGTTAAAACATCGAAGCAAGAATGAATTAAGTCAATTAACTACAGGAGACCCGAACAGAGATGAATACTACTTTTAATATTCAATTACTGTCGTCGCTGTCAACTCTAACCCCGGATCTCAAGTCTTAAAATTGATTGATTAGATGTCAGAAAAAATTCATAAAACTCATGATGAGTCCTTGCCACAGACAGGCTGAGACAGCTGATTTTGTTCAAATTACTTTTTGTAACCCTTGAGCTAACCAATGGAATTGTGAGAATCACATTTTTCTTATGGTCCAATACTCTAATTGAATGAATATATGACCAGGCACAGCGCCATGAAATTAAACCTGGAGGGCTAAGAGCTGAGTTGACTGACATAGTACGGGGGGGGGGCAGAGAATATTATTAATTAGACCTTCTAGTATGGCCAAAAAAGCACCCCCCGAACTCAAAATTAACTAAATATGACTGGGCTCGAGCTCAGGGGCACATCGTATTATTATCTAACCTGACTCAGGGTAGATATGTCTCTATGAAAACATCGTTTTTTGAGGAAAAGGGGGCGAGGAGTCATAATGAAACACAACTGATACATAAGATGTGAAAAGGAACGTCATAACTTTTATGTGAGATATTAGACTAAAATTATGAGAATTTTCAATCATGTAGGAAAAGTGTCGTGTCTCGCTTTATTTTTTTGCTTGATTTCAACATAATGCTTAAAATTGATATTCAGTGAAAATAATTTATTTGCCTGTTCCCTGAAAGCCCAGTGTAACACGACATCGTTCGAGACTTTGAAGTGAAATACCAGAAAAAATACCCCCCCCTCCCGTTTGGTTGAAGTAGAAAACAGTTTTGTTTTTTTAATCTATCACATGTTAGAACTCGACGTAATTTCCATCGACGAGAAGGGCATATCAACGATATGACTGCTAGCAAGTTTCCGTCCACAAATCGCTTGCACCTTTTCACGTGCTTGAATAAATTGTTCGTCTACGTCGATTTTCGAATCCTGATGATCACAAAATGTGCTGTCGACAAGCTTTTCTGCATATTTGTTTACCATTTCTTTCGTTTTATTGTTAAATGCTTCTACGACTGCATTTTTCTTAGCCAGGATTAAGCTGTCGTACGTCGGAAGATTATCGTCTGTATTCGTACAACAGCGCTGAATGCACACTATACCAGTGGCGAATATCACCATGGCAACAAAACAGGCCAAGCCCAAAATAAAAGATTGAATATAGTAGTGTTCAAAGTCAAACGTATTTATCTAAAGAAGGAAACAACGTTTCAGTAATTAATAAATTTGCGATCTTTAAAACCTGGATAGCTTCGGATAGTAACTTTTCAACCGTGGTTAAAATGCTTAAAGAGCACACGAAGACTATGGAAATTTAGTTGAGCTAACAATTAAATAGACACTAATTTTATGAATACTGAGGTTCAAACTAGATTATACGAAAGTACAGATAATCTTAGAGCAATTAAAAAACACTATCTTTGTGAATAGCAATATCCAGCTTTCGATTTTCGGACACCGTTCCCTTCTAACAAAAATGAAACAGGAAAAGAAAAAGTCAGTACATTGCTTACGTCTTGTTGCTCCAAATTACACTGTCGCCCAGGCCCCACACGAATGCACACGTAGCACTCGCCACGAAGTAAAGCGAGGACAATCCACGAACACGGAGCGAGAAATGGCCGAAAGCACTCGACTAATGACGAGAGAAAGTAGTTACATCTTGTCTCGTAATTACCATATTTGAAGAGCGTAACTAGAACAGTCCATGAACGACGGCAAACGATTAAACTTAACGCAAAGACGCAAATCGCTGGGATGAACAGGAAGGTCATGCCATACGAATCGTGATTTCTGCAAGGACATCTATAGATATACGATAATATATTTCAAATAATTACCTATAAGAATTGAGATCTATCGCATTATGTTTCCACAGACAACGCATTTCATTTAGATCCAGTGGTACTACAGGAGAAACCTTGAAATAACTATGTATACTTATTATATATTTGCACTGCATGGATAGCTCTCTATCAGTTCAAACTGTTTCCTTCAAATGCCCAATGGCAATGTACGAAACTGTTACATGCTGAATATAATCTCTCAATAAACGTGTTTTCTTGGAGAATATCGTTTGTAAACAACTGTACTCAACATATTTACCTGAAAATGTCTTTAAATATGACAACTTGAATTCCATAGACAGCCAACATTAACGCGATATTTTTAAATGTTTCTCTTTGTACAATGTTTGTAAAATCAGACGTCATTGTTTACTTCCTGTGTCCACAACTAGTCGCAGTAGTCGCAGTATTCTTGACTGAAAAATGTAGTTTCTTTGTCAACAAACCATTGACTATGACTATGGTTGAACTAAAAAGACAAATACATAAGTTGAAATTTAGCTTCATTCCCACATTCATTCACATTAGGTTCTTTTCTCCTTTATTAAAATTTTTTGACAATGTCATTGACAATTTTCGGTTTTGACAATGTTACACACACGTGTTTGAAAACTCTTATAGCTAGTTCGTAGCTTACATGTCTAAATGAAAGACCATCAACGACCATGTATTGCGTTAGGAGGATGGGACGTTTGCGATGAAAAACAGAAAGAAATATATTACTGACAGAATTTTACATGATAACCTTGAGATTTAAAGATATATTTCTTATCAGACAATCAACTCTCAAAGAATAGCGAATTGCTAAACAAAATTTGAAAATCTAATATATTTATTGCCATAGTCAAATCAGCATGACCGAAACAACAACGTACTGAGCAGGAAAAGTTTTAAAACTAAAAGATATCTACACGAAAGCCTTACCTTGAGTTCTTCTTTGGAAGTTTACAACACAACAGTCAAAATAGTCTGTAGCAAAAACACTAGCAAACATCTGTCATCCTTGTGCAACAAATTATGCCATAGAATCATAATAGTGGTTGGCAAGTAATAATTCATGAGGGAAATTAGTTTAATTTGCTTCTCTCTGGGTGGGCAGCTGCTCAAAACAAGAACTGTCTAATAAGATATGCGTTGAGAGCTAGACTTATCTTTCTTTTGCGATTCTTGGTGACTTGAGTGTGGAATGAGTTGTACAATTACAGATAATAAAACTATGTTTATAATCTGTTTTTCAAAATACTGTGCTATAAGTATTTTTCTTCTGAAATAGGTAGAATCGGTAGAATCTATACGGAATACGGTAGAATCTTTTCATGACGAAATTTATACATTTTAGTTAAATTATAAGTTTTTACTCCAAAAGGAACGACGAATTACGAACGTAGTTCTTACGAGTTAGTGTCAGATATGCATAAGAGCGAATTCGCGCAGGGATCCGAAGCACGAAAGGCGATTTAAATTTCGTTATATTTCCCTACAATGAAAAATAACTAACAGTGGAGACGTCGCATCTCGTCCGTGTATGATAGTTTAATCTGGGTTTATGTAAGATTTCGTCATACAAACTGTTGAAATATACCAATTTACTGGATGACATGCATTCAAAATAATGAATCTACTTTTGTTTCTAATCACAACGAATGCTATATCTATACTGCTACAAAATGAGGAGTCGCTTCATCAAAATTAAATAAAAATGTTTTATTTTAGCAAGCCCCGAGCTTCAATGGTTTTCTTTGCAATCCACTAGGAAAAACAAAACATAGAAACAAATAAGTGTCCTGAAGTAAGTTGTCACCTGACATGGCTTCATTGTGATTCAGTTCACACAAAAGGTTTAGTTCAGTTGTTTACTCTTTACACTCCTACACGCACGCAATCGATTATTGGGAAACCATCAATCGATTAATCGATCAATCGGGAGGAGCTCTATAAAGATTAGAATGTCGTCGATCGCGGTAATTACCTCTGCAAAGTGTTTAGATTTCAGATCAACAACCTTTGTTCCTGCTTTCTTAAACATCTTGCCGTGCTCCTAAACGCAAAGAGAAATATACGATGAAATATCATTCATCTTGGGTCCACGGTTCCTTTAAGGATGCTTCGATGTTTGATAGCTGTTAAATAGAAAATGAACGTGGACCTGAGGGACATACATTTCCACCTACAGTAGCAGTGGAACCGCAGCTTTTGTGTTATCATAGTTCTGCTCTAGTCACTAAGCTACAAAGAATGTGGAAGATGGCGAAATTCTATGCATGTAATAATGTTTGGTAGCGCGGCTTGTTGCCTTGTTTCAATATATAGTTTTATCGCTTGTGCATACACACAGGCACAAAGTGTTCAAACTATGAACAGGATTCATTTTAGTTCTTACCGGAATACTAAAAGTAATTTTTCCTCCATTCACTTTAGGATCACCTTGCAAATCTTTAATTTTACAAAACCAAGAATTCTCCCACTCGTTCTTAATGACCGTCTCTTTTCTCATTATTAGAACATGTCTGAAATACAAGTCTCGAATTCAAAATAAAAACATAATTCTGAAGATTTGGATGTGAGAATGGTGGGTTTTCGTGAAGATTACAAGAAAGACAAGAGGCGAGGGAATTGCAGTAGCGAAGAGGTCTGTGAAACCAAGTTAGATCATAACACACAACATAAAATCATCACCAACCGAAGTCATGTTTAGCTTTGTTTGAGAGTTGAAAGTAAAACTTACTTGCTTGTAATCATGATTGCCATATTACTTGGAAAGTAGTAATGACAAACGTAGGTATCCGATGCCAATGTTTCTTTTCCTTTTGCGTACGTCTAAAATAAACAACGATCGAAAATTAAAACCAAATGGGTTCGAAAATAACAGAACATTCACATACCTTGAATAATTCTACACCATCAGCTTCGTAGCGATTGTAAGGCCGCATGATCTAAATCAGAAATACACTGCATAGCAAAATACAACTAATAATGGCAGGTTTTCAATAATCTTGACGCAGGTTTAAAAACATTCAGCAGACATTTAGCAATCAGTTGCAGGTAAACAAGACTAACCTTATCACGGTAGAATCGACGAGGAGGACGGACACGTTTGATTTCACGATCACCAGATGCCGTTCTACGACAAACAAACAAATATTGGAGGGAATTATGTATTTTTGAGAAAGCAGTTTCAGTCATCTTACCCTTTTATCCCCTCAAACGTGCTGCTGGCGAAGTCAACAACACCGCTGACCGGCTTAGCGACGACACCAACGAGACCTTTTCCCATTCCTTTGAAGAATCCCTTTGCACCTGACTTTTTTGCTCCTAACATAAATTACATTTGCAATTGTTACAGGCATTCAATACTGCACCAAATACAATTCAAGACCTCAGAGATATGAAGAAACTTACCTTCCATGGGCTTTGTCACCACACCTGTAACACCTTCAAATACACCCTAAAATACCAATCACCATTTCAATAAATCTTTTACTATGGTTAATTTCTGGCAATACAGGACAACCATATACAGTTAATCCATTAACGATTGTTCAGGGGCCAGTTGTATCAAGCCCGTTTAGCCTAAACGGTGGATAAGTCAAAATTAAATAACACTCTTACAACTCTCTTGAATGAGTCAACTTGAATATTATGCACTGAATATGTAGTTGTAAACAGTATCTTTGTATTAAGATTAAAAACATTTAGTTTGCTTGTTGAATAAAACGGCAGACTTGCTTTCTATTTTGAACTTATCCACCGTTTAAGCTAAACGGGCTTGATACAACCGGCCCCTGAGCAATAAACCTTAAACCGACTTTAAAAGTACAACTCAGTAAAAAGCAATAATTTCTTGCGCGCTTCGAGTCCACGGCTTAAGGTTTAAAAGAACGAGTCCGCCGAAGAATATCCTAAGGCTTTAAGCCACAGGAGTGTCAATCAAAGTCCACTTGAATAAAAATAGATTCATAGGAATGATTATTAGATTAAATGCTGAACTCTATGGCTTAAAGGCAGTGTTGCTTTTTCTTATCTATTTCAACAACTTCATTATTTATTTTACCTCTAGTAGACCTTTACCACCACGACTCAATCCTTCTTTAACACTGGTTGGTTTCTTACTCATGGCTGTTCTTCTACTTTCCTGATATTCATCGTCCATTGTAAGTGCAGCGATTCCTTTACCCAGAGTTCCTGTGATACGAGACACAGCTCCAGCGGCTCCACCTGGTAGAGAAGAATACAAACAATTTCAACAAGCTCTCTTCACCAATTCCGTTCAAGCCACATTCAGTGATCAAAAGCGATCATGAACCATTTTAACTTGAACGATTTTTCACTTGCTAGATATGCTCTTAAATATCAACAAAAGAATTTTATGGGAAATAACAATCGGGGGTTTGGGGGGGGGTTGGGTAAACACACGGGAATGTTCAAAGTTTTTCCGCGTTGCATAACATGACCAGCATGTTCGGATTTTCATCTTTCAAACTTACCTATAGTATGGCCCACTAAACTCTTCACTCCCAGAGCTAATCCCTCAGCAAATTCTTCAGGTCCTTGTATCAAGCCCTAGATTTAGAGAAATAGTCCGACAGAATAGTAGAAATAAAAAGTCGGTAACTTCACTACAGATTATGTACAGATCTATTTGAAGATAATTTATACCTGGTAGGGTTCGTAGAAAAGATCCTTGGCACCAGTTGTTATACCGGATATCAAACCAAATGGATTGCCCAAAACATCCAAACCAAGTACAAGAACATAAGCTTGCTTGATCGCCTGAATTGAATAATTATATTCATGCATGAAAAGTTAAAATTTAAAAAGGAAAACAGCAAAAAGGATGTATTAAAATGAAAGAAAGTCTTAATAGAAAGATTCTTACTTGACTTGTGTAGTGGTTAGTGGCAACTTGAATAAGTTGCGATTGACTGTAGATTTGATTTTTCAACTCAAAATATGCAAGCCTACAATACAAAAACAGAGCTCAGAAAATGTAGTGCAGCGATTATCGTATTGAAACTCCAGTAAAAGTACGTATATTGCAAGTAATGCTTGAAATAACTTTGACTTACTTTAAAACAACGTCCTGAACGTCAACAACAGCAACTCCAAGACTGTTTAACAATAAATCAACAACATTTCCACCAACGATTGTCTGTGTACCAGATCCACCTTGAACTGAGAAACTCACATGGACCTAAAGTAGACAAAAGTAATAAGTAAAAACGAACTACAAATACGATTTACGGCGGCGTTACTTACAATAGCATCAAGATATCTCATGTTTGGGATGAGTATAGTGAAAACTTACCTTGAGAGGTGAAAGATGAAAGTAATCATAGTAATTGCGGACATCAACAACAGCAGCCTATATAGAAAAAAAGATAATAAATAATCTGAAGGCATCCACCTTGACCATATCTCATGGTAACAAAATGAAAATAAATGGTAGCAACCGAAGCACTTACATTTAACGACTGTAACGAAGTTGTTATCACTTTCTTGTCTTCCTCGTAATTTGTTTCCTACAAACAAAAACAACTTTGAATTTTACAAAAAAAATTCTTTTAAAACCAATCTCGTTAACTGGCTTACATCTAAAGCTTGATTTTCGGTGCCAAACAACGCCACGAGTTCCAGTAACCATCCTTTGTCCATCTTAACGTCCAATTCTTGCACTAAAACTTTGAAATACCTTTAATAACAAAAACAAGCAGAGAATATTATGCTTTCCCGCCTTCACCAGCATGGGGCCAGTTGTATAAAAGGCTAGTTAACTTTTAACTTTAGTTAATAACAGATTTGGCAAATCAGAGTCGTAAAAATGTATTTAAAGAGTTATATACAACCTGCCCCAGGTCATATTGTTAGCAGAAATCATAATCAATCATTAATAATCAATCATTAATAATCAATCAATAATCATTCAATTGCAACAAACATTAAAAATACACATACTTAATTCGACTGACAATGGCATTTTCTTCCTTTCTCGTTATTATACTGGCTTCAATCATTGGTTTTGGTGCTAACAGTAAGAAAAGAACAGATTACTTCAGAATCACGCTTTCACGATAAGTTGAATATTTCCTTTTTGTTATGCACGACGAATATTCTGTATCCATTGATTAACTATTTGGAAACCCCGGCCAAGTTATTTGCGATATTCAGATGTTTCTTTGGTTATTTCCTTTGGCTTTGATGACAGGGGGACCAAAAACTTCTAGGAAAGCGTTTTCTAAGTTTTTCAGTTTCCTTGGCAATGAATCTTACCATTACTTGCTGCGACGGTTTTCGGAGGAGGAATGGAGTGGAAAAGTGTTTGGAATGTTGATCCAGAAACTTGGCTGTCCATCTGAAATAGATTCAGCGTTCAATAACAGAAGTTCTCATTTTTGTTTAGTAGATAATTACTTGTCCTAACACAGACCTGAACATCGTTAATCTTTGAATGAAGTTGAATCTCGTGCGCGGATTGGTTGAATTGCACCCAAACTCCCGGATGAAATGTCCTTCTTATTTTACGACGGTCAGGTTCTATTATTTCCATAGTTTCAAAATCAACCTTGATTTAAGAAAATATCACACAATGTTTATATGAAAAATAACCTGTCGTTGTGTTTATAGATAGAAGAGAAACAAAGATGTGAGATTGTAGAGATTGCAGACCAGACAAGAAAAGAAGACGAATATATAGATGAGACGCATTCGCCATAAAAAAGGACAAAGAACATTTCTATAAAAAATGGTGGAGTGAAACAATTGTGCGATGGTAGAAATTAACAGGAAAGCGAGAGTTAGATGATAATAGACAGTAAAGAACTGATCAGAGATACTGTGGGTTTAAGATTTCAGGTGGTAGGTCTTCAGATTTAAGATGGTAGGCGACCCAAAGCAAATGAATAAAATTATAGTGTAACAAAATACGAAGGCTTGGAGACGAAAAACACATTCGTACCGTCATATTGTCCACTTTCTTTCTATACACAGGTGTTTCTCCCCTTGTAATCTCATCTTGTACTATTTTATACGCATTTTCCAAAGAATAGCAAGTTTTTCTTGTCATAGTTTTCCAACGGCGTCTTCTCTTCTGTTCCTCCCACAGAACATCACTCCTTTAAAGTGAAATGTTTAAAGTGAATACTTCAAAACTGCATTATGTTGCCGTCAAATAAAGACCTCGTGCAACTCACGGTTTAATGCTAAGATAAGCCAGCTCGATACTTTTCTTATTGTTAACGAGTGACAATCCAATTTCTCTCAGTGATAAAGTAATTTCTTGGCTGGGGACTTCCAACTGATCCTAAAAACAAAAATAACAATGTATTCGTGTAAGATCTATCAAGTTTCCTCAAGGTCTATCAAGTGTTCATCAAGGTTTCTTACTTGGCGAGCTCTAAAAGCCATGGTGTGACTCTCAGTAAAATACAACACGCGCTGAAGACCATCTAAAAAACTCGCCCAGTAACACAGCGGTTTATCTTTTTCACCAAGTATTCCCATTTCATTCTGAAAGAAAAATAGCATTACTAATGTAATGTACACGCGAGCGTTCAAAGCTAACCTACTGCGTAATTTTCGCCAAACAAACCTTTCCAAAATTGCTTTTTGCAGAAAACTTATCATGTACCAAGATAAACCACTCAACTTCACGTTTACCCTGCAGATTGTCCCAAGCAAACACTATTGTCTTCTTCTGTTGTAGAACGTGTACTTTATCGTTATTCCTAGAGGTTTTGATTGGTTTAAGCAATTAAAATAGCACGTAATTTCGCTATATTTAGTTACCAAATCATTGATAGAGTGTGTAGCAATGTACTTTACTCACAACTGTCGGTAGCAGATTTCAAACGAGGTGTCGTTATCAATCCTAAGCGGAGCTGCTCCTTCAAAGTATGGCGTGAAGGTCATAACTGTTGCTGCATCTTTACTAAACATTGTCACACATACACCACCCACCTGAACGAGAAGAACGAAGAAATGGACTTCATATTTTGCTGTCAACTATAAACTAAAACATGGTTCATTTTCAGGCTCATACCTCGTTATCAAGTCGTAAGAGATGATTGACATTTGATTGAAAGTCAAATAAGATAGATTCAACTGGAGAATCGTCTGTCTTGATTTTCAATTTCTTCGCTGGAGTTTTGTTCGGCCAGAATGGGATTGTCTAAAATAGAAATTATTTGCTTGTTAGCTGTTTGTCATAGCTGATGATTATGGAGATGAAAACGGGGATGACGCTTGTCATAACTGATGATATTATGGAGATAAATATGGAGACGATGCGTCTAACATACACAGTACCTCGCCTGATTTGACAGTGTACCAGACTCCTTCTGCTTCGCACAGAGAAATGGAATGCTGAAGGACAAATAAAAATACGAGCGATGAATTTAAGATTTGGAATATCATCATTTTATATCCTCATTTCGGAAGATACAAAACATACCTTAGTTTGGTTGACCAGTAGATTTAATGGTGTAAAAACCACAATTTTGGTTAGACTGAAGTAAGACAGCCGAATCTCTGAGCCAATCTGTTTAAAAAAAAAATATTCTAAAAATGTAAGGCACTGTACTGTATTGATGCATGTATCTTTTGCTCGTTTTCTTCGGGTGCGCTTGATCTAGAAGTACGCTTGATCATCTTAAGTTGGTCAGATCATCTTGCTGGCTGCGCTGGAATAGAGCTTGAATCCGTGAAAGGTGCCATACTAACCCCATATTCTTTACCATCCTTCGTCTTGCACTTTAAAGAACCACCACTACCAGCTGTGTCCAGAGAAAACTTATCTGACCAATCTGATCCACTGGTACGAAGTTTGAGCTAACAAGTAACAAACAAACAAACGATAGCTAAACTAACAGATTATTAGAAACATTTGCTGGGTTTTCCCCGACTTACCGTATTTTTAGAAAACATTTCAGGTTTCGATGTGAATGCAAAAATTGCGACATCACTTTCCTTCGCAGGGTGTTTGATTATCACATCAGAATCGTCAGAGGCCTGGAGAGAGAATACAATAGTTAATTATAAGTATGTGGTAGCTATCAACATACCTGCTTTCAAAATGTTGTACTATACCATGCTGTACTATATATACCACGCAAGTTCTACTATACCTTATACTCCAAGGGGAGTCCAGTGTGATTTATAAGCCAATAGCTAGCATAGAGCGTGATTTCAAGGGAGCCACCTTTTTTAACATATACACCAACCACCTTAACACAAAACACGAATAGAAAACAAATTATAGGGCATCTTATTAGATCAATCATTGCATCACATGGTATACAATATGATCCCGTTCTCAATTAAGGCATTTAGAAATTGGTTTTAAATCAAGTAAATCGACGTTATCTAAATGGGATGATGATACACCACTACCACACGTGACAACTTTTACCACAATTTGCAATGTAAGTGAGGTTTCCAACCAATCAAAGTTCATATAACCTAATTTCAATTGCAAGTTGCTGTTGTCACGTGTAACATCATCTTAACACTATTGTCATTTCTCAGATTCCTACCAATTTTTTACTGCCAGAAATGAGATAAAGAACAGACAATTGTGCAAGATCACTTCGTATTCTGAGTTGACCAGTGTATGTCTCACCAAGGTAAGATTCCAGCTGAAAAACAAAGTATTGTAATAACGTTAATTAATGCAACTGTGAATTAGATGCACGTGATATAGTAGGAGCACTAAGGGGCAAGTATATTCAAGGAAAAGTTACCAAACCTTTATATTAAGTACAGGTTTCGTGTCAATATCAACTGTGTAAATTGGTAGTTTGTTTCCACCTTCCAACCTGACAGCCTCTTGAAGACCCTAAACATAACAGTTCATTATTTTACTTCCACAGCGAATAATTCGCTACCAGAAGATGACAATTTCTCCAGATAAATGTCGTTACCTCTTGTTTAAATTGAACTGGAAATGGCAGATAATTCATTAAAACAACTGGAGGATAATAATGCAAGGTATAACATGGCTGGTTGGATCTTGATCCGAATTCATTTGTATAACGCTCACTTTGACATCGGGTCTAACCAATAAAATACCAATTTGGTTATTTTTTAAAAATATTATCTTTACTGGACCTCTAGGAAAAATAGCTTTAAACTGATAGATCTATCCAGTGCATATAACGTTAGTTTAGTTCAAATTTTTCCGTGTAGTAGCACTTGATCATCCTCACTGCAGCTTGAAAAAGAACATTTTAAAATTGATGTCATGAAGAAATAGTCCTACCTGGACATAGAAAGGGTCAGCATCAGGCCAGGGGGCTGCACACACGTACAGTTTCTTTCCATTCTTTGACACTTGACTTAAACGAATTTCTTCAACATTTCTCTCATAACTGTATGTACAGAAGATAAAGTGGATGATTTCCATGAGTGACATACAAAAAACGAGTTCAACTGAATCCAATATACGGTAATATATATATGATATATATAATATGAATCCAAAATACGTTGTTTCATACAGAAAACCAAACAGAAACAGATTATGTTTTCACATACGGAAAGCCTCCAGGTTTGATGAAATATCCAAGGTCATCGTTCGCTATTGTCAGCGGTATGCTGAGGTAATCATCTTCATTTAAGGTTGCCATCAACTCAGGATTTTGCCTTTGAACAAAAACCTCAAGCGGAACTGGACAATGATTTTTCATCTTAAAAAAGTTTCACAGAATTCAAAGGAATTATTTATATTTTGAAACCCGATCCTTGGAATAATCTTGTATAATAATTAAAACTTACTCTGAAAGGTGATCGTAAAACAACCAATTTTCTTCCATCTGGAGAAGTAACTTGAACTACAATTGAGCGGAAACCTTGTTGATGTAGCTAAATAAAGAAGAAAGATTATAATTACAACGAAAAATCATAAATATTGTTGAAGTCAATTTTTTAAGTTGAAGAAAATTATTTACCTTTTTTGGAATGATATTGTAGAACGCACAACTTGCTTCTTTTACAGATATATCTTTTAGTTCATGATAACCATCGACCTGATAATGTAAAATTATATTTTTCATCGATTTCAACTGTCAACTCTTCTGACTGGTCAGCACCATCAACCTAGTACCCAGGGTCGTTCACGGACGTCGTGAAATCATAAGCAGTATAATATTAAATTGATACAAAACTTCGTCAATGACAGACCTGAACCGCAATTTTAATCGACGCCACATTACTGCTTGCACTTGTCAATCTCAAATGCTCAGCAAAATCTAACCAAAGAGATTCCCCAGAGCGCACCAGTACGGCGTCAGCCTTCAAATTTGGCGGAGCCTAGTAAATAGTCGAAAACAAGATTTGAAGACAAACGAGCAAAACGGGAATCAAAGTTATTTTATGTAGTTTTACCTTGAAATCTTTTCCAGGTCGAATACAAACGTCGATACCGAGCTATAAAAATCGTTTTGATAAACTGTTAAAAAACCGCAGTGAAAATGCCTGGCATGCAGTAAGATTCAAGGATATTGAAGGATATTGAAGGATATTCAAGGATATTGAAGGATATTTTCCTCGGAACTAGCCAAGATTGCAGCAGTGAAACTTACTTCATTCTTTATCTCATATGGAGCAGTTTTTTCTAAAGACAACGATGTCCCACCGATACTTTCTGTTACAGCTTCACTAAACGACTAAAAGCAATGAAAACCATTTAAGAATTAGAGCGGAATTACTAAACGTAGGAATGGTTAGATGTCACAATGCAAAGCCCGCCGCTAGTTTACCTTTCCGAGTTCAGTAAATACATCCAAGTTTGTCTTAGTGATCGTTAGCTGAAGAACATCAGATGACTCAACAGACACGATCATTTGCGCGCCTGAATCATCCATTGAATCTGTGCTATCTTGGTTCATCTTGAACTATTGAAAGAAACAAATGTTTAAATATTACATTATACTATATGACATCCGGCTATAGCCTTGCATGGACAGTGGACAGTAAAACAAGACCTTTACCCCAACAGAAAGTTCCCATGATTTAAAACTTTCTTTTGTTTCCAATTTCTCGATCAATGGTTCCCATTCTGATAATTCTTCATTGAAATAGTTGGCTTCCAGTTTAAGTTCTGCTTTGCCATTCAACTAAAGAAAATATCGAAGATTATTCATTTCCAACGTACGAATTATCCGTTTAATGGCTAATATGGTTGCAAAGCTACTGCAACTATTTCCACCTTTTCCTGCCAATTTTTCACTTCAGCGCTAAGATTTCCTCGTAGGTTCAACAAACTTATCAAATTTCCGCCTTTCTCTGCCTCGATGTTAAACACAAAACCATCAACATTCATGATCAACTATACACAAGATAAAAACATGGATACAACCGGGTTAGTGATCCAGTGTGAAAATGTAACTTAAAATGCCCTCAATCCATATATCATTCAGCGATGTTTCAGTCATTTCTTCATACCTGCTCTTCTCTATTATCAGAGACACTCTCTACTTCATTCTGAAGATCGCGAGACACACCTGGACAAAGACGCATTTTATTATTATTTTTATATATATATATATATATATATATATATATATATATATATATATATATACGTTCTGTCATATTTTAAGACAATTTATAACTAACATGCACGTTAAAGTACCTTTCTGGCCAGCGGTTTTATCAAAACGGCGAACATCTTTGAGAGGGACCCACATCTCGTTACCAGCTGCTTCAACCAAATACACAGGATCTGACTCTCTGGACTCCACCTTCGTCACAACGCCTTTCATGCCATAAGTACCTTTCAATACCAACACATTTTCACCAATCTATAATATAAAAACACTGTTACATAATAATTCAGTCTAAACTAATTATATTTCGTTTCACTCCTGTGCTGCGACCTGTGAAGTCACTTCCTTCGTCAGGAGTTTTAGTATAATACAACTTTTTTAAACAAGACAACTCTATTAATTTTGTACTGTTTTTCCTAGAAACCCATTAAAAAATATTAATTTCCAATCGACTGCAGCTACAGAAGGAAACTAACCCAACTTTACCTGTACAGGAAAGCTGTAATAAAATGAACACAATTAAAAAATTATTAATTCAGCGTACCAAAACCTCTCTAGGGATGACATCTCGTATCAGCCCAGTTTGGTCATTTAAAGGAAACGAACATCTTTCCTCGTGTTCATAAAACCTGACGTAAATCTTGTTATCAATACCATCAATATAACCACGGTAGTAAAAATTATCCGAGTATTTGATCCAGAGCAATGTTCTCACTGTAAGACGGTTGCCTAGAGACGAGAAATAAAGCTGGAATAAATTTACACTTTAATCCCTTCAAATAAAATAAAATCATTTTCCACTTTCCCTACGACAAACCAATATTTCTACTCAAAAAAGTAACATTTCTCAATACCTTCCTTTTTCGGCACTTTCATCAACTTCAAATCATGAATGGACAACTCATGTACGGCGCCATTATCGAATTGTATCTCATAGCCACTGACTGAAATTTTCTTAACCCGGCCTGGATACATCAATGGTTTGTTGGGAATCGGAGCTACAACGTCACTTCCTACCATCACGTGTTCAGGGCGTGGTGAACGGTCGAGGACTATGGCCAAAGGATCGTTGAGAAAATGGTAAATATGAGTACCGTTGGCAAACTTGACTTGATAACGCCAGTCTTTCTTGGCGATAAAACCTTGACCATAATGCTCGTTGTCAGGAAGGCGGGCCCACACGGCGGATGAGATGACAGGTTTGTTAGGAGAGGCTGAAATAACATGAAGTACTCTGAGAGGAGATAACTTGGTGGTTTTACGTTTTGTTAAAACTATATGATTTCAGTTTTTGATTGTTTTACTCTTAGTATCAGTTTCAGTCCTAATTTAACCAGTTTTAATAAAGAAAGAACCCCTGAGACGAGGTTAATCTTCAGCCAGGCCAAGGAAAGTTAAAGAAATGAGACCAACACCGTTGAAACGACAAAAAATAAGCGTGTATGACAAAACTACAAAAGAAAAAAGGAAACAAATTCGCTCACCTCCATATTTTACACTTCGCAAAAGACGGATATATTCGAAAGGCTTGACTTCCTCTTGTTGCTGTGAGAATCTCACCAAAACATTTGGGTTTTCAGTATCAGAACTCTCCATCAGCTTTATAACTATACCTGCCTGCATTGGCTCTCCCTCTTTAACCAAAGATATGACTTTCGTACCGACAGTAATCTCCTTAACCAGCGGTATTTCGTCCAGGACCACGCCTGCGACATCATTTATATCACATGACCAGTTGCTCCCATCATCCAAAACAGCTTTTATTCTTTGGTCAACGTCTGTGATCAACCCTGGGGCGTAGCTTTTAAGATCTTTGGCTCGAGCGAAAATTCTACTGCCTGGTACGAGCTGACCTCTGGTAACTGAGAAATAAACGAAGCTGGTTTTAGTGAAGATCACGATAGTTTCATGCTCTCGCCTTACAAATCAAGTTAATCATGTCTTTTGATCACGTGTTACTACGGAAAGAACCTTTTCTTCGCTACAAGAGGTTTTATTCCTCATCTAGTGCGAGCAGAGTACTTCTGAAAATCGCTGTGCTTCACAGACTCACAGTGTCTAACTGAATGGAAGTGCCCTTTTACAAGCGAGAGAACAGTCAAAAAAGTTCCACAGACACAGACGCTTACTGACATTACTAAACAAACCTCACGCAGCAACAACAAACAACAAACAACAAACCTTCTTTAAGATACCAATTATTAGAATCTGCAATGTCATCTGGCTTGAACAAATCAGGAACATCTTCGTTATTCTTTTCTGATTCTTCGTCCTTTAGTGAAATGAGAATTGGCACAGTGGAAGATTATCAAATTGGATGAATTTTATAAACTTTTAGAATAAGATCAGTGAGTTTTTTACTCTGACTAACCTTGGACGGGCCAAGTGATGACGCCACCGCTGTTGCTATGCCAACGAAAGCAGGCGAGACATTAAGATAGGCTACAGTTGTGTTCAGATCAATATGGGGTCGGCCACCAATCATAGACGATAAATGAAGACCGATTTGCTTCACTCTGAGAACCTAAGCAAAAGAAAATGCATTCCACAATCTGACTTTGACGTAATACAAACCTTGTGATGGATGTGCTCACAAATATCTAAAAAAACAATCGTGAAACAGCAAAAACAAACAAACAACGAGCATACGTCAGCTTGTGAGATTTCTCTGCGACTTTTCTCAAACGATGCAGTCACAATATGAAGATTCTGTATGTAAGTTTGCAAAAACATTCGCTCATCTCGTATCGTTAAACTCAAATCCAGGGTACTCTAAAAAAACAAGTAATCGATTATCTTGATTACAATGAATGTCCGTTATGTAACTATTTCTCCAGTAAACTATAAATGTTATTTTCATTTTATGTTCTGCGGTACTTTGCAAGGAATCCAGCTAAACTGACTTCATAAAGTTGTTTTTTACTGGGGATAAAACAGAACATATCAGCTTACCTTGACAACTAAAGCATTTGTACTCTTTTGCTTAGCATCAGCCAGCAGAAATATCTCTGGTTCTTCAACCTTTATAGTCAGTTGGAGAGCTGGACTCTGATTAACAGCCGTTGGTACAGCAGTAGATGAACTTGCGAGATCAGTTGATTTCATTCTAGCCTCAGCGAGAACTTCAGCTGTGCTTTCAGACTCTTTTGCAGGAGCTTCGTCAAATGCTTCTGTGAAGACGGTCGAGAGAACCAATAAAAACTCGACATTGACAATGACTGACGTCCCTTTCACGAGTATGGTGACTATAGAAAAGAATAATATGGACAAATGTAAGTATACATGGTATCCTAAATGTGGTGGTCGAGGCAGTAAGGATAAGATGTCATCGGTTGTGCTAGCCATGTTTTGAGAGGTCTCTCAAACGTGATAGTCTAGTGTAGGTATTACTAAAAACACCAGATTAATCTCTACCGTGAACATGACTCTATTAATTAACCTTCTATTAGTTATCTTTTGACCACCCACTTATCACTTACTTTGCTTGTCCAATCCTTTACTTTGTACAAACTGCAGATCGATCATGTTTGACGTATCTGAAAGCGACATCTTTTCATCTGTACGCCTTTCTATCATACTACAAAACAATGATGATATTTCACTCCAAGTCCATTTCATTTACTCTTTACTTACGAAAACGAAAATAGTTCTTCCTGTCGTTGAGTTTGTTCTAAATCCTATCTACTTTGCCACAAGGAACAATATTAATAATCTAGTTGTAACTTGTATTCCAATGAGTTCAGACATGCAGACAGAAGCATGAATACACTAAGAGCGAAAACTAACGTTGTAATTCCTTTCTCCAAAGCGGGTCTTTTGTCATCCAACCGGATTGTCTGTAAAACAACCGAGGCGTCCATTGCACCATTAGCAAGTAAAGACCCAGCGACTTTAAAGTTGTCCAATGAAAAATAACCAAGACAATAATCAGCCGGATGATCCCAGGTTTCTTTGTCATTCGCATCCTGAAATATAAAAACGTGAGAGGATTAAAAATGAGAGTAGTTCAAGTTGGCGAGAAATATGCAGAAAATTACCAGTTCCTTAACATTTTTATATATCCTTGCTGCCACTGTCTCAACACTGAACATAAATTTGACCGCTACCCAAGTCTTGTTTTCATCCACAACTTCGCTTACTTCTTCATCTACATAAACCATGCAAGATTTTATTACAAGGAAGTAATGATACAAATTCTTAAAACAATAAAGACAGGGATCATCGTTCCAAACCTGGAGTTTCTAAAACTGCCAAAGATGATTCTGTGCTGGAGTATTTCTCGTCTTCAGCGTCTAAAGAGTAATTATTTTATGGTTATTTGACATGTGAAATCAAATCGCAAGGAGGGGAGGGGGATAAACAGGGATATAACGTATGATGCGTTGAGTACTGTTTATAAAGTTCGGTGGTAAATTTGATGTTGTGCAGAAATCATGACAAATATGAGTAGTTATTTGACTGTGTCGTAAATCACATACACGCATTGATACAATGGCAAATCCGGAATAATCGTGTTAGAAAGAATTTGAAAGGTGACGTGTTTTGTATTCGTAACTCACCGCTGCTTATTGTTGCTCCTTCAGTTAAATTTTGAGATGTAATTGCCAGAGCAGTCTTAATGTCATCTGTACCAATGTCAATCTAAAATAAATACGAAGCAATCGTGTTTGTCAGATGTTGTAGAGCAAACTTGTAATTAGATTTCTTAACACAGAATTCATGCGGTTTTAATTAGGTTTTCTTGTAGTATACAACATTTGATCATTACAATACCGGCGCTTAAATTGAAAACTGTGTAGCTTAGTTCCACTGAATCTCTAGAAAACAGATATAACGCTGCCCCATATAAATTGAACATTGTAATAACTAACATTGACAGCGTGCAGTTGGCCAGCGATGTCAACATCGGGAATGTCGTGATACCACGAGGAAAGACTTCGGGCGAGCGACAACTCCAGGCTGATGGGTTTTAAGATAAATCTTTGAGCGACAATTGTTTCATCTTTTGATATGATTGCGCTATGGAAAATAATAGTGACAAATATTAAAGAAAGTACACTAACTACCATAACGACGGCTAGTATTTAAAAATGGATGAAAAACAATGACATACACAGAAACTTGAAGCGAGGTGAAGGACACAGCCATATTATCAACGACAGCAATATCTTGTCCCTCCCCTCCGTGAACGACCTTGAAATTGTTGTGCACCTCCAAGTTGCCAAGATTAGCAACCAGAGCGCGGTCAGACTGACTGTTGACTGGAATAATAACCAGGGGGGCTTGGATAGAAACGTCCAGCTTAACACGTGGACTATTCTTGTTATACTCTTGTAACTAAAGCAAGAGCATAAATAAGTTTGAGTTGACTAAATCAACCTCTGAAAGTTTGATAAGACAATTATTAAGTTCAGCAAGTAATCACTAAAATCCCTTGGGCAGCTGGGCTGGGTATATTGCTCAAACGTTTCTTAATATACTCACAGACTGTGTTGCACTCTGTGCTGCTGTTTTACCAGCATTTTGAATTGCTTCTTGGGCACGTTGGAAATTGCTTATAAATTCCTAAAAAATTCCACAAATATTAATTCTTGTTCGGTCAATAGTAAACAAGCAACGTTTAGCTGTAAGATCTCAACTTGGACGAGACAGTTTAATGTGGAGATACATGATTTAACCTACCAATAAATTGTTGACAAAGCGGTTCAGAAATATCACTTTAATTCGGCCAACATTCATGAGAAACTTTGTGTCAACTTTCTCCATGTTGCCATAATTCTGTCCTTCTGTAGCACCGTTATATATCACCAACTTGGAAATAAATAAGGATCGTTTATATCTCCTATCTTATGTAGATTGTTTCACAAGTCATGCTGAGAACTAACTGGACTGTTATATTTCTACCTCCACATGAAAGACCTCTTCATTGACAATTGAAACGATCTGGAATAATAAAACAATATGATAAAATTAGGCTGTACTCATTTTCAAAACTCGTTGCTTATTAGAAGTGTCTCACCTTAGGATAAAGAGCGTTCGCTAAGCCATCCACAACTGAGAAATCTTGCATTCTAGAAGACACACATCAATTATTTCTAAAATTCAAGGCTTATTAATAAAAGATTTATCGAAGTAAGTACACATCCAACCTTGCTAAGACAGTGATCCTGTCTGGTAACATTGATACACCAGCCTCAAGTTCTACGAAATAAACTGAATATCAGGTTTCCGATTTGAGCAAGTTATCTTAAGGTAATGAAATGTAAGACTTTACGTTTCATTTGCAGTTCAGCGAGATCTCCATTCATTGAGGTTATAACAGCAGTGAACTCCCCTAATCGTGCATCCACTCTGACTTCGATCACTTCATCTTGAACGCTCTTCTTTGCTAAAGCTGTTTTATCATCGTCTGTTTTATCTTCATCAGTGACAACTGCTGCAAGCTCTTCTTGTTTCTCAGTTACAATTGTTTCTTCGCTAAATTAAGAATCAAAAGAAAATACTTAACTTCAGTTTGCAGGCTATCTTTGCATGAAATTCAACAGACCTGGCAAAGCATTGAGTACACACTAGCTGCCTAACTTTTTTATAAATTGCATAATAAAGGCATTTTCATTTTGCACCACTGTATTTAACAAAGAGTTTGATATTACACATTTTGTGGACTTCAATCCCTTCTCTTTAAAACTTTCAACTCCTGGCATACGATCATTTCACAAACCCTGTCAAAGACCCAAAGATCAAGAGAAAAACACTAACCTTGCTGGTAATAGATTGTTTGCAAATTCCATTATATTTAACAAAGCTTCTTGATGTAAAATGACTTTCAGTGAAGCTAACTGTACATCAATGGCTTTCTCTGTAGAGTTAAACGCTTCTTTGAATTTGGGGTGATTTTGATCCGCCTAAAATTGTAGGAAAATGTAGGAATTACCATGCACAGGAAAAAACTTAAAACTACGCATAAATATACTGGCGAGCTCTAAACAGTTCTTACAGATCCAAACAGATTGAAACTTGTTAATCCGGAGCTGAACTATTGTACTAGTTACCTGGATGAACTTCACAGCAAGTATATCAAGATCTGCAGGAGTGCTGACCAGCTCTAATGGAGCTCCACCAATTCCATGAATCATTTCTTTAACCAGAATATCACCAATATTCGCCATGACCGTTAGATCATATTGACGCACAAAGACCTGGGTACCAAGTTTTAGAAGGTCTACTTCAAGTTGCGGCGTTTCAATACCGAATTGATCTTGTTTTGATATTGTTATGTTAATCTACAGATGAGAAATAAGTTTCTGATATTCCGTATCAACGCATCTTAATACTGCATAATCTGTGATCAAAAATGATGACGTGACTTTCAAGGTAAACTGAACCATTTAGTAAAGAGTTATCCACTGTTATTATAAACGGAGAATTTAATCTGTACCTGAAGAATTTCAAACTTCACAGCAACGTTAGTCTGTTCTGCTTTTGCTAATTTCATCAGTTCCTTGTCATTATTCGACACCTTGTCAGGGCTTGACAATAACAAACAAAACATTGATCGTTAGTTACTCTTCATCTTATTGACGTGGTTTTCAAAACCATAACTTCTATTTCAGTTTTGCTTCTTCATGGCGTAGTTTAGATTTTACTGAACTAATGAATTGTCAACAAACTGTACCATCAAAAACAAGAAAAACAGGTATTTGGTCAATCGGAAAAACTTTCAAAAATCACAATTATATATACCCTGCAGGTAATTCAATGCTGCTGTTTTCTGGGCTTTCAGGTGGAGTTTCGAAAAGCTCGTCTGACGTTTCTGTCTCTTTCTCTACCACAACATCCAAGGCAGATACTTGTGCTGCTGTCTTTACCTCACGTTGAAAAGACTAAAAATAAAATAACAAACTTGTGAACGAATTTAAGGTATAAATCAGTGTTAATAGTGGTCAAATCAATCTTGATTGTTTCCAATCACACAATTATTAGCCTTCAGTTGAAAAAATAGCTGCGCATGTAATAATTCTAAAGTTGATGAAAAAGCTCAGTGAAACTCGTCGTAAGAAAATGTAATGAAAGTATACCTGTGACTTCTTTACGTCTAAACTAGTGTCCGTTTCACCAGGTATTGGGATTGACAACGCAAGCTGAAAGAAATGTAGAAAAGTCTTTGTAAAGAGTTGTTTAATCGTTTAAGGTGTATTTCATACTGCAATACCTTCATCAAATTGTCCAGTCTTTTATCCGTGACATGAAGCTGTAGACTGGAAAGAACACCAGCAAGACGGATCCTGGAAAATAAAGGCGCAATTATTCATTTTCCATTTTATCTGATGCATGTCAATGTGTTGTCGGGTTTACATACTGTGTTAGTCTGACGTCATCAGCAGCGAGGCACTTGGAAAGTTGAATGTCAAGTCCAAATGGTTTCAATATATGAAGTGAGGAGTTTTCTTCGTTACGACATTCCTTCCAATCTTCACCTGGATAATAATAGGAATTTAGTGACAGTTGGCAATAAACACTGCCATTGTAACATCTGCAGATATTACATTAAAATATTTTTTCAAAATTCCACAGTTCCAATCTTTAAATTTTAGCGCATATTAACTCACTCTCTCTCTCTCTCTACCTGGTTTTGCCATCAAGATCTGCAGTTGCTTCATTTCAATATTAAAACGATCGTACACTTTTTCTTCCAGTTCCTCGGGGCTCATCAACTGCATAATTTATGAAAAGACAAAAGATCGTCAAAGATAACCAAACAATACAGTGAGCCAAAAAACATGCAGAATCTACGTATGTATAGCAATACTATCTGTATAGATATTGTGATAGCTATAGTTATAGATGACTATTATTATACAGATATAATTATAATAATCATTGACATATTATTATAAGCGATACAGACAACATACTTTTGTGTTTGTAATTCGTTCTTGAGATGGATCACTGCTCACTTTCAAGCATCCAAGATCAATAACAAGCATTGAACAATTCCTACAATTGACAATTTCCTAAGTCTGAGAATGAAAATACATTGACACGTGCCATGATCCCTTGACACAATCAAGGGATCATGGCACGTGTCAGTATATCTCCCCTCCTGATTATAATATCCTCCACGTGAACTCGCAACATGCTTTGTCGCATATTTAATAAAATCTTACTCGGTTAAAATTCCGTTTTGCGGGACAATAACAAATGGAGAATGAATCAAAATATCGACATCAAGGAGCTAAAAGAACAGAAAGAAGCAAAATAAATTAATAAATCTTAGGCAAGATCTTCCAAATCACTATCAAACATTTGCAGTTAAAGAGATTTTGACTCATCCAAACTGGATATAAATTCATCTCCATAGTGGAAACATGTTCCGTAATTACCGTGCGTGTTTCAATAGCGTAAGAAAGATTTGTTCTCGACTGATTTCGAAGTCCATCAATTTGAGAATATGCCGCAGCAGAGATCCTATATAATAAATATTTTATTATTCTAGAACTAGATTGAATTAAATCACTTTGATGGATAGAACGAGGGCTGTGATGATAAAACAAGCCGAATCCTTGCTTTGAACAGCCTTTATTACTAAGATATAAAAGGAATACAGCGACCCCAAATAATCAAAGTCTATTAGAACGGATGACATAGATTTTCTTGGCAAGACTTCGTCCTAAAAACGTCTTAAGAATCATCACTGCAAAAAGATTATGCCATCAACTGGAACTTACTCTGATAATTGAACATCTTCGGGAAGTTTAAAGAAATTCATGAGATTTTCAACCGTATTCTGAAAATGAAAAAGAAAACTACATGAGACTGTCTTCGTCAGGTGGTATAAATGTAGTCGGGACTCTGCAAGACACTCTTAACAAATTAACTAAGATCCAAGTTCTCCAAGTTCTCCTGCGACTCTCGTGAACACAATAGGTAGAACTGTTCGCTGATATTAAGCTCTGACTCACCGCGTGATAAATGACCTCCAATGGTTGAACAGCCAGTTTGAGTCTTTGATCACATTTTCCATCCAGTGGATTAGTTTCAAACGAGGCGTTAACATAGTCTGCAATATCTAGGATCAGAAAAATCATAAATCATAAAAATTTCATGAAGATAGCTTTGGCTACACAATGCTTAGATATCGGTTGGAATAACTCTATACTGGACGTCATTAAAAAAGACGGTCTAACACTGAATATCGTGTAGGTCATACAGCACCTGTATCGCCAGCAACTGATCTTATTATGTCTGGAGGGCTTTGATTTTCCAAAGGGCAACCAAGAACATTCAGATTGCCCAGTTTGGTCACCACGCTATTAATAAAAATAAGTTCTCATTACGTTTTCATTAAGCACCAGTGGCAGTCGACCGAGACACTACATGGTGCTGTCTTTGTTTGTTTTTTGGTTGTAAACAAAAACAATTGAAAATGACCAATATCGGTTGTCAATACCTTACAGCCTGGGCCCCAGGCCTGTAACCAAGTTCCATAAACAGATCCTCCAAGGCAACACTGGACACACTGCATGCAGGCTCAACTGAATCATCTCGCATTTCAATAGCTATTCGTTTTTGCCCAAACTTCAACCTATATGCAACATACTGGAAAAACAAATTTGACGTGAAATATTTGGATTTTGAGAGACGAGTGAAAGCTGTGAGCTTTTTGAAAGAATAAATAAGGAGAAGACAGGAGAGATTAACAGCATGCAGTACAGGCATTACGTGCGGAGAAGCGCAGCTGCTAGATGAACAAGTATTGCACAAAAACCATTGCTACATGACGTCTACTGTACATTGACTTTATTTATATATGTGGGCTCAAAACTGCACAATATTTGTAAATGAATCCTAGTGATCCTAGTGGTCGGTTCTCAACCTCGCGTGTGAGAAATGATAAATGACGAATTAAAAATTTTAATGCGTATTCAGCAGCTTGGAGTTTCTTGTTAACGCGCTCATAGCCAACGGCCGTTACGGCATTAGCAAGAAACTCCAAGCTGATAACTGACGAACCTCTGCAGGAAGTTTAACTGGAGCATCACTCTCACTGTATCCAATTGCTGCGTACAACTTTTGTTCTTCAGCTGCTTCTTCTTCCTTGGACAATCCTGCGACGGAAACAAAATAAATTGCTTGCAGTGTTTACATAATAAGTTAAAAAGTATAAAACAGAACAAAATGTACATTTAAAAAGCAGTAGCGATATACAAGGATCAAAAGTCTCGGTTGAACTATTATTACGATTACAAACAAAATCAGTCCTATATACTGGTACTAGATGAACACCGCATAGGTCATCTGTGAATATGAGGTGATACTTATTACGTAATAATCATCAATCGCGACCTATGGAATTTTGGCTATATCTTAACGTCAATGTGAGTCAATTTCTTGTCATGAATACAGTGTTGATCCTTTAAGAAGTATACCTTGAGTGGATTCCTTGGATTTCTTTCCAAAAAATCCCGAGAACCAACCACCTTCGCTTTTCTTTCGTTTCTCGTTCAACTCGTAATTCGTTCCTTCTTTCTTCGTCTGTCAAATATTGTTACGCAGGAAACATTAATTATATCATCATTTTCTAAATTATTGTCACAACTGTACCCGTACCTCAATCTCTGCCTGCTTCCGCCAAATAGTTATATTCAGAACATCCAGAATCTCTTCATATTGCTTTATTTCTTTCTCGACTTTATCTGAAACCTTCTTATGTGAGAGCTTTTCTTTGTACAGTTTCATGTATTTGTGGCATGTCATCCTTCAACAAGATAAAGATACAGTATTTCCTTTAGGAATGTACCATCATCGCCGTTATGACATCATTATCACCTAATCACAACTATTATCATCAAATCACTGCCATTATCACCTGAACACAGCCATCATCACCCAATCATCACAACCATCACCCAATTACGACAATTGCCACCTTTATTTCCTACTATCTTAACCCCAACTACCATGCATGCACATCATTACATACTCACAACCATTATATCATCATCTTCCCCCAAACTAACCTGTGGTTCACAATATGTTGCCAAGACCAATTTCTTGAACGTCTTTTCACTTCTTCCTCCAACACAGCATGTATGGCGTAGTTCCACCTGAATATATTTATGTTACATTCATAGTCTATCCATTTTCAAAACGAGACATTCCTCATGAAAACATCAGTTACCATGTATACGTGCAGTTTTCTAATAGCAGTGTAAGTTGTGTCCACTGGATTGAAAGGATGTATTATTATCTGACCTCTGAAGAACCTCTGATAGTCGAGGTATGAAGATTAGTTTACATGTAGGGCCGTCACGAGAAGCCTATTTGGGGGGGGGGGGTATATTCATATATTCGTCTTATCCCCAGCTGATTTCTTTTGATAGCGACTGTTTTTACCCCTAATTGAACAGGAATATATAGATATACAACACCCCCCTAATTGAGCTCCTAACGACGGTCTTGTTAAGATGGAAACGTTGTTTTGAAGGACCAACCGTTATAGAACCTCTGGAAGAATAGCTTGGAACTAATAGTTGGATAATGCATTCAAATCAATCACAGTTCAAATTATTCTTGCATACCAGGCCTTTGAATTTCCAGCCAAAGGAACGAACGGTTTGTATTTTCGGTATTGGCTGTTAGTTTTCATTCTATCAAAGTTATCAGCCAGTCTCACAATATCTTTGAACTGATGTCGTGAAAGGACTAAGCCCAGCTCCTCCATAATGATCTCAACAAAGACCTAAAAATAAATAAAAAAAATGCTAAGAGTTTAAACAGTTGACAAGAATGTTTTATTCTCAAGTTTCAATATGACTATTTCGCTCACTAAAGTTGATCGACGATGAAAAAGTGTACCTTTGGAATGCTAAGATTTGGAACAGAATTTGTATCAAGAACTGCTTTTGTCTTTAATGTCAAAGGTTTAATTACTATAGAAAGAAAGAAAATATTCAGCTTTTTGCATATCAGTCGATGACTGCGGCAGCAAACAAACCATTACCATAATTGTAATTGTCCGGACGATTGTCTCCAAATTCTCCTCTAGCAATTCCAGCCTTTGCAATATTCTATTGAAAAATATAATCGTCTTTTTAATCATGTCTTAAAGGATTAAAACTATGTTAAGCCCAAGGGATACGAAGCTACACCGGGCAAGTACATAAATGACTTACCACCCAGTCAGCAGATGTTGGCAATTCACCAATCTTGTCATGAGAGTTTAAATAGAAAGCCAAGTTGTCAAGTCTCGCAAGCTAGTAAATTGTACAAGAGTATTAAAGTGAATTTATAGTATTTGCGAGCTACTTCATTCAAAGTAAATCTGTTGAACAATAAACTTCTTAGTCACCTTGTTAACCAAGCTCTGCTTTGAGTCAATAACCACAGGCTGCCAATTATCATCAACTGACTGAAATCATCAAAAGAAATTACATTACTCTTCATATCAAGACAACAAGGATTATCGTGGTCACCACATCTGTTGTAGTCGCGAAGATGTCATGGTCACGAGGGTGATCATTGTGATCGTATCTTTCGTCATTGTCAGACTGGTTTAGTGATGGCGATTTTGATGGTCATGATGGTGGTCACTGTATATTTGTGGTAATGATATTTATGGTAATGATATTCGGTATTCGGTATAGTGGTACAATGGTTATACTACAATAATGGTTATGGTACAATATTGGTTATGGTATAATAATGGTTATAGTACAACAATGGTTATAGTACAATAATGGTTATGGTACAATATTGGTTATGGTACAATAATGGTTATGGTGCAATAATGGTTATATGGTACAATAATGCTTATGGTACAATAATAGTTACCTCAGCAGAAAGGTTTTCCAAAGTTATACCAACAGAGAAGGGACCATCTTCATTTGACAACTAAAATACCATAATCATGTTCATGAGTAAAAACTATGGACATAATCTTACAATTTATAGTTAGTTTAAAAGTAACGTACAGGGTCTTCATATCTGATGTGGATATTGCTCACAAACACCTACAAAATAGGAAATGACGAAAATTTCATTATTTTACTTTGATTGAGACGAAAATTAAAACATTGGAATTTGTTTCCTAAAATATTCCAACCTGAATATTTTTCACAATATGCATAGCTAATTTCTCGGCAAAACTCAAACTTTTTTCCTTGTCTTCATCACCTTAAAAGAATCGAATAAAAAATTTCAAAAAGATGCAATAAGTATTTAATATTCACCACATATTCCAGACATGTATTTGCATATGAAAGACCTTTTAAAAAGCAACGCTATTTACTCTTATTTTTAGCTTCTTCCGCGTATTTTATCGCCTCTTCAATTGCAGTCAATTCTTGCTGTTTCTTCTCCTGTAAAATTTTCTCCTCCTTTTCTGCATTGTACTTTATATCTGAAAGAAAAGAATCAAAATATCATCTTCATACACCCTGGGTGTTGGTCCTGTGTTGACATGCAGTAACTTAACCTGGTTCGAAGACATCTGCTGGTGTTCTTTACCTGTGTTTGGTCTTGCTAGAAGATAAACTTCGTCAACTTTTGCGACAACAGGTTCAGAATAGAGATTTTTCCATGGAATTTTTAATATAAGTTGACCTTGAAAAGATGAAAAAATTAAGCACGGTTTTGATGGAAGTTACAGTCCTGCAATTATATCATGAATTTGATCGAAACACGGTATAAACCATGGATCACGGTCCTAACAATTTTGTCGCAAATTTGTATACCATTCGAAAGTTTAGAAGTAAGGTAATTTGGATCTGTGTTAGCAGTGGCGTATTGTAGTTCCATGAGTAGAGTTCAAAACAGGATTTCAAAAGAATATAGGACGCTGCCACGCTGCACTCTGGTTCATGGGCGACGGAAACAGTTTAGGGTGATAAAACCTTACAAATGCCGCTCGTACCCCGAAATTCTTTACTACACCTGACCATTCTGAGGAACATTAGTACCATATAGTGTCTTTACGGCCTTTTTTAGGTACTCAATACATGATTTGAGGGAAAATTGGAAAACAGTCGTAAAAGGGTTCTTAGAAGTACGGAAGAGTTATAGGATAGCACAGGATACGTATTTAACGACTAGCAATCACGAACAAGGGAGAGGAGACTGGAAGAAATATGAAAATAACATAAAAATTTACTGTTCTGACAGAGGATGAAATTGATCACAGGATTATTAGCAAGACGACGTAAAAACCAGCTGCGTAGTGCAATAGCTAGCGCAGAGTAAAATCTTATTCTTTAAGCACGGTTGGTTGCATTTCCACTCAAGATATCTAATGTAATCTTATGAAGTGAAACAGCATCCTTCCTCCTCCCCTCTACTACAGGTAAAAGTTGTTAAGTCAAGGGGGGGGGGGCAACCTCCTCTGCTGGTTCCCTGTGTTCTGGCAACCCTGCAAGTTGGAATGACAAAATTGCTAAGTACTACAATTCTCCCTGTTCGAAGTCAAAGAGGCTTGTTGTGTGAAGTCAAACAGTTGCAAATATTGCACAATATTATAAAAAAATATTTGGCAAAAAAACAGGAGATAAGACTAAAGAAACATACAACCTCCCATAGTATTGTAGGCTTAGTCTGGTCACAGTTGGTTAGATCACAACTTGCAAATTTAAATGCACTCACCTAAGTGACCTCTGAGCACTTTAACTGGCAGATCAAGTTCATCCTTAACATAGAAAATATATAAGAAATAAAAATTGCTCTGTTGCTGATAGCAGAATTAATAGGATAAATTAAACTAGAAGAATGAAATCCAACACAACAGATCTCAGGATTAACTGTTTGTTTGCAACAAAATACTGTAAATGTGGAAATATAACCCTGCCAAATTTGTACATTTTGTACATATTTATATGAATCATTAAAAAACTTTTTGAGCTGAAAGTGTTACTTCCTTACATGTGTAGTACAAACATACAAACATTCCTATATTTGATGCAAACAAACTTTGCAGTTTCACTCTTTCTAAGATTGTTTATCCCCATGTATCTACAACGTAACTCTTTATGTAACTATATGTAATTGTGTTGATGAATCCATATAAATGATTAAACTCAAAACACCAACTATAATCCTATGACACTTACTTCTAACATGCAAACAAAAGGATAATGCTTATATGGGAAGGTCAGCTCTAACATGCAATATAACTAATTAATTGTATGATATAGGTAACTAATTTATTGTATATATCATATATATACTAACTAATAAATAGTATGTTATAACTAATTCATTGTTATTGGATATCTGACATATAAAAATTTAATTACACCAAAATACAAATAATTATGCCATATAAAAACCATATGACCCCCTTGCTAAGGTCCTCCAAAGGACATTTACCACCAAAGCACATCTTCTACCAGGCAAATTTAATCTCACAATGCAAAGTGATATTTGATGATCAGTGATTGGTCATGAGAAAATGGGCTTATATAAGTCCTGAAGCACTCAGGCCTTGAGTTAACCTGACCTAAACCTTGTTGCTGCAAGGAAAAGCCTTCTACAATAATATTTCAGTCCAGGCTACTTTAAGCTATTATTGCATAACCATACAAAAATTATTTAGTTCCACAAAAAGTGTAATAAAATTACAAAATTTTGGCTCTCATTAGTCTCATATCACTTCTTGATTACTAAAAACAGCCTTCTTAACTTGGATCATCCCTTAAGCAGGATGTTTATTCTATAACTTAATTCATATTTCATTATATTTGCACCCTGGACTCAAGAAGGTCAGCCTAGTCCTTTCTGAAACTATTGTAAATCCTTACATAATATAAATCTAGATTTAATAGGGAATAAAATAGTGTAGTTTTAAAATGCAACTACTAATGAAAGGCTTAGAATTCTATTGAATTCAGCCAAGTAGGAAGTTTCATAAATTATTAATTACTATTAAAAGGATAATAAAAGGGCCTAGTCATATGTCTGGGCAAAGTTAAATAGACAATAACAAGAAAATAAAACGAATAACACTTTATTTCTAACCGCATAGAAAGCCTTACCAGCGCATTTTCTTTTAAAACCAAATTCTCCAATTTAACATCACCTGCAGAAGCAAGAACAGCAGCATTGCAGCAATACTCGTGAAAATAATACAAATTGATATAAATACTGTGTAATATAATATATATATTTCAAATTCATATGCAAGCTAATCGACATTCCAAATTAAGCATGTTTTCACTTTTCAAGCATAATATCGAATAGTTTAGTTAATGCAGCCAGAGGTAGACGGCTTCATGAAGTGGTTGTAAGCTGGAGTCACGAGTTTTTATAAACAAACCAAACTACTGTACCTCCCCATATCGACATTTGAAATTGTGAAGGGTCGAGGTTTTCCACATATTGCCCAAGGAATTTGTTTAAAATGCTGACAACATACGATTCGAACACCATTTTTGCTTGTTATCTGCAAAATCAGGGGAAATTATAAATTGTTTCGTTTTCGTGTTTAACCATTGTTCAACTTTATAAAATGCAAACTATTAATATACATTTGACTTGTAAAACCACAAAACCCCGGGTATATGACACTAGTGTAATAGTTCCGGTAATACACAATATATCAGAGATATGGCCGGGTACACTGGTCACGACTCACGAGCACTGCTCACGAGTTACTGAGTTAGCGAAGTTTGTGTCTTTTGGCTAGGGAAACTTTTACTTTTTGTTTATTTTAGTTATAATGTTCCATTGCTTGAATATTATTCAAACCTTTAGCGATGCTACATTGGTCCATCGATGAAATATATCATGACTAGTGCTTACAATTTAAGCCCACGTCTTCACTATATTGGACCATAAGATCAGGCGAGATAATATTAGGTCAGGTCCAGTTTATCCACGTCGCATTTACATTACATTAGATAATGAGATGATAAACCACATCAAAGTTTATTTACATCTCATTATCTATTGTTCGAATTAACCAAAATGCGACGTATAAAGCCACAGTTGAACAAAGAAAACTGCAAAAAGTTTTTGGTTGTACCGGCGCACGGACAGTTTTTCTGTGGCAAGCTACCAGTCCCCAAGCTATTGAACTACTTATAGTTTGTTGCCTGTGGCTGTACTATAAACTAGTTCACCGCCTCCAGTCTGTTACATTTTGTTATGATATCTCAAGCAGAAAACGCCAGAAGGCAAATGATTCCTGAACTGACAAAGTGTTATAAAAATAATTAATGCATATCTGGTTTTTGCACATGACTCACTTTAGTGTACAAATCAGGATCTCACTTCTCCGACTCAGTACGACACTTGTTGACCAAACACTGCGTCTGCGGTGTATTTTTACATTTGAGTGTAGACTTACAGTCTGATGACTGTTTTCTATCCTGTTCACTGAGACGTCGTCCAGCTGAAGATAGCCGTGTTCTACTGAATTGCGTCCATTGCCAATACCACGCTTTTTTATCTGACATATACCTGAAAAAGATTTAACAATTTTCAAGGGCAGGCTTTCGATCTGACTTTTAAATTCAGTAAGTTTTCGTTAGACAGACATCTCACTCCGTAAACATCACAAACTGCAACCTCAAGACATTACGCGGGCCCGTGTTTGCCACAAAAGATAACTTACTGAATTTATCACCTTAAAAATTAAAAAGAAGAAGAATAGAGCTTTTTATGTTCATGACATAAGAAAATCCTAAAGCACATGCATATTATGTAAGACGACGAAAATTAAAATTATTGCGATTAACAGTTTTAACTGGAAAACTGTACTCTGGTATATACAGACAGAAGACCCGGGCTGTATTTCCAGCGAGAAAATAATGAGATACGAAAACTATTACTAAAATCAAAGCCAAAATGACATACAAAAAGCCACAAAATATAATGACCAAAACAACTCTAAAGTCAATGCACTTAAAGTTAAAGCTTTAAAATGAATGATTAATTCTCAGTGATAGAACTATGCCTATAGCTAAGGTCACATTGGACAAAGTGCTGCGGAAAGCAATGTCCAATGACCAATGACAATGTGTTTGCATCAAGAAACATAATCGTCAGCCAACTTTAACCATTACAATAATGTAAACGATAACAAGAAATCAAGGCCTTGTAGGCTTGCACATTTAACAAAATATTTGCGATTGTAAACGAGACTTGAGACCAGGCAGTAGCTATGACCGACCATACCATGTTCCGGTATAATCGACCTTTATTCTTTCATTTCACTAATTTCAGTCACTAATAGGAAACACACACATATGACTTCGATATGACTTCGACACTCGAAAATGACTTCATATGACTTCGACACTCATACGATTTCGACACTCGAAAATATAAAGTAATTTTATTATATTTAGTCGAAAACACGCTCATTTTTTCTTAACTGTAAATTAGAATTTAAATTTCCCGCCCTTTATACTATTAGTTAGAAAAATAAGGACAAATAACACCAGACGTATGATAACTCAATTTTGTCGAGACGCCTCATGATGTCATGATCTCAGATAAGCTGGAAATAGGTCAAATTTATGGCCACTGACCACTGTACACGACGTTCAATAACTTATAACTACCAAGGTCGAGTGTACTTTATTCCAGTATATTCGAAGTTTTTATTTCAGTTGACCTTGACAATGCCAGTGTTTTCGACCTTCAAAAACAAGGGTGTTGGCTCAACTTAGGCCTAGGTTGGCCTAGGTCTAGCTCTTTTGATGAGCCGAACCTAATGCAAATGAGCTCGACGTTTGAGCGGTTTGACCTAAGCCTTAACTGTAACCAAAATGAAAATTAAGGTTTGAAACGTAGAGTTGTAGAGTTTATACCGTTGACACGTTATTTCTTTTTGAATATTTGCGTTTTAAAGTCAGATGCCCTGAATGAATGGAACATAATGAGATCAGTGTCACACCAAGGGCCCAGAGGATTATGGATACACACATCCGGGTCCTGCCAACTGAATTATTCCTCAATTTTGAAGTTTCACTCTTGTGGAAAATTTCATGAAATTTTGGTGGTTTTTACTCCAAATTTCGCTTCAAAACCGTCAGAAAAGTGTAGTGTGTAATGAGCATTAGTAACTTCGACTTTCCTTATTGCCATGAAGTTACAAAATACGAGAGATTACTCAAAATTGGTCAAGGAACATTTGGGTAAGACGACGCTTGTGGAGTTGTGGGGCTTGTTACCGTTGGAACTTGGTTGTTTTGTTGATATTTACACACAATTCCTTCGTCTTCTTTTCGTCCATTTTGTGCGCTTTACTCTATTTCTGAAGTTTTTCAATTTAATAAATATCGTTTCGATGACTGCTTTGATTGATTAAAGTGATTATTCTGCTATTACAAATGCTTATTTATGAATTCCGGATTTCGCACTATGAACTTTTGTGAATTTATATAAATTTAGACCAGGTAATAAAAAAGAAATGATATTTCTGATACTGTCATCAGAAGTAACATTTCTTAAACGTTTTGTGACTAATTGAGTATTGGAACTGTAAACAAATAGTTTGGGAAATTGCAAGGATTTCTATCACTATCAGTGTTATTCTGATATTCTCTGTTTTTGGTCTTAAGAACTATGGCTAAACCATGTCAGTTTTTGTAAACTACCACAGATTATTGTTGACTATTGCCTAAATACCACTCTGTTGTGTATTTAATAGAAATCTTGTCAATATTGTGCCATTTTCATACTACAATAAAACCCACTTGAAAGGTCAACCATCTTGAGCACAGATGCAAAACTATTTCTCTGATGATTCAAAATATTTACACCTTCCTAACTCAATTGAACATCACAGTAAAGAAACACATTCTTAAACAGATATTTACTATTTTTCAGAACAAATGCACATGAATTATAAGATTAAACCAATAAACATTTGAATTCATTCAATATTATATTAATTCATTCAATATTTCACTAGTAAAGTGTCTACAAAACATAAATAAGAATATAGATAGTTCTTCCATCTAACTCATTAGCCGGCAACAAGCTAAAATTCATGTTAGGATTAGGCTAACCACAAATGATTTCTCTTTAACGGAATAAGTAAACCTGTCCTTAAAAGCTTTGCTACACAGATGATTTGACAGTGATTTTAGCTCCCAAGGGTGCATTCCATTATATAGTAAAAATAGCCAGACCAGTCATGTGTTGTATTACAGTATTTTATGGTGTTTTAAGAACTCTGCATTCAAGTATACTGTTATTTACATCTTCGTAGCATGGGAAATGCAATATCACTGCTATATTCTTGACAAAATACTCATTTCAATTCAAAATATGACTAGTCTGACCATTTTGGCCTCCTAAAGGAAAGTGCCCCTAGTGTATTCTACTTAACAAATTTAACAAAGCAGATAAGCCAAGCCAAGCTTATACAACTGTTAACAAAATGTTTTTAATGACCCATTGAAAAGAGAAAATCTGCCAAAAAAAATCCATGCGGCCATGTCTTAAATCAACACAAATAGCAGGTGGAATTAATATATTTTGCTGCAGTTTGTGCTACTACCTTGCAGAATACCACACAGAAAGTAATTTCCATTGTTTTTCATTAGTGATATCTGTGATTTGTTACACAGCATGTACCAAATTCAGAGCAGTTTTCCCTTAGGAAAGGTGATTAGTGTTTGGTAGTTGCAGAGTTGCATTCATGATGAGTGGGCTAGTGGCAACTACATGCACCCGCAGCAAATCGTTTTTATCATAGTATTTACACATGCAACACAAAGAAACAACCATAATCAAAAACAGTGCACTTAACATGCCTTTGGTGAAATTCAGCCACATGCTTATTATACCAGTAGAAAATATTTCAATTTTGTGCTCCGTGGCAAAAGTATTGCCCAGTTAACATTAAAGAAAAATGTCAGGTTAATTAAGTGTACCATAACTTAAAACTTTAAATTACAGTTCAAATGCATGCATTGCAAATGTCATAATATATAGTTAGAATTGTCTTTTTACATTTCTTATAGTGAGGTATTTAAAGCACAGGAAAGGAAGGGATCAAGGCGTCTTGTTGCACTCAAGAAGGTGATGATGGACAATGAGAAAGAAGGGGTATTAATATTTCCTATTTCAAACAATGTTGTTTTAGCGTTGTGTATGTAGACTGATGTGGTGTTTTCACCCTCCATTAGTTTCCAATCACAGCTCTACGGGAAATTAAAATCCTCCAGCTTCTTAATCATGACAATATTGTTAACCTAATTGAAATATGTCGAACTAAAGGTATGTTCATATATTTCACAATTGCAAAGTCAATTAGAAATGACAAAACTTGGCTATTTACGTTTTTGCCCTCAAGGTTCTAAAAAAAAAATTTTGTTATTTCAGCTTCACCATACAACCGGAATAAAGCAAGCATCTATTTAGTGTTGGAGTTTTGTGAACATGATCTAGCTGGCTTGCTTAGCAATCACCAAGTAAAATTCAGTATTGCTGAGGTAAAAAAGATTGCACAAATGCTGATGAATGCCTTATACTTCATACATAGTAACAAAATATTACACAGAGACATGAAAGCTTCAAATGTTCTTATAACCAAATCTGGAGTCCTTAAGCTTGCTGATTTTGGGCTTGCAAGAGCAATTCATATCAGTGAAGAGAAACAGAGATATACCAACAGAGTTGTAACACTTTGGTGTCGACCTCCTGAATTATTGCTTGGTGAACGTGATTATGGCCCACCTATTGATATTTGGGGTGCAGGTTGTATAATAGCTGAAATGTGGACCCGTACTCCAATAATGCAAGGCAGCACCGAACTACATCAGCTCACGCTTATTAGCCATCTCTGTGGTTCAATTTCTTCAGATGTTTGGCCAGGTGTTGAACAGCTGGAGTTGTATGAGAAGATGACATTGGCTCGAGGTTTAAAACGAAGGGTGAAAGAGAGGCTTAAAAGTTATGTTCGTGATGTGAATGCTTTGGATCTTATTGATAAAATGTTGATGCTTGATCCAAAACAAAGGCTTGACAGTGATGCTGCTTTGAATCATGACTTCTTCTGGACAGACCCAATGCCATGTGATATATCTCCTACCTTAGCGAGGCATAACCAATCCATGTTTGAATACCTTGCACCTCCACGTAGGGCTGCAGGATTACCAGCTGCCAACAGACCCAGAGGTGCTGCAGGTCAGCCTAACACCAGTCAAGCAAATTCATATGCAGATCGAGTGTTTTAAAGTGGTTATAAAACCCCCAGGTGAAGTTAATATTTTAAGTGCATAGTTCATACATACAGCAAGTACTGTAGTTAAAATCAGTAGTTAGAAATGAAGATTTAGGCATACTGCCGGAAATAACTCAAAAAAAAAATAAAGAAAAACATGGTAAAATAACTATCACAATTTGGTAACTTATTGACCATTGTGGTCATTTGTGAGGATTAGAAAATTTAGTTGATGGCTGTGTCTAGTGATGGTTGCTTCAAGGAGAGTCAATCTAGAAGAAGTAGGTCTAGAATTGTTGCAAATCCTGAGGATTTAACTTGTGTTTATTAGTATTATTTTCAATATGTGCCTTCATTTTGTTATTTAAAAATATTATAATTTATAAAAAATAGAAAATAGGAAAAAATGCAAAAAGATTCATGAGAAAACAAATAAGTTTAAACATACATCACATATTAGGTATAGATACTGGGTTTCAATATGATAGTATAGTTGTTGTATTGTATATTAATTGTGTGATATTAGAACTTTTGTGTCTTGAGCAGGCCAGGCTCGTTAGCTGTGTTATAGTCTTGTAGCTTATAAATTGAAACTTGTCTTTGGAAAATGTCGAACCTGCGTTCTCGTTGATGAAAATTTTTCTATTCCTTTTATCCTAATGATAATAATGTCCACCATTTATGCATTTTCCTACCTATATTTTGCTTCATCTAATGGCATTTGACATTTTCCAAGCTAGTTTTGAAAGTTTATGTATCATTCGTTGACTGTTAAGCATGTGAAGTAACAAACTTTTATCACAAAAAAAAAGTCAAAAAGAAACGCTAAAAAATAGCATACAATTTTAATAAACATATATAAAACCATAGAAGGTCAGTATGTATGTATTTTACTAAACATGTATACGATAGGTAAATATATTGCTGTATGTTCATCAGTTCATGTTATTTTTCTATTTATTACTATTAAATAAATGTAATGGAAAACAATCAATAAATCATCCAACTCTTAACTATCGTCTTTCTGTGCTCATTATGGTCAAATCTGGCAACCTTGTTAGAAAACCGGCTCAGGTGCTCATGCCAATGAGCACGGTCCCAAATTTGTGCGGTTCCGTGTAAACGGAGCCTTAATTTCATCTATAGGAGGGGAAGTCCTCTACGTCTGAAAATCCATTCCCCCCACTTTACCTGCTGCTATTAACACTGTCAACCCAGAGTTATTTTGTGTGAGTCCAATTAGGCTAATACTCATAGTGCAACTGTCAACTGATATAATGAACGGCTGTCCGAGTTGGGAAAATATTTCGAGGCATTTTCATGCTTTGTCTATGGGTGTGTTAAAAAAACTAGGTCGTAAATTCAACACATTGATTTCAAAACATCGCGAGCAAGTCCTTCGTGAATTATTTTGGATGAGTATGTGGTAGGTTTAGATCGTGTGGTAGATTTAGTTGTCGTTATATTCTGTCGGCTTTGTCGATTTGAGAAGAGGAAATAGTATTGTCGAAAACTGAAAAGAAATCACCTACGTTTCCCTACAAAATACCTCTTCGCCGTAGGGACTCCCTACTCCCCCACCAAAAGCATCCCCCACCCAGCCCACCGTAAGGGAATTTCCCTAAAGCCCGTTCTCCACTAGGCGAATCAACCGCGTACCCAGGGGTCTTTTCTCTGTGCTCACTACGGGGTGGGAAAGCGATATCTGAAATCCGGTGATGTGATTGGTTTGCGAAAAAAATTCGCCGCGAAAAAGTAAAATCGCAGCCTGCATGACAGGTTGGTAGCGCAGCATGCGCATTGGCATGGTGGTCCTAAAATTGGGCAAATATACATATAGGATTCATACCTCTGGAGATGTAATACGAAATGTGGTTATAGATCATAGATATTGACTGATATTCCACGTTCCCCAGAAGAGAATATGGCGGCTTGTTCACGCAGAATAATGATCTGGAGGAAAACTCCAGCAGCGAAATTACTGTTTAGTAAACAAGAGTGTTCGTTTTGTTTACGTTTCTTCAGCGAAGCAAAGGGGTTTCCACTCAATAAACCATTGCCAAATATGAAAGCACCAAATTCATCAGTAGTTCTTGATTCCTATGAAAGTAATGAAACTAAAATAACAAAATTAGAGAATGGTCTTACAGTTGCATCTGAAGAGTCGTTTGGTCAATTTTCTACAATAGGCGGTAGGTTAAAGTGGTATATTTATTCCTATTTGATGTATAAATTTTAGAATCAATGGTACAGCTAATGATGGCTTTGAGGTGGTTCCAGCCTTCCAGGTTGTACATAGTACCATTATTTTCCTCATGCACCATGTAGTCAGAATTCTGAATTTTATTGTACCAAAAATGTAGGAAACCACTGATCTCATCATTCTCATGCAACAAGACACCCTGAGCAGTTCTGTCGTTTAGACTTTTTTTCCTCAGGCCCTTATTAATTAGGTGATCTTAAGATCACTGATCTTAAATAATCAGAATGTAAACGTCTGTATTTCGTTGTATTTAAACCAGCAATTATATTGATTTAACACTGCTGCATGCATGTAGAAATATTGTATTACATCAGCCACCTATTGTATTACCAAGTCATTTGGCTTTTGTTGAGTATGAGAAGGGAAACCTTGACACATTCAGTTTAATTATTATATCTTAATATCTAGTTCTTATTGATGCTGGTTCTCGATATGAAGTTGATCATCCAGGTGGGCTGTCACATGTTATTGAGAAAATGGCATTTAAGGTAAGTTGTATAATTGTGTTTGGCTATATATAACTTGAAGTACCTTATCATACGAAATAAATTAGTGTATCTATTATAATAAATGCAGATTTTAAAACTGATTATTTATAGCAATAAATAAATTGATCCATGTGTCATTAGTAAAGTGCATTGTAAAGTTTCATCAAGTTACAATGTTGTTCTGAGAAGTTAAAAGAGGTTGGCTATGGGCATGGCATGTTGAGAAGTTACTAATTAGTATAGCTTGGGATTATAATCTGAATATATAATCTTTAATATTTAGAGAACAAAGCAGTTCAAATCTAATGAAGAAATCTTGAATGAGCTTGAAAAGCATGGTGGGAATGCTGATTGTCAATCATTTCGGTAAGAAACTGCTGGATAAGGAAAGCCTTTGTTTGAATTAATGCCCTGCCAGGGTGCTTTCTTACACATTGTATGTACTAGTAAATGTACTGACCTGTAATTTATATGTGCTTACCATGGAAAACAATTTTTCCAACTGTTCAGAACAAATTAAAAATATAAAATGAAAACTAGACTGCCCGTTTTGGCTACCAAATGGAGCAACTTTTGTCATACCATTTGTTTCAAACTACACATTATTTGTACTAAAAGAAGCACTTTGTTCATCTCTTTGTTTTAGGGATGCCATAGTATATGCCACATCTACTTTTACTGAGGGTTTAGAAATGGTTATGAATATTTTATCAGATGGAATTTTTAGACAAGATATTGATGATGATCTTGTAAGAAAGAAACTATGATTATTGTATAGATTTTTCTGAAAATTATACAAAATTGAATATAATATAAGTATCCATGGATATTTAATGATAAAACTGTTTGATAGTTGATTTTATGAGCTTGCTTTCTGATGGGTGAATTGACTGCACTAAACATATTTAGGTGGCAAGCCAAAAAGAGGTTGTTGAATTCGAACTGGAAAATTTGGAGTTGAGTCCAGATCCTGAACCTATTCTAACAGACTTGATACATGCTGTATGTATATTAAACATTCAAATCTTTTGCATTTACCTGTATTAACTTTGCTGCTCATAAATATAACTGGAAAAGAATCCTATAGAACACCAATTTGATGTGGCAAATTTGGGGTGATTTGACATGTATATGAAATCATATTCATTTTATCCAAAGTAGGCTTTTAACAAAAAGATAGGTTAACTGACCCAGATCTACCAATGAATTGCCACACCCTTTCCCAAAAATCTACCACTTCTGTTTCCTTTTGTAGTTTCTAGTAGACTGTTTCATATATAGATTTATGTGTTACATAGAAAACCACTAATACTTCTTCTCCGCACGATGAATGAACCATTACATTAGCACTAAACACTAAAAAAGTTGTCATTCATTTTTACCTAATCTCACAATACTCTTTCTTCTATTCTAGGCTGGTTATCGAGATAACACGTTAGGACTGCGCAAACTTTGCCCTAGAGAAAATCTCTCCAGTATTAACGCATCAGTTATGAAAGATTACATGTCACGATATTACGAGCCATCAAGAATGGTTCTTTCGGCGGTCAATGTAAATCACGAGGAGACAGTCGAGCTGGCCGAGAAATATTTTGTCAGCGCAAGTACAACCTGGGACCACAACGAAGTGACATCAACAGACCAGTCAGTCGCACAATTCACTGGTGGAATTATTACAGTATGTTCATTATCCGATAAAATCAGTTACTATGTTTATCCCTGCTTTAGAGAGGTTGGATATCATTGTGTTTGAGATATCAGACTATGCCGCTTCATTTCTGTAAGGGGAGTCAATTTCATCGTTCTACGGGATAGGCACACAATCCTGAAGTGGAATTCAATTCTTGAGATGGAATTGTATAATTTTGTCTGCAGCGAGTAACTTTTCTTTAAGAGTTAATAAATATTCATTTTCAGGAACATCGTGCAGAGTCGCAATTAAACCTTGGTCCTACACCATTACCAGACCTGGCTCACGTCTCCCTCGGGTTAGAAAGTGTATCTTTTACTGACCCTGATTTCTTCGCCTTTGCCGTCCTTAATGCTCTCATGGGTGGAGGAGGTTCATTCTCAGCTGGAGGGCCTGGAAAAGGCATGTATTCACGACTATATTTGAATGTCTTGAATCGCTATCACTGGATCTACGCATGTACGGCATTCAATCACAGCTACGTGGATAGTGGAATATTTTGTATCAATGCAAGCTCTCATCCAAGCCAGGTGAGTGCATGATCATGCCATAAACCTGGGAGATGTTTTCAATTATTTCTTCATTTCGAGAAATTATGGGCGCCTCTTGTTTTACTGGTTATAAGATACACACGTTCCTCCAAGGTTCCTTTCTTTTTTCTCTCTCTTCTAAATTATTACCTTTATTTCAGCTTCCTAATCTGGTTCAGACACTTCTATACGAATATTTCAATTTAATACGTGGTGAATTTAACGATGTAAGTTACTGTATCTTTCTCTTTAAGTAACTTTCGATCACCATAAATGTTGATAAATAAGAAGGCATTCGATCTCGTTCATATTTTCAGGTTGAGGTCTCGCGTGCCAAGAAGCAGCTTCAATCAATGCTGATGATGAACCTGGAATCTCGTATTGTAATGTTTGAAGATATTGGAAGGTGAGTATTCTAACTATTGACCTGATAATTCTTCTACCACTATGTCTTTAATGTTATGTTGGATTCACCCCAATCTTTTGGGTTTTGAGTGATCTCACTTTCAGAGAGACACCCTTCACGGGTGCGCAGTAAGCTCATTCAATCAACGTGTGTCACCTGTGTTCATAGAACTAATCAGATTATCTGAAAGATGTCATAGAAATCTTATAGAACTTTGATAGAACGCGTGACAGCAAGATTTCAGCAAAAATTTAGTGTTTTATCTTTTTTGTCTATTGCAGACAAATTCTCGGACTCGGGGAACGACACTCCGCGCAAGAGCTGTACGAGAAAATCGGTAAGTTTCACTGTAATACTTAATTGTTTAGTGGCTTTATTTAGACATAAAGTTTATTCACAATGTTCTTTCATGACAACACGTGTTATAATTCAAGATGTGTAATGTTTTTTAAATCATCCGATCTGAAACTCTGTTTCTCACCTGTGGAGGAGGTAGGGTTCTTTTACAGTAAACTTTAAACCATTTTCCCTAATTTAGAATCTGTAACTATTAAAGACATGGAAAGAATATCAGAAAGATTATTAACATCGAAACCAGCTTTGGCTGCTTATGGAGACCTAAATAAACTGCCTTCATTTAAAGACGTTGAGAAAGCTTTAGTAAACGATGGTAAACTTTCACCTTCAAGATTTTTCCTATTCAGATGATACGGAAAGAACTAAAAGATGTAAAACATTTATTATATAAAATGTTCTGTATATTCATTCATTCTGTTTTGTTTTGTGAGAATTATTAGTGCATGTGATAACTGATAAGTGTCACCACCGTGGTGTCACTAAGCCACCTAGGCCTAAGGTGTTTAGGGTTTCCGTAGATTAGGAGTTTTGACCTCATTCATAAAGATAATCCTAAAACACAGACCAGTCAGTGTACCAGGTGTACTGTAACTAGATTTCAAAACGCCGTGGTCCCATTTCAAAGAAGTAGAATGGAATTGCCTAGAAGGTCTGTGTCTAGCCTGAAGGCCAGAATTGCCCCGGTTTTCACACCACAGAAAAGCACAGAAAACGATTTACTATAATAGTCTATATGCGTAGCAGGAGCGACAGCAACATGAGAGCAAATCAGTCATGCAGGATACGGGACTGGCATCTTAATATCTTGGGAATTCATCGCCCCCCCCCTCCCTCCCTAGTGTGATTCCTTTCGCCTCTGTCCCCGAGCCTTTGCTCATTCGTTCCCAGCTGAAAATAGTGAAAAGTCTTGGGTGAGCTGTGGTTAAAAAAAACTCAATTTAACCCGTGACTTATTAATATAGCTCAGTGGTCACTGGCTTACCGCTGTGTGATTATCAAAATATTTTTATTCGAAGTTCATCTTTGTTCTGCATCAAGAAGGTCCACCAAGATCAGATGTAAACCAAAATGTAAACTGACTGAACAAGATGTTTCGTCGGGCGTTAGAGGCAGGATTTCGCTTACTAAGGCCTGTGATAAATAGAAACGGTAGAAACGGTATGTTATGTAATATTATTCAGTTAATTTGAGGGCGTTTTAACAATCCACTGTATATATAAACAATTACGTCTAGTGTATTAAAAGTGCATTGTAAATTTTCATCAAGAGCGACTGACATGAGAATAGGTCTATTTATTCGCTGACCCCCAGCGAAAGAGTCATGTGTAGAGCCTTGATGAGAGTTGATACAATGATACTTTATAATTATGTGAATCATGGTGCATACCTGGGGGTCCATACCTGGGGGTCCATATACCTGGGGGTCCATATACCTGGGGGTCTATACCTGGGGGCATCATTAAGTGCAAGATTTCATTTCCAAATGAACAGTGTCTGAAGTTTAGGGAAGAATGTGCATGGACTATTTCCAAACCATCCTTGCAGTAATTTGGTAATACTCAATGAATTTGTCATTGTTTTAGGCATTCGCAGTGGAGCTCATTCTAGTTATTCAAGCCATGAAAATGTTGTCCTACAAAAAACTAGTAAACAGCCTGAGAACTTCAAAACCTTTTTCTTTTCCCTCTGGCTGCGGAATACCTCAAGAGTTTCACATGTTAGATGTAAGTAACATGTCTATTCGACACTTATTTTGAAGTTTATTCTATGAGATTTCAATGAATATGTCTTACTGTATGTACAGTAGGCAACCCAATCTTCAGTCAAATGGTGAGAAACAGGAGAAACCCAACCTCTCTGTTTTTGGCTTTTGTTGGATTCACATATTTAGGTAAGTAACTCAATAATCTAAAACTAAAAGTGATGGGAGTGCAGATGTAAATAAGAAATATACAGGTAGCGTGTGTCCATATCAAAGCCTATAGTGTGTCCATATCAATGTTAAATTGCATTTATTTCAATTTTAGCCATTATATGATGATCGATTAACTGCTGTCATGACCTCTCACATCTACCTCTTACATCTCTAAGTTTAGTTGTATGACATTTTAGGAGAGAATGAAAATGGTAAATCAAGGTCTGATTCATGCTCTTTCAAAGAACAACAATTACATCCCTGCCTACAGGATATGTTACAAAAAACAGAAATGGTAATAAAACTGGGCAAACTGCAAAACAACAATAACTAGAAGTTTGAATATTTGGAAACATTATAAGCTAGAAGAAATCCAGCCTGTACATGGCTGGGTGTCAATAGAATCAATCCATATTAATATATTCTGACACCAGGCTGATTTCTATTGAAAGTAAAATTGTTTTCAAAAGAAATTAGCCAGGCATAGCAAAATATATTAATATGGTCCCCCTCAATGTCATTATTAGTTACTGTTTATAAAACTAAAATCATGGTTTTCACGTACGTCTGTATTTTGTACAATTTTTCTTAAATGCGTTAATTGATTTTTCAGAACATTCCTGAAAAGCCTTTTAACCACAATGGAAAGTCATTGAAAGATTATCACATCAAAGAGCGTCTTGGCAAAGCTTCTTGCAATTCAGCCGTTTATGCTGCTGAAATTAATGGAGAACAGCCTGAACAGGTCTATAAATATTTCGCTTATGATCATTACATGACATTTAGTTTCGATATATGACATATTATTAATCAATGAATTTTAGTATGCTATAAAGATGCTGCACAACTATAGAACTAACTCTAAAAGTGTATCATTGACGAAGGTGAGTAAAAATTTAATCCCAAAATTTGGGACTCACAAGATTTGAATAATGGAAATTTAGTAAATGTCTAAAATTTTGGTAGGCTTTTTCCAAAGAACTTGCCATCTTATCAAGCAATGAAGAAACCCAAAACATCAGAGGTAGATATTTAAAAAGACTATCAGGTGCAACCATTATAAGAAATATAAAAGAAAAAACCCAAAGAATAAAGCTGTGATCTTATAATAATTATTAAAAAAATTATTAGCATTCTGTTTGATCATTAATTTAAACAAATTGATGATATGAAGAATCCATATACAATAACTAAAAGGTTAAATTTTAATGCATCAGAATGTTGATTAATTAAAAATATTCCTAATTTTTTGTGATTTGAATAAATGTCATTTGACTTATTTATTTCAGATGAATTAGGGTACACAAACCTACAAGATCATTATAATGTGATCAAAATTTTGGGACATTTTTCTGACGACACCCCAGAGTTTTATGATGCAAAGGAAAGTTATCCTGCAGCATTACCATCACGTTTGAATCCTGGAGGATATGGACGCAACAGAACAAAGTTTTTTGTCATGCAAAAGTATGTGATTTGAGTTACTGATTTTGACATTTGAAATGAAATTTTAAAATAACATTTAAGATAATGACAGTTTAAAATAATATAACCATAGTTGTTTGATCCATTGAAAATGCACCTGTGACATAACAATGTTGGTTCTATCATGCGTGTATGATTAAGATTTGTGACGATTTCACCTCAGGTACTAACCTGGGGCAAGTTGTATACAACTCCCAACTACACCCTTTTTCAAAGTTAACATGCGCAGGCATTAGGCATTGTAAACATTAAAAAAAATGAGCAACAATAATCAATACCTTCATCGTTGACTGTCCAGCCAGTAAGAGATCCATCTCTTTCACATCAATATAGATTCCCAGGAACACTTCAAGATTACATTTCAAAGCATAAAGACAATCTTGATACCAGAAAATCAATCGCTCTCCTAACACAACTTCTTGAATGCTTGCTTCATCTTTACAACAAGAAAGTGGCACATCGCGATCTGAAAAATGATAACATTTTAGTTGATGACAACGCTGACGGACTGCCTCATTCGGTTGTAACTGATTTTGACTGTGCTCTTGCGGAGAGGGAGATTGGTTTTGATATGCCTTATGAGACAGATGAAACAAGCAAAGGAGGAAATTGGCTTCATATGGCCCCAGAGGTAAAGAGAAAGATCCCATAAATCCGGGTGTCCCCAAAAAAGTTTAAATCTATTAAAATCATTAAGGGTACTATTTTTGGGACGCATTGTATATAGATCTTGTTCGTGTACGTAAATATACTTTAATACGTACGTCCCAAAAAACACTAAACATAATCCCACTGTTATAACTTGAACGCCTGGGTGCTATACTAAACATCAGCTTAACTAGCTCTGCATGATTACCATAAATGTCGACATTACAAGGATTTCTTTTTGTTAGTGCAATCCGTCGAGCATTACAGTTCAGGACATAATAGTTACAATATTACATATATTACTGTTTTCAGATTGCTTTTGCAAAACCTGGTCGAGGCAAAAAACTTGATTACAGTCGTTCTGATGGTAGGTAATGATAGATTGTAAAATAAGCTAGGTAATATCGTGTTTCGGCTTTTATCAGATGTTGAAACCACATTATATCAGTCAAAAACTCAATTCAACAGACCCACCCCTTGACGCAATACACAAGAGTAATATGACTGAGCGTTGCCGTTGCTGTGCGAAATCTTCAACATTTCTGTTGCAGAGTGGGCAGCGGGTGCACTTGCCTATGAGATGTTTGGTCAGAAACATCCATTTGATGACCCAAATTTAAAGAAAGAATCCTACGAAGTTACTGAACTACCTGAGTTGAAAGGGTCTGTACTGTTTTGACTACCTCTTCCACAAGTATAATTTCAATCTGGCTCCCGGGTACGGGGTTGGTACAATTTTTAATACGCGCTTTGTGTTTAGAGCGCCGAAAGCTATCCAACGTTTGGTGAAAGAGCTTTTACAAAGACATCCGAATGACAGACCTGATATTTCATTAGCCGCTACAATATGCCAGCTGTTGCTTTGGAAGCCGTGTATGGTGCATAGCAAAGAAGCTGTCAGTCGGTAGTAATTAGTATTGTAGCTTTCTATAAATATTTCCCTCCAATCAAGATGAAAAACTAAACATTTGAAATTTTATAGCTGGCTTGAACAAGAAACTTGGACTCTGAGGTTTGATTTATTGAAATACCAATTTAATGAAGAAGAGATTCCAGTTGAAAAACAGGTCAGTTATTGTGGTTATGCACAACAGGTATTTCCAATTGCGACCCAAAGTGCCGTGATGTAGCCCCAAATTTAGCAATAGTGACAATGGCAATCCAAAAAGCTTTCAAATAATGTTTTGCATCTTATCATAAAAGTGCAGTTCATTACTGTGGATTCACTACTTTTCACCTTCTCACTGAGTCGTCCGACCTTGATGTTTTTCCGATTTCACAAGTGTTTTTCCTTTCTTCTAGATCTTACTAACTTTTTTACGTCGCGCGTCTATTGACGAAACCATGAAAGCCATAGAATGGCTAAATCAAAGGGAAACTGAAGACTAGACGTTAAGAACAAGATGACAATTGGGCTTGCATGAATATATAAACTGCAGTCTGTAGATGTTACTGTTGCATAAAACGTATCCCTCATTTATTTATTTTTGTTTAGCGTATAGTATATTTCTTGAGAATAAAATGTTTATTTTCGTGCTATTATCTTCCTCCGAATGCAACGCTGTTGTTTCAACGTTATACGAAAGACTCGGGCCGCTTTTCGGCTCATTCGATTGCGGTTACGTACGCCGCTTTTCGGCTCATTCGATCGCAATAAAGAAGGTGGAGAGGCCACCCACTAAAACGTAAAGCGACATGCCCCAGACTACATTCGTATCAAAAGCTTTCGGCTCGCCTTATAACTCCTTAGGGCTCGTCTAACTAAGGAGGGGCGAGGAGACCGGCTAAGAAGGTCTAAGAAGGTGTAACTCGTGTTATTCGTTTAAAGGGGCTTAATTAAGAAGATCTAAAGAGCGAGGGAAGGCCAAGCTCCAAAGGGGGTTAAACGCTAGTTTCCACTCAGGAAAAATCTCCTTTGGATCGGAACGGACAGGAAAATTTCCTTTGTCGGTGCGTTCTCAGGCGGTGTTTATACAAAGGAAACTTTCCTGTCTACACTATAATAGGGACCACATAAAGTAATTTTCACTCAATTTTCTACAACCGCTGTAACCTTACACATCGGCTCACATGCACATGTTGCTAATTGTGCTTTGCATTTCTACGAAAACTATTTAGAAATTTCTTATTTTTTTGTAAATTTTCCATCTAAAGCAAGAATGTCTGACGATGAAATTGATGTCCCAGCTGTAAAGAAACAAAGGATATTTTACGGAAGCCTTGAGGAAACAATAAGAAAACTTGAGATCGAGCATTTGAAGAAATCTGAAAATCAACAACAACAAAATATCAATGTCTCAGATGGTAAATATTTTCTAAAAATACCATTTAACTGATTGCATCAATTGCATAATGTTTATCAATATCTAAGCCTGAGGAAGTAGCTCAGTTTAAGTATAGTCAAGTACCCAATGATTGCTTTACCCTAACCAATCAACCATGTACCATATACTTTCACACATTAGACAATATATACCAGAAGTTTCGCTCATTGTATTTACCTAATGTTTTCCTGTCTGGGGGCATATGTACTTGTGCATTTGGCTTGTGTTAGATAGCCTCACTCTCTCAAAGCATTTTGGAAACATTTAAGCTGAATTGCAAGCATGTGAATTGTGAGACCTGCATCTGTCATTGCACTTGTCAATTTAACTCTATCTTGAGCACTCAGTCTTAGAATGTCTAACATACTGATTTAAATAAAGGTCAGTGCTTCTCCCCTATAGTAAATGGTTTAAAACTAATGAAAACTATACGCAATCAATTTGACTTGACATTAAATATTTCAGGGCAATATTTGGATCTATCAGAAGATAAAAACACTGAAAGATATCAACAACTTTTAGCTGATTTTGAAAAACGAAAAAAAGTAATGTTTTTTAAATTTTATAATCACTTGTTTCTTAATTGTTTTTCAATAACTACTGTATATGTGATGTTACTCGATATATATAGGCTCGCACAGTTGTTGTACCAACAAATGACGCTGAAGTAAAAGCAAGATTGAGAGAACTTGAGCAGCCTATTTGTAAGTACACCTGCATAACTATGATTCTATGATTCCTGCATGTTTGCATGCACTTGTTGTTACTTATTGTATATTTTAATTAAACTATTCTTAATTCTTAGGTTTATTTGGAGAAGGTCCTGTAGAAAGGCGTGACAGATTGAGAAAACTTGTCGCTGAATTTGGTAAGGATGTAAATGAACATTCAAGGACATAATTTTAAAATGTATTAAATCATTTTCCCTTTATTTAAGGGGATGATGTTGAGAAGGAACCAGAACCTGTCACTAAACAGGAGAAAAAGGTCAGAAACATTCCCATTGTTTCCTCATTTTAGCTTCATTTAATATTTTTTTAATTTTATATTAGGATGAAGAAGAACAAGAAGTTTGGTACCATGAAGGTCCACCTGAACTGAAAGTCTCTAGAATATGGATTGCAAATTTTTCATTTCCTAGGTAACTACTTAATATAGATAATGCTCCTAATTTTTACCTATAGCAAGTTTAGGAAGTAATTTTATTGCTGCTGTTGTTCTATTGCTTTAATTTGGACGTGTACGTAGCATTTATCAAAACTAATTATTTAGGGCAAATGAAAGGTTGAAAAAGGCTCGGGTTTTACAAGCGAGGCCAGATGCTGAGAAAGCAGCAAAAACACAAGAACTTCATAAAAGGTTACGAGTGAGTAATGTGCAACTATTGCAATTAAGCTGTACTTTCATAATGTAAGACAGACTGTGTAATTAATACTACAGGCCTTTGACAATTGAATTGTCTGATACTCTGATTTATTTCTTAGGCACTTGTAAACTCCTGCAGTCAGATTGGAGATGATCGACCATTGTCATACTGTCAATTTTCACCAAACTCTAAAATGCTGGCAACTTGCTCATGGTGATTAGTTAACAGTTCTATTTCTGTTCCTATTTGTTCTCTTGTGAACAAAGTTATCCAATATAATGTGTTTTTTTTTTCAGGAGTGGATTATGTAAATTGTGGTCTGTACCAGACTGTTCATTGATCAGAACCTTGCGAGGTCATAATTCAAGAGTTGGTGGTGTAGTATTTCATCCTCAGGCTACAGTTTCTTTAGAACCATCTGTTCCATGCATGGCATCTTGTGGTGCTGATGGTGATGTAAGGTTGTGGAACATGGAATCGTAAGTCAAGACACTACATGCTTTAAATACCTTGATGTAATTGGTTGTGTTGTGAAATGTTAGTAAGACCCTATTTCTATTATTTTATTCAAAATTAATGGATATGTTATGTTACTATATCAAGGGAAACACCCATTGCAAATATTGAAGGTCATGACAAACGAGTATCTCGTATTGCATATCATCCGTCAGGAAGATTCCTTGCGACATGTTGGTTAGTACTGCACATTATTGACGGAACGGTTTCTCTCCCAGAAGTAAATCAGTGTAAAGCTTTAGTTTTACACTTACTAAACTGTATACATCATTCTATGTACAACATGGGAAAATTACAACAAAAATAAGATGAAGAAAATTTTAGCTTGCTCAGTAATATTCCCCTCTTTGGGACCTTTGTCTTTTGTTTTTTTGACATGCTTTTTTTGGTTTAGTTTTGATTATTCGTGGAGACTGTGGGACTTGGATCAACTCAAAGAAGTATTGCATCAGGTGAAGAATTTCATTTCATTTCGTATGATTATCCTACGAGCAAAATCATACATACTATATACAAGCTATGTTAGAGGGTTATGTGTACATATATACTGCAGTATCTAAATTATAAATTACAGGAAGGTCACTCGCGAGAAGTTTACCATATTGCCTTTCATCCTGATGGTTCACTGACAGGAACATGGTAAGATATGGTTGTAGTAAAATGAATAGAAGTGATATAGAAGTGTGCAAGCTGTCATTCTACCTTTTAGTGGCTTAGATGCTCGTGGTCTTGTTTGGGACCTAAGAACGGGCCAATGTGTCATGCCTTTAGATGGTCATCTACAAAAAGTCTTGGCTATCGACTTCGCACCTAACGGGTAAAAACCATTCTTCATCTTGATCATTAAACCACTGAAACTGTTTTTATGAGATATGAAACACTTGTCAGTACAGATCAGTTTATATAAAGTATCTTAAGTTTCTATTTGTAATATTAGGGATGGTGAGACAAACGTTGTATAGGGATTAGGGAGAGAGATAGTTGGGGTAAAGAGTCGTAAACGGCGAAAGCAAATTGTCTTATCTTTGGCCGCATTGTTATCGTGTAGGTACCACGTAGCTACGGGCAGCGAAGATCAGAAAGTCATGATTTGGGACTTGCGAAAAAGAAAAGCAATTTACACAATTCCGGCGCATACAAATCTGATCTCGTATGTTAAATTTCATGGTAGGTGGACGTTATTTACTTAAAATATGTCTAATATAGTTGACCAAGGCGTATCAGAAATCAAGAACATGTGAAAAACTCGCTTCGTTGGTTTTAAAATTTTTCAGTTTGTTCACTGCAGAAAATATAAGAGAAAACACACTCCGAAAATAAACATCTTGTAAACCCAAGAATTGAGTTGTTAAAAACAAGACACAATATTCAATGTGATATTTCGACTCTATTTCAAAGTCATTGTCAAACATAGAGTCGAAATATCACCTTGAATATTGGGTCTTGTTTTTAACAACTCATATCTTGGGTTTACAAGATGTTTATTTTCGGAGTATGTTTTCTCTTATATTTCGCAAAACTGTCTGCTGGAAAAGGTTTTTCGACAAATCACTGCAGAACTGTCAACTTTCATAGACATCGCGGGAAAGTCTTCTGTCAGACATGCAAAGAATTTGCAATAATACATACGCGATTATGTTTTGACTTACAAGTAATATAATTAGACAACGTTCATGTGTCTGGTTTGTCTCAGGAATAAAATTAATTAACTCTGGAATAAACTTTTATAGATCAATATTTGTTGTCTGGTTCTTATGACTGCAAAGTAAAGGTAAGTGTTATTATTTGTTACATTTATTGTTTTATGCATGTGTGTTTGTCCTTTTTGTATCATCATTCTCTGATTGTATTTGTCAGGTCTGGACACATCCAGGTTGGATTCCTTTAAAAACTCTAGCTGGTCATGAACAAAAGGTGTCGTGTGTGGATATTTCCAAAGGTAACGCGTTATATCCTAATATTACACCAATCCTCCATCAATTAGATACCATATTTGACTTATTTTTGTTTAGATGGTCAGTTCATCGCGTCCAGCTCTTTCGATAGAACATTTAAACTTTGGTCAACAGAATGATTCAAGATTATGTCTTACTAACGGCAACCCAAAGCTACAACACTCCAGTTTTTCTTGAATTACGTTCATTGTGAATCAACCAACACCCTCGTTCCCTGGCTTTCCCTCTGTGTAACTGAGGTGCAAGTAATCCAAGAGCGTATTTAACAACGAATTGTGTTGAACGATGGAACAAAATTAAGACAAAATAAAGTCTTTCGATATATACATGGCCGTTTTGGTTAAGGCTGTTTCATTAACCCATTTTCCACAGTAGGAAAAACATTGTACATGTAAAAAAATCGCTTCGAAAAAATATACCGTTTCCTACTTTTTCAGGTAGACACAGACCGGACGCGATGTGGCAACGCGGCGCGAAATTTTCAGTTTTCAGAATGACATAAAAATTAAACTCTAGAAGAAAGTTTTGGAACCTATGAACGCCAGAGCAATCAAAATGTTTTATTGTTAATAATCTACAAGAATATTATGATAGGTTAAAATTTATTTGCTATTGGGAAGTGAAAAACTTTGAAAAATTGCAAGGCGTTGTCGCGTCACGTCCTTTCTGGAAATTCTGGGTGGGCCTTTATCAGTTCTTGCGAATGAATTTCCCTAGTGGATTTACGCAGCCTGTAATAACAATACATTGAGACAGTGGTGAAGAACTAACTGCAGTAGTGAAATTATGTTTGTTTTTTACTCCTCTGTTCGACATATTTGCAATACAGTGTATGAAACAAACCTGAAAAACTTCGCCCAATAATAAACAAATATATGCAACAATGTGCAATGCCTAATCTAAGAATTACAGCACCTGGCTTGACGGGATGTAAATGCAGAATTCAATTTTAATATTTATGGCAGTGTTTTATTTCATCTCCTGCTAATTGGTAAATTAAAAATTGACAGGGGTCAGTTGTTGTAGGCCAATAACAGTCTTAAACGTAACTACAGAAGTGCATGAGTGTAAACGTAGTCTTCAATGTATTCTTCGTGAATAATGAATTGGATTTAGTACGTGAGCCGTCAAAAGTTGGTGAAAGGGTGAGCTGTCCAGCTCGTTAACACAATCTAAATACTCTAAGTGGACGACTCTTGTTATTTAGGTATTCGTGGCGCTTTGCATTGTGATTATTAAGTGGAATTACTGATATTTGAAACGGTTAATTTTTGTTCCGACTCGCTGTAAGAGCTTCTGAAGTAGAGATGAACAGGTGCATGTGTCTCGGAAAACAGCCAGTGCCCAGAGTTTCATAAAAATTGGTTTAAAATTTGAGCGTAGGCAATAAAACCCTGGGTACAAGGCCGTGGACGGGCATAGAGCTTATCGAGAAACAATATATAGACATCAATCCAGTATATTCTTGAGTGGAGATCAGTAAATGATAAAAATAGTGATGAAACGTAAACAATACAGTGTGTCCCCAAAAAAGTACCCTCGACAACAAAAGAATGATTTCAATAGAGGATGCCTGGGAACACCCTGTATATTCTGAAGGGTGTCTCAAACAACTCATAACAATGTAATATAGCTAGAGTTTGAATGCCTAAGCATCTTGTTGGGGCACACAAGTGTATAAATGTTTGACGACATAAGCATTTTTATGCATGATGGCAGTAAAATTTGTTTGTATCCACAAATGATTTTATTTTATTGTTATTGGATAGCAATATTTAAATTTACAACTCAAGCACTATGACCGCGTCTACATGTCCTTCTTCTCAAGCAAATTTCATCATTTTTTGATTCCATCATTTTAGCATTTTATAAGTTGCGTTAATCCCCAGGAGCAAAAATTCGCGAACAGGTCATTCAAATTTAACAATAGTTGATTTTCAGGATAGTTTTTGCTTTTTGAGACACCCTGTGGTGACAATTGAAGTCATTAAACATGCATTTTTTATGAGGCAAAGCAGTTTGTTCTGGTTGGGTTATTCCATTCATCTTTCAAACAAACATGACTCTTAGATATAATAATTAGAGATCTTTATTAACGAATGGTTTCACTATCGTAAATCGTCGTTTGATGTTGATTGTCTGCAGTTACTGATGCATAAAATGCTTTGTCGGCCTTGCACTCTGGCAGGACTGAAAAATTTAGAGAGTCGTAGAGAATCGCACGATGACTTGAACGATGAATGCCAACCATCAGAGCGATCAAAACTGAAAAATGTTAACGGTTTGAAATTCATGACTATCCGTGGTGTCTGACAAGTATTTCTGCGGTACAAAGAAAATCGTTGCACGTGTGGAATTCTCTACTAGCCAATATAATGAATATTTAAGCATGGTTAATATAGCGCGGTATATTTATCGAGAGTAAAGCTGCATATCCATGTACGCTGAATTATACCAACAGCGAGAAGACAGTATTTTCACTTTCCATTTAGGGGAAGACAAAAAAACACGTTCTTTTTTTACATAAATGCGCCGTATCCCTCCAAATTTTCTGTTAGATCATTTCGGTTACCTAGCATCGATTGTACTTTTCACTTTTATAATCAAATTATTATAAGGATGACAGGTTTTCATCCCACAATCCTTCGGGATTTGTGAGCAAGAAAATTTGCAAGCCGTCACATGACTGTATATTGCGTTTATTTTGTCGTGATGAATTGAACTTTCGAGAAGTTCATTTTGACGGATTATTTTAAGGCATAAGACACGTTTGTTTACTAGTTTAAAAAGATAAAGAATTAGTTCCATAAACCCGGATTAGTCCACTGTCCACATGCCTTTTTTCACAATGAAGTTTAAAAATGTAAACTATAGTGAGTGGAATACTATATATGAATGACATTTTGGCAGACTACAGCTGTTTTGGTCAATATGTTAGCAGAAAAAATAGTTTTAAAATATTTTGTAATTATGAAGATTCAAGTCAGAACTTCATTTCGGACACGTTTATTAAAACGAAAATACAAAAAGGTTTTCCGGTTTCAAAGATATATTTGAACATAACAAAACATAAATGTATTAGAGTGCATTTTAGCTATCACCGAGCAATATTTCTTCATAGTACATGTCCACAAGGCCTTGTTTGCATGAATATTAATTAATAGGAAAATTTGCATCGACACATTAGCCCATCAATATCATTCACGATAATTTCAAGGCAATGAATTATATAGTCAAAGATTTGAAGCTTTTTGTGAATGTCTCATTCATGGCCACTCGTGCCGCGAAAAGGAATTTTTACCTTCCCGGTTATACATGTAGTTCTAATGGTAAAAACACTTCGTAAGCTTGTCTCCCTTTATCTTTAAACTAATTTTTAATATATTTTATTTTCAAATGCTTGCTTTTTTAATAAGAACAAGTAAAATCCGGCACTGGGTTGGATATTTTCTTTCTCAGCAAGGACTATAAGATTGTCATTGTGCATGTTTGTGACTGTGAAGAAAATCACATCATTCTAGAGCCAGAACAACCTTTTCATATCTCATTCTGGATAATAATTCTCTTCTTGGTGATATTAAACAAATTCTAATATATTTCATTGCTTGCCTTTTTATGTCAGCGTCTGGAGTGTTTTTACACTATACTGAGTAATATAGACTTTTGAAACATTTCTATATCCGTACAATAGTATCCGTACAAGATATATATACGACAGTATATACAATGCTCACAAATGACCGTTTATTCGGACTGTGCATATGCTTTTCAGAGTGTTTACAATTCCAAGATAAATATGCATTTTGAAGCTGTATGACTGTAGCTGGGAGGCTAGACTAACATGACATATCAGCCCTACGAAGAAATTGTACTGATTCATCTTAAAATTTACTATAATCAATAATAATAAACATACATGTCCCACTACAAGTATAAGATTTTAGGCCTAATAATGTTTTCACTTCTGAATATGGAAGCGAAGGAAATTAGCTTGAATTTCGAGCTGCGAGTTTATGCATATTAAACAGAAACGGCTTGCTATTATGTCAGTATGAGAGTTGTGAAATTAGCATACGCTGTGAAGAATCGTCGCTATATGTCGTCCAGTGTTTAAAATGCACGGAATCGTTGTTTTACTGTAAATGTGTTACTGCTATGGGGATGGATGAAAGACGAAAGCACTTTAATGTGTATTTCGTACTAAATTTGAGTTTATAATGTAATATCGCGAGTTTAAAAGAGGCCAGGCAGATGGCTAACTCAAATGATGGACATACAGAGGTGAACCTGAACAGAAAAGATGTTCATCAGAGAATACGTGGAACATTGGTGCCAGTCAGGCAGGGAAATTATTCATTATTCTGCCTTTCGGAGCGGAATTGTGTACGCCAGGCTGCGCGGTTTATTGTCGAATCGAGATATCCTTTTTATATATATATATATATCAACTTAGACGCCCGAAACCTTTGTTCAGGCCTGGCAGAACACGAAGTTTGTATTTTAAATATTTTATGCATCAGAAAGTCAGATTACATTATAGCAAGTTCAATCACAATTTAAATCCCTAGATTTTCGGGGAGTGTTTATCTATAATCCTCCGCTTCTTTAAATCCTAATAAGAACATCGCTTCGTATTATGGATATCAAAATAAATGCATGCATTCAGTGTTTTTGCATATATTTTAAAATTACGTTCCCATGAGACCGGATAGATTTGCGACGCGTTGACGTTTCCACTTGCCTCATAGTTACCAGCCCTTGAATTGCTTTTCAGCTTTTTATATACATAATTTGCTAAAACATTTCTAACACGTTTAAGCATAGCTTGAACTTATCCATGCAGACAAGTGAGAACTATAGAAGCTTATTATATATTCCTTCGTATGTTTTGTTTGTCTTAACCTTAGCTGGTGTTTTCATCTCAACACGACTTTTATTATGACACTGTTCCTTAACATTTCCTACAGCATTTGATATTTTTATTCTAACAACGATTATTGCAAACTGTGTAGTTCTGGCGTTAGACGCACCTTTGCCTAATAATGACAAGAGCTCGTATAGCGATAAACTGGTAGGTATATAATACATTCTCATGTGTATCAGGCTTTTAGGAAAGATTCAGCTGTTTTTTCTATGCATCGCTGCGTGCATTGGCAGAAAAGGGATGTCACTAACATATGCTGCACGCTGCTTTCCGTGTCGGAACTTTACTTAGGGTTCCTCGTAGATTTGAGTGACAGCTAAAATAAAGCATGAACCGGAGCTTCTTCAGTATAGAATTCTAAAACGCGTTTAGCGTTTATATAGACACGTCTTACACGTCTTTTAGATGTCATGTAACAACATTTAGCTAAATATATGAGAAGGAAAGAAGGTTTCACAGGGCTAAAAAAGTAGTTTGGGATATTGTTTACTGATGTCTTAGAATATAAAGCAAAATTGCCTGTTTGTGGTTATTTTGTGGTAGTTGAAACCCTCTCACTATAAATACATGGAAAACCGCGTTAAGACGTGACGATAACAGAAATAAGTTTGATAATATGCCTATACAAATATATGACTGTGTCAATAAAACCCTAATGAACTGCAAAGAGTTTGTGGTATACTGCGGTAAGGAGGTGAAAACTGAAGTATTTCCTAAATATGTAACTGAACTGATTTTAATGTCGATATTTTGACTTGAAAAACACCATGTCGCAGTTTCATGCATGCACTTGTAAGTGTAGTGGTGCAGTGATCCTATACAGACACATCAATAAAAACAATATCTAATGAAAGTGCAATATCTGCATGAATGAAAGTTTTCTTACTAGATTTTCATGTAATGAAATTATTTCTTTACAATTCTCCATTCGAATATACCATATACGCATGCACGTTCATTTTTATTTCCACAGATAAACTACTGTGGCACACTGCAGTTGTGAATACAAGTCAGTTTTCAATGAAACATTATTCAGATTCTTTCGCGCGCCACGCCTTTCTGGGGTTATTCCATGCAAAAGATAACGCTCGTATAGTTTCTAACGTTTCATATTTAAACATCTTAGGAACAATCAGAAATCGTATTTTTGGTTATTTTTACGATCGAAGCAATTTTGAAAATTATCGCTCTTGGTTTTGTTCTGCACCCTGGATCGTATCTGCGCAATGGATGGAACATATTAGATTTTATTGTTGTGATAACTGGGTGAGTTTATTTTATAATATTAGAGTCGCGATCACCACTTAAATTTGTGATTGGTAACCTTCCCAATAGCTATGGTCCATTTTAACTACATTTCTATACAACCTGCTGTAACTACTTTTTTTTATTAAATGCGTATTTAAGTTACAAAACAAATAAGCCGCAATCGTGTTCCCAACATCGTCGACTTTGCCTTATATAGTACATTGCTTTGCAAACTTCAGTTACAGATATATTCGCGCAAAGCTTGTTTATATTACATGTTGTAATGCATCGGGAAAATGTTTATCAAATATAACAATCGCATTCAAATGGTATCCCCTTATCTATATGCACTAATAAAAAGACAATGATGTAGCATACAGGAAAAACGGCTGTGTTTCAAATATTCGACGTGGCGGTTATACCCCGCTGTGAATGTCGAATATTATACTGCCGCTCAGTGTTTTTCCACAATAATAACTTGTGGATTTATTAATACGTGGGTTTTGCATTCATTTACTGCGGGATAAATGTTTTCATTAAGAATTTCTTTTTATGAACTGCATTTTGTAACACAACTTTGATTGTTATGTAAAAATACGCGGAGAAACTCTAAAACTCAAACAGTAAATTACTTGTTCGGTTTTAAAAAAAATGCATTAGTCCAACAGTGGGATGGACTCGCCGCATGACTATAAATAGCCTGTATGCAGACAGCATCCGAAACCACGCCACGAAATTAATAAGAATGTAAAATAAAGAGATATGTTTGTCTTTTATTCAAGAATGTTTTCACCTTATAGATTTATCAGTTTGAGGCAATTTGGATATGATAGTTTTGGTGATGTTAAGCCTTTGCGAGCCGTCCGTGTACTGCGGCCGCTCAAATTGGTTTCCGGTACTCCAAGTAAGTATGATATTACCCTCACCTTCCTCGCCTGCTTGCGAGGCATTGCCTTATAGTGGAATTACCGCTGGCAGAACACGTCCAAAATTATGAGTATAAACACAAAATAAACAGCACTATACCTCACTTTTACATAGCAGCGACTCCGATAACTGCCGTTTCTCTAACAACTTGCTCTGATTTCCATAAAATCTGAAACAAACATATTTTTGTTCGTATTTTAGTTGGAAAGAAAGCACAAGTAGGAACAAGCTAAAATACTTTTAGACATCTTATAGTTTAACACAGGTCGGCTTCTCTGACAAACATGTGATCTGTAGGTTTGCAAGTTGTAATGAAGTCAATCATGCGCGCAATGGTTCCTCTTCTTCAAGTATTAATCCTGACGATGTTTGTCATCGTGATCTACGCTACAGTTGGATTGTCATTTCTTTCTAATAAATTTCACGCAACATGCTACAGTAACATTACAGGTGAGCGTTGTTTTAGAGCAGTAAAGACAATAACTCAACAGCAGCTAACATACTTTAATCTTCAGCCCTTTCAAATCCTACTCTGAACCCTCTGTTTTTCCAACCCTCTAATTTCCTGTCCTCCATTCTAAACCTCCCATCTCCCTAATCGTCATTTCCAACCTCTACACTGTTCCAAACACTTCTCCTAAACCTCCACTTCGAACCTTCCTGTTCCCCCTACGAACCTTCCTTACCCTCCACTTTCACAATTCTCTCGTTCCCCATTTCCCAACTATCTATTCCGAACCTTCCATTTCCCAACTCTTTACTGGCACCCCTTTTCTCAAAACCTCAACAACTCCCAATGCTCTTTTTGGCAATGTCTAGAACGGTTCGGGCGCGATAGGAAAAGATGATGAAAATAAACAAAAAATCAAATGACCGACTGAATATTCTCTATTTCTAGGCGAGAAAGTCGCCTTGGGTGAAACATACCAGCCATGCGATTACGATTCAAGCGGAATGTTTACGGGTCGTTCATGTGATGCATCAAACAATGAAATATGTAGAGAATATTGGGTTGGCCCAAATAACGGGATAAGCACATTTGATAATATTGTTTTAGCTATACTCACTGTCTCGCAATGCATCACTATGGAAGGATGGAGCGACATAATGTACTCGGTATGTTCAAACTGAATGAACTAATTATATACTTATACTAGTTATAGTTAAACTGTTTTCTATGTTGTACATTCGGGAATTAACCCATAGTGTACAAAAATATTAATCTAAAACGTATACCATCATGCAACAGTACAATTAAAGCATCAAGACACTTCAATAATAGAAGTATAGCTCAGTATTTTCATTGATAATGGCTTTCATACTTATAACAATAATTATATACCCATTATACTTTGAAAAAAGATTGTCACTTGGTGTTTTCAACCGCCAAATGCTGCTCAAGACTGAGTTCACTATACGTAATGTAATTAAGTGTAAAGTTAAAGTAAATAGACTTTGAATAGTTCGCGGGAAAGATTTGATGTTTTCCCCCGAAGTACACAACTTATAAAAAACGTCCTCTTAAATATACAATCAGTTCTCAATACTTCTACCATAGAGTGCAATAAAGATAGTTTTATATGTTTCATTTTAGACATTTTATGCTGCAGATAGCGACAGTTATTTTTATACAATATATTATGTTTCGCTTATTTTAATTGGATCATACTTCATGTTAAATTTGGTACTTGGCGTTTTGAGCGGGTAAGAATCATGAGCTACTCCTATACCCTACGAATCACTGGAATTAAGTTACCCTTTAAAGTAGCTATTGTGTCACGAGTGAAACAATTCTGTAGAACGGCACATCATTCTTCTTCCTATGTCGCTAATTTATATAATTACTTCACAAGCAAACGTTCTAAACATTTATTATCAATTTAAATGGAAACTAGACTCGATTCTCATTTGTAACAACTGGCGTCAGTTCCATTGATTTCAAAATGCAAAACGCTAAACCTTCCTCTACCTTGTCGAAATTAAATACATGCAGTTTAAGTTCAGCGTGGTATTATCCTCGTTCAAACATCCAGTTGTTTCGAAAAGATTTAACCTTTTTATTGTATAACATTTCGTGAGACGAAAAATGAGTGGCGTGTTAAATACTTTTCCAGAGAGTTTGCAAAAGAAAGAGAAAGAGTGGAAACACGAAGGAATTTCTTCAAGTTGAGAAGAGAACAAAAAGTGAACCGTCAGGTTGAGCAGTACTTAGAGTGGATATCAAGAGCTGGTAAATATTTTGTGCCAGCCTGCATAAAATGATAAAATAATTCTCAAAATGTTGAACAATTCATCGTTTCATCGCCTCACTGTTCTTATTTTGCAGAGGAGATAATCGTGGAAGACTTAGTTGGTCAACAGGACGGTGAAGCTGATTTAAGACAGAACAGACCAGTGCCCGCAGACTTTATATTTAATCCAATCAATGTTTTAGCAGTGGACGGAGGTCGAGTAGCAAGGTTAAATTTACCTGAAAGGTAAGATCGTAAGAATTAAAAAACTCGGTAGCCATTGCATGAATCCAGTGTTGAAGGGTGAGGTGATTCATAAACAATCTAGCCAAAGAACTATAGAGATGAAGCAATCGTGTTGATATCAGGCACATTCACTGTCATCAACATGCATGCATTTATGGATTTTTTAGAAACACAAGATGTGATATACGTGTGTGCCCACTCATACCTACAATCTTTAAATTTAGGTACAAGCGTTTTCCAAAATTCCGTCTGAAAGAAAGATTGATGCGAATTCGTGTCCGTCGCTTCGTCAAACACGAGGGATTCTTTTGGGCAGTTGTCATAATTGTCTTACTAAATACCATTAGTTTGGCTACTGAGCATTATGACCAGGCACAATGGCTGACTTCTTTCCAAGGTAAGTCCTATATTAAATTAAGAACCAACAATTGTACTTTGTTTGTGCAGAAGTCGGTACTGCGTTAATCTAACATTGCTGTAATTTTAATTTTACCCAGGCCAATGTCATTGATGATATTCGATTTTTTCACGACGTTCTTTCAGATAAAGCGGAAATCGTGTTTTTGTCTATTTTTGTTATTGAAATGCTGCTGAAGATTTATGGTTTGGGTCCAGCGACGTATTTCAGATCCACGTTTAATGCATTTGATTTCGTGGTAAGTAATTACACCTGGATTTCTTTTATTCTCATTTGAACACTTCTGGATTAACGTTTCTATACTGCCTCTGCACGATTGAGGAATTTCGAATTCACAAACACAGGAAGAAGTTACCTGCCACTTACTGAACCAATCGGTATTTTAAATAAATGCATTTAATTTTCAGGTCATTCTTTTTGGTCTTTTTGAGTTAATCATCCAGAAACCGCTTGGGATCAGTGTCCTTCGTTGTTTACGTTTGTTGAGAATATTTAAAATGACGTCATATTGGTCTTCATTACGTAATCTTGTACGATCCCTGGTCAGCAGCATCAAGTCAATCCTTAGTTTAATATTTTTATTGTTCCTCTTCGTCGTTATATTTTCGCTGCTTGGTATGCAATTCTTTGGAGGAAAGTAAGTGAAAATTACTGCATTTTCTCAGGAGGATCATTCAGGCTTCAGTCTGACTTTAGATCTCATTAAGGTCCATTAAGAGATTTAGACTGGACCTTTAGCGTCCAGTGAGGATCATCCAGCTCATATTGATAGATAATGTACTGCAACAGGAGAAAGTTTGTAGGCTGATTTCCAGTGACGCGTTTTCGTAGGCAAGAAAAACAGTCTTAACTTGGTATAAGCTGTATCAATGGCAATCCATCTAAGGATAAGAATATTTAGGATTCACGGAAAGCTCACTTTATAGTTGTTCCATTAAAGGAACAAGATGTTAAATTGATCGGATATTATATTTAAATCTTCCAAGGTTTGTTTCCAACACTGACCCTCCCAGAACAAATTTTGATGATTTTCCTAATGCTATGTTGGCAGTGTTTCAGGTAAATTGAGGAGATTTTTCAAGTAGATTTCATCTTGAATTCTTTTTTCATAGATTGCTCTTTTTGCATGGTGATTTTTAGGTTCTAACTGGAGAGGACTGGAACTCAGTAATGTACGATGGTATTAATGCTTATGGTGGCGTAAATGATGCTAAAGCTTTAGCGTTTGGTTTATATTTTGTTCTGTTGGTTATTATTGGAAATTGTATCCTTTCTGTCTCTTATGCTAATGTTAGTTTTGCGATAAGAGATTACTGGACGTCACGCTATCTTGTAGTGCATGAATGACCCCATTCTTAATCCAGCTTTCTGCACCGAGACACCACGACTTGTTTTAACCGTACGCTCACACACCCATAAGGAGGGGAGGGAAGGGGAAAGAGGGATTTTGTGGCATGTTATACAAGCAGTAAAAAGCTTCCATTTTTATGATCATGGAAGAAACTAAACACTAACTGACAACCGGACACCTTCCTTAACTCTTTTGGTTAAAGATACCCTACTCAATGTCTTTCTGGCCATAGCAGTTGACAACCTTGCCAATGCGCATATTCTGACCCAAGACGAGGAGAACGAGAGACTAGAACGAGAATCTAGACATGAGACAGGGGGGAGTGAACGTAGTTCATCTCGTTGGCATGATATTGGTAATATCACCAAAACTTTAGCATTCGTCAACACATGGAAATCTAGCAGTAATCCATCAGAGACTTCCAATGGTGATGTGGAAGGCGAAAATAACCTGAACGGGTATGAAAGAGCTCGCATTTTAATCATTCGCATCAAACCTTGGGCAGTATGAAAGTTTATCTAAATACTCAGTTTAATCCTGATAATCTCGTGATTTCCTAATCTTGAAACAAGGTTATAGTAACAGCACATTTCTTCAACAGATCCTCTTCAAACACGCGAGGTAAAAAGGCACTGACTAAGGTTAGGGTGAATTACGTTGCATCATATTCCTATTTAAGTAACATGTAAATAATACATGTGTTATTTCAATTTAGAATTTAATGCGGAATATCAATAAATATCGCAAAGCGACCGGTCAAAATCAAGATGTAGAAGCCCAACAACCAGATCCTCACCAGTCTCATCGCGAAGGCGCCCGCCGACGATCTGAAGCACAAGGAATCGTACGAACTTTGAAAGGAAGAAAATCAAAAGTTCGAAAACTGAAAAAGAATGTTCCCATCATACGAACCAAATCCCTTTTTTTATTTGGACCTGAAAATAAGTAAGTGGCCAAGATTTGCTCCTCCAGAAATTATTATGAACTGCAATTTGGGTGTGTTGATTCGACCCCAAGATTCCTCCTCGGCAAATGCCCCTCCCCCCCTGTCAACATCCAAAATAACTTCATCAGCTTCTGTTATCTCTCTAGATTTCGACGAGCCTGTCATTACATTGTTAACCTACGACATTTTGATAATTTCATGCTGGTTGTTATAATAATGAGTAGTATATTACTCGCCGTTGAAGATCCCGTCGATGATTATTCAGAGAAAAATAAGGTGAATCGTATTCGTTAGCAATGGGAATCAATACTTACAGAAGCAAGAGAATTGAACTATTATTATATGCTTGCAGGTCCTGCGTTATTTCGACTACATCTTTACCACCATCTTTGGTTTTGAGGTTTTTGTTAAGGTGAGATGTTAAATGATTTGTTTAATAGCATGTTTCATTGCATTTCAAATTCTGCAGCTAATTTTAACACCTTTAATTTTTTTTTCAATGTTGTAGTTGATCGACTTGGGGGCTGTACTTCACCCCGGCTCCTATTTTAGGAGTAAATGGAATTTTATTGATGCGTTAGTTGTTTGTTGTAACATCGCCTCACTTGTACTAAGGTGGGTTTGTAAGTTTCGGTATGTATTTTGTCATCATATGCCTCATATGATTTTGTGATTTATACTGTGATGAAAACCAGTTTGAATGACAATGAAACTGTAAAACGATGATAAAAATCCTAATATTTTGTTTACTTTTTATTTTTGTTTCAGTCAAACTCAGAGCAATGTTACTGGCCAGAATTTTGTTAAAGTATTACGAGTGTTGAGAGTTTTCAGACCTTTGAAAATGATGAACAAATTAAAAAAATTGGAGGTTTGTAGTCTCAACTCACCAAATTTCCCTCTACGCTGATTTAAACTGATCTTTACAAGAACATCGCTTTCGCATTTCTACTACACGAGAGTGAATAGATCAATATGCAACAAGTCGAGTTGCATTAATGCGCAATTGGGGTTTAAGTTATATTTCCGCTTATAGTATGTATAGCCAGTATAGGGTTGTATATGACCAGCAGTTTGAACAAGGGTTGACCAGAACAGACATTCAAAAAAAAATTTTTCTTTTAAATCTTTGGGAAAATTTTTCTTGTATCTCTTTGTAATTTTTACTGTTACATATTGGTGAAAAACCAACCAGTTGACAATTGTTTTCTTTCTAGGCCGTGTTTCGTTGTATGTGGTACTCATTCAAGAATGTTGCAAATATTTTATTAATCACAGCTTTGTTTCTATTCATTTTTGCTGTTATTGGAGTTCAGCTGTTTCAGGTAGGCTACGTTCCTTGTAATAATTGCTAATTTATGACAAATTTCTATACAATAACGATTTAATCATTTTGTCAGGGCAAGTTTTTTTACTGCACCGACGAATCCAAAATGTTTGAAGTTGATTGCAAGTAAGATGCTTTACTGAAAATATACCTCTGGGGCCAGTTTATCACGCCCGTATTGAATGAGTCAACTTGAATATTATACACTAAATAATTGTGTAGTTGTAAACAGTATCGTTGTTTTAAGATTAAAAAACATTTAGTTTACTTGTTGAGTAAAACGATAGACTTGCTTTCTATTTTGAACTTAACCCCCGTTCAAGCTAAACGGCCCCAGGTTACAATTTGGTATTATATTTAAACTTGTTTTATTTCTCTATTATTAATTAAAAATTATATTTTTTGCATTCATATGATATTGTATCATTATATCACCTAGGGGAAGTTATTTTGAGTTTAGCGAAGGTGCTGAAAGCATTGATGACAAGGAGAAGGTTTGTTTCTTTTAAACTGTGAATTAAACACTTTTTTAAAAACAAGATTTTAACAAAACATGCAGCAGTAAGATACGCCATTTAACTCTCTTGCTGAGCACAGTTAAATAATTTTTTACTCCAGGTCACAGTTAAAGAAAGGATGTGGAAACTTCGTAATTTTCATTTCAATAATGTCTTCAGTGCAATGTTGACGTTATACACCTCAGCCACTGGAGAAGGTTGGCCGACGTAAGTGACACGTTCACTTCTGTAGTGCATATGATTAACAAATCGAAACACCATCTCGTTGGTGACAAATTTATAAAGCATATTTCTATAAGCAGGTTTTAAAGGCACAATTAAATTAATTAATAAAAATGTTTCGTTAAATAAAAAAATAAATATTTCAATTTTTAGCGCGATGCAACATACAATGGATGTGACGGAGGTTGATCAAGGCCCAATACGCAACTTCAGCGTTGAGAATGCATTATTTTATATTTCGTTTGTTGTGGTGTTTTCGTTTTTCTTTCTTAATATTTTTGTCGCTCTTGTGATTCTCACGTTCCAAGAACAAGGAGAGAAGGAACTGGTGAACAGCGAGTTGGACCGTAATCAGGTAATTGATAAATTAGAACCAATATGAAGTGATTTAATTGAATTATAATTGTTCTTCGAAGTGTAAAGGAAATTTGGGTTGAAACTGAAATTCGGATTACTTGGACGTTCACCTGTGGTACCGAGAGCACTGAAGCCAATAAAGAACAGACACTATTTACTATAAAGAGTTTTCAATAGCACGCGGTTATTCGCGTATGCTTTTCTTATTGTTCAAAAATGTTTTTATAATAGAGAGATTGCATCAGCTTCGTTATTCGTGCTAAACCTCTGGAAACGTACATGCCAGCGAATGAAAAAACCTGGTCTTATAAAATTTGGTTTATCGTTGTTTCAAAACCGTTCGAATTGTTTATCATGGCGCTCATTATTTTGAATACCGCCGTTCTCATGATGCAGGTATAAATGACGTCATTTTATTCCATAGACGTAGTGATATAGCGAATATGATATATGTCAGCGTGATAATAATTTTTCATTGTCTTCCAGTATTATGACCAGCCCGATGATTACAAGAATATGTGTGATTACCTCAATGCTGCTTTGACGTTCTTATTTACAATGGAGGCTTGTTTAAAATTGTTTGCATTTAAATTGGTATGTTTTTTATGGCATATTCTTTACCAGAAATCTTGCCATCCTTCATTTCCTAGTAATGGCAATATCACACTATGAACTGAATCACTTGTCTTGAATCACTTTTAAGCTATTCCGCAGTAATATATATTATCTTTAATGTCTTTTTTTTCAGAGCTACTTCAGAGATAATTGGAATATATTTGATTTCATTGTTGTCGTTGGTAGTATTCTGGATACTTCCTTAACGTTTGGGGTACGGTTCTCTTCACGCTGTAAAGTTTTCTCACTATTCTTCACCTTGGCATACTCTTCCAATGAAAGCTATGCATAAGGAACGTTTCTTTTTGTAAATATCTGATCTGTCTCATTTTTAGAGGCAAGACGATCTTCCCTTTGATCCCAGTATATTCAGAATATTTCGTGCCGCGCGACTCATCAAAATCTTAAAACAAGGATCTGGAATTCGAGTTTTACTTTGGGCATTCCTTCAGTCCTTCAAGGTAACTGATGAAGTGACATGTTTTTATTTTATGCTAGCCCACTAGTCACGTTTTTGTTCAAAGTTTCGTTTAATAAAGTAGACCTCAAGGAAGAACGTAACATGGATTTTGCACGTTTGCATGTATGAGGAAACTAACTGACTGGATCTTGATTCAATATGCGCTCTCATATGAGTTTTCTTTTAGGCTCTGCCCTACGTCACTCTACTCATCTTCCTTGTCTTCTTCATTTACGCTGTCATTGGAATGCAGGTTGGTAGAATGACTTATTTTTTCTCTTCACACGGTCCAAGTGACAAGATATTTTATGACACTTGTATTTTTAGTTATTTGGAAAAATCAAGCTAGATGACAGCACGCAAATAAACAAGTATAACAACTTTCAAAACATCGGAAAGGCCTTATTGTTACTTTTCAGGCAAGTTTACCTGAAGGCACGTTTTTACCTCAAGGTCACGAATTAATCTTGCTTTCCACCTTTTCTCAGATCCTCGACAGGAGAAAATTGGCAAGAGATAATGTTATCATGTTATGACGAGGCTCTCTGTGATAAGAGGGCGAACTCTGCATCTCTCACTTGTGGTTCAACAACTTGGGCGATCGCGTATTTTTGTACTTTTATATTTCTCTGTATGTTTTTTGTAAGTATCTGCTCTCGACCACTTCTTCGCGGTATTCAAATACCACCTGTAATATGGATATTTTATCATTTCAGATGCTCAATCTGTTTGTAGCCGTTATTATGGATAATTTTGAATATCTAACTCGTGACCAGTCAATTCTTGGGCCACACCATCTTGACGAGTTTGTGCAAGTTTGGTCTTTCTACGATCCTGGTGCAACGTAGGTTCATCATCTTGTTTGTTTTTTGTTAACGCAGGTCTCGTTTGTTTTCTGACAACGCAAGTCAACTGTGTCAAATTTCTTTCTTTGCAGTGGTGAAATTCACTATTCCAAGGTGTACGAGATGATGACACGATTGTCTCCGCCCGTTGGCTTTGGGAAAAAATGTCCGAAGATGGTCGCTTTTAAAGTAGGACACTGTTTATATTGGGGCATCTTTTAAGGCGAATTAAGGATTGTATATCTACCTTCTAGCACAGTTAACCGTGTCTCTAGGGAACCATAACAAATCTCTGCCAGAATAGATGCCACAACTTGCAAAAAATGAAGTTAAACGTTCCTTAAAGTTTTTTAAACTCATATTCCTCCCATGCCTTCTTTTAACAGCGACTTATCAAGATGAACATGCCTCTTAACGAAGATAAAATGATTCATTTCACAACAACGTTGTTCGCTTTAGTTCGAACTTCCTTAAAAATCAGAATGACAGGAAATATGAACGCAAATGACACGAAACTAAGAAAGATGATTGTTGAAGATTGGCCGAATATCCTGCCTCGAGTTCTGGATAAGATGATTCCGAAGCATTCAGGTAAAAATAATTTTACCTTCTCATTTTCAGTGAATAGTGTAACGAAGCATTTTAACTGAAAATTATCTTGGCTTTTCATTTTTCAAAGTATTGAGTTGCCATCAAATGACGGTTGGTAAAATATACTGTGCTAAACTTATGGTTGAAAACCACAGAAATAATAAGAAAAGAAAACAATTTGAGATTCTTGAAGACGATGAATTTAAAAAACAGGTAGTGTGTTGCAATGTTTGAACTGTGTACTTGAATTGACATGGTGTGTGATACATTTAAATAACATTGAAGCTCGTCTATAAGACTTTCACTTCTGATTGTTATCCAATACAGAGGCCTGAGAATATATTCCGTCGCCTGGTTGGTTCAGTGACGCGAAGCATGCGTCAGAGAGGTGCATCAAGTATGAATGGCCTGGTACCCAGTGAAGAATCTGGCTCACAAAATGGAGTTAATAAATCTTACTGCGGGAAACATGGGTATGTTAACAAACAGAAATACATTTTCTATGTATAAATATGTGACGGTATATTGTATATTGTTGACATTTTATCAGATATAAAGTAGTTTTATCACAAATTATGTCACACGAAACGCCCATAATGCAATCAACGTAAATTGATAAGACTTGCTTACAAGTAACTGTACAAAAATAGGTATTTCGGCCGTGATTCGCTCAATATATTTTCCTAATAATTTCGGACATTTAGGCTTAGACATTTAATTGTTGCTGTCGATTAAAAAATCGTATGTACTTATTGTGGCCAAGCTTTAATATCTACATTTATCCAGTCAATTTCATGAAGGATAAGTTCTATTCTTCGAAAAGTATTGTCAAGATTTTCTGGAATATTTTTCTTAATTAGAGCAAAAGTCTCAAATGCCGTGGCAGAAATATTGTTTTTCTGTGGAGTGTAGGCTTTGAAATGTTTGTGAATGGCGCAGTTTTTTATTTTTAATAAGATTTCTTCCAAAACCATCTGGAATTCATTGAGAGTGAACCGCACATATAAATAAACCATATGATATAACTTTGATCCACCGGATGTGGAGAGAGCCAAGATGAGGCTAAATCTAATAGGGACAACAAACATAGGAATTTTTGCGGGGAAAAACAAGTCAGCCGTCCTCTTTGTTCCCGAAACTTGCCAGTTGTCATTTACGCTTGGCTCACTTGCCTGAACTCTGCTAATGCAATTCTGGTAATGTAACAGAGGAGTCGTTATAGGCCGTATGCGCAAACGCTTCTGAGGCCAAGTTCACGGCACGATTAGTTATACAATTGTTATTCAGTTCTTATAAAGGAAAGAAAATGATTGAATATTCATTGTTTACTTGCGTTTATGGCAAAGTTTGTACATTTGTTTGTCAATGTGTGTGGCACATAGGGGAAGAATAATGTACACAACTAATCTTTTAAAAATATCTTAATGCATTTCATCTCCAAATGGGCCTATTTGCAGAATATGTTTTTAAAAAAATTGAATGCATTTGGAGGCTATGCAACGTACGTCAACGACAACATCATGTAAACGAAGCTAGCTCGGTTATTAATGAAAATGGACATTGTTTATACAAGCAAAAATCGACTTAATGAAAGATCGTCGATATATACAAAACATTTTCTAATATTACAGCGATTATTATGTTTATTTAAATTCTATTCCATTGAAACAATTTTCTAAATTTAGTGCGTGAAAACATATATATGAATTTTAGAAATGGAACTATAAAGATTAAAACTAATTTTCGCATCAATCAATTTTTATTCTCTCTTGATTGCGTTGAAGATCTGAAATTTCATCTTTCCTAATACATTGACGAAACTAATTCATAGAATAATTAATGTGATTTCGCAAAGCTTTCTGGAAACAATATGTAATTTAAAACTATAGAAGGCAGATGTTTTATGGCGTGCTTAACTTTTCAAAGTAGACATTCACCTTGAAATTCGTCGAGATCGACGTAAATAGAATAACGTTTAAAATTGAATTTTATTAAATCGCTTTTGTGAAGTTGGTCAATGCAGGTTTGGTCTTTAGAATTTATGAAATGAAAAAAGATCTTTCGGTCATTAAAATGATAATCACGCAGGCAGCTGTAGTTTATGTGTATTTGACAATCAACTGCAGTATATTATATGCATATATTTGGAGCTTCGCTTTATCATTGCATGCAAATGTTTGCTGCTTTTTGACAGCATTTAGTGCACAATTTAAACTATATATTTTGTGTCGTCTTCTCGAGTAAAAATGTGTCTTCCTTTGGCTAGATTTAAACTATTTAAGAGGTAATTTTATGGCTCTAGGATGATGTTCACGAATCATATAGGTTGAAGGTGATTTACAATGTCGTCTATATGCAAAGGTTGCAAAAGCGTTTGTGACAAGAATTGTTTTATTTTTTATGGTTTGTGTACGGTATTTAACGCCAGATTGTACCTTACAAAGATGTCATTTTATTGATATAAATACAATTACACATTTATAAATATGAAATAATATTTCAGTACTAATACTTAGTCAAAATAAAATGATTACAATGAATTTCTATCCTTCGTTTTAGCGAGTCTTTAAAGATGGAGGACCTGAAGAGAAGCTCATCTTGTCACAACTTTGCTTCAGAGAAGGTGATATATCTGAGCATGTGTATAATTATACGGAAACAAGGCTTGAGCTTTGACTGTTCTCAGTACAGTTTGCAGGGGCCACTAAGGATCTTCTTTCCAGTGTTACTACCGGACGAAGCCTAAACTAACTTTCACCGGATTGCTCTGTTAGTTTTCAAATGTTCTTCCTAGAAGTCCAGTAAAGAACATGTCTTATTGATCCAGTATACTACAGGTGGAAACCTGAACTAAACTAACTTTATTTATACTGGAGGCCCCTAGAGGTTCAATTAGTAAAGATCGTCTCTCTAAAGAACCATGCAGTATAACTACAGGAGGAAACCTACACTAAATTAATTTTCTCAGCCTAAAGCAGTTCTGAGCTGCTCTCCAAAAGCAACTTAAACAAGTGATAACTGTAAAATACTAACAACGTTCAGTGAAGATGAGACGAGTATGAATTTCGCTTCATGCAAGTATTAGCTGTAGGACTAACCTTATCTAATTTTTAACAACTAATATAATAGCGTTTCTCATCATGATATACATTTACGATCGTTATTTTATAATGCTTCCCATCAATAAACATTCTCAGATCATAACAGACACCTGTCATCTCAAACTCAACTAAACTTTTACTTGAAGTGTGTAAACGTTAATGTGTAAATATACAAAATATAAATTCCATTTCAGGCTAAACGAAGGCAAGAACTTAACACCAGTCCTCTTTTAAAACACGCGGTCAGACCAACACTGTCCGCATCTTCCTCTCCCCAGACTTCTCACCGTAAACATAAAGTATCAGCCGCTATAAGTCTTCCTTTAACGACTTTCCAATCCCAAGATGAGACGATGAACCATGGTAAATGATTTAAAACACGTAAAATATAAACTATCCATTTAAAAAGAAGAGTTTTTCTCAATTTGAACTCATTCAGGATAATGGTTTAAAAAAAATTTTAAAAATCATCAAACGGCATTGTATGAATCAGAGCTTTCTTTTTTTCTAGTTTCTGACAATTCCAAACACAAGAAAGAGTCAAAGAGCCATATCGGCCCAGGAAATTTGTCACAGAATATACACAACAGACATAAACTTAAACAAGCACCAAGCATTGTAATAAACTCTCCTTATCATAGCGAAGCTATTGACCTGTCTGATATTACCGTTGAGGAACCAGGCAGAAAAACGAATGATGGAAACTTCGTGTCTGGCGGAGAAACAGAGGAGTTCCCATATTTTCACAGGGAGCCTGGTAAAGACTTTAATAGAAACGAGAATTTATATTTTAGTAAATATGTTGTTGAAGATACGCAGCAACAACGTAAAAAGCAGTTTGTACCAGAAAGAAAAGGAAAATTGCCGTACGAAAAACAACGTGAAAGTGAGTATGTAATATATACAGACGCAGATGACAGACATAAACACTCAACGATTGAAATTGACTTACAGAAGCACGGGACACGTAATGTTAATTCTGGTGCACGTATTGTTGGCTCCAGGCCACGTCTTGGCTCTTCAGAAGCACGTAACGAGGAACAAAGCTCATTTGACGAAAGGTTTGACAGCACAAGTGATAAAGTGCGAATATCTTCAAAGCTGCCACTTGACGAAAATTATTTGTACAGCCACAGGCAGAGTTCTTCTGGATCCGATATATCTGCAGAAAGCAGGAAAAACAGACCAAGACAATCGCAGTCTGAAAGTAATTTAAAATCAAAAAGTGCGCCGGAGAAACCAGCGTATCCAATTATAAAGACTTTTTCAGATCCCACGGACATACAGATGGGTCACGAAAACCGATTTTCAAATGATGCGTATTCGTCTAAATCGCGTCTGGCAACAAAAAATGTTTTCGGTTCAAAAAAACCAATTGAAGATAGAGAAGAAAAACTCACATCAAGGTTTGAAAACCGAAATAAAGACACTGTTCCTCTTGTAGGCAGCGCTAAGCAATCTCCATATACTGACTATACTGGCAAAGACAGTGATACAAGACTTCCTAATGTAGGCCATACAAATAATACATTTCAAACTGACATAAACATGGCACAACTTCCTCCAGCTGATAGCGGCACAAATAAAAGCAAGCCAAATGAAGCTGAACGACCACAAGGTGAAGTTTTTGGAGGGTTATTGGGCGATGCAGATGCAAATCATTCTGCTGAATATTATGATAGGATGATTAGTAAAATTAACGAACAGATTAATTTGGCCGTAACTAGAAATAAATGTCCTTATGCTTTCTATGGTCTTGGCTCGGATGATGATGATGATTGGTGCTAAGTTAGTAAAACCTAGAATGGTTTAAATTTTTGAATATTTCGTTTTTGAAATGAAATGTTTACGCAAAATATGTTAATATATGTAGAGATATTGTAGCAATGTATGCAAGAAAGTATTTATTAAAGTTTATTGTGAAGGGTTTCCTATTGTATCATCATTTATACTAGAAGTATTGCATGCTGCATGTTAGTTTGTGGTGGCCATATTTGTTTAAACTATACGACTCTGTGGCGTAGCTAGAGTTTAAACTATACGACTCTGTGGCGTAGCTAGAGTTTAAACTATACGACTCTGTGGCGTAGTCTAGATTTTAACCATACCGAGACTATACATGAAGATGTATAGTCTCGGTATGGTTAAAATCTGAGCTATAAACTAAATATTTGGTTTTCTGGGTTTAAAATAGTCTACCTAAAAATCTTTCCTCAATTGCTTCGTTTAGAAGCCATTTTGAATATATTTATCACAACCCTCCTGCTTGAATCCAGATGTTATCGGTGCTTTACATATTTCAAAACAAACCAATTTTTCAATTATAAAACAAAACACATGCACCGTTAACATTAAAAAACCAAATACAACTTTGCAAATGAACATTCCTAAGGTGAAATCTCCGAATTTTCCAGCCGAAGGAATATGAATGCGAATTTAGCGTTCGCCATCTTGTCTTGTCCACAAAATTGCCTTCGCATCATAAAAATCTTATCGACACTACTTTGAACTTATCTAAATCACCCAGAGTAATTTTAAACGTTTACTGCAAGCGGTTTATAACAAAAAGTAGAACGAGAGAGAGTAAAAGACGAGAGAAAGAAGGGAAGCGGCATTGTTTTAATGAGTGCCTTCTTGTTGGATGACTTATACAAAAACAACTTGGCTAAAAATTGCAACTAAAATTAACAACTTGGAGTAATCAACATACCGTTGAGTAGATCCACCATTTCTCCCATCTGTATTGAGAACAGTTTATCGATAATAGCCTTTAAAGTTAGGCGACAAAAGTTTATTGAATTTTACATTAAAAGCTTCTGCTTTCCCAAGCAAATGAAGCAATACCAAATTCGTTTTAAAAACTGTGAACCAATTCTCGCATTCTGATTGGCTTTTCACATTACAATGTTTTACGTCTTATTGGCTATAAAAACATTCCATGTCCAATGATTGGACCATAATTAGAATGAAATCTCTTGGGAAGTATTTGAGCGGGATATTATATTGGATTATGATTGGATAATAGGATTTTACGTCCGATTATGTATACAGGGTGAGTCAGAAAAAAGTCCCCTCTATTGAAATAAAGCCTTTGTTAGAATCTGATTGCCTTAATATTATGATAAACCCAATTGAAAGCAAGACGCTTTATTTGAATGCCTCAACCTAATAACTATGCTATTTACACACTACCTCGTTGATCATGCATTCAAATCAACAAAGGCTTCATTTCAACAGGGGAGACTTTTTTTTGACTCACCCTGTATAAGTAAACGTTAAAGGCAGACTTTGGCCTGGTTCACACTTGTCCTAAGAATCTGGGATTCTCGTTGTCTGGGCCACTTATGCTTTGTTTATGGAAAAGTAATATAACGATCCCCGATTCTTAGGAGCTACTGTGAACCAGGCCTAAAGCCTGGTTTTTCATCACTCGCAGACAGTCGGCGATTCTCGGCCATCCATTGTCGCTGAGCAATGAAGTAGTTTTTCTGCAGACAAAGCATTTTATGCAACGGAACCGTAACAAACGACAATAGAGATCGCCGACTGACTGCGAGTGATGAAAACCAAGCTAATGATCTATAGAAGACATTTCTTGGGACATGCAACGATTTACAAACCCTACATTAGCACTATAGTTGCTCTTTCTGCCAAGATAAAATAGTCTGTAACGCTAATTTCTATTATCAACGTAGAAATTTTGACTGTACTTTCCCTCTATGTATTCAGAACATACTGTACGAGAGATCGTTAGTAAATTAGTCTAAAGGTATTCAAAAATTCATTCTAATTACCTACAATTCATTAATGATACTCTCATCCAATTCATTTATAATTAATTCCTAATTTAATGTTCTAATATTTCCGAGTGTGCATCCTTGAATTGCTACCAAATCCAAACCTCTTATGAAACACGCCTTGCAAACATGTTTTGGAATTTGTTCGCTAACACCGGCAGAATCCATCTCGAACAGAAAAACTTCAGGCAAAATCAAATCCTTGACTTCCACATCTCAATGCTACCAAAAGTCTTTCCTTTAATTCTTCCTCAGACCTGTATTCTGGTAATCTCAACATGTTGAAACTAAAATAAATTAAGGACGTGAACCATTTGACTGTAAAAAAACTGTAAAAATACCAATGAAGATAGAAATTTAAAGGAAGTTCAGCTCACCAAGTACTCGCACTAGGCAATAAATTTGGTTGAAATTCGACTCTTGAGATGCAGAATTGATGAGGACCGCTCGTTCCAGAGAGATGAGAAAAACCACCAAGAGGAACTCGTGAGCTGGAAGAGAGGTATGAGATTGAGCCCACGTGGACGTGTACGCATATAAAGAGGAGAATCTGGGTATGAAAAAAGAAAAATACATCCAACCTTCCTGTAGCAAACTGCAACAATAATACAACATCTGTCTTAGGCAACGATCGTAGAACTTTCCAAAACCACTAAAAACAAATATTGAAAACAGATCAGTGGAGTATGTATCTTCTATCATTAACCAGTTTTATCCATCCACTTTTGTTAATTCTCATCCTCGTAGAACAAAAGGCTTTGTCACTATATAGCATAATAGTTCCATCAAGTTTAAAATCGTGCAATATGGACGAGTCTAACTTGCTCACTCACCACAATTACTGGACACTCAGCATCATAACCATTCGCATAAGTTGTGTTCTTCTCCCAGTCATCCATGTCCACTTCAGGCAAACCTGACATCAACAGCTCCTAAACATGTTTTATATTCCTTTAAAAGACAGGATGTACAATCCTAGAATGATAAGTCAGACGTCTGCTTACCAGTTCATACTCATCGAACAGAGAGACAAGTGAATGTGGAATGAACTCGTGAAATCCATCCAGAAAACTACATATCTGCCGTCGTATTGCACGAGTTAACTTAAGATCTGCAACTAACTGGACGTATTCGTGCTGTAAAAAGATAAGGAACTGTTAAAAACATTTGATATGTACTAATGTTCAAGCTTGCACTACCCTCAGTGCCATATCATATCCATTGGCATGAAAGGGTATTTACCTTATTTTCTTCAGTGACCATAAGTCGATTTCCTTCAGGTTTTAGATCAATTTCTCTCATGGTACCAAACACATCTGTTTCGACAGCAAAGGTCAAGTCAAAGCCAAGATCAGATATGTCATTATCTAGTATCCACTGGAAATATAACAAGTATGGCTGTTAACAATGCGTAAGGAAAAACCTTATACACAAACAAAAATCAAATTGTCTACAACGTGTTATGCAACAAATCTGCGATAGCAAGCGAGCCAATTAATCAAACATTTTGTCATTTTATCCAGTCTATAAGATCGTCAAGGTTGTCATAACCTGGTAATAAGTTAATATTGTGATGGTGCTACTATGAGTCACCAACCCTGCAACCGGTTGCTAACCGAAACAAGGTGCATGTAGGGTTTTATACCTGTAGGTTTTTGGCATACTCCGGATCAATGGAAGAGACATCTTGGTAGCTAACAGGAATCCCTGGAATTATAATCACAATGATTGATACAAAGTCTTGGGAGTGCACAGCGAAGTATTGGGACAAAATAGAAGAGGCTATTTTCAAACGAAGGCTTCTTCAGTGACAATAATTGTTGCGACTTAAAACTTTTAGCAGAAGGCAGGACTGGGTATAATAAAGGCAGAGCATCCACAATTGACTTGTTCCTTACACGTGAAAAATTCACACAAAAATTGCGACATGGACCGGACGAGGTGATGATATGGTACATCTAGAGTACTCACCCAAAATATGTTTGTAAAAAGACCTCGTGAAATAGACATTGAGATGTAAACGGTTGTACAAACTCAAGCCAATGATTCGTCCAGCGAATCGGAAATAGTTTAAATGATCAGGATTGATTTCTGAATTACTACAAGGTTGAAACGTTGTACCTGAAATATCAGAGTTTAGGTTTAATAAAGCAGACAGTACGATCGGAAGCCTCCAGTGTTGCAATTATTGCATAAATACGTACCATCAACAGACTGGGTGAATAAAGCAAAGTCGGGATTGAGAATTTCCTTTGAAAGTAAGTCCAGCCACTCTTTGAGGACACCACGACCCTGTTATAATAAAGATTTCATTTCTCATTACAGATTATTCACTGTGACGATTATTATTATGTAAGAACTCACCACCCCAGGTTCCCCAAGAAATCGAACGACAACATTCTTTTTTAAAATTTCTGTACTGATTTTAGACAAGACTTCACAGCTGGTATTAAACAGACTGTCCCCTAAAATAGAAAGCATCGCATAGTTTAAGGTAAGTCTTTCAAAGTTGGGCAGCGTACCAATTACATCTAAATTGTTCTCATGGAGGTGAAGGCAAGACTCATCCTAAATGCGTCCTAAATCTGTATTAGAGTATACTTATAGAATAGCTCACGTGAAAGATAGTTCCAAAAATTTACCTCGTTTGATTTCAATCACATTCTTCTCATCTATATTGTAAGATCCCTGGCTATCTTGATTGTTTTGTTTGAACAGATTCTCGTAGAACCATTTCTGTCGTTCTTCAAATGGCTACAGAAAGGAGAAGCTGTTTTTTCGAATTTGTCCATGCAATTTAATAATATCATAGTTATAATGTTTAATCAAAGATTACCTGAGCCAACACAACGTGAACAAACTTCTGCATGAGAACTGGACTGTCAAGCAAGAAGTGGAAATGTGAAAACAAGATCTTTGGATTTCTGAAAAAAAATTAAAAGGATTAGAAAACGATGATTCACAAGATTCTGGTTAAGTTCAGCCTGAAGATATTTTGTCCACAAACCTGGCAACAAGCGCCTGTAAGACATCCTCATGTCTGTTTACGAAATCCACAAATCTCGGAGGAGCACCATTGCTATAATACAAATATCAAATAATAAGATGTCTGGACATCATCGTAAAATATAAACCTGGGTTGGCATACACACGAATACTTGGGACTATCAAAGAACAAAAGCATCCAGCCAGCAACGTTACTAAGAAGCAACTTATGTCCTCAGGTAAAGATCGAACCTGTGGGCTAACTACAAAGTTAGCCAAAATATGTGAAATTCTAGGAAATATTAACTGCAGAAAGTAGAGAATAGAAAGACTCTACTAGCAGCGACTTACCGTCTGTCCCATCTTGATTGGTTACAGCAACAAAGATAGAAGCCATGTGTGACCACGCATAGACGATCAGCGGTCATTGTTATAACGTCACTATCAACAGACGAAAATGCCGGGCTGACGGTGCGACTGTCGAGACGTGGATCACATTGTTCAATGTCAACACCTATATCTTGCCCAGCGTGTCCGTTGTCCCGTCTTTGGTGTGAATCACGAGCCGCGTGGGCTTCAAAACCAACGCGAGTATCGCGTTCGCGTTCGGGTCCGGGAAAGCCATTTACCACAGCACGGTTGGCAGGATGAGGGTCTGTTGGGCTGTTCATTGAACTAATTGATCTTCGATCGCTATTCCTTCGTGATGTAACGTATGTTGACATAGGGAACCCAAATACATTTCCTTCACTGGGACTGTTACACCCAGGACTCACGCTTCCATCGTCAAGGTTGGCTAAATTCATTTCAATAGCAGGCTGACTCAGTCTGAATGTAGCATCACTTCCCATGCGTAATAATTTCTGTCTGACGCTCTGAACACGATATGGTACTAAAGCAGCAGCAACGTTACGAGACAACTCCACTCCAAGTCTACCAGAGGCTGACACACTTCGTGAAAGAGAACATTTCTTGTCAGTATCTGGGAGATCTTCTTGTTTGGAGAACAGCGAATGACGTTGAGAGGTATAGAGAGTTTCAGACATGTGCCGAGTTACTGATGGTTTAACACGAGATACTGCAATGAATAATGAATTTCATCAGAAGAACTGGGTGGATGGATTAGTGAGACACTATCACTTAGAAGCTCAGTGACTTCAAACAAAGACGAAATGTGATCATACCTTTACCAGACTGCACGCCAGAATCAAGCAGGACACAATCATCTATCCCTGCTTCACCCTCAATCACCTCCATTTCACTCAACAACAATAAAAACCATTCCTCCAATGCTTCCCAGACCTCCTCAAGAGGCGCGAAGACGTTAGTCTGTGGCGATTCATGATCATCACTGTTACTTGACGTACTGCTACTCGAACGGCCACTAAATGCAGCGCGAATTCGGCTACTCGTGCTATCTGTGCGCGTGTAGATGCTAGGACCGGAAGTGTAAACGCGAGAACGAGCTCTGCCAATCAACGGTTTGACGTAGAGCTTGCAAACTAGTCTGATAACGCGCAGAAAACTGGGGACAGCCACATCGTAGTCACTGGATAAACTATAAAATAAAAATTTGCATTTTATTTGTCGGAGATCGTTACTGAGCGTATCAAAAATTTGGGTTAAGCTCAATCATATGGTTCAATGCATCCCGATCCTTCCCGGATCATTTGTTTAATGATATCTATTAACAGACTATCCACAACTGCAAATCCTCAGTCTCACATCTAACACGAATAATTAGATATTTTTCTTGCATTGCAGTAATTATGAAATTAATTTAAGACCTTAGTAGCTCTAGACCAGCAGTAGCTGCCAGTTCACCAAGTTCCGTCATAATTTTGTTTTGTAGGGAAGAGTTCGACTCGGATAAATATCGTAAAACTTTGTAGATCTAAGAAACAAAAAAAAAGGTTTCAATGCATGTAAGCAGGTTTATTTCTGATTTTGGGTTATTGGTACAAATAAGCCCCACATACATTATAACAATATGATAAGTATGTATATCTTTTAGCATTATTTGTAAATTCTTATCAAAGCCAAAGGTGGTTAGAAAATTGTTTTAAAATATACCAAAAAAGATACTCGGCGTTCGGGTCAAAACGTCGACAAGTTTTATTGTCAATTTAAGACAGTTGCGTTGGGAAATTGTTTGAAGTATTTGAGCATGCCGCAAGTCTACTTCCTGCAAGCCATATAAAGATGATCATATTTCACTTAGAAATTTCTTAGACCTTTACAGAGTTGGGAATTTTTTGGCTAAAAGCCTGTGCTGTCAATGACGTTCCGAAAATTACCTTCGTCTCCTCAATACGAGTATCTTTAACAAGAGATAAAAGAGAGTTGAGCAGAGGTGGATAATACTCCAATATAGTTGCACAAACACTTTCATAGCCATTCTGAAATAGAGTTGAAATAACTGAAAATAAATTTAAAATGCACTTTAAATTAATAGTTATAATTTTTTTCATGGAAAGCTAGGTTAACTCGTATTGCATGCAAACAATCTAGGACTATAACTGGGTAGTACCAACCTTTACTGCAATGTCTAGTGGAGTTTCCTGGTCATTTGTTCTCAGTATTTGAGCACCACGACTCAGCAGCAATCTCACACAATCCTCATGACCATGTCTATAGCGAAAAGTAAGCTCCATATCAACTTTAAACTATTTACCAGTCCTAACATAAATGAGAAACAAACATATATCTACCTGCAGGCATAAAATAATGGTGTACATCCTTTATGATCACATTTAGAAATATCAGCTTTTCTCTCCAACAACAGAAGAACACTCTAAAAAACAATATTGAACACAATATATAAATAATACAATCCATAAACTGTAAGCAGTTACATGCTTAAACTGTAATGAAATTCAATTAAAAATGTTTCGGGTATACATACAGATGTGTGTCCAGAAAGACATGCATTATGGAGTGCTGTTTGGCCTTGGGAATCCTGTGAAGGTGAAATATGAAGCCCATTCAGGAAACAAATTTATGATACTAAGTAACTATTGTTATCTGCATGAACACAATTTCCTTGGACAACAGTCACCTCAATGTCCACATCAACAATATATTTTAAAAGTTCTCCCAACAACTCAGTTCTGCCATTTGAAGCTAACCAATGGACCTATTAATTTATACAAGCAAATAAAACAACTAGATCTCTTCAAATTTTATACTTTTGATACCAAAAGATATTTATCTTATCTTCCAAATAGTTTTAGTGCTTACAGCAGTCATTCCCTCATTGTTGTGGATGTGGATATTTGCTTTGCATTCCAATAATTTTTGAATACACTTGGTATGGCTGCAAAATATTCAATGAAATTTGATAAACAGAAATATTTGATTTTGAATTAAGGACTAGTTCAATACTCAACATTTGAGGTGTTGGTGCAATTTACCATGCACTCACATACCCATTTCTAGCAGCAAGCTGTAGTGGTGTGACTCCACCAATATCTTGACAGTTTACATCCGCACCTTTCCTCAACAGGTATGCTAGACAATCATATGCACCAACACTGCATGGGATTGAAAAAAAAGACAATTATATTTGAAATTGTTCCAAACTGCATGACTATGATAAAATATAATTTTAGTTACTTGGCTGCCACATGCAGAAGACTTCTTTTTGCTCTTCCCGCTATATGACTGACATCATAGGATGAAGATGATATCAACTCTGACACAGCTCTAAAGTTGAATATAGGAAACATTGACATGATACCAGAGAGAGTACATGCCATTATATAGTAGTAAAAGGCAGTGGGCTGTCCCTGCTCATCCATGTTTTTCACAAACATACCTATGTTGGTTCTGCATAACCATTGGCATTAACATATAAAATGCTGAGTCATTATCTATAAAAAGAATATGAAATGAATTAACCAAAATGAGTCAAAACATATATCACAGATGAAAAAATTAATCTAAAATATAGCATGTTATTGTGGCATCTTTAATTAATCCTGAGGTAACATATATTACTAGCAAAAATGTTAGGGAGACCACATTCCCTGCTTTATTCAAAACAATTAAGTGTCATATATGTTATTTTCACAAGTTATAATCAAAAGCAAACCTATAGACTGATAATAATATTGATCCTCTCTTATAAAAGCGTTTTTACCTCCTGGTAAATCAGATGCTCTAGCTGTTCTGAGAGAACGAGCTAATTTTTGTAGAGTTTCCATTTAATCTTCGACTGCTGAACCAGATGTACTAGCCAGTCATCTATTCTTCATCTGTTTTGGTGCACAAAGCTAGAAAAACATTAATGGCAACATTTGAAGAGAGCAAGCTAATTTCTATAGTTTCTCTAGACTTTCTCTGCCAAATTACCAAAGATTGACCAGCATTTTAGCATAAACATGGGAGAAAAAAATGGGAGAAAAACATGGTCATGGTGGGGTTGTAATAATAGACCTTCTCAATCAGTAAAAAACGGTGATAATTATCCTTGTTTAGAAACAATCAAAGAATTTCGTTTCAAAATTTCCGTGTAGAATGACTAGAATCATACAAAATAATTTAACAGACCTCTATTCCACTTGAGAAATCTTTACAATTTAAACATGATTTTGTGAAACGCAACTGCAACTTCCCCTTTTCTGTACAAATCAAAATCACGTCGCTTCAAATTTTGTTTTTAATTCTATAAACCGAAGAACTTTAAATTGGAGACATTAAAACTAAAAAGCGATACATAATATTTTATCAATGCGAGCATAAATATTATATGCTGACACAAGCCACTTTCTTGAAAGTGCCATAACAACAAATGTCTGGGATGGGTCATATAAACATAGATCAAACTTACACTATATCTTCTTTTCGCTTTAATACATTCAAGCCAAGACATCCATTACGACTTCAAAGACTTAATACTTTGTCGTTATAGTAAAAACAACTGTCTAGCGGTGTAAAATATGCGACATATCGACAAACTTTGACAGTATTTCAACTTGCCATATTTGTTTTGTTTCCCTATTCCCTATTTGGTGTAGCTTAAAATATAAACCAATCACATTGCGTCCCTCCTGTGGCGGGAAATGCTCACCTTTTGCAGGATGAAATGTTAAAACCTCATTTTTAATTTGAAATTTACTTTGTACACACCTAAAAAGTATAACATTTTTGTTCACAAGTACAGATTTTTGGGATTAAATTGTTAGTCGAAAGTCTCGTTTGCTATTTCTACGTCCTGAACTTTGATGTTCGCCAAAAAAGGAAGACCAGCTTGAGATATGGATGCAAAGGTTCAGAAAAAAAAACAAGAGCATGGTTTTGTAAGCGAAGCAAATGATGAAGTATTGAAACTAGAAAACAACGAGAAAAGTCTTCTTCCAGTACAACCCACACGGTAAACCAAGCTAACTCTTCTTGGTAGCAAACCCAACTATATTAAATTTTAAACGAACTATACTCACTATTATAACGACCAATTTTACAACACGACTATCATATTGCAGCGATGAAACACAGCACCCAAAAGCAATTCATAAAGCATTTATAGCAAAAAGCCCAGCACCATTGCTGTTCACACATAGCGATCTACAAAGAAACACCCAGCAATTTGTGGACGACATCAATGCAAAAAGAAAACGCGATGCAGATTCACTAACAGGTTGGATGCTTTTTTTTTCATAAGTATACATGCCTTTGCCTATTATTTGCCTTTTTCAAGAGGTGGGTCTACTAAATAAAATGTCAGAAAAATATGGTGCTCAAAATTCAATTCATATTCCTGTAGAAGTACGAAAAGCTATGGAAATCCAAGCGTCAAATATTGGAAATATGATTGAAGAGACATTAGTGGGAATCTATGAAGAAAAGAGTAAAGTTATTCAAGATAAACTTCAAGAGATTTTTGCAGTTCTAGACAGAATATGTAAGTACATTCATAACATTGTATATTTTTATAACGGGAGGTTGACTGCGAACTTATTGCCATGCACGTGAAGTCATTGCCACGTAAGTTCGGAGAGATTACGGACCATACGATCCATATCACAATACAACCAAATTACCATCACCGCCGTACCAACATCACCACATTCACAAACATCTTCATTGACAAATGCCATTTGTTTACACCACATCAACTCCCATTTCCTGCATTCACTTTTTAGCGACACTTGAGAGAGAGTTAAATGAATTCAAGCAAGCACTGGGTCTGTTTTATGAAGATGTACGACCATCAAATGAACCATAGGACAGATATATAAGAAATGTTAACATTTGAAATAACAGCAGGGAAATTTGTACAATTATAAATATTTTGGACAAACTGGTATATTCACGGTGTTTCTTTCGTCATAAGAATCTATCGCACTCAGGATCATCTTTTTATATCTTCACTTTTATTTGAGAATTCGTCCTGAGACGAATAGGACTTGTCAAACTTGATGATTCTTACAATGTTAGTAAATGATTAGTGCCTTATATAGTTTATTATCTTGGTGTTTGCTAATTGTATTCTTATCAGATTTACAACCTTAGCATAGTTGCGTGAGATATCACTAAAAGTCGCTAAAGAAGATGTTAAAAATAAAACCTCCAACGTCTTAGTTTACCTTGTTCAGACCTTGACTGAGAGCTGTAGAATGTAAAAGGCTATATTATCTGTCTCCGAGAGATGTCTTCTTTCTCTTCTAAGAAATGCCAATGAATAAAAAATTTGTGTTTTATAGTACAAAACTAACAGTAATCTGTAAACACCCATAAAAGAACAAAATATCACCTTCATCTTCTTTGGATTTGGAAATTGCGGATTTTCAATGACACCTTTACCAAATTTTAATTCTAAAAATTCTCTATAGTTGTTTGGAACAGATGCTTTAATACCAGCAAAATCTACAAAACATAACGAATGTTATTGTCTTCATCATTAAATAAACTTTTGAAAGACAGTATAAAATCACAGTATAAAAATTAAAATTACATATAGCTAGCGTGTATTCTTACCCAAAGTTGTTAAAGGTTTCAAATAATGTGCAGGAAATTCCGAGTCTTGGCGGTGTGTTTTAAACCAAGTATTTTTTGTCATTATACCATTCTTTTCGTAGAATGGAAATATATCTAAAACATTAAAGCAACAAGTATTTTAAGTTGCTTTAACAATAACTCTGATAATAATAGAATATAATTGAGGTATTCTTCCAAAGCAACACTGGATCAGCAAGAGATGATCTTTACTACACCTCCAAGAACCGTTCAGAATTTTTAGAGCGAATCAATAAAAATAAAGTAGGTTAAGTTACCTATTCTTGCAATGAAAACTTACCTACGTGTAAATGATTTGTTTCACTAAATTGAACCCGGAAAAACTCTCCCTCTCGCGCTTTCTCCCAAACAAAGCCTTGATCATCTGTATATCTCTTCTGTGGGGACTCTTGAACAAGCTGCAGTTGGCTGCACTATAACGATTGCACTAGTATTAGGCACCCTCCTACATCATCACAACAGTCAAAACTAAGCAGTAACGAGCCGCTATACCTTGCTAATTTCGTGCTGGTAAATACCAATATCAACATCATAATCCCAAGGTATGATGTCTCCATTCCTTACTGCACCAAGTAAACTACCACCCTATACCAACAAACAATGTTATGACACAAGATTTGCAACTATCGCATTAGTAGATTTCATTCATTGGTACCTCAAGCCAGTAACTGACTCCAGACTTCACCAATGTACTAAGTACATAACGCGTTGTCTCCTTCAAATGACCTACAATAACAAACACAAGCAGGTTACAACTTATATTTCCGCATTTAAAAATTAATTGAACGAGTAACCGTCAGGCATATAGAGTCTTAGAGATCTACTGTAGTTCCAATAATCTTTAAGCCTGGTTTCCATATGACGCCGACGTCGGCAAAGTATTATTGTCGGTGATTACTGATGAGTGAAATCTTTTGTCTTTCTGAAATCATTTTCTCCTTGGATGATTACAGACAATGAGTCGGCGACAGGTCGGCGTCATATGGAAACCAGGCTTTACTTACGCATACAACACGGTGGTGTCAATCTTCCTTGGTATATATATTCTGGCATGTCATCTATTACTGTTCCAAAACACCGTGCTGTTTGCTAAAATAGCATCAGATGTCCATGGTTAATTAACGTATGAGCGTCTCCTATAAGGACTGTGTGGCTTTCAGTTATGTGGTATAAAGTCACCTCAGCGTTCGGTGGAAGAGTGCTACCATTATATTCACAACAGAGCTGTCCCGTTATTTCCAGCTTAACTACAGTAATAAAAGCGAAATAGTACTGTACTTACTTTATTGCATCCGTACCAATTTTCCACCCCATTTTCGTTAATAAGTTTTATGCCAAATCTATTGAAATGAAAACGGGCTAAATTGGAAAACATGCGAAGAACATATTGTACGTCAAACCCAAGCATGCGTAGTTAAACACTGCTTGCTCCGATCATTTTTCGTTCATTTTCGAAGGGGGTCTTTAGGGTGAGACAGGTTGAACAGACAATCATCATCTCACAAAGATTAGAAGTTCATGTTGTAGATTGGAATGAAATGAAAGATTTGCACGTGTTTCTTGAAAGGGGAGACTCGCGCATGCATGTTTTTAGAGAACTAATTCAATGTATCAAATATTTCATGCGTTAAAGATGACAGAAAAGAAAGTTTTGCATAGAAAACTTCAAGAAAACTCTCAAAAGAAAAATATTATACTGAAACCTTTTGTACATTCTCAACAATCGTTCATTCTTTTTCTGATCAGCTTTCCATCTGAAGGAAGAGATATCATTCTTCTATCAACTCATTTTGTTCTTTTCAATTAATTCATACAGTTGTTAAGCCAAATAATTTGACTTGTATATAGTTTGTTTACCTTTTATGTGTATCAGTGAATAGTTCTTTCCCTGGGGTGAAAATGTTATTATCATAAACTGTTGTTTTCCAACCTTTTGAAGCAAACTGAATAAACAGACCTAAAAAATCATTTGTTCAACAATGAGTTTGTGTGGTGATCACACTGAAGTTGCAAACAAAGTCACCTTCAGGGTATGGCCTCAGAAATGGTTCACTCAGATTGGCCAGATGGGAAGATTGAAGTAATAAAACAACTTTTGATGTGCCACTTATAGCATCACAAACTCCATCATCTAGGGAAAACGAAAAAGAAAACTTTTAACCAACAAAAACATCTATATGGAATGGAACTTTGTAGAGCCAGCTAGCTGTGTTAATTGTTAGGCAATTAACCCTAACTGACATACATGTTTTGTCTGTGTATGACATTGTCCAATGCCTAAAACAAAATGAAGATTTTTTTTATATTGATTATAATGGATCAGTTCTTTTCTGACATATAATATCAAGCAAATCAAGCAATCATAACCTGTAGTCAACTTTTAGTTTTGAACACTGGTAATTGCTGCCAACAGGAAAAGCAGCGATCCTTGCTCCATCTATGGTGTTCAACTTTTCATAGTTGAAGTTTTTCAGTTTTTTACCATTGTGTAGTCTCACTGAATCCGGGATCAATAAAACATACTTTGTCTTGATGTAGCTACATATAGACAATTTTTATTTGATTTAATTTTAACCATACAGTACATGAAAGTGTGATCAACAATTTTTGTCATGTTTCACACTGTCAAGCTGTTTTCTTTTTGTGAATTAATACAAAGATAACATCAGATAATAACAAGGGCTCTGATATAAATTAATGAAAGATTATCTTACAATGATGGATCACCCCATTTTTTTGGATCACTGCTTGCCTGATCTCTTACAACAACCTAAATTGTAACAGAAACAAAAAGCTATGCTGGTCATCTGAACAATGTTTAATGAACAAAATCAACAAAAAACATCTAGAAGCTGGACAATGTATAATCAACAAAAGACAGAAGTTGGACAAAGTAAGACAAACAAGCTCAAGGTAGAGTACCTTAGAACGGCATTTAGCATTGCAGGACTCAAGTTATGAGCTGCCATTATAGATTGTGTCGCCTTTAGAAAATGCCCCAAACAGTTAAATTTCAATTTTTAACTTGCAATCATGCATATGGCAGAAAGATTTGTGTTTTAAAGATTTTTGTGTGCAGATGTATGCTATGGTCCTACCATATAGTACCACTAAAAAAATATTTTGAAAAAAAATAACCTTGACATTATCCTGAGATACATCTACAGGTGGGTATGGCAATTTCTTGCTGACAATTAAAATATTTACATCAGGGAACAAATTTAATATTGAATCCACTGTGTTTGGAATGTCATTTTCAAATTCTTCTGCAAAACACAATACAATTGTAATATTAATTATCTATGTAAGTAATAATTCCTCATTGTTCAATTGCCCTAACAACCTGTGTGTCAGCTACATTTAAATCAGGTAGATTTTAATGAGGCAAACTAAAGGTGTAGTAGTCTTTGTATATGTCCATCTTGCAAGACATATTTCAAAGGGGGGGGGGAGCTGCATTTATGTGATAGGCCACATATATAGCTAGGGGATGGCTTAATTAATAGATTAATTGGGCTTGTTTATTGGTAAAGTACTTCTTCACTTCTTTCATGATCTCAAATCATAAAGCCAGGTTACAGATATTATTAAATTTCTTTACTTACCAAATTCAATAATCACAACTGTAAATTTTCCTCCAATAGATTTTGGTCTACCTGCATTTTAATAACATTGATTTTTAATTAATTCTACATGTTCAAATCCCATACATGTTTAGAGTATCCAACAATAAACTTCACCAGTATTGTTACAATGATGAATTACACACAATGTGTTGTACAATGATTGCTTCCAGATTCCAACCAAATTAGAACCCTACATAACCTGCCTTCATCAGCTGTATCAGACTTGTCAATAATTAGAACAACCTATTATTAATTAATTAATTACACAATGTTGCAAATACTTTATACCTTGTTTGTGTTTATGGTCATTGGTCCCTGGTTGAGACAAAAACAACAGCAGAAAGATAAAAATATTCACCAAAAGACAAAATAAAAGAATTTGAGAATGTCTACAATATTTCATTAAATTCAACTGGTGTAAAATATGCAACCAAAACAGTCATACGTTATTACGTATTCATAAGTACCATTTCCACTGTGACATTTTGTAAAATTAATCAGCATTTTCACCCGCGTCCCACGCGTGTTCAAAGACACGCGCGGTAATGACACAATCGGATGTTGTCGTCGTTCACCCGTCGTCGGTGACAACCGTCACGCAATAATTCCCATCGTCAAGTTGATCCTTAAAAACATGAATTTTCTTGCATTCAGTAAAGTAAGGTTGTCAATTGTGGAATAAACTAAGGAATGTTAGAATTCAATTCAAGGAATTTGACTTTGGGATTAATGGCCTTTGGTCTCATGTTTACATTTAATACATTTGCACAACAAAAACATTTTGCTATAATTGCGCAGCAAAATTTTTGTTTCTACCTTTTAAAACTGTCGCTCTTTTAGGATAGATTCCTACCAAATATGAGTTCGAAAAACCTGCACGGTATCTCGTCAACCCAAGGTAAGTAGGAGTATATTTTATTCCAGCAGAAAGTAGGGTTTGCGGTGTTTGTTTGAGCAATATTTTGAGCCCAGATTACAGAAAATGTGGCATAACTAGGGTGTGTTTTAATCGTTTTCTTTTAAATATGCATACTTCATTGATCGACAGTATTTGCACACATATTGACAAGTTTAACACAAAAATAGTTACAAATCGTGGACACTAGGCAAACCTAACTCGTTTTGTGTGGTTTCTATTGTTTTGATCGAGGTTTTGATGGCTATAGTCAAGGCCAACAAGACTTTATTTTCCCGCTTCGAGCAAGCTTATATACAGATAGTGTTCCAGTTTTCGGAAGTGTTATTTACACACAGTAAACGTTTCTACAATAAAAGTGATATATCCAAGGCTTTATACAATATAGTTATAAACCGTGAAATGAAATTCACGTTTTTCTTCCTCTTGGTAACGTGCGGGATCACTTTCACTTCCTTATTCGTATCATCATTTGATTCAGCAAAATTTTTATGAAAATCTTATGATTCACCTGAAATCTTATGATTTATAGTTCACATGTCTTATATCGAAATATTCTCACATATTTTTTATAATTGTGATTTTTACATGTAGATTTCTTTTATCCACTTAATAAAACTTTTCTAGGGTATATTTTAAATAAAAAATCCACCCGTAACAGCTGCCCTGTTGTTGTCAATCCCATAAAAACAGCTGCCGTGATGATTTCTCAACCACAAAATTAATGTTACTATATTCGTAGTGAAAATTTTAAAATGATACACTTTGTTGCATTAAATTGTACAATTCTGTCAGTTTTTTCCCATTAAAAATAAATTGTTTTAAAAACAGTAACAGCATATAGATTATTTGCTGCTATAATTATGTTTTTCCCCCTAACAGGGAACATGACACTGCATATTTTCAGATTCTTGAAAGTTTTTTCATACAATTCCAGATACAGATGATGAAGGCTGTTGTAGCAGTGTGTGTGCTGTCATCTTGACTGTGTTATCATACATTATTGTGATATGTACGTTTCCTTTATCACTCTTGTTCTGCCTCAAGGTATTGAAATTTATTTTTTTGTAATTATCCAAAATATGTGTAATTCAAGCTTGTAAGAATATATACAACCAATGGCAGTGAGGGGAAGATAATAGCTTTCAAATCATTGAACTTTTTCTCTTTTTTATTATAAACCTTTACATGATATCATATATAATTTAGAGAAGTAATTAAGAAAAGGTATGTTTGGTAGAAACTTGTAAAGTATTTTCTTTTGCCTTATAGATTGTTCAAGAGTATGAGAGAGCAGTCATGTTTCGTCTGGGTCGTCTATTGCCAGGTGGAGCTAAAGGGCCAGGTGAAGTTACGGTAAAACCATTTACTCCATGTAAATACTGTACTAAAAATGTTTTACCAATTTCCAGGTTTGTTTTTCATCCTACCATGTATTGATTCTTATCAAAAAGTTGATCTACGTGTGGTGTCCTTTGATGTCCCACCACAAGAGGCAAGTTGTTGATGTTGCTCATAAAAATAATCATTGTGTCAACATCTATATTTATTTTCTATTCCTCTCTATAGATTCTCACCAAAGACAGTGTGACAGTTGCAGTAGATGCTGTTGTCTATTATAAGATCTACAATGCAACAATGTCTGTCACGAATGTGGAAAATGCTAGCAACTCCACAAGATTGTTGGCACAAACAACACTTCGTAATGTTCTGGGTACCCGCAGCTTAAGTGAGATCCTCTCAGAGAGAGAAACTATCAGTCATGCAATCCAGACAAACTTGGATGAGCCAACGGACCCATGGGGTGTGAGAGTTGAGCGTGTTGAAGTGTAAGCAGGATTTTGTTCACATGGATGAACCTATCTTAGTGAATAACCAATGTTGGTTATTAATGTGCTGAAATTGTGCATACAAAATTTGCATACAATACTTGTCAGGCTGTCAGCAGTATTGCATTAATCATCATAGTTTATTTGTCAGATCTATCCATTTCATTCACATATACACTTATATGCTCTTAATTCTATTTACAGTAAAGACGTGCGTCTGCCTCAAAACTTGCAAAGAGCCATGGCAGCTGAAGCTGAGGCAGCAAGAGAAGCAAGAGCCAAGGTAAGTCTTCTTTTCAACCAGGGGCTAAATGATCAATCAATAAGAGATGATTACTAAATCCGGGAATAACAGTTTAGAACAGATAGAACTACACTGTGTCAGGACAGTGTTGAAGGTAAACTTCTCATTTCAAGAAAAAGTTCATCTTTTCTGAGCCACCTGGGATGACAGAACTGATGAAGCTATCCAGTATTAAAAAATTGGATTGGTTTTCTATTTCATAGATACTATTATCAGTACAATAAGAAACTAAAATGTGATCTTTTAAACTACCAGGTGATTGCAGCGGAGGGTGAAATGAACGCATCACGTGCTCTCAAGGAAGCAGCAGAAGTGATTGCAGAGTCACCACAAGCTTTGCAACTACGATACTTGCAAACATTGAGTGCCATCTCAGCTGAGAAGAACTCCACTATAATCTTCCCATTACCAATCAGTATGTTGAATGCGTTGAAGAATCATGGTTCCTAAACACGTGGATAAACTGACTTTTATTTGCACCATTTTTCGTCTATAACTATATTAGAACTATTGATTAACTTGCACATGATTCACGTTATGTTGTAGTGTGAACACACTTGATTTTTATTAGAGCTTGTTAGGCTCTAAGCTATTAACATATATTTACTCGTTCTTTCACACTATATGATTTGTCAGATCCGAATCTCGTCTTGATGTACACGTTATTAATGATTTCCTGTCAACAGTAAGTCCATTTAGCTGTAAAAAATTACATCCATTACAAGAATGGACATTCAGATCCGAACAATCTCTCCGTAAGAACATTACAGCAGGATCTGTGAGCAAACGAAATTAATGCTTTATAGTAATCACACACTAAATTAGCCAATATTTTAAGCTGATGTTCAAGATTGGTCAAGGATATATTGAACGCAATATCTCTTGCAACTCCAAACTGTATTCCTGATTTAAAAACAAGTTTCATTGTTTGTTATATGATCTAACTATTATTAGTGAATAATTCACAATGTATGCTACCATAATCTGTAATACAGACATTCGGATAATAAAATATAATCGTTTAAACCCTAATTTCCAGAAATATTCTTTTGGTCGTGACCGCTCATGCCGATCATATCCTGGATTTCTACCTGCAAAGAATTGGTTCGCTAGCGAAATATTTGCACTAGCGAAGTATTTCTCTTTCAAATTAGGAATAGTTGAACATCTCTGCTAGTTGAAATCCAGCCTCACGCTAAAGAGAAGTCTCACGTCCTAGAACATCACTATGGACATCTCGGGATGGTTTAAAACCGCAGGAACGCGCACGAGCTGGTAGCCGGGTTATGCATAATTTTTCACATTTTCCACCGTATAAAGCAAGTATAAACATTCTAACCAATTATAACTTCTATTTACAATAAAACGAATGCACTATCTCTATATATCAATGCCTGTTGGAGGATTGATTACCATCTTTGAAAAATACCATTCTCGGTGCTAGCTGTTGTCTATGTGTGATAGCTGCAATCTAAAACACCGGCACAGTTCACAGTTTCTTCTGCAGCTCCACCAGGTAGCCCTCTACAAAACTGATATGGTTTACGATATTTTGACAACCAAACGTATGTGTTGCTCTTTCAAAAACTTCGAGATCTTTTGCTAGTTCGGCATCTGGCTGTTCCAAAGATTTTCTTAGATTCTGTAACATCGAGCTATGAGAAAGACATGACACTTTCAAGAAAAAGTTTTTGTACTGGATAAACTTCATTAACTATAAACTGTTTTTCTTAGAATGAAACTGGCGTAGTGTCGTGGTGAATGCATCTTCTCTATAGGTAGCTGGTGCGAGAAACGAACATGTCAAGCTAAGATCTGAAGAAAGCCGTGGTATACTTACATCGTGCTATTTACAGTGTCTTTATTATTATGTACTTCTGTATCGTTTCTCCCAGATTCTTCCTTTTCACTCTTTTCATGTTCCATATGCTGCTTCATTGTATCTGCTACGTAATCGGTCGGAAAATACTCGGAATTCATCGTATGAATGCCATTCGCTAAAGTCTGGGCCTCTCGCTCACATAGCCTGGAGAGTACATTGACTTTACTCCGTTTAGATCTTGACTTGAGGTTATAGCGAGATATTAGTTCGTTGCCGGTCGTTTTAGAATGCCTTAGATAGGCAACCATTTCCGATCGGCCAAAAAACTCTGGATACTCGGTCCGCCTACGAAGTTCATCCAGGGTTAAAGGTATCGCTTGTAATTTATTCACAGGACTGAATAAATTATTCACATAGGTGACCGTGTCGCTTCCAACAGGCAGTGAATCCGATTCGAATGTCTCCGAACTAACAGCGACGAGTTCCCGAGTAGTTTTTGACGGGTTTCCGTCAACATCTGAAATTGGCTTTTGCATTTCCCGCGTTATTTCGTTCAGGGGACGTTGAGGTGATTGCCTGGTCGTTTGGGTTTTGTTTAAAACCTTTTCATTAGAAAAATCGCTGGTTTTTCGTGATTTACCTGTGACAAAACATTCATGATTGTGTGGTCTTTTCCCGCCAAGTTTCCAAGTGTTGGCTTTAGGCATGGTTGTCGCACATGAAGCCATTTCTCTAGTTCTTTTACAACTGAAAAGAGAAGAACTTCAACCATGAAATCACAACCACCAAACTACCTAAATAATGGCTACAGTCATTGCGATGAATGATGGTTTACCAACCCTCAAATAACTGGAATCCCGACTGACTTATCTATGGCAGCAGCGGACAGCAGTCCACTTTGTATGTCTGCATCATGTGTGGTTGGTGTTGGGCAGGGAACGAAGGATCCGTAACAGGAACCCTGGTTCCTTGATTGCTGCTTGCTGGTATTTACTATTTAAGCATGCCCATGCATTATGTTAGAACTTACAACACCAGACATACAACTGGCATTCGTCAGCGCCCCGTCACGTTTGACACACTTTCACAATCTCTAACCTAATCTGCACAAATCTACACCTCTGTGAGTTAGAGAGCAATCGGCAACCTGATGTAGCTACTTCAATACACATTCCACAACTCACTTCTCATGCATGTGTGTTGGTTGTTCCGCACGAGTAGGTAAAACATTCACATAACAAAAACATCAGTCCTCTAGACTTCTGAGGATTAAAACCAAAAAACCTTTTCTATATGTCATTTACCAAATTTCCGTGTTTGAAAGCCACTTAGCTCACTCATCAAGTTTAACATCATTGGTTTAACATCTAGGTGACGTGGCCATAAAAAACATTCTGCCTGGTTACGCGTTCACATTACATTAAAAAAACCTCTCCATAACAACATATTCACATATTTTCCAGTCTGACTGACTTTGAAATCTCTGACACGGTTATATAATTTCTGCCCATGCACGAAGCAGATCCAAAACAGATCAAAAACTATGCTATGATATCATGCAAATGATTCAGGAAACAAGAACGCTCGTTTGAGTGGTTCGAGGAATCTCAAATCCGTAAGAAGAATGTGAGCCCACGGCAGTGAGAGCCTTTCCAACGACTGTTTTAAAATCTAGGGCCGTAAAGCTAGCTGCTCGACTGATTTCTTTTGATTACGGTATCTAAACCTGAATATATAAATATGCACCATCCCCCTAAATAAACGGTCTAGGTACAGCCCTGTAAAAATCGGAGACAGTAAAGGTTTGCCTGCGCCTACTGGCTACTCTGTATTCACATGTAGGTTGGCGGTGGCTTCGTATAAACTGGTCAACTAAATGTTTGATAGCTTTACACTATACGTCTTGATGTAAATGAAAACTATATCAATATGTTATACGGAGTAAAAAAGGCTATATATAGTTCTTTGCATCTTACTGCTTTTCAGGAAAATCAAAAATCGAGCTAAGGTGCGCGATAAGAATACCGCATTTTTCCTATAAGTATATATTTAGTTTAATTCTATGCTAATAGCATATTTTAAGTGGAAAACTAAGCTTTAGACAGTTTCGTCTTCGTGATGATGGCAATCTGGTACAGGGTGTAACTGGTATACACGTCAAGCTATTTAGAATTTAGAAAGTAACTTCATTCTCTTAATTTATATGGTTAATACGAAAATAAATACATGCAACGATAGTTACGATGCATGTCATGCATGCTTGAATATGTGCGTGGTATAGGGTTTTAAACTGCGTCATGAAGTAAAGTGATGAAATCCAGATTAGATTATATAACTTTAAAACACAAATAATAAGTTATGCGGTTCGTGCAATTCTGGTGCAACTATCAGAATGACTCAAACTGGCGTTAATTAGACGGTGCATGTACTCTACGATAAAGCTTTTCAAGGATGAAAAATAGATGCGAGAGTGGCTGAGTCAGGCTAGCGTAAAGAGATTTAAATTGCCTCGACATGAAACAAATCAGCGGAAACCATATGTCAACCAACACAAGCAGTATATATTCCTTGAAGCACACCATCTCAAAGCAATATAGGTCTATGTCTTTATAACGTTCAAATAATTCTCTACACATACATACTTGCATTGAGCTATGTCTATTGTATGCGAAGTAATTTTCGGTTTTGGTTTTAACTTTGCCGGTTTCAGGAATGTTCAACTCCATGAGAATACAGGATAAGATTTAGAATACGATCTATTGCTGCGCGAAATTTCATTACCAATATTTTACTCTAAAGGTATATATACATTATAATAAATGATCCTACCTCGTTCAAAACTATATGTCCTCACTTCAACTCTTTGCGGTGTGATAGTGGTGCTTGACTTCACGCAGTCGTTTAAAGCATCAAATTATCCAGGCATGAGGTAAAGTTAATAAATTCTTTAAACAATACTCAATAAAAGAGACATTTAAATAAAGCACTTGTGTTTTAAATAATTAAAATGCTAGGATGCTAAATGGAAGCTCGTCTTTGGCCACAACAGAGGAATAAGATCAGTTTTCCTTGCTAAAGATAAGTCATCTTCATATAGGTATCTCTGATACAAGAATTAGAAAACATTTTGCCTGTGAAAAGATGTATAATCTTGTGTGTGAAAATGCATAGTTACGCATGATTAACAAATAGTTGCACAGTTCCGCATCATTGCGACTTTAGAACTTTAAAATTCCTCAGCCACCACACAGCTACACGCTTTGGTTTAAGTAATTACATAAAATAAATCAGACACTAAAATACATTTTTATAAACTTTAGTAAATTGCTGCAAGCACAAGACGAGATAAAATAAATGAACTAACGTCGTTTTTCTGACAATGGGTTAAATCGAAGTCCTAATTAAAATGCTTAATTTCGTGACCACCTGCAATAGTCAAAGAATCATTATTTCATTGCCACATACAAAGATACAGTTGGCTATTTTGTCAGGCCCTATATAGTGCTTAAGGCACTATAACATGTGTGCGCGATTATTTACATACTCAGCTTGTTTAGCTAGTTTCATACAACTTTATTTATCCTTGTATACCAATTCAAAATTAATTACCGTTGTAACAAGTATGCACTGCACCCAGCTGCATCAATATCAACCATAATCACCAGTCTCTTTGTTAGTAAATATTCATTTATTTGTATTGTGTCGTAAACTAGTATATAAGGCCTTCAAAATACATACTGCATCCATCTCATGGAGAAAAATATTTTGCTGTTTCTTAGCTAACGTGTTTAAGGGTTTTCTATTTTCAGGAGCTGTTCAGGCTGGCTGGCGTGCGTCCATTTCAACCCGGAAAAATATCCTTAAGCTGACAAGAGCGACATAGCGTCATGCAACGTTCCTTTGGTCCGTGAGTTCTCAACCTGAACCATTGATTGAGAGACGGCCCAGGTCCAGCCTGAGTCCATGGTTAATTTACCTAGCTGGAAACCAAACTAAAATAACCTCGTTCGTTACAAACCTTATTGGTTATGGAACTCGACGTCACTAGGATAAACACCCTTTAGGTTTTAGTAATTATTTCATATTTTGTCAGACTGTAATTCCTATGTGTTGGGTATATCGTTTGTATTTTTCAACTGTTGTTTATCCGTATTTATAACTAAATTTTCACGCTGGCAACGCCATTGTTCGGCAACATGACAGAATATTTCATGGCGACACTTTGTTTTATGGCAGTCTCTCTGACTATCAGACCTTTGCTATCAACAGTGCATGTGATGAACTGGCACGCGGGGGTGCCTTATTGGTATGCCACGGTAATTATAACTAGTGGGTGAACCTGTTGCAAGCCAGGTTGCCAGGGTGTTTGAAACATAAACTAATCTATGCAAAGTAAGAAAGCCATTTAATTCAATTTTCAATATAAACAGTATATTGGCGAGGTGCTCTTGTCATCAGTTAATTTAATAGATTTCTCGCATTTGAGATTGGCTTATGTCTTCTCAATGTGGTAACTGTAGCGCCTGCCAGTGGATTTCAAATCTTAACTGTTACTGTTTAAGAATTTACCCTAACACAGATCTCTATACATGATATAAAGATAGTGACGTAAGATTTTTCCAAATTAAACTATATATCAATGGTGAACCAAGGCTGGTACAATGGTAGTTCGTAGTTAGTCACATGATACTTGACTTTTAACTGCAGCCCCCTAATATGGGTACACGTAAAGATTTATCCGTGCTCAGCCTTTGTTTTGGCAGCCTAAACACTAATAAAACTCGGTATTAGTAACAATTTTAGCCGTGCCATTAGTGTAAATTGAGTATTGGGTAAACGGAGCTTGCATTTTTTTGCTATGAATAATGTGTTGTTGAACAATATCCTCAAGACCTCAAAATGAAGCAATATAGTATTCACCAGTCCAGCGGTTAAACACAGAGTGAACTGATGCGAAACAGAAGATAATGTCATTTCCGTTTTAACATTGCATGCCGGCAGTTAGCCATGAGCTAGTTTCACACAGAGGGTATCCACCCATTCTTTCAATAATATGGTAATACCGTACGCATGAGTTCTTCCAGGGGGACACACAGGCAGTGTAACACTGATAATTCATTAGTAAAATGAAGATTACCATTTTAGGGACTGTCCCCCCCCCCCCGCCTTTCCCTCGTCAACGACCTTGGTTAATAATAATAATAATAATAATTACAAAGGAGAAATTTTGCTAATACTTTCCCTCTAAAGGGAGTGAATGTTTCTATGTTTTTCTGGACGGAGGATATTCTTAGCACATCGTACTCTAGGTACTACCCTACTAGGTATAAGGCTCGTTTGTCAATGAAACCATTTAAACTACCACTAAGGCACTAGACTAATGACTGGTACTATTGAGACACCACAAGGCGCATGCATTATAATTGTAACTTTATCTAAGCTAGGAGGTCGCCGTTACAGCAATAATCATGTGTTTTCAAATATCGCCACCAGACTTTATTTACGAGGATTGCAATCATTCGCAAAGATCCGTACTGTCAACGAGATCCTTTGAAACATTTCCAATGAAAAGACGTGCCATCAGGCACTGACACGTCGTCAGTGATGAATATGTAAACTAATGACAAAGCTCATAATATGACTTTTGTCTATCTGGCTGCTCAAAACAAAAGGACCGGAATATTTTGATAACAAACCGAATTCATTTTTCTCCCAAGCCAATATCATTACGCCGGTAACTATACTCAACTCTATAATGAGTAAACTGCACTCATGCACCATGTCAATATCATGTAAAAAATTTCCCTTTTTACACTAGCTAAATAGCAGCAAAGTTGTTTGGACTCAGTTACTCATTTCTAATGTTAATAACTTTCAGTTTTATCATCAGTATTTATATATATCACTGGCCTTTCTCACTACCATGCTTCTTGAATCTATATCAACCATGCATATGCGTTTTAATACTTATTGTCATTTCTTTAAAACAACTCAACTTAGGAATTAGCGAATCACACGACGCTGTGAACAAGCACTATATACGCCAAGAAGCAGCAAGCTCTTGCTGATAATTCTCAAGCTACTTTACCTCGTAATGACTTCTTCAACTAAATTTGTTCCCTATAACACCTTCCTATATAGACCTCTGCGAGGACCTCTGTTATAAGTACTGATTTAACGATTATTATTTAGGAAAACAGGACTAAAAACAATGAGCAAAAGATGTCTGTATATACATGCAAAACATTTGATATAATCTGAGTTAACACGCTTGACTTACCTAGGTTGTATTTCACGGCATTCAACGATCTGTTAACTAATTAGGTTAACAAGTAAAACCAAGGTAGAGGAGATTAATAAATGACGGTGATTATCAAAGAACAAGTTCGTATGATATTGTTGATGAGCTGAAGCGACATCAGCTACAAAATATTTTGATCTTGATGTATTCCGCGATTAAAAATAAGAGCATTTGTCAACGCAGGTGGGCCAGTAAACCATTTAAAATCATTGAGCCGTTTAAAGGAAGCCTATTTTGAAATGCAAATTTAGGATTTATATTCGTATGTGTCAATATGCATGGCGTCTGTTCATATGCTTGTCAATAATGATATTGTAAATTTAATAAAGTTTCCTTTTGAAATGCACTTGAAAAATTTATCCCATGTAATATCAATAACGCGGCATGATAGAAATGGAAAACAATCAATTTTAATTCGGTAACATGCAGTTACACCGACCAATTTATCGACGACACTAGGCCAAAGGAAAAGAAAAAAGTCACCCAAAAATTAGTCCAACGAATGAATCTGAGGTAACCAATTTTAAACAGTGATGTACAATCACCTCACAATCACCACATGGTACATATCACTACAATTTTACTCAATATGCATAAACCATTTTGAACGAAATTAAGAATATAGAAAAAAGTAATATAAAAAAATCTTTTAGTGAAAGAAATAAACTCTTGTGGTAGCCTGCCGGCCATCAACGTTTTCTTCGCTTTCAACTATTTGAGTCCTCCGACAATGACAATATTTGGTGGTAATATGAGCTAGCATTTAGAATAAATTACTGTGTAAATTTGCATCAAATATTGATCCATTTTATTTTAATCATTTAACTTGGGAATATTGATTAGGATTTGATTACAGTGTGAATGCTGGAACTTATGCTAAATGAATGCATGGTCATGTCATGTATAATCTACGAAAGGTCAGAGGGAAATGACACAACACAGTGACCCAAACAACAGAGTTTAAAACGCAAGAAATCACGTATTTGTGTGAAAGAACCTGATAGTCACATCTCTACCACGTGCACGTCTCAGAAAACCATAATGCTACCACGATGAAAATAAATACCCTTTCTCACGATGACGTATGTCCACCATTTTTGTATAAAATCCTTTCTCTTACACCCTGGGAGGGGGAGGGGTATATCAATCTTCAATTTAATGCCTGAAGCCCAAATTTTGTGAACTTTAGCCCCGCTTACACTGCACGGGTAAATCCATGGGTACCATTGGCACAGCACGGCTAAATGCATAATGGGTACCATTGGCACATGCAGCACGGCTAAATCCATGGGTACCATTGGCACAGCACGGCTAAATGGGTAACATTTGCTTATTTCATCCGTCCTCGGCCTTTGTTTTGGTAGCCTGAGCACGAATAGAATTGGGCATGGGTGCCCATTTTAGCCGTGCCGATAAATTCAGTGTAGTATAAACGGGGCTTTAATTAACTTACACTATTGTGTAAGGCCCGAAACTAGAACGATAATTGGGGGGTGTTTATTCATATATTCAGTTCTGCCCGACGGATTTCTTTTGTAAGTACAAGCTATTGCACTAACAAAAGAAATCCGTCGGGCAGAACTGAATATATACAGTTTTGGCCCCCTTTCCGGGCAAATATGGCGGGCGGTGACTATGAATAACTATTTTTTAAAAGAAAATAACTAAAACGTCCCACCCAGTTCGCATGTTTTCTTTCAGTACGTCTTATGTTCGCCTGTTTTCACTGACCACATAAACTGCGGACCCAAGAGTCAGTTGTTGAGACTTCCAATGAAATTTCAATAGGCATATAAAACATGTTTATTGACAATATAAAAGATAGACAATATAAAACATGTTCATTGATATAAGTATTTTAAAAATCAATTTAAAATAGTTGATTCTCTAATTTATTCTCACTGGCAGTATTAAAAATTCGTGATATATAAAAATTGTCATAACCTAAAAAAATGGTTATAAAAGATACCGGACCGTCATCTAACACCTTGGGTTAATTATGTGGTTATTGTGGTATAGGTTAAAGTGATTGTCTAAAAGAAGCTAAACATGGCGAAAAATATGATAATCAATGACTTCAGTGTTTTCATCAGTCCTCGTCTTCTGGTTTCTTCTCAACTTTAAGTCTCTTATAAGTAAATAAAACCAAAGCCAAGCCAATCACTTGTACAACTGCAAGAATCCATCCTATGATTGTTTTATGGGTGTACAAACTGCTTCCAAAGATGGGCCCTGACAAACCTGCTAAACGATTGAACGACGTTAAAATTGCATGGACCAGACCTTGGTTTTCTGCTTTCGTGTGTTTCGAAACGAGTGATCTGCCAATCACCACCGTCACTGAGATAGCTACGCCAGCAAACAGAACAGTGAAGAGAAAGCTGTACAATGACATGTTAGACCCAGGTTTCGAATAACTTAGAATGATAAAACATAAAGATGAAAGGCAACCACACATCACTGCACATACCAAGATAATTCGATCCTCGACTTTTGGTGCAATCAACCAAACAACCACGAGAACAAGAATAATTTCTAAACCCCAGGCTGTGTACAACACACTAACCTGGGTCTCACTCCAAGATAACATGTACTCAGCGATGAGAGGTGAGATACCTTGTAGACAAGTGTGGATAATATACATGAAGAACAGCAAATAAATCAACACGACAACATGTACTTTTGTAAACATGTCTAAAATTGCAGACTTGAAAGTAACTTTATCGAAATCCTCAGCGTCGAGATCACTTTCGAAACTACTTGTAGAATCAGAACTTTCAAAAGGATTTCGTTGTTGTTTTGGTGTCGACGGTTTTTCGGCTTCATCAGAAGAGCTATACATTTCAGATAGATCTGGCACCTCGGGACAGAAGGTTATATTATCTTTGGTAGTGTAATACATTTTACGATCTTGTTGCTCGTCACCAGAGTCATCAGTAGAAAAGCTCTTAATGCCAGAGTTCACGATTTTCTCTGGCGAATCTTTCTCGAGGCTTGCTACCTCCCCTGTTTTTTTCGAATCAATAGCTTCATTTGCTATTGACAAAATTGTCTTTTTGGGACTCGTTTGTTGTTGAGCTTGTCTGAAAAGACTAGTTGGTGCTTTCTTTTCAGGCGGAGGAGTGCTTTCTTCCGGCGTCTGTCGAAGCTGCGGAGGGCTTTCTTTAGATGACATTGATGAAGTCTTGGCTCTCCTTTCTTCCTTCTTCTTCCTCTTCTTCTTTTTCTTTCTTCCATTAGGTTTCAGTTTGGTTATCTCTTCTTCTTCTTCTAGCAGCTGATAATCAGGATTGTTTTGAAGCTCCCATGAGAGATCAAAAACACAGATTAACATAAGAATTGTGACAAGAATCCATATTAAACCCATCACAAAACCAGGGGAGGTACGGAAATCAATTGGCCATTCACCGATATTAAAGTTAATTTCTTTTAAAAATAAATTGAATGCCGGTCCTATCGCAGCTCCTAAGAGGTTGCTGCCTTTAAGAATCGCAAAGTATCTTGTTCTTTGTTCAGTGGTTGTGACTCTAGCAAGCTCTCCCCACATTGCTGATATAAAACCTTCCCCAAACCCAGCAATCATTCTGCCGATCAGAGGCAATCCAACATAAAATGGCATCGCGTAGATAAAGTTTCCTGATATTTCAGCCAAATTCCAAAGAAAGCCTGTAAAACGCACTTTCCTACTGACGTCGACAAGATGGCCAACGATGGCTGTGCTAATAATACCAACCATATTATACGCTGATAAAACTAACCCAAGATACCAGTACTCGACGTGGAATATCTTCAAATACAGCCAAACAGAAGGAAATATGACCGCGTATTCAACGCCCATGAAGAACATTCGTGTTGAGAAAGCAAAAAGTGTAAGATTACGTTTTTCCGTGAATTTCCAACGCGCCATTTTGACTTGTGACAATGATACAATATCTGAAAAGCGAATAATTTTAATCATCATTTTAATCATCATAGATTTTATTCACACTATAACTTTATTGAGTCGACTGTATGTTACATGATTGAAATGAACTACAGTAATTTTGCATGTGGCGAATGAATAAATTATTACCGCGTCTATTACAGAAAGCCCAGGCTTTTGAATGACTGAAAGGACTGAAATATCTTGACCAAGTGAGACCTGACGTCAATAAAGTTAACTCTGGTATGTTTTAAACGGCACTTGCTACATGAGATAAAACCCGAGATTTTGTTTTTAAGAACTCCTTGCCCTCCCTGCCTTGCCTTACTCTGCTGTCCTTGCCCTACCCTCCCTTGCCTTACTTTACTGTCCTTGCCCTACCCTCCCTTGCCTTGCTCTACTGTCCTTGCCATACCCTCCCTTGCCTTGCTCTACTGTCCTTGCCCTACCCTCCCTTGCCTTGCTCTACTGTCCTTGCCCTACCCTTCCTTGCCTTGCTCTACTGTCCTTGCCCTACCCTCCCTTGCCTTGCTCTACTGTCCTTGCCCCACCCTTCCTTGCCTTGCCCTGCTGTCCTTGCCCTACCCTCCCTTGCCTTTCTCTACTGTCCTTTCCCCAACCTTCTTTGTCTTGCTCTACTGTCCTTGCCCTACCCTCCCTTGCCTTTCTTTACTGCCTTTGCCCCACCCTTCCTTGTCTTGCTCTACTGTCCTTGCCCTACCCTCCCTTGCCTTTCTCTACTGTCCTTGCCCCACCCTTCTTTGTCTTACTCTACTGTCCTTGCCCTCCCCTCCCTTGCCTTTCTCTACTGTCCTTGCCCCACCCTTCTTTGCCTTGCCCTGCTGTCCTTGCCCTACCCTCCCTTGCCTTGCTCTACTGTCCTTGCCCCACCCTTCTTTGCCTTGCTCTACTGTCCTTGCCCTACCCTCCCTTGCCTTGCTCTACTGTCCTTGCCCTACCCTTCTTTGCCTTGCCCTGCTGTCCTTGCCCTCCCCTCCCTTGCCTTTCTCTACTGTCCTTGCCCTACCCTTCTTTGCCTTGCCCTGCTGTCCTTGCCCTACCCTCCCTTGCCTTTCTCTACTGTCCTTGCCCCACCCTTCTTTGCCTTGCTCTGCTGTCCTTGCCCTACCCTCCCTTGCCTTGCTCTACTGTCCTTGCCCTACCCTTTTATAGCTTTGCACTATACGTCTTGATGTAAATGAAAACTATATCAATATGTTATACGCAGTAAAAGGCTATAGTTCTTTGCATCTTACTGCTTTTCAGGAAAATCAAAAATCGAGCTCAGGTGCGCGATGCCTACATCGCTCGCATTTTTCCTATAAATATATATTTAGTTTAATTCTATGCTAATATCATATTTTAAGTGGAAAACTAAGCTTTAGACAGTTGCGTCATCGTGATAATGTCAATCTGGTACAGGGTGTAACTGGTATACACGTCAAGCTATTTAGAATTTATGAAGCAATTTCATTCTCTTAATTTATATGGTTAATACGAAAATAAATACATGCAACGATAGTTAAGATGCATGTCATGCACGCTTGAGGATGTGCATGGTAGGGTTTTAAACTGCGTCATGAAGTAAAGTGATGAAATCCAGATTAGATTATATAACTTTTAAACACAAATAATAAGTTATGCGGTTCGTGCAATTATGGTGCAACTATCAGAATGACTCAAACTGGCGTTAATTATAGACGGTGCATGTACTCTACGATAAAGCTTTTCCAGGATGAAAAATAGATGCGAGAGTGGCTGAGTCAGGCTAGCGTAAAGAGATTTAAATTGCCTCAACATGAAACAAATCAGCGGAAACCATTTGTCAACCAACACAAGCAGTATATTCCTTGCGGCACACCATTTCAAAGCAATATAGGTCTATATGTCTTTAAAACGTTCAAATGATTCTCTCCACATACATACTTGCATTGAGCTATGTCTATTGTATGCGAAGTAATTTTCGGTTTTGGTTTTAACTTTGCCAGTTTAAAGAATGTTCAACTGCATAATTAGAATACAGGATTTAGAATACGATCGATTGCTGCGTGAAATATCATTACCAACATTTTACTCTAAAGGTATATATACATTATAATAAATGATCCTACCTCGTTTAAAACTATATGTCCTCACTTCAACACTTTGCGGTGTGATAGTGGTGCTTGACTTCACGCAGTCGTTTAAAGCATCAAATTATCCAGGTATGAGGTAAAGTTAATAAATTCTTTATAAACAATACTCAATAAAAGAGACATTGAAATAAAGCACTTGTGTTTTAAATAATTAAAATGCTAGGATGCTAAATGGAAACTCGTCTTTGGCCACAACAGAGGAATAAGATAAGCTTTTCTTGCTAAGATATAAGTCATCTTCATATAGGTATTTCTGATACAAGCATTAGAAAACATTTTGCCTGTGAAAAGATGTATAATCACCCGTGTGTGAAAATGCATAGTTACGCATGATTAACAAATAGTTGCACAGTTCCGTATCAATGAGACTCAGAACTTTAAAATTCCTCAGCAACCACACAGGTCCACGCTTGTTTTTAAGTAATTACATAAAATAAATCAGACCAGTGGCGTAGCCAGCCTGACGATTTAGTCATGCTATGCAAATTGTTCATAATTATCATTATTTATTTCTTCAGAAATTCATTGTTTTCACAGTCAATGAACACCAAAATATTAGCATAGCATGACTAAATTGTCGGGCTGGCTATGCCACTGAATCAGACACTAAAATACAATTTTATAAACTCTAGTAAATTGCTGCAAGCACAAGAGGAGATAGAATAAGATGAACTAACGTCATTCTTTTGACAATGGGTTAAAGCCAAGATGCATTTTGATGACGTGTAGAAAGATAAATGATGAGACTTTGTATTTAATTTGATACATCGAAGTCCTAATTAAAATGCTTGATTTCGTGACCACCTGCAATAGTCAAAGAATCACTCTTTCATAGCCACATACAAAGATACAGTTGGCTATTTTGTCAGGCATGCTTAAGACACTATAACATGTGTGCGCGATTATTTATATACTCAGCTTGTTTAGCTAGTTTCATACAATTTTATTTATCCTTGTATACCAATTTAAAATTAATTACCGTTGTAACAAGTATGCACTGCACCCAGCTGCATCAATATCAACCGTAATCACCACCGTCTCTTTGTTAGTAAATATTCATTTATTTGTATTGTGTCGTAAACTAGTATATAAGGCCTTCAAAATACATACTGCATCCATTTCATGGAGAAAAATATTTTGCTGTTTCTTAGCTAACGTGTTTAAGGGTTTTCTATTTTCAGAAGCTGTTCAGGCTGGCTGGCGTGCGTCCATTTCAACCCGGAAAAATATCCTTAAGCTGACAAGAGCGACATAGCGTCATGCAACGTTCCTTTGGTCTGTGAGTTCTCAACCAGAACCATTGATTGAGAGACGGTTCCTGACTGGAAACCAAACTAAAATAAACTCGTTCGTTACAAACCTAATTGGTTATGGAACTCGACGTCACTAGACAATCACCCTTTAGGTTTTAGTAATTATTTCATATTTTGTCAGACTGTAATTCCTATGTTAGATATATCGTTTGTATTTTTCAACTGTTGTTTATCCGTATTTATAACTAAATTTTCACGCTGGCAACGCCATTGTTCGGCAACATGACAGAATATTGCATGGCGACACTAGCTCTTCCCTGCTCTGTCGTGATCTCCTTGGTCTCCCTCGCCTCGCTCTTCCCTGCTCTTGCTCTCTCTTGATCTCCTTGCTTTCCCTTGCCTTGCTCTTCCTTGCTCTGTTGTGGTCTCCTTGCTTTCCCTTGCCTTGCTCTTCCCTGCTCTGTTGTGGTCTCCTTGCTTTCCCTTGCCTTTTCTCTTCCCTGCTCTATCGTGGTCTCCTTGCTCTCCCTTGCCTTGCTCTTCCCTGCTCTGTTGTGGTCTCCTTGCTTTCCCTTGCTCTTCCCTGCTCTGTTGTGGTCTCCTTGCCCTCTCTCCCTCTCCTGGCTTGCTCTTCCCTGCTCTATCTTCATCTCCTTGCTCTCCCTGGCCTCACTCTCCCCTGCTCTATCTTGATCTCCCAGCCTTCCCTCCCTTACCTCTACCCTGTTCTGTCGTGGTGCCCTTGCCCCTCCCTCCCTTGGCTTGCTCTGCACTGTTCTGTCTTAGTCCAATGGTTGACGCCGACTGGAAAATTTTTAAATTTGAAACTTGGCTTTCTTGGTCCGAAATAAATACCCAGACAACACCTTTTTCTCAGAACTAGCAGTCTAAACTTCTACTGTTGTAATAACAGTTTTCATTTTAAATTACGCAAACTCGATTATTTTGTTTACATTAGGATTTTCAGGTTTGCACATTTAGCTCGACCTGGCGGTTGAGAAATGAGCCAACTTGTTATACTTTTTGTCAGGTACGACTACACATTTGTATTAAAACGTGGAATGTGCAATATCGTCTTCATTATTATCTTCATTAGTATGTTTATGTAAATGTTTTAATAAGCATCTAGTAAAATTGAACATGCGTAAGGGACCCCCCTTCCTATGATGGTTGAATAAGGTTGAAATAAGCAGCATTTTATTTAATTATAATAACTTGTAGGTACACCACGTAAGTATTAAATACTGCAAAGCTTTCGGTCCGTTAACCCGGACCTTCATCAGTGCAATTACTTGAATACACGTTTGCGCGTCACTTAAATATCATGTTAGTCGTGATTAGTTTGCTCGCGCTATTAATTAAACGGTTTCATTTAATTAAACTATCGTCCAAGATCGTTTATTAATTAAACGGTTTCGTTTAATCAAACTATCGTCCAAGAGGGAAAGCCACTTAATAGTACGTGGCGTCCAAGATCGTCCAAGATCGTCCAAGATCGTTTATTAATTAAACGGTTTCGTTTAATCAAACTATCGTCCAAGAGGGAAAGCCACTTAATAGTACGTGGCGTGCTCTTTTCGGTGTCTCTTAGTCAAATACTTGTCTAGGGCGCGCGCATTAATTAGAACTTAATTAAATGAAACCGTTTAATTAATAGCGCGAGCAAACTAATCACGACTAACATGATATTTAAGTGACGCGCAAACGTGTATTCAAGTAATTGCACTGATGAAGGTCCGGGTTAACGGACCGAAAGCTTTGCAGTATTTAATACTTACGTGGTGTACCTACAAGTTATTATAATTACTAAAGTCGCCATGCAATCATACAAGAAAATTATTAGCATTTTATTTGCAAATATTTTATAGCAGCGAAAAGAGACGAAAGCTACAGTATTACTATATTTACTTTGTCATTTTGGGCCATTTTTTCCCCTCACCCCACACGAGAGAGGCGCGTAGTAAGCCCGATAATTGATGGTCGCATGGGCACATCTATACAGTTCTGCCTGAAGGATTTCTCTTGAAAACGAGTACAAAAGAAATCCGTCGAGCAAAACGAAAAAATAAACATGCTCCCTCATATGTTGCATTTTCACGTCCCTGTTGAAAAGCCATGCTTGGAACTGCATTTCTATAAGTCAATTATCTAAGCATCTATGTTATTAGATTGGAATAGAACTATTCAGGTATCGCGAACATTGATAAAGTTTCATAAGTTATCGAGTCATACCCTGTCTTCTATTCAATGCCTCCTTCCCCCTGCTCTAAACGATGCGTGTCAATCCCGCGGAGTCACATGGTGCTAAAGTGCGCGACAAAACTTCGTTCATTATCTAACAGCCTTGAAGCTGATAGCAACACTGTCTTTTGATACCCCGTTATGTTACAATACTTTCTACATAGATTAATTTGTTACTTCTTTTTAGGGACGTTCTACACAAGCGTAGCTAACGTCTAGTAATAATTTATTCATTATAGACGAATATAAATAAATTAAAAAACCCCATAAAAACCGATCTCGATTTGACGCGGTAATGTTTTAGATTAATTTCAGTGAAACTATTCTGATAAGATATTATGGAATTACTGAGCTGTATTTAGCTCTGCTTTAAATTCTTGCTTGGAAAATCTTTCCGGGATGGCCGTTCGGGTTTGTTTAGGTTAAACCTTGCAAATGTTTAGGAGATTTATTAACAGTGTTGAAAAGGCGCGCCTGAAGCTAACTATAATGAAGATAGTGGATCGTATACACCCAATTGCAAGGTTTCCCTCGACATGTTATTATAGCAATATTATCAAGTATGTTCGTCTAATCATTTTTATGGTTATTGTTACCCGTACTTTGGTGACAGGATAACCTATGGTATACAGACACACCATACAAACACTGCATATATTGAAGATATACAGTGCATTGAGAGTATATTGAGAATGATTTATTTTAATCCTGCAGAGAAGACAAACAAGCAGATATTAAACATGTCAAGGAATTCTCATGTTTACGCTACGCTTCAGTAATGCGTGAGCCTATCTTTGATACCTCCAAGCTTGAAACACACATCAGCGCAATAAATGTTATGCTAAACTTACCTATTTTTGGCCTAAAATAAGAAATTTTCTGATTCAATCCTGCTATCACAATGCTAGCGGGCACGTTTTCCAAGTGACTTGATACCCAGTTGCAGTGAACATGACCCTTGCAGAAGTATCAAGTATCAATGTGGAATGTAAAGAGATTCAGGGGGGTTCAAGCTCAACAGCAAATTTGTCCTCATCGAAGCGTCCAGCATATAAACATTAGCAATCAAGCTTCCCACACTGCCACACGACTCGGATCATAGGAGCTATGTGCTTAGCTAAATCTCATCAGTGATTTCATGCATGCCCAATATCGTAATGAGATAACTCTGGTGTGTGGGTGCAGGGTGCCTGACTTTAAAAACAACTTTTAGATCATTCGTGGCATATATGGAAAATATCGATATTTCTGTCTCGCGCTCCCAAACCGTCTTACCGTTTATTAAACAACCTGACTGCAGTTTACGCCAGACTTGTTAAGCCCTGGTCAAACGAGAATGATAGTTGATGATAGTTGCAACTCTCGCTTGCGTTTGACCGCGAACTCTCATACACTCTCGTGCACTCTCATCAGCTCTCATCGACTTTGAACTGGTTCAAATTTTGATGAGCGTTGATGAGAGTAATCAACTCTCGTTCTCAACTCTCGTTCTCAACTCTCATCAACTCTCATTCTCGTTTGACCGTCGCATCGAGAGTTTGGAAAACTCTCGTGCAAACTCTCGCTTCTCAACTCTCATCAACTATCACTCTCGTTTGACCAGGACTTTAGCAGTATATTTTGTTTACAATATCAGGGCCTGTTCATATGGGGTGGGATAGCCCGGTTAGCTGGGATGATGACGTTGTGGTAAGATCCCACCTCGTTACAGTATTTTCATATATTCTCAAGTTTGTGTTCACACGGAATGTGAGCTAGCTCAGTGAGGTGGGATCCCGGCGTAAGCAAAGTGGGAGCTCAGTCAAGTGAGATAAAAATTTTCAATATGAACGCAAATTCTCGATTTTGTCCAACTAAGCCAGGATTAAAACAACCGCGCGTTACTGATCACACGCGCCGCTTGCTTGGCAAAGGAGGGATAATAAGTGGGATAATAGGCGGGATGAATTGGATATGAAACGACCTTCAAACTTTTTACCTCAGCAAGCCGAGCTGTTCCGGCTAACCGGGCTTACCCACCCCATATGACTTCATGCATTAAAAATTAGAGTAGCCCTTGTAGTAACTAGTGTTGTATATTCATCTGATATAAGACAATGCTTTACGCAATGATTAGTTCAACTGATGTTGTGGTGATGTAGCTAAACTGCTAAAGACAAAGACTGGTACCCAGGACTAATCCGCTGCCGAATTTTGTGTTTTCTTGCGCACTCGCTCAGCTTAGCCACTGATCTGTGTAAAAGTGCTCCTATATTTATTTTTATTTAAAGAGCCTGGGAGCGAGGCTGGCTACCGACACAGAGCTGATAGTGATTTGAGTGAATACAAGTGTTCCACTGCTCTGACGTTATTCAACTCTGCGTATGGTAAACTTTTAAGCCTTTTTGTTCCTAGCTTTCTTTCAAAGTTTGTCTCTAACGAAGTTCATGTTTGTTAACTTTGTTTAGTTATTTCATTCACTTCAAAAAGAAGTCGAAGTCGATGTATTTGTCGTCGTGTTTTTGAATCGCTAAATGAAAAATATGTCACACTATGTTGATAAGCATCGTATCCAGCAACATAGGCAAGAATGTTCAACTGCCTTAGGAAACGAAGTGGGCACGTTTTATACGTCAAGAAATAACTTGTACATGTGTCTGCATGGCACCTTCGAATATAAAAATGGTATAACAATGATTTAAACACATGTCAAGTGGTGATAAATTATATAATTCTTTACTCTTCGTTGATCAGAAGGAATTCTTGTTAATTAAATATTCCTGCATGTATAACCCAGTGACACTCTACACATGCACAATCAAGCATGGCACAATATTCATAAGAAGAGAACCGACGTGAATATTGCATGTTTTCCAACAGAATTCCGAAGAGGTACACGAGGAAAGATTATTCAGGGGAAAGATAAGTTGTAATAAGTGTTTGAAAGGTCGAATATGAATGAATGGTTGCAGAAGCATGATAAGTATATGAAGACAAACAAACAGGTAGTGTAAGTATAACGTCGATACGACTTTCTGATTTGTATAAACTGTTATATCAGTATCTATCATGAAGAATCATATGGAGTGTCTAGTAAAATATATCAGTTGATACTGTTGCATGTGTTGTGCGGGAAAGGACATGATTTTTTCGCACGATATGTCATGCACATATCCTTTCTTCTTAAATGCAAATATTTTAACTAAGCATCACGCAGTTTCACAGCATCTTGTATCACGATACGCCATCAGTCTTTTGGTAGCTATTCATTAAATATCCTGTATCAAATATCGTGTCAGAAATCATTCAATATCAGGTATCAAATATCGTGTATTATTGTGACAGAAACGAAAGGAAAAAATTGAAATATTCATTTTACACACATTACTGCGTAGAGATCGCTGGTCAAGTTTATACACAATGGTATTCAGCCATATACTTTACAAAGTATTCTTAAATCTGCAAACACAGAATCGAACTCCAATCAATGATATGGCAGGTAGGAAAGCTAACTGAATGTACTATACCACCAACATCTTCCATGTTTTATCATAACTGCAAAGGCAAGTACAAAGTATTCAATATGGCTGAGTTACGTAATTTTATACTATGAAGCAAGAACTCATATTTAAATCTTGTATGTGTGAAATATCTTTTAATATAGAATCTTTGATCTACGAATCAAAGCTGGCTCAGGTGGAAAAATGATGGGAAAATGCGAAAGTTTATTTACTGATTTCACCACGTTTATCCGGGTGGAATCACTAAATAAATCATGGGCTTTCCCAAATGTTTCACGAGGAAGATCAATCATTGCATGTCTATCAGAAGAGTAACTCAAATGGTTGGCATATAAATATTAAAGTTGGTTTAGACCAATAAACATAATATGTACCGCGGGTAATTAGTGAGAGACCTCAGCTGTGACGAACATTGGACAGCGAAGAATATTTAATATCTGAATATTGCATGCGCAGATTATATACACGCCTTTCTTTTGTCTACATGTGACATTTAACCAAAAACAACAGGATGAGGCTACTGCAATCTACGAAGTTTAAGGCTAGAAGATCTACCGCAAGTTACAGAAATTAGGCCAATATATTGTCTGATTTTGACACCCTTTCCTCGTTCCAAGTACCAAGAAATAGGATATTCCCGCGCCTATAGCAAATTAAATTTGAAAACAGCATGATAGTAAATATGGAATGTAAACTTCGACTGCAGAAAGGTCGAGACTTACGGAGCTGAAAATAGCTAAAGGGCGTATAGCTGAAAATAGTGGATTTCTGCATCTATTCCGAAGTGCTAGCAATCAGGGTAATATAACCCAATTGTGACCATTCACCACCCTAGCAAGTTCGAAAACAACCATCATAGGCACAGTAAATATGGAATGTGAACTTTAAATACAGAATGGTCCAGACATAATTCAATAAATATAATGAATTCCTTGTGGTTAGTTCCTTATAATGGTTAGTTTAATAGTTTTAAAGATGCTAATTAGGTTGGTCAACTAATCATCTTCGATCGCAAGTTATGCGAGTTACTGTTTTAACTGCGATATTTTGACAATGACTATAGGAACGAAGGCATAGATTCATGCCTAAACAATGCCGTACAATTTCCCATATCAAAAATGTGTTATGTATTTGAATTAAAAAACGCTTGTTATTTATAGTAAGCACGGTTTGTTAAACATCAAACTACCGCATTTTTTATCGCGCAGAGTCATCGACGCCATCCACAAATGATGAATTCTATAAGATGATTGTTCGGGAATGTTTTAATTGCAACATTTATCGTTCATTAATGTTGTGATAATCGATAGGTTGTATATCGGAGACAATAATTAGTCAATATGCGTTGCAGAAATCAAACAAACATACAAAGCTCTTTGTCTTCGTCGTAAAAGTATGAAAGTCATCATCACATGCAACAGTCTTATTGTTTACAAATAAGCCATAAAAAATCATGACACATGCACTCATGTTGTTTAATAATGAAATATACGCATAGTGCCTTAGATTCAAGTAAGGTCGGGTTGGGTTAGGGATTTGGTACGAAATGAATCCAGCAAATGAATGCTCAGGATCATAATAGCCCTGTTAGTTCTCCAGTCAAAAAGTTAAGAGTTACAACCAAAGAAGAAAAGATAAATTGTTGGCGAATTTTGCATACATTGTTTGACCAAGAACCATTGATTAACTTTAGGTACAAGACAATACACTGAAAACACTGACGGCAGGAAGAAAGAGATTTTGGCACAAGGCATCATTATATTGATCGACAGAAATATGGACACACCGTGGCTGATGGCTGGTGCATAGTGGGGCGGCGATATTTGGTTAGCGGAGTGTGTGATACTTAATCCCCATGCATATGCAGCCGGGGCTAGTGAGGGGTTGAAAGGGGAAAATTTTTCTAAATATTCTTTGTATATATGGTAATCAAGAGTGTATTCTATGCATGCGTATTTTATAGGTCTAAAAGTCAAGTGAAGATGATAATGTAAGTGACGAAGCACAAGTTAGCGCTAAGAAGCGGAATTTCACAACTTTAGGGGCATTTATTTTGGTAAATAAAGTCATTCGTGCGGATTAAAAGCGGAGTTGAAAGGGGCAACCATGCATTCATGCGTACAACAATTGCGGCCACAACTGAAGTGACTCCACTCTATACAAAACAATTTACTAGCATACCATTGGTCACCTGTCATACAAAAACCGACCAATCAGAAGCTTAAGCTCTGTGGTTAGTTTCAAGCAGGCATTCAGAGCCAAAAACAAGTAAAGAGCAATTACTTAGGCGAGGCCACTACCATTTCATAGCATGATATAGGACTGACTACGTTGTAGTGAAGACTGTCTGAATACGGCCTGGTAACACGCGCTTCGGGAAAGAGAGAAAGTTTGGCAAGGTAAATAAATAGACAGTACGTGGCTTAAATAGTTTGTTTTCATTACATATTAGCTAATTGTGGTGAATATCATTGTGGTTTAATATGTAAATCTAACCGAAATATTATCCAGTTAACTATTCAGGCATTTAAGTTTGCAAATTTCATGAGGTATCAGTATTTAGTTAGGAAGCAACCAAGTTGACTCTCGATTCTTGAAAAACCTTCTGTATACAAAATTCTGTATATTATGTATAATAATATTCTTTATTACTGTACAAGGTGTCAGAGAGTAAAATGTTTATATCATTATGCAAATCTCTCACAACTACACTGCACTTATTATGATAAGCTCTGATAACTTAGCTTGAACTGGCTAACTTATAGACTAAATTCGAACAAATCGAACGAGATATTGGTATATACAATATATATATAGGTAAAATATCACTGTAGTTCCTCGGGTACTATTGTAACTGTGTGTTTGGAGGACCATATATAGAAACACATACTTCACTTGTCTGTGAAGACTTGCATACATGTGAAATTTGCATACGACGATACTATTATAGTACATATGTGGCATAAAATACTCGTAATTTTATCGATATTCTAGATTATGATCTTTCAAAGTGTCTGGTGTGCATGCTCTCGTCTTGAAACTCAATCATGCAGTATTGCATTTTACTAAAGATAAATTGAAGCTTGTTGTGTACATTTTACTACAGCATTTCCTAAAATTTCCTTATATATTGTCATTCGAAGTAAAGTTCTACTGGATGTCAGCAGTGTTGGAACTGGATGAGCCATATCATGACCATGTCCAGCCACCTCTCCTTGTTCTACCCTTGATTTACAGGATTGACGAAATATACCACAAATACGCGTCTTGCGTAATTGGTGCTTAAATGCTCTAGTAACTTCTGAAGTCAATGTAAAATATTTTCACATATTTACGTATTCATGCGCTTCGTATATCAATGAACTAAAGAATTCGTCCAAAAAAGTTGCTAGAAATTACTTAAAATTCCACGTTCGCTGATTGAGGTGGCCGGTGCATGTGCAAATGTTCTAATATGCTACGCCCTAAAAGTCCAAAAGTTAAATGCTCAAATAATTTTCGATATAATATTTCAGTATTGTTATGTGGTAATCCTGCAGATTAAATAAAACAGTTTTACGGATAGTTTTATGTCTATGCCTGCCTACAACTGACTATAAAATTCAAGACTTTGAATTTAAATGCCTCGGTGGTTTTTGTAATTTGTAATTATGAACGTCGCTGTTTGATGTCATGTCGTATGCTTTGTTCTTGAAACCAAAAAGGCGTTCCTGTTGTGCACGATATTGGTCAAGTGAGTCGTTTAAATAATGTTTGTTTGGAAGAGTTTACTATACACTGAATTGAGATTAAACAGCGGATATATGCATAGACCTATACAGAGCACTTTTACCTTAAACATTTTTTTCTGTTATAGATATAAACTACCGTTATTTATGAAGTATGAAACATGAAGGTTATATTAACATCTTAACACATCACCAGCCTCGTGCATTTCATTGATTCTTTCTAGCTACGTCTCAGGAATACTCCTCTGGTTCTTCTCTTACATTTCATGAAAACGAGGCTCTCGAGTGAAAAAGAGATTTGTATCGTAATTTCTGAAATCTAAAAGCATGTCGGAATATCAGTTATTTTGACAGTTCTGTTTGATGTTCTTATAATGGTGTAGACTTCAAAAACACCATATATACAATTATACACGTCTAAGGAAATGTTTTCGTGACTTTATCAGCCTCATTAACAGGTTTGCAAAAAAATCTTAAAATTCAAAAGCAATTATGATCCAGCCCACAGGCAATTAACCAATTCCTATACGTAGTTTCGTTTCACTATATACCATAGGCACAACGTCACTTTACCGTTTGGTAAATAAAAAGCGATCAACGAAGTTTTCATATAGAAAAGAGTCAATGCCATTTCATTTTATCCTTTTCATCAATTTTATTTAAACCGCTGAATGGCTTTTTATTCCATCTGGAGGACTTAATTCTATGAAAGCTGTGAGATGGAAAGTTGAACCAATCGCGTTGCTTTTATCTTTGATTTTAATGGCTAATCTTAAAGAATTAAAACGGCATTCTAGCTTTCTGATAACCCTTGCAAGGTTTATTTAATATTATAGTAAACAATGAATTTATAATTTCAATGCACGTCACTCAATGGTGTTCTCTGGCTGGTGTATATTTACTGGACTATATAGCTAGGGATTAAAAGCTCTGCATAACATGTTTTCTAAAAAACGAAAAAGTCAAATAATACATTAACCTTAACCTTGAACAATTATATAGTCTGATCAATATTGCCTTTGGATCTAGTCTATTGTCTATTTCAAATTAGGCAGGTGTTAAACGGATATGTGCTTTTAAGAAATTATGTTTCGTTGTTTTTTTACCTTTTTTTTCCAATAACCTGGTGGCTAGCGCTTTTTAGAAATCTCTCAAAATAATCATGACTTTAAACTATTCTAGGATTTCAGTTGTATAGGGCTTCATTGGGGTTCATTGGAAACTATAATATATACTGTAGATACACTAGGTTATGTTTGGTTGATGTGTTGCAAAATATATTGCCACGTGTGTGCATCCAACAATGAGCAATTTAAATACAGAAAAAAACTTATATCCGAACCGTTTCACATCAGATGATGACTTGTTACGACAAATTTACGCTATGAAACCTGGTTGGAATTGTACCATTATCGGGATAGCCTATAGCATCAATAGAAACGTTTCAACCTTCCAATACAACATTCGATAGGTTTTTACAAATGCAAAACATGTAAGTGTTGGTTGTGGTTGAGTAGACACTGCGGAAATTGGTTAGCCGCAATTATAGACTTAGCCGCAATTCTCAATACTTAGACTTCAAACTTGGTGAGAAAAAAGATTAATAAATATTCAAAAAAATATGTCTTGCGCAAAGGATTAGAAGCTTGCACGTGCGGTAAAAACAGAACGTCTGAATTAATAACCATGTGTACACTTTAAGCCTCAAAATGGCCATTTCACAGCTGTCAGATGTGTATGATGAGCTTTGAAAAGATTGCATAATGCGTATTCAGAAGAAATATTGAACTTTTTTAAGATATTCAAAAGGTTTCTCTTTCATTACCGGTATAGAAATGCACAATTGTGAACCAGTGCATGATTAGATTTTCGGGTTGAAACATGCACCAATTTCTGCGGTGTCGGTTGAATACGTCCGGCATCCGGAATTCGGAAAGGAGTACCATCAATCTAATCTTTACTTGAAATATCACGGTTTCCTTGAGAAAATTATGTTGCAACAAGGCTGGTACCCCACAACAGTACAGAAGGCTACCTTGTCCTGTTGTGTGAGTCAGTTAGATGTTTATGATGTGTTAGATTTATTATACACAGCCAGAGACTCGGCCAGAGAGGTTGATTTATACCGATCAGCTAAGGTCTATTTTGGTGGAAGGATTAGGTCAGGATAATGACAGAAAGATATCCCTGTTGGAAAACTTAGGAAAACCAGTGAATTATCGGGCATTTGTAATTCAAGCGTCGTCGGTTGTAATTACAATATATTTGAATTTTGAACTGTGATATAATTACTTACACAACAGCAATGGTAATGACATTGGTCTGGTCACAATGCTGTTCGTCAATATGACGGGAAGATTTAAAAGACAAAGCCGCAATGCTTCTTACGATGTTATGCTCGGTCGATTTTTACCGCAAATTACATCAGTGGAGATTTGTCAAATTCCACTGCCAACAGTGGGATTTACTTGTGGTTAATCATTTAAAATACTTGAGAAAATGTTAAAATATACGTTCGTGTACTTATTCTATACATGCAATATCATTTGCGTCATGCATGCACTCATCTTCTCCATGCATGTATGCAGCACATAATAAGAAAATGCGTAGATATTTTAAGGCATTTTACATGATCCTGCTTAGTCGGGACTATGACTATGAGAGGTATTGGAATGTGTATGTAACATAATCCTGCATGGTAGTAGTGTAGTCACCCCAACAATATCTTGTATTAGTCTGATTTCATAAAAACTTATTTCGATACCTCAAACTCATTTAAAGTTTCGTTTTTTAGTAAACAAGTTGTAAGTGTGTGTTTAGAGTTTCTTCGTGTTATGCTCGGTGGATAGCGCAATTATGAATTAAGGTCTGTACATGTGATACAAGAGACGCATTTCCTAATCTCCTGACGTACCACTGCATCACTAAAACTTCCCATTTCATTTCCGTACAATCTATAAATATTTGACTAGTACAGTCAGCTATAGTCAGCTCTGCCATAATCATCCTGTAATTAGATGAACATACTTTAAAACTGCTGCTGACAAGCATTTTGGAAAATACTTTGATATATAAGGTTGGTGCATGATGTTCTTTTTACAACAATATGTAAATGTTTTAGATATTGAAGCGCGGTATAGTATAACTATAGTCTATATATATAAACTATAACTATATATAAAGTAATTTGAAGGCTTTGATGAACATTTCTGCACATCTTCCTGTGGATGGTGTACGTGTCTCGTATTCAGCAAATACTTGATTAACTCCAAAGGGTACAAAAAACTTATGTCATATATAACTCATAAGAGTATGTTAGCCACATTTAATAACAACAAACCTTGTCTATAACTGATCTCAAAGTTAAACAGAAAAGTTTAAACATTTGATTATTCTCTGTACTTTACACCCGTTGTAACCTCTTTAATACATAGGATAGTTAAATCACGCGACCATTACACAGTATATAAACACACCGAAAAGGCAGCTGCATGGAAGGTTATATCTTTGGAAATAATACACTCGTCTCTCTCGATAAATTTTCTTCCCAAGAAGTTCGATCTCGGTAAATTCTCTTCCCAAAAAATTACATTCAAGAGTAGAGTTGGAAATTTGTCAAAACCAAATTTTTTATTAAAGAGTTTGACAATTACAATATCAGATTTCAAGAACTACCCTGATATTCTTCGTTATAATAATGTTATTATCTTAATAGAAGTAAAAATTGTAGTTTGCGGTTTGTTTACTACAAATATAAGTGTACTTAATTGGTACCACAATCAAGCCTTAAAAAAGCCATGTAACGACATCCCAACTTAAACATTATCCTACAGGTTTAAACCATGAACACTGTTGGAACTTCATCGCAAGTTAACAGACCGGCCTTTTTTCCAGTGGAATGGCCGCTAACCCAGAATAATGCAGGCAACAAACAACCAACAGCCCGCAAAGAAGGCACACCCAAACCTAAACGTAGAAAGATAGACGACACCAATGCACGACCCCAACAATGGACCGCAGAACACCACACACAAACTGACAAGCCAACAGTGAAACTGGTAACTAGTGTCCAGTATGAAAACCGAGGAACTTCCATCAGTGACGTCAAATATGAACCCACAATATCGGCTGCAACACCGAATATTTTTAAATCGCTCGACCACGACGAAGCAAGCTGGTTAGTGGAGGAAGTTAATGAAGCGAATAAATGTATCTTTGGTGCTGAAAGAGCAGCAGAAAAATTCAAGGCAGACGATGACGAATTGGAGAGGAAGAAAACTTCGTTGAATGCTTTGAAGTAAGATTTGGATTATATTTCTCTTTATATATTATCCTACCGTTACCACGACCCAAAGGGCATGAAATAAACAAGTATGAATTTAAAGAAAAATGCAATGCTTGATTTTTTTGTAGAAGTCTACTGAACGATCTGAGACGAAACATAAAATATCCCGACGATGACACAGCAAAAGACTTGGATACATTAGACGAGGCCTCAGCCAACTTTGGTGTAAGAAATATGGTCAACTGTCTTGGCTTATTAGACAATTATTTCTCGGAATTGCAAAAGAAACTTGATAATTAGTTTTAAAGGATTAATTTATAACATAGTTGTAGTGATAGCCAAGCTATAGTGTCTGTGATAGTTTCTAATCGTCTACTGCGAAGCAGTGTGGCTTAATCAGTCAGTCGTGATAGAAGTTCTAGTATTGTAAATAGCTCAATGTAGTTTTATGCGTACATAAGATGTAGTCTTGTTAGTGTAATGTAGTTTTACCTCCTCAGGGTGGTGCATGGAATAGGTCTCTGTGGCTGCACAATACCCACATTAGTGTTTTTAATCGTAGAGTTAGGACCAGTCCTTTCACGCTTTAACTTAGAGTTAAGTGCCCGGGCAACTTTGTGAAGAGTAAAACCCAACACTTGCGTCTAAAGATTTAACTCCTGATACGGGTGTAACAATCAGTGTGTTTTACTAGCAGCAAACAAGAATTTAATTCACCCTAGTTCACATGGTGGTATATATAGTACATTTATATAGCGAACTTTAACTTTTAGGTAAATTATTTAATGATATTAGTAGATTGTCATAATCTCTGGTGAAATCAGTAAATAAACTTGTATTCATTAGGACTTTCTTTCTTGTCGTGTGTTAATTTGCGCATGTTCCCATTTCTACGTGGTCATAGCATGATTGGAAAATATAACATGAAGCAGGTCATACAGAATATCAAGACTACCCGCTGGTTTGATACGTGCATGTGATCATTTGTGACTGGAAAACAAACCTTGCCTATTTTATCCCAGATCCACCCCGATAGATGTTAACAATTTTACATCGACTTCCTACAATGAAGTTTCTAAAACTGGTCGCGGTTGATAATGGGCACAGCCAATCTAATGAACGCGGTGATGGACCAATATGGGACGATGATTACATATAGTTCGTTCGAAATATGATGAAAGAAGTTCAGGCTCTTTCCTCTCGACTAATCAGATGCATTTAATTTACACAATAACCCAATCAAATTCAAATTAACATTTCAGATCAACCAGCCCTCTCCCCCTCAGGTATTTTTTCACGCCACAGCGGCATTCTACGAAAGACCCTGAGTACGAGTTGGGCAATTACCCAGTTATTTCAACGATTTAAACATCACGAAATAAAATTATAGCATTTGACGACAAGCTTACAATAAAATGAAGAAGCACGTGCGCTGTGAGAGTTATATGTACACATTAAATAACAGTGAATCACAACACGGGTCACGGGTCACATTGATATCCAATTAGGAGCTGTTTACATGAGCCCGGTTACCCGAGATTCAACGAAGCGTGAGATAATTTTGAGTAATTGAAATGAGCAGATAACATGATCCTGGCAGTCGTATAATCACCACAACAATAGCATGTGCTTGTTTGATATAGAGACATTTGTCATAAAGACTTATTTCAATACCTCAAAGTCCTCTCACGCTTCGTTGAATCTCGGGTAACCGGGCTCATGTAAACAGCCCCTTAGTAACAAAGTGCAGATAAAAGCCGTTTGTAAGCGCGGAAAACCCTGGGGCAGAGACATTGTTGCGATTGATTATTCGTTACGTTTCCTAAAACTTCGTTGTGATATTCTCCGAGCAGCGGATAAGAGTTTCTTGAAATGGGCAAAAAAATGAGCATAAACCTGGTCCTGATTTTCGTTAACATTGCTTTCTTGTAAGTCTCTCAAAACTCTCAAATCGTCAACAATTTTTTCTTCTCCCCAGGGTTAAGTGAGCTTTCAGCATTTAACCTTTTTTGCTCAAACTGTTCATGAGCTCAATTGGAAGCGGGAAGATAATTGTCGAATTCTTCTCAGCTGATATTGCGTTAAGAGTTTGAAGATATCTTAGTTGTAGCGCCTGCGGTGACTCTGCTATCACCTCAGCGGCCTCTTTGAGAGCTCGTGACGCATTCATCTCACCTTCAGCAGCAATTACCTGAAGAGTAAGGGATAAGACGTAATTGTGACGTTGAGCAAAGATATTTTACATCTACACGCTATTTAAAATATAAAATCACCCAACCAACATTTTTGCTATAAATCTCACTCAACAGATTCAGTTATAAATTAGTTATAAATCTCACTCAACGGGTTTAATTCAGTTCTACATTTCCGCTCTTACCTGCAGTTCTTTCAAAAATATTCATTTCAAAAACCTGGATACTATCGCTACACTGCCTCTCGAATCTTCCATCGGATGGTCTGACGATTCTTCCTTCAACTATACTGTCTTTCTTACGAGTTATGTTGATTTTAAACACCATTTGTTGGATTACAAAAAAAATTGTACTCCAAACGTTGGCTTCGCGCGCATGAGGTGGTTTCAAAAGTAGTTTAATAGATAAATGACTTTCGCTCGCTGCGTTGACTTGACAGACGCTAAGCAAGTTCTACGACAGTAAAAAACAATATTTATTTCATCCTACCTTAGCTCTAGCTTCTCGTGCAGCTTCTGCTTCTGCAGCCATTGCTCTCTGCAGTTGTTGTGGAAGTCTTACGTCTTTCCTGCAATAGGCAGAAATTTTAAAGGTGTAAGGCACACTGGTCTAACTAGGACGAGACTGCATGGCGTGACCTCTAGTGACCCACAGTGATCGCACGCCCGGCCTCCTAAATTGAGACGCCCTCTAAAGCCCCGTACAGACGACCAAGTTTTCCTTGACAAGTTTTCTTCTTTTCTTGACCAGTTCACTTGCTCGTGCATGTGTATGGTGAACAAGTTCTCCTTGCCAAGTTTTATTTGCTCGTGTGTACGCAGAAGTTTTACGATAATATGAGCCATGATAAAATGAGTATACCATCTCAAAACAAACAGAAATGATAAAACTTCAAAAACCAGCTCGATTGGCTCGAAGAGTGCTGCGCTATTCCCTACTTCACAATTCCCTGTCAAGTTTTTCATGACGGCCATACACACCACGAGCATTTTTCCTTGTTGAAAAACTGTCATGACTAGCTTAGCATGACTAGCACATAGAACTTGGCAAGGAAAACCTGCCCGTCTGTACGGGGCTTAAATTGATGTTCAACCTTAATTGTTTTGTGAATCCTAATCCACCAGGCTCAGACTCAAACAACGATAAAAAAATTTCTAAACAACACGCAACTTACACTTCAACACGCTCTACTTTCACCCCCCATGGATCAGTTGCTTCGTCGAGAGTTGACTAAAATGCATAATATAATGTATCTGATAACTGAAAAATCAGTTCTGATAAAACTGTTCTTTCTAGAAGTCCAGTAAGTGTATCATTTATCTTTTATCGTTCCAGTTTACTACAGGAGGAAACCTAAACTAAACTAACTTTATTTATACTGGATAGCTCTTTCAGTTCTACAGTAAACTGTTCTCTCTAGAGATCTAGTAAGGATCATCTCTCATTAACCAGTTTACTACAGGAGGAAACCTAAACTAAACTAACTTTATTAATATGGATATAGCTCTATTTTTTCTCCACTGTTCTTCCAACAGGTCCAGTAAACCTGAACTACTCATTAGGCACGGCTTTATAGATCAAGCTGTTCTTCTTCGTACATGCAGTGGTCCAATAGGGATCAAACTCGTTGTAGTTTATCTTCGAAGACTTCGCCCCAGGACTCACCTGAATACTGTGGCTTATAGTTTCCCGTTCTGACAAGATCTCACTCAGACTTCGTGTTCCAAGAACATTACGCAGTGTGGTTTGTGCCAACAGCCGGGTTGAACGACTTGCATTCTCAACATTTGTGATGGCCATTGTTGCATTGTAGATCTTATAATAAACAACAGCATCCACCGCGACTGTCACACTGTCTTTTGATAGAATCTGATTGGATAAATTTTACATTTTGAAACATGCGTTTACAAATTTTACATTTTGAAACATACGTTACATTGTATGATTGCTGACTAACTTTGGTAGAAGGCATTTATGGCAGGGTTGGATTTCTCACAGGGTAAAAGTGAAATAAAAAAAACATGAGCACTATGTTACATTAGGGTACATTAGGGTACATTATGGTACATTAAGGATCACACCTCTTGTGGGGGAACATCAAAAGAAACCACTCGGAGGTCAACTTTCTGATAAGAATCAATACATGGTAAGATGAAGAATAATCCTAAAATATATCAAAGGAAATGCTGTTTATAATCCTAAATGATGCAGCCTATGTTAGTTCCATAAGATTTCATACCAGGTCCTTTAGCTCCTCCTGGCAGAAGTCGTCCAAGACGGAATATAACTGCTCTCTCGTATTCTTGAACAATCTGACAATGACATGACACAAGATAAACAATAAATTTCTCATTAACTTGCAAGCCTGTGGAACAGACCACAATATGAAACTGCAGATACACATTCATTTTTAGATCAGTTAGAGTGAATAACAAAAATAATGAAAATAAGACTTACCCTGATACAGAGAAACAATGAAAATGGAAATGTGCAAATTACCAGAAGATACGAGAGCCCCACAAGAATGATCCCACAGATACTCACTCCTTCGGCTGACGCTTCAACTTCTAAAACACAAATATCATATACTCTATCAACTTATTAACTAAACATTGTAACTTGCATCAAAATCGGTCAGTAAAGTTGAATAATAATATTTTATCTCTAATCTAATGCATAGGAGATATAAATCCATTTACTATGGTTTGCTATTATCTTTTATATAATTGTGTATCATGATGGAAAATCCTCAATATTTCTGGGTATATTTTTTTTTTACACTTGTAGTGTGTAGTTCATATATGTAATGACCACCTGTCTCTTTAGACTTTAATAGAGAAAGCACTTTTTTTAAATAGATAAGTTTTACCATTTACATAATACACAACTGCAATACATTTATTTTATCTTAGTATCTTATCTTTTCAAAGAAACTCTGTAAGAATCTCAGTAGGGTATGCAAAAATGCATTAATTAAGAAAGCTATCAATCCATTAACCAGACCATGTGTGTAGGCTTTACAATTACATGCCTCATTTTAATTACAGCTTTGGAACAGAGACTATTAAATATTAATACAGTCCATCTATTCCAGCTGCTAAATCTGATTACTGATACCGACAGAGAAATATAAGGATGCAAATATAGGGGAGATATAAGTTTACAAGCTCTTAGGGCTCTTAATCAACAAGGTTTTATAATGCCAGAATCAAGATTTTTCTGAAGAGCATGAATATCTAATATATACTTTCAAGCTTTGTGCATTTAATTTCACAAACTATTTCCCAAATATTTACACCCTGCATATATGAGAAAATGTTACTGAGCTAGTTGTTTTGGTGGTACATAATTTAGCTATTGCTGGTTACTGCAAATCATTTATATTGGTGAAGCACATTGTATATATTAATTTGATATCACATAATCAAGGCACTATATCAAAAACAAGGTCAGAATTAATGGACTTTTGGAGCCTAGATCACAGAAAAATACTACCTAATTCAATGCAAAAAACAATACAGTATGTCATGATATAGCTAAATCTATTATGCTTTGTGGAAAATATTTATCAGAGTAATGAGGATTCCAAATAAATGCCTCTTCATTTAACATTAAAATGTTTTTATTTTGTACAGACAAATACAAACCACAGCTCCTCATAACTGATACATTTTATTCATCAAATTACATTTTTCTTATCTGAACTACGAGAATATGAGCAGAGCTTTATTGCTGTTTCTATTTAAAATAATCTGTTACTTTATATATTGCATCAAAAATGGCTTGTATAAGTTGTATTTCACCGACAGCTTTCAAAGGAAAACTTCAGATATTTTAAAGAAATACATGCATAAGTTATTAGAAAGTTCAACCACAGAATACTGCAAATTTAAAGACTAAATACCACACATATGAAAAATAGTATAACAAACATGATTTTTCAATATAAATTCGTCATCAAAAGCAGCAATTTGTGAAAATATTCATTCAGTTTCAGCTTTTGACCCCTTGACAACCAACTGATTAAAAATTCACTCACATTATACAAATATATTCAACGTCAAGGAAACAAACTACGACGATTAAATACGAGGATTATGTCTTGAATTACTTAAATATTAGCCACCATTGATATTCAGTGCTTTTAAAAGGAATTAAAGTGTTTTTTACCTTCAGGATGGATAGTTGTATGACAAGGCCGAGCAGCCATCCTCAAGATACGCAATCACATTTCACACCGCATATTTAATTTATGCCAAATACCACTGATCTCAATAAAAACCGGGGTTAATTTCAGGTGACTTTTGTAAAAGTTTTTTTTGGAAACATCTCAAACTTTTTTGAGCTTTTTCATGTTAAAGTAAAACTTTATGCAACAAAATTGAGTTATTCGAAGTATGCTCTGGATTTACGACAGATATGCTGCAATCTATTTTAAAACCAAAAACCGCATCAAGCCATCATTGCAATTTTGCATATATAAACTTGGATGCGAACTTGAAGTTAAACTCTTTTATGGCCGGTTTAACAGTGAGTTTAGTCAACTGGGGAATTGATGACACCTCGCCCAATCTCGATCCCACTATTACGTAAATTCGAGAAATTCGAACTTGGCTCGGTACCCCCCCCCCCTGACCTCTAACTGCGAGAGCCAGCCAAGGTATCGCCCTCTAAAATGTGTTTTGTCAATTTCGGAGGTACGGAGAGGGAATCCTTTGAAGACAAGGTAAATGTGGTAGTCCCCACTTATTTTGCGTTGCTGTTTTTTGGAATTTGTGTTTGGACCGGTAAAGCTCGACGGGAAACAAATTCGTGCAGAAAAGCTTCAAAACTAAAATTACCTGATCTGCACGATTAAAAAATGTCCAATTTTACATTTGACAGCAAAAAGAATTTGCATATTGAAAATGAAATTAATATTCCGCATCTGCTTGACACGCTGGGCCGCAAAATTTGGGTACTTGATTTCTTTAAAGTCTAAAGATTCAGCATGAACAGGAAGAACAGCTTAATGTAGAAACAATTACACAACAAAAGTAAAAGATTTTTCCCAAAATAGTAAAAGGTGCATTCGCTATTTAGAAGATAAATTTAAATCTTATACATTGGCTCTTTATTTGACGATTATCGGAAAGTTATAAAAGAGTTTGCCACTGCTTACAGCTCCTTCCTGCACTGGCTGTAGCTGTGGTTGAACTACTTAGTACTTAACCTATTATGTTTTGCATATAGTCAAAATTGTTGGGTAGTATACATATATTTCACATATTCTTTGGACATTTCATAGTCAGCAATAAATCCATCTAGGGTATCTTCCTTATTTGTTGATTTTCAGGGAAATGGCAAAGTTTAAAGCGCCTTACGTTACACTTATACTCAAGCAAGCTGCAAACGGCTGTTTCTGTGTCATAACTATTGAACTTATTTTCAAAGCAAACGCATCAATTATACAGCATAGAAATGATAAAGGCTATGTTTCAGCAACATAACGTCCAAATGGAATATTAGAAGGATAATAATGACTACATATTGTAAAGGTCTGTTGAAATAATACAATTCAGTCAAGCACAGTAGCAGCGAGACACGGAGAGTATACGATATTGAAATATCAACAAATGTAACACTATTATATATGAGCAAACATCGCGAGTAGCATTGAGGAAATTGTTTAAGATCAAGAATCATGAAGACAAGAACTTAGTTAATAGTATTCAAGTCGCAGAGCTTGTTGTGGTCTTAAATTCGAAAGCAGAAGCAAGCTGACAGCTAACCATCTGCTGATCTCTGCGAAACAAACTGCGAATTGTCAGACATAACAAGCGTTAAGTAACATTACCCGAGAGACGGTGTATTGGACGAGTTTCTTCCTCTGCTTTGCCAGACATTTCAATTGGTTCGTTGAGCTCACTCGGCATTCGATAGTAAAATCTATTTCCTTGTGCGCAAGGACGGAGGCTGCAATTTTACGTTTTACCTCTGGAATTGAAATAGGTGATGAAAGCAACAAATGAATATGTAATTATAGTGCTGAATATTCATGATGACCTAAATGAATTAAGAAGGCGGTTGCCGCCGACAAGAACAATTACATGCTCATATACACTCAAAAGAAACTTTACGTTTTAGTCAAACCGATCATTTACATCCATTTTTGTTTCACCGCAATTATATTGTGGGTAGTTTGTGATAAATAAGAAGTCCCTGCATGTTGTACATATATAGCGCCTGTGCGCCTGTGGCGATATTTAAACTATCGCTGAACTCAGATCCCGACCAATCCTGAAGTATGCTAATTCACTACGCCTTGGACTCGCCTACATAATGCGAATTTTCGTTTTTTCTTGGAAGCCGTTCTCCGTAACTTACTACGGAGATAATGCCACAAATCTTCGCTGAATCTCCCTCCTGTCGGTTGGTTCCACGAAGCCAAAGACACTTTCCTTCCGATGACGTCATAGCGTGGAAGAACAAAAAGGTAATACACCATACAACAATATAAATTTTAAACAAATTTCTTTTAACGTTGTCGATATTAAGACGTTTTGCACTGTTCTCAACGAATCACATAGCTAGAAATACTTAAGTTTTTGTATAATATACTGCATTGCACTGAGTCTGTGCTGCTTTCTACTGTACTATATTTATAAACATGTGGTTGATTTCAAAAACACTGTAATATCATACAGTCTACCCTGGTCACTCATAGCACCCTGGGTACATACAGTTATGTTGCTCTGTGCATATATCGCTTTATACTTGAATGGCTACAAGTTACAATATTTCGACAAATGACATAAACGACCACATGAGATTTAGGAACTATATACAAACACAAACTACGCCGTAGAAAGATTATTTTAAACAACTCTAACGCTGCCTCTATTACTTTTCTTTGCGATCATGGAGGTTGTAAGTTCTATAGGAAGAGGGAAGATTATTGTGGAGTTCTTTTCTGCTGCAATGGCGTTCAACGTTTGAAGATACCGTAGTTGTAAGGCATGTGGAGAATCTTCCAACACTTCTGCTGCTTCTTTAAGAGCGCGAGATGAGTTCATTTCACCTTCTGCAGCAATTACCTAGGCAACAAAAAACAATGGATTTGGGCTTGGCAGAATGGTTAGTTAATACGTTTGAGCCAAAATGGATTGTTTTAAGGTTTTATCAACCCAAACGATCTCTGTACACTTATAATTTTTGCTTAACTGACTTTGTAAACGAGTAGATAGTTAATAAGGGCTCTTATAGTCTAATGCATTGAGAAAATTCTTTACCATCGGCATCGCTCACATTCAACACGAACTAAGACAGTAAGACGAAACTCGCATCAGAAATTGAATGTGATCTCTCATCTGATATCTTACCTTGGCTCTTGCTTCTCTTGTGGCCTCAGCTTCAGCTGCCATGGCTCTTTGCAAGTTTTGAGGCAGACGCACATCTTTACTGTAATCCAAGAATACACAATACGATTCTTCTTACGATGTCAATGTGGTCAGAAAAAATGTTAAAATTTAATATTTTATACTTACACTTCTACACGTTGCACCTGCACTCCCCAACCTCGTGTTGGACCCTCAAGAGTAGTCTATTTGAAATGAAGGAAGAGAGAGAAATAAAGAAAACAAAGGGAACAGCGTAAAATACTCTTTGAAAAGAGTACTTTTGAGTAAAATACTCTTATGCAAAATAACATTAGTACTAATTGAAGGAGAATTTTTGTATTTTTGTAACAAAGGGAACACGCAGTAAGCTAGGATAAGAAGATTGGAATCAAGAGAATTGAACCGACAAATATCTTATCTTTGGTTAGAAATATGAAGTTTTTTGACCGGAAACGGTAGTATCTTAAATAGCCGACGTAAAGAAATTCCATGGTATTGCTGTGATATTATTATTTTGTTAGTATATGAGGTAAGTGATTTTGTTGTTCGTATTATGTAGTAATACTTTATAAAACAAAATATGTAAATTAGCTCAAGTCGTAGGTACACAACGTAAGTATTTAATACTGCAAAGCTTTCGATCCGTTAACCCGGTCCTTCATCAAACTGAGTTCAATTACTTGAGAAAAGGAAAGGAAAAGAAAAAAAGAAAAAATTAAGCTTTGCAATATTAAATACTTACGTGGTGTATGATATCACAATGCAAAATTACAAGAATATTACTTTAGCAGGACGAGTTGAGAAGAAAGAGAGAAATATTGATTTACTTGAATATTGTGACTAATGGCTTCTCTCTCCGATAAAATTTCGCTCAAACTTCTCGTTCCCAACACATTACGCAATGTGGTCTGTGCAAGGAATCTTGTAGCACGACTGGCATTTTCTACTTTAGTAATAGACATTGTCGCATCATAAATTTTGTAATAGACTACAGCATCAACGGCCACTGTCACACTGTCCTTGGTTAGAATCTAAGGAAGAATATTCATTCATACTGTGATGATTATTTAAGGCTTATTTGTCTAATCGGTTCACACCTACAGAGTTTACGTAAATAATTTCTAAGAAAGAAACTAGAGTCATCAAGTCAGAAACCCTATAGCAATCAGGGGCAAAAGTGTTTAACACGAGATTAAGACTGAGATTAGTCAAAGATGGTTTATAATATAGGCTGACGAGCTAAGTAAAGTCGACGTAATATTCAGTAAAACAACTAAATATTTTTGTTGGAATTTAACAATGTTTGCAAGTAATCCATGAAATTTTAGTCTATAGCTAGTTACCTCTTGAGGTGGGACATCGAAAGACACAACCCTGAGGTCTACAGCTTTGTAACTATCGATACATGGCACCACGAAAAACAACCCTGGGTGAACGAAGAAAACCAATATTCAAGATAATAAACATGCAGGAAAGGTTATGCTATAGTCGTATAGACTATACTTCTATCTTAATAGTTGATACAACTAACCAGGTCCTTTGGCACCACCAGGAAGAAGACGACCCATTCGAAATATAACAGCCCTTTCATATTCACGAACTATCTGAAAAATAAGAAGTGCGCTGTCAATATTCATGCTGAGATTGCTTAAGACGACATACAAATCATTCGATTATTTTTAATCACTTTCTACTTACTTTAAGTGAAAAGATCAAGGAAAATGGAAAGGTAATCACGACAAGAATTAGCGAGGCAGCCGTCAGAAGTAACGCACAAATCCCAAAATCCTCTGGATCCGAATTGGAATTATCTTGTACAAAAAAGTTTCAGGAATTTAGCTTAATAGATTATCAACTGATGAGTGATGCACTTCATATTTAGTAAACTAGCTCTATAATACCTTCAGTGTCGTGTTTCGGATGCCCATTATCAGTGTGAGACTTCATATTGAAGTATAGTGCAAAAAATGGAAGTAAAATCACCGGAGCAAAACTCCTCGAGGTTTATAAACATACCTCGACACTTGCGGTATCGTAAAGGTCATTTTGTCCTATCACATTCCCTCAACACCGCGTGCTATATTTGACACGCAGAGGTCATAATTGAGGGCACACATGCAGCAGCTGATTTCATGAAAAACGTGCAAGGTATGCATGAAAACAAGGATGGATTTCCACTTGCGGAGGAATAGTTCGCTAGCGAAATATTTGCATATTTTCTTTAGAATTTTAACATCATAAATTAATTAGCTCAAAATGACTGTTTTCAATTCAAAAGAAAATATGCAAATATTTCGCTAGCGAACTCATTTCTCCGCAAGTTGAAATTCAGCCTAAGCCTAAGGCCTGTTTTCCAATTCAATCGTATCGTATTTGAGTATTCGACCAGACCTAATGACTTGAAACAATGAGATACGCTACGTTTCGCCGGCTACAATACGGTTGAAGTGGAAAACGGCCTTAAGATGCCGTGCCGTGGTTTGTGTCTGCAAGAACTGTATAAGCGTCGATATCGTAATGATTATACTGTCTTTATATATAAGTATAGCTTATAACATGCACTGCCACTGTTTCCGCCAATTTTCGAATTTTTCGTGGCGCAAGTATGAAATATTCTGATTTATATAAGTGAACTGCGAAGTCAACATCGTTCTTCTATAATAGAAATATATGAACGATGTGCTTATCATTCAAAATATCTTTCAACAGATGTCGCGGTTTGTCTGAACAAAATGAAAAAGATTAAAACTCTGATCCGAGAAGAACCACATCCTCATCTTCTAAAAATCTATGCATCTATCACTAACCGCTTTATTGCACGAGCTATCAACTTCCCGAAACCTTTTTTTCCTCCCGAAAATCCTCCTTCCTTATGATTTTATGTGTTTTTTTACACAAACGTGAGAGCTTATTGACTACATAAAAATATAGTTGAATGCTATACCTGCATTACTACCGGTTTCCATATTTTAAAAATCTTTGATAGTTCATAGGCGCCAGTTCATTGAAGAAAACAAGCAACAACAGAGCCAGAGGTCTTTGATCTTTTAAATGCTATATATTACAACTGGTGGCCACTTACCTTCATTGTTAATCGCTCTCCTCTCTTCAACGCTTACTTGTCGTTGCATTTTTAACTTTTATTAAAACCAAAACCTCAAAACCCGAAGTATATAAATAAGTCTACAACAATTTTAACACTCATTTGCCAGTTTTCGCCTGAAATTATCCTCAAACAACACCAATAAAAGCCAGTTTTAAATAGTTGTTTTGAAAAAGGCTGTTGTTTATGTTTCATTCACCTGTTCTTGATTAAAAAGCGTATGCAAATAGTATCGCTGTTTTGAAAACAATTTAAACTGCTCACCAACGCTAGATTAAAAAATATATTAGTTGAATGTTGTAATAAAGAGTCTAATAGCAGAAGAAAAAAATGATTATGCTGTTGACAGTGTTGTGTTTGGCAAAGGAAAAACTATATTGCTATTTTCAAATGGTAATGTATAATATATAAATGAATATCCAATGCCATTGGCAATGGCAATACAATAGCCAGGCAATTTCATAAAGTCTGAAACACCACGACTATTATGACATTAAATTGTAAAGTAGTACACTTGTACTGATATCTTAAGGACATGACTTATGACGAAGTATATATGCATGTTGTTTTCTCGAGAACAAAATATCGTTTACGGTAAAAACCTGGCAGACAGGCTGACAAGACTTGGCAAATGGATCACATGTTGTATAATTAAAATTATCGGCAGCTTAATTGAAGATACGTTCGAATATAAACAGGGTCAGGGAGCGGCATCGCAGCGTCTTCAAACAACTTCGCTTCAAACCTATAAAAACTGCAAAAAACAGACAAAAACACTTCACGATGTTTCGACCTAAGAGCCTTCGTCAGGAGAGTTAGTAAACTAGAACGAAGCTTGTGAACGTCGAGAAATGTTTTTGTCTATTTAGGCAGTTGTTATACCACATTTAAAAACTGTCTGGATGTCTATCCATGTCTGTATGAATGCATCAGATATGTTTCCCGTCTTGAACTTCCACGTTCCTTTTCCAATTAACCGTTTAATTTTTATATATCATCGAAAATTCAACACCTTAGCTCCATTAACTAACTGCTACGTTATATAGAAATAGATACAAATAGAAAACAAAAAGGGTGCTGGGCCTTCACTTCCATCTTAGTTTGCAAGTTACCCCCCAATGAGCAATAGGCGAGCAAAACCATCGTGATGCCTGGACTATGTGAGCGGTTTTTATTTTCAAAAAAATTGGTAAAGGTGATAAATTATATCTGCAGCTTATTGTAAAAGTATAAAAATATACCTAATACCTAGAAATGCTATCAAATTCGTCCGTTCATACATTGTATTTCAAAACTATCTAGTAATTACATTTTGTAATAGTTCTTTTGAAAAAATAACCTAATTTGAATTGCACTAACATTTAAATAGATTACAATTGAAATCCTAATCTCGCTGGTTCTCTATTATATTTTTTTTCACTTGTTCAACCATGATTGAAACAATCCGCATAAATTCTTTCACATCAAATGCAAAGTTTCTAAACTTCAAATTATCACCATATTTCTCGTGTTTATTCTGCAAAAGAAGATTTATGAATGAATGGTTTTTGCTTACTTTTCATTCAAGATATCAAGTTGTAATAATTTTCCATCTGATAATGGATTGGCGAATGGAAGCTTTTTGAAACTAAAGGTCTCGAAAAAATTTAAACCAACCATACCTCAGTTCTCTCAACCAGTTTCTCGTCATTTTCCCAAGTGTAGTAGTTCACTCCTCTATGAGATACGAAATCCAAAAAATCAACCAAAATATTTTGATCGTAATTTGGAAGTATTATTGTTATAAATTATTGTTATAGTGACTCATGTAGCCACTGTTTCTGATGGGGGCATGTTAAAATACCTCTAGATATGACCTACTGACTGTTAATAAAAAAGTACGCGCACATGATGTACCTCAATCTGGCCAAGTCTTTATAACAATTCGTATCTCCACAATTGTACCTACAGTATAACATAATATTCAAATTCAAATAGCCTTTCAAGAGACCGTTCTCAGGCATTTCATTATATTTAGTCACCCATAAGAGATTAATCCTTATTGATCCTGAGATATGGTATTATCGCAAACTGAATTCAGGGTTTCCACAATGCAAGGAAATTTCCTTGACAACCACGAGGGAGGGAGGGAGAGAGAGAGAGAGGGATCTGTTTTTTTCAAAAGATCTTTGTTTCTCTCTTTTGTCATTTCCATCCCCCCATGAGGACAGTCCTATGAAATTAAGTTGTGGAAACCTTGAAACTGATGGAAACAAAAAGAATTGAAATGCAAGAGCATATTGGCTACACCTATAAATATGAGGAACTTCAATCCAGTGACTATATTGGATCGTGTGTACACAATAATCAAAATTTAAAATCAGAGTCTTACTTACACTTCAAAAACAGCAGCCCAGTCAGGTAAGAATAACGTGTGTGTTAAACCAGCACCGTGCATACCAATAAAGATATCTATGTTATGACTTGTCTGTTGATAAAGAAAACAATAATATTCATTAAAATTCAATAAGCAAAACTAAAATTAAGAAGAAAATAATCGGAATTATACTAAAAAATATGGACGCGGGGGCTTTTTTTAAATACTTTTATCAGAGGGCCCCAAATATTGTATTATGTTGCACTGACGAAGAAATGTTTCCTGGGTTTTATCCTGGTGGAAACATGAGTGTAATCATGATCATAATTCTTAAGACAAAGATGGAAGGCTACATGTGCAGGCTGAGCAGTGCATAGAAAATGCAGGGGTGCAGGTTTGAGTCATGAAGTGGATATTTTACTCCTGTATAAAATATTACCTTCACTTGATCAATGAAAGGCACATTCCTATGAGAAAAACAATGTAAAATTATACATGATAATTAAACAAAATTTAATAATTATAGTGTAGATCAAACATTGTGGTTGAACTCACTGACCAGTTATAGTTAAGTACTTCAAATTTAACACCAGAAAGACCTTTGAGCGCTTTCTCAATCTAATCAAACATAAAACACTAACTTTACGTTCATCTATAAAACAAATTGAATTGTCTTCATCGCAACATATCGAAAATCGTTATCAAAGCGTTACGAACCTCATCTTGGTTCAATATCTGTCTATACGCAGTTCCCCGAGACAGCAATTCTATGCGGATTGGTTCGTCTACATCCTGGAAATTATATTTAGTGGGTATAATTGTGAGGTAAACAGGATAAAGTTTTCTTTTATATATATTTAGAAGAAAAAATCTGACAATCAATATCTCATACCGTAATATTTCGTTCTTGTTTAATATCAAGTCTGTCCATAAGAAAACGGTTAAAAGCTTTAAAAAGGCAAGTTTTGAAACAGCCGGGCACCTAACGACCATAAATGACGAATTATGATGAAGTCCATTACGATCTTAAAAAATCTAATTTGCAACTTTTTTTGAGAGTTTTACCAGAGGAGTATTGTAAAATAATCCAAACACCATTCGTGGCAGTAAAGCAAATATTGCATCTTTAAAACAAACCTATAATAAGAGTAATCATTTGAAATAATTAACACTTCTAAATTTACACCGTCTTTTGGTACGCAATCCAGAGCAGTACCACACAAGTATTAATGCATTACTATGGTGCATGATTTTGATAAATTCAAATAGTTCTTGTTCCTGAGAAGTGTATTCTTACTCTTTGGTTTCTGTATGCATCACCTAGATACACAATTTCATTATCAGTGAATGCCTTCCACGTCGCTCCAAAATTTCCCAGACTGTTTCTTCTTGACTACAGATTAGAAATTGATGATTATCAAACTATGTTTTGACCACTGTGAGAGCTACTGGTGTTAATGCAGGCTCAGAGTCTGACTCTAATGCAAAGTCAGAGCTGACGTCACCACAGTCATTACCTCTTCCCATAAAACTATATTAATATCTTTACTGAAAGATCCATTGACATGAAATGTAAGATATAGGTTGAAATAGTCACAGAAATGATGATACATATTCACAACTAAAACAATAAAATAATAAATGAAAATTAATTTGAGAAATACTTGGACACATTAAAGGTCAAGAAACAACTCAACTTCCTTCTTCATTTACCTGCATCTAATTTCATGAAATAAGTTGGTTTTTCAACAATTATGTCACAATGCTTATCATTGATAGGATGGAAAGATAAAGATGAATACTTTTCAATTTCATTCATCCTGGAAGGGAATTATTATAATGGTTGAGAATAATTTTTCCAAAATTCATGATGACTATCATATGACATATGGCCTATGTATATAAGATGCATTGAATTTCAATTTCAAAATTTACAACTAATGGACCTTTCCCCTTTTAGCTTTCAAGCACGCATTGTGTGACATTAGTTGATTATCAAGCAACTTTGAGTTGCGATATCGCCTGCTTTGAAGCGATTTTGTTTGTAAGAGAAGTTTGCCGATTTTTTTTGTTTCTTTGTTAAACTAAATGACTCCTAAAATGGCGAAATAACAAGTCAAATTGACCTTGATAATCAACTACCGTCATGCATTGTGTGCTTAGAAGCTAAAAGGCCTATTGTAACCAAAAAAATGAACAAGAACCATACCAAGATGAAAGTGACATACGATGTGCATTTGAGGTTTTGATTGGTGAGGGATTGTAGTGACAATGTCCTCCAATTTGACCCTCCTTAAATGGATTCTCTTTCAGCCTATCAAAGAATATTTGATAAAATTTCTATACATAAGAGTGGTATAATTTTTTTTAGAGTTAGGCCCTGTTCGTTTGAGTCAGGCCAACCCTGGTTTAGCTAGGCTGGCTTGCTTTTGCTGACCCCCTTGATTTTTCATATGAGCACCTTAAAGGCGAGATCTTGCTCTCCTCCAGGGAATTCTGCTCTTAGTAGTCAAAATGAGAAATTCCAACTTCAAAATTTCCCACTGTGACCACTAAGACCAGAATTTCTTGCAGGCATTCCTTTTGATATCATTATGCATAATATCTATTATGGTTGGCTTTGCCTAATTCTAATGATTCTGTAAACTTTTTATACCATCCATATTCTGATCCACGTCTCAAATCTAGATATAGGTTCTTAGCTCGACAAAATGCCATGTCTTTAGAACAAATAAATGATGAATCATCCTAGTTTATAAAGAAATATTATTACAATGAATAAATATCAGAATTAAACTATTGCAGTTCATAATTATATGGATGGGAAACTTATGTGTTATAATGAAGGGAATTTTGTTAAACCTGGCTAGTTGCCTCACACACAGTCACCAAATCATCTCGAATTTTTTTCACAAATCCAAAATCAGCCTGTCTCCACCACTCATGCATTTTCTCATCCACACTATATTACAATGAAATAATATTTTATAATTTATTAAAATTACTAAATATATTTTACAATATTAAACTACACCTACAACCAATCCATCCTGCATAAAAATTTCCAACCTTTTAAATCGTTGGTACCCTTGTTCATCATTGCATATAGGTTGTAAACACCATTGCCTGGAATCTGTACAGCCATTCTCATAGCCCCAGCAATGCCTCTGGAATAAAATATCATTTCAGTGAACATCTAAACTAGGTTACAGTCATCAGGGTTGTAAAACTCAAAGTAAGGAGGGAATTAAACTCAATTTGCACAAGTTAAAGATCATATAACATTCCATATTTTTTTAACAATATCCATTGCTAGGTGAGTAGCTTACAGTTGTATAAAAGTTCTCATATTCTCCAAGATTCAGCCAATTTAAAACCTTTTGGGTTTTACTCCGTCTTACGACAAACCATCTTACTCGCTTAGTAATGAACGAGAACTGACTGCTTAAATTAACGAGTTAATTATTGATGGAAACAGTTCAACAAACCTTGTTAAGACAAGCATTGTTGCCATTTTCACACACTTCTTCCCCACGATGATTGCCAAACATGGACTGACCAGCATCACACAAACAACACGGCAACAGCCAAAAAAATTGGGACAAACAAACAATATTAAATATCCTATACTCCATTTCTGTAACTACCTAATACTAACATTGACCATTGACCACGTATTCATAAATATACTCATAGTCTATACAACACTCCTAATGCTGGATGCTGATTGGCTAAGAACCGTCTTGACTCTTGATATACCACGATATCAACACTGTAATAACACCGTTATTTTAAACAAACCCATACGATATTTTTCTTTGTGCAATATATATCTTCGCGCGATATTTAACAATCATAACTAAACTCGTTCAAATTGGATAAACTCGAAAATGTGTTAAAATCATGGTCAATGGTGAAAACTGAAAACTCAACGCCAAAGAGTAAGGATATATAGGGATAAATATAGGGATATATAATAATAATATATATTCCTCTGATACTCTACATTATTATTGTCATATTTCATTCAAAGAATATGTCCCTTCCAACAACATTTATACAACAATTAGATGGTCATCAAGGACCTGTTAGGGCTGTTCGCTTCAATACCAATGGTAATTACTGTCTGACTTGTGGTGGGGACAAGTTATTAAAATTGTGGAACCCATACACTGGCGTAGAGCTGAAGGCTTATGGTGGTCATGGTTATGAGGTTCTTGATGCAGTTGCATCAAATGATAGTGCACGAATTGCATCCTGTAGTGAAGACAAAACTGTAGTGTTATGGGATGTTGCAACTGGTCAGATTGTCAGAAAATTTAGAGGCCATATTAGTGTGAGTATTCATGTAATCTCCATTTATTCATTGATCTTTTTTTTGTTGCCTGCCAAACATTTTGTGAGCCTTAAATTTAGGGTTAAAGGTGAAGAAAGCACAAGTCCACCTAATGACTGCTAAAAGATGTTCATTAGCAAGCTGGAATGGGTCTACTTTGAGAAATTTTACCTCTGACCCCCAGTTGCCCTCTGAACGATCCAAACAACCAAATTAGTCAATATTGACAGTGAGAATGTATAAATCTTGTTATAGATAATATTTAACTACATGTAGATACCATTTCTATACCCATATGTTTTTGAAAAAATATATATCTGGATGTCAAAGTGACTTGAACACATCATTTCCACAAGCTTTTTTCATGCTTTTTCAGTTTTTCCATTAGGATGTTTTAGCAATCATGGTCAATGTTCATTTAGGTTGTTGAGCTGGGTTAATAAGAATATTTCCTAATAATCTCTAAATAGTATTTACCTGATTTTGTTTTATTGGCAGAGAGTTAATTGTGTCCAGTTCAATCGTCCTGACTGTTCACTTGTCTTGTCTGGATCCTATGACTCGACTGTTCGTATATGGGACACAAAATCACGGAATATGGAACCAATTCAAATTCTGGAGGAGGCAAAAGATAGTGTCACATCCTTGTACGTTTCTGAACAGGGAATTTTAACAGGGTAGGTATGGTAGTGAATTTGTGTTTTAATTAGGTAGCTGCAACTTTAGTTTTATCATATCTCCCTTGTCTCAATATATGAGATGTCCCTTATATCATACAGAATATTCTGAACATGCATTAAGAGGAATTACAATTTAGACCTGATAGAGTTAGATAAGATTTTCGCTTGTACTTTTACACTAGATCAATCACCAAATGTGAAATTATCATTAGGAAAGACTCTTGGAATAGTTTATTGAGTGGTCATTTTACCTATCCATGTGTTTTGTTCTAGAGCAATATGTACTTGAACAAAAAGGAATGACCTTTGCTTGGTTTTTGAGAAAATGTTTGTTTTTTAGGTCAGTGGATTGTAATGTACGTCGATATGATATCAGAATAGGAAGAATGACTGCAGATCATCTTGGTCAACCTGTGACCTCTGTAACATTATCAAAGGATGGCCAATGTGTATTGGTGTCATCGCTTGATAACACTGTACGATTACTTGATAAAGAAACTGGAGAACTACTGAATGAGTAGGTTTATGTATTTGTTTTTTAACCTTACCAAGGATACCATAAGTACACACTGATTGATAAAAAAGTTTTCTGCATTGTCCTTCATTCAATAAAAAGTGCATTGAATGAGGAATATACTGGAATATGGTATACTCGACTATGCATGGTTGATTAATATAACGTTATATGGTATACTTGACCATGGTCGAATATAATGGAATATGGTATACTCGACCATGGTTCAATGTACTGAAATATGGTATACTCGGCCATGGTCAAATGGTATGACCGAAGTAGGTACTGAAATATGGTATACTCGACCATGGTCGAATATACTGGATTATTATATGGCTTTTCAAGATCCTGTATTCTGATTGATTGACGACCGGTCCGTAAAAACCCATATTCGGACCGTGGTCTGTATATTCTCTATCTGGACCAGTATCCTGGATGTCTCATGCAGTTCAGCCATATAATAAACAGATTATTGACCTCGCTATACACGACCATGTTCGAATACACCGGAAAATGGTATACACGACCATGCTCGAATACACCGGAAAATGGTATACACGACCATGGTCGAATATACCGCCAAGTGTTATACTCGACTATGGTCAAATATACCGGAAAATGAATTAGCATCAAATGTGGTATAACAACTGCCTGCCTAAAATAGACAAAACACTTCTCGACGTTTCGACCTGAGGGCCTTCGTCAGAAGAGTTACTAACTTGAATCAATATATTTTTATTGCTTTTTTTTTATCCATTCTTTGGAATGAAAAAGTTGTCTTCTAAAATGGTCCACATAGTCATATTCTGTATTAATTTTAAAACTGTATTTGCAAACGACTTTTTCTTAAATTTATCAGATTCAAAGGTCACAAGAATGAGAAATATAAAGTAGATTCATGCCTATCGCACACGGACAGCGAGGTTGTGAGTGGAAGTGAAGACGGTATGATCTGCTTCTGGGATCTGATTGAAGGAAAACTCATACACACAATAAAGAAAGCGCATAAAACGACTGTGTATTCATTGTCTTATCATTCTGAGAAAGCAGCGATGCTTTCTGCGTCATCTGATGGAACAGTCAAATTATGGCAGGATAAGATGGAAGACGAGTGAAGGTACTGGAAACTAATGTGGTTTAACACAGCTGGAAATTGATGTAGTTCCTAAAAGAGATTCCTTAAATAAACGTGGTGCCTCAGTGTAGGTATGGTACAAATTCTACGGTCAATCAATACGCTACTTTTCGTGGTTTTTGTCTGAAAACAAAATACCTCAAATGTCCTGATCCTGGTCCAATGTATCAAACACACCAGGCTCGAACAGCCTAGACCCACGTCTGACGTTCGATTATTGTTGGAAACAAGACTTAACATGTTAGAATTACTGCATGGGGCTCGAACTGGCTTAATTGACTTGCATTTAATTGGTGAATCGTGGTCGAATAAATGTATCTGATTGCTTGTTACTTTCACAATGATCTCTACGTTTCCTAAGACAGTTTACTTTCATTTGAAATATTAAATATTATAGCAATTCCGTGCTCAATTGTTTCGCTATTAGAGACAGGAACAGAAACAGGAATTCTTTACCACTTAAAATACCTCTGCTTCGTCCACTTGACGTATTGTTCTCTAAATATAATTGCCGCCCTCTTAACTGCATGGATAGATCAATATAATTATTAATCTATTGATGAACAATATAGTTATATAACACAGGTATTTGTCTTCAGTAATACGGTTACTTAACTTAGTTTGTATGTCGCATTAAAGACGCGAAGCATCAGAATGTTCACAAACTACACCAACGTGTCAGAAACAACTCCTTGCTCAGTTAAATGGGCTTGGAAGACTCATTGGATTTCGTTTAGCATTTTATTTATCATCACTGGATGTTTTTCAACTGCTCTGTTGTTCAAAGCAGTTTATCAAGCGTCTATGTTGACACGAGGTTATCGACTATCAGTGTTTATCATGGTGTTGATATTATGTGTTTCTCGACCACTGTATCTTCTATTGAATCCTTATGAAATTCACCAAGCGTTACTTGATGAAACACCAGTTATCATTCTCCGTATATTATATTCTTTTGGACAGCCATCGCTTACTGCCGGTTTTGGGCTCGTTCATGCTTGTTTTTTAAAAGTGGCCAAGGCTAGGAACTACGAATATGAACCTTTGTTGAAAACGAGAACCATTCTCATGATTGTTGGACTGTATTTCACATTTGGGATTATATGTGAAGTTATCAGCCTGTTTTTACCTGTCATGACGCGCATGTTAGTTGTATCAGCAACAATTGCCGTGGTTGGTTGCATTATCATCATAGTTACTGTCTCATACAGTGGCTTGAGAATTTTAATCAAAGCGACGAAAAATAAACGCGTGTTAAGTAAGAGTTTGAGGGGAGATACTCATGCAGGTTAGTTATATTAGTAAAGATTGCTAAATTATTAAACTATAATTTCAGTACAAGAACAGAGCAGCGACATCACGATATATTTTCCTGGCCCTCACGGCGACGCTAATTTCGAAACCGTTGGCAGTCAGTCGCATCTTTGATAGTCAGTCGCATCATTTAAATCGATACCAGGTTGCTAGAACATTGCCGATTTAATTGACCGACATATATAATGTTAAACTAGCGGGCTTTAGTCTAGTGGTCAAGGGTTTGGTTTTTGTGCTTGATACCTGTGTTCGAATACTACCTGTAACACTTTGTTTTTTCTTTTTTTCGTATTTGCAAAGTCTCGAATTGAACCAGTGAAAATACCTTTTGGTTAATTATTTGGGTTATTTGAGGGTTTGGTTTATTTTCTGTGTATTTGTCGTTAATGGGAGTGTGAGCCCACGTTCAAGCAACCCGAGATAGAGTTAAATGATGCGACTGACCCTCAACGATGCGACTGACTGTCTACGGTTTCGAAATTTGCCACGGCGACTTCCAGCCATTATTTTCGTGTATTGCTGTTTCCTCAATACAAGAATAATGAAGCAAATAGGAAACGAACTACTTGAGAACATACTTATCTAAGTACCTCCCATGTCATTCACTATATCCTAAGATTTCTTTTTCTCTACCGAAAGATTCAAATATATACTTTTATTGTCATGTTTGACGTTATATTAGATATTTCCTCGTTGATGACTGCTAATAAAGATGATGAAGTGAAACAGTTCAAAAGCTTTTTATGTATGAGTTTAAAATTGATTTTTAATCACCGCTTAAGGATTAGCTCTTTGATTATAGTGAACACAAGCTATATCCGCATCTGTTAGGGGGAAACCTGAACCAAACTAAATTTTCCTGCCAGGAAGTTCTCAGTTCTAAACTGTTCTTCCTACAGTTTAGACCCGGCATAACGTGTGGGAGTAATCTTGGCATGTGTGAGATAGCTCTATCAGTTTTAACGTGTAAACTCTTCCTTAAGGTCCAGTGAGATCATCTCTCATTGATCCAGGGTTACTGTAGGAAAAAACCTGGCACATATTTTGTTAACTGTTCTTCCTGAACATGTCAAAGAGACCGTGATCAATGACCAATGAAATTTTATGATACTTCTTTCCAGCTTCTAGAGAAGAACTAATGAAAGCAAAGTCAATCTCTAAAGTCTCAAAAGTCACCTTGGCTGCCTCGACATTTTGTATTGCCATCACTATTATTAACAGTATCACGTTTGTTAAAATGTTTAATGCTATGAGTGGTGTAAGTTATTTAGAATCAGATTCGCAGTTTATTACATTCGTGACGTGTGTTCGTTTTCTTGAGATATGCATGGCGGTAACTTTGTTATATGCTCTAAGTCAAACCAATTTGAAGTCAAGAAACGTTTCGGGTTCGTCTCGTCAAAGATTGGGAATTATCAACACGGGAAGAGTGAGGAGTGCGGATGACGGATACGTTGTTACGGACACATGGAAGTCGATTTCGTCTGTTTCCAGTGTTGGCAGTGGGCGACAATTAATGGAGTAAAATTTTGCAATGCAAAATGTAAAGTAAAATGTAAGACTTGTGCAGACAATTATACTTCGTCTCATATCTCTCATATAATTAATATTATACTGCATCTGCTTCGCAGACTTGCATAATCTAAAATTATTGTGACAATTATATAAACAAAAAGAAATCTTTCAAGAAAGATCCCCGCATGAAAGAACAGGGCCGTAGGAATGTTCAAGATTGGGGGGGGGGCATGTTCACGAGGCGCCACCATGGTTGGCGCATAACGAGAAAGATATTTGGGCCCCCCATATAGTCAGTTTGCTCGTGAGGAAGCTGAAAAGTTCCAGACAGCATGAAACTAGAATGATGGAGTCATGGAGATGATATGTTGTCGCTGCCAACAGATGCAGTCACCATTGTCACATGGGATACAGTTTCAAACAAGAATTTCTCAACATGTAAGGAAGATAATTATAGTTTGTTCAAAAATCAAACTATATAACATTGACTTGCTGATTAAAAAAATATAATATATTGTGTTTTATTAACAAAGTAATTTGTGCAGTTTAAGTTACACAATACTTCACAATTATACACACTTCCAATTCAAGCCAGGAACAGTCGATGAAAAAATGAGTCAACTTTCGGTCCTCCGGCAGGAATCGAACCAACGCTTTTTCGATGCCGTGGGGCGGGTGAGCCGCGGAGCGGGTGAGCCGTGGAGCGGGTGAGCTGTGGAGCGGGCGAGCCCGGAGGCTCGTTCGATCGCGGTTACGTACGCCGGCATCGCAATAGCGTAGGTTCGATTCCTGCCGGAGGACCGAAAGTTGACTCATTTTTGCATCAACTGTCCTGGCTTGAATTTGAAATGTGTATAATTTCACTCGAAATTAAGATCCTTTAAACCTCTAGAATACCCCTGCATCGAGTGAAGTGCCAAAAATCATAAATGATTTACCATTACCTATTCCCGGCATTATCATCATATACACATTAACCAAACGTGCTCTTGTCAGCTACCTCTGTAGCTCTGTAAAAATGATGAAAAATAATACTATTAAAAAAACAGGGGAGGGCAGTGTGCGCCTTGGGCCTTGGCCATTTGTAACTTACTACCATGGCAAATAGGAACCAGGACGGCCAAATTTGGACCCCCCAGTGGTGGCGTGAATCCAAAAAAAGATTAATATAGCTCAGTGGCTAGTCTCTATTCTTCGGAAGAGACCGGAAACCAATCGGTATTTGTCCCAAACAACGAGCTTGAAAACGTTTCTGGATTATTTGAGGGTTTCTTTCCACTTATTTCAGTCAGATTGCAATGAATTTTGATTAAAGGTGGGTCACAAGACATTGTTTTCACTTTGAGTTGTTTTTAGTTAAAAACCACCCTCGCAAAAGCGTCAAGTACGTCTCCAAACTTTGTTGTCAAGTACCCGTGGCTTCACCAAATGATAAACAGCCATCCCAAATGTTTACATGTAATAATTCCTTATAATCGGCATGATATGAGTAAAACTTTGCTGATATATTGATATATAAGTATTAAATATTTATTCGCAAATTCTGTATTTTTAACTTAAAAAGAAATACTTTTTTTCCGTATGAATTAAATTAGCTTGCTGCGTTTGTTTTGCTACGTTAGTAAATGATATCGTAGCAAGGGTAGACGTGAATTATCAGATATTGTGCTAATAAAGATAGGGATGGATAACGTTCAAATAGAAATACGATACATATTTTTTAATCTATAATATCTAGACATTATTGCTTGTGAAAATGTCAATTCCCATCTCCTTTTTTGATATATTATATACACTCGGACAGTTTTTAATTTATTCTGTCTCATTTTCCCCATAAATTTTCCCCATAAAGCTGTTTATAATTAAAGATTAGTTAAGAAAGACATGAAACATATAAAAATTAAAATTTGCCTGTAAATTTTTTGCCAGTAGTTTGTCAATTGGGTTTTGGTTCATAATGACCAAATTTTATTTAGACTATTTTATTTTTCTGTTGAGGAATACAACAGTTCAATATTTAGTCAATATTTAACCTTCCCAGGGCAGCTAGTTTGATATTCAAAATAACACATTATGGAATAGTTTATCATATTGGACTAATGTAAGTCTTGATCATTATGAAGTCAAGCAATAAACATAGAGAGAGCATTATCATTTGTAAATTTCACTATAGCTCTTGTTTCCATTCTAGAAACCAGTGAAAGCCATTCTGTAATATTCAACATATTCTTATTGCATTCACTTTGCAATTTAAGATACTACCTGTCAAGAAAACGCAATTCAAAAAGTAAATTGTTATGTCTGTGCCAATGGCATCTGGTGAAGATGATTCAATCTATAGCACTTTATCAAACTTTGAGATTGAGAAAAAAATTGGCCGTGGTCAATTCAGTGTGGTTTACCGAGCAAAATGTTTAGCCAATGATCAGATAGTGGCACTGAAGAAAGTTCAGGTAAATAAAGTTTAAATTCTTGATTTTGTTTTGAGAGTTTTGAATTTTGATAGTTCTATGCAACACACTAGATTTTTGACATGATGGATGCCAAAGCAAGGCAAGATTGCATAAAAGAAATTGAATTGCTGAAGGTATGTTTTGAACTATTAGTTTGCCATAGTAACATAGAAGCAACATGGCAGCACCTCTAAACAATTGCTAAACCTTAAAATAGGAAAACCTTCTCAACATTTCAACCTAAGAGCCTGTATTCATCAGAATAAAAGAATCCTGAAGCTAGAGACAATGTATGAGAGATAGTCGATACTCCCAATACTACTCTGTATATTTCATTCATTTTAACTTACTTTTATTTTCTGCAACATTTCAGCAACTGAACCATCCAAATGTTATAAAGTATTTGTCATCTTTTATTGAAAATAATGAGGTATGTGAATGAATTGCAAAATGCTTCAATATTTCAACCTAAGATCCTCCATAAATTTGCAGGCAGTTGTTACCACATTTTATTAATCATTTTTAGCTAAATATTGTGCTTGAATTAGCTGATGCTGGAGACCTATCTAGAATGATAAAGGTATTTGGGCATTATAATTTTTATGCTGTACCGTACATAATCATTTTTAAAACTGAAATGAACATACCAGTATAATAATGAACTTTGAAATTTGAAACTAATTGTTTTGAAATTGTTTCAGCATTTCAAGAAAAACAATAAGTTGATACCGGAAAGAACTATTTGGTAAGCAATTTAACATTCATAACCAATGTTAGGTTGTGAATGTAATCTTTGTGTGCTGATTACTTTCATTAATCAAACAAGAGTAACGATAATTGTGATTGATTATAATATATATACCTGGTTGCTGTGAACTTATTTAACTTAACTCTTATTCATTATGAATTATATACTTTAATGTTGTAAGCCTTGCAAATTTCTTCCAATAGGAAATATTTTGTGCAGTTAACTGCAGCATTAGAACACATGCATTCAAGAAGAGTGATGCATAGAGGTACATCACTGATACATGTCTTTATGTAAATGACATTGTCACAGTTGGCAGATATGTTCTAATATTGTTTTGTTTTCCCTCCAGATATTAAGCCAGCAAATGTGTTTATAACTGCATCAGGAGTAGTCAAGTTGGGAGATCTAGGGTTAGGAAGATATTTTAGTTCCAAAACAACAGCAGCTCACTCTCTGGGTCAGTATTTATTATATCTGACTTTCATTTTTGCACGTTTATTTCAAGTTATGTTTTAATTGACACTGTTTTGTAAACCAGTTCACAATTTGTTTTAGTTGGCACGCCTTATTACATGTCCCCTGAAAGAATTCATGAAAATGGATACAATTTTCGATCTGATATTTGGTCACTGGGATGTCTATTATATGAGGTATACATGTTGATTCTGAAACATTCCAACATCATAACTTTGATAGTGGAAATATTTATGTATTTTTGAAACTTTTAGATGGCTGCATTACAATCACCTTTTTATGGAGACAAAATGAATCTATACTCACTTTGCAAGAAAATTGAAAAATGCGATTATCCACCATTGCCTTCAGATATTTACTCTAAGGAGGTAATTTTGTATACTGTTGTTGATTTACAATTTCCTATTCATTTATTTCTTCGATAGTCACATCAATGTCAATTTTATAGGGTGCTGTTTTACAAAAATATGATATGACATATGTGTAGAGAAACATTACATTAATAATACATGTGTGATTTGTTGCTTAGCTTCGAGATCTTGTGCAGGCATGCATAACTCCAGATCCTGATCACCGACCTGACGTCAAGTATGTCAATGAAGTTGCAAAGAAGGCTTATCAATCATTTTTGACCTGAAGAATAAACTGATAAAATATGAATTACTAAGAAATTTTGAAATTATTGTATAAGAATTAATTGGTTGTACTTATATCTAAATAAATTGTATAAATATTGTAGGGTAGAAGTCTCATTAATTTACAATGAGCAGTAATACTAGAACTTGGAAGCTTGCTGTATTTTTCATCTTGTATTAATTTCAAGTGAAATGTTTGCTTCAAGTTAACTGTTCTGGTATTAAACGATTTAGAGCTGATTGCTCTAATAGCTTTCTTAGTTTATTTGAATATGAGAATTTTGTGTCCTTGCTTGTATATTCTTAAAGAATTTAATATATTTCATTTTACCTGTATGTAATGTGTAGTATTTAGACTAGTTGTATTTTCATTATAGTCTTTTAGAGTGTAGAAATAAATTAAGCTTTTATTCTATTTCAGGAGTATTTTTTTTAATATTATCAACCATGATCAAGTATCATGATCATGAAATCAAGTGGTTGAACAAATAGAAAACATTGATACATCTGATTGAATTCAAAAGATGCTCAATGACTCACACGCAAAATTTCTGGCCCAAACTTTTATTCCAAGAAACATTAGCCACACCAGAACAACTAGCTAGTTTTTCCTTTGATTTATCCATCTACACTGTATTGGTTAACTCTTGGACACTCAATACTGTCAAATGCCTTGAAAGCTAATTCATTGGTTAAAACGTTGAGACAAGTTTGATTTAATTAATGCTATTATAATATAAAGAATATGGTTTAAAGTCATCAAAAACAAAATAGTCTTTCTTGTCATGTCTCCATAGCTTCTCCTCCAGTTGAGGTAACTTCTGTCTGGACTATGTCCCATTTTATAGGCTTCACTTCCTTGCTAAGGATTGCTTGGAGAAAAATAAAATATCAGTAAATATATATATTTTTAACATGATTCGCAGTGAATATATTTTTCTAACATGATTCGCCGGGCATTTTTTTGTACCCAAATTTCCAATATGAATTTTGTAATGAGCCATGTTTATATAATTATATAGCTAAGCTCAGGAAAGAGTGTTGTCATAGGGTGGCAAGTGGCAACAAAGGTAAAGATACCTGTTGTTCCTCGTCGATACTTGTATTGTCCTTGACGAACTCCCTTCTGATTGGCAACATCATATGGTCGTAGGTATTGGACACCTTCTCTGGTAATAACACAGATATCAATGTTGCTTCCTGAACCCTGTTAACAAAATAAAACAGTTATTTTCATATTAAGATTGAAAAAACTTTAAGCCATGTGTATTCTAACTATTTTCCACAAACATTTTGAGCAGGTTTTATCAACCTGCTTTCTTAGCCTTGCAGCTATGCATTAGAAACAATTAGAACATTGCCAACTAAATATTTCCCCAGTACATACCAAGTCATTAAATATCCCAGCAGCAATTGCATCTCGAACTAAAGCTTTTCCTTCATCCAACTGCAACAAAACAAATTTTAAAATCCTGTTATTCTGGAAAATATTACAAACAGTTTATTGTTATGATCAACAATTTATAGAATGTTATTTTCTGAGTTGTTGATCCAATTACCTCCATATTAGGCTTGTACCTTGACTCAAATACTGCCATTGCTGCCAGTGATCCTGATCCTGGATAAAACATACAATTTATACTGTAAGTTTCCAAGGATATCTTTTAGCCCATCAATCTAGACTTCATGATCTTACCCATTGTAACAAAAGGCAATTTATCAGTACTGCCATGTGGATGGATGGTATAAAGATGCGGTCCAGTATAATCTACACCACCAAGAACAAGTGCAGCACTAATACCACCATGATAGCTGTAGGAAAATCAGAGGTTGTTAATGAATGCATTTTACTAAGATAACAAATTTGAGGTCCTATAACTGGCTTAAACTTACTGATATAACAATTGCTTCAACATTCTACAAGCAGAAACGACTGGTGCCTAAATAAAATGAAGAATTTTTTCAGGTATCGGGTACGTTTTCTTCAATCTATTACTAATAACTATTAGATTCCTCAGTTTAATTCTCACTTGTCGTCCTGTGTTAAGACTTTGGAGCTCCAAATTTGCTGATGTAAGATTGGTGACATACTCAGTATCTGCTGCTGTCCCAGCACCACAACAGCTGAAATTAATTTGTTTTTATATACTTTATAGCACATGAAATAACTTCAATCAGGCAAAAATAACTGAAAAATACATACTACATATTGGGAGCTATATAATGGATTTTTGCACAGTTCTTGTCTGCAACAATAGTATCCTACAATAAGAAATGTTACGAAAATAGCGTTGATCTAATACTACTAAACAAATTAGAGGTAAATGATAGAAGATGTGAGATATGAGAAACCTCATTTTAAAAGTTAAAACAGAAGCAGAACATATAACATAGTTTGATTTTCAAACCTCGGTAGCTCTTGTATCTGCACCCAGAATTACCCCATCCTGAAATAAATACGGTGGTGAGTTTTCTATAATAAATTCTTCAATAAATTCTGTGAAAGTTTTGCCCAAACTCATCAACTCACTTTAAAAACAATACCACAAATCGTTGTACCAGTTTTCATTGCAGTCGGCCTTTTAAGCCCAGATTTTTCTAGCAACGCATTCCTAAGATAATAAGGCTTATTAATGACATGTTTCTTATAGTCATACATCTTTCAATAAAGGTGATTTTACCTTCTACAATTTTCAAAGTTAAAACCACCTCGTACATCCGCCATCTTGTATTATTCGCTTACTCCACTGATCTCTATGAGAAGAAGAGGAATCAGGAGTGATTTTCAGGAGGTACCGTGTTTCCAGTTTTCAGAAATCTTGGAGGAAAAATTCCTTTTATTGAAAACCATGGCGGATCATTTTGAAAAACTATGTTCTTTTCGGTTTTTAAAAAGTTTACAAGTTGAGAAATATAAGTCAAAGAGGACTGGAGTTACTCTGTGTTTTGTTGACGTACCTGGACCGCTTGTTAATGGATTTTTTACCTTAGGTAAAGCTATAAAATAAGGTCATGCATTTTGCTCTAAAGTCCTTTGTTTAAATTTGTTGATGCAACTTGTTCGTAATATTTGTACATTTATTCTATTAAAATTTTATAATATGATGTTTCATGTAAGTTCATAAAATGTTGTGAAGACATGCAATGTGTCTGCTTCGCTATTTTTGGTGCTCAGGAATTGAAGTTTCTATATTTGAGAGTTTCAATTAGTTGCAATATTAAATGAAAACTAGATTTTGTAGTATATAATTTATCGTAAGTATTGTAAAATATTATAATAAATTGGATTATGCACTAAGACCTGGGTATTATAATCTAGCAACTGAGGCACATGATGATGATGGTCTGCCACACACATTGGAACATTTGGTGTTTATGGGCAGTGAAAATTATCCGTACAAGGTACAGTATGAAACTATATATGTAAATGTTGGTCGCATTTTACACTGTGGTGAACTGTCCATTTGGGTGCATAGTATTTATCATCTAGGAGTTCCCTTCCAGTTCGTTTTTCTAATTGTCCTTTGCAAATGCCAATATACCTGCAATATAGGGTATAACCTGCAAATATTTAAAATAGTATAAAAACCACAATTAGTAAGTCAATGATGACCTATTTTGATGAACTATTAACACAATTGGTTGAATGGATTTTTCCAACAATTAATTGTCACAATATTAAAGGCAAAGTGATATTGATCTCTAGGTTATAATGTTAAGACAAACTCATTAAATATGAAATGTATATTTTGTATTTTGTATAGGGTTTACTAGATCTTTTTGCAAACCGATGTTTGGCACAAGGAACAAATGCTTGGACAGACACGGACCACACTTGCTACACAATGACAACAGCTGGCAGTGAAGGATTCTTAAATCTTTTACCAATATACCTTGATCATATTCTGTACCCTACATTAACGGTAAATACTACATGCCTACTGCAATATTAACCAATCATAATTTTGTTTGTTTTGATTCATCGATCCCACATCTCACTTAACCAACAAAAGATATCTACTCTGCGAACAATTCCAGAAAGTACTTAGAGGCATAGCCAGGATTTGGAGGAAGGGGAGGCATCATGCAAGAACCTAGGTGGAGCCAGGCTGGCAGCGTGACTTGGATGGGCAAGATCACAAGAACACATATATGCTATTTTTTGCATTATTAACAGCATAACAATAGTTCACTTCATCTTCTCAGGAGAAGCCCAAAATTTTACCAGGGGGGTGCACCCCTGGCCCCTTGCCCTTGAGTTTTCACTGTCATCACCCATGATTTTGCAAAATATGATATAATTTCTGAATGTTGACCTATGTGTTATTGTAGGAATCAGCCTATCTAACTGAAGTTCATCATATCAATGGTGAGGGGGAAGATGCTGGTGTTGTTTATTCTGAAATGCAGGCCAGAGAAAATACAGGAGAAAGTCGAACGCATCTTACGTTTCTTAGAAATATGTATCCCGGAATCTGTGGGTACAAGGTGAGGGATTGTGGTTGATTTCTGATGGTCTGATAAGAACACAAGCGAGAGTGTCACACGCTTAAGTCAAAGTCTGGGCTGCCTATGAAGTATGAATAGAAATAATTCAAGGCCTGTTTGCAAATTAACCTGAAAAAACATGGAAATCTGATAGTTGCATGACACTTACTTTGGATTGCTAAGATCAGTCTTACAATCTTATTACAGCTTTTTAACTATTTTTAGTCGGAAACTGGTGGAATAATGGAAAATCTACGAACTTCTTGTAGCCACAAAAAGGTATTATACACCACACTGTGCACATTCTCTTTTAATGAAACCTAAAACTTTTCTTTTAATGAAACCTAAAACTTTTCTTCTAATGAAACCTAAAACTTTTCTTCTAATGAAACCTAAAACTTTTCTTCTAATGAAACCTAAAACTTTTCTTTTAATGAAACCTAAAACTTTTCTTTTAATGAAACCTAAAACTTTTCTTCTAATGAAACCTAAAACTTTTCTTTTAATGAAACCTAAAACTTTTCTTTTAATGAAACCTAAAACTTTTCTTTTAATGAAACCTAAAACTTTTCATTTAATGAAACCACATGTAAAACGTGGGATTTTATCAACAGAAATTTTATCCAGAGTTTCATGAGATTTTATTAAATGTTGCCACGAGCATTAAGAGGGAAACTTTTACGAAGATCTAGATCCTAATCGTCAACTTAAATGGTAACTTGTTACTATACTCACCGCAATATGCTGCAGATTTATATAGCACAGTCTGTACAGAGAAATCGAGAGTCTGTGTGAATTTAATAGTTAATAAGATATTATACTTCTAGATCTTTTGTTGAAAAGCGAACTTTGATTGTATATTTTTGTGATTATTTCATTATAAGGTGTGTGATTATCATCATCAATTCTATCGTCCTGAAAACTTGTGTTTGTTGATCACTGGACAAGTAAAACCTGAAGATGTTTTTGAGAGGATGAAATCATTCGAAGAAAAAATACTTTCTAACGTTAGTCAAAATATTTTACAGTCAAATATTTAAATTTGCGACTGTCGTGTCACTACTATGTCGCACTTTAGAGGAAATGAAACGTCGTTCGTTGGTATAATGCAGTCTTCAAGGTTAAGTTTGATAGAGTCGCAATCCCTTCAAACGCTCCAAATAGAAAAATGAGAATGAGTCAATTGCAAGTTGTGTCATTTCAGGATAAACGTCCAACTCATGTGAGACCCTGGCAAAGTCCAGTCCCAAATTTACCGGAATCAAAGATAACGAAAATTCAATTTCCTTCCGATGATGAAGAAACTGGCCAGGCGCTCATTGGCTACAGAGGGCCTAAGGCAACTGATGATTATTCTATTGAGGCAATAAAAGTCATTATGACATATCTTACAGACTCTCCTGTTGCCACACTGCAACAAATCTTAGTGGAATGTCCTGAACCTTATTGTAGCGATGTAAGTTGAACGAGATCTTTACCTCACTGCAATCCTTGGATATTGTACTGTACTGTCAACTCATGCAGAGATATCCTATTCCAATATATCAGTCTAAATGCTTCTTCTTGTTTTTCTTGTTACTGAATAATTTTAACCTAAGTCTATGTCTTTATAGGTTAGTTTTGATTTCATTGAAAACTCCGAAGGATGTCTTTATATCACAGCTGAGAATGTTCCTACGGAAAAACTAGATGATGTTATACCAAGGTAAATATTCTGTTTATATCTACTATCCTATCACTAAACGTCGAAATAATTCAGTGAATGATTGCAGGATAACTGAGGCAATTCAGGATATAGTTAAAGGAAAAGTTGAATTGGATATGAAAAGAATGTCTGCAGTTATCCATCGAGAGATCTTGGATGCTATGGACAAGGTATTTGAAGAAACCAGCGTTTTTAAAAACACGTTCTGCACTTGCGCTTTGTGTTTAAATTCTTTTGATTATTCGCGATTATTCGATGAATTTGAGTTTTGTATGTATGTGAGGTCTTTATTGGAAATTTAGCCACAACAAACGTGTGACTTTACATGGATAATAATACGATATTTATGTATATTAACATGATTCCATAGATTAAAAAATTACAAGTTTATATCAACCGTGTTTAAAAACTATTAAAAAGGCATCTATTTACAAAGCATCGTTTAAACCTTTCTGTTTTACCTTGGGGGAGGATGTAGTCGTGATTCTGTCCCCTTAATGTTCTTTGTTTCTTATCTGGCAAGAGTTCATAAAGATTATGTTCAGTATCTTTAATTATTTTTCTAAAAATTTTTTGACCAAGGTTTGTTTGTCCTAGATTGAGGATAAACCACACGAGAGTTTTGCTGGCTTCTGTATCGGAGATTTCTTATATTCCACTCAACCAAACCAGGTTTGATTCCTTCTTCTTTACATCATTTTATTCTTTCCAACACTGGATTTTGTCTGGATTCTTGTTTCACTAAGAATTTTCATCCACTGACGATACTGGTTAACCTTAAATTCGCTATCAGAGTAAGGAAATATTTTAAGGAGTCGAATCTCTTTCTCTCTTTTCATTTCAGCTTTTAGATAAAGTTGATACAATACGCCACTTGAAGGACTTGGCTCAGCAATCTCAAGATTTTTGGATTAAGTTTTTAGACAAATACTTTGTTAATGCAACGTCCATAACCGTACGTGTATTTATATATTGCTATAAATGAAAGGTTTCGTTTATTAAAACTGGCAAAATATTTCTTGCACACCTCGTATGAGACATGACGATGAAGATCAACGTTTATCACAGGTCATTGGTGAGCCAAGTCAAAAGTTAATGGCGGAGATGTCGAAAATAGAGGAAGACCGTGTAAAACAACAGCAGGAGAGGCTGGGGCCTAATGGTTTAAAAGAACGAGGGGAAAGATTAGAAAGAGCAAACAAGGAGAACGGGGTAAGGTTTCATTTCTTAAGTAATAAGAAAAGTTTTGGTTCACCAACTTTTACAGTCCCTTGAATGGCCGTCTGGAGTATAAACTCCAGTGTTACTAGAGGAGGAAATCTAAACTAAACTAACTTTATTTATACTGGATAGCTCTATCAGTTCTAAACTGTTCTTCCTAGAGATCCAATAAGGATCATCTCTTATGATCCAGTGTTACTACAGGAGGAAACCTAAACCTAACTAACTTTATACTTTAGCTAAACTGTTCTTCCTAGAAGAATCGCTATAGCCGAAAATGGATTATCTATCAGTTCTAAATTGTTTAAGAAAATCAGAATACCTTTAGAAAACCTTCAGCATTACAACTTCATAATCTTGAGATATAAGTGAAACTTGATCATTGTTTTCTCTTTAAAGATTGAGCCGCCATCAGAGTTGGTCAGTAGTCTTCCTATACCCTCCATCTCAAGTATCAACTTTCATGATGTGAAGACCGCAAGTAATCTCGGGAATATATCTGATGACGTCATCATCTCAAAATTTCCAGTCAACAATATACCATATTCATTCCAGTTGGATCATATTTCTTCTTTGTTTATTGAGGTGAGTTTTTGTGACATTTTATCAACCTAAGTATGGTAGAAAAGACTGATAACTTCCTGTGACTTAACTTTTGTCACACCCAACGACAAGAGCTCTGAGAAAAGGCAGCGTGTTAGTTAGCCTCGTCGATCACCCCACTTTTTCATTTGTTTGTTTCTAGATAACTGTCCTTCTTGATACTAGTGTTCTTCCTGATGATCTTAAAGACTACCTCAGTCTATATATTGCAGTAATACTGGAATCACCTGTCCTAAGAAATGGAGGTTAGTTGCTAACTAATAATCATTTTTATTATACATTATAGTAGTAAAAGCAATTTGATTGGCTAATAGTTGACAGATAAATCGCGCAATCACGCAAAATTCAGTTATTTGCTAGCAGATAACTGAGTTATCTGCAAGTGAGCTTTTGATATTAAATAAGGTTTTTCATTCGTTGATACTATGTTTAATATTCTTCAAATGTATAATAAAACAAATATTGAATTCGGTTTTTGTGATATGCAGCTGTGCCTTAAATAAGAAAGGATCCTAAAAAACGATTTGTTGCGGGGTTTTTAAAACTTCATATCACTTCCATGTTGTCATTGTTATGTAGTGGTGATATCACACGAGGATATTGTTGCCCAACTTACACAAGACACGCTAGATTATGGCACTTCTCTCGGACTCAATGGCAGAAGATTCTCACCTGGAAAGTTTCCACAACTTGCCGTTCTCAGATTTAAGGTATTAAACTCACATTCGTTATCTAATCTGCGTGTTTAGACTATCATCTGATGAAGGTGTGTTATTAGTGCAGACTCTACAAATCCTCCACCATCATCTTAAAATGTCGTATACTTGCATTATTTAGATTGAAACGGAAAAGTATAGTGTGGCTATTGAGCTACTTCGTGATTTATTGTACAATGTGCAGTTTACTGTTGAAAGAATTAAGGTCGTCGCTAAAAAGATGATTAAAGAAGTAACTCAGTAAGTGAACGAGCTCTTTTCTTTATCGCCTTGGTGTTAATACCACGGAAGAAATCCGTTGATTTTAAAGGGATGTGCTTGACAATTTCTCTAAATTCTTTTAGAATGAAACGGCAGGGTCGCACTATTGTGAATGCTTTGATTAAAGACAACACATTTTCCTCTGGTGAGTGTCTTTCAAATCTAACTTTGACAAGGAACTAGACCTGATGTGAGTTATTTTCAATTTCATTTGAAATACTCACGTGGGCGAGTTGATAACTCGCAATTTTGTTAACCGCAGTTGTAAAAGGAATAGGAAGAAAATAGCCTGCAAACTGTTTTCTGATTACAATATTTAACGTACTATGTTTAGAAAGTCCATACCGATCCTGCAACTTCATCCATCAACAACAATTTTTGAATAAAATATTGAAAGAAGTAAAAAACAATCCTGATAAGGTATGTCAAATGGTATTGTGTTTGGTATGGAATAGTTCATTGTTAGTGATGGTGCGGTGACTAAGCAGACAATTTGAAAAATTAGCTGGTCACGGTGGAAATTAAACCAACGAAGTTCATTTCTCAGCTTTTCCTGTTGCTAACTTAAAGTAGCGTCACCACAATATTTATTTGCCTGAGTACATACATTGTACAATATTTATTATGGTGTTATTGATATATTGGTTAATTTGATTCATTCTCGCGTGTATTTATTGACCACGTGTTGGTTGGTTTCATTCATTGTTCAACAGATGATCATCAACTGTGATCATCAACTGTGATCATCAACTGTGATCATCAACTGTGATCATCAACTGTGATCATCAACTGTGATCATCAACTGTGATCATCAACTGTGATCATCAACTGTGATCATCAATTGTGATCATTATTATTTATTCCTGTTATTATTTATTCCTGTATATCACCTGTCTATAGATCATCTCTGATTTGTCCAACCTGCGTGAAAAGCTGACCGATCACAAGAATTTACGTGTTCACGTGACCACGAATGTCAACAACCTTCCAGCGAATGCCCACAACATTTGGGAAAGTAATTTTATCCCAGGAATACCTGCGGCCGCTGCTAAACAGTAAGTATAGAAAAGTTATCATTCGTTGATTGACAAATGATTTGTTGAAAGATTATTTTCGTATTATACTCTTTCTCGTGAACGCCACGTTTATTTAAAACATCGACAGGAAAAGACAAGTCTAAAACTGACTATCGCTAAATAAACTTGTGATTACAAGCATCTTAATATTAACCCTAATACCAGCCTAATCTTTGACAAACATCTTCTGTTAAGAATGGTAGATCTACAGCACGTGAGTGTTTATCTACGACAAGATGATATCCAAAGTAAGATTATCGGAGTTGGTTCAGTGGAGTCTTCTTTCCTTATTCAATGCTGTCCTGGTATTCACAGTTTTACTCATCCTGATTTCGCTCCTATCATGGTTTTTATGGAGTGCTTGATTGCTTTGGAGGTAAATTTGAAAAAAATTGTGTATTTTAGAAACCTCTATTAGTTTTTTGGCAATAACACTGTCAATCATGTTGCATGTGTTTATAGGGTCCTATGTGGCGTCAAATTCGTGGCTTAGGTTTATCGTACCATTACAGGTAAGAAAATGGATTAATATCATTATCATTACAGGTAAGAAAATGGATTAATATCATTATCATTACAGGTAGGAAAATGGATACTAAGTTTCAAGAGTAAATTAAGGACGGTTTTGTATCTTTTTTAGCATGTTTTGTGACCCAGGACAAGGATTGATATACTTCATCTTATTTAAAGCAAGTCATCTTGCCAAAGCATACGAGAAAGCTGATGAAATAATGGTTAGAAATTAAATTAGAAGTAGACTAAATGATGGAGAACATTTTTGAAATCTTGTTTGTTCGCGATAACATGTGATTAAACTATAAGAAGATTGTAGCTAAGCCACAATTCTATCAACTCTTGTTTATTCAGAGTGATTACTTGTCTGGAAAGGTCCCATTTGAAGCGGTCCAGTTGGAGTCTGCGATCAGCAGTGTTATTTTTGAAATCATTGGCCAAGAAGAGTCAGTCGGTGACGCTGCGTTCGAGGTAATTGAAGTCTTCTTATCGTATCTTTTAGTTGCCTGTTCCATCTACTACTTGGAGAAAGCGAGTATAGGCTGTTCTTCCTGTAGTACAGTAGTAGCTAACACTGGATAAAAAATGCACTATTCTTGCTTGACCTGCTAAAAGAACAGTTTAGAACTGATAGGGTTATCCGGTATAAATAAAATTAGTTTAGTTTAGAACCTTAAGTTTCCTCTTGGATCAATGAGAGATGATCCTTACTGGAACTCCATGCATGCAGGAAGAACAGTTTAGAATTGTCACTAAACTGAACGCGGTTTTAATAAATTACGGATATAAATTGCCCTGTAATAAAACTTTTGTTTTTTTCTTAGAATCTGTTGTCAGGGTTAAGAAATGTTGGAAAAGACTTTAATAAGTACTGTTGCATGTTTATTTATATTACATTTAGCTCCCAGAGATTAATACTCTTCCAAGCCACAATTATAAACTAAGAATATTTTTGTTTTAGACTTTTGTTAGAAAAGATTTCTAAAGTTTCATTGGAAGATTTGAGACGTGTTGGAAAGAAATATTTCACTAAACTTTTCTCGGTGGCGCAATCCAACTGTGCTGTTTGTTGCCATCCTTCAAAAGTTGATGAAATTCAAACCTCCTTTCAAAAGTAAGGATTTGCAGAATTGTAGATAGCCTCAGATGAAATCATACAAGCGACGTGGATGATGATAACATTTTGACTATCATATCTTGTCTTTGACAGCCGTGATAAAAACAGTAATGAAAGGAACTTGAGTAGCCATAGTCTTTACAAACAACTGCTGTCCAGTTAGACCGATGTTTAAAAAAAAAACACATAAAAAAGAACAATTTTGCATTAACCCAAACAAAAACATGTCTGAGTATATGTGCTGTGCTTCAATCTAATTTCCTGGCCATGACTCGCGTCTTTTAAACTCTCTATGTTTAGATTTGGTCGGGAACTTATCGTCGTCTCGTCATTGGATGAGGAAATGAAATGATAACCGCATGAGAAAAGAGATGAACCACAGTGGTAGATAGAGACTGTTTACGATAATAAATAATATTTTTATCTTTATTTATTAAATTGAGTGCTAATGATATTAAAATTTTAACAAATTTAGTCCATTTTTAAATCCCAAGTCTTTATTGAGTTTGCATATGAGATGTAATATTATAATTTAACAAAATTTATCAATTGTGAGCCTCATATTTCATCTGCACGGAGCATATCATATTACAAGAGACGTCTGACGCATCAAAACGAAGAGTGTTTCTTGAGATTTTGACAAAAACTGTGTCCATTTCTATTTTCATGGCAACATGTATTGTGTGTTAAGTTCTGAGCAGATTGTAAACTGTCAAAATTGGATTAACATTACAATACAACTGAACTGACTGCATGTTGATCGTGAAACTCCGTTGCTAAGGGAATGATTTATGATTAATGGTGTAAAATATTACGAGACGATTTCAACGAGAATTTAAGACGTACGTATAATATATTTATTAAAATTCATTTCAAATGAAATATCTTGTGTATTAATGTTCTAATCCTCGCTAAGCGTTCTTCATGAAACATAATCATTGATTTATTTACATGGATGGCGGCGTTAGTAACTGTTAGTCTGTTACTACAGAAATACCAGAAGAAAACCTGCAGTTAGTTAATTAAAATATAGTGTAAGTACGAAATTAAGCCATAAAGTCATTCTTGACTCTTCAGCTATGTTAATCAATGTCTATGAACAGCGGAAAAATTTATATTCAATGGACAAGAGATGGAAAACTTGCTGGTTCTCGCGTTCCCAGCGTTACACAATATCAAGAAAAGCGGTTGATGCCCACAAAAATAAGCCTTTGTACAAGGTTAGTATAGATAATATCAGGAGTGCCATTAAGGGCATTAACTTCATCGGAAGCGAGATATTGTGTCAAACTAGAAACACCAGTTTTTAATATCCAACTAAGGCCCTATTTACACTCCTCAATTTACCTAAGTTTGGCAAGCCTTGACCCATTTATCCGTGCTAACTAGTGCAAATATGGGGCACGGATAAAATATGGAAGGGCACATATTTTAGTCAAACTATGCCCATAGACTAGTGTAGTGCTAACGAGATCTAAATTACTGTCATATCATTTCAGGAAATATGAAAGAGCTCGTGCTGATAAGATAAATGAAAGACGGGAAGAAGATGGTACAGTGATAGTAATATCATCACAAATGCTTACCTCAACTTGCACAATTGACTGATGATTGATTTATGATTTTTCAGAAGAGGATCAAAGCCGTTCTTTCATGAGGTTAAACCTGGATACACCATCTCCAACAGCCTATAATATACCAACTAACCCACCTAATATGACCAAGCCCCCAGCGTTTACAATGAGACCCAAGACATATCCCGAGAAAAGTAGGTTTTTAGAACGTTTTGTTATTAGCAGTTAGCTGTGATCTTTTCGTTTCTCGTGCATGTAGTTTAATGATGTAGTTTAATGGTCGTTCACAAAATACGCGACCCTCTTGGTTACTTTTTGACAACCTCATACCCCTTAGTGACGTTGTGTGACGATTACAATGTATCCCTTCAAATATTACGTGACGCTGAACCATATACCCCTCCCACCCCTGGTCACCTGGCATCTCGTGATGTAACCAAACACCTCCCCCTTCCCATCGCGCAGAGCGTCACGTATTTTAAGAACGATCCATTGGTAGTGAAGTGAAATATCCCTCCTCTGTTATTCCTAGCGGGTGGTGACCGAGTGTCCTGGGGCAAGGAATGGTTTAGTAACAGCAATCAATGGTCGCTGAGAACAGATTTTGATAGCAAGAATAAGTGGCCTTCACCATCTGATCATGTCCCAAGATCTACAATTGGCTGGCCCCAACTAACGTTTCATCAATCTCCGTCACACAGTATCGGCACAAGAAAGGAATTCATGCTCGTCTCTAAAGGTTTGTAGACATTTATTAAGCTGCAAATAAAAACAGAAAAGAACCCAGGTGTGATAGCATTACGACGCCAGCGATATGTTGGTGTGCAGGTTGAAATACTTTTATCAATAATCATCATCTCTTTTTAGATGCAAAATCTTTTCCTAGTCCATGTAGTTATGATCGTTCACAGAGTCAAAATAAAACTCTTGCTAACTCACCCAGTTTTACAATACAGCAAGGACGGAGACAAGGAACGCTTCCTTTTATTCCTAGAAATGGTAAGCTTTGTTTTTACTGTTTGTATAGTTTCTATAAACAGACGATTTGAACACAAATAATTATATATAGGTATAGGGTATTACAAGCTGCTGTACTTCAATTCAAACCCTCAGGCCAAATAATTCACCATTATCACTTCAGTCTAAGTTTTCTTTGTATTGTGTATTGCTAATTTTTGCTTTTAATAATAATCACCAATTTTTCAGGTTCATCACCAGGGCCTGGCTCCTATAACCCGAAAGTATTTAAAACCAGCTCGAAGGTTCGGCGGCCTGCGTTCACGATCGCTAAATCTCCAAGAGTAATCGGAATCACCCGGAATTGTACATTTTAAGATCCTGGAGGTACAGTTGCTCATCACCTTGCCCTGGATCGACAATTTTAATAGACTCACATTGACCATGCATGTGGCATGTCTTTTTAGAAACTGACCAAATCTATCATCTATGTAGTCGACATCCATGGGTGCAGACCATTGCAGTGGTCTTAAGACTGCCAGTCTATCAGGTCCAGTGGTCTAATACGAGTGCACATCTGCATGGCAGAGTATTTGACAGTGAAATTAACAGATTAAGAATGAATTAAGACTAATATTACAACTTTTAGCGCATTACTGTACATATATAGTCTTTTTATCAGTGTTTGACTTTCCTCAACCGCAGATATACAGCTTAAAAAGTATTAATTTGTCATACAAACGTCACGTTTTTTGATATTCCTCTTTTTTACTCCAGAAACGTGTCCCCCAGGCGCTAGCACAAAAGCAAACTCATAAAAAATTTGACAAGCGGCTAGTGCATGAGGGGAACTAAAATATTTCATAGCAGATTACACGGTCTACTAAGTTTGTTGAATTATCTGACATTACCACGATGTGCTTTAGTGACCATGCGTCAAAATTCAAGTTGCATTGTATATTGTGTTTGCCGCTTGTAATCAAAGCTCTTACTTTTGACGAAGACTGGACTTTATATCCTGTTCCGTCTTCAGTTGTTTGATGTCACAAGTCATGATCAGTTCAGTTTCATCATTTAGATGTTTTATACACAGAAAGACGATGTAGAATGTCCGTGACTTAACAAGGTTAGTATATCATTATACACATGAGTTTAAAGCTGTGAAAATCTTACTGGAAACGCGTGTTCTGTATCTGTATTCATGCAAGGTTATATTGGAGTTCAATCTCGCGCGTGCTTTGAAACAAGTATTTGTTTACATATGTAAACAGACTAGCATTTGTCAGAGTAAAAAAATATTTTGAATTTGATCATATAACGGCAAAATGATTATGACATGTAGTTTAGTTTTCCTATTCCAATAAATTTCATGTTTTGAAGACTAGTGCATGGCTGCCCAGCAACGCTCAGTAACGGCTCAACAATGTATGGTGTCTGATAGGGCACCACATCATAAATAGGGTTACTTCAAATTAAAGTGTTTATCCTTTTTCCTACCCTGTCATTATAACCGTAGAAATTTAACGAGAACTTCGTAATTTTCAGCAAGCGGGTTTTTATACAAGAATTATAATTAAACTGCACCAAATAGTTCCTATTTGCAATGATGGAGTTCAGAAAGCTGTTTTTTCTAGTTCGTCACCAAATTTAACGGGATATAAAAGCTGCTCAGCATTCACGTAAAAAATTGCGTCGAGGCTTTCACTCCTGCGGGCTGCGTCCCATCGCTGACAGGAACAATCATATCATATCTGACAGGAACAATACTCAATTATCGTGGTTGTATCGCTAAAATAATCTTTCAAACCTGTGCTAGTCCAATCCGTGCATGTATATATAGCAATAAGTTGTCTGAACTACCGGAACAAGATATTTCAAACATGTTGGCGAAGTGTTATGATATTAGTATAGTTTTTCTACGTATTTCCCCTCTCTAATTTCCCCTGGACGTCTGTGATTTGCCCTATATTGTGTGATCTTAATTATATGACCCCATCATCCCGTGGTCGTATATATAGAGCATTTACATGCATTAAAGCTAGACCCTTACACCATCATGAAGTTGGTTTCTAGTCCATCACTATTATGATTCGGAAACAAGCAGGGTACAAATAACTTTGTTTTGTTGCAAATATTTCGTCTTACAGTAAAAGTTCTTAGTGATTTGTCTCTAAAGATTCTTTGTGACAAAGGGTCTAATCCCCTCCATGCATGTCGGAAAGTATATTCAATATATACATCCAGATAACAGGATGGTTTGATCAACTACCCAAAATACACAAGAAAACGTTTCAGAATACACTTTATGAAACTATTTTATATTGTTTGATATTTAAAAAGATGTTCTGCATGGTTTTAACTTTATAGCACTAAGGATGTTGTTACGTATAAAGCTGGCTTACTTAGCTAGATCTTGCTACAGTAGCCACCGCCATTCAAGTCATAAGGAATATAAAACAAAAATATAAAGTTATATATAAGTCAATTGAAAGCAAGAGGTTTCATGTTTATATAAAGCTGATTCCCCGGCTATAGCTTATTTGCATCATAAGTGATATTAGTCAGTCATTTCTTTGTCATATCATGACAAAAGACCTTCAGTACTAAACATCATTGTTAGAGCTTTATATAGATGATGTTTATATACAAACAATTTCGATTCCTTTAGTGCGTTTTTTAAGACTTAACTTCAATTCTTTCTAAAGCAATTCAACAGAAGATTAATAATGAAACTACAAATTTCGGGATTGTTTCAAACTGTTAGTAATTTATGCAAGCGGGCCTTCGTCTGAAATTAAATTTAAAATTTGAAAAGTCTTTGTGTTTTGGAAATTGCCGTTTATAAGTGAGAGATGCTTTATTCTGTCAGGAAACGTGGACATTGGATCAAAAAAGTTCAGTTAAATATTGTTTTTGCTTTTACTTGGCAGTCTTAAAGAAATGTATATGCTTACGTAGAAGGTAAAGTTGATAAAATCCTCAGGCTCAACTGTTTCCTAATTCCGTTATGGTTTCAGTTAACGTATATTGTTTTATCTTCGATTTTGTAGAATGCGACTAGCACGCAGAATTGAATAATAAGCTAACCACTGACATAATCCATATTGCAGAACGTTCATGCTGTAATTGTTAATAATTCTGACTTGTTCTTGAAACCAGGTAAAACTAACTTTGTTAGGGCTTAATAAATTATTATATTAACAATTATGTCATTTATTTAAGTGCAACGAGACGCAGTATGAAGAAAATCGTTGTTTTATCTGTCGCCATCATCGCTGTCATTCTTGTATTTGCTTTTGCTTTCATCACGTACATATATCGACGACGGCGTTCTCGTCATGCGTTTGGGAATAAACCAGCTCCATTTAGCCCAAGTTACAATGTCGTAACTGCGTCTGGTATGGACACTACCGTTGATACCCTGGGAGCTAGTGTTGGGCCAGATGTGTCTCCTGTTACTCCAACAGAATTCTTTAGCGCAGGTACGTGTTTCATTCTGTTACGTGCATGCATGGCTATAATTTTTTACCACTGGATCTGCTTTACCTTTCACAAATTATCCTTTCTGGATTTCTAGGAAGAACAACTTAGAATTCTAATGTAAAATTTGTTGAAAAGCCCTTGATTATGCACTTTCTCTATTTACTAAATTATACGTAGACAGTTAGCTGAATAAACAAAGGCTAAAAAGAGAACAAACCTGAGCGGTTGGACACACGGAAAACATCGTCAAATTTTGAAGTCCAGTCCTGCGGCAGGAATCGTAGAGATGTCTCCGCGTTTCCGCAGTCATCCTCTCTAAGTTTCGTAGAAAGTGACTTGTTGGATTACGCCAGATTTTGCGTTCCAATAATTATTTGGATTATTTGATATCGGATTTAGCGATTCCATAGCTCAGCTGCCCAAAGAGCGAACGCGTAGAGGCCTGAGTTGAATGATCAGAAATGTATATTTGTTACATATTTTACGTTAGTTAAGTTAAATGCTTAATCAAAAAGAGATTATCCTCACTGGCGCTCTAGAAAGATCAGTTTTAAACCGATGCAACATAATTATAAAGAATTCAAAGAAGTCTCTTTTAGGTTAGCTAGTGGTAATACTTGACCAATAATTGATTACCGTCTATAAATCAGTTCAAAACTGTGCATGATGTTTCAGCAGGTTCCTTGTCTGCACTAGAACTGGAACCAAAAATTTTATATTTTAGATTACGTGTCCCAGACTTCACGTCACGCTCTCAAAAAAGAAATATCTCGTTCTTCCATGATGTCATTTGGTGAGATAGATTTAGGTGAAATAGATCCATCTATGTATGAGGTAACATGCCTTTGTTCTTCTTTGATCTTTTTCCTCTAAACTGTTTTGTTTAGATTAAATCATTATCAAAAGAGTGATAGGAATAAAGCTGAAGATTTAAGCGCGTCTCTTGGCTTTAGCACTTGGTGATCAACTCCAGATCAGTGGAAAAATATTTATCAAATCGAGTAAAATATTCATTGTATATAGGTTTTGACCTAATGTTGAGTAGATGTTATGTGCAGCTTAGCGGAATTTGCTCCCTTCCACAAGGCATAATTCGGCAATATGTGTGAAGTTGACCACCAAGTATTTCGCTATGTGTTAGTCTTGAGTAAAACCCACCTATACTCACCGTTTGCAAAAGTTTTTCTTATTGCATTGATAAAATTTTAAATCACATTCAGCTCCAAACATTATCAGTTTGAAAACATTATCTAAACTCCGAGGATTTTTTAAAAATATGATTTGAATTAAATTATCTAGATGGAGAACGAAGACGACAGCCCTTCTCAAACGCCAGAGCTTGGTGAAATTAAATTTTCCCTCCTTTATGATACATTTCGAAATATTCTCCGAGTCACGTTGATGGCTGCCTTCAATCTCGCCAAACCTGAAGGAGATGATTCAAAACACCTGAACCCATATGTAACTATAAATTTACAACCAGAATATCGTCATCTTCTACAATCAAAAGTACAGCAAAAAACCAGAGCACCGATTTTCAATGAAAAATTTGAGTTCGAAGTTCTGCTTTCAAATTTATATTCTCAGACACTTTGGTTTACTGTTTTTAATTTTTTAACTGGATCTCGCCACACTGTGATTGGTCAAGCGGTGTTGCCGTTGGAAGATTTACAACCGTCAGTAGAACAGATATTTAACTTGGACCTGAATCCTACGACTGAGGTAATATGATCTTTTAGCCCCGTTTACACTACACTCAATTTATTGGCACGGCACGGCTAAAATGGGTACCCGTGCCAAATTCATTTGTGCATCGGCCTTTGTTTTGGTTGCCTGAACACTAATGAAATGGGCACGGTACCAATTTTAGCCATGCCGTGCCAATATATTCAGTGTAGTGTAAACGGGGCTTTTAATATAACAGTAAATTAATACATATATATACAATTTATACATATATTAAACCACTCAAGTACAGACTCAAACCACAGAGTAAGCTAACCAATAAAAGCAATGATTGCTAGATATCTTACAATAAATTCAAATTTACAAATATTCTGAGTATTGTGTTAATTCTCTTAGCGAATGCAACTGGGTGATATTTTGTTTTCACTGGGATATCTTCGCATTGCTGGTCGTCTAACGTTGATTGTTATGAAAGCTCGCAATTTGCCTCAAGCTAGCGTCAAGGGAACAGGTATGTGAGTCAATTTTATGATTCATACTATCATAGATAGACAGCAAAACATGATTTATACTAAATATAAAAGTTCAAAATATTTTTTAGATGCTTATGTAAAAGTAACATTGATTCAAAATGGCCGGCGGACAAAAAAGAAAAAGACCTCAACAAAAAAGAATCAGGTTAATCCGGTTTTCAACGAGGCTGTATCATTTGACATCGCTAGCGAGGGCTTGGAAACTACTGGCATATTATTAACAGTGATTCATGAAAACAAAATAATTGGTTGCGTTCTTGTTGGAGGAAATACGGATGGTAAAGAGTTGGAGCACTGGAGACGAATGAAGATATCAGACAAGCCTGTGGCTGAGTGGCATGCTCTGCAAGACGGAAGAAAATTTTACTAAATAATAAATTTTGTATGATGTGAGCCAAGCTCATGAAATCAACCTTGCAAATACTTCATTATGAAATAGTCAAAACTGAGGCAACTCACAAAAATATATGCATGGGCGTACCCAAGGTCAGGGAAGAGAGGCCGAGGATAAAGTTTCTATACTAAAATTACGAAATTTCTGCTGAGGCCTTCTCGCCAATGAATATATGATCGATTTTAGAGACGATCAGGAATCACGATAGTATGCAAATGATTTATTGAGAGCTTTGTTTCTGGTAGAGATCACATCAGTGTATCGATATAGCTTTATCACATCGTCTGCGGGATAATTAGACCTCAAGACACGTGTTTATATTAACGAATAACTTGTCTGTTAGTAAAATATTCAGATAAACAACCGGTGCACAGGACTACAGTGCAAACTAGAATTTAAAAAAAGGACTAAATATTTGATAAAATTGACTATAAGAGCTTGCAAGAATTTATATATCCAATAGACCTTTCTTATAATGACGTCAAACGCGGAAAGTCTGATGTTACACGACATTTGATTGGCTCCACAAAACTATCGAGCCAATCAAATTTCGTGTAACATCATACCTTCCGCGTTTGACGTCATTATGAAAAAGGTCTATTGGCAGTAAGCAGTTTATTTTAAGTCAAAGGAAAAAACTTTGGTGGACCCTGAGGTTTTAATGGAGTGGGTTGCAAGTTTCTGCCTTGTTATTCCAGAATTTGTTGAAACCTCGACAACTTGCGATATGCTTTCTTTTGACACAGATGCATTGCGAGGTTTAAAACTTGAATAATAACTATTTCGCTGAGTCACACTTCCACGAACTGAGTTTGTATCATGTGAATGAAGGCTGACAGTTTCTGAGGCAGTGCGTGATTTCCAGACTCTTGAATCATTTGTCTCGCTTCTTGGTAAGGTTGTAGAAGTTGTGTAATCAGTTATTGCATCCTGATTTATCCCCTCGAAAACTTCCTCCGAAAACGTTTTATGCTGGACCTGTGTAAAAAATTTAGCTTGATTATATAACTCAGGTGCCTTATTTGTCTTTTGTAGCTATCTGAGTGCCAAGTAAGGCTTAATTTTTGCATCGTGCAATTGTCAACACTACAAGTTTTTCTGATCTCCTATTGCACTCAAATTTTGTGGTTACTTTGGCTAATTTTCTTACAGCTGTCACAGGAAAGTTTTACTGGACCTCTTCAATAAACGATTTAAAGATAACTATCCAGTAAACTGCATGCATTTGTATAAGTAAGATCAGTTAGGGACTCCTTCTGTAGTAACACTGGACCAATAACCCTGGTCCTTACAGTGCACTTGTGGGAAGAACGGTTTGAACTGATAGAGCTATCCAGTAAAAATAAGGGTTACAATAAAAACAAATACCTCACGAGTAATAAGAGTGCTGGAGCGACTGGCGAATGTTGAAGGCGGGTTTGATGGTTGTGCTTTTGATCCCAATTCAGAACTTTGCTCTGAATGATCGCCAGTCTTTGGGAAAGCGTAACTTCTTGACACTGCATACATGTTATATGAGGAAGGCCATTCTGCCTTGTTTTCGCCATTGCTTTGGCTAACTCGAGTATCCATATTACCCGATTTATTTTCGTACATGGAAACACCATTGTCTCGTTGAAAGCCCGTGTTATCGTGACTGCTTCTGGGGATTTCTGATCTGGAACTTTTCTTCTCGGATTTGGTTTTCGAAGCTTTGAAGATGAGACATAACATGATAATAGTTAAGATCAGAAGAAGGCCTGCTGCAGCTAACAAGATGGCGGCCAGGATCACTTCGTCATCCATCTGGGAGAAAGAAAAATTGGGAAATGATGCTGAGGGTGCAATTGCGTAAAATATTCAGCGTCATAGTAGATTTTATCATGTATTTACTTTGGTACTGCACCATATATAATTCACAATAAAGGTGGGTATATTGTAACCCGGAAGCTTCTTTCCATTCTTTCACTCTAATAAAACGTTGCCATATAAACTAACTATGATCCTATCTGGATCTAGTTATATCTCAATCTCATGCATATACGATAATTATAATACTCTCTTTTTCACCACATAAACTGAATCTTTCTAGACTAGAGGTACGTGTCATTGGATGACCGTGATTTAAAACAGGAAGGTCTTTTACGTCTTTACCTTAAAAAGTCTGGTTTCTATGACATTTAGAATTAAATTAAATGGAAGTCTAGGACTTTCACTGAAAGAACGAACCGTCACCCGCTGTATCGCTGAGAAAAGTCGAAAATTTCGATCCGTTTTATAGATGTGGTCTACAATAAATACCAGCAGACAATTACAGAAAATGCAAGCAAGAAGAAGAATAATAAAGTTAATAAAAAATAAATCCCAACCACAAGTTTACGGTGTCGGTGGTAAAAATTTCGATTCTATAAGTTAATGTCAAACCCAAATTCTAAATTTCATGTATTAAAATTTGTGATCAAATCTCAAAATGCTGGTAATAAAGGTTAGATTTCATTTAATTTGCTAAGAATGCATTCCTTGCATTTGTTTAATTTTAGTGGCAGGAATGCTAATTGGCCATTATTATATTATTGTATATTTCGCAGTGCACGAACTTTTTAATTGTTCCTCGTTAACCGATCTTATCTTAAAAACAAGTGAATGCAAATTTACTGATCTTATTATCTTTGCCTTTTTACTTTCCAATGAGGTATTTCAGATAAAAACTACAGAAACCAGGCCATCATTTCTGGCCATATATGTATGGCGCAGCTCAAAACAAGTACAGTCTACTGATAATTATACTTTTGTGAGTTTTGTCCCTTTGAGAAAGATCAATATACATTATACATGTTCCGCCGGCCGTGCTTGTAGTCTTACCTGCAGCTATGAAATTTGAGATGCTTGGAAAAGCACGGCCGTAATATAACAGTGTTTGGTGACTAAATCGTGGCTAAAAGTCAAAAGGCTTTGCGGAATCAGCTATATTCTTTGCAAGTAAGTGTTCACTTTCACATACACGGTGTTTAGACTATCTTGAGAACAACAATCTATCTTTGCATATCCCCTGAATGGTATGCACGAAGCTCTTTGCTATAATATGATATATTTTTATGAAGCACTTTGCCCGTAGAAATATCTCCACTTTGCTGGTAGAAATATCTCCACGTTATGCATGCATGTTTTCAATCCCCCTTACATCTAGAAAATTCGTCAAAATTTCACGGTAGCTTCATATAAATTTATATAAATATTCTTTATTTCTCTTTAGTTTCCTGGTTTGGGTTTTATATATTCATAGCTGTATAAAATTTACCCGGCGTAATTAAACTATAAATGACACAATACACGCTCTAAATAAATTATAAATCCAATATTGAACCAGAACTACATATTATCCTTACCACCAAGTGCGCTTGCCTTTTCAACTCGCAAAAATATAGCGAGCTACATTTATCGTGTTAACATGAATATCGGTAAAATTCTAGCTCTAAACTAAACTTAAACACCAATTGTTCTTACACTGGCTGTTGACAGTGGTCAAATTGTGCGTTAAACGGGCGATCTTTATATCACGTTCATTTAGTCATTTAGTATTGTACTGTACCATAGGCATAGAGTGCATATTTCTCATGCATCGAATTCGTGTTAAATTCATGCACGGACACATTTTAGAACATTTTCTTCTGAGCAGAACTTAGTTTAATTTGCGAAATTCAGTCTAGGCAGCCCTTATGTAACTGACAAACATCACAGTTGATTATAATGAATATTCTTGCCCCTATATACACAAATATATTGAAACATATAGCTATCTACTTATATTAAATATTTGATAGTGAATTGGAAGCCGAAACTGAACTATATTAATCCTGAATACATCATTATCTGTCGTACCTTGATCAGCTTAACGCAGTTTTCAATCAGAGAAAAATATTTCGAGAACTTTAGTCCTGAAAGAACTGGCTTAATTCAAACCTTTTTGTAGAAGAAACGATGTTAAAGTATTCTCTATTTGTTTCAAAGTGGTTCGTGTGTTATTCCCGTTAAGCATGATTGCTTTTGAAGGGCTTTTGGCACTTATACACAAAATATTTTAATCTTGGGTGGCCATTATGCTTCATTGTGGGGTGCAAGATGGTCCAGTATATATAATGATTATCATACATAGATCAGTTAGTTAAACTAGGCACTCTAAAACAATTCTCTAAAACTACGTTTTTTTATTATACATCTTCAGTTTAGTTAGTACGCTAGCATAGCTATATAGTTTAAATAGATATATATTTATACATCCAAGAGGTTTGTTTTAACCTACTGGCTGCTATATTCCTTAAATTTTTCAAAAATTTTTCAAAATTTTTTATCAATACAGTATTTGTTTATCGGTAAACGGCATTGAAAATATGGTGAAATTTTCCCGCCTTAGGAAGCTCACATTTAACATGATTGGTTGTATTGTAAATTTTTATCTTTTTCGTATTGGTCAAAAACGTGCGAAGTTTTAAAACTGAGCGAGCCAAAATCGGAAGTGATTAAAAACGAAAGTACTTCCGGTTAACTTGTGTTTTGAACTGCTAAACTAAATTATGTAGCTTGTAGAACGAAGACTTTTTGATCATTTGTTTCATCGAATGTGATAGAAACGGATGTATTTTGAAGGATACCCAGACGAACGATTTAGATCTACAGTTTCAGAAGATCTACATTGTCCTATTTGCCGAAATGTTTTGATGAACCCAAAGCAATGTCAAGAAAATGAACACCATTTTTGTGAAGAATGTATTACTGGGCATCTCGTAAGGTCTCGCTTATGTCCGTTGTGCCAGAAATATCTTTCTGTCAAATCTTTGAAAAAACCATCGCGATATATACAGAATAATTTGGATGCTTTGGAAATTTCGTGTGAAAATGAAGGTTGCCAAGCTGTGGTGCATTTAGGCGAGCTGAAAAATCATATAAAAAACTGTGATCATGCTTTGATCACGTGTACAAACCATGGTTGTAACTTGCAAGTGAAGAGAAAGGATAGGGAATGCCATGAACAACTGAAGTGTAATTTTCGGGCTGTTCAGTGTGCTGAATGTATACGACTGGCAGACCAGGTGTTCTGGTATCGATTTGCAATATTCAGCATGTTACTAGTGTTTATGGGATATTGTCTTGAATATGTTATGAGTGAAACCTAAATTTTACGCAATTTATGAATGTGATCTCTGGCAAAAGAGCCAACTATGAACAAGCAACATTCTCTATCTCTTAGTGGTATATGAAACCATTGCTTCTGAAACACTGAAGTGTACTGTAGTTTGATTGCTGTCTGAGGTGACCATACCTGCATTTCTTAACATTCCCAGTTTGTCTTCCTAATTCTGCAATTTTATTCAAAACTGGATTTATTTATATCAAGACAAGTAGATTTTTTAATGTGTTGCTGTTTTAACTATGCACAACATAGCTATATACCTTACTAATGATGTCATATTGGCTTATTTTCCTATTTATCATAAGGCTATGACTGGCTGTCTATTATCACCATGCACAGTCTATAGATGTTTATAAATTTTCCAATCACAGTTTTTATTAGATATATTTATCTAATTGCACGATACAGCTGTGTGGATATGCATGTATGATGTTTGTAGGTACCAACGTACAGACCTTTCTCTATGCCAAGGATGTATAGGTTGGGTGCATGTACATAGGTTCTAGATTCTCTTGAGGATAGCATCAGTTATATTAGTGTTATAAATAAAGCTTAAAATTACTGTTAAAAGAGTATTGACTCATTTGACTGCTCTTTCAGGCTGTGATTGTTTTGGTTTGAACTGGATAGCGCCGGATTCTCTGTCAGGCAGTAAGCCAAGTTGGCACAGTTTTTTTTGAGATAACGTTCCAGTGATAACCAGAGAGCAGCGTGGCAGCGTCTCCAAACAACTTCAATGTTGTATAAAAACTGCCTAAAATACACAAAAACGTCTCGTCATTTCGACCTGAGACCCTTGTCGTCATATGATCATATTATCGGATCATCATACTCTCGTGACGAAGGCCCTCAGGTCAAAACGTCGAGAAGCTGTTTTTGACTTTGTGTATTTAGGCAGTTGTTATACCGCACTTGATGCGAAGTTGTTTTTAAAAACATCAATCTCTTTTATTCCTTTGTCCTAATTTGTGTGAAGGAGTAGGTGCAATTTCTGATTTAACTTTAGGGAAGTAACTGCCGTTGTTGGATGATCCAGGACAACCCCAATACCAATAATAATTCATCTTTTTGTGCTTGCTTGCTTTTTTTTAATTTTCTTAGTAAATAATGCATATAACTCAGGTTTATGAATAATGAATAAATGTTGTGATGGTGCTCTGTGTTACCAATCTTTTTTGAGACGCTATTGAATACTCGAAATAACAGATTGAATGTCTCAAGACACGGAAGGAATGCCCCATCACTATACCGAATACTTTGATACGATACCAAATACTTTGATATCAATTTATAATGCTCTGATTCAGCCTTACTTCGATTACTGTTCTCCGCTTTGGAGAGTTTGTAACAAAACACTGAGAGATAATTTACAAAAGTTTCAAAATCGAGCCGCCAGAATGTAATAACTGGCGCTAGTTATGAAATCAGGTCTGCTGACGTTCTTCAGGCTCTTGAATGGAAAAACTTAGATTCAAGACGAGCTATGAGCAAGGCAACATTATTGTACAAAATTCTGAACGATTATAGTGCACCAAACCTGAAGGAGTTATTGATGACGAGGAACTCTCTTCAAACTAATTCGACCTCAGAAATTCCTACACTGATCTGGCCCTTCCTAAACCGAGACGCGAATTTCTTAAAAAAAGTTTTAAGTACAGTGGTGCTAAACTTTGGAATGATCTTCCGCGTGAAGCTAAGGAAGCGCAATCAATATACTCTTTCAAATATTTTGTAGCACGACTTAATAGGTAGATAAAATCATCTGTGGGTCTTATATACCACCGGGTCACTCCAACTTAATCTCTTCTCAACTAATTCGACCATGGTTGAATTCGTCATTTTCCGGCCAAATCGACCACGGTCGTATTCGTCATTTTCTGGCTAATTAGACCATGGTCGAATTCGTCATTTTCCTGGCAATTCCACCATGGTCGAATTCGTCATTTTCCGGCCAATTCGACCACGGTCAAATTCGTCATTTTCCAGTTAATTCGACCATGGTCGAATTCGTCATTTTCCGGCCACTGAGAGATATTCTCAAGTGAGCCAATATCTATCTATACGTCAGTGATAATCATAGGGTAGCTTGTGGCTTACTTCCCCTGCCCTGTGTTGGAGAGTATACGTCAATAACACTTATATAGCGATATATCTTTCTCTCGAAGTCATGGGCTAAGGATAGTACTTACACAAAAATCCGGAAACTGGGGATTTGTTGTCAAGTGTGAATAAGAAACAATAAATTTTTTGACGTAAGCACGAGTATTGGGAATTATATTAACTTCAACTATATTAAAGTTACACTTTTTTATACCAAATATTTTTAAATTTTGAGCCACAACTTGGACTATGTACTATATAGTCAGGCATTTTGAAATTGGTTTTTGTTCAGACAATTCTTCCGAATTTGGCACAAGTGTGAGCCGCGCCAATATAAATATAACTTTTAATTTCATGCAATCTCAATTTTGCACCCAATTAAAAATTAAATCGTTTATATTTAGCCAGATTGTCCGATTGCCGACATCTGCCACGTTGAAGTTTGACTGTCGTTGAAGTTTGAGAAAGAAATCCTGAGTTTTTTACTATTTGCACATATTTACAATATGACATGCATTCATTCTCAATATCTGGGTATTATCAAACTTTCCCAAAGACAACTAAAAAAAGGCAAAAGTGGATGAAACTAAATAAAAAACCAGCAATTTTTAAAATTCATCTGCAAAAATCTTCTCGCGCAAACTCCACAAAACGTTTTCAAGCAGATTTGATTTATGCAAGAAACCCGCAATACAAGATCAAACAACAGTATATAATATGTTACATGTCATATTGAGACAATTGAGTCATACTGTAATGTAGTTATTTTGTAGTTTGTAGTTACGTATTGATATATACATATGCTATATGCACCCTTCCTTTTTACATCTTTATCATGAAAATATAGGCCAACAGCCAACTAACCGTATAAGCCATAGAACCTAATAGTAATACTAATTTACAGTTGTAGTCAATGCAGTACATATTTTAAGAAATGTTGAATGAAACTTCAGTAGAATTTCTGTCGAAACATAAAACCGTGATAAAATCCTTGCCTCGATCTTGGCCTTGTGGTATTCTTGATTATGGAAGATCAGACATTAATTTATTTTCAAGCCTTCGTGCATGGAAGGGCTGCGATGATACATTTGCCGTTGACAGATTATCCCTAGTTTCCTGCTCAAATTTTGCTATGTGTCCTAGCCAGCATGCATGGTAAGCTTAAGCACTGCCAATCGCTTTGCCTGGGATTCCGCCTCTGTTTTTTAAGAACTTTGAACGATTTTAAACGTTTCAATTATGCGCATATGAGCTATTCATCTCTACAACGTCTGCTATATGTATATGACATGTATATATGACGCAGTCAATCTTAAATATACCAAGTTGCATGTTTCATCAGTTTCAAAAATGTTCTTTGAAATTACATATATCATTTTTCAAAATTGTTCCAGCACACCGGACTGTGTTATCTGTGAGATAAACCTAGATAAATTTGGCTTGAAATTAGAGAGTTAATCTTCGATATGCTTTACTTAAACTAGTTTCCTTCTTTCCATTTAGAGGAATGACAAACTGTTCTATCAGAGAGGGATCCTTGTTTCTGGGGACAGCAGGCGAAGCAGGCATGTTACGCTCAGCTACAATGGCGACGTTTAGAACAAACTCACAATCTGGTTTGTAATGATTAATTATACGCACTAAGTTTTTCCGATGCTCACTGCGTACGCCCAGAGTTTCGATTTGTTCCAGGGATGAGTACGTTGGTTTTTGGCCTATTTTTTCGTCAATAAATAACCTTGCGTCGTTTGCACTCGCGAAAACAAGCATGACACATCCTCGTCCTTTTGTGTAAAAACCAGCAGTAGCCAAGGATGATAACTGGGACTGAACATCTTCACACGACTTGCAAAGTTCACCTATGATCTTCATGTAACTTTTCATGCGACCATAATGACAGACCATTTTATGAAGAGGCCAGTGCGCCACCCTGCATTTTGTGGAACAATAATGTGTAAAACAAGCTGGGCAGGCTTTAAAGTTTATAGCAATCATCCCCAAGAGCTCCTCAGTACGGTTACACTCCGGATTTTCACAAGTAAATAATTTCTTCTCCATAAGTCTTGGTGGTTTAGGAGGGCCAGATTCATACGTGGGTGATCCAGGAACGGTTTCTAATTCCTGCGATAGCGGTGAAATCCCTCGAGATCCATCCAGTACCGAACTTTCTAATGAAAGCCGTCTAGCAACGCTGAGCGTCGAGTTTTCATAAGCTGCTAACTCATTAACGCCGATGCCTGACCACTGTGAATTGTCAAATCCGCCGCTTTTGCGAGATTTTTTCTTCGTCTTGTTCCCTAACACCAAATTCCTCTTCACTTTTCTTCGTCGGTTTTGAAAAGCGAAGTAGAAAGGCATTTTGCTTAAACTAGCCACGATGTCAACTCCCTTGAAGTAGTTTCACAATGCTGTATTTAGACATACGACGAAATTTTTGTGTACAATTTCCATCAAGCCAGAAATGCTAATGAGCGAGCTTTCCTCATTAGATTCGTACGTACGGCGCAATTAAATCTTTCCACTCTGATTGGCTGTCACAAGATGAAATGGCTGTCTAGGCCAATCAGATTGCAGCGTCAATACTCGTTAATCAAGGTTGCATGCACGCCAGACGATTGTGGTCTTGCAAACGCTCCGTTTTAAGATCAATGTTGCGCGACCTTTGGCTTTGTTGACATCTGTCTGACCGATACAATATATTCAAACCTAATTTTCCCGAATATTTTCCCACATTGTATTCGCATACTGAGGACCTATACTTCACTTTCACATTCTTTTTTCATAAAATCATCTAAGATATTCATGATCTATTTTTATTGCTATGCTGCGAGGGTTTTCGATAATGTCGCATTTATATATCGCTGAACAGTATTAAGACAACAGATGTTAATGTTACTGGCTTGCGGTCTGCCAGTGGTATTACGCCATATTTATATTTGAAGTGTGAAAGTTGATTAGAAACAACGAGTTTCGTATTCAAGTTGAAGAAAATACAAGTAACAAAGTTTAAGATGTTGAAACACAAGTACATTTTACTGACAAAGCTTTATTTTCAAACAAGAGAATCGCAGGATACAGATCATGTGGGCAAGTCAGGGCAACTGCCTCTCTGGGTAGGTAATTTTGTGGGTTGGGTAAAATGTTCTAGAAATATCGGTTTGATTATGAAATATCGGTTTGACCATTAGTATGTTCAAATATTTTCATCATAACTTAGTTTAATACAAAATTATCTGAAATTAAACGAATAACATTTGAATGAACGTGTATTTGAGAGTAACACGATTAGCGTCTAGCAACAACTAAGTTACAATCATGTAGCAAAAACAACTCCATAATTATGCCGTTACGGTCTGCTTTCTCAGATCATGCATAGCATTTCCCTCCTATTTTCCCACATTAAAAATGCACAGCTATTCCAGGCGTTGTTTTCCTTGTTCTCTTCCTTGGTTCGTTACATGATAGTTGTCTAAAATGTAGCTTAGCTTGTTTTGTGGTAGTATTTTATTATTTTTAACCATGAACTATTGGTTCCCATGCAGTGAGTTAGAAGAAGTACGTTCTTTGTTATGAATTATCGCTAAGCAATTAGACTTCACATCGTGTCCACGGCATGGTTCAATGTTGCCAACATTGCCCGAACTGAGAATCTTTGATATTGCCATTATTTGCGTATACTTGCTAGAACTGCGGCTTGCACACCATCACAAAACAAAAATACCCTGCATATTAAGTATATCACCTAGGCTCACTATATATAACCAGTGGACAGGTATTTCATTCTGTCGTATCCAATTTTTTTGCAAAATCTCTTTCAAATCATGCTGTGAAGGTAATTTTGAGGCTAAACAACACAAGAGGGGTGTGCCAATTTCATTAGATCTTTGAGTTGTTAATAATCTTAGGTACACAGCGTGGTGTTAATTAGATCAAAGTGATGACTGTGAGACGTTTTTATCATCATTTTAACTGGATACTTTAACACCAGACAAGTAAAATATATTTCAGTTAAAGCAATAAAAAAGAAAGGCATGTGCATAGCTGTATTTTTATACAAGAAAAGCTAAGGAAAGGAAGGTTGTTTAGTGTTTAGGTCGCCTCTGTATGGCGGGTTTCCACTCGGTATAGCGTTCTTTTTACAGCGCATATTCACACATGCACGTGGAAATTTCAGTAAAACCTTTTAAGTTGTTATATATTTGTATGTCAGAAAACACACACCAGATCATCAACAGAATCCAACCCTATGTTTGTATTCAAGCGTTGTTTTCATTGTAAGTATCATTTATGTTTTATAAATGAACTTTTACGTGCACGTAATTTATAAATGATACTCAGTATATAAAACCAACGGCAACGAATGTGTAGGCTCGCAAAATACACCACGCTGAAAGCATCACTAATAATGAACATTATCACTCATTACTCATTAGGGCAACACGAGATCATTCTTAGAGATTTGAAAGACCTTTTTGAGAACTGGTATAGATGTATTAATTTTTCATTCATTTTGCTCCTTGGTATATGAGACTGCGGCGACCGAACGATCTAATATCAAGTTTATGGGCGTTATATTTACTATCAGAATTGACAAAAAGATTGACAGATACAAATACTGAAATAGATTTGATTTAGTTAGTGCGTAATAAATTTACAAATTCGTCTTGCATTTTAGGATTGATATTATCCGTGTAAATACATACAGATGCAGTGTGATATATTAAAAAGCGTAAACTCTAAAATGTCTGAATATGCACAGATAGAAATGTCCTAATATGACGACAATTTGTCAATTAATAATTGTGAAACTTTGCGTATTTGTCGTCGACAAAGTTTCACAATTACTCACTGACCGGCACTGAATGTCTTTGCCATTTGAATGTCGCTAGTCATCTACTAAATGGGACTGGTAACGCTGTACAATTTAACCGTAGTTATTAAAGTTCTCCAAAACTGTCTTAACAGTACTCAGCATTAAGAGGGTAGCTTTGTTCAGGAGCTATCACACACTTGTACCCAAGCCCACTCCGCTGTCCGTAAACCGTCATGGGCTCAAATGAAATGTTATGTTCAACATACATACATAATTTCTTGTAGCATTCTGGGTAATCTTCTTTCAATTTAATGTTATACTGGCGAAGATTTTTCGACAGATTACGACAATAGTGACGCCTTGCTTCCATTTCGTTTACGAATTCATGTCTTGAACACTTCGGTAGGGCGAATAGCCGTGTCTCGACCTTTTCATAATCCTTGGGTTGTCTTGCGACAATGAGATCATTCAATGGCATTTTGATACAATGTAGAACAGTGTTTAGCTTGTATCGTGGAGCTGGGGCAACAGGAATGCTGTTGGTAGCCACGACAGCAATATTAAACACAAACTCTTCATTCGGCTCGTAATCTCGAACAGCTTGCATAAGAGCGACACGATGTTTTGAGATTATCCCTTCTCGGTTTAACTCTGCGAGCGAACTATATGTTGGTTTACGACCCGAAAACGCATCATGGCCTTTAGTTATAAATTCTCTTGCTAACTCCGGACTGTTAAATATCGCCATAACAACACCTCGACCTTTTTTCTTGTAGCCATCTCGCGCAAGCTGGGATAAATACATGCTCAAATCTTCACGTCGTTGGCATAAACGAATAATACTTCGTACATAGGTATTAACACGTCCAAAATAGCAGCTCTGTTTATGAGATGGCCAATGAAGTTTTCTGCATTCGCTGGAGCAATAATACGTAAAACAGGCAGGACATGATTTGAAACTGGTTTTCTCTGGTCCTAGAAGAATATCCTGTTTTCGACACATGGGATTTTCACACGTGTACACTTCGGGTTCGAATTTTCCCGCCGGAGGTGGCATGGGATCAAAATCACAGTTGAAGGAAAACACAGACGATGTATCACTATAAACACTGCTTGGTGAATGGCAGCGTTCAAAGGGTTGTAAAATATCTCGGCCTTCCAGATCTTCAAATGGATTGAATTCAATTGTTTTTGGAGATGTTTGGTCATCAAGGTTGCCTTCTTGTAGAAAGCTTGTCGGACTAAGATTTCGCTCTAAATTATTCGTGTAATGTTGGTGATGCGGGACAACTCTCGTGTCGTAAGCTACGTTGAAGTTTCTAAAACCTTGTTGCCTTTGGTCAAATATGGTACCTTTCGCTTGGTAAACATTTGATGAAGTCTGATTTGTTTGACTCGTTTTTCTTTCATCGCTTTTCTTCCCAAATCCTGACAACAAATTTTCATCTTTTCCATCCTTGCTGACATCACTTGAATAAGTTGCTTCATCAACTCCAAACAACTCGCTCATACTTCGTCTTTCCTCCTTCATCGCTCCTATTCGTGGGCTATCGGGTTCCGAAGATGATGCTGAGTCGACACGTTGTACTTGTGGACGATGGAATCTTTTCGCTTTGACACGAGGCGAAGGAACATTGTAAGACATTTCAGAGTCAGCGTCACTGCTACATTCATAGTCACTAATAATGCCACCTTTAACAGTAACCAGTCTACCACCACCATGCTGTGACGTTGCTTTGGTATACGACCCACGATGGTTCAATTTTTTGTTTTTCGGGCCATCAGTTCGTTGGTTGGTATCAGTTTTGCAGCCAGCCAACGTCGAACCGTCAATGCCGGGAACCGCTGCAGATTTACGTTCCAAATCGTTCTCCTCCGATATACGGAACTTTTCTGAAAGTTTCAGTCCATGCCGAGGACTGTCCATGGGACTTGATGATTGCGGACTACCAGTATAACGAACTTGGGTGCTTCGAGATGATTTCGTGTTTTCTGTATATTTGGCTACATGTTTTGATGAACGCTCGCCGTACCGTGCTTGGTTTGAAATATTTCCTGTGTTAGTTTGTTTAACAGGAGATTGTGCCGCAATCATTCCTGATTTTACCACGTATTTTGCATGTTCTGGGACAGGTTTTGGTGCTTTGCTATAGGAATTTGTATTTCCTGGAATATATCTATATGCAATAGAATCTGTTGATGGTTGGGTTGTACTACGAGACGATATTGGTAATCGCATGTCCTCAAAACTTTTACATTCAACCGTTGATCTAGGTCCACTACCTGAGTCAGTTGTTCTCGAGATTTTCTTGGGTCTTTCACTCTCAGTAATGGATGAACTACCCTGGGTAGTGGTTTTATGTCTTATTTTTGTCTCGAGGCTCGTGTTTGTACTTGACTGATATGAGCGTGCTGTTTCATTAGTTGTTTTAGTTGCCGACTCTGTGACAACCAGCCGTGCAGAAATGATTTCTTTACTTGCTTTTTCCATGTCTAAAGGTTTGTCCGTACTGATGTTACAATAAGAGGCCGCGTTAGATGTTTCATAATTCCTTATTGTGGGGGAAGCGGTTTGTTTCGTTGGGACACGTTGATCATTGGTTTCAAACTTCGAACTATCAGTAGTTGTATTTGTCCTAAACGTTGTATTGTTTGTCTCAGCCAATAAAGATCGACGATTATCACTTGTGTCAGAGGCTCGAACATCTGTTTCCGAAGACGATTTTCCCTCATGAAAATCACGAACAATTGAATAATTCGGGAATTTTGGAATATCAATTATTTTCTCATTATTTAGAGCTTGATTGTGTCCGTCCGTGGATGACTCATTCGCTCCTAACACTGGTGGTGGTGACGAGCTTTGAAATAAATCTCCAAATTCAAATTCTAACTGCTTGAGGCTCGTCTTTTCCGCAATCCATCGTTCTTGTGCTATTTCATTGCTAACACCAGGAGGTGGACTTGATACAGGACTTCTCATCTCGTCAGATAAGTTTTTACTTCTTCGTTTCATTTTTCCTGTAATTGGCAACTCTCCTTCATAAATAAAAGAATCTTCCTCGACACTCTCGCCCTCGTCCTGCATTTCTAGGAATTTCACATGAACAATCTTTATCTTGGTAACTTTCTTGGAACCTGATTGAGGAGAACCTATTTCTGGAGTTGAGAGAGATAGGGTTTTCTTCTGAAACTTTTCTCCTAAACCTTCTTTTTTAAGGCTTTCCTCTCGACAGCTATCTATGATATCAGGGACAGACTTGGATAGACCGCCATTTATGTTGTCGTTTTCATTGGGAAGATAATCCAAACCTTTAAAAGAAGCTAATGCCTCATCAAGGTCTGTTACAGACTTCGATTTTTGGCATTTTTCTTCGGGAAGGACATCAATATCAATTTCATCAATGTCACTGAAATAGTCAACATCAGTCTCGCTGCGAGGAACAAATGTTCTTAATTCAGATGAAGCTTTATTTGGTTCATTGCTAGATAATAAAAGTAACTCTACTTCCTGGACATCAGAGGATACTTTATCTAGAGCAGAATCAGGAATTCCGTGTTTATTATCAAAATTAACTACATCATCTTGTTGTTCACGAGGACTGAAGGTTTCCACTGGACTGGACGGTGAAGATGGACTATCTAAACTCGTCTCCAGAAAATTTCTTTCTTCGTTATTGAGATGTGGTGAGACAGAGGAATCCATATTTGTGTTTTGGTTATGTTCCGTTTCCTTACTGGGAGAAATATTCTCTACAATTTCTTGAGTTTCATTCAAATGATTTGAGTAAGTCACCGTAGTTCTGGCTTCATTTTTGCCGACTTTTGTTAATTCGCTGTCCGTAGATTGATCTTCTGCTTCACATTGCAACTCCTCGTTCTTTTCAGATTCACATACTTGACTGGCATAAACCACTGTGGTAACACGACTTCCTCGACTGTCTTTTCTTGACGTATTCCTAGGACCGTCGCTCGCCTGATTGGAATAGTTTTCAGCGATCAATGTGTCTGCAAACTCCTCAGTCTCGCATATTTGATTTGCATAAATAACGTTCTCATCAGTTTTGCTTACTTCAGTCAATTCTTTAGGCATGATTACATCATCATCTACAGTTATTGCACAGATTAGTTCTGCAGTATCGTCTAATTTCTTCTCTTCGTCTAAACTGTGACTTGGACTTGGTTCAAGCTCGGTGATATGATTATCATAATTTTCTTCAATTGATTCTAGGAAATGATTCGTTTCGACGCTGTTCTCGGAATAATTTACCTGATCTTTCGAACTGGAGAAATTGTTTGAATGTGGATCAATTTCACTAATTTTATTAATTTCTTTTACACATTCTATTGAACTAGCGTTTGTTGGCAAATCCTGGATTGATTCAACGTCAGGGTTATAAAATGTTGCAACTTGTTGATCTTTATCAACGATCGACAGATGAGCCTCACTGGAGAACGGGCGATCATCGTTAATACCGTTAATATCGGATGCAATAATTTCTTTATTTTCTGCAGCAGAGGTTATTAATGTTTGTTCAGAGGTGTGCTCGTCATTTGCCTCAAAACTTTGAACAAAGTCTTTGTCAAGCTTGCGTCCTAGAGAACTTTCTCCCAACTGATTTTCAACTTCACCATCATTAGTTTGTTTCCATATTGTTGCTTCATCATGTATGTCACAGTTCAAATCACTATGGTTATTTTCTGTTTGTAAATTATGACCAAGATTCTCATCCACTTCAGATTTCTTTACCACTGAAATTACTGTCGTAGATGTCACTTCTGTGTGTGACATTTTTGTCGACGTTGAAGTGATTATGGTTTCAGGTTCGATTACGTCCGTATTTACAAAAATATTTTGAGTGGTTGTTGCATCAATTTTCGTAGAAACTGTAAATTTTGGTTCTGAAGAGGTTTGTATATCAGCTGGAGAGATGGTCTCGCAATTTTCCATGTCTGAACTTGCCAAATGAATATCCGAGCCAGGCTCTTCAAACGTGATAACTTTTGCAAGCAACACATTTTCTTCCTGCAAACTGGCTTTTGCAGGAATTTCTTCTGTCAAATCACTGTTGGTAAAAGTTGGTTTATTTTGTTCTGTAAAGTCAGTCTGAGACAACACTTGTTTGAATACTCCCTGGAAGTTACTCATGACAGTTTCTTCACATGAGTCAACTACACTCTGACACGACGAACTTGATACGTCAACGTCTTCTGCACCATGTATTTGCATTGTAACTATTTTAGCAACGTCCTCTGCATCAGGTATTTGCATTGTAACTATTTTAGCAACCAAGACATCCTCTTCAAGAAGATCTGCTCTTGCAAACACATCAGCGTTCTCAGATTGATCATCATCTTCGCGAGATGCAGAACAATCCTCGTCAACTTCATTCATTTCATAAGCTTCAAGGATTACAATCTCACCTACGTAAAAGATATTAAAGTTGTTTGCTAACAATACAAGAAAATCACACTAAAAGTCTGTCCACAAAATCTAGTTTTATTGGATTTAAATCACTTCTGATAGATGCTCTATAGTCTGTTGCAATCTGCATGGGAATCAATCAACAAAAGCCACTGCAGTACTGCTTATTAATGATAGACTGCATTGCATACATGTCACTGTCAGAAGTGAATTAGATCTGAAATAATTGTATTGTGTGAACAGACCTAACATCAGTGGGAAAACTCTCCTCTCCAGACACAAAAGCATATTCTTTCAAACATTGTTAATCTCTTGTCATTTAACTTTTAATCATGCAATTAAATGATAATTACCTGGAAAATAACTGATTTTTATTAGTCAAATATGTTTGGTTCAAAATTTAGTTGGCTCAACTGCATTGTATGTCAGAATTTATTGTATAAAATGCACACTAAATCAATATATCAATGGGATGTTTATAGATTGTATTTGAGAGAAATATAACAGTGCAGTGAAGAACAATAAGGGGGCTGTTTTCTACTGGGGGATCAAGTTTCAAAGCAGAGCTAATAATCTTGCTTAGCACAGCAAATTCCATCTTGTGGAAAACAGCCTCAAATGCTCATTTTTTGGGTGCAATAATTAAGGTGCATTTAGTACAGTTTATAAAGTGATTTGCAATGTAATGTAAGTTATGCTAGATTTCATTGCGTAGATGGCAGTGGTCAACATAATATCTTGGAATGTGTTAATAATGAAGCATTTCAGCCAAGTTTGAGAGAACAAGTATTTTTAGTGAATGTAAACATAGTTCCTACTTGGTCATAAGATGTCAAACACTTGGAAATCAGACCTAATTTCTTACACTGACCACGACCAGCAAGCACCAGCAAAGTGTGCAATATTACAGTTTTTCTAAATACTCTCAATCATTCTCACCAGAGATTTCACTTTCCAATGACTCTGGTCTGTTATTTTCATTTTGCATCCCAGCAAACATAGCAGCTTCTTCAAAACCAGCTTTAGGAATAGCTTTTCTTGAATCATCAAAACTAGTCTCCATTATGGCTTCTTCTTGTTCATGTTCAATATTTTGATTGTCTTTTACAAATATTGTTTTTCTTGATCCAATTCTGTTATCCACCATAGGTAAACTAGCCTCACTGAAGTTATCATTTTGGTTTGGGGATGGTGCATTTGCAGCAGAGTTTTTCTGTGAGTATTTTAAATCTACTGTTACATCTTCTGCATGTAATACATTGTCTGATGACTGGTTAAAAACTTGTTCCAACTTGTTGTTTTCAAGCTTTGACGAGTTATCAATCCTAACATTGTTTAGCGTTTTATCATTCTCAAGCCCAGTTCTCTTTTTGTCATCACAATTACCAATTTTGGTGCTTTCTAACTTAGAATGCGTACTACCATGCACACTTTCATATGATGGAAAAGATCTCGACCTGTCTGTAAGGTCATTTTTAACACTATAAATCCCATAATTCTCATTTTCATCCAAATTGTCATTGTTTTTCTCTTTATAGACAAATCCATTATATTCTGCTACGTCCCCTAAGCACTTTCCATCACTTGCTCCAGTAACTTTAAACAAATTATCACCAGAATTATCAACTAAAATATCCCTTCCTTCATTGATGCTATCTCTTATTCCTCCCAAATCTTCCTTAACATTTTTATCTGAATTAAACTGAGATTCAGTGGTGACTTGTATATCAGGATGTGACATTGAGGAATCATTTTCCAAGCTCTTTTGTTCACCATTAATGAGACCATCATTGACAGCTGTCTCTTGGATACCTTCTGCCTCCACAAAGGAAAAGCTTGTTTCAACATTTAAAGAGTCAGACTCCCCCAAACATTCCTTACTGCTTTTTAGTTTTGTCACCTCGCGTCTAGTTACAGTATATTTATGTTCTGGGGTCTTTTGTACCTCAGTCATTTTGTAAACAGAAGTACTTAAGTTATTTAAGGAATTTGTACTCCTTGTGGGACCAGACGACTTTATTATTACACTACCTCCCGATGTCGATCGTAATTCATCACTGCTACTTGAATGTTCATCCACAGTCATTTCGTTTTCTAATCCTATGTCTTTGTCTTTTTTGATGAACTCAGTATCATTGTCCTTTTGCAAGATGATTGGGATTTTATTTGCGTCTTTTATTGACTCAGCAGGGATTATAAACGTTTCCTGTGTTACTGTTTCAAAAGTTGAAGCAATAAAATCATCCATTCCCCTCTCCAAATGTAATCCATTGGCTTCGAATTTGTCTGCAATTTGATCAGAGTTTACCTGGTTTGATACTTTGGCAGTATTTATTTGGGTTTTCTTATTTTTTGTTTCTTGTGAAAGTTGGTTTACTTCTGGTTTTCCTTCGTTTAGATAAACACGTCCGTCTTTTAAAGGAGTTTTCTCTTCGTTTTCATTTCCCAACAGTTCTTCCTCTCCTTCTTCAACAATCCGTGGTAAACTCCCTGGGTATACAAATTCTAAATCTTCTAAACTTGTGCTAGGAATTGGAATACTTTCCACCTCAGATAATTCTAAAATCCTTTCAGTATTTGCTCTTTTGTGCAGCGAATCCTCCAGCATAGTTACATCATAATGAATACGAACTTCTCCGTCAATAATTTCATAACTTCTTTGCCTTTTAAACGGTGTCCTTCCCGAATCTTTTTTTGATATTTCATTAACCAATTTTCTTGCAATTTGTTCGTCGTTTGTAGTGAATTGGACCTCAGATTTCTGTTCGGAATCGTCATCTCTTTGCCTGTTTAACTTTGAGTATATAAACCCAGCAAATATAGCCAAAAAGGACCATAAAAATATCCAAAAGGGCAACGATAAATCGTCGTTCTCTTTTTGAGAGGAATTAAACTCCGATTCTCCGTGTTCAGAACTCATATTCCTCGTTTTGTTTACATGTACTCTCGCAAGACGGCCATAATTGCGGTTTCCCCCGATGAATACTGGCAAATTGCGGTCAAAAGTCTGCTGTAAAGTCCTAAAACTTTGACAGAACGCCTTTTTCCTTAAAACTACACAGTTTCCATCTCTTGTCAGATATCTACGCGAGGAATGAAAGGAATTAGCGTATCGCACAATACGACTGTAGCTTGATACGTTTCGGAGTTTAGCTAAAATCGGCATGTCTACACTTCTCATATCATACTGTGTTTACCATGGTTTCTGCCAATCAAAATTGGCCTCATCATTCTTCAAATTAATATTTTATGAGGTTTTGATCTCAAGATAGTTTTTGAAAAAAATAGCAATCAAATAGCTAAAAAATATTTTTTTTTCTTTATTTTGTCAAAATGTGAAGGTCAATCAATGTTTTGGAAATCTTACCAGATTTATTCTATTATGTAAGACAATATTTTCTTTGGGGTATTAGGTTTCATATTTTGAAGCAGTGCGGTACTGTATTATATTACCTATTATATTGTTGCCCAATGTAATATAACTTATATTTGATGTACATCATCACCATATAGCATGTACTTATAAACATGCTATACAGCAGAGCCACGGTTAATAGAGCCAAATCACATGGCCTCACCTGTGGAGTGATCTGTAAAGGCCTGTTTAAACTACACTACATGAGTACACGATTTAAGTTGCATGCAATTATCGTTCTGACGAATGCAAAAGAGGGCCTTTGCCACAATCTTCACTCAAGTTTGCTCAGGAAGGGTTTGGAGTGTCACGTTTGTACGTGTGTTCATATGTTCACATACGCCAGGGCACAAATAGTATACGAGAAATCGCAGTGTAAATGGGCCTTAACAAAGTTTCAAAAATAAATACTATTCGTTTGATTTATGTACTCTTCATGCAAAAATTTAACTTTTTTTACCAAGAATGCCAATAAGGTAGATGTTTTAAGGAGCTATGTACAGAAGTTTCTCATAAGGCTAACTTGAAAAAACAAAATGTTGATGTAGTCGAAGCTAGAAATTAGGTAGAATTAGTATATTTTTTCCAAATTCCCTTAGTATTATTACAAAAACATCACCATTATTATATATAGTACATCATATCTAATCCCAATGGATTATGGATGTTCTGTATAATATATTAGAAATAATGTCATCTTTTTATATATCCAAATTCCATTCTCCAAACTTCAAAGATGCATCTTTTCGTTTCTGGCAGCTCGGCTGGGTAAAACCATAGAAACTAGGACTGAGATTTTTCCACCATAACATCATATATGCCTTCCTGGGTTTAGCTTGATGTATCTTGATAACAATATCACACAAATTACAGTGGCCATTACAAATGTGAAGGCGTATATATAAAATGTCGCTTCATCTTGAAAAGGATGAGGTAGCATTGGTTACAGTATATTGCAATACCAATAATGTTTGTTTGCTTTTAAACGCTTAGAAATACAAAACAGAGAGAATATCTACCAAAGGTATATGATATTCTGTCAAAATGAGAGTTCTGTCAAGAAATATTCACATGTAAACAATATTCATATGTAACAATACAATACACGCGGTGTTGCAATTAAAAAGCAGGTGGTGCATAAATTATAATTATTTAAGAGCGGAAAATGTAAATTTCAACTAGAAAATGATTTTTGAAACTTTCTTTGTAGAAGTGGAAACATAGATGACGTAACAACTTCCACAAACACATTCAATATGGCTGGTTTTTATTACCATTTTAGAAGAGTTTTTCTCTTATTTTTTCTGCTTTTTGAAAGTTCATTTTCCCGTATACACAATATTCAATTAGAGGTTTGTATCCAGATGCTTTATATAACATATTTATGTACGTAGGTCACTGTGAGATATAAATAAAAATAATTTGATTGTTTATGTAAGCCGGTGTTAATGCATTTTAATATTATAAGAAAATTATATTGCCTTTATACATACAGCCCCAGTCGTACAGTTCTCTAAGGTGTTTAACGTTTAAAATATAATACTTAAAGTTTTTAGGTGGGTTGCTGAACAGGTTGCTATTATTTCTGTCCATTCACATTCCACTCACATATGAGTCAAATTTTATGCTATCAGCTATCTTAATAATCCATCATTTCACTTTAATTGTACTGTCTACTGGTGATTCATTGTAAAGTGCTTAACAACCAGACCGACCCATCCAAAACCTTGTACCCAGGTTGCCCCACCCCCTCCTACATACTGCACCCCACCCCCTCCTACATACTGCACCCCACCCCCTCCTACATACTGCACCCCACCCCCTCCTACATACTGCACTCCACCCCCTCCTACATACTGCACTCCACCCCCTCCTACATACTGCACTCCACCCCCTCCTACATACTGCACCCCACCCCCTCCTACATACTGCACTCCACCCCCTCCTACATACTGCACCCCACCCCCTCCTACATACTGCATTCCCCCCCTCCTACATACTGCACTCCATCCCCGCACTGTAAAATTTTGCATATAACGAATTTTACTTTATTGAAAAAATAAAATTTTTGTGTGGTATATGAAATCCTAGATGATTTTATAAATTAATAATTTGTTCATCTTGATTTGTGTTGTAGAATGATCAGCGAGGACACGTGAAGATTTCAACATTTGGAATTTTAAAAAAAGGACAAATATATATTAATATTAAGAATTTAACTTTTAAGAAAAGTGAAGATAAACAAATGCGGGTAAGTATTTGATTTTTTATAAACGATATGTTATCAGTGACAAATACAGAATATGTTCTATTTATATAGCTTGGCTTGAGTATTCAGAAGACTACAAGCAGTGGTATGGCAACGTATATGGTAAATTTATCCTTTTTTTTAAATTAATACTATTAGATTGTCATTTATAAGAGATGATAGTCATACGCACACATTAGGAAGGAGAGTGTGATTCCTTCATAACTGTAAAAAATGGTTCAAAAATTTGTTGGTCCTTTATTAGTGTCTACTGTCTTACCTAAATAGTATATAAGAAGATGGTTTTGAGATCAACAGGGCAATACACTTAAAACTATCAGAATCAGATCTCTCCACAGCAGGCATGTACCAAGGATTGTATGTGTACCAAGAATATACTCATAGAGTTCCCCAGAAGCTCAAGAAATTGTTTAATTATAGCATAAAGACTAAAAACAAACTGTTTGCACATTGCAGGCACTTGTAAATCTTCTCTTCCAAGGACAAATTGGAATGTCTGCACTGAATATTGTGCTAAAATTGTAATTGACTATGTGTTTTTTACAGTTTCATATTATCAACTTTTAGGAAGGTCACACAGACAAGTGTTTGTTGGAGCCATCAAATATTGATAAAAATATTGCCATTGATCTCTTTATATTTAACTGGACTCATCGTAATGACATGCTGGGCAGCATTGAAGTAGTAAAATGTGGCAACATATTTCCAGTCATCAAAGCATCGAATGTGAAACAAATCAAGAATCCAATCTCTCTGGGATATTGTACCAAAAGTGAAACAATACCATTGTTTGTGTATGAACCTAAATCCAGTGGCAAGATCAGTATCAATGGCAGCGTAAGTGAAGTGATTAATTTATATTAGTATTCATGCTTTGACTATAGTTATGAAGATTGAGTGTGTATGATTGCTTTAAACAATGTGAACACATTCGTATTTTGACAGTTTATTCTGGAGGTACAAAACAGCACAGAAAAAGGTTTATACAATACGTTTTTTCATAACTGTCATGGTGGGATTGGAAACTCAGTGGACATGACGGTATGTTTAACAATGTTTAGATTAATCATGAGACCATTGATTGATGAACTTAACCAATACGGAAGTACTGTATTAAAAATTTCTGTAGATCACAGTTGTAGAGGAAAATGATGGTAACTATTTGTCTGCTGGAGATGTAAGTTTTGAAGTCTATCTACATTATTATATTAATAAGCTAAAATATCAAGATTATCTCTCTGTGTTTTTCCAGGCACCACTACCAATGGTCTTTGGATTTTTTGCTGTGGTCTTCTCCATTTTATCATGCATTTGGTTTTATATTCTTAGGCAATATTGGTAAGAGATTTATGATGTCCTGGTTTATTAAGTGGTCATTGTAATTTAGGAAATTAAACATTGATATTTTTATTTCAGGTCTGAAACATTTAAAGTTCATTATTTAATGTTTCTCTTGGTGTTATTGAAGTCCTTGGATGTTCTCTTAAATGCTGTAAGATTCAACAATAACTATATACTACACAAATTTCTGTAGCACTCAGCTATAGTTTTTGACTGGATATTAAACAGTGTTTTAAGTAAATTTGTTCTTTTCTGATAAGGTCAATTATTACTACATTGGACGTGATGGAACAAAGGCGGAATCCTGGGCGGTTCTTCATTATATTGCTCACTTGTAAGTAATAACAGTCAAATTAAGTAAAAAAATGTTTTATTAATAAATATTTTTTATTTCTAGATTCAAAGGTGGTTTACTCTTTACAACAATCATTCTCTTGGGAACTGGATATTTCTTCATCAAACATGTTTTATCTGGACGAGATAAGAAAATATTTCTTATTGTCATTCCATTACAGGTGCCTATGGTGTTTTTATAATCTATTGATGTTATTCTGCATAATATATAAATCAGAGATTGTTGTAAAATTATTTGCATTCTAGATTTTTGACAACATTGCATTGATTATAATGGAATCAACAGAAGAAGCACAAGCTGATTATATTACTTGGATATCCTTTTTTTGTGATGAATATGATGCAGTAAATGTGATGATGATTATGATAAATGTGATGATGATTATGATAAATGTGATGATGATTATGATAACTGTGATGATGATTATGATAAATGTGATGATGATTATGATAACTGTGATGATGATTATGATAAATGTGATGATGATTATGATAACTGTGATTATGATTATGATAACTGTGATGATGATTATGATAAATGTGATGATGATTATGATAACTGTGATGATGATTATGATAAATGTGATGATGATTATGATAAATATGACGATGATTATAATAAATGTGGTGGTAATTATCCCTTAACTTTGTTCACAAACAAATATTCCTTCTGGTTGATCTGTTATGCTGTGGAGCTGTGTTATTTCCAGTTATATGGTACAAAATTTAATATATCTTTATATATCTCGTAGTTGGTCCTGCATTTAGAGATTCTTAAAGTTATACCAAATCTTTAATTGCAGACTGATTGCTGTCACCTTGATGTGTAAAATATTTTTCCATGATCTTCTAATGTATTCAGATCTACCTCTTTGGAACTGCTATTATGCATTTCGTTCATGTTTTTACAGTTCTACATTTTCTAGACAACAGTAACCAAATTATTTTATTTCCTAGGGCTATCAGGCATCTAAAAGAAGCATCACAAACGGACGGAAAAGGTGGCAAACAATGAATTTCCGAGAAATTCTTCGTATTTTTTCTTCAATTTTGAATTGTTTCTTTGTTTCTTTTTAACAGCTGCTGTGAATTTGGCGAAATTAAAGTTGTTTCGACAGTTTTACATCATGGTAAGAACTTGCAGTTTCATTAAACTCTCTCTTGTTCATCTCAACGCTGCAGTTTAGAAAATAATGGAATGTTTTCTTATAGATTGTTTGCTATATCTACTTCACGAGAATTATCGTTCAAATAGTAAAGGTATTTCGTTACATTCATTTGCTTCTGTGTCATTATAGCATGTTTAAACCTATTTCTTTGATTTTTGTTTCTTCTTCAGATAACAGTTCCCTTCCAATATTTCTGGTTAGATGAGGTGAAGTGATTTTGAATACATATTGAAAATTTTAAAGCGGCTTTTCTCTGATCAGTGAGAAGAAAATTTGATTCAATTTTTTTTACTTTATTACAGTTTTTCTTGAATTTATCGATGATGGCCTTGTTTATAATGACTGGGTGAGTTACTTGATAATGTTCTATCCATTGTGAACAGTTCTTGTTTCTGATACATACAACTGCTAATCTTCGTTTAGATATAAATTCCGACCTGGTTCAGACAATCCTTATCTTCATGTATCTCAGGATTCTGACGGGGAAGAAATGGAGGAAGTGTAAGTTAATTTTATATGTTATTGTGGGAAATCGTTTTTATCAGTAGAACCATTTCTATCTTCTGAACTTGGTATGTTTACAGGGTGACACAAACAGGACTGACAGAGAATGTGACTCGTGTTCAGACTAACGGAGATAGTGGTGCTGCTCAAAGAGTCAAAATGTCTGCTGCTTGAAGTATTTGAACCGATTGTCCCAATAATCAACTTGCAATAAAATTAACCCCAACTGACTAGAAACACAACAAGCAGGCGTGGCGTGCAGTCTGGTATGGATGTCTGCACGATTGTCAGGGTAGCAGATGTTTTAAGATGTATATTATTAACATTCTACAAGGAAATCTGGAAAGGATTTATTTGTGTGGATGATGGGTGCAAAGCTTTACCCTGTTTGGACTAAAATGAACCCGGACGTATTTGCATTTGATTGTATTAAAATACTGTTCGCTTTAATTGAAAACAATACAATTAAGTGTAACAACTAATTTCGTATCACACTAAAATTATGAAAAATGCAATCAGTAACGGTTTAAGAATGTAACACAAGCGAGGTGTGACACTGGCTGGTCTTTCACCGTGTCTTATTGACGCACTAGAACTATCAATTTTGACAGATTGGTTTAGTTGATGCACCTCTCATCAGGTAAAAACATGATATTATGTAATGTTCATCGATGTATGTACGTACAATGCAGAGCCCCGTTATTTGGGAATTATGATTAAAAGTTTTGGAACGAACCATAGACATCCCTAGGTCAATTGATCTTGCAAAGAACGATATAACCAAGGAGCAGCGTGGCAGCGTCTTCGAACAACTTAGCATCAAATGTGGTATAACAACTGCCTAAATAGACAACACTTCTCGACGTTTCGACCTGAGGGCCTTCGTCAGGAGAGTTAGTATGATACTAACTCTCCTGACGAAGGCCCTCAGGTCGAAACGTCGAGAAGTGTTTTGTCTATTTAGGCAGTTGTTATACCACATTTGATGCTAAGTTGCAAAGAACGAGATACATATTAGATGAAATACAAGACTCACTGTCATTGTCGTAATTAAAAAAGTCATTCATGTTTTTAGTCCCCTGATATACATTTGTCTTTATTTTCTGTATTTACGTTTTCTGTATTAAACAAGCATAGCAAAATTGTACTGTTCTTACATGTTCACGACTGAAACGTAGCCAACTAAGTAATTTTTAAAAATGAATCGCGTCAAAAATGCTCTCTCAAACCACACCAATGAAAAAAATGAAGACTACTTATTAGCCATTACTATAGCGGAGTATCCATCTCATACGTAATGAGAGTGGAACATTCGGTTGCGAAATATTGCAAAGTATGGAAAAATATTTAATTTAAAAAATTTATGACGCGCTAAAAAGCTAACCACTTCTTGAAAAGTGGTCGAAAAGTAAGCACGCGCGTTATACTAATTTATACAAAGTTTGCAAACTTCACAGTTCACACGGAGATGTACTAAACTTCCCACTTTACTTATTTTTGGATGCTCTTTCCAGCTGTATATCTAAAAACCGATGAATTTTTCTAGTTCGACTTAGATAAAAAAAGTCATGAACAACCTCCCATTGTGACGACTGATCTCAAAACAATAATTCCCAGGAGTGCTCTGCCAACATGGCCTGTGATATGGCGGTTACACAAATCTCTATTTTTGGCAAAATACAAAGCAAAAGAATGCAAAATGACAACGAACAAATCGTTGTCGGGCTATATTTTGATAAATTGAAATGTTGAAGTGAGAGAAATTGTCGATTTTTGTTCGAAAAGTCGAGATAAATGGGCGCTGAATTGAGCTTATACAGTTCGTATTCACTGGGTGAACCTTTTAAAGTTGAAAATGATATCTGGGAAATTAGTCCTGCATTGAGTAAAGAAGATGACCAGGAATTCACAGTCTTTCTACACGATAAAGAAAACCAGAGTAATAAAGTTGATACAGCAATTAAGGTGAGATTGACAGAGAATTATATCTAATTTTTTATTGGCATTTATTTAATAGTATAAAGTGTAGATTCGTTATTTTAATGTAAAATGATATAATGTAACCATGGAGTTTATTATCCGTGATGTAACTTATTTCCGATTAAAAATAAAGTTTAAATGTCCACTAATACTCGTACTTGGCAATAATATTTCCCAAATGAATTTGAAGATTTGTTGTTATTAAAATGACAACGTCGCTATGTCATATAGACGTCACAATGTTTGCCTGTAGTAAATCTATATAAAATTCATGCAATTTGTATAGTGCTTTATTTACCACAGATAGTTTTTCCTGCTTTGGAAAGTACTTCAGTCAATGGATTGTTAAATGAGATCAGTTTTTTCATGTCATTTTAATAGTATTTCCAGAAATTGCGCCATCCTGGATTATTGAAGTGTGTTGAGGTGTTTCAGGAAGCATCAGAGATTGCCATTGTTACAGAAGCTGTGGTACCTTTGACTGAAGTAGTTGGTGATTTTCATTTGTTAGAAGTGATTGCAGGAATACATAATATTATTGTGACGCTGGTTTTTCTTCATGATAAGGTACCATGATTGGCTATTTAATAACGTAGCAGTTGATAATGTACTAATGTACCATATCAGAGAAAATATGAGAGAGTACTCAGAGTTATTTTTTCTGGAAAGAGTATATTTCTTCTCGGAGTACTTTAGACAATATGCAAAAATATATACTGTCATAGGGAATAGATTTATATAATTTGTAATTTGTTGGAGTGTGCTTTGTCAATCCTATCTCAAACCAGTCATTGAATTTATTCTGTGTTTCTATTTGTTGATTTATAGTGTAAGTTGTCCCATAACAACTTGTCATTGGATTCAATATTTGTTGGTCAAAATGATGCTTGTTGGAAGATTGGTGGTTTTGAATACATGTGTCCTTTTGCTGAGATTGCAAAAGAGGTTGAATTATGACTAATAATATTCTGTTAGCCTCACTTGATTAATATTAATTTTATCACAAACATGACTATAGTAAACATGTAAAGATGGATTTCCATTTTGGTTTATGTTTTCAGAAATTAATGAATGAAAGTATTGCTCATGCAAAGGATGTCTTGGGACTGGGAAAACTTATCTGTGATGTTCTAGATGTGGTTAGTTTGTCAGGTAAATAAATTATGAAAAATATTTAGTGTATACTTTGTCGCTCTGGGATTTTGTTGTAAATGATGTGCTACAACTTTACTTCCTTAGATGAGTCAAGTATTACTGATTTTCAGCAAAGAATACAAGAGGAAGTTGTGGATGCCAGTCTTGAGGTAGGAAAACAGCATTTATCAGAGAATCTATTCTGGGTTTATATTTACATGTACGGGTAATCATCATAATAATAAAACTTTTCTTTAGAAAAGACCAAGTGTTCAAAGCCTTTTAAATGATGAGATTTTTCAGTAAGTGTAACTGATTGCTTTCTAATCTAAGTACCAGTAATCCTAACTAGTGTACCTGTAGTACTCTTTCATTTATGCATTGTCTGGTAATAGTCAGATAATTGGATTTAATAATATTTCATGTTGCACTAAAACTTTTTGTTTTCTCAGAAATGATTACTGTCAAATTCTGGATTTCTTGAGAAATATCACAGTAAAAACAAGTGGAGGAAAGGCTGTTTTCTTCAGGACTCTTCATCAGAGGCTACATAAAGTACCGCCCCACATCATTGCTAATAGACTACTCCATCTTCTGCTATCTCGCTTCACCCTTGTTGACTCTACTGCTGTTGATGTTTTCTTACCACATCTTTTAACACCTCAATCTGGTATGTCGATACTGAACTGCTTTATATCTTATGACTAGGCTAAAGTGTCTTGTCTAGGTAGTCCTAACTGCTTTTGGAGACGTTAAAGTTCAGCTAAATTTCAATCTTCATGAAGACATAGAGTGCAAATCGTCTGTGTCCACCAGACATTCTCCTTCTTGTTTTAGATCCGAATTAAACTACATGTATCGTTAGTATTATTTTGCATCCGAAACTATCATTAACATCACTCTACATCTGAATTTACTCAGTGTTAACATTGTTCCGCCTCCGAAACTACAGCATGCTCACTTCACGTTCCAGCAACAATTCAGGATTAATTAAAAGTTGATGTTCGTTTTATCACAAAACGTGACTTTATCAGAAAGAGTCACACGAGAATTTGTTTTGTTTCAGAAGATCATTCTGTTGAATCTGCGGACATTTTGCCTCTTTTGCCAGAGGATTTGTTCAGGTAATTTTCTCTGATGCAGTGAACTATACGTCATATGGTCTAAACACAATGAAACAGCGTTATTTATTGTATTTATAGACAATGCTGTGTCCCAATCTTAAAGAAACTATTTGAAGTAAATGATCGTCACGTTCGGTTAATTTTGCTCAAGTATTTCCCTCTTTACGTTTCAATGTTTGATAAAGACGCATTACAATCTTTTATATTACCAGAGGTAAGTTCTGTTTTGATATTAATATTTGAAGCAATATTGCATATGAAGAAATGACATCACACCTAGCTGCATCACCAGCATCAGCCTACATTACCTACATCAGCCTACATTACCAGCATCAGCCTACATTACCTACATCAGCCTACATTACCAGCATCAGCCTCTATTACCAGCATCAGCCTACATTACCAGCATCAGCCTCTATTACCAGCATCAGCCTACATTACCAGCATCAGCCTCTATTACCAGCATCAGCCTACATTACCAGCATCAGCCTACATTACCTACATCAGCCTACATTACCTACATCAGCTTACATTACCTTCACCAGCCTCCGTTACCTGCATCAGCCTACATTACCTGCATCAGCCTACATTACCTTCATCAGCCTACATTACCTGCATCAGCTTGAGAGCCTGGATATTACCAGCACCAAGTGCTGCAATACTTGCATCAAACTGCATTACCTGCATCATAATTTTGACTCGAACTAACCGTGGTTTTCTCTTCCAGTTAAGACTGGGTTTGCAGGACAGTGATGATGAGTTAGTTTCCGCAACGTTCAGCGCGATGCAGTATTTAGTTCCAGTATTGGGTGCTCATGTTATCATCGGAGGAGAACGACTACAACAGTTTACTGAACGAAGACCTAAGGTAATATTATGGTTGTGTTGAAATCACAGTTTTCTGAAATGAGACAAAACCATCAAGTCATTGCGAATATCAGTGGTTGTGGTCTAAACTATACTGCAGTATACTAGACTCGTCATTGTCATTGAGGATTTTAGTGGTCTAAACTACTATTTTTAGTGGTCTGTACAGTATCAGACTCTCAGCACACGAGCCTGTGTTCTAAAAATATGTTGATGTTTTTTTAGTTGGATGTGGAGTCGAAATCTTCTCATGGTACGTATATTTACAGCTATAACATATTTGAGATTTTTTCCCGTAATTTTGTAATAGCACAAGACAAGTTGAGGTAAACGACTAAATTTTTAATAGCAAACATGTTTCGGCTTACACTAAGCCATCTTCAGTGCTAAGTGAGCTGAAGTGAGCTTTACATACTTTTTTTGTTTTTGCTTAAGGCTCCGAATCACACAGAATAAAACAAGATTCCTCACAACGCATTGCAACACGAGCTAGTCAAGGTAAAAGTCTTCAGGATAAAATACAAGAACGAGAAAAAAGGCGGGAAGAAACACGAAAGAGGAATGAAGAAAGAAGAAAACAGAAATCACAAATGGGGAAAAAGATTGCAATGAAAGGTGAATATCGTATCAAATATTGAATACCTATATTTAAAATACTATTATTTAATAAATAAACAGTTAAATGTAATTTTTACGGGTTTTCCCCGTCAATGCATTTACACATGAGCGGCAATATTCCTACTACAATTCACAGCAGGTGCTGGTTTTATGTCGAATAAACTTGTTCTAATAACAATGTCATTGTATGTAACATTTTTTATTTTAGCAAGCGTGGTGGAGCATGTGCATGTGGAGTCTGCTGCAGGCAGCTTTGATTCCTGGGACAATTTTGATGGTGTAGAAAAAGTTGATCCAGGAGAGGTAAGAGATATTTCTTCACACTAAAACCAGACCTGGGTCTAGTAAAGTACTTCTTTCCCTCGTAGATTTCAGATGACTCAGATCACGGCCGTCCAAGCTCCAGCGAAGTTTCGCTTGATTCTGGTTTTAGCGAACGAACTAGAAACGTAATTGAGCACCCAACTAGTCCACGTCAAACTAAGCAAGTGAATTGTACAGAAGACATCAACAAATTTTCTCAAGGAAAGACGGGTTTTGGTATGAAACTTGGAAAAGTCAAAGGTGATTCCAAGCTTGAAAAGGATCGCGGAAAGAAATTGGCTTTGAAAGACATTGCCAAACAAAATGAAAGTCAACTTCAAAATGTATCACGAACAAACAAAAATGATTTGAAGATAAATACGAATTCAAGGGCAGTTAATTCTTCGTTTGAAACAGAGTACGAGGACATGCACTCAAATGAACTTCCAGAGGATTCTTTTAATACAGAAAACAACGAGCTTTCGCCTGTTTCTTTGAATTCAACAAATAAAAATAGTAAGAGGAGCACGAAAAATAAGTTAAACAAGAAAGATTCTAAGGCTTTAAGAAACACAGACAAAAGCAAGACTCCAGTTCAGGTTGTGGATAAACCATGGGAGGATTTTGGTATAAAAGTTACCAAAAAAGACTCCACAGTTGATGATATTTTCGCTGACATGGCACCGACACTGGTAGAAACACGAAAAGCCCCAGTGAAGGGAACGTCAATGTACAGTGATAACTTGGCTGTGGTTGCCGAGACCACAGAACAGGTTCGTGATTATAGCATTATTATCTACCTGGGTATCGTGTGTGTTTTGTAAGCCAACCAAAAAACTAACCAGGCCACAGCGTGTAGGAACAAATTGAATTAAATGTTTATGGGGAAATTTATTCTGTCACACTATTTAACATTATTTTTCACCCCAGGATCTCAATGGTTGGCTGGATGATGATTGGTAAAGAATAAACTCATGGAACTGATTAGCGGTAGGCTTCTGTGAATTATAGAGATATTAGAGGCCTGACTGAATTCTGTTCACAATTTAATATTTTTCTATTTGAAACAAGAGTTATTTTACTTGAGATTTTAACGATTTTGTTCTAGAGACATTTTTGTAGGCTAGTGGTAAATTATTAGAACGTATTAATGACGGGCTAAAATCTGGCAAAAATGTTAATTCAAACAAAATGATTCGCTACTTGTTTTTAAAGAAAAATAATTTAATGTAAGTACATTTAACTAAAAAGGTTATATGTAATGTTATGACAAAACAATCAAAGACTATAAGAACTACGTTAGTTGTACCTCAACAAGACAAAAATATTTCATTTGCTACTCTATTTTTACTTGGTCCCCAGGCTTATTTCCTCCTGTCTTGATTTTTTGTAAAATATCAATATCATGATGCTGCTTAAATATATCGCGATGATTGTTGTATTAGGTCTCTATACTCTCCTCTTTCCGCGAAAACTAACGAATATCGCTCAGAAAAGATTGTGGTAAAAAACCATTCCGTAGGCGTAAGCAAAGACTGTTGTTTAATCGCAAGTACTTAAATATATACGATGCCAATTTTAGCCTCGAAATTGGTTTTGCTAGCACAACCTTTATCGTGAGACTTGTCTTATATATCATCTCGTCTGATTGGTATAGGTAAAGTTGGGGTAGGATTTATAGCTCATACTATGATGCTTGAGAAAGACGTTCAAGTTAAAATGTTATTGAATATCTCCGTTGTCTGCTTTTGATGCATCTTTATCGTGATGCTCTGGTTGATCTTTTAGCGATGTTTCATCAGTCTGTCGTGATGCAGCAACATGTTGTAACTCGTATCGTGCTTGATCGAACAATCTTTCAAATGTGTCTCCCATACTTCGGTTTAACGTTGAAGACCGCGTCGAATGCTGGGAATGCAATCTTTCAAAATCATCTTTATCATAGCCGTTATGAGCCGGCGAACTGAATGATACTAGGTCAGTTGACATGTTGTGAAGGTCGTGCGCAGAACTGCTTCTTTTTACAGGTGTTTGGTAGTTGTAGGAGTTTCTAACTGAAGGACTAGGGGGTTGGGAGTGAACCGGGGGGTGGGAGTAAACTGGGGAGTGAGGGTAAACTGGGGTGGCCTGGGATCGAGGTGTTGGTGTATGTGAGTAAGGTGGATTAAAGTTTAGTCTGGAACCAAACGTGGCGCGTTCATAACCTGACACTTTAGCTTGTAGCCGTGTTATCTAAGAGGAAAGATATTGTATTTCACAGTTGATTTACGACAGTTGATTTATTTTTTCAGAAATCAGCGTACCTCAGATTCTTTGATGATAATCGTTTCATTCGCAACGTGAGCTTGGTCTTGGAGTTCCTCAACCTGTTGTTTTAAGTTCACAAAATGACCGTTGAATGTTTTCTGTTCTTCTTGCAGTCGTTTCATTTCTTTTTCCTTCATTTTTTCTTTCTCTCGTAAATTCTGAACGTTCAGCCGATGCGCGGCTTCCGCTTCTTCTTTTTGGGAGAATAATTTACTGTGGTTTTCACGTAATTTCTCAATCTGATATGAAAAGAAAAATCAAGAAACTATAGCCTCTTGTCATAGGCAGCCCAATTATGTATGCATGTTTATATACTATATATATTTATATAGTAGATATTTATGTAGTAAATATATATACTATATATATTTATATAGTAAACTATATAAACATGCATACATAATTGGGCTGCCTATGCTCTTGTCTGCAGACAACATTCTTTTAAATTCAATGAATCTCGATAAGCTCAAAGCTGGTATTTATGAGAAGTGAATCTCACCTCATTCTCTAAAGTTGTTGTTTTAAGTAAACATTGTTGTTCCACTCGACGATTCTCTTGCACACATTTTGCCTCAGCCTGAGCTTCGCGCACTTGGCTAGCTCCAAGTTCTTTTGCAAGACGCGCGCAATCTGCTTCTTTATTAGCTAAGAGTGCGTGAGCTTCTTTAAGTTCGTCTAAATATTCATGTTCCTTTTGTTCACATCGTAAAAGTTTGCGACGGGCGTCCAGCAATTCTGAATGCTAAAATACAAAAATGATTTTTTATTTCTATGGTACCATAATGTTTCTGACCTGCAGACACCTGCATTACCTGTCTGACCTGCAGGCACCTGCATTATCACTTGTCAGTACTCACCGTATTTTGGACTTGCTCCCTTGCCAAGCGAAGCTCTTGCGTGATTTCTATTTTATCGTCTGACTCAATCTTAAGCTTCGTGAATTCCTAGAAAGTGTTTTCAATTATCATTACTTGCGTGACAGTGTCGTACAGAAACGTTTATTGTATGTTTGTACACAAAGTTTACGATCCCAAACCTTCTCAAATTCAGCGACTTTATCAAGTCGTTTCCTCAGTTCCTGCTCTTGTTGTTTCATCGTGTTCTCCATGTAATCCAGTCGAACTGTTTTTTGTTTGATTTGTTCCTGACTTTGAGCGTATTTTGCTTTCATTTCACTCAACTGAAGTAGAAATAGTGGATTGTTTATTTGAAATGCATAATACCCAAGCTGATATGTACATTGTACAGCATCAACGCTTTAGGCGGAGCAAATATATTTTCTTCAAATGGAGTTTGCAATCCGTCAATTTGTATATAAAAATACCCATGCAATGCAATGCATCCTTGTTAAGTAATTATATTGTCAATAATGTTACCTCTAAAGATTTCTCACTGAGTTCATACTGGCATTGACTTAAAGAGTGTTCTAAGACATTTGTCTTCTGTGTCAAATCACTGCGTTGTTCTTTAATAGAAATGTCCAGTTTGCTCATCTGAAAAAAGCACGAAAGTTGTGTGTATCTAAATTACAACACCTTGCATGATGCCAGATTTACCACTTTGTCCCGGCAGATATTACGGACAAAATTACGAAGACTTATCACTTCCTGACTGACTGTTCGTAGAAATCTGTTTCAATGTAGTGAAAAGTGCAAAACTTACCTCAGAGACTCGCTGTTTCAACTCCCATTGACATTCTCTGACAGTTTGATCCAGTTCCGTCATCTTCGCTTCCTTTTGCTCTATCTCTCTTTCCTTTCGTTCCAACAATTCTTCACTTCTATTCAATTTATCTCCCAAATCATCCATCTGTCTATCTTTGTCTCTCAACTCCTTCTTGCTATCTTCCAAAACTGACTTTAATTCTTCCAACTGCCTTGCAGTGTCCAAAATCTCGCTTTGTGCTTTGCTTAACTCCCCATCAAGTTTCGAAACTTGGCTTTCTCTTTCAGACAAATTAATTTTTGTTTGACTAAAACTGTCTTGTGTTTCAGTCAAATTTTTCTTCGTCTCTTTAACAGTTTCTTCAAGTTGTTTTATTATTTCTAACTTGCTGGTAAGTTCTTTATCCTTATCCTTTAAACTTGAATTTAAATCACTCGTTTCTTCGCATTTTTTTGCTAAAACGTCTCGTGTTTGCTGCAGCAGTTGTTCTAAATCAACAACATGCGATGAACTTTGTTTCATGTCTTTATGTACACCGACCAACGAGGTATTCATTTCATTCAACTGACTTGTTCTTTGGTCTAAGTCTCGTTTTGCATTTTCTAACAAGGATTGTAATTTCCTCACTTCCTCACGATTCGTTTCTTTCTCGCGGTTCAACTCTAGTTCCAAGATCCCGGCTTCTTGTTTGAGTCTTGTCAGATTGTGTTCTTGTTCCTTAAGTTGTTTCTGGTTTTGTTTTGTTAGTTCGTTTCTTTCTGACAAGGTTTCTTGCAATAGCTCGCATTCTTTGCATTTCTTGCGGTATTCATCTTGTAGCTTTTTTAAAACGTCTTTTAGTTTTGAGATCTAAATAAAGAAATATATTCTGTCACTTCTGCTGAACACTTGGCAAGACTGGACCTCGAAGAAAAACAGTTTAGATTTGGCAAATACCTCATTCATTTTGTCCTGCATTTCATTTTCATGATTTTCTTTCATTTTTGCCTGTTGTTCAATAAGAGTTGTCATTTCTTGTTGACATTCATGCAATGTTTCATCCAATTTTTCTCCTCGTTCATTCTCAATTCTAGCTTGTTCTTGCAATTTTGATAACTTTGCTTCGTAGTGTTTACTCTGTTCTTGCCTGTGATCCAACTCTCGTTGCTGCTCGGAAATTGCTTTCTCCATTTCTTGAATGCGAGAAATTTTCACCGTTGCATCCTGACGAGAAGCTAGAATTAAGTAACATAAAAATGAAACGTGTTTTTAGATAGTATTAAAGGTCACGAGGTTCCAGAATTTGTTGCAATCAAACCTTTTAAGACTGTATCCAATTGCGAAACTTGATTATTTTTCCCCTCATACTCTCGTTGAAGCTAAAAAATAATAATACCTCAGTGATGATGGCAAATATTGTAAAAAATGAGTAAGAAAACTTTAATCGGAGCCTTTCTAAGTCTACTACATGCATCTCATCCTCTGTTCTACGATATTACACCCAGGAAATGCCTCGTGTCAATGTCACAGACGTATCTCACTAGGTACCTATTCTTGAGCCATCTCAGGTGCCAATCCCCCCCCCCTCGCGAATTATCAACCCTAAACCTGCCCCACCTAATCATTATTAACCATGGTCGACTATCACACCGACTGAATTGCAAAATATTATTAAAACTCTGGGAGAAAAGTGATAGAACAACTCGAACCTTATCAATCTGATTCTCCAACTCTCTACAATGTTCAGTATGTAAACTTCTTGTCTTGTCTAACAAATTACATTGTTCAGTAATCTCGGACTCTCTGCTCTTCAAACATGACTCCAGTTCATCTATATAGTTTTGTTTTTCCTGAATATTTTGTTCCAAATCATGAACTCTAGAAGCGCACGTTCCCAGTTCTGAGATTTTCTCATCAAGTTCGTTGTCCAAATTTTCAATTTTCAGACTTTTCTTGTGAGTCTAGATAAAATCAGTTAAAAACTCACCCCGCGGCTTTTACAAACGTTAAGAAACATCTTTTTCTTTGTTAACTTGGTTATTTTATAAGTAGGGTTCAGATGCATATAATCTCTGCGTGATGCAGGGTGTATGTGAGATCGTCTGGCCAAGATCACATCTTGGCCAGCGCATTGTTAAGCAATCCGCGGTTCACAGCGACCTAGCTGACCTAGCTTACCTCTCGTTGTAGTTCGCTGGTCGTATCCAATGCATTATCGAGTTCAGCTTTGACTTCAACCAGGCGAACATTTTTTTCGTTCAATTTTCCTTCTAAACTGTGCACCATTTCGTCTTTAGCAGCCAACCTATCTTCAAGTTGTATCAATTGAGTTGAATACGAGGCAGCCTCGTCCTCCATTTGTGATATAATTTGTTCTAGTTGTTGTTGTTTTCTATCGTTAATTCTGTTTCTTTCTGCGATGAATGACAACTCAGTTCTCAGGCCTGTCATGGTACCTGCGTCTTTATGATGGATTGAAAGGTGTTTTAGGAAAGAAATTTTAGGGCAAATAATTACTTTTTAGTTTTTTGTTTTCAGTACATGGTTTGTTGAAGAAATTTAGTTTTAGAAGTGTTCACCTTTACTGGAGCTGACGCCACTATCCACAGCCTGTACGAAAAAAAAGGTTATAAATTTATTTTCATTTACCCCTCTCTTATATCCTGTATTTGAAGGAGGATGATTGGTTGCCTACCGTTGGGGTACGATAGTGTCTCTCGTCTTGTACTTTCTGAACTAAACTTTCCAATCTAAGCATATCTTGTTTGCTTTGTTCGATTTCTTGTTGATAATATTGTATCTTGTCATGTTGTAATTTGATTATCTCTTGAAGTCTATCATCATCTCTGGGTGATTTCTTCTCTAGTTGACCAACCCTCTGACTCTGTCGAGCGACAGTTGATCGTAACTCTGCATTGTCTCTCTCGAGTGAGCTTTTATACTCTGCGTTTGCAACGCCTTCTGACTGAAGTAAACTAAAAATGCGCAGAATTACAACAAAATGTGTAAAATTAAAGAATTTTGACTCCAGGTTGATGTGGACTGATCACTGGACACTACCTGATTTCTTCCTTGAGTTCAGTGACGTGACCCTCCAGTGAATTGTTTTGACCCAACAATGTATTTCTTTCATTTGTCAGTTCATTTAATTCTCGATCCATTTTTTCCATTTCTTCGCATCTCTAAAAATCAACATTGACACGTGTTTATATGATTCAATATTCACTCCCGCTCTACAATATCATAAGCATGAATACCAGCTTCGTTTGTTCTTTCTCGCGTTCCTTATCTTCTGTTATTTTCGTGGTCAATTGTTGCATGTTCTGTAAGCTCTCTTCCAACTTAGACTGCAAGCTGGTGGATAATAATCAACAATTACGACCGAAAAGTTATGGAATTATTTTCGCTGGGGACCCGGGAGTTTGGAAAAAGTTTACTTTCAATCAGTCACGTCAGTTATCTTTTATTATCCATTAGATGAAACACTTATGTTCTAGGGCAGTTGGTCGGGTCTAAGTCTCACGTGAACGGCAAGAATGCAATGCGTGAGGCAGCCTCGTCCCCGGCGCGTGTGTCAAACAAAAACACGCGTTGGGAACGAGGCTGCGTGTGAGGTGAGACAGAAACCAAATGAAAAGCCACAGGCCACAGCTTTCGGAGAAACCTCATCCACCTGATATGAACATAAACTTAACTTTGTCACTACAAACAACTAATAGGTTTGTTATAAATGCCGTTATAATCCCTGGTATAGTCACCAATCCGCGTTAAGAATGTTATTTAATCACGTATGTAATTATAGGAATAAAGACTCCTACTGTTTTCTAACTGCCATCTCTTCCTCATATTTTGTTTGAAAATCTCTTGAAGTTTCCAAAACATCCTTCAGTTCCAAAGATTTGTTCTCCAATTGTTCATTCACATTGAGGAACTTTTCTTCTGATGACCTGACATTTATTGATTATGATCAATTAAATTTTTTTACAGAGAAATAATAGTTGAACTCTAGTTTTGGAAGTTATGTTGCTCCTTGTTTAAACCAGTTATTACTTTTCATTCAGTTCCACCAACCTTAGAGAATGATGTTGAGAAGAAATTTCTTTTTCCAGAGCAATGATACGATCTTCATATTCATGGACACCGTCTTTTTCTTTTGCCAGGTCCTGGTGCAAAATTTTTACCTAGTGCAAAAGATATTACAATGGAAATGATCTGGTCACATAGTTTCTTGTTGTTTAACCTAATGAATTCATAACATTTGCATTGCTTCATTTATACATGTCATTACACTCACCTTATTACGTTCATGCTGAAGTTCGTATCCCATATTTTCAAGTTCACTCATCAACTTATGGTTCTGACTCACTAGAGATGTGTTTTTCTCTCTGACCTTTTGTAATTTTGTTCTCAAACTTTCACTGCCATTCATACTAGAATACTGCGAGAAAATAATTTTGACCACATTAGTGGATTAATTTGTCAAGAGATAACCTAATGGAGTAGTTGGTCTTCATGGTAAGATATATAGTTTAGTTTCTACCTCTTGTGTGGTGTTTGACTGTTGCAATCGCCTGTTTGTATCACCAAGTGAGCTTGAAGATCTTACAGGTGGTATAGTTGATAAGTAATAAGAGGAGTTGAGAAGTTCATTAGCTGGTACTTCATTGTTGTTATCGGATAACGAGGGACTCAGGTCTGCTAAAGTCAGGACAGGAGGCTGATCAGATCTTTCAGATGGAGTTCTTGATGAGTGAGAACTAATGTATGACATCAGTTAAAAAAAACAGGAAAAACTATGAGTAATTTAGTCTGCTATGGATGAGATATTTGAACCAATGTGGGTGATGGAAGGATATATAGCTAATAGCTTACTATTATATAAATCATATAAGTGCTCTCACTCACAGGTATACTGTAAATTTTTATATTTATATTGTAAACTATAATTTTGGATAATATGAACTCTTACTTAGGTTGTCTGTGAGGCACCAACATTGTCAGATTAGTGGATAAATCTGTCTTGGATATACCATTTGTCAAAACTGAAGAACTGCTGAAGTTTTGAATTAAAAAATTATTAATATCTACTAACAGTGTGGGAATGCATTCTTACAAGCATTTGTTGCTTCAAAACCTAATTCTCATGCTTAAATAATAATAAAACCATGGTATTCTCTTATCTACAACAAATGCCAATGAGTGAGACAATCCTTGCAATTCATATCAAAGTATATGTAAAAACAGTGAAATGATGCACAGTAGGGGCCTGTTTATATGATCCTGTCTAGCCGGGACGGGATGTTTTCATCGGAAACTCGCCTAGGCGGGATGGCGTGCTTATATGGAGTTCATTTTGTAGTGCAGGTTCCTTCGACGGCATGTTTTATTGTAGAAAACGAATATGCCAATATATACACATGCTCCTAATGTATGTTAATCGCGAATCATCTCGGCCAAGCGGGATGGAGTGTTTATATGGCAATTTCTCGTCCCATCTAAGTGGGATCCTGGCAAGAAGTGCCGGGATCCCGCCTAGACGGGAGGAAAAGTGGTCATATAAACACTAATTAGTGTTTGTATTACAAGTAGGCGGGATCATATAAACAGGCCCTAAAAGCACATCTGGAGTCTTATTTTACACTTTAAACCAAGGTCTGCATGGTTTAATTTAGAAACGGTCATCACACACAGGATAGGCTTAGCCAAAAGGTTGGGATCAGGACTATAGACTTGTCATGCATAACAACTGATTGAGTAATGTTAAATATTTTACCAACATGGGGTAAAAATATACAGTTTATCACAATCTGCTGGCCTGCAACACCTACTGGTTGCTATTAACAACAGGCTTCACCATATATAAACCAAACCATGGTATACAAGATAACACATTTTTTTAGAAATGATCCCAGAAAGAAAGTTGAAAAAAGTTAATGCTATTTGACTGAATATTGGCTTATCTCTTCAGAAACTCTTCAAAATATTTATCTCCTTAACCTGTTAGTCTTTAACGGTGGGTTTAGATTTTTTATTGACTGTTCAGTTTGCATAAGTCGTCGTCTCAAATCGTAACAATCGCGCATCAAAGGATCATCACCAACGGATGAGGCACTTGCAGTTGTTGTCAAACTTGTAGAGCTTGATCTTCGACTCATATTTCTTTGTTTATGTTATAAAATAACAAGAGTAAGTTCACATGGCGTCCTTGGATTGTTTACAACTTGAACTATTCCGCGCAAATTTGACCTTTCTTAATTGATAATTTCAATCTTGACCACGAAAGACATATTCCTGTTGTTGTAAACAAGATTTCAACCAGTAAAGCAAAACGATAAAATTCCAACCCTTCCTCCAAAAAAATTTGAAAATATATAAACGAAATTTCTAAACGAATTTTACTCAAGTTTGTTTATTTTGAGCTTAAAAAAATAATCATAAACACTAAACAGCCGCACTAATTTGATTGGCTAGATAATGTCACGTGATACGAGCACTACTCATTTCTGATTTTCAACCAGGATTTGATACATTTTTTTAATTTTGTACATCGACAGCGAAATTGACTATTAACGAGTTTTATAGCGAGGAATATCAGAATATGCAGTCTTTGTTATGTGTGGAAGATATATATGTCGATCACTGATGTCGATTGACTATAAAAGAATACAAAAGAATACAAAAGCATTCACAATTGAGTTGACCATGATGGCCGATGGGATGCCTTTCCTTTTATCACCGTTCATGGAGAACAAGATTCTAAATTGCTCCAATATTAGAGCAATGCAATTTTAAGTTTTGTGCCTGTATCATGCAATGGATTAAGTTGAAATAGTGAAACGTCTATTTATACAAGTTGTCCAATTTTTGTCCAAGAGGAGTGAAATGTGGGTTGGAATGTGGAAGCAGAAAGGGATTAAAGGAAATTTGTGAAATTCCAAGTGCTCGTTCTTTTCAGACTGTATGCTTGATCAACCTTTAGCCGAGGCTATTTGAAGGAGTTTCTAATAAAAATACATGGTGAGAACAGATTATTTTTACAGAATAATATCATTTCCCGGTTCCTTATTGTCTAAGCTCCTATTAAAGACCAAAATTTGAGGATTTAGTTTAACGATTGCTACGAAATTGAATGGATTGCATTTGCGTGTATTTGGGGTCATATTAAATTCTTTATTATGATTGTGTATTAGGGTTTCGTCAAAGTAATCAAGAACAAGGCTTATTACAAGCGGTTCCAAGTAAAATATCGTCGTAGACGAGGTATGCTAGGGTTAGATAATACGCACAAAATATTAGATTGATGGTTAAAGCTGTTGTTCAGCCTTCGATGTGTCTCGAAGGACACAAACTTAAAAAGTTCATAAAATGGGTCCACCCTATCCCCGTTCAGTACGCTGAATTAAGGAGTTAAGGTGCTGGATATCACTAGGGATTAAATTAGGATTTGTTGATAAGAATTTTATGAATATCACTTGCTCAGACAAAGTAAATACATTTACTATTTTGTTTTCTTCTGTTAGAGGGCAAAACTGATTACCGTGCTCGTCAACGATTGATTACCCAGGATAAAAACAAGTATAATACTCCTAAATATCGTTTGGTAGTGCGATTTACCAACAAAGATATTGTTTGCCAGGTATTTTATAAGTAAATCATGTTTTACTAATGCTTTGCATTTGGAAGTTGGAATTTTTCCCAATATTAGATATGGTGCTTCTTTAGAATTTTGTGTGTTTTAATTTTCTACATTTTAATAGCTAGCTCTCCATAAAGATGAAATTGCATATTTTTTTATATGCGTATTGGTATCTTATATTTCAGGTAGCGTATGCCAGAATAGAGGGAGATGTGATTATATGTGCTGCATATGCTCATGAACTTCCTCGCTATGGCATCAAGGTGGGGCTGACCAATTATGCTGCTGCATATTGTACTGGACTATTGGTGGCAAGGAGGGTAAGAAAATGCTTGATAACATTGTTTGGTTTAAAATCAGAAATAACTTCAAGGTCACTGTCATAGTTGATAAATCTGTTGTGTTTTAGTTGTTGACAAAATTAAACCTTCATGAAATTTATACTGGAAATGACCAAGTTGATGGTGAAGATTATAATGTTGAGGATGTCGATGGATCACCAGGAGCATTCAGGTGTTTCTTAGATGTTGGTCTCGCTCGAACCAGCACTGGTGCTCGATTGTTTGGTGCTTTAAAGGGTGCATTAGATGGTGGGTTGGATATCCCTCATAGGTAAGTGGGTACAATTATTTAAAAGTATGAATTGTTCTTGCAAAAACAGATGTGAGAAGGTTGGGCCAAAAGAAATAAACAATTTAAAAATGTCTGATTTTTGTTAACTTATTGACATGCGAGTAAGTTAGTAAGTGATATCCGACACTTATCTGCCAAAGTTTTAGAAACCTAATGTTAAGCATGATCAAATTGTTGGGTTATTTCTAATTGTCAGGTTTGTTTTCAGTTTTTAATGAACAACTGTTTAACCAATATTTGAAAAAAAAATTGCCCCAGCTCACTGACCAGGTTGTTAAATCCTCAAATGTGTTTTTGTGCTCCAGTGTGAAGCGTTTTCCTGGTTATGATGGTGAAACAGAAGAATACAGCGCTGAGGTTCATCGCAATCATATCTTTGGCCAGCATGTTGCTGACTACATGCGCTTGTTGCAAGAAGATGATGAAGAAGCGTACAAACGTCAATTTTCAATGTACATCAAGGAGGGAGTCAGTGCAGATTCAGTAAGGAAAACATTCCTTAATAAATCATCAAAACTCATAAATGCCCTCAAAATCACAAATATTTTTCACAAATCATCTCTCAAGATTAATGTTGATTACCTTAATAATTCAGATAGAGGAAATGTACAAGAAAGCTCATGCTGCAATCCGGGATGATCCTTCTCATAAACCATCTGCTGCTGCTCCTGTCAAAGGCAAACCTAAGAGGTAAGTTGAAGTTAATTAGTTTTCATAGCATCCAGAAATATAATCCATTCACTCCATTGCAATTATCTCTACTCTGGCTTTAATTTACTTTCATTTATTTAAACAAGACTTGGTGATAATTGTGATGGACTAACTCTAAGAAGCGATTGAATATTTACTTTCTAAATAACAAGTTGTAATAAATTTATATATCCTATGTAATCAATTGCTTAGGTATGGTCGTTCTCGTCTCTCCTTGCAACAACGCAAAGATCGTGTTGCCCAGAAGAAAAAGGCTTGGTTGAGAAAAATTCAAGAAGATTAATTGTAATGTGTGAAAATAAATGAAATGATTGAGACTTGTTTCTTGCAATTTCATGGTTCACAGTAGTTATTCCCAGTTATGGTACACCCCTAACCCTTTGCTTGTCTTTCAACCCTGTTCCCTGGGGAGTGATTGTCTCAGACTCTATTTACGGTACTTGCGTAGCAACGAAACATGACGAATAACACTTACGCCAAAGCAACGAGTAGCCTTTTTGACGGGTATTTTATGTGTACGTATCACACAAAAGAGATATCAGACGCGCGATTTTGATGTCTTCTATATATTTACTAGTATTTGAAATCTCGTTACGCTATTTGCATACATCCCGTCAGGTGAGAGAGGTTGTCAACTATCAAAATATTCTATAAATGCGTATAATATAGCGTATATATATAAGTATACCATATACTCCCCTGCGCGCTTGCTTTTTTCAGCTGACCTCTATACAATACCTGAATGCAACGTTATATATTTTACTCAGTGATTTTACTATTAAAGCGCCTTGCATTTTGGGTACGAGGCTGGGGAAAACCCCTTTTAATTAACAAGAGAAGAGTGTAATAAAGCACAGTGAATAAAGTGCTTGGCGATTTTCCTGGCTGTTTCCTTGCTTTTTCATCGCTATGATGGGGTCTATCAAATTTGTAATGATAATGGCGGTAAGACTATCTACTTTAATAACGTAAAGCATTCACTGATTCACTAAAAATATGCCACAATTATATCGATAATATTGCCATGTCATTGTTAACTGTATTTGCCCACAATTGCCGCACAACATAAAATATGTCGTTCAATGGCATATTGGCTTGTTGCATGTGTCTTAACTGTCATTTATGTCAGATTGTAAATTTTGAAAAAGTTTTTTATGAAAAATTTGTTTGTGGAATTTTCGAGATCTATGGCTATGCATATGCAAATTAATGAAATTATAAAGTAAATTCCAAAATATTATTAATTTAGAATATAAATATCAAAGCAACAATCCCCACTATTTGAGTGTAATAAGAATATAAATTAAAATATGTATTAATATAAATTGCCTTTTATAGCTTTTCTAAAAGCACTATGTCGGTCTTTAATATTTATATTCCGAATACACTTCCCGCCCAGCACATCTCTGGCAACGTTACAGTATTGAATAACTCTCTATTAATTGTTTTCTATTTTATAGGGCACGCTATTATTGGCCACAAACGTATTGTCTGGGTCAAGCTCTGAGAGAAAGAAATATACATGTACTGACAAGCAGTATGTCATTGTCAATAATACCAAATTTAGATGTTTAGATTGTATTCCTTGTGGCCTAGGGAAGGAACTTGTTGTCCCATGTGATAGCATTATTGGCCCTTATGTTTCAACTGGAGATTGTAAACCATGTGAGCCAGGATTTTACCATGACAGAAAAGATACGAAACAGTGTAAAAAATGTGAACGTTTTAAGTGTTTTGAAAATCAAGTGGGGGAGGGAGAATGCCCCAGTCAAGAAAATCGGGATGAATCGTATTGTGCTAACAAATGCAAAAATGGTTACAACATGAATGAAAATGGCACAAAGTGTGAGCTGGCAAACAATTCACAAACAATTAATGCGACAGATACACACAACGACACAACAATGCCAATCCTAAAGTCTACACCATACCTCATAAAACCTAAAGAACAGCCCACAACAAACTCAACATCTGTAATAAATGATAATCACTCTGCTGCTATATTGCCTGTGAAGTTGATCATTGTTGTTGTGGTTTTGCCTTTGGTGGTTCTGATCTTAATTATTGTCTTTGTGTGGAAGCGCAATTCAATTAAAGAGTTGTTTAAAAGACTTAGAGGTTGGTTGAGTATGTCTAAGATACTTTTAAATCATTTGTTAAATTAGGTCTAAATTGCAGCACTTTACAAATATCATACTATCAGCTTGGAATCAGGCAAATGCCCCCAGCTCTCCTCATAAGTTACCTTTTGCCCCCTCCCAGTGAAGGTCTTTTGAGGGGAATTGTGGAGTGAAATTTTAGTAAAAAAGAGGAAAATTAGTAACTATGTTCCGACAAAAAGTAGTGGTTTCACAACAAACCTTCCTCATACTAGCTAACATACACTCTACATCTGAAACTCGTGATCCATGGTAATGACTAATGATTGAAGCACAAATTCCCCTGCAGGGCCTTTTTTAAGAGAAGAAGTCCGGCCCTGGGCTAGGAGGGTATGAATGAATTAATAATTTAAAGATGCACTAGTTAAATTTGGGTCTGAGGCCTGCCTGAGAAAGTTTTCTCTATTTTTGTGTCTCTATGACTTGATTTTATGCATTTTGGAGACACTCACAGACAAATCCATCTCAGCGGGACAAGGTTTATAATGGGAGACATCATTACTTTCTTCTGAACATGCTAATCATAGCACTCAAAAGTTTTTTTTTGTTTTTTGCCTGGTATTCTACCTATGTTATAATGGACACCCCTTCCCTATATAATCCCTCTTCAGATCTCTTCCAGTACTAGGGAGAAAGACTCTGTCATCCCAAAACATCACTGCCAAATATCCCCAAATTGAAGACATTGTATGTGGGACTCTAAATTTTTTGTGACAACAAAACGCCTTCACAGGACACTACGCGTATAATTTACTGTTCTAGATGATGTAGTAGTCGATAATTAATAGACCAAACTAAATTAAATCAGCACTATTACATCGAAAGTCCAGTACGTTGCGAACTTCTTTACTTACCACGTCCAGAAAAGTTTTGCAACGAGCAAAATAACGGGAGCAGAAACGAATATGAGATAGAAACGAAGATTGCTGGAAATGAAGTCGGAAAAGTGACGAAGAGAGAAAGAAAGATGAATCTATGAAAATTCTTGAGCAAGGTAACATCACAAATAATTTGTACAAAATGTTTAGGTTGTCGTTGTGCGGTTGTCGTTGTCCGGTTGTCGTATATTTTTCAGGCAGCTTTAATAATGCTGCCTATTTTTCAAGTTTCATTCCCCACATTCGAGCAAGAAAATACGTTTCGGCAACGCACAGCATTTGCATTATTAATTATACTATGAAGATGTAGCACTGAATGTAGTCGAAAAAATAGATGAAACAGAATTAAAGCACCCCCGTACTCTTGTCATTTCAACTGACTTCTCCATTACGAATTTGAACACACACTATTATGACCACAATTATTCCAGCAAAGAAACAAAGTGACGGGGGCAGTGAGATAGAAACGAATGAATTGCTGGGAAATGAAGTCGAAAGACAAGAAAAGAAGAATGACGTAGAGAGAAAGAAAGATGGAGCTGTAAAAATTCCTAAGCAAGGTAACATTGCAAATTACAAAATGCCGAGGTTGTCGTCCTCGACAACCAGCCAGCTTTTTTTACAATAACCCTATCCATTTTTCAAGTTTCATTCCCCACCTTTGAGCAAGGAAATATGTTTCCACAAACGTATTTGCATTAGTACTGATTACTATTTAAAGAGGATCGTTCATTATTATGCCTGGCTGGGTGAAAAGAAGATTAATAATTAATGGCCAAATTCTTATCATATTAGAAGTGAAGCGAAATCACTTGCAATTTATAGCAATGACATCGAGAGAAACTAAATTTTGATCCCGTGTATGGGTGTACTGAAAGGCAAAACCAAGAAATAATAGAAAAATGACAATGTCTATATTTCTGACAGGAACCGAATATGACATCTTAACAACACATGCATATTATGTTCTTAATGTTAGTTATGTACTGTCAGCTAGCTAGTAATGTATTTTTGTAAAGCACCAGATCCTAGAAGAAAAACAAAATACGCAATGATGGAAACTGCGCATTCGTTGCGATACTTCGAACCTTTAATATCTGGTAAAGAAATACGGGTTAAATTAACAATATGTTTTTTATTTGTGTTGAAGAGGAAGGAAAAACCCATCCTCCCAAACAAGAAACATTTTCTGGATTAAAGGGTAAGTATGTACTAAGGTGGTTCTATACACGAATTTTGGTGTGATTTTTAATTTTTCCATGTGGAAATATAGGTTATAATGCCCCAACTAGGGTCTATTTCTCTTTTTCCAAAGCTTTGTTTCCATTCCATTGTTCTCAGTGATTGTTCTGCAAAATTCAATTTCAACATCGTCTCCAGTCTCAAATACGCACAAAATATTGTTTTTAAAACTGATTTTTTCGCAGTGAAATAAAAAAAATGTTTTGTGAGAAGTTTTCAATCTTGGTGTAACCTAATGACTGATAAGGCGAAATATTGTGCATAGTACCACCAATATCTTTTAACCCAGGAGGCCGTTGCGCAACATGTTTTTTTTTCATTTTAAAGTCCTGGCATATCCTAGCTTTGCTGAAGTCTTGTTTTTTTAGTTTCCACACTCAATATAGCAGGTTGCAAGAATCGCCGGATTGCTTCAGTTTTCTACAATACACAAACTAAACTATTTCAGTAGGATTATGACAAAAGCCAAATGTGCTGTCACTAAGCTAAGTGAGTGGTAAAGCCGGGATAATGGAATGATTTTATGTGGCCAAAAATGGGATAAGTGCAAACAATTGCATAAAAAAAGCGATCGAAGGTATTTCCGCAGTGTTTTAGCTAAAATGTCGACAACTTCTTTTAGAAAGTACCAGTGTCATTGAAGCTGAATGTGATACGAACACCAGCACACATCCACCTGTAATGCAGCCGATGAACACCAACCCAGGTAATTATAATATTTTCCTCCTTTTTTAAAATAAAATAACTGATTGTACATACAAATGACTTTAGAATGGTTGCTGTGATAATGTTTAATTTCGTATCCGCATTTACTAGGTCCAGGAGAATCAAAAATGCAGAATTCACCACAGCTCAGTGTGAACCTCTCAGTCACTGCAGCCGTCACTGTGAATGGAGTCTAAATTCAGTGTGTACTATGCGAGGCTTAGTCTTAGATTTGTCAATGAAGGTTGAAACATTCGAACGTCACGTCTTAACCTCCTGCTGTAGTCCTGGGTTCCTGGCCAAGCAAGAGACAGGGTGTCTAAAAGAAAACGAAATCGCTATATAATGATTCTAACGATTTAATTTCCAGAGGAGTTATTTAGCCTTTTAGCCAATCTTTTTCACTATGTTATCGCGGCTAGGCGAGGTGAAAACTGCATATAATGAAAGACTAATCAAGTTAAGCCTTTGATGTGATGCACTTTTTACCTCGTTTAGCCGGTGTCCTAGGAAATTTGGTCCCCCTCTAAAAAACATAGTTTACCTTACCATTTTAGAGCTAGAGAACCGTTAAGTGTATAAAAGTTTTAAGTGTATAAAAGTCTATCTAGCTGTACTCTTGTTTGAGTTACAACTTACAAACAACACTGACGGATTTTGTATGGTGCATGTTTTCGTGTTTGCCGATTGTTTTTAACGTTTTTAACTTTTATGCAAATTTGTATTAATTACTCCCTAAATGTTAGCCGCATGCACATATTAACACTTTCACCAACGCATGTTATCATCGCTTGCTAATAATGTGTGGTTGTTATTCTGACCGGCGAATTTTATACTAGGTTCAGAAACTTGTTGAATATTGAGTCACAAGTCCGTGATTTCAAAACTATATATATATATATATATATATATATATATATATATATATATATATATATATATATATATATATATATAAAATTAAGGTTGTCACCTGGCAATATATATAAATACGTAAATATTGATCACGTGATTGTACTGCATACGTTAATTTGACGACCAGATTATAGGCTTAGCGGTTATACATATATAGAAAAGGTTGTTTTAGGAAATAACCACTTATTTACTTATTTATTTAATGTTGTTTTCGATTAAAGCCCTAGTAATGTTATGATAATCCTAGACGTTTGCCACGTGCACATTAACAATTTTCGTCTTAGCTCTTTATAGCTCTTAAAAAAGTTTTTACACAAATAAATAAAGGAAACTAAGTATGAATACAAACAAACATTTACGATCTTGCTTTTAGTTTTAGAAGAAGTTGTTCGATTCTCGAACTCATGGCAATAAACTATGAGAAAGGGGGGCTAAACTTCCTAGGAAATATAGCCGAGGGAGCCAAATTTTGGGGGGGCCAAATTTCCTGGGACACCGGGATAACTCGCTCCATATAAACAGGCCCTCTAGTAAGAGGACTTGGACAGCGCTATCTATTATTCGATTCGGCTATCTATTACTATGGATTCGGCATTTCGGCCACTCAGCGGAATTTTAAAACCCGCGCAATGACTAATGAGGCCGGGCAAATAGCTGGGCAAAAGCTGGGCAATGCGCAGGAGACGTGGGGGATTGGAAACTGGGAAAATTAGGGAAAACACCTTATTGCTGCTTATTGCATCAGCATTTTAATGTTTTGTGAATTTTTTTCTGAATAAGTTTGTCGCTTGCTGACAGTGGCCATAGCTTTGATGTATTGCCAGGAATTAGAAATTTATTTGCACGAGATTTTATAATGAACAGCCTAACACTAGTGACAGTAAGTTGCTTTTTGATATTTATTATTTTAGTGCTATATACAGTGTGTATATAAGCCTAGCGTGATCATAATTTACACCGAATATTCTTACCGCAATATTCTCAATTTTTAAATACTAGAATACCATTAATTTGATTAAAATCTTCCTCTTTAACTTTATTGGTATGGCATTGTCGCCGACTATATATTATTTTAACTCACTGGTGATAAAAATATACGAAATTTACTGCTGGTTGTGTACTTTTTCAAACTGCGAATAATTCGATTTTTCGAATCTTCTGGAAGATCGTTTTTCTTCTGGAAGATCGCGGTTCGATTGCTTTGTCTTCAGAATGATAAAATTTCAAAATTTATTATTAAACGAAGCCAGTCTCTACTTTCAATATTCTTTTATACGAAGGATTACAACTTTTTTGTTAGAAAATACGCGGACATTCGAAATAGGATTTTACAAGATAACTGATTAACTGGCTCTTGATAAAACGTTATTTCTAAATAAATTTGTAATATAACGTTTATAGTACGCGCATGCCGATCGGTCGAGAAGCGTGTTTCTATAACTGTACAGAGACACGGAAAATGTTTTCTATTTCTTAAATAGTATATTATACACAAACACTATATTGATCACGTACATATATATTGTTATATTCTCTGGATAAGATGGCATTATATGACCTCTTGGTTGGTATCTTCATTTTTTTATTTAGGGTGTTCTAGTTTTGTTGTTGTTTGTAGCCATCCAGCTTTGTGCCGCTGTGCATGCATGTGATGTTACAAAACAGTACATTGTGCATGACAACTCTGGGAAATTTGTTTCATGCTCCCGATGCACATCCTGTAGAACAGGCAAAGAGCCTAAGAAGCCTTGTGGTTCAATCATTGGCATTAATGAGAAAGTTGGACCTTGCAGATTTTGTAAGCCTGGTAATTACTCTGACAGAGATGACACAAGCCCATGTAAGCCTTGCGAGAGTGAAACATGTTTTGAACATCAGATAATTGAGGGGACATGTACTATCAAGAGGGATACATCTCATTGTGTTGACAAATGTGAAAAGGGATATATTATGAACACTAAAAAAACTGCTTGTGATGTAGATGTACCTCATGTAATTACAACAAAAGATCCCACAGTTGACACTGGAACAAATGCTGCAAGTGAGCTTTCAACAAAACATGCAACCATTATGTCAACAGTGACACCTGGCTCCAAAACAGAGAAAGGCACTGGGCTGGATACTATTGTGATTGTTTTAATTCTCTTTGCTTTCCTTGTCTTTGCTTTTATTGTTGGCTTTGGAATATTTTTGTACTGGAGATACACAAAAACCCTTGAAACAACACCAGGTAACTGCTAGGGTAGTACTATAGTTCCTCTTTATACATACCTAACATATTTGTCACCATGCACATGCTTTGTCATATTAGATAGCAGATCTTAGCTAGCTGGAATTAGGTCAGGTGCAGGTTCAATTTGCACTTATTCAACCATGAAGTATGATCAAATGTAAGATAAAAGGCAAAAATCTCATGTGAAAACTATCTAATATCAATCCCACAGCGAAAGATGACATTAAAAAAGAAACTGATGGAGAATTATTTGAAGATAATATTCAGCAAGGTAAATTAAATGAAGTCTTGAAAATTACTATAACCCTATATCTCAGCTTTGTTTCCTAAAATTACTTTTTCAATTTATTGTCATAGGCGTAGGGCGCAACTTCGCTTGGGGGGCAAAAATTTTTGAATTATACAATGTGCCCAAATTATAATTTTTACCAGATTTGTAACAATAGACTTGGCAAAGCAGCGGATGTGCTTTCAAGAAAGTGTAACAAAAATGGCGAAATAGAATACATGCAAATATGTGATATATATATTACAAAATTTGGTTCTAAAAATTTTAGCTATATGTAACTCTTTTTCAGTTTGCCCGAATTTTTGGCTGAACTTTGTCTGAATTTCTTGACTGTGTGTGTCCCCCCTGCCCCCCTGTTTCATATGCCTATGTTTATTGTGTTTACTTTCTCAATTTATTCAATTTATTGTGTGTATTTTAGCGTTCTTAGAAATGCATTCTTCAAGTGAAGATAGCCTAGTACCTCAAAACTCAGCCATCCTGGATGATAGTAACATCCTGGATGATAGTAACACCAACCGGGCCCTGATGGCTACACCACCTCCAAGAGATCACTTAAGTTATGGAATGCCAGGTAATTTTTGCAAGCCAATTTCAGGATTTGTATCAAAATGTATAACCTTTTATGACAATTAATATGCATTATTTTCTAGCTGTTGTGCTTTTGCCAACTGTCTGTCAAGATGTAGTCCCAGTCCCATCATTGAGGTATTTTAATGACAAAGATTCAACAAGGATAAATAATGGAATTCCTGCCACATTGTATTTACACATTTGTGCCACATTTGATGGTGGTCCAGATGGTAAAAATTGGAGGGCCTTGGCTGGATGGTTAAACTTTACTGTAAATGATATTATTTATCTGGAAAGATTAAAGGAGAACCAGACACACGCTATAATTCAAAACTGGGGGACTGAAGTTGGAAATGATATTAAGAAGTTTGTACACATTTTAGAAGCAAAAAAAATGACGTATCTTGCTCAGGAGATCAGTAATGCATATGAAAACCACTGCAAACATGTCAATGAAGATAATAGATAGAACTGTATGTAGATCATCATTGATCAACTCCTTCCAGAGACAGAGATGGTGAGATGTTTTAATTTCACCCTAAGAAAATTTGTCATATAAACAAAAATATGTTTTGAATTGGAACAATTTTATTGAACTAAGTGACTCTTACCAAACATGTCCAGGTGACTCTGTTCTTATTAGCCTAGCTCTTAGATTTTATTTGCTTACGTTTTTTATTCTGGATTTTTTACCATTACTCTGTATACTAACAATAATATGACAATGTGTCATGATTGTGTAAACTGTGCAGTCAATTGTCAAAATTTTGAACTATTATATTGTACATTGAAAAGTCCAATTTGTAAATGTTTTTGAAATGACCTATTACCTACCAGTGGTCTAAAACATTTACTGTGACATGTGATGTACTGTATGTGTTGTCTAATAAATGTCTAGAACACCCCCTGAATCCTTGGAGTTAGTCACAACCAGTTTACAATCAGAGTACAACAAAAACTCAACAAGGTTTAGAAAATTAGAAGGACAAAGAAATTGAAATAATACGTATTGTCTATGGTTTCTATGGTATTGTGACAAATGTGACACTGAGCTATATCTTTAAAAAGATTTAAATTCCATACAGCTCATAGGAATTTAAATATAGCTCAGTGTTTGTGAGGACAACCCAAGGGACAACTTGGGCGCATGCGCCATGGTCAAGGGACTTCCCCTAGGCTATGCGTCATGATGACTCAGGTATATTTGAGAAGCTTGAAGGCCAAGCAGAAAGGCCCAAGGAGATCATTTATATTTCCTCTTTGCCAAAGAGTATATCTGCTTGAAATGTGCTTTATCAGAGTCGTTGGTAGCGAATCATACTCATAACATCGAGGTTTTGATGTGATCGGTGTGATTTGATAGAACCTGATATCAATTACAGGATAACAAAATGGTGAACCCAACTTTGTGCATCACAATATTGGTATGTAATAGATTTTCCTACATTCGGATTTTTCAGAGATTGAGAATGATCGAACGATTTATTTTTCAAACAAACAAACGAGCGATTCATGTCACAAGTTGAGACGTTGAGCGGCTGATCGAGGGCTTTCTTTATTCATGCGCAAAAGTATTGTAGCATCTACAAGAAGCTAGCTGTCGGTCAAAAATCAATAACAATATAAACAAGAGTAACAATTGAACAAAAATTGACATATCCTTGTATCAATTATGGTATCATCAATTTTGAATTACTCAAGCCACAATTCATGTAATAAATAACGGAAAGAAACAAAAATGTACATAAATTACATGATGAAGCACTTTCTGTGTTCAATAACTACCGACATTGGCTGGAAGTTTAAGGAGCTTGCTATAACTATAATCTTTTGTTTCAAATCGCATTATTTTCTTTACAGGCAGTTATTGTGTTAAATTCTGCTCTAAATGTCTTTGCTTTGCAATGTGATCCTGAGAAAGAATACACTGTGTGGAATAAAACATCAGGAAAAACTGTATTGTGCCTTGATTGCATTTCTTGTAAGCCTGGTTCAGAACTAAAGATACCATGTGGTTCCACTATAAGTATCTATGAATCTGTTGGGGGATGCCAGAAATGCAGGGATGGCTATTTCTCAGAAGAAAGTACTGTACGGCCATGCCAAAAATGTAACAACTGTGTAGACCATGAAATCATTGTGGGTGCATGTAATTGCACTGGTCGCTGTGAAGAAGGGTTTGTCAAGACCACCCAAGGATTATGTGAGAAATCACAGGAACGGCCAACAAAAGATCCAGCTTTGTTAAATGAGAAGAATGGAAACACTGGATTATCAACTGCAGAAATTGTTCCGATTGTCATTTGTGCAGTTATATTGCTGATGATACTAATTATATGTATTGTGTGTTACAAATGCAAGCAAAAAAAAAGTTCATGTAAAGGTAGATGGTTTGATTATATATTTATTATTGAAACTAATTAACTTATAGACCCTTCTCAATCTAATTGTGCATGTGCATTATATTCAGACTTGAGTTTTAATTGTTAATATAGGTTGAAAAATGTGGGAATACAAAGTGCATACATGAAATAAATTCTCTCTATCATTTATTCTAAGGTTATGGTAAAGATGAGGAAGCTAGTTCTGAAAATTCTGAAGGATTATTGTGTGAAAAAAAAGACAAAGTTGAAACAATTATCATTCAACAAGGTATAATTATAAATTATGTTAATTTGCATGATCAGGTCATAAATTTTGCTTTAATTTCTTCAATATATTTACTTGAACCTAATATAACATTTTTTTGTTGTCTCTGTCAGAGAGTGAGAACGATGGTTTACCAACATCACATGGTCCACATGTTCCAGAAACTTCGGGGGGTTTTGGTAAAGTGTCTATTTCTGAATTCTAATTTCACAATCAGTAATGAATTAAACCAGCCCAACATTAAGCCATGCAAAATACAATTTTTTATTAATAATTGATTGTTAGAAATTGATTGTTTTCACAGACTTTGAATATTTGCATTTACACTGATTATGGCCAAATGCCTGGTTGGCTTATTATATTGGTCAAGATCAATTCTTAGATTTTAATTTATATTCCATGAACAGACATGTATAATTAAAGCCTTGCATCACTTTTTATTTATTTAGCCCTAACATCTCAAACTGACAGTGTTTAATGATTGACAGTTTCATACAGTGGCGCAATTATATTGTCTACAATTATAGAGTTAAAATTTGGTGATAACACAGAACTTGAAACACTAGACACACCTCTTTTGTTAATTTTAGTGGCACTGGCATATTATATTAACAATTGAGTGGTAATTTATGCATTCAGGCATCATATTTGTGTCCTAACTAAATCATGCATGTATTCTATGCAATGTAAATATTTAATTCACCAAATATATTTGAATTTTTGTTCTTAATTGACTGCTTCTAACTTATCTTTTTGATTGATTTTATTTGTCAAAGCTAGGTTAGCGCTAACCCTGGGATAAATGGTCATAAATTTTAATCCAGTGTTTTAGTTTATTTGTTTCTGAACCCTGGTCATTTAAAAACTTTAGAGAATATGACTTCTAACGGTTCAAGGTTAGCCCTAACCTATCTACTGGCCCCAGGGCAGTCTAATTACGCAATTTAATATAAAAGTAACAGCTTCAAGATTGTTCGTGCAAGGTGGTAAAGAAATTGCATCAGCTGAAGGTACCACGCAAGGTGATCCGTTAGCCATGCCGTCATACGCCGTCGCCATTACTCCACTCCTGCTCATGATTAAATCTGATGAAGCTAGTGATGTAAGGCATGTTGCGTACGCGGATGACCTTAGTGGGGCAGGTAAGCTAATGCAACTGCGTGCCTGGTGGGAGAAGATTGCCGTGCATGGTCCGAGTCTTGGTTACTACCCGCGAGCTGATAAATCCTGGTTGATTGTGAAGCCACACCTGGAGCAGACTGCCATTGAGATCTTCGCTGGAACTAATGTACAAATTTCAAGTGAAGGGCATAAGTACCTTGGAGGATATCTTGGATCGGATGACGGAAAAGATAAGTATATTAGTTCTTTAGTTAGTAAATGGTGCCAGCAACTTCACGTTTTGAGTGAAATTGCCAAATTCCAACCCCAAGCAGCATACACGGCGTTTGTCTCAGGTTTTCGGCACAGATTTACTTACCACATTCGTGCCGTTCCAGGTATCAAGACCGCGATGCAGCTTGTTGACGACACCATCAACCTGAAGCTCCTTCCTGCACTCCTCGATAACCGTAGCTTGTCTATCCATGAGCGACAATTGGTTTCGCTTCCAGCTCGTATGGGAGGTCTTGGTATTCCGATCTTTAACGACATCTGTCATGAAGAGCATTTGAACTCCACAACCATCTGTCATCTTCTCTCAAGTAGAATCATCCATCAGAATGGTACACCATGACACCATCAGCAGAACATGGAGATTCCATCCACGATCTTCGCCGTGAGATTGCAAAACAACGTCAAGCTAGGAACTCGTTGCTGCTACAGAACTTGAGATCGAGCATGAGTGAAGAGCAGATTCGAGCAAATGACCTCGCCCAGTTGAAAGGATCCTCAGCTTGGCTAACTGCTCTGCCACTTGCTGAAGAGGGCTACATCTTGACCAAGCGTGAGTTCTTTGATGCAATCTACATGCGTTATCGATGGCCTTTGAAACGCCTTCCATCTTTCTGCGCTTGTGGAAAATCGTTCACGGTAGATCATGCCCTGTCGTGCCTGAAAGGAGGTTTTATCCATCGAAGACATAATGAGATCCGTGATCTACTTGCTGCTGCTATCGATGACGTTGCTTACGATGTTTCAATTGAACTTGCTCTTGCTCCTTTGACTGGCGAGGTTCTTCCATCCAGTGCTAACTCAACCGATGACGCCAGAGTTGACATTGCTGCGAGAGGTTTCTGGCAGAGATGTGAAAAGGCATTTTTTGATGTAAGGGTGTTTAACCCATACGCCTCTACACATCGACGCCAGACGTTGAGCAGCTCGTTTAAAGCCAACGAACGGGAAAAGAAGCGACATTACAACCAACGGATTGTTGAGGTCGAGCATGGCTCCTTCACACCGGTCGTCTTCAGCGCCTTTGGCGGATGCGGAAGAGAGACCCAACATTTTCTTTCCTTCCTGGGTGCGAAGCTGGCTGACAAGAAGAATCATTCTCCATCTATGGTGGTTAGCTGGTTACGACGAAAGATCGCCTATGCTTTGCTTAGAGCTCGCGTGGTGTGTGTTCGTGGCAGTCGAAGTTGGAGGACCGCGTCCATCACATCAACTAACGACATTACGTTGTCGGAATGGAACTCCAACATTAGCGAGTAGTCTAGTTAAGTTGTTTTTGTAAATAGTCTGTAGAACTATTATACTTAATTTTAATGCATGATTGATTATTGTAAATTTCCCTAGTACTAATAATATAACAAAGCCAAATTTAATATAAAACAAAAACACGCGCCGGGGACGTGTCACGTGCCTGCCCCAGGGCACAGCCCAGGGGTTTATCTGTAAATGGGGAATCCCCGCCGCGGATTTTGCTATGACTTAATTATTTCGCAATTTGTATTCCAGGAGGGGTTGAAGAAAATTTGCAAAAATACAAATACAACGTTGCAATCAAAATGTTGCACGAAAAATCACTCTACAGCCTAAATAATCGTATTTTAGGATGATTTTGTGTTGTGTGTATACATTGCTTGTTTCCTGAGTGATAAGAAACTTCTAAAATTCTTTAATATGACTAAATACTGGCCTTTCTTGTGTCAAATTTTTTTATTGATGGTATGTACATATAATTTAAATATTGCATGATTCTCTGATATGTGGTACCTGTTTAGAAGTACGCATATTGATGATATGTTTATCAAGTACTTATATTGAAGACGTTACCATGTTTTATTCTTTTCAATTTCGGTTCCTATCGTTCTTAATTATTAAATTTTATCTTGGAGAATCTCTACGGTCATTGTATCTAGCCTGCAGTCTGACGTATAGAGATATTAATTACACTTCTCTCTTGAATGAGTCAACTTGAATACACTGAATATGTAGTTGCAAACAGTATCGTTGTATCAAGGTAAAAAACATTTAGTTTGCTTGTTGAATGAAACGAGGGACTTGCTTTTTATTTTGCACTTAACCACCGTTCAGCTATTATTAGGTTGAGTCAACTGATTATAACTTACCATATTAATATCCAATTACCGACAATAAACTATAAATTTTTCTGTAAATATTTTGAATAATATAAATGACGAATAAAGAGGCCATCATGATTGTAGTGTGCAGCTGTACTTGAGTGCATTTTATTTTATAAAAATTATGTAAGAAAAAAATTTAGTTATAAATAAACATAAAACAAACCTTCATTCCTGATCCTTCATTTCTGCCTGCGCTAATAAATATATAAAATAATTTTTATTTTCCATGTCAGAAAACATTCTTCTTGCTGTGTATGAGTGATCCTGGTGTGTCAGAAACACCTAAAACAAATTGTAGTATTGAGGAATATGGAATACAATCTGAAGATGGACAACTTAAATGCATACCATGTACTGCCTTACCCACTTGTCAACATGGCTTGGGCATTTCAGTAGTTTGTGGGAGCATTGTTTCCAAGAAAACACACATACATTGTGTTCCTTGTGTTCGTGGTAAAACATTCTCAGCATCAAGTGATAACAAACCTTGTCAGAGATGCCAAAGCTTAGATTGTCACCCAAATGAAAAAGTTCTTGGTAAATGTGAAGTTGATAAAGATACTTCAAAATGTAGTGGAATCTGTGAAAAAGGATTTTATTCAAACACAGGCAGATTAGATCACTGTCAGCCATGTTCATTATGTTCAAATAATGATAGTACAGCTGTGGTAAAAAAGTGTAAAGATGATGGCATACCTAATGGAAAACAATGTAAAGTTCCTTCACCAGCAAAGCCTTCTGTTCGTACATCCAAGGTGAGAATTTACCTAATCTACATGCTGTTTATAGAATGTGTCACGGTTTACCTGCATGCTGAGGAATGAGGACTTTCTTATTTTTCAAGAGTTAATAAATCTAATTGTATCATTTTTTTAAAAGCTGTTCTCAACAACAAAAACTGAATGCAAAGACCAAAAATACGGATCTCAAGGTTACAAGTCATATCATGCACGGTTTGTTTCCCTGGTTGTCGTCATTAGTATTCTTTCGGCTGTTACCTGTATTCTTGCCATTCTTTTGTGGAAACAAAAACACAGAAAAAAGACATACAGCTCTGAAGAGGGCCAAGCGTCCCCTTCAGGTGAGGTTTTGTTATGTTAGGTTTTTTACAATAATTAAGTCACACAGATCCATGCAAGCACATTTATTACATCATCCACTTTTTCCTTCCTCCTTTTGAATATGGCCAGCATTAATTCATGGCACAATACTGGAATAATATTTTGTTAATGTATACTCATGCAGGTGTGGGAAATGAGTCTGTTGAAAATCAATCTGACCAGGGCGAAGTTGCATTAGCCTCATGCAAGGGAAAATCTTCATCCGGTTCTACTGGTAATATTTTTGACCAATATCAGTTGTATTTCAATTATGATTGTATTAGATGTAAAATTTAAGGAACTTTCTGTTCTGTGATTGATTTTGTAATAAATTAAGTATTTCATTTAAGGAAGTCAGAAAGTTTACTACACCAAACAAGATTCCAATTCCAATACTGACGAAAGTAAGTTACATTTAACTAAAAGCACAGGAATTCATAGAATTTCCTAAATTAAAAAATCTTTTATATGAACTTTTAATTTTCACTGAATTTAAATTATGTCAATCAGTGTTATTGCCTGCAAGTGAACAGCAGGATAAGGATAAGGATGATGTTTTTGATGAGCAGCTGGACACTCAAAAGACTCGTGAACGAATACGAAAATTGTCTAGTTCATCAGGTATAACCTAGCTATACATGATATTTCTATAAACGTCTAATACAAGATCACTGTTGATTAGTGTTTTGGTTTCTTGAATTTTTTCCTTATTTTTAAATGAATATGGGTTGCCTTATTCAAAGTGTTTGCTTCTAAAGGCTGGAACATGTTTCGTTTTTATTTAACTTCTATTTTTTAGGGAACAAATATCGCTTCAGTTTCATGCGTCAGAACTCTAATCCAATACCAGAACATCAAGAAGAAAGTATGTTATTACAAACTGCTGTTAATGAGTTTAAGGACGTTGCCGGTGCCGGTGACGTTTCTTTCAATGGATAAGCTACTTCAGTTTTTCTTATCTAATTTTTACAGAAGCATTTCTTAAACGAAGAAACACCTTCAGTAATTTTACCAGCTTACTTAATACTGATCCAAAGATAAAAGGAAATAAAGGTAAAAAGATATTTTGATCTGTTCTTTGTCTCAAGTGGTTCAACATGGCAGCAAAAAGTCGAAAAAGGTTATTTACAGGTGGGTTTGGATCTGATCAGGTGCTTGCTAAGCCGCGTTTACATTACGTGCTTTGACCAGGGGCCGGTTGTATCAAGCCCGTTTAGCTTAAACGGTGGATAAGTTCAAAATAGAAAGTAAGTCTGCCGTTTTATTCAAGAAGCAAACTAAATGTTTTTTTTATCTTAATACAAGAGAGATGTAAGAGTGTTATCTAATTTTGACTTATCCACCGTTTAAGCTAAACGGGCTTGATACAACCGGCCCCTGACCTGGACCAAGCCAAGGCCTATGTGAACGTTGTTTATCCGGCTTAGACCAGGCCTAGACCTGACCTGGCTGGACCTGACCTGGAGCAAAATTTTAATAATGTGAACAGGCTTTACCAAGTCTTGACAAACTTTTAACTTAAAAGTATGATTTGTATAGAACCTATACTAGTATTACCCCTTTTCGGCGTGTTTTGGGTCTTTTTCCAAGTCAGGTTTTTGTCAATTACTTTGGCTATCCATGCAATATCATAAACAAGGAAGACAGTGCGAGCGTAGGACATATATTACCTTGACTGAAGTGTAAACGCAGCTTTAGAAACACCTGATTAATAAGAAAGCAGAAGAACAACTATATCAAAAGGATTAAGTCTTTTGGGACTCCGCAGTGCATAAAGATTTACGTAAATTATAGTTTGAATTTTTTTATTTCAGAGGAGACAGCCTCCCTGTTATTCTCGGCAGATGATAGTGATGATGATATGCCAACGCCTCCTCCAGAAGCCCCTTCGTCCTTAGGTACGTAACCTATTTAACCAACTTATTTTTATACAATGATAAAAACTTTTTCTAAAAGATATCTAACTGCATATTAGCAATATCCAGGAGATTGATTAAACACACTGTATGTATATAAGTAACAAAACACCTTTATATTTCAGGAGAAAGCAACAGGATTTTTAACTCAAGCCCAATGCCAGAACATGTGGGAAATAGTATGTCAAATAATCCTTAATAATCATGCTTTGTTCTTGCCTTGTTTTTTAAACCATTTCTTAACTAAACGTCTTCACTTGACGACAAATATTTTTTTCAAAAACAAACAAGTGCAGCTTTCAGACGTATTAACTTAATGTTTTAAGAACAGTACAAAAATGTTCTATTTGTTTATTTGCAGGTGAAACTACTTCCACAGACCAGAATGATAATGACATTCTACCGGATGTGGTAATGCTTCCTCCTAGTTCCTCTTCAGGTTAGAAACTTGTTACAAAGTGTTTCTCTCAAATTCGATAGATCATTAAAAACACAAATTTTGATCATTTTCGCAGCTCCTCACAGACTGTCGGGTGTAAAAGTCAGGGAAATGAATGCCGAGATTTACCTCCAACTTTGTAATATGTTAAGTCTGGAAATACACAACAAAGATTGGCGGACATTGGCAGGTCGTATGAAATACTCCAACCAACAAGTCAAAGAATTTGCTAATCCAGATAAGTTACTAGATCATTGGGGGGTAAAAGATGGTAATGACGTTGCCCGTTTGATAGACCTTGCTAGAGGACTGGGAAGAGATGACATTGTCAAATTATTGGAATCTGCTGAAACTTATCCAACGAATTTTTAACTGTGAATTTACCATAAACAATGTTTTTTACAATTCGATTGCCTACCTCAAAAGCAGGTTTTTCAAACAACTTCAATCCTAGACAAAAAACACACGGACGTTATTTATTATCGCTGAACTTTCGGTCTATCAATTATTTTTTCGCATGTGCAGTCGTATTTCCCGCTCCCCTATTGCAATGATGTTGGGAATAGTATCGCAGTAATCGCCATAACAATTCAAGTGTTCATTAACATTGTTTCGGGGGGAGGGGGTCAGTTTTATGAGGGATATGTAAATATTTGTCACTGATAATTTCTTCATTCCATGCTTGTTCCAGCGAATTTGTCTATGATTGTTGGTGATAATACATTCTGCTACAAATTAAGCGCTAATTTAACATGGAGAATTACTGACAGTCTGACACATACGAGAAAGTAGTCCAGGTCAAGTGACATCATGATTAGTTTAGTATATTTTCTTACACTTACAGCCATCACAGGATTATACACGCCTGTGTAAATATGAATAATATTTACTCTATAATTTATCGTCATATCGACAGTATGTTTGTTACTCGAAATGAGTTTTTGACAGCAACAGTCGCTCACATTTAACAATCCAATTTAACTGTTCTTTAACGTGATTTGTTGATTGTGTTCGAATGTACTTGTAAAACTCTTCAGAAAATAACTCGTTGATGGGTAGAAAGCTAATAATATCTTCTTCTAACGGTTTGTTGTTGAAGGAAACCTCTGAAACTTGTTCCATGTAGGCAATTAGAGTGGCAGATTGGACTGAATTGACGAAATCACGACACACGAGGAATTGTTTTGACACAGGACAAAAAGTTGGACTAACCAATGCAATTTCTTTGAAGAGCAAGTTTAGAATATAGGCAAGTCCTGCAGTAAACTGAGTCAATGTGTCGGAAAGCTCGCAAATGAAACAGTCACCTTGGCGAAGCAAGCGTAATGCAGTAATGCACTGGTTAAGAAACTTAGCTCGCGTGGTTAACTCATCAGCCTGGTCAGGCTGCTCTGTTGACTCACATGTGTTGTACACAGATCCTAATATTATACGTACTGCTTTTGGATCATTGTTAGTTTCTTTATCTGCTTCGTCTTGACCAGTGTTGGTTGCTAAAACATCTTCATTCATTTCCTCACAGCCAAAATGTCTTAATTTTTCAACTTCACTGGTATCAAACCCTGAACAACTCTTGGCCACGATCTTTCTCAGTTCAACGTCATTGCAATGTTCTGCACAGTTCAGGCACATCAATGATATACATTGCTCATTATAACAAACTCCACTCCGCAACAATTGAGAAACAAACCGACCATTCCCGGAAATATCCAGCATAAAACTAGATTTATACTCATTCAACATACCACATTCCTGTAGTAGACTAACGATGTTGAAAACACCTTTCCAGTGCCCGATTTCTAGTGCTTTTTCTTTTACAAGGCATTCTACAGCTTCAATGAGCTGCTTTCCTTGAGAAGAATGATATAATTTCGCGGCCATTCTTGCTTCATTCAGTTGATTTATTAACGTCGGGGTGCAGAATCGCGAACTCTGGATTAGTTTGATAGCTTTACCAGAGACGACATCCCAGTGTTGTAAATCTGACTTCGTTTCTTCCTTTCTTTTCAACCAGTTAATTGATGTTACTAAAAACGTTGGCAAATGACAAAAAAGGAATTTACATTAATTTTCAGTTCTCAGTGGAAGAAGATACCATGACTATTTTGTTCGCTCTTCTATTGTCAACTACGTGTCAACCTGTAACATGTCACAGAAGTGAAATATCCAATCGTTTGAATGTCCATTTGCCTGCAAGAATGATCTACAAAATATTTACCTGAATTGAATATTTCATTGACAAGTTCCTCTTCAGTAATCAAGAACTTCATTTCATTTGGAGAAACAACTCTTTCATGCCAGCCAAGTTTTGACATTGCAACTCTCTGAACATAAGAGCCTGTATGATGGGTACCTGAGTTACAGTATGTCTCATGTAAACTTTCAGGCCAGTAACTAAGCTGTGTACCATCCAAATGAACCTGTGATACAACAAACAAGTCTTGTTCCACATACTGTACATTAAAACGAATAACAAATTCCTTTGCTAAATGCTTCCTGAGTTTAGTCAAGAACTTCCATTTGCCTTTTGAAAAACTTTCAAATAATTCTATGTTTCTATTTATGGCATTAGTTTGATATTCTGAGAATGTCTTTGCACACTTTATCACTTGTTCTATGAACTTTGGTGGTAAACACTCAAGGGAGGTCAATGTTAGTTCAGGTGTGATCGGGCCATAGTGGAATCGTAGTTTTTCTAAAAGGTCTTTGGGAAGATGCGTAGGTCCAGCAAAGGATGTACAAACACAGTAAACTTCTGAATTCCCCGGTTTACTGGTTCCTGAAACCAAACAAAAATAACCTTGTTTAATAGACAACTCCTCTCTTTGAAAGTTCACTCACAAGATGTGATAGGAAGGTGCTAGGGAGTGGAAAACCAAACTAACTGATTAAAAAAATTACCTGGTTTAATAATCTCAACCTCTTCAAAGAGACAACACAGCAGAAATAGAATTCCAATAGTGTGATGTTCAAACATAGTAAACATTTTTATGACCAGAGTACCTCCACATGCTAGATTAATGAGAGCAGCAACTACCTCACAATACAATAATTGGCTAATCACAATCTCTTGTTTGTCAGGCTCATCTGCACAACTGATACTGCCATCTGCTGTCACCTAAATTGGTGTGTGATATTTTAGAAATAAAATACAAGACCACTTCTTTAAGGTTAAACACTGGGTGAAATTAGTATTCTACATTAAATATAGTAACCTTTTCTGTATAAATTGGATGATTTCTATCCTATTTACATTTTAAAAACAACTTTGCTATTGGGAAATAATTAATAGCAGTCCACTTAGTCTCAGTCAAGTAGAAGTCACTTGCCACAGGAGCACGCAGCCTAGTTCACATTGGCTGGAATTTTAGGCTTGGATATGCTCAACAATGCATGCAAATTTTAGGAATGTTCAGACTATAGAAAAGTTCTGATTCTAATCAAATGATTTAGTTCTTATCTTCAGACATCTGTGTTTAAAACAAAGATTGATAATTGTAAGGCAGTCAATTTGTTCTTTCTGGATAGGTTTGCATAGTGTTTGGTAATTGATATGTGCCCTCTGAATGTGCATGTCTGGAGGTTAAATTTCTGGAAATTATTGCTTAGCTGTATTTTAAAATTGCATCAAAGGACTTGTTCTAACTAAAATTTCTGTTTGTGGGCAATCTTTCTCTCATCTGTTCTAACCATATCACATTATACACTCACAATATCAACATTCCCAGCACCGCCTACTGCCTTCAACAGACAATCAAGGTTCTCCCACTTCATTAAATCACCATCATTACTTTCACCAAAATTCCAGTTTCCTAGAGTCTCGACAATAAACCGTTCTCCAGAGATCATTTGTTTTGTATCATTTCCTTCGTAAAAGGGGTTAAGAGTCGATGCAAGCCATTTCCAGTCCATATCATCCAAATTTGACTTTAAATAATGGTTTAAGCTTGCAATAAATGCACCAGGAGCTTCACACAGATGTAAACTAGTAAGCTTTCTATTTTGTATGCATTTCGAAGGAATAACATCACAAGAGCTTAATATTTCATAAAATTTTGCCCATGCTTGGGTGCATAACTCAGGTTTTACTGCCTCGCGTAGATTTTTTACCACTAAACCACATGGGTTAGTTTTACTTGTATGTTTTCTCCATTTTTCTATGTCTTTGGAATTTAGTAAATTTTTGGTTGTGTTTAAACTGTCTTTAATCGTAATTAACCGCTCATTAGTAAAACCTGGAAGAGAGAACATAGCACCAGCTTCAGGAAGAACATATTGGTCCTCCTTCGACTTCAGTTTGAATCTTTTGTTAAAAATACTATCAGATTTTTGGCGAAGTGCAGCTAAACCCCGCTTTTCCACATTGACGGCCATGTTGGATTTCACTAGCGCTGGGCTATATAGAAAACTGAACAATGAATGAGCATATCTGGAACATATGCACAGTACGTCTCGTGTCATTTATTACCAAAAAAATGTGAAATTTTTAGTCACATTTTTCGTCAATTGAGTCAAATTTCAAGCGTACCAAATCTAAAATTCCGCGTAGTAAAATGGGGCCTTACTCCTTAGACGGGAAACTCGCCTGATGTGAATCAGATCACAGACAGGTTTCTTATCCGATTTTTCCGCCTAACTTTCCCGTCTAAACAGACGGGTAAAGGCTAGTTTCCACTCAGGATAATTCTCTTCTGGATCGGACAGGACAGGAAAGATTCCTTTGTATAAACGCCGCCTGAGAACTCACCGACAAAGGAAATTTTCCTGTCCGTTCCGATCCAAAGGAGATTTTTTCTGAGTGGAAACTAGTCTTAAGTTGGACGGAAATCCCAGCCCCGTTCCCAGGCGCTTTAAATAAAATAAATATAGGAACACGCGTTGTGAGATGATTCAGCGCGTTGTGAAATGATTTAGCGCGTTGTGACATGATTCAACGCGTTGTGAGATGATTCTTAAGAAATAGAAAACATTTTCCGTGTTTCTATACAGTTATAGAAACACGCGTGGGAGTTTGGGAGAACGAGAAATAATCAGTGGGAAAACGAGCCCGTAGGGCGAGTTTTTCCACGTTATTTCGAGTTCTCCCAAACTCCCACAAGTGTGTTTCTATAACTGTATAGAAACACAGGAAAAAATGTTTTCTATTTCTTTTATAATATAACTCAATAAAAAGATTTTGTACAAATATTATGATTCGATTCAATTACAAATGCTCATTACATCGCTTCGCTTGTCAAGTGCGGCGGGAAAATTCCCGTGTTTCTATACAGTTAAACACACGACCAATCAGCACGCGCGTACTATAAATGTTATATTATAAAATGTGTTGTGAAATGATTCAATGTGTTGTGAAATGATTCAATGTGTTGTGAAATGATTCAATGTGTTGTGAAATGATTCAATGTGTTGTGAAATGATTCAACGCGTTGTGAAATGATTCAACACGTTGTGAAATGATTCAGCGCGTTGTGAAATGATTCAATGTGTTGTGAAATGATTCAACGCATTGTGAAATGATTCAATGTGTTGTGAAATGATTCAACGCATTGTGAAATGATTCAATGTGTTGTGAAATGATTCAATGTGTTGTGAAATGATTCAACGCATTGTGAAATGATTCAATGTGTTGTGAAATGATTCAATGTGTTGTGAAATGATTCAACACGTTGTGAAATGATTCAGCGCGTTGTGAAATGATTCAATGTGTTGTGAAATGATTCAACGCATTGTGAAATGATTCAACGCATTGTGAAATGATTCAACACGTTGTGAAATGATTCAACACGTTGTGAAATGATTCAATGTGTTGTGAAATGATTCAACACGTTGTGAAATGATTCAATGTGTTGTGAAATGATTCAGCGCGTTGTGAAATGATTCAATGTGTTGTGAAATGATTCAATGTGTTGTGAAATGATTCAACACGTTGTGAAATGATTCAACACGTTGTGAAATGATTCAACACGTTGTGAAATGATTCAACACGTTGTGAAATGATTCAATGTGTTGTGAGATGATTCAATGTGTTGTGAAATGATTCAACACGTTGTGAAATGATTCAATGTGTTGTGAAATGATTCAACACGTTGTGAGATGATTCAATGTGTTGTGAAATGATTCAGCGCGTTGTGAAATGATTCAGCGCGTTGTGAAATGATTCAGCGCGTTGTGACATGATTCAACGCGTTGTGAGATGATTCAATGTGTTGTGAAATGATTCAACGCATTGTGAAATGATTCAATGTGTTGTGAAATGATTCAACACGTTGTGAAATGATTCAACACTTGTGAAATGATTCAACACGTTGTGAAATGATTCAATGTGTTGTGAGATGATTCAATGTGTTGTGAAATGATTCAACACGTTGTGAAATGATTCAATGTGTTGTGAAATGATTCAACACGTTGTGAGATGATTCAATGTGTTGTGAAATGATTCAACACGTTGTGAGATGATTCAATGTGTTGTGAAATGATTCAACGCGTTGTGAAATGATTCAATGTGTTGTGAAATGATTCAACGCGTTGTGAGATGATTCAATGTGTTGTGAAATGATTCAACGCGTTGTGAGATGATTCAATGTGTTGTGAAATGATTCAACACGTTGTGAAATGATTCAACACGTTGTGAAATGATTCAACGTGTTGTGAAATGATTCAATGTGTTGTGAAATGATTCAACACGTTGTGAAATGATTCAATGTGTTGTGAAATGATTCAACACGTTGTGAGATGATTCAACACGTTGTGAGATGATTCAATGTGTTGTGAAATGATTCAACACGTTGTGAGATGATTCATTGTGTTGTAAAATGATTAAACGCGTTATGATTTACTTGTGAAATGATTCAAAGCGTTGTGAAATGATTCAACGCGTTGTGAAATGATTCAACGCGTTGTGAAATGATTTAACGCGTTATGAAATGATTCAACATCATCATCATCTTGATTCAACGTGTTGTAACTGAGATGATTCATTGCGTATTTCGTTGTGAAATGATTCATTGACGGGGAAAAATTGTGGCATAATTCGTTTATCAGAATAAGAGACATTTGAATATGAAATTTAATTCATCTCATCTAAACATTACATGACAGAAGTAACGTAAATACGTAATAAGTTGAAAGTTTTGAGTATATCATTCTGACCTAATATTAATCACAAAACCCATATAAGTAGCGACTTTTGTTCTTCGGATCATTGCTGCAGCAATAATCTTTGGTTAATTGAAAATAGGAATTCTCATCGAGCGGAATCTCTCCATTTTTTGTCAAAATGTTAAAGCAGTACTCTTGCATATCTTCACTGATTCCTGGAAGAAATTCTAGGCCGTCGTTACCAAGACAACCGTCCTTATTAATATCACAACAAGCAAAGAGACCACCAACCACGTCTTTCAGCCAAGACGGCAACTCTCCGGCTTCTAAAATTTTTTCACGTAGATCGTAGGAGAAATCAATCCATTCTTGGGCGGATATTTTACAGTCGCTGTCCTTATCCGCGTATTTCAAAACCGCGTTGAAGAAATTTCTAACTGCCCGTGTTTGCAGGGAACGAAAAGTGCTAACGTAGAATTCTTGATTTTCTAAACGTTGTTTTATATGAGTGGTTGCATCTGAGATTCTCTTTTCAAAATCGCTCCATTCAATATAACCATTTTTATCATAGTCGTAAAAGTTGAACAGGTGTCTGAATTTTTTATCTAAAAATGCTCTCTCTTTTTCATCCATCTTGCTGATGTTGCTCGGTCGGAGATTTTTCAAATGACGTTGGTCTAGGGATTTATTGAACGTTTTATTCAACTGACTTCTGATAGAAATCTGTTCTACTTTTAAAATATGTGGAACAACTACTTTTCTGATTTCTTACAACGAGTTGTAGTATGTTCTCAGTTCATCCGTGTTTAACTTCAACGTTGTGTTTCCTCTGGCCTGGCGTGGATACCAAACACCAAATGTCGAAAACTGTATTCGGCCTGGCTTTATATAACATCTTGTCTCAATGTTCCGCGTGAGAACGCTTACGTTATTACCATATGCTCACTTCAAATTAAAAAAAATTCAATTAAGCTTGAAAATAATTTAAATGAAATTCAATTCAAAAACTTTTTAATTTAAGCAATTTTCAATAAGGATGGAACTTTTTAAAATAATCAACGTTTTATTACTTTTGAAACAAGATTTATGACTTATGTATTGAAACAAGATCAATACACATGAAAGAGTCGGATGATGGAAATGAGCCTCTGTCGAAACGTCGATGTATTGCTGATGTGGATTTACAGTTTATGTTTATTTATAAAAGAAATGTTCCGAAGAATATTAAAATCTGGAGATTAAAAACCTAGAGGAGGACAGCTTATTCATATCACATATTATGTCAAGGTTAAGTTGCCCTGGTTTTAAGGAGACAAATGCCGAATGGAAGTCAAATATCCGATTATCTTTCTGGTAGATTTTTATAATATATTAATTTGGCAGTTTTTCCATGCATATAAATTGTTCCGCGTGCGTGCATGAATACATGACATTCCAAGATTCAGTTCATATAATTATATTATATAATTTATTTGTGAACTAGACTTCAATTCAACTAGAATTGGTAAGAAGAACGTGCATGCAAAAATCTCCCCATTTTGGAAGTTGCTTCATACATGTGTCTCCTGAAGTTCTTAAAAAAAGGCTCAGCTCAATTGATGCACATATCATTTAATAAAAGATTCATTATTAATTATTTTATAGCTTCTTTTTACTCATAATCCCTATAAATTAACACTTAATCAATACCTAGGAGTTTCATATATATTTGAAAACAAATCACATTCAAAAATAATTATGATACATAACCTAAACCATTACTGGTAGGTTTTATTAATACAACACTATTTATGTCAAAAAATATAATGGATAGTAATAATAATAGCTCGAGTGTTCTGATTATTAAAATTGCGACAGCCTTTGTTATTTGTTTTTCAACATAGTACTAAATCATTTCATCTCAACTACAAATGAATCAAACCCTTATACATTGTTTATTCGGATATGTTTTTTAAGGGGAACAGGAAAAGTCTGATACCTTAATTTAAACACCACATCTCATCATACAATCATCCACCGTACGGAAGTTATTCGGATTACCAAAACATCCTCCATACTTGAACGTTTTACATTTTTTAGACGAAGATCATAATATCATCTTGTTGTCATACTATTACATGCTCCTTTTCTGGATTGAAGAGACAAACGTCTGGAACAGAGATTGGCTGACTATATTTGGACTAACTACCGTTGAACACTATCAGTTTTTGAACTATCCCATCGAGATGTCTATAGTAGGGATCGAGTGTCACTACAAGAGAAGTTTATATCTTCTAAACGAGCAAGATTGCGGCTGATCCTGCAGTAAATCAAATGCAGGGGCCGGTTGTATCAAGCCCGTTTAGCTTAAACGGTGGATAAGTTCAAAATAGAAAGCAAGTCTATCGTTTTATTTAACAGGCAAACTAAATGTTTTTTACCTTAATACAACGATACTGTTTAAAACTACATATTCAGTGCATAATATTCACATTGACTCATTCAAGAGAGTTGTAAGAGTGTTATTTGATTTTGACTTATCCACCGTTTAAGCTAAACGGGCTTGATACAACCGGCCCCAGGACTGCATGTGGTCTGTTCATTACCAGTGGCGTCAGCCAGCCTAACAATTCCCGCTATGTCAATTGAATTCTATTTAATTTTATTTTCATCTTAATTTTAAGTTCTTACAATTATTATTTTTTTAAAAATCATTGATTACATCGTCAGGTTGGCTATGCTCTTCTCTTCTCAACACTTATTAGTACGTCGAATGTTACTTCGAAAATACCTGGAAACCTGTGGTGTTTGTAAACTGGAAATTCTCTAATCTCTGAGTCAGAGGTCAAAACAGGGAGGTGGGTCTATTACCCCCTATCCCTGGCAATAGAAATGTGTCAAGGAATCCTGAAAATCGCACCAAATATTGTTGAAAACAAAATTTGCTTGCGGTGTCTAGTTTTGATAGCAGAAACATCAGTGTTCAAATTATAGGCAATGATTGGAAGTAGCATCCATGTAGTAAAATAAAGCATGAATTTGGTCAATTTCAGTCGAGATTCGATATTCAATACATTAGCTGTCAAGGACTTTTTATTTTATATCTCCAAATCCCAGTGCCGTGCGCCAAAATTCATTTATTAAATCACGATATTCAAAATGGCCTTCACACGAAGCTTATACTTTTAATATTGGTTTATGTTTTTTATGATAAAAAATATTAAAAAATGATTTACACTGGCTCGAAAACGCAACTCAGAACCACAGTTGGTCAGAACTCAGCTGTTAAAATGTTTTGGGCCTTTTTGGCAGTGTGGTACTGGGTCGAGCGCTGGTCTGGTGAAAATATGCATTAGCTTGCATTAGTTTTCAATTATTTGAAAAACTGACATTATTTTAGGATGATTTTTAAACAAGATTCGTATATAAACATCTCGTGACCCTATTAGGGTTAAATAAATCTAAAAATGATCTCGGCTTTGAAGAAATTAGGTCGTAAGAATGAAGACGCGAAAGCTCGCCCAAGTATGCCCACTGGAATTTCTTCAATGGGACAGTCATTGCAAAGAAAATTTGGTCGTGGGGTTCAGTATAATAGTATGTTTTTATCATGTTTATATATGTATATAGGTTATCGTTGAAATTGTGAGCTTTGCATGGTGTGTTTATAATATGAAGTGATAAAGATTTTTACTTTATATTTATTTTATATAAAGTTAGTTCTAAATGTACTGCAGACACAATATGAATATATAAATATACTATAAACACATGTGGTTGATTTTTCCAGGCTATTCTTTTTGGGTTTTGTTTGCTTGTATTTCTCAGCCACTGAAAAATCCTTTCTGCACCAACCACTATAAGTTTTGCAAAATAAACCTTATAAAATGTCCCTAGTATTCATAGAATGGTCTTGCTAGAGTAATGATAGTAAACAATCCATTTCGTATCTTTTTGGCCTGAGAATTGATTAACATGTGGCATGTCATTGACAGGCCTGAATAAATGGGGCAACAACATTTATGTGCCTCATATACTGTGACTGTGTGGTGGTAACTTTTTCTGTCAGCACACATGGTATTCATCTCACCAACTGTTATAGATACAAGATAAGCAGAAAAAGCAAATATAATCTGTTAAGAGGCTACAAACATACAGTATAGATAATATTTTGTTTTTCTAGTGAAAATTGTAATTAAAGGTGATAGAAATACTGGAAAAAGTACATTACTAGGGAGATTTCAAGGCAAAGCATTTAGAGAAGAGTACATGCCTACCAATGAAATACAGGTGAGAGGATCGAATTTCTCAAGATTAACTGCTATTAGAAATATATAAAAAGAATTCTATTTTTTGCATTGTTTAGGTTTGTAGCATAAATTGGAGTTATAGAGGTAAGTAGCTAATACCTTAATCCAGTGCACTTTTTTGACATGATCGAATCAAATATTGTTCTATTGCCAACCTTATTAAACATTTCAGGTACATTGGTCTTTGGCTATTGTCATAATTATGATTTTAATCATTTCTAGTTGCTGATGATGTTGTGAAGGTTGAAGTCTGGGATGTTGTTGACAAAGGTAGCTTGAAAATCAGATTGTTTACAATGAATACTAAATTCGAGGCTGAGGCTACAGCAATGGCTGGAGGATTAATCAACCCTAGCAAAAGGATCATTACTATGACCTAATGCCCTACACCTTGATCAAACTGAACAGAATGGTTTCGTTATGTGAGAGTTTATTTGGTCATCATGACTTTTTCAGGCAAGAAGAAGAAATCAGATGGAGATGGTCTAAAACTTGCTAATGATGCTTCAGCAAGTGATGTAAGAAAATTTAAAAGTTGATGAACATTAATGGTTTGTGCATGTGCTAGGGTTTGTTTACATTTCAAAGTTTAATTTTTACAAAATATTTCGAAGTAGTTAAGTTCTGTACACAATTAGTATACATTCTAATAACATAACACTTTCCTCACCTCTTTCCCAACAAACTACCTCATCCCTGACAGGTCACAACTCCCCCCACAAAGTACCTTTTCCCTGACATAACACTTTCCTTACCTCCTCCCTGTCATACTACCTCATCCCTCACAGGTGACAACCCCCCCACACATTACCTCTTCCCTGACATACAGTACCATTTTCTTTACCTCCTCCCTGTCATGCTACCTCATTCCTCATACCTCCCCCCTAAAGTACCTCTTCCCTCATAGCACTTTCCTTACCTCCACCCTGTAGGATCATTCCCCCGGTGTTCTTGATGCAGAGTTTCTTGATGTTTACAAAGGCACTCATGGTTGTGTCATGATTTTGGATATCACTAAACAATGGTATCATTTATTATTTTATGAATTTTAGAACAGTCAAACTGTGATAAAAAAACCCATAATTTAAAAGTGCAATTTTTGATGAGTAAGACATAAAATGTGACTGTATTCTTTAAGGACATTCAAGTATATTGAAAGAGAGTTACCCAAGGTTCCATTACATATTCCTGTTCTTATTTTGGTAAGTTACAACCCAACTTACACAGGGAGTGATTATTACAGTGATTATGAAGAAGAACTACTTGCTTTCTAACTTTTTGAACGAAGAGAAACACTTGTTTATTAAGATTGTATCAATATAGTTACTTTCTCATTACCGGCAATCATTGTAACCACATATGCAAATTTTTCAACCAAAACTTCTTGAATCTAGTTTGACTGCCCCTCCTGGTATAAATTCGGTATTAAAATCAGGTGGGTTTGTCTTTGTGCATTTGACAGAATCTGGTAATAAAAATGACCAGATGTAGTAAAACTGCCGGCAATGCACATATCATCACCTGTAGTTTGATGTAAAATAGATATTACTATAATCTTCATGATGAGCTATTTGAAGAAATAGCTGTGAGGTAGAACTGTCCTCATGATAATAATTGTATTCCACTATCTTCTAGTCAAACTTTCTTGATATGCAAGAACACAGAGTAGTTCAACGAGAAGAGATACTTTCATTTATCAAGTATTATGATCGAGGCAGCGACGCAGCTATTTTACAACATGGAGAGTGTAGTATGAAGAATGGTTTTGGACTCAAATTTATTCACAAATTTTTCAATATTCCTTTTCTAAAACTTCAGGTATGTCATTTTTTTTTTCATTTTAACCGTAAATTCGTCATTCATAATTGAGATACCAACTTTGAAGTAAAAAAATAACTTAATACGATGATACCATTATGAACACCTCCCCTCTCATCTTACCCATTTGCTGCAGTCGTTTTTAAATGATTTCAAATATTTTCGATTCAGCGAGAAACACTGGAGAAGCAGTTAGAAACAAACAAAGAAGATATGCAGGTTCAAATCTTTTCTGAAAATTGATTTCAACAAATTAAGTTTCTTCACAAATGTGATCTCCCTTATTTCTTATCAGGCGACTCTGGAAGAGCTGGCATTCCGTCGGGATACAGAAGAACAAGATTATGACAAGTATATCGTCGTTTTTCATTTCGAAATGTTCCTAACGTATAAAAATTGAACAGTTTTCGTCTTTACAGGTTTCTGGCGTACATGGAGAAGAAAGCAAATGACAAAAAACAACCAAAACAAGGTTTGTTTTTTATGTTTTTTATTTGTTTTTTTTTACGACTGAACTATTCATGTTACCTGGTATGTGTCTCGTTTAGATATTAATGTGAAATCATCTCCGTCAACACCACCAAAATCATCCATTTCTCCGGTACAAAATCCCCCAGTGACGACAAACAAAGCATCCGTCAAGAAGCCAGCTGAACAACCTAAAAGTATCGATGATTTTGTGCCAGATGAGACGATAGACTCTGGTTTCTTGGACGAGACTGATAAAGGAAGCAAGAATAAAAATGTTGTCAGTTCTGAAAGTGATTCTAGCGGTGACAGTGATAAGTAAGCAGTTGGTTGAATTCATTATGTTTGCTTTGAAGAAAACTTTTCTTGCTTGTTCCTTCGCAGTTTTTCTTCTGTAATGTTTAATGTGAATTGTGTATAAACCTAGTTGGTTCATCTTTAGTACAATCATTCAAGGGATGGATTAATACAAATACTTTAATATCATAATTGCAGTGAGAAAAATGCCAACCCAATGGTAGCAGGTTTTCAAGACATCAGCTCAGAAGACGAGGATAACACTCCAGATACTCAACAAAAAGTACTCGAGACAGCAGAAAAACCAAACACAAGTTTTGATGTTGATATTGAATTAACATCTGATGAGTCAGAAGAAGAAGAAACTGGCGTAGCTCCCGTCAGCGATGATGAAAGTAAAAATAGAGAAGAAATAACTGAACCAGCCAAACCTTTGGTATGTTTATCATGCAAGAAACATCAGTGAGAGTAGATTTTTGCCGTTACAACGCCATAGGATTCCGTATTATAGTCTATTTGAAAAACAACAACAAACGTTTTCTAGCCTGTGATGATAAGCCGTGTGAGCAGTCTGCGTTTCTTGTTTCCTTTGACTTGATCGTTATTGAGTCTCGCATGCTTGAAGAGGTAATTTATTCATCCGTGTAGGTATCAGAAACCAAATATGAGGTGATGTTAAATGATGAAGACAACAACTTTATGGATGCCTGGTTGGATTCACCAAGTACAGATCCAAGGGTAAGATGGATGGATGCTTGAGGATGTGACTGCTTATTATTTGTCTATTCGTTAATTATAATATTTATACATTAAGCGGTTGTACGAGAACACTTCAAGTTTTCCCTTCCAGAAAAGAGATAATCTTTAACTGTATCTAACTGAAGTTACTGAACAGTTTAGAATGAATACATATCCTGTGTAATTTTTTTTTTACTTTTTAAAATTTCAGGAAATCAGCGCCCCATCAAGGTAAGCTTGATTAATACAGGTGAAATATTAACACACGCTCTGCAATGCCCCGCAATTGAAAAATGTTTTATTAGTAATGATACATCTTTGTTTCAGGAAAAAAGGAGAACAAAGTAAAAATGAATTAGATATTTTTGAAGCGATGCAACTAACGTCGCCTGCAAACACATCAGGTAAAATGAAAGTTTTGACAAAACATATCTTGTGGAAACAAATAGTCAAATATTGGAATTGTTTTACGTTTCGTGTAGTTGCAGACGATGACAACAGTTCAAGTAATGTCGAGGGTAATTGTCTTAATTAATTAACAAATTAATTGTTTAATTAACTAATTTCCCTGAATAGTTTGAACTCCACCTATAATTTGCCCCCCTCCTGCACCCTCTCTGGCCTATCACCTCCGACACACCCCTCAGTTTATTCACCACTGCTAAGAAATATTTCATGAACTGTAAATTTTCTTCTGCGCATTTTAGAAGAAAAGAAAAAGAAGCGCTCGGAGAAGAAAGAATCCAAAGAAGTAGAAGATGTAAGGAGATTATTGTGTTTCATGGTTCGATAGATTACCACGGCAGCCAGAATTAATTTAGTAGTTTTTAAGGGCCACTCAAGTTCACCTTTGTTAAAGTTGTTTAACTAAATATCCTTCTATTCATATCATAATAACCTTTCATAGCTAATTCATGCTTTTTTTATGATCTTCAAGAGAAAACATCGGTCAAAACATAAACACAAAAAGAAATCAAAGACAAAAGAATCGAACGGTGAGATGGAACAGTCCGATGAGAAAAAACATAAATCTAAAAAGAAGAGTAGACACAAAGATACGAAAGATCGCCAAAAAGTTGCGGGAACTGGGGCGGAATATGAATCATTTTAGAAAATTCTAGTTTAATTGAGGCAGCAAATGGTGGTCAACTTCTAAAATATATGGAAATTCTATTTATTGCTCACAGTGAAGCACACTTTTGTCACAAAATTCCGCAGTGGAACGTGCGATCAGTTTTGTTAAAATCATTCAGGAAAGCGGTCGAAGGTTGATAACTCTGCCGTTCTGCACTCAGTATTAACTACAGGTTGAAAATCATTTGCTGCTTGAAATGAAGTGGTTCTGTAACCACACCGAGGAATAATTCACAATAACACAGAATGGGCCACAGTGGTTTATTAATTTTGCTGAAAGGCTTCGCAAGATCACACACCATGGACCGGTTCATAAGAGTCCATTCAGCTTCGACAGTGATAACATTCAAATATATGTTTGTTATTTGTTAGCTGCAAACGTAATTCGTAACAAGTTAGCAGCCAGGTAACAACAAGTCAATTGTAAAATTGTATCACAGGGTCAGGGCAATTCTTTCGCCTCGCAAGGTTCAGCATTAATGCTTTTATCTCTCTAACAATAAAACTGACATTTATAGACCAATTGCGAAACTTAGTAACCGCGCCTTCGCATAACATGGAAGCGAGGCTTATTATGCAAAACACAATATTTGTATTTTTTGCCGTACAAAGCTATCCGCCGAGTTATATCCCGGTTTTCGCCTTTGGTTTACATATTTTTCGATACCTTTAAAGTTCGGTTTCATCGTTGTTATCATAGTTTTCCGGTGAGGGAGTTTTGCCTTTCATTTGAGGCGTTTTTGTGATGTTTTCATTAATTTTTTCGGCTGCTTTCGTCGGGGAAATATGGAAAAGGCCGACACAAACTCAGGTAAAAATTCAGTTTTTTCCAAGCTATTTCGTTTCAAGTCTTGAAAATTTATTTCATTTTTCTTCCTCTTATTTGTGCAAAATTTGGCGATATATATTTGGTGCAAAATCTATGTTTTTGTGACAAGGATTATTGAAAAGTCACGGTCGAACAACCACCATGTTTACATTTCTCATTTAAAATTATTTTACACCAATTTTATCGATCGATAAGCTGTAATTTCACAGCAATTTTACAGCTCAGGAAAAAATTAGCAGAACTCTGTTGACAGAAACAATCGGAGATAAAATATACAACGGAGTTTTTTGGTTTATTTTCCCTGTGTATATAGACTACAGTACATGTGATGTCATGCCGACTCAAAAGCAAAACAACCCTTCAACTTGGCACACATGCATGACATGGATAGTAAAATACTTATTACCAAGACATAATATCATTCTCTATTTTGAATTACCATTTAATATTTCTTTTCCCACAATATCATACTAAAGGTAGCCACAATGCGAGCAGCAGAGTTAAGATATGCCTTTACATGATGGCAAAGCCGAAGGCGAAAAAAATATACAACCCCGAAGTTCGGAAGTGTTTTCCGTTTTATAATGCGATGGTGAACGGAATCCTTTCCTTTTAAAGTATTCCTGGTTAACCCTTATTTAAAACCTCTATTGCATGGTAGTAGATAGAAAGAATAGTGTTTTGTAGTGACAAAAAATATACAGAACGTCAGATGCGTTCGAATTCGACTTTTAAATAAAATTCGGCCTTCATGTCGGTATGCAAGCCATGCATCGTCTGTACTTTTTTAAAACGAAATAAACAAAAACATTTCAGTTAGTTACTTTTTGCCATTTTCACAGTATTACTCTGGTATAAAGATAAAAAATATAGTGATATTTGTGAATAAATTTGAACCATTTCAGTCATTAGGTGTGAAATTATAAAATCTGACTGTCACTTTTCATTTAGTTTTCAACAATTTTTGTCACAAAAACATAGATTTTGCACCAAATATATATCGCCAAATTTTGCACAAATAAGAGGAAGAAAAATGAAATAAATTTTCAAGACTTGAGACGAAATAGTTTGGAAAAAACTGAATTTTCACCTGAGTTTGTGTCGGTTTTTTCCATATTTCCCCGACGAAAGCAGCCGAAAAAATTAATGAAAACATCACAAAAACGCCTCAAATGAAAGGCAAAACTCCCTCACCGGAAAACTATGATAACAACGATGAAACCGAGCTTTAAAGGTATCGAAAAATATGTAAACCAAAGGCGAAAACCGGGATATAACTCGGCGGATAGCTTTGTACGGCAAAAAAAACAAATATTGTGTTTTGCATAATAAGCTTCGCTTCCATGTTATGCGAAGGCGCGGTTACTAAGTTTCGCAATTGGTCTATGTCTCCTATAATTTTATTCAATTATTTAAATAAAAATTTTAATTTTTTCAATATTTAACAAATCAAGGAGTTATACCTCGTTATAGACAGTATGTTCTATGACAAAGAAAAGTTTAGAACCGTTAGCATCCTAGTAGGTCGCTCCTCTTCACTTCGAAAAGAAATCTGCCTGTATTCGTTTTAACTATAAAGTACAGCCAAAAATCATATGGTCGAAATCGAAAAAAATATGCCCTGGAGCTGGTTGCCGCTTAAGCTCAAAACTATCCGTCTAATATAAGCATTTGCCTAAGGAGCAAAGAGAAAGGAAGGTGTGACAAGCGAATCCGGTATCAGCGTAATACAGGGTGTCACAAAAAACACCAACGAGGACCGGTTGTTCGAAAGGCGTTTAGGCGCTTAAACGGTGGATAAGCCAAAGTTTAAAAATACTCACATAGGTCTTGTGAATGATTGAACCTGCATCTTATGCATTTAATATGTACTTCCATTGACAAATAAACCTTTTACATCGAAATATTTCAGCTCAGTTGTTCAATAAATAGATAATTATCCACAAGATTTTAAAAATTTACAACTAAAGCACCATGCCCTTCGACATGTCCCCCTTCTTAGCAAATTTTAAACTTTTGCACTTTATAAGTCAATTCAAATTTTTTAATGATATGTGATTTCAATTGTTTTGGGTTTTTTGGACACCCTGTTGTGTAAACGGGGCCTACATTTGACGTCTAGAGACGTTTGAACTAAGCCATTTGGTCACAGAGTTCAGAGTTCAGAGTTAGCAAATTTTATGAGTAAGAGCAAAATGAGAAAGCTCCGAGCATGCGCAACCAATCATGATGGCGACGTGGCGGGAAATTTAAAATCCATTCAATCAAAGATTCAGTCTAAAAATTAGTGCTGGAAAAACAAAATATTTTGGATAATCGATAAAGTACGTTATTAAAAGGAGATCTAAAGGTAAGTATTATTAATTATTACTTTCAAATCTGACGTATTTTGCATAAACGTCTCACATTTTCATTTATTTTGTAGATATGTCAGATTTCAAACATGGATAACGACCTTCTTTGTAATTTTAGAAAATGTAGGAAACGCCTAAGCTCTTTCTCTTGGGTAAATAAACTGTTGACATCTTACATAGTTCATGCAAAATATTTACGACAACTGGCACCATTTTCTAATCTGTATCTGTATTTGTTTTCTAAAAATATAGGTTACTTCTTGTTCGCGTATCCTTTTTTAAACTTAAAAACAATTTTCTACAATCATCATTTCTATTACTATACGATTGTAACCACAATGCAAAGGAATTTATTTTAGTAAGTAGCTACTAGTTAATTTTCTTAACTTTATTGCTAAGATATATTTTGTGATGAGGATGGTACTAGAGAGTTCAACAAAGCGTATGTTTGCCCTGCTTGTAAGTATTTTACTTTTTACTGCATCATTTTACACTGGTGTTATTTGCAGCCTACTAAACTACACTATTCAACTGTAATTTTCTTATCACATTGCTTACTCACATTATACATAATAGCTTCTGTGATTCAAAAAGTCTGAACAATCTTTAAGCATTGATCTATAGGCAATTACTCAAATTCTCTGTAGAGGTCTATGTAGATGGTCTACTATTATCTATTTTCCTATAAAAGCTTTTTCCTTAGGTTAAAAAAGGCAGTTTTTCTAGAAATCTTTTTGGGTTTGTAGTTCTAACAGTACTTGTGTTAAAATATATCAACAATTGGGTTTCACAACAGCACTTGCATACATTCGTGCTTCATTCATGTCTGGTAGTTCTTCCCAGACTTGCTCAGAGAAGTGAAAAGCCTCAGCTGACCTAAGATAATCTTTTCCATCATTCCCACCCATCACAACAAGAACATCTCCTGTAACAACTGCTGTACACCCTCGTCATTTGTGCTTCATGGATGGCAAATATTTGGATTCCCCTGTGGTTAGATTGTACGTCACAACAGTATCTTTACTAGATCTCCCATCAAGAACTATGACATTGTTTTGCCAAAGGACTGTTGCCATCTCATCAACAGCATAGGGTAAAGGTGTCATCATCTTCCATTCTTTGGTAAGAAAATCATACATCATGACAGTGTTCTGTGAGGTAGGAGCACATCCTCCAAAGATAAAAAGTTTTTCTTCAAAGAGTTCCATAGTATGATCATATCTTGGTTTTGGCATTGTTGTTAGGATTTTTGTAGAGTATGGAGGGACCAATGAAATCTCATAAACTTTGTTACTATACTGATTTATACCCATTGAGCCTCCACTCAAAATTAAGCTATCTTCATAAACAACTGATGCATGGCTGGACAACAATTCAGGAAGCTTAACAAGACTAATATTCCATTTTCCTGGTTGGTCACACAAACTTGATTCAATTGTATTTGTGGGTTTATTATTTACAGTTGTCCCTCCTGCAATAATTACTTCACCTCTATATATATCTGCAGATGCTTGGGACCGACATGTCAACATTGGATTTAGCAATGTCCATCTTTTCTGTGTCCAGGAAAAGATTTCCACAGAATTGATAACCTTTCTATTTTTATAACCACCAACAATAACAATACTTCTTCTTTTACTCAACTGTTCATCTGTCTTTATTTCTTTGGGTTGTTCAACTTCAGTCATTATCTGTGAAACCATCATCATGATTTTGTCTATCTTCAAACTGAGATCATCAGCCTGCCTCTGAAGCGTTGTGTTGCCTTCTTTAATTTCTTGGACTTCTTGCTTCAACTGACTACAATCATGACACTGCAGTCGTCTAAAATAGATCATGTAAAATAATAATCAATTGTTTTAGGGCAGATTAACTTTGCATGCATGCAGTGGCTCTGGCAAATACAAGTTGCTATTAACTGATAATGTAAACATCTTAGCTCTTACCTAAACTCACAGACCTCTGCTTCATGATGTAACTTATCTTGTCTATTCATGATAACCTCACAGCGTTCATTAGAGCATTTCACAGCTGCAAAGCCACAAATATTGATATGATGATTTAAATCACTTAGCTTCATAACATGACGGCAGCCACGACTAAAGAAATCACAGCGAATTCTGAGCTCAGATAAATACTCGATTACAATTCTTGGTGCGTGAACTAATGTATCCGCAGTCAACTCATCCTGACATGTTGGACAGTTGAGGGTGTTCATTAGATGTTTAGTAATACAAACTTTACAGAAATAATGTTGGTTATTTCGACACATGACTGGATCATTAAGAACGTTCATACATATCGGGCAATGGAAACTAGGACTGATAGAATTTGCAAGTTCAAAGCGACTGTCCTCATATCCCAGTTGTTCCTTCCATGCTTCTTTTTTGCGGCCTTCGTCTAACCCTGCCATAATTTCGTTTCTCTTGTTCTGTGACTAGGAATACCCCGCCCTGTGGAAGAAACAAGACGTAATAAATGCTTTAATCCTTTTATCCATATTCTTTCAGAAATACTTTATAAAAGGTCATCAATAAACTTTAACAAATTAGAACGAGAACTAGCCCCACCTGCTGCATGATATCGTCATTCTTAAAATGTTTGTGTTGCTGTGAACTGCATCTAAATCATGTATTTTGGTGATCGGTCGAGGTTGATCAGAATCAACAGATGTGTTTTACTTTTATCTTTGTGAGCGTTGGTTGGTTGGCTGGGTCTGGTGTCACGTAAACGTGCGTCACGATGCATCACATGATTAATGTGTCTTAACCAGTTCACTGGTCTTAACCTCCGTTTCGGGTTTGCCACACCGCTAAAGCCCGTTACCACTAGGCAAATTTATTCGCGTGAACAGATAAAAAGTAGGAAGTGTTTCTACTTTTTTGCAGCGAATTTTTCAAACTCGCAAACCAGTAACATCACTGGATTTCAGAGTCGCTTCGCGTTGCGCGAATGAATTCCCCTAGTGGAAAATGGGCTTTACGCATGCGATTTACCATAAAATGGAACACTTACATCACTTACAGGTGAGACGAATTTGTCAGGGAAGTTTGATATCGTTCGAATCGATCTTCACCCAACAGAGCAATACAAATCGGTAGGAATCAGTTAAAATCCTGTAATTTAGCGCTCAGTATTTTATATACATGCACTAGATCAAAAACAGCTCATTTACACTGCTGATAACTCTTATCCAAAGTATATTTTATTAATCAGTGATAGAAATCTTAGATATTCTTTGTCTCGTAGATGATTCTTGCAGGACAACGACCCGAGACAATAATGGAGATTTGTTCCAGAGCTTTATCATTTTGGACATACCAGGTATAAAGCAAGGCTAATGACCCCCTGTGCACGAGATTCGGTGTAGTGCACTACTACCTATAACATTAAGATAGAGAAAATATTGAAGCTTGCTACTGGCACATGAACTGATGCACGATACAACCAGTCAACCGAAATGCTCTTATCAACCAAGAAACTTTGCAAATCTAGAGAATTTTTTATGACTTCCGAAGATGGTTAAGTATCTAATGTTACAATGCTGTATAAATAATAAATATTACCAGTTAAAACAAACTCTCTTTGCCGGAATTTCTTCCAGGCGCATCAAGAACGCACGTACCAAGAATATGTTTCAAGTAAATCAAAAGAGAAAAATATTCAATTGGAAAATTATTACGAACAATTGATTGCAAAATCACAGCAAGAAATATCTTGTATCCTTTTATTTCAGCAGCAGAATATAGCTACATCTTGCGACGAAGATTTTCAATTTCATATAGAACAATTCTTTAACTAGCACGTTTTTAACAACTACAGCATTAAAGTCTGAAATTTCAAGTAAGTGCATCACATATTCACAATCCTTTGCTTTTTTTCAGCAACAATAGAAAGGAATAATACTGAATATTGTATTTTTAAAAAGATAAAGTAAAAGAACTGGACGAGACGAGGAAGCGATTACACGAAGCTTCTGAGAAATTGCAAGAAAGAAGTCGACAACATCAAAAACTTCAGGTTTGCTGATGCAATGTTTTCAAAATTATAATGAAATTTTGTAAAATTGTGCAGCACGATGCCGCATGCAGAAACTTCCTGGGTAAAACGACGTATCATCAAATGTAAATTGCCCCACAGCCGCCAGCCGGTAGCTATAGCTTTTCCCACCTGATGATTTCTCAATGTTACATATCGAATGAGAAAAATACTTGTACCTACTTTCCAGTAATAATTGATAAAGAAATTGATTTTTTCTTCGCCGAATCGCCTATACCCCGCTCCAAAACCAATATGCTTTAGTCTACAACCTAATTCCATATTTCCATTGTTTTTCTCGTGTTGACAAACATTAATTTAGTGACAATCTCTTGTTTAGGTTATGTATGATACTTTGAGAAGGTAATGCCAGTAAGATAATCAATTGTTCAGAGATATAACTATTGATTTGACCCTTTTGTGCCTACCGAATACCCAATGCGGTAAATTGTGTTTCATATCATAACTTTATGTGCAAAGGAAATCCATCAATCACTCTGTATTCAACTATGGCGAAGGTTCACTCACTGCTGATGTCGGGCGAAGAAGAAGTGCCTTTGATTTGACATTAGGAACTGCGGCAGGTAAAGCTCCTGAGTTAAGAAAGCACCATTATGATACCCTATAGACTAGCAAACGGGCCACCTGTAGCCAAGTTCTAGACTGTAGTCTACCAGATGGTTTTTAATTTTGATTTTATAGATATATTATCGCGAAATAGCCATTCTAACAGTCTGGTTGATCTAAGCCGTATTCCTGGGAATAATAACGCATTGGTAAATTTACCTGAAAGTACGTGTTTCAAGTGAAAATTCTTTATTAATTTATATCAGTTCCCAGCCTGAAATATTCGCCATTCTCTTCCCGGACATAATGCTTGATAACACAGTTAGGAACCATGTATTTGTGAGTGGGTGAATGTCATATATACCAGGCTAAATCAGAGTTGAATTCTTAACTGATGCACTCTTTGTTGGCTGGAAGAGAACCTGTAGCCCATGCACCCTACCATTGGGCAGAATTGCGCGCGTTTTGTTTCTCGGAGACTACATAACGAAATTTTGCCGTCCGCACCCCAAAATTGTTTAAATAAATATCTTGTACGCCTATGACGAGGCAGAGCATGAGGTCTGAAACTAATGATTGTGCTTCGCCGCAACTTTTGGTTATCCTGATGAAGATCGAGGCGTTGATCTAACTTCAGTTGAAAAATAAATCAAACTATCTAGAATAACAACTCAATTAAAATGAAATTTTTCTTGGACACTGCTGGAAACACACCCGCATGTTGATGACTTTAATATATTATTCTTAGAAGAGTTTGTTTGGAAGCCAACGTCTACAGTGGAGGATCAATGTGAGGTACACACCCCCCTGCACATTGAAGCACAATCTCTGCACAATCAGGCTCATTTGGAAATTCCGGGATCAGGAATAAAGCGACGTCTTGGAATCAAGAAGATGTGAAATTGTATGTGCATTAATGATTTTTTGCTCTCTTTATGATATCATACTGTTTCAAGCGCTGTTTTTCATGTGCTTTTTATTTATTGTTAGACTTATATTTATACAAGGGTTCGAAATTGATTTCCGCCACGCACACGAGACTTAATATATATAGAAAGATTTTAGAATACGTTTGCAATAAAAAACTTTCTTACATATCGAGTTACAAAATAGACAAATACTCTAGCAGTATTCAAGTATACAGTAAACCTTGGAACTCTTTTAGGTCCAAAGTTATAATAGAAACAACTTTTCATACAAATTGCGTGATGTCATTTAAACAAAATAGAAAAAGTTAGGATCTCATTATCATATCTATAAAGTCTATAAACGGGGAGACTTTGGTGTAGAAGCCAGCTTCTCCCTTTTGTGCACAGCCATAGCCCCAGCTTACGATGCCAACTTGGAACCAACGCAATTTGCCGCTTACTGGATGTTGATAAAGCACCATGGCTGGACCACCACTGTCGCCTGTGCATGCATCATTCTTCCCTGTGATATCTCCAGCACAGAACTGTGTCGTGCTGTTAAAATACCATTTGCCTTTATCGTGATCTTTTTCAGTCTTGTTTTTTACACTGTCTTCACAAAATTCATTTGCTTTCAACGGTAGCTGTAGTTCTTTAAGTTTCTTTGAGATTTCGTAACCAGCGTGTTCATTTGGTTTGCGCGGTGTGGTTCTACCCCATCCAACTACGTACACCTGCCTGCTATTTTGAAATATATTCGTGTTTATTTCACGGGGGAGGCAGATTGCTTGTTGGTTTCTTGTAAAGCGTTTTAGTTTCGGGATTTTAATCAGTGCGATATCGTTTTTAAAGTTTTTGGAATTGTAATCAGGGTGGATATAAAGCCCAAGACTCGTGTACACCGTTATTTTTCTGTCTTGGAATGCCACTTGAACACTATATAAATAAAGATTCCACTTAGCTTCCTGTGATAATGTGAATAGTGTTGATACCTCCGGCGAGCTAGAGTCGTATATGAGCTATCAGCCGGTACATACAACGAGAGCGAGTGGTATCATTGTTGTATAATATAGCTACTTACTATAACTAGATCGGCTATTTTGATTTAATTTCAGTCAAATGTTGTACGCTGAATGTTGTCTACATGAACAAAAACTGCTTTTTGTCAGTTCTGCATACCCTTAAATATTTTTACACCATATTTTGTTGATTTGTTTTAAATCTCTGGGAACTGAACATTCAAAAAGTGTTTTCATTTCCTCTTTATTACTCCCAAGCAAAACTGGCCATGATATCTGGTGAGTATCTCCACCAATCATATTGCAGAATAGCTGATATATAGTGAGTAGCTATACTATAACGATATTTATGATATGAGTGGTGATTCACAGGAACTTCACGCGACGACGAACATGAAAAATGGTGAATAAATGGCATGATCTGTTTCTTTGCTCGAGCTATGCACGCCATTTATTTTCCATTTCCACGTCGTCCTGACTCTCTTGATGTTTCCGTCCCGAGTCTAAATCTGACTTTCAACACAAACTTACGCTTGTGGCTGGTTTTTTTTCCTGTCAACACAATGAGCTGCAGTTAATACAAATTCTTGCGAAATTAATGTTCCACCACAGAGCGACGGCTTAGCTATATGACCATCTAAATAAAAATAAAATCGTCAAATCAAACAAGTGTTGTTTTTGATAATATATCATGCTAAAACGTCATGCTTACTTGTGATCAAGACTTGTACTGCCCATGGCCAGTTTGAATTGCGTTCATCTGTCACTCTTCCACCAACGATTCGAGCTCTGACGTCATACGGTTTAAATGGCGAGCGTCCACATTCCGAGAAATCTAAAAATAATTTATGTAGCAAACTACGTATAAGAAAGACAACGTTCCGTCAAGGCTGCGTTATTAAAGTATCTTTTTATTGTTTTGGATGTCGCATTTTAGTCACAGACCTCCCTAACCCACTATAGACTCTATTTCTACATTCTATTTCATTTTTTAGAATGCTTTCGCTCTTACCTCTTAAAGGCATGTTGACAAGTTTCTTTTTAACTTTATTTAAATCTTTGTAGCTCTCTATGGTAAAAATGTTTTCATCTTTAGATGCTAATGCTCTCAAGGATTCGTGTCTGACTTTCTTCCCTATACCAATAACATATATTTCTACATTTTCGTTTTTGAGGCGATCAGCGGCCTTCTTTGGCGATCCTCCGACATTTGATTCTCCATCTGTCACAATAAACATGGCCTTTGTGGTGTTATATCTCACGGATGATGGAAGAATGACGTTTTCAACTTTTTCTAAGGCCAACCTTGTGGCTGTTCCGCCTCCTAAAATGACAGTTAATTTTGAAGTCTGCTTCAGTCCACAGAGAGACTAACTACCATGGGCGTCTTTAGTACAAAGCAAAGTCGCCTAATAATCAACATACGTACGTGTATATTTGATTTCTCTAATCTTTTTCAACGCATCATTTTTTGTTTCTACTGAAGCAGAGGTAAAGGTGAACTGGACGTCTGCACGTGTTCCATACGTGACACATGCTATTCGTGTTCCATCTGGTCTAAAAGAATGAAATATCTCATTGACGTCATTAAACTTAATGGCAAATCAGATCGATGTTGTAAACACCAATGTCGCATGAGTCATAAAAAATTGGTTAAACTCATCTGAATTAAACTTTCTTAACATTTCTATATAGTTAATCAGTTACCTTCTATCAACGCCAAATATATTAACCAATGTTTCCACGAACCCCCTTGCGATCTCAAAATTTTTCTCTTTAATACTACTTGAAGTATCCAGCACAAAAATTAGGTCCAGTCCATTTTTATATTTCAAGTTGAGCGCACGTGCTCTGGTATCATACACTGGACATGAGACGTTGGTTCCTGAGCATGTTGTTTGTAGCAGGGAATTAACAAATTCTTCACCCAGGAGTTTTGCTGTCTCGTTGATTGGACGGAAGACTTTGAAGTCTTTATCTGGAAAAGTATGATTAGCCTCAAGGTTAGAGAGACACTTAAATGGCTAAAATGAGGGCTTTGATGAAAACTCAAATTTTCTGAGTGTCTCGGGCTGCGGAGGTTTAAAATATACTAAGGTCAAGGATTGCATAAAAATTGAGTGAGGTTCCGTATGAAAACGACTTATGGGGAGTAAAGATGATATTACGAGGACTTGTTGTATAAAAATATCAATCAATGACCGAGTATTTTAGTAATTCTCGTTGGTTCACTTATCAATTGATCAAATTGAATTTCTTACCAACACATCTAGGAGGTTCTCCACTCCAAGTTTTATTGTTCAAACATGTTCTGCTCTGTGAACCTTGGAAGAGTTTTAAACCATTCTTGCATGTGTAGTAAACAACGTCTCCTTCGTTGTAGTCTTTTCCTGATTTTATTGCACCGACAGGGGTTCCTGGATCTCGGCAATATGAGCCTGGCAAGACACGGTGATATTCTGGTCTGGTTTTTACTCTCACATAAAGTAACATCTTTCTATTTCAAACTCCCAAACTCTATTCTAATCTCCAAATCTAATCCTAATCTAATTATTTTTTAATCTAAAACTCTAATCCAGTAGGTACAGCTTACTTCCATCATCACAAACAGTGGCAGATCCGTTCCACGTTTTATCATCTTGACATGTTCTTTTTCTTGATCCATACAAAGTAAATCCAGAGTTACAGAAAAACTCGACAGTGGAGCCAATAAAAAAATTATTTCCAAATATTCGACCATGCTGTGGTATGTCTGGCCTTGGACAACGCTTCTCTAGGATATGAATTAGATTAAAGAATCCTAAGTTGTCATATGAGAGAAAATAACTTAACTTGCATGCATCTAACACGCGAGTCTTAAGCGCCACATTAACGTCACAACCGTGAACATTTCCTTAACTGACCATCTGCATCTTTTCTCTGACGTTTATTAAAATCTCGTGGTAATTTTCGTGCGTCTTTTGGGATTTTTTTTAGAAATTTTCAAGAACAAGCATAAAGCAATGTTAAAAAAAATTCTGAAAGTAGGATATCGCGCCAAGGTGCCATTTAAAGAATACAATCCTCCATCGGCTCACATGCAGATCCAATTTGTTCAGTCTCACTACAATCTGTATTCTAAAATCTTACTTCTACAAAATGGTCGGCGATTTGTCGACCAAGATCCGTGCAAACAAACGATATCTTCTTCACCAAAAAGTTCATAATTTTCATCACACTCAAAGGAGATCGTCGTAAATTCTTCGAATAGTGTATCACTGAATGTTACATTTCCATTTAATATCTCTCTAAATCCCGGGTCGGAGCATTTATTCTCTGGAAAGATGTTTATATGAAGATGGTTATTTGATTTGTAAGACATTCAAATATGCACCACAGCTAGACTAGGTTCATTATAACTTCATTCTTACTTTGACAAGAGATACGTGACTTTCCACCACTCCAACGTAAATTTCTTCTGCATTTCCGCTGTTTTCTGGAACCCTTTATGCTGAAGCCAACATCACACGTATAGACCGCTACGGACCCTACTGAGGTTGCAGGATACTTCACAGTGCCATTTCTTAACCCTGGTGGTTTACCACATCCTGATATGGATAGTAAATGATAATAAATAATAGCGAATAATAACAATATGGATAGTAAATGATAATGAATGATAGCAAATGATAACAATATGGATAGTAAATGATAATGAATGATAGTAAATGATAATGAATGATAGCGAATGATAACAATAGAAACGACTACAAAATGTTATGAAATGCGGCCAAGAGCTGAGAAGAAGAACGATCGATTAAATTTCGGTGACATGCTTCGGTTGAGAATCAGATGTTCTTAGAGTGGCAGTGTTGGCAAATGGTTATAAATATACACCCTCCATGACGGTGGTCACGAAAATATTTTGCAAACCTAAATCATATAATGTTTGCTCACAACCCCGGTTTCCCAGCCAAACACAATATGCTTGATTTTCATAAACACTCGTGCTCGTTAAAGCTCCTTAGTTGGTGAAGCGGGAGAACGATATCTTCTTTCCCTACGGTGTCGAATTCAATATGATGATAATATTGAAATGGAGTTATATACCTCTACATTTGGGAACTTCATAGTTAGATATATTCCTCAGAATCTTGCAAGATAAATCTTTGATATTTTTTCCTCTGGTGAAGTAATATCCATTTTCACACATCAATGTCACGTGATTCGCCTTGCGTTGTTTGCTGGCAAATATCGTGTGTGCTGGTAGTTTGATGTGTTTTAATGATCTTCCACATCGCCGTCTTCCGTTCACTTATGAAAAGATCAAATAAATAAAGTTTTCATAGTTCTTTAAAAATACATATGTTACCCAATCGAGCTTACATCTTTAACTATGATTCATAAGTTCTAGTCTGTGCACACCGCAGATGCAATATAATAACATTGTTAGATCATAGGTTAGATTTCAACAAATACCACTATAGTCTTGTGTAGTCCTACTAGTTTTATATTATGACTTACCTGATGTGAAGAGGAAAAACAAGCCAACTATAGTAACCAACTGCAACCACTTACCACAGGTCTTTCTCATGTTTCTAAGAAATGTAGCGATAGAAAAATTCTTAGAAAAGAAAGATGTCACTTCAGTACTCAAAACTAAATTATAAGAATACCACAATATAACCACAAGATATTCTTTATAACCATGAAACTTCTTGCACAGAATTTAGCAAAATGCTCTGTCTTGACAAACGTAAAGGCCCTGACAGAAACATCTATCCCTATCGTTCCCATCTCTTCTCATTATCATGTTTTGACACCATGGTACTATATACATAAGGTAGTAATTTCAAATTGTAAATAAAAAGATGTTTCATTTCGTATGTTTCATATATCCAGCATGCATAAACCAAAACATTAAATCACCACTACATTTGCAGATGATCGCAATCTTGCTATTGCTACACGATATATTTATTTACATGTTTTTATGCTTAAATATAGTCAATATATTCTCAACATCAGCTTATTTTTTCTCTATACCTCAACTAGACACTTACATCACACCAAATTGCGGCTTACTCACCAAATTTTGCAGCTCAATTACGTTAAAAGACTTCGCTAATGCTTTGAGTTAAAACTTGTATCTTCCCTATATGAAACAGGCGACTACTTCCCGTAATATAACGCCAGTCTATTGCTGGCGAATATGAACCAATCTTTCAACACTTGTCCGTAGTTAGCTGATGTAGACAACAAAAAGTTGATGAATAACCCCTAATTTCTTTCAGATAATTTGTTAAAATATACTGATAAAATAACTATTGGCGTTGTTTTTAATCCTGTAGTGTATTTTTGATAATCGCAGTCACGCGTACAGCCATGAGCCAGGCCTAGGGTGTATACTAACAGTTGACATATCTTGATATATCTAGCTGGGGTCACTAGTCGGAAACGAAAGAAAGACAAGTACTGAATCGGGGTCAAAATGCCAAGTACGAGACTCAATTTTTATATCCGGTGATTTAAATCGTCGAGATGACTTCGAAACGTCGTTTTTATTCATTTTATTTTAAAAAAGTATAAATTTATAGTATAAATCAACAATATTGTCTATTGAACTGAGGAACAACTTCATTGAGTAACTACATGATCTACGATTATCTTAACGGAATAAAAAGCACGTAAAATTTGAAAGACGTCATCATATATATAGAAAAAGAGAAAGATTCTTGTCAGGTTTACACATCCAATTATCTAATCAAATTAAATCTAATTCATTTGTTGATTGTAGTCAGTCGAAAACACGCAATATTGCATGGGTTGGTTCACTTGGTTGGCTGTGTTTTACCCCTGTGGTTTTACAGGGTTGTGTTACCAGTGTTGGGGAATGTAAGCAATTATTCCAGAGAAATACGCGTGTATAAAGATCGAAATCTTATTTTTCCGACTTCAAAGAATATTTTAGAAACAGGCTTCAGTCGCCATAATTGTTTCAACTGTCTTTCAATCAAGAACATTTTCAAACGTCAAGAATCGAAGAGTGCATGGCTTCAGCGACCGTCAGCAAAAGTGCAAAACGGACATGAAATATATCACCCCATACTGTGAAATAACCTCAATTGTGCGTCATAATGGTTTAAGTTTACATCTGGAACGAGGTTTTACAAAAACAAAACACATTTTACTAGTATACGTTAGATCAACGGTCGACTGCATTGAGGTACATTTAAAAGTGAAATGATGGATTACACAATTCATATTGTGGTTATTATTACATTGGTCAATTCGTTATGGTGTGCGTGTGTTAGTAACGCATTTAACCCACGCGGAAATTGTAAGTATACAAAGAGAATGACAGAGCTTTGTAAATATTCATTCAATGAACAACATTTGAATTTCAATTTGGACGAATTAACCGAAAAAAAACTATACAAACTGCAGCTAGGCTTATTTGTCAGCATTTGCCCGATGTCTAAGAATCGTGATTAATTTCATTTTATATAATAATCCTAATAATAATCTCAGTAATAATCACAGGCAATGGTAATTGTCGATATTATAACCGATGATAAGCTAAGAATGCCGGAGACAATATTATTGCGAAATAACCATTCTAACAGTCTGGTTGATCTGAGCCGTATTGCTGGTAATAATAACGCATTGGTAAATTTATCTGAAAGTACGTGTTTCAAGTATAAAATTTCTTTATTAATTTAAATGTGTTCCCAGCCTGAAATATTCGCCATTCCCTTCAGACATAATGCTTGATAACACAGTTGATGAACCATGTATTTGTGAGTGGGTGAATGTCATGCAAATATACCAGGCTAAATCAGAGTTGAATTCTCAACTGACCACCCTTTGTTGGCTGGAAGAGCGGGGCCTAGACTAAGTAACGAAATTTTGCCGTCCGCACCCCAAAATTGTTTAAATAAATATCTTGTACGCCTCTGACGAGGCAGAGCATGAGGTCTGAAACTAATGATTGTCGCCGCAACTTTTGGTTATCCTGATGAAGATCGAGGCGTTGACCAAACTTCAGTTGAAAAGTAAATCAAAATATCTAGAATAACCTGTCTGAAATTACAGGATTGAAGAACTGCATTCTCTTAACTCAATTGAATTGAAAATTTCCCTGGACAATGTTGATGACTTTAATATATTATTCTTAGAAGAGTTTGTTTGGAAGCCAACGTCTACAGTGGAGGATCAATGTGAGGTACACACCCCCCTGCATATTGAAGCACAATCTCTGCACAATCAGGCTCATTTGGAAATTCCGGGATCAGGAATAAAGCGACGTCTTGGAATCAAAAAGATGTGAAATTGTATGAGTTATATTTATACAAGGGTTCAAAATTGATTTCCGCCACGCACACGAGACTTAATATATATATAGAAAGATTTTAGAATACGTTTGCAATAAAAAACTTTCTTATATATCGAGTTACAACATAGGCAAATACTCTAGTAGTATTCAAGTATACAATAAACCTTGGAACTCTTTTAGGTCCAAAGTTATATTAAAAATTAAAAACAACTTTTCATACAAATTACATGATGTCATTTAAACATAGAAAAAGTTAGGATCTCATTATCATATCTATAAAGTCTATAAACGGCGAGACTTTGGTGTAGAAGCCAACTTCCCCCTTTTGTGCACAACCATCACCCCAGCTTACGATGCCAACTTGGAACCAACGGAATTTGCCGCTTACTGGATGTTGATAAAGCACCATGGCTGGACCACCACTGTCACTTTTGCATGCATCATTCTTCCCTGTGATATCTCCAGCACAGAACTGTGTCGTGCTGTTAAAATACCATTTGCCTTTATCCTTAGGCTTAGCTTTTTCAGTCTTGTTTTTTACACTGTCTTCACAAAATTCATTTGCTTTCAAAGGTAGCTTTACTTCTTTAAGTTTCTTTGAGATTTCGTTACCAGCGTCTTCTTTTTGTTTGCTCGGTGTGGTTCTACCCCATCCAACTACGTACACCTGCCTGCTATTTTGAAATATATTCGTGTTTATTTCACGGGGGAGGCAGATTGCTTGTTGGTTTCTTGTAAAGCGTTTTAGTTTCGGAATTTTAATCAGTGCGATATCGTTTTTGTAGTTTTTGGAATTGTAATCAGGGTGGATATAAAGCCCAAGACTCGTGTACACCGTTATTTTTCTGTCTTGGAATGCCACTTGAACACTATAAATAAAGATTCCACTTAAGTTCCTGTGATAATATGAATAGTGTTGATACCTCCGGCGAGCTAGAGTCGTATATGAGCTATCAGCCGGCACATACAACGAGGGCGAGTCGTATCATTGTTGTATAATATAGCTACTTACTATAACTAGATCGGCTATTTTGATTTAATTTCAGTCAAATGTTGTACGCTGAATGTTGTCTACATGAACAAAAACTGCTTTTTGTCAGTTCTGCTTACCCCTAAATATTTTTACCCCATATTTTGTTGATTTGTTTTAAATTTCTGGGAACTGAACATTCAAAAAGTGTTTTCATTTCCTCTTTATTATTTCCAAGCAAAACTGGTGGCCATGATATCTGGCGAGTATCTCCACCAATCAGATTGCAGAATAGCTGATATATAGTGAGTAACTATACTAAACGATATTTATGATATGAGTCACTGGTGATTGACAGGAACTTCATGCGACGACGAACATGAAAAATGGTGAATAAATGGCATGATCTGTTTCTTTGCTCGAGCTATGCACGCCATTTATTTTCCATTTCCACGTCGTTCTGACTCTCTTGATGTTTCCGTCCCCAGTCTAAATCTGACTTTCAACCCAAACTTACGCTGGTGGCTGGTTTTTTTTAACACAATGAGCTGCAGTTAATACAAATTCTTGCGAAATTAATGTTCCACCACAGAGCGACTTAACATTATTATTATCTAAATCAAAATAGAAATCGTCTAATCAAACAAGTGTTGTTTCTGATAATATATCATGCTAAAAAGCCATGCTTACTTGTGATCACCACTTGTACTGCCCATGGCCAGTTTGAATTGCGTTCATCTGTCACTCTTCCACCAACGATTCGAGCTCTGGCATTAACTGGTTTAAATGGCGAGCTTCCACATTCCGAGAAATCTAAAAATATGTAACAAACTGCGTATAAGAGAGACAACATCCTGTCAAGGCTCCGTTATTAAAGTATCTTTTATTGTTTTGGATGTCGCATTTTAGTCACAGACCTTCCTGACCCACTATAGACTCTATTTCTACATTCTATTTCATTTTCTTAGAATGCTTTCGTGAAGAATAGAAATTTTTTCGCTCTTACCTCTTAAAGGCATGTTGACAAGTTTCTTTTTAACTTTATTTAAATCTTTGTAACCCTTTATGGTAAAAATGTTTTCATCTTCAGAAGCTAATTCTCTCAAGGATTTGTGTCTGATTTTCTTCCCTATACCAATAACATATATTTCTACATTTTTCTTTTTGAGGCGATCAGCGGCCTCCTTTGGTGATCCTCCGACATTTGATTCTCCATCTGTCAGAATAAACATGGCCTTTGTGGTGTTATATCTTACAGATGATGGAAGAATGACTTTTTCAACTTTTTCTAAGGCCAACGTTGTGGCTGTTCCGCCTCCTAAAATGACAGTTAATTTTGAAATCTGCTTCAGTCCAGAAAGAGACTAACTATACCCTGTCTTTAGTACAAAGCAAAGTCGCCTAATAATCAACATACGTACGTGTGTATTTGATTTTTATAATCTTTTTCAACGTATCATTCTTTGTTTCTACTGAAGCAAAGGCAAAATTGAACTGGACGTCTGTACGTGTTCCATACGTAACACATCCTATTCGTGTTCCATCTGGTCTAAAAGAATGAAATATCTCATTGACGTCATTAAACTTAATGGCAAATCAGATCGATGTTGTAAACACCAATGTCGCATGAGTCATAAAAAAATGGTTAAACTCATCTGAATTAAACTTTATTAACATTTCTATATAGTTAATCAGTTACCTTCTATCAACGCCAAATATATTAACTAATGTTTCCAGGAACCCCCTTGCGATCTCAAAATTTTTCTTTTTAATACTACTTGAAGTATCTAGCACAAAAATTAGGTCCAGTCCATTTTTATATTTCAAGTTGAGCGCACGTGCTCTGGTATCATACTTTGGACATGAGACGTTGGTTCCTGAGCATGTTGTTTGCAGCAATGAATTAACAAATTCTTCACCAAGGAGTTTTGCTGTCTCGTCGATCGAACGGAAGACTTGGAAGTCTTTATCTAAAATGAAAAAGTATGATTAGTCTCATGTCAAGGTTAGGAAAATACTTGAATCAGGAATTTGATTTAGGTTTTTCTTTTTCAACAGATATAGCCTCGCATTTTCTGAATTCTTGGGCGGCGGAGGTTTAAAATACACCAAGGTCAAGGATTGCATATAAGAATCGAATGAGATCGCTTATGAAAACAGCATATAATTGAGTCAGATTCTTTATAAAAACAACTGATACTCTTGAATCAATGACCGAGTATTTTAGCAATTCTCGTTGGTTCACTTATCAATTGATCAAATTGAATTTCTTACCAACACATCTAGGAGGTTCTCCACTCCAAGTTTTATTGTTCAAACATGTTCTGCTCTGCGAACCTTGGAAGAGTTTTAAACCATTCTTGCATGTGTAGTAAACAACGTCTCCTTCGTTGTAGTCTTTTCCTGATTTTATTGCACCGACAGGGATTCCTGGATCTCGGCAATATGAGCCTGGCAAGAGACGGTGATATTCTGGTCTGGTTTTTACTCTCACATAAAGTAACATCTTTCTATTTCAAACTCTCTAACTCTATTTTAATCTCCAAATCTAATCCTAATCTAATTATTTTTTAATCTAAAACTCTAATCCAGTAAGTACAGCTTACTTCCATCATCACAAACGGCGGCAGATCCGTTCCACGTTTTATCATCTTGACATGTTCTTTTTCTTGATCCATACAAAGTAAATCCAGAGTTACAGAAAAACTCGACAGTGGAGCCAATAAAAAAATTATTTCCAAATATTCGACCATGCTGTGGTATGTCTGGCCTTGGACAACGCTTCTCTAGGATATGAATTAGATTAAAGATTCCTAAGTTGTCATATGAGAGAAAATAACTTAACTTGCATGCATCTAACACGCGAGTCTTAAACGCCACATTAACGTCACCACCGTAAATAAAATAAACATTTCCTTAACTGAACATCTGCGTCTTCTCTCTGACGTTTCTTAATATCTCGTGCTAAATTTCGTGCCTCTTTTGTGATTTTTTTTAGAATTTTTCAATTATTGAAAGATCAATTTCAATTGTTGAAAGATCAAGAGTAATGTTGAAAAAAATTCTGAATGTAGGATATCGCGCTCAGGTGCCATTTAAAAAATGCAATCCTCCATCGGCTCACATGCAGATTCAATTAGTTAAGCTCACTAGAATACAGCGCTAATAAAAATCTTACTTCTACAAAATGGTCGGCGATTTGTCGACCAAGATCCGTGCAAACAAACAATATCTTCTTCACCAAAAAGTTCATAATTTTCATCACACTCAAAGGAGATCGTCGTAAATTCTTCGAATAGTGTATCACTGAATGTTACATTTCCATTTAATATCTTTCTAAATCCCGGGTCGGAGCATTTATTCTCTGGAAAGATGTTTATATGAAGATGGTTATATGATTTGTAAGACATTCAAATATGCACCACAGCTAGACTAAGTTCATTATAACCTCATTCTTACTTTGACAAGAGATACGTGACTTTCCACCACTCCAACGTAAATCTCGTCTGCATATCCGCTGTTTTCTGGAACCCTTTATGCTGAAGCCAACATCACACGTATAGACCGCTACGGACCCTACTGAGATTGCTGGATACTTCACTGTGCCATTTCTTAACTCTGGTGGTTTACCACATCCTGATATGGATAGTAAATGATGATGAATGATAGTAAATGATAATGAATGATAGTAAATAATAATGAATGATAGTAAATGATAATGAATGATAGCGAATGATAACAATAGAAACGACTACAAAATGTTATGAAATGTGGCCAAGAGCTGAGAAGAAGAACGATTAAATTTCGGTGACATGCTTCGGTTGAGATGTTCTTAGAGTGGCAGTGGTCACGAAAATATTTTGCAAACCTAAATGATATAATGTTTGCTCGCAAACCCCGGTTCAGTTTTCAGCCAATCACAATATGCTTGGTTTTTATCAACACTCGTGCTCGTTAAAGCTCCTTAGTTGGTGAAGCGGGAGAACGATATCTTCTTTCTCTGCGGTGTCGAATTCAATATGATGATAATATTGAAATGGAGTTATATACCTCTACATTTGGGAACTTCGTAGTTAGATATATTCCTCAGAATCTTGCAAGATAAATCTTTGATATTTTTTCCTCTGGTGAAGTAATATCCATTTTCACACATCAATGTCACGTGATTCGCCTTGCGTTGTTTGCTGGCAAATATCGTGTGTGCTGGTAGTTTGATGTGTTTTAATGATCTTCCACATCGCCGTCTTCCGTTCACTTATGAAAAGATCAAATAAATAATGTTTTCATAGGTCTCTAAAAATACATATGTTACCCAATCGAGCTTACATCTTTGACTTTGTGGTTCATTGATGGTGATAGAGAGATGATAAACTATGATTTATAAGTTCTAGTCTGTGCGCACCACAGATGCAAAATAATTCATTGTTAGATCATAGGTTAGATTTCAACAAATACCACTATAGTCTTGTGTAGTCTTACTAGTTTTATATTATGACTTACCTGATGTGAAGTGGAAAAACAAGCCAAGTATAGTAACCAACTGCAACCACATTAACCACTTACCACAGGTCATGTTTCTAAGAAATGTAGCGATAGAAAAATTCTTAGAAAAGAAAGATGTTATTTCAGTACTCAAATAAAACTAAATTATGAGAATACCACAATATCACCACAAGATATTCTTTATAACTACGAAACTTCTTGCACAGAATTTAGCAAAATGATCTGTCTTGACAAACGTAAAGGCCCTGACAGAAACATCTATCCCTATATCGTTCCCATCTCTTCTCATTATCATGTTTTGACACCATGGTACTATTTACATAAGGTGGTAATTTCAAATTGTAAATGAGAAGATGTTTCATTTCGTATGTTTCATATATCCAGCATGCATAAACCAAAACATTAAATCACCACTGCAGTTGCAGATGATTGTAATCCTTCTATTGCTACACGATATATGTCAATATATTCTCAACATCAGCTTATTTTTTCTCTATACCTCAACTAGACACTTACATCACGCCAAATTGCGGCTTACTCGCCAAATTTTGCAACTCAATTACGTTAAAAGACTTCGTTGTGCTTTGTATTTTAAACTTGTATCTTCCCTATATGAAACAGGCGACTACTTTTCGTAATATAACGCCAGTCTATTACTGGGAAATGTTGAACCAATCTTTCAATACTTGTCCGTAGCTGTTGTACACAACAAAAAGTTGATGAATACCCTAGTTTTTTTCAGATAATTTATCAAAATATACCGATAAAATAATTATTGGCGTTGTTTTTAAACCTGTAGCGTATTTTTTATAATCTTAGTCACGCGTACAGCCAGGCCTAGGGTGTATACTATCAGTTAATAATTTGATATATCTAGCTAGGTTTATTCGGGAACAAAAGAAAGACAATAGTGGTACGGGGTCAAAATGCCAAATACGAGACTTTCAATATATTCAAATTTTTATACCCGGTGATTGAAAAAGTCGAGATGACTTCGAAACGTCGTTTTTATTGATTTTATTTTTAAAATTTATAGTATAAAATAATAAATCAACAATATTGTCTATTGAACTGAAGAACAACTTCATTGAATATCTACGATTATCTTAACGGTAAAAGTAAAAATAAAAAGCACGTAAAATTTTAAGGACGTCATCATATAGAGAAAAAAAGAATGACATTGGGACTGGGCGAAGCCTCTTGTCAGGTTTATGCATGCAATTATCTAATCTAATTAAATCTAATTCATTTGTGGATTGTATTTCAGTCGAAAACACGCAATATTGCATTGGTTGGTTGGCTGTGTTTTACAGGGTTGTGTATGGGGAATGTAAACAATTATTCCAGAGAAATACGCGTGTATAAAGATCGAAATCTTATTTTATCGACTTCAAAGAATATTTTAGAAACAGGCTTCAGTCACGATGATTGTTTCAACTGTCTTTCAATCAAGAACATTTTCAAACGTCAAGAATCGAAGAGTGCATGGCTTCAGCGACCGTCAGCAAAAGTGCAAAACGGACGTGAAATATATCACCCCATACTGTGAAATAACCTCAATTGTGCGTCATAATGGTTTAAGCTTACATCTGGAACGAGGTTTTACAAAAACAAAACACATTTTACTAGTATACGTTAGATCAACGGTCGACTGCATTGAGGTACATTTAAAAGTCAAAGGATGGATTACACAATTCGTATTGTGGTTATTATCGCATTGGTCAATTCGTTATGGTGTGCGTGTGTTAGTAACGCATTTAATCCACGCGGAAATTGTAAGTATACAAAGACAGTGACAGAGCTTTGTAAATATTCATTCAATGAACAACATTTGAATTTCAATTTGGACGAATTAACCAAAGAAAAACTATACAAACTGCAGCTAGGCTGATTTGCCGGCATTTGCCCGATGTCTAAGAATCGTGATTAATTTCATTTTATATAATAATGATCACAGGCAATGGTAATTATCAATATTATAACCGATGATAAGCTAAGAATGAGACAATAAAAGAATAAAACACCTGAAATTGTCCTGCAATTTATCAGTCCAATACTAAGTTAATTCTTTAAAGCTTGTCCCGACCCTGGAACACCAGACAACGGAAGACGAGGAGAGAAAATAACCGTGTTTCATACTGGCCAAACAGTCAGCTATTTCTGCCATTCTACTTATCAATTGGTCGGACCACAGATTAGATTGTGCCAGGCTAACGGATCTTGGACTGGTTATAAACCTTCCTGTGAAAGTGAGTACGAGCATTGTTGCTATTGCATAACGTCATTTTCTCTGATGTGCGTAAATTTTTTCACAGATTAATTACTGCGTTAGATGACTTAGTTTAGAGCACCCCCTTGACGCGATTTTAATGAGAAGGAAGGGGGGGGGGGGGAGTACACAGAGTTCTATCTTAGACGGTATAATAAAATCAAATGTACCTTAGGGGTGTGAATAGTTGCTGCTCAGTCATGGAGAATCCACACGATAAAGAACTGTTTATTTCACCATTCAATTCATCCACATTTATTCACTGACGTAATATTCCTAATTATATGACAAACCAGTCCACGACCAAGTGCATGATCGCTGACAAAATTAAGTGTGTTGATTATGCTTTGCTCTGCTATAAATGAAAAGCTAGTTCCTACTTGAACGAGCTACATTTGATCAAAATGTTTACTGTGATATCTTCTTTCTGTCACAGAATACATGTGCGATAATCTGGACGCTCTTCCTCCAATGCATGGTAAGAGAATCGGTAAAAATTTCACAATTGGAAACAAATTGGAATTCAAATGTTACTCGCATTATAAGCTGATTGGTGAAAATGTAATTACGTGTCTTCCTGATGGCAAATGGTCAGCAAGACCACCGAAATGCGAACGTGAGTAACGGAAATTTGCTAACTCTTAAACATTTCTTATTCTTATTCCGTTATTCGCCCAGTGCATGTGAATTACTTGTAATATAAAATTTCTTCTGGAAGCTAGGCTTAATGTATTTAGAGAATAGGATACTTCTTTACTGCCATTCCTTGAAAACCAACTCTAATTCCTAGATCTTTGTGATCCTAATCAAATGTCTTGTGATGAAGGCATGATATGTAAAATGCGAAATCTTAGGCCAACATGCGTATGTCGTTCTAACATGGAATGTTCATCAAGATGGGACCCTGTATGTGGAAATGATGGAATATCTTATAACAACAAATGCATTATGAATGCCACTGCTTGTAGACTTCGAAAGGATATAAGAATTGTCCATGATGATAGATGCCTTCCAGGTAGGTTGGTACTAGTCAACTTGCATTATTTGTTATCACCGCGTGGTGTAGGGAAAATTTAACTTGTTTTTTGGTGAGTTTCCAGATCGAGATACGGTTCAGAAACTCCTCTAATCATGTTTAATGAAAACTTGACTTTACTTAATGTCTTAATGCGTATAGTAAGACAGGCTCAATCAACAACTAGCTCACTATAGACTCGCGAAGTTTTTTTGTTACTTTGGTGAATGCACTAAATTTATTTCAACCGTAATTACAATCTGTGTACATGGCCAGAGTGCTTTAATATATTACCTTTCATATACACCACAAGCAAGACTCTTAGGAAGGTTCTTAAAATTATAATATACAACATTTCTACTAAATTTTGATAATTTAGCAAATTAAAACTGTCGCGCACATCACTTCATGTCTATTTGTCAGATTCTGAAATGATTTAAAAAGGATCATTGCGTGGTATTGTGACCTAGGTTATCTAATAAATCCAATATCCAGTATTATTCAGGGGCGGATCTAGACCGGTGCAACGGACGCAGATGCATCGGTCAAAATTGTGATATTGAAATTTGGTCAGATATAATATATTTGTATAGATTATACACATATAAAAATACCTGATAGCTAACTAATGTGATCACACCTCTCCTTGAATAAACTCAGAGTTTTTAATCACTTCAAACCAGCGATTTAAACTCATTATTATTGCCAAGTTATCGATATTTGCGATCAAAACATGATTTCGCACTTTCTTTTGTTCTTCGACAAGTCGTCGTGAATAATTTCGCGACAAAAATGGCCTAAACATGGATATAAATAACTTTTCATTACGTAATGCACAGTAGCACATGTGAATCACTGATGTGAATTAAGTGCACCGGTCCCGAGTCCTTTTCCGCGTGAAATCTACTGTTACGTCACATTGCCATTGTTTTGAGAGTAGATTTGGAAATTTGTGCACCTGTGAGTGCACCGGTCCCGAGTCCTTTTCAGCGTGAAATCTACCGTGACGTAAACGTTTCCATTGTTTTGAGGGTAGATTTGAATCCGCCGACCGATGCACTCGTGCAGATTGCGGGCTTTTTGCTACCTTTTCGCTTCAAGCCTCGTTTTAGATTCTACTGTGACGTACAGCTTTCGCTAAATCGCTTTGGCATAATGGAATTTGCTCTCCCACGCATTATCGAAGTCATGATTACAACAGCAAATAAGGGCATTATTCAAATTGAAAAAAATAAAGTTTGAGGTCAAACGGTAACGTACTCGCATAATTTTTCAAAATAAAGAAATGACTACATGCCCCTGGGGTCAATAATATAATCTCTATTCTCGAATATTCAATGGTTCTGGCCAGTTCTCGAGTTCGTTGATATTGCGTATAAATTTAAAGTTGCTTAGGTTTAATATAAAGCTTATGTTATATGAGCAATTTTTGAATAAATGCCAATAATGGTCATATTATTATGACCACTAGACCTTACTATGACCACTTATTATTATGACCACTATACCACTAGTGACTTTGAGTCACTAGACTAGGTATAAATTATAAACTGTGATTTACATTATTTTATTAATGATGAAAATCACAGTTTATAATTTATACCTTACACCATTACTATGCGTGCAAAATAAGGTAACTTGTGTAGCTGATGTCAAGATAATACGACAAGTTTGAGGTATTACAATTAAGTTGTTTTCTTGTTTAATAATGCTACACAACAGCCACAAAAATTATTAGGAATGAATGATCAATGATGTCCAGTTTAGGTCATTACCAATTACCATACAGGTAATTAGACAGTGTAAATTCCTTAACTTTTAGCTATGGTTGCTCATGGCTGTTTTGGTCACCAAAGACTGGTGAATTCCTAAGACTGGTGAATCACAGCTAGTCTAAATAACTAAATTGCCTAATATAGTTCAAATTAACTCAAGTCTCAAGTATTGCTGTAAGTCACATGGACTGCATTGCTTTAGTTTTAAGATTCTTGGGATAATATAAAAGTTATTTGGGATGATATAACTTTTGCAACAATATGGGAATCCTAAATGCCTGTACATAGTACATACACTAGTAATTGATTGTGAAGAATATTTTTTTACTCATTGATGTATTCATTGTTGTAACTCTTGAACAACAAAACTTTAGGATTGCATGCATACAACCTCATTTATAAATAGATGGACCTTGCTTTTATGATTTGGCCAGGCAGGATACTACATAGTCTTGGCATATCTTCTATATTAGAAAGATTATTTACACCAGCTTTGCTGATTAAATTAACATAATTAGCCCCACTGCCCCAATCAGTGTTTGTCAGACTAAAACTAAAAAGTCAATTAATAAGACATAAACACTTGAATATTTGCCTTTTGCAAGCTCTAAAAAGTGGTTCCTTCCTAGTTGTTTTGGAAATATTTTATTTCTAAAGGGAGACAATACTTTGTCAATATTTTTAATTAAAATTTAAATAACTAGCTTTGTACTACTCACAAAAATATTGATAAACATTATTAAGATTGATCAATAACTCGATCTCTCTTATTTCAAAACATCAATTTTTTCAAATTTTTCAAATACTTTTTTGAATAATGAAATTAGTGCAACTCTTGTTGAATTATTAAAGGCCCTATTTCTTCTGAGCTTTATGGAAAAAATTATTTGAATATTTTGATAATTGGTATTGACTTTCGACTTTCAACTACTTTTGCAAACAACTATTTAATTCAAGATTTTACAATGTCTAAACTGCAGTTTATGCAAGATTTTAAAATGAACTCCTGAAATTGTATTATGAAGTACCTCTTTATGTTTAAAAGGACGTAGTTTTGTCATGAATCTTTGAATGCATGAGTTGGTTTCTATGTTTGAATGTCTATGTTTGAAACTAGTCAGCCAAATTAAATGCAGGGAATCGCGTTTTCGAGTCTTGCATTCCTAGGCTTAAAATTTCCCGGGATAGATGTCTCCGGCCCGCTAGTGGGCCTTTGACATTATCCATGAAAGATGCATCGGTCAGGAAATTCGCTAGATCCGCCCCTGGTATTATTACTTCACTATATAGGGGACAGATGTAGTATTTTTCCAACCAGCAACTGTCGAGCTGCGTTTAATGTATTTTTCTACAACGTTACTGCTCGGTCATGTCAACGTGTCATTGTTGGTGGATGTCATCCTAGTGGATGGAATGGATTCTTTTATAAGAATGACTGCAAAAACTTCTGTGAGAGAGGTATATATGTTCATGATTATTGAATAACAATGTGACTTGTGCATTTCGTCATGAAACATAATTGCTGTCATGCGACTTGGGACCCTGGGCATCGCAGGTTTCCAGGTATTTTCGACTGAAGTAACATTCGACCAACACTGGTCGAGGAGAACAGTTTAAAATGATGATAAACTGTAGTGTAGCCAGCCTGACGATTTAATCAATAATTTTTTTTGCAGTGGCACTCGATCCCTAATATAGACCTAGATATGGGGGCCATGGGGCATTTAAAAAACCGATACTGATCTAGTTAACCAGAATTTAAGAATAGTTATCAATAGTACATCTTATACAAGTTGTGTTGAACGGTAGTTAGTCAGCCAACTATAGTCAGCCAATTTCTGTTCCAGATGTTTGTGCCCTCAATCCAGAAAAAGGAGCATGTAATAGTATGACAACAAGATGGTATTATGATCTTCGTCTAAAAAAATGTAAAACGTTCAAGTATGGAGGATGTTTTGGTAATCCGAATAACTTCCGCACGATGGATGATTGTATGATGAGGTGTGGTGTTTAAATTAAGGTATCAGACTTTTTTATATGTTGACTACACTCAACGCAACGCTTGTTTTTATTGTTTACAGTTGAGGTGATTGAACCAAGCGTTGCGCTTGGTTCAATCACTTCAACTGTAAACAATAAAAACAAAGTTCTACGATAAAATAAGAAAGAATTGAACTGTTCTAAAACTAGAATAAATTATCCTCATGCAAGGATATTTAGGCTGGGCGGTGGATAGGCGGAAGCGCGGTTGGCAAATTTGAACCCAAGTCAGGCAAAATGTGAAAAATGAAACTTGAAAAGTCTGTTCATGATAAGAGAAGTAGAAATTAAGATGTCCGGTAAAAAACTCCGTTCATTACGTCGAAATTAGAGCATAGAGCCCAACAGTCAGGCTTTTTGTTTTTTATGTTCTCAGTTCAAGGAAATTAACGAAACATTTCCTTGTATAGGAATTTATGTAGTCGTTACTATTTGAAGTAATATAGTGTTTCATTCATTTGTAGATGAGAAGAAATTACCTATTATCATGATGGAAACAAACAACAGGCGGTCGCTATTTGAATAATCAGAATCGGAGCACTTGGGCGATTATTATTATTGTATTTTTTACATATATTGTGTTGCATTAATAAAATTTATCAGTTTATGTTTATCAGTTTTTAATTTTTTTCAGTTTATGTTCATTATCAGTTTATGTTTCGTATCATAAATATTTTTTACAACAGCTTCTGTGTTCTGGTATATTATGCGTATAGCTTTAAAAATTCAATATAAAGCTTTCTGAAACTGATAAACATGCACGTACTATAGTTTATATTCATTTATAGAAGCGTTGGGAACCTGTAAATGTTAGATATTCAGATTTCAGACAGCACATCGTACCTTAAAAAATACAGAAGCGTTGGGAACCTAAATCAATGTTCGACATTCAGAACACATCACATACATTGACATTGTACTTAAAAAGTATAGAAGTTCAAAAATGTTAATAAACCATATGTTTACATATACCGACATGCCCTCACTTTATTGTCTTCATGCTTTTTATTAAATCGTGCTTTTCTTCATTAGCCATTTAGCCTTACGGCTGTAGAAAATTTCACACTTTTGTATAAAATAATGAGATATATTTTTTGAAATGTATAATAGTTACCTTTTAGCTATCCTTTAGTTTTCCTTTGGTTGTCCTTTAGTTGTCCTTTTAGCTGTCCTTTTAGATGTCCTCCTTTTATATAGGTGTCCACATTTTATATGCACAACAATGAAATCACACCTTCATAAACAGAATTTTCAATGCAGAGTACATGAAATGGGTATGACATTTTGTATGAAATGCATAAGTTTAAATTGTGCAAGGATATATATGTAACGCCATGTAATATTGTAATGAGTCGTTGTTTCCCTCAAATATTCAGTGTGTATCGTCTGCGCCTTCAACCGATGCGTACTTTTGGAAAGATGGGAAAATACTGTAATACATAACGCTTGAAACAATAGTATATATGTGTGGGAAGTAGCGCAAAAATCAACTGTTTTAGTCTAATTACGGTCTATTAAATGCATAAATAAGCTATACATTTTAAAGTGATTTAAAGTTTAAACGCAAAAATGGCTAAAAAACCTGTTATAGTTAAAAAGTTCTACTTTTGAATGATTGAACACAGTTTAATTAATGTGATGCCTAGTCCGAGAGCCGAATCTGAATTCCGAATATGAATTCCGAATATGAGAGGCCCAATCTGAGGCCGAATCCGCGGCTAACTTCACAGTGGTAATTTGCTGCAAAGTGCACTTTCATTTACAGACAAGGCAATTTATAGACAAAATGGCTCACGGATTTACACAACTAATTCGCCAAGCTGACAAATACGCACTTTATGTTTTAACTTGCTTGCTTGCGGCATATTTATTGAACCAACTAGACAGATATGCTTTAGTTGTTACCAGCAGACCAATGGCACAAGATATACACTTCGGTGACAAAGGTTGCGTTAGCAGTAAAGATATCAACTTCTCTGGGCAAACCAAGTTGTGTAATAAAGAACCTGGGAGCGATAAAGTGGAGAAAAACAAGACAAGGTATATCGTAGTCTAGGTATATTCAAAGGTATATTAGGTATATAAGTGGGGACGTAGCTATATAGTGGAGTCTAGTGAGAAGTGGTCGACTTGATATCATTATAAAGAATAAAGTTGCAGGTTAGCTTTAGTCAAGAGGATAATATTATGCCAGCAAATATAAAACTATGCACTTGTGAATCTATAAAATCTCCCAAAAGAGAGACAGTCAAACACAAACTCAGACAGACGGAATCACGGAAGAACAATCAACAATCTCGTTTCCCGAGCCCGCGATTAACGGAAGAACTACACGCGGCTGGCCGTAAGAATACCAGTGAAGATAACCCAGGATACGGAGGGACTGGAATATTTCATTATTCTGCATGTGCTTGCAGGATTGTCCCTCAAGTCGAACTTACATTTGCAATTTTTATTATTCTGCGATTTCTGCCGGTGAATTATTTCTCTGATTGATGTGAATGACAATATCATTATGCTTCCACAAGATCAAACAATTTATACCTATTTCAGTCTCGTTTGCATCATTCAAAAGAATAAAATTTGCACCTGAATTCCACTTAGACAATTACAAATGACGTTAATTAAACAACTCGTTGTTTCCACAATAAACGTGAAAGAATAGTGCAACACCTGTTAAAAATGCGGTAACAACCTGCATGGTATTGAACCGCAAATTTTACCAAATTTGCAATCGCGATACACCGGCTGCCATGGTTATCACAAACATGACGAGAAGAAATTTAGAAGAGAGATGCTTTCTGGCAACAGAACATCACCGATAAACTGAATATGAATATTTTTTGGCAGAATTGAATCTTAATCGGAGGTTTGAAAAAATATTTTTAGTGATAGGAAAATTTGTCAAGGTCCTTAAACGTCATGCAGAATGCTGGAGACATGCATAATAAGAAACATTCAACAATGATGAGAGAATTCAGGGAGTTAGAGAAACGATTACTGAATTTGGAAAGAGAAAACAACAAGTTAACAAAACGGCGATATTTTTATTGTAAATCTGCATCGACCACTAAACCCTATTTGTCCGAGCGAATTATGGCAAGAATGCGCCCTCAAACTGCACCACAAGAATACCTTGAGAAAAACACTTTAAAAGTTCGTGTTGCTTCTAAAGAGATTGAAAATGTGGTGGATTTTGAAGCTAAATGGAATGACACTCAGAAAGAAAGGAGAGTCCGCTGTTCTGAAGAAGCAGAGCAGGATAGACAGTTGTTCAAAGCTGCTGCTGCAAGGAAAAATGAGGTGAAAAATTCCAACGATCTTCGCTTGATTGACAGAAAACGTGAATCCTCTGCAATCAGACAAACGTTATCTAGCACGAGTTTTCGCTCCTCTAGTCAGAATTCGAACAGAAATCGTTCTCCGAACAATCGTCATAGATCAGAAACCATTTCGTCAGCTGATAATCGGCGTAAAACCGTTAATAGTCGTCCGCCTTCGTTGTATAGCAGAAATTCTTCAGCATATGGTGGTCGTAGTGTTGCATCAGGGATATCTCATTTGGAAAAACGTAAGGACAAATCATGGGTCTATCATCCAATGTCAATATTCCCGGAAAAACAAAGTATATACACATTTGTGGTACCCCCTGTCAGAGTTGCTGAGGAGGCGAAGATACATTTTAAGAAGCGCAAGGTTCAGCGCAGTGGAAGGAGACATGTGGGGTGGATAGATAACAAGAATGAACATGTCATGAGATTTCAAGGGATACCACGGGAATTTTATGTGCATCATGATGAGAAAACGTCAGATTTTGATATAGGGAAGCTAAAACACTGTCGCTATCTGCGTACATAAGGTTTAACTAATAATAGTTCTAACTTTGCAGCAACTGAGCTGTAAACTTTTTACACTTTTGTCACTGCAGTACCGGACAGTTTAAAAATTAAAAGTAAATTACATAGCTCTTGTTCATAGAATGATATTTACTAGCATGTAAGTGTTTTGAGGTACCGCCAAAGTATACCGTACTTTAACAAAAGCGCCTAAAATTATGCCTGTAAATTAGGTTGACCGTCATCAAGGTTAATATTGTTCGTTCCTGTTGATTATAATAAAAATATAGCAAAATAGAAATTACAAAGGATCGTAAAACAGAGGTGAAAACAATAAAAAAAAATATTTCTTAAATAAATAAACGTTATTGCCGTGTATAGTTCAATTGCATTTATCTGCCAAATGAGCATTTTGTTTATGGATTGTAATTACATTTGAATTGTGTCCACAACTACTATACTAAGCTATTTTCCATCGTTCAGATGTTTAGCAAAGTACGGCAATGGAAAATACAACACCACCTTGGCATGCCGTTGGGACTATGATGGAACTGGTGAACAGTACCAGATACTAGCTGGACCAGTATTTATACTAGTTTACACCATCACTGGTATCCCACTCGGATTCCTGGGCGGCAGTAACAAACGGTCTAAGCTCTTAGCCAGTTGTTTGCTGTTATGGACTACGATGACTTTATTAACTGGCTTCGCAACCAAATATTGGCAATTGGTTATAACTAGGTTTATACTTGGCATGGGGTGAGTTATATCTTTTGATCGAGAGCTGGAGACTCAGCTAGCTTAGAAAGACCTTACAAGGAAGACAGATATATTGCTTTTTTTCGTAGTTACACTGTGCATAATTAATAAGAGATGATCCTTACTTTACCATCTAGAAAGACCAATTTAGTTTAGGCTACAATGAAAGTCAATGATACGGTGTTAGTAATAATATAAAAATATATACATATTATTTTTAATGTAGTGAGGCAGGTTGTACGCCGTTTGCAAGCAGTTTAATCGCAGACTACTTTGACGAGGTGAGGTTGATATCAAATGTTACAGTTTCTTATAACGATTAAACGTTAACCGCGCTAAATCATGCCATACTGGATTTTCTTTCAGACTTTACGAGCGTCAGCAATGGGTGTTTACAACTGGGGTATTTATATCGGATATAGCTTATCGTATGCCCTTGGAAACTTTATCGTAGATGCAAACATTGACGGCAAAAGTTGGAGATGGGTGTTTTGGATTGCTGCTATCCCGGGGTTCATAGTGGCCCCTATGATATTCTTTTCCGTTAAAGAGCCTGTCGGGAAAGTGAAGAAGGAACGGCCATCAATTAATATGGCGGTTAGTTCTTAGCGTATTTGTTCAAATAGAAACCACGAGATGAAAGTACAAAACGAGATTCTTTTTTTTAGGTATCATCGAAGCAACGTCGTATGTCCTCCATAGTCAAAGTGTTTCTGGGCCCTTCCACTCTTATTCTTTGTCTAGCAGGAGCAATAAGGAATGCCGGCGGATATGTATGGGCATACAACACACAACCCTATTTCGACAAGTACTATCCTGAGGTGAACCTAGGGTACTGGATGTCATGGATTCCACTGGTTAGTGGTTCAATGGGTGTGCTACTCGGTGGTGTGATATCTGATTGCGTGATTAAAAATCGAGGATTATATGCTAGGGTATGGGTCCTTGTTTTTAGTCAAGAGAGTGTACGTGCGTAAATTCACTTGAGGAACATTAAATTTATTTTACATCAACTCGTAATTTTCAGAGATAAAAAATGCAATGGCGATTGGATTGAAAGTGACGCAAACGTGTTATGCTTTCAACGGATTTATACAAATCTTTATTTTTTAGTTATTTGGAGCACCGTTTGCTGCTGGGGCGCTGTTTCTTCACCCACCTTATTGCTTTCTGAGTCTTATTGCTGCTAATATTATTGGGGAAATGTGGATTGGTGTTGCATTAACAGTTATAGTAGAACTGGCCCCAAAAGCTCTTCGAACCCCTGTGGTTGCCTACTATGGATTTATTATTGATATCATTGGTGGGAACGTACCATTGGCTGTGCCACCACTTAAAGAGGCTACTGGAAGTTTACGCATAGCGTTATACTTATTATATCCTGGTCTTTATCTAACCAGCTCTATAATATTTTTATTAACTCTGTTTGTCTTAAAATGGGATAAAGAGAAAGTGAAGAATTTAGAAGATAAAATGAACGAACAATCATCACCATTATTGGATGATGAGAATGATTGTGTTGATACATCAGTAAAAGAAGCTTAGGATACATATTGCGCATTTATTTGATATCAGAATTTTGTTTTGCTCCACACTGTTTGCGCATTGCCTGATTTGCCTCCTTTTGGAATTGTCACTGGGTTGCAAGGCAGTATGCTCAAAAAATGGTCCCTAAATCCAAGAACGTAAAACCACGATTTCATTGTTGAGTGAGTTCTCAGTAAATATATCATCACGTAACTGTAATATCGTTATTATCATAACATTATAAAACAACAATTTTAGTTGTGGTGAGAAGGAATAAATTCATCATATTATATAACTAATAAGCCCTCAGTTGAAGTTGGACTGAAAACATTTTCATCAATTCTCTTGCAATCAAAGATCTAAACATTATCCCACACAGAATTACAATTATTACATTCACAGAACATTTGCATAAGTTGCATAAGCGTATTTGTTTCGTATTTGATTTTCTAAGCATCAACCCGCAAACAGGCTTGTCCTGTAATCGGATATGGACGATGTGGACTGATCATGAAATAAATGTTTAGAAGTTTATGCTTTGAAACAGTGGAGTGCAGCAGTTTATTTGAAAAAATCAGAAGATTTCGACGAGATTATTTTCAAGAATGATATTGTTTGAGCCTCTGTGAATACGCTGTTGCTATTTTGCCAAAGGAAATTGATTTACATCCATAACCAAAGAGTGTTTTTGATGGACAACTGTCTCTATGCAGGTTGTCAACTTGTGACAGGTAGCCGTTCAATATCTTATAAATCACAAAGCGTAGTATTTTACCAGCTACGATTAAACTCAGCAAACGTCTTCAAACTGTCGTTCACGTTTCAAGTACTTAAGTTTTCTTTGAGTGTTGATAGAATTTTGACCTGAATTATGTTGTCGCAAATTAACACGCAGAATCTTTTAACTTAGAGCAGTGCGTTCCACATGTTGTCTGCTTTTCAATTATAACAACATATTTCCTATTTAGTAGCGATGACGTTGGACAAGAAAATGATGTCAGACAAAGAAATACTTCGGTTTTAGAGCTATTATTTTGTTGGAATTTCTCGTCAGATGGTATTGAGTTTCGAAAATCTTATTACACACGAAAATTATCGTTATATATTTATTAAAAAATTCGCGATATGGAAGAAGACGATCAGGATGTGTACGTAGCACAACTACGTGAGGTTTTTGAGAGTTGTGATCTTGAAAAGAAAGGATTCCTCACCAAACATGGTTTAATAGAATTATGCAAGAAATTACAGTTAGAAGATCAAATACCTAAGCTTATTGCTCAGTTGCTCGGCAACGAAGAGCATGGGAAGGTTTGTGTGAAGCTTCTGATATCATTATAGACTTATAGTAAATACAAGAATGTTGAATGAAGAGGGTTCAGTGGGTAGATAGTCCACATAATAATTATACACCATCTTGTACTGTTTGATTGCCAGCCATAAGGTTCAACTCAATGTTGGGATATTAAAAAATATTCATGTATCTATAGGGTGATTCTCTGGTCACACATGTGACATTGCTGTTTCCTCAGGCTTCATATTTTGCATGTAACAAAGTAGAATAGCAATATAGTATTGTCACCAGAGAATCACCCTGTATGTATGTTTGCTGCCAATAATTCTCGGTAATGTTATTGAGTTACTTGAGCTAGAAATCAAATTACTATGTTGCAATGCTGAAATTATTGATTTTGTCTTAAAATGAACTTTTTCAAGAAAAAAATTCCTGTGACTTTGCATATCAGGATTATCAAAAATTTATCAGCACAGTGAAAGAGGTGAATTACCAGCACAGTAAAAAAATTTGCCAGAATATATGTATACATATTGTAAGATTTAATGAAAGGCTATATATGAAATCATCAACAAAGAACAGTTTCATTGTTGAAGAATTGTGTGGGGTGTGGTGGAACCCTTTACCCAAATTGACGCAAAATTATGCACCCCTCACCAATACCCTAGTCTGCTCATGTTGTGGCAAAATGTAAATAATGTCATATCATAGAAAATATGACCCTTGCAGAAGCAGGTCTAAAATCTTTAGGAGCTGAAAACAATAGTTAATTTTTTTATTAGGTAAACTTTGAAGATTTCAAGGAAGGTTTTGTCATAGTGTTATCAGATGCAATTGATGGACTGACCGTGTCCAGTGGAGATGAACATGTGCAAGGTATCAAAGCTCCAGGTGGTTCCAGCATGATTCTTCTGGGCCTAACTTATCCAAATGCACAATAATATAAGGACAACATGTTCTGGCATTCAGACTTGAAAAATGGATCATTTAAGTGAACTATCAAAAGTTAAAAGCTAGAAATAAAAGGAAAAGTATACCTATAAAGAAGTTATAATTAAATTTTCCTAACTACCCACCCACAAATCCAAACAGCGCGAAAAATTAACCTGGTCATGTGTCTAAGCCAACACAAACTTGGCACAGAAAATAAGTGCAGCTGAGTGCCAACAAACAGCAAAGAAAATGTTTGTCAAATCTTTTTACGGACTAAAATTCCATTCCACTTGACTGCTCTGTGGAACATGGTTGTGTTTGGGATTCACCTGACACTATGGTCAGTGTAGGGCAACCTTTTGACAAATGTCTCAATCTGAGGTTTTTAAATTAGTTCACAATGTCTTCCTTAGGATGAAATTGATTAAACCGTGGCTTAAATATTTTATATATTTTGCGCTGTTCAAACAGCCCGGGTTGAACCCATGCTTCATGCAACCTAGAGCCCATTCTTCTATTTAGAAATTGAAGAACCGCCCAAAATGGTAGTGAATGACAAACGTTATGGCAGAAGATCGCGTCCTTTTGATGCAAGATATTCAGATGAAAATGGTTCTGCAGATGATGGCGATGTTGAGAGTATTAGTGGCAGTCGGCCAGGTAGTCCTGACATGAAACCTGAAAAGCAAAGAAAAATAGACAACCCTGAGGATGATCGTGAACATAAAATAAACTCGAAAGACAGACGTCTCAGCCGAGCAAATAGCCAGAAATTACGCAAACGAGAGTCTTTCAGAAAACGCGATTCATTAAGAAGGCAGGAATCATTCAAGAAAACAAGTTCTGTTCACACAACCAAGGAAGAAATTCTTGAAGCAAGTGGCCAGATCAATAGTGGAAATACATCTAATAAATGGAGCCCCTATCAATCAATGGACAACTCCGGTAAATTATCGTCAGTCATCATAACCTGCACCATTAATTCAGCATTCCATCATTTATTCTAAACACTATCAGAGTGCTATCAATATCTGACATTCGTATTATGGAGAGTAGTAAACTATAATTGTTTTATAACTTAGGTTTGTCTTCCCCAACTGAAGAACAACAGTTAAGACAAATTTGGAGTGAAGTGAATGTTGGGGCGAATGGTTTTCTCGATAAGAACGAGTTGTCTGTTGTTTGCGAACATATTGGCATGGATGGAATTGATGAAGATGTGAGTATATTTGGTATAAGAATTACAGAAAATCGTTTATTTCATGGTGAATCATGAAGAGTCGACGTCTTCTATAAGTAAAATTTGTAAGATTCAGTAAAATTTGTTAGGCGGCAAGGAAAGCAATATAAAGGCATCAAGGAATTTATATCATGAGTTTTTCATCCTGTTTCTTGGCGGATATCTGTTGATAATAAATAATATGACAATCTTTTTGTACATACACGTATATGTACTTTCATAAAGTTTTGTATTAATTGTGGATAATGATCTTATTTAGGAGTTATCTTTGTTATTTGACGAGTTGGATGATGACCACAATGGTCAAGTCAGTTTTGAAGAATTTCTTCATGGTCTTTTCATGGCACGAGACAAAAGTCAGGAATCTGATCATACCTCTTGTTCTGATGGATTGCCTGACGGACTCGAGGTAACTGCATGGACTGTCCTCCTAAAGAAAGCGTGTAGTTTCGGTGATTATTTTTAGCAAACTATATGTAGCAAACTCCATGAAAGTCATGAGTTATGGGAGAGTTTCATGCTGTGAAACACATGCAATAATGAATTGCTTTGATTGGTATTCAGTAAACTATAAATATAAATGATCTAATTTCATGTCAAAATAACATAATTCAGAGTCCAAGAAATGCCCTTCCTGGAGGAGGCAAGAATGCCACAGATCAGCCAATGACGTCAACACTGTCCCGTACTGTGAGAACTATTGAAGGAAGTAAGTCCGTCAGAAGAAATAAAGATTATGATTATAATTACGGCTATAATATGTACAACGTATACTGATTTTGATATATTCATTAACCAGAAATTGATTTCGACATTTTTTTATCTTCTTATGTGTAGATCTTCTTCAAGTTTTAGATCCAGAAAATACAGGGTAGGTAACAAAGTGTGTCTGTGTGTATTTAAACCACTGTTTACTATCTGGAAAGGAATTGTTGTAAGATTTTATCGATGCAGTAATTTTTAACATGAGCATTCAGCATTTCTCGTAACGTGTGTTCAACTAACATGCAAAATATCCGGTATTTTGATTGACAGCTTGGCAAGGGTTGATGACGTTAGGGATTTGTGGCAGGCTCAAGAAAACACAGAAGCTCTTGAATTACTCAAGGTAACGATAGTTACTGCAATTCATGACAAATTTTTCAACTAGAAAGAATAGAAGCATCAAAGATCGAGAAAATTCGCTATGTATATTCACTTTCTGATTATGATTTTATTTTTTTAGCATGCTGATATAGACAGTGAAGGGAAAGTCAATTTATCCCACCTCACATCTATGTTGGAATCTGTTATATACGAAAAGAGTGATGGTACAGTAACTTAAATATTGTCATATATATATGTAGTAATTTTCAAATAACCGTGTGTATATAATTATACTGTTTAGCTCTTTGCCAAGCTGTCGTCAGTATATTTAAACATGAACTTTCATATATGAGGTACGTAGCGGTATTTCGTAAATTATTTGGTTGTTTTTCCTTCGTGAAGAGAAGGGTGTCGTTGTGAAGAGAAGGGTGTTGTTATGAAGAGGAAATTGAACTCAATTCACTCATGCATGATAAACGTTTCTTATAATTGCTTTTCCTTCTTCCAGGAACCATGTTGAATCGTGTAATATTGAAAAGGAGAAGTTGTTAGAAAACGCGAACAATTTAGTGCTCGAGAAATCTGCGTTGATACGAGAAAGCGAAGAAAGTACTCGCCAGTTGGAACATCAATTTGGAGTTAAATTAAAGTAAATTTCTCTTGTTAACGTAGTTTTTGGTGGATCGCCTGATTTCACGTCAGGTTCATAATAGACGTTGTTGTTTTGTAAGGAATAGGGATTGTAGGATTGTAAGGTCTTTAAGGGTTGGAGTATTCGACATAAACACAGATGTTCTTTGTCTATAGGCAACATGAAGAAGCATTCAATGAGAAACTCCAACTAGCTCAAAATCGTGCAGCCGCCGACCAGGATAAAGCAATCGCGACATTTTCTAAAAAAGTCCTGGAACTAGAGAGAGAAATAGATCGGTACAAGGCAGATGATGCCCGAGTGAAGCAAGAGATTGGGGAGAGGGAGGATGAGATTGGAAGACTGGACTCTACCCTTAACGAAACACAAGAAACCCTTGAAGAGTCGGAGCGTGTTCGTGCAAGATTAGAGAAGGAATTAGGAAACGCTGCTGGTCTCTCTAGAAAGGTAATTCAAGCTGGACTACTGTAATTATTCCTCTGAGAAGTTATTTCTTTAAGTTATAAGCTTCTTTGGTAATATTTTAGCTTGCAGAAGTCGTAAGTGAACGTGACATTTTGAAGCAACAGCAGGGTCAACATGCAACGAAAGGAATAAGAGAAATGGAAAAAATAAACAGGGTAAGTTATAATGAATCACGAATTGACGTTGCCTGTTGTGTTCATTCTCCTTCATTTCCCGCGCTCGTCATATAAAAATAGAGGGTCATTGGTGAATTTCATTGCTCGCTTTATTCAATGATTTAAGTCGTGGTCAACCTAAAATGTTTAAACGATTATCCAGAAGTAGACCAGGCATTGATACATAATTGCACATATTGCAACCAGACACAAGTCTAACAGACTACATAGTCTTGATTTCGAGTTGACCACTTCTTGAATCTTTTAATGAAATGTGGCACACCTGTGTCTTTCACTATAAATATGAAATAGCGCCAATAAATATGATGTGTTTGATGCAAATGTTGTGTCCCTTAAGTTGACTGTGTTTAAAAACATTTCAGCAACTACGTGACGAGAACGATGAGCTCAAAAGCGAAGTTGAGATGTTAAAATCTCAAGCAAAAACAAACGTGAAACGTAACCGTAGTCATCGTAGACGCACAACAGACAGAATAACCAGAGTTGGCTCTGTTCTCTCTGATTACACCAAACCTGTTATTATCAAGAGAAATAAAGACGGAGCGACTTCGTCTGATGATTCTGAACGCGATGATATTGATGGGAAGCCTTCTATCGTGCGTGTCAGCGGTGATGGTGGATCTAATGAAGATGGTATTTCATACGTTAAACATTAGCTGCATAATATTACCGCATTTATCCCCAGTCTCTTTGTACTTTGTATCATTGTCGAATGTGCACTCAGGTGATTCCTATGTTTACTTTACAGAGCAAAAAACAGCAGCATTAAACAACGAACAAAGAAGTAAGTCTTATTTCTTAAACAGTGTTAGTTTACTGCACTGATGATTTACTTACTGATAAATTATTGGTTTATTATAATGAAATTAGTTTAATGCTTTGTATTTATCTCCTCTAGAAACTATCGAGGACTTGACGACGAAGCTAAATGAAAACGCAGAAAAGATCAAGGAACTTCAGAACACAATTCGTCTCCAAGAACAAAACATCAAAACAAAAGATGGATCGATAAATAAACAAAAAACATCATTAGAGAAACTGAAAAATGAAATGAAAGAAAAGACGAATGATCTCGTTGAAAAATCAGACGTAATCGAACGACTTCAAAGTGATTTAAAAGCAAAAGAGGTAAGAAAAAAGATCAAATCTCTATTAACTTTATGATTCATCATTCAAGTGTATACAAATCTACTGCGTTTCTCTGCAGGAAGAGAAGCAGTTGTGCGAAAATCAATTACAAGAAATTCAAAAGAAAACAGACTCGACCATACGTGACAATGAGGCAAACATCAGAAACTTGAAAACTGAGATTGAGTCTTTAAAACGAATAAATAATTCAGAAAGTTCCGAACTAAAGGATCGCTTTAATAAAGAGCTGGGAAACCTTACTTCACAATTCACCGCCGAGATGGAAGATCTTCAACAAAGGTAAGATGCCTCCTCCGTGCATGGGTATGGTGAGCTCAACGAGTCTATAACTGCAGTTCACCATAACCCTGGTTCAGCTGATGAAATAAGAAATTTTAATTGCAAACGACGTTTATTTACTAATAATTTTTCTAATAGATTCAGTGCGGAGAAAGACGAAATGGAAGCAGATTTTCAAAAAAAATACAAGAAACTTCAAGAGGAATATCAAGGAACACTTGAGACAATTACTGAGCTTAAAAGTAGTTTTAAAATAGAGAAAAAGTTGCTTTTGGATGAAGTTCATGAAGAAACGTCTGAGCTTGAGACAGGATTTGAGAACCAAAAAGAATTGTTAAAACAGTCTTATGAAGAAGAACTACAGGCTTGTAAACAGAAACATTCCGAAGAATTAGAGAATTTACAGAATGCTGTGAATGCTCTCCGTGATGAAAAAAAACAACTGGAAGGATTTTTTGAGAAAGAGAAGCTACAAATTAATCAACAGTTCGCAGAAGAGAAAGCTGAAATTGAGCAGGTATGTACTGTATTGAATAGCAAGGTGTTTACATCAAAACCTTCCGGATTATTCTATATTCGTAATCGAATGCTGGTCGCACTGAAGCTACACTAGTTGCACGTCTGAGTGAGTACAACTTGGAGTTCAAATACTATCGATTTAGAAGGATACAAATGTATGTCTCTTAATGTCAAGTATTTTACAGGAAAAGGCTGAAATAGAGGAACGAATTTCGGCTGAATTAGAAAGAGAAAAGCAACGCTATTTTAGCGAAAAAACAAACTCAACGGCAGATTACCGAGAGCTTAAAAATGCGTTAGAAGAACAATTTATGCAGGAAATATCTAATTTAGAGAGTAAATTTTCTCGAGAGAAGCTTGAACTTGAACAGACGGTTCAAGAATTACGACAGGTTTTTAATCAGGGAGAAGATGGGCTTAAAGGGAAATTGAAAGAAGATTTTACGCGTTTGGTTACTGCTCATAAAACAATGCTGGAAAATCAAAATACTAAATACGAAGATGAGATTAAGACTTTAAAAAATGAAGGAGAGAAACATAATGAAGAAATTAAAAAATTGAAAGAAGAAATTTTAAATTTGAAAGAAGTCCATGAAGTGGAAGTAGACGAAATTGAAAAAAGGTACTTCTGTATAATTGACCATGTCACTTTTTAGCCGCGTTTTATGTTTAGGTTTTATTTTCATGATGTTAAATTTGTGGAAAGCCTTGTGTTTGTTACTAACTATCTTCTCACTTTCGTAGATTGAGAAGAGAACACGATATTCTTGAGCTGGAACTCATTGAAAAGAACGAACGTCTTGAAACATTACAAGATAAAGTTTCGTTATTAGCTGCTGAGAACTCTACACAAAGCGGGCTGGAAACTGAAAGCGAAGTTGAACAACTTCATCTTGAGATCGAGCAACTACGCGAAGACTCGGCAAAGAAATGTCGCGTACTTGAGCGGACTGTGGAAAGACTTCGTTCTGAAAAGAATAATATTCTTGAAAACGAGTTCAAGAAATTAACGTCACGCAGTGACCTCGAGAGAAAGATTGAGAAGTTAGAGAACGAGAAGAGAAGCCTGGCACGAGAACGAATTAAAACTGAAGAAGAACTAAGACAAGAAATTAGCAGATTACAACTAAAATTAGATGAAGTACAGGATTTAGTGAACAGAAGTGATGAGAAAGTTATCTTGACAGATAAGGTATTTGAAGTGTGTAACATCCGACACTCAGAAAGACCACGTGTCAAAATAAATTTAATACTAAATATTAATTTGTTCCAGTCCTTTAAAAATCCTAAAATATTAAAACGTTTTCTTTATTGTCACTAAATTGCCGCAGTTCTTATAATTATGTAATTTTCATGTAACAAATTAACTTATAAAAGAAAATCTTAAATCAATTCTAATCTAATAAAAGTTGTAAAACGTCTACATATTGACCTAAATGAATAAATTTAAAAAGGCTACAGTTGTAATTTCTTGCTGTGTATAATTAAAGAGTGAAAAGTAAAGTCTGCTAATTCAATAACCATTATTTAAGATTATAAATACAAAGAATGTCTAATGTTGTACAAGGCATCCCTGATGCACTGAAGTTTAAATAATTTGTGAAATTTCTATGTCTATAGTTCGCAGTTTTGGTTTCAACATTTTAGTATATTAGGATTGTGTTTTGCACCATCTTATTTTAAATTTTTATCTGTTTTTTAGAATGCAATATTTTAGATAGATCGAGAAATGAATTGTAACATTCTAAGTCCATCATATTTAGAATGCCACATTTCAAATCTAAAATAATCTTTGTCGTTATTTCAGGCAAGAAAGGATTTATATTCGTTGGAACGGACGGTGGAGGAGATTGAAAAAGAAAGAAAGTCGTTAGAGAATTCCTTATATCAACAAAATATTAAAAACACGAGTCTGCAGGATGAAATATCGGACTTAAGACGACGAAATGTGAATGTGGAGAATAGATACAAAAGTGAATTAGACGCAGAGCGAGAAAAGGTGTGTTAGGATTTGTCTATCGTTGAGTTGAGTTGCTTTTTTGCGCCATTGACGAACGCTGTTAACCTCATAACCTCATTGTCTCTGAGTTCCCAACATGCATGCAGTAAGTTGAGGATTGATAACAACCGTCCGTTTCATTTCATGGCAAGGATAAAATGCGAGAAGGCAAAAATCAAACAAGAATGTCATCCTAGTTCCATCTATTTTCAGGTTAATCTAGTCCGGACGGAGATGAGCACAGCAAAATCAAAGTTCACAAGAGATTTGTCTGACCTTCATGATAAACTAAAGCGAGCTTTGAGTAATAGTGAAAAAGATCAAACAGCCAGGGACAAGATATTAAATGAAGCCAAAGTCGAGATACTAACGCTTAGTAAGAAGGTAAGGTTAATGAAAGATTACAATGAATATTGTAGTTTGTTAAAACGAACACTTTATACATTATACAGTTGTTTTCTAACACAGCTTGAAGAGAAAGCGAGGCGATGTCGGGATCTAGAGGACGAAAGATCGACGTGGGAGGAGAGAGTAAGGATGTTAGACCGCCAGAGACGTGAGATGGAATTACGGGTGAAGAAAACTCAAGATTCTGTAGATGATCACGTAAAACAACTTTGTAAACAGGTCAGTAGAGAGTTTTTTTTGTTAGTTTTTAGCATCATGCATGCTGTACTATAATTTTAATCAGTTGTATTTCAGTATTACAAAAGCATTTATGAGTTCCTCTATCTGTGTATACTGGAAAGAGAGGAATTTAACAATAATAATCTTCGTTTTAGCTGGAAGAAAGTCGAGCTCGCTGTGTACGTACCGACACATTGATTCAAGAACTTTATATAGAGAATGCTGAACTCACTAAATCTCTTCAGGAAACTGAAGCTTCCCAAAAGAAAGCTGAGAAAAGCAACAGACAACTTGTTGAACAGAAACGAGCTTTACAGAGAGTTATTTCCAAACTGTGTGGAGCCAATGCTCTCGCCTAGTAACTATAGTAGTAACGTCATCAACCGCAGTTAGCATACGGCAGGTGGTAAACGACTAGAGCAGTTTAGAGTAATGTAATCTATGTGATCTACCTTATTATATACTACTAAACGAATTTCAGGGTGCGAAAATCTGTGCTCGTTTAAAAGATATGGCTTCCTACTCAAACAATATGATATTTTTATATCTTGTATAGCTATTATATTATAGAATATTTATAAATTTTTATTGTAAATGTCAGTCGTTCGTTCATATTGCTAAAAAACGTTAACAGCTAGTGTAAGATATGTAAAAAAAGTTTAAAGAGAAGTAAAAAACGATAAACGCTTTGGAGAAGAATTACCCGTGTATTTCATGATCAGTTTTTTCCCTAAATTTCATTGAAGGCTACATTCCATTCTCCTGTCAACAAGAACAAGACTAAAGAAAGATTTTGATAAAACACAAAATCGCCGAAATCAAAAGGGGTATCAACCTATCATGCTTTTTCTCTAAGACTATCAATGTATCTAGTGTTAAACTACAGTCGAAAACCTGGCAACTGTTAAAGATTCGTCTTATTTCTTCAAAAATAACCGCAGGTAAAAATAACCGCGTCTTTCGTTGACCATGTTCCTTCTCGTTCTCATCATTTAAAGCCAATTCAAACAGGTAGCTACTACTGGTATTTTAAGATTGTTATTAAACTATTTCAACCGCGACGCTTTCCGGACCGGCTTTAAAATTAAATGTTTTCAAACACTGTATATAATTTACCTCTTCAAATAATATATGATCATGTTTAGTAAAGTCTCGCACAGTTTTCAAAAGATTTCTTTCTGTATTTGTCTCCATTATATATGTACTGTCATCTAAAAATTAAGCCTGAATGTTTTCTCTTCTCTGCGGTTTTTGTTTATCTCTAATAAAAATATTTTGGCTGTCTTGGTAGCCAATCGTATGTGATAGCTGAGCGTGGCTTGGGCAGTTTTGAGGTCAAAGACTTGCATGCCTAACTTGGATTATTCCATTGATGCCACGTCTGTGAATAGAAGAAACATTTTAGTTTGAATCTCTTTCAATCTCACCAATTAAGATCTCTTATAAAATGTTTTATTCGTCTCGGAAAGCTTCGTCATCTACAGCGCGGAAACAAACCTCAGTCACCTCGAAAAGAAACCATTACAGCGATGTAAACAGGGGTGGAAATGATATAGACAAATACGACGATGGAAATAAGAGTGGAAATGACACAGATTTTGGTTCTGCAGAACTGTTATCAACCTCCAGGGAAGATTTGTCCCCAAGCAGATGTAGTTGTCAATCAGGGGGAAGTAATGTCGCGGTCAGGAATGAGACCAGAGACTTGGACAACGAGCATTTCTGGAGTGGGAATTTAAGGTTAGAATATACGGCGTTATGATTTTATATCAGCGTTTGTAGCCTATAAAGATATTTGTATCGCTTCCTGCTGTATGAAGCTTTCTCTATATATTATAAATATAAATACTTGATTAAAAGCCCCACTTTCTAAAAAATCGTATACAAAAGCTAAGGAAGGGACTACACCACGCAGCCTGTGCATCCCGGAACTTTCTAAACGAAGTTTATGTTATGAATAAGAGGCGTTAGTCCTCTACACTCTGCTTTCCCTTTAGGTTGTAAGTGTATAGTGCATCTCATTCTTCATCTCTTTCAATCATTTTTTCGGCTGCGCTTTTTGGATGCAGCTGTTAGCCGTGTGCCAGAATTCACCAATTTTCTCACATGCAGGCTTTGCCTCACCATTTAGGCAGCTATAGCAAACGTCTATAGGCGATATCATGCATGAGAGCAAAAATACAGCATTGTTTAGCTATTATCCATGGCAACGACATTCTGAAGTTTACTATATAATGTACTAAATGGTCATTTTGTAGAAAATAACTAATATATCCAGAAACTGGTTTTTTAGAAGAAATGTGCAGGGGTTGTTAAAAAAATTTAGCATTTCGACCATCAAGCTACATTAAATATTAGAATTCATTTTTTCTAGATTAGAGTTTGATAACAATGGTGGCAGTGATGACGAGCAGCTGAAAGATGAGTTACTCAGGATATTTGACCGTGAAAGATTGGGATTAGAAACTTATTTCAAACAAAAAACAGAAAATATTTTGGCAGGATATCGTCGTAAGCAATATGAGTGGGAAGAGAAGATAAGATCCGAGAGAATGGAATATGAGAAAACCTTGGCTCAGGACAAGATTGAGGTACGAATTATGAATAAATCTGCCTTCGATGCTGCAGAATGCGAATACGAATTGTAATTTTATCAAATTACAGAAACTAATCGTTCATATAACGAAGTAGAGAAAATCTTGTTATAGTCACGTTAAATTTTTAGATGCATTTATAATTTTGGTTTGCCATATTCACTGCGAAAACACGATGACTGGGTACACTACATGTTAACTTCATTGCATTTTAAATTAAACTTTATTTTAAGCATCGGGTGAAAATTCTCATGTGCCGAACCTATTAAAAAAACACAGATCATTCTACTTTTTGCTTAGTATTGTAGTATGGCCATGTCGAGAAAATAATATATCGTCCGTCTACAGCCAACTGTGTACTGATTAGAAAATTCTTTAAAAATTATCATAAATAGATTCAACAAAACTATATTAGCGAGATGGCAAAGATAACAAAGCAATTTAACCAGGAGAGATTGGAGTTGGAAAGTCATTACAAAAAACAAATCGAAGAGTTATCACAACAGTTCGAATTTAGAAAAAAAGAAATGGATGCAACGATCATCAAAGAGCGAACTGAGTTGAAAGAAAGATTAGAGATCGAGTACCAAGCGATGCTGAAATCTCAAAAATCTGCAGACGAACAGAGGTGAAAATTTTAGATTTGTCGCTTTGTTTTTCTTACAGTTAAGATGCCTCTTCAGGCACTGTTTAGTTTTCTACTTTTTCTTGAACAATAATCAGAGTTTTGAGTATGCAAAGAATACTTTGAACAGAACTATGATATGATTCCATTTTCAATTTTTTTAGATATAATCAACAAATTATGGATTTGGAAGAAACTTACAAAAGAAATCTCTTAGAACAAGAGCAAAAGTTGAAAGATTCTTTTTTTGAGGGGGAGTTATCCGGTCGAAGATTGCAATCTGACATGGAAGCAAAGTTTGAACAAGAAAAGTCAATTATAATTGCTGAATGGAAAAAGAGAGTTGAACTTCTTGAAGTCGAGTTAGGAAAAGAAAAAGATCGAGCAAACAGAGAGGAAAGGAAAGTCTGTGAGTCTCACAGAAATGAACTTTCCCAAAAAGATGTCGAACTAGAGAAACAACGTCAGGTAAAGTTCTATTTTTCATATCAAAGATTCATATCGCTTCATGAATTATCGTGAAACACCAGCAGCATATTTTGATCAACTTCAGGAATGTGGGTGAAAATTTATAATCCCGACAACTGCCTGTTTACATGCTTCTGTTACCATGGTGATGTTGCGTTGTGTTTCCGATAAGGGTTGATTCACGTGTTTGTATTACAGGTTGTAGAGACGTTGAAATTGGAACTTTCGCATAAGGACAAGGCTGCAAAAGAACATGAAATCTTCCAGCAGAACATCTTTCTTCGTGGATGTGATGCACTTCCAGGTAAACTTCGTGAAGATTTCGAGAAACTGTTGGCCGCGCATCGTGAAAAACTGGAAAAGAATCTTCGCAAAGAAGAAGAGGGACGGAATATTGAACGTGATGCGCGAATGGCCCTTGAGCGAGAGACGTTGGAAAAACAACTAAAGGTAGAAAGAGATCAAATGAAATTAGATTTAGAGAAAGAACGTGTTGAAATGAGGCATTCCATTCGTGAGAAAGAAGATAAAATGCGCCAAGAGACTAGAGAAGAGACAGAAAGAATGAGAACCAGATTGGAGAGTGAGAGGGAACACATACGAAACGAAGTCATTAAAGAACAGAAAGAAACTTTCATCAAAGAGAAGGAAACAAGAGATGCTGAAATAAAAAGAGAGAAAGAAATTTTAAGAGATCAGATAAGAAAAGAGTGCATACAACAACAACAAGAGACGTTATTGAAGGAAAAAGAGTTGCTACGAGAACAAGTGAAATATGAGTTAAAAATGAATGACAAACAAGTCAATGACGAGAGAACACAGTCAAGATTTATTTCTCAAGAGGAGAAGAAAAGTAAAACAAGAGAACAAATGAATGAGGAGTTGGCAGATCACCGCAGTCATCCCAAATTTGAAACTGAACAGGCGGGAAAAAGAAATGGCTTTGGACAGGATAAAGATGAAATGTGGGATGCCGATGCTAGTCAGAAGAGAAAGCATACTAAACAATGGGTAGAAGGACAGTATCGCTTCAAGAATTATAATCAAGGTTATAAGGAGGACTCTGCTGGACTTGTTGACCAATTCGAAATCGATGATAAAGGGAGCCATACGGGACAAAGTTACGGCGAGCAGGATTGCAGTAAAGAAACTACCGAAGAAAACAAGAACAATAACGAAGGCCTTTTGAAAAGCGAAGATAATAGTGGATGTCAAAAAAGCGATATTTTCAGAAATAAGGATGGTTATTTACACTCGACAAACACGTCTAAAGATCCTGAATACAATCTGAGAAGTCTGAGGGAAGAGAATGAAGGATTGAAAGCGAAAGTGTGTGCATTGCAAGATAATATCTCACTCCATGAGTGTTTTAAGATGGAAGCTAGCGATGAGGTACAACGTTTGAGAAAGACAAACAAAGATTTGAAAATGAAACTTGAAGAACTTGAAAAAAGCCTGAAGGATGAAGACGAAGTTAAGAAAACATTGCAGGAATATAAATTGCAAATAAAGAACTACGAAAAACAATTTAAGAAAAATGAAGAGAAGATCACAGAATACGAGGAAATTTGTGCTGAATATGAACGTTCATTACAAGAATGTCGGAAGAAGATTATGGTGTTCGATAATGATTCCAAATCATCCCCTGCTAATCGAAGTGAGTCACGCGGTGATAAGAAACATTGGAGTGGTAATCCTAAAATTTCTAAAGATGGAAGGAATAATGGGCTGGGATTATTAAATAGTGGAGACGATGGATTAAAAGGAGACCCTGGTGAAGAAATAGTGAGTTTGTCTTCAATAGCAAAGTTTTCATTGATACATTCAAAGCATACAAACTGAACTCTTTTTAGTCCATTTCGATAAAGTCTTTCTGTAACACTCAGAGCACCTTGAAGTTATATTTCCTGTATTTTCTCTTTTTAGATGGACAACATCCTTGAAGATAGACAAACAGAATTGAACAAACTTGTCCCAAGTTTAGAAGAAAAATTAAAATGGATGGAAAAGAAGATTTCTGAAATAACTGTCACTAATCAACAGGTATCGGTATTGTGTATACTATATCCATTTTGGCTTAATTGAGAAGAAAGCATAATCTCACCAATGTAACAGAGCTTATTCTGTAACAAATCAAAAAAGCTTTGCGATTTGGAGCATGCGATTTGGGTCGACAATAGTCGTAACTTTACCCATTTTTTCAATGGAGCAAAGAGTACCCACAAGTTTTCGATTGCCATGGCAGTTGCGTTACCCAACTATAGCAGGCCATTGTAAAGGTGGTATCTTTTGCGAACTGCACTGTGATGTTTTTATGTGAATATTTAGCCTTATGATAGCGCAGAAAAACCAATTACTGACATGCTAAAAAATCATTCGCATTGAAAAAATCGATTTAATATTTATAAGGATAAGAATGGTTGCCACTTACTCTAAATGCTTATTATATATAGGTTATTTGGATAGTTCAGTAAAATGTACTATCTGTGACTTGTATTTTTATGTGTTCTTAAGATCAACACTGACTCTATGAAAAAAGTAAGGTTATCTTCAGATTTGGAGAAATTGCAAACGCAAAATAAAGGCCTGGTAAATAAGTTAAAAACTATACAATGGCAACTTCAAGCAATGGTTGATAAACTTAGGAAGAAGAAGAAAAAAGTAAGTGGAATATTTTCCTGTTATTAATCCGAACAGCGCATGATCAGAACACGCAATATAAAGAAATATTATATCATATATTATAAACCGTAAAATACCATGCACTTTATTCACTCACTATGCATTTAACGGCCTCGTTTTGAATATGTATTCTCTCTTTGTATTTAGTAGTAGGGTTGAAATTTACTGAGGTATACCTATTGATCGAGCATCAGCAATTAGAAACAATTCCGTCCAGAAAAACATGTGAATAAGAAAAGCTTAAACAATAAACATTCAAGTTATTTATTATATGATTGATTATCAAGATTGCGAAACTTAAAAATGAAAACATCATGCTGAAGACCAGTCACCAAAGAGATATCAGTGTTCTTCAACAGAAACTGGAATATTCCAATCAAATAATCAGCCGTTTACAAGATGAATTCAGTACAGAGTCCAGTCAAATCTCTCGACTTCGGGAAGAAATCTCGAATATCAATAGAAAAATGATAGAGGAGCGGGTGTGCGAACAGCGCATGATCAGAGCACGAAGTATTGAAGAAATCGAGAAACTTCGTGACTTGGACAGAGAAAAGATTGACTTACAACGGAAGTTGAATGAAGTGAAGACTGCATTGGATGGTTACTCTGAAAGACTCAAGAATAAGGTTTCTTGCCATTTCTTGTCACTTAGAAACTCAAATATGCGAAATGACTTTAAAAATAGGATAAAAAAATGGTCTGCCTGCTGTTCACGTTTCTATCATAATGTGTTTAATGTTTATATTGTATTTATAATTTTTAGCTTTCCTTTTCTGAGACAACAAGCAGCCAACTCTCACTTAACGCAGGTACAACCGTAGTTCGAGACCTGCAGTTGACTGAAACATTGCAAGCATTGGAAGCCAGCAGAAGAGCATCTCATCGTCAGAATGAACGGCTTCAACATGAAAAAAATGAACTGCAGATTATGATGTCAAGTCTTTGCAAGTCAAAAGAGGACCTCAGGGAGATCGATGGATTCCATACCCACAAAGAGCACCAGTTATCCCCTTGTTCCTCCATATCCTCTTTATCTTCGTCTTGTATGTCTTCACTCGACGGAAGACGTACGAGCGGATTTGGTATGGGTACAAAATTTTCAAGTACATTCTCAATATTTGATTGAAAGATAGTATTGAGTACTATGAAACATGCCAAACTCAACCATTGTCGGCCTAATTTCATTTATTGATATATTTAACAATTATTCGCTGAGGGCGAGGTAAATATCGTTGAAAAAACACGAGACAAGTAGACAACTTTAGACCTAATTTTTTCACTTTTTCTGCTTTCACTTACAATATTTTCGCTAAAATAAAGTATTTCTTCATCTTGGTTTTGGCCCTTTGATAAAAACAACTCTACATTCCTTTCCTAAAATTGGGACAACATTAAGTTCTATTGTTTTCATATAACTCGGCAAGTTATTCGAGTAAAAAAAGAGTTGTATGAAATTATGAATATGTATAGTTACTATAGTTAGGAACACCAGATACACACAAATTTTAACACTGTAATAATGTAATAATGGAACTGCTTTTATTTCAGTAGCTTTAAATAGGTTTGCCTTGGGGCTAAACTGAGAACTAAACCTCTATTAAATATCTCACAACGCAATCAATCATTTCACACAAATACGCAATGAATCATCTCACGACACGTTGAATCATTTCACAACGCCTTGAATAATTTCACAACACGTTCAATCATTTCACAACACGTTGATTCATTTCAGGACACGTTGAATAATTTCACAACACGCTGAATCATTTCACAACGAAATACGCAATAATCATCTCACGACACGTTGAATCATTTTAAACGCGTTGAATCATTTCAAACGCGTTGAATCGTTTCAAAAGCGTTGAATCATTTTAAACGCGTTGATCCATTTGAAACGCGTTGAATCATTTGAAACGTGTTGAATGACTTGAATCATTTCACAACGCGTTGAATCATTTTAAAGGCGTTGAATCATTCAGTTAAACGCGTTGAATCATTTTAAACGCGTTGAATCATTTTAAACGCGTTAAATCATTTGAAACGCGTTGAATCATTTGAAATGCGTTGAATCATTTGAAATGCGTTGAATCATTTTAAACGCGTTGATCCATTTCACAACGCGTTGAATCATTTTAAACGCGTTGAATCATTTTAAACGCGTTGAATTATTTCACAACGCGTTGAATCATTTTAAACGCGTTGAATCATTTTAAACGCGTTAAATCATTTGAAACGCGTTGAATCATTTGAAATGCGTTGAATCATTTGAAATGCGTTGAATCATTTTAAACGCGTTGAATCATTTTAAACGCGTTGAATCATTTTAAACGCGTTGAATCATTTCACAACGCGTTGAATCATTTCACAACACATTGAATCATTTCACAACACATTGAATCATCTCACAACGCATTGAATCATTTCACAACGTGTTGAATCATTTCACAACGCGTTGAATCATTTCACAACACATTGAATCATCTCACAACGCATTGAATCATCTCACAACGTGTTGAATCATTTCACAACGCGCTGAATCATTTCACAACGCGTTGAATCATTTCACAACACATTGAATCATTTCACAACGCGTTGAATCATTTCACAACACGTTGAATCATTTCACAACGCGTTAATTCATTTCACAACGCGTTGAATCATTTCACAACACGTTGAATCATCTCACAACGCATTGAATCATTTCACAACGTGTTGAATCATTTCACAACGCGCTGAATCATTTCACAACACGTTGAATCATTTCACAACACATTGAATCATTTCACAACGCGTTGAATCATTTCACAACACATTGAATCATTTCACAACGCGTTGAATCATTTCACAACGCGTTGAATCATTTCACAACACATTGAATCATTTCACAACGCGTTGAATCATTTCACAACACGTTGAATCATTTCACAACGTGTTGAATCATTTCACAACGCGTTGAATCATTTCACAACGCGTTGAATCATTTCACAACGCGTTGAATCATTTCGCAACGCGTTGAATCATTTCACAACGCGCTGAATCATCTCACAACGCGTTGAATCACTTAACAACGCGCTGAATCTTCTCACAACGCGTTGAATCACTTAACAACGCGTTGAATCATCTCACAACGCGTTGAATCATTTCACAACGCGTTGAATCATTTCACAACGCGTTGAATAATTTCACAACGCGTTGAATCATTTCACAACGCGTTGAATCATTTCACAACGCGTTGAATCATTTCACAACGCGTTGAATCATTTCACAACGTGTTGAATTATTTCACAACGCGCTGAATCATTTCACAACACGTTGAATCATTTCACAACACATTGAATCATTTCACAACGCGTTGAATCATTTCACAACACATTGAATCATTTCACAACGCGTTGAATCATTTCACACACATTGAATCATTTCACAACACATTGAATCATCTCACAACGCATTGAATCATTTCACAACGTGTTGAATCATTTCACAACGCGTTGAATCATTTCACAACACATTGAATCATCTCACAACGCATTGAATCATTTCACAACGTGTTGAATCATTTCACAACGCGCTGAATCATTTCACAACGCGTTGAATCATTTCACAACACATTGAATCATTTCACAACGCGTTGAATCATTTCACAACACGTTGAATCATTTCACAACGCGTTAATTCATTTCACAACGCGTTGATCATTTCACAACACGTTGAATCATCTCACAACGCATTGAATCATTTCACACGTGTTGAATCATTTCACACGCGCTGAATCATTTCACAACACGTTGAATCATTTCACAACACATTGAATCATTTCACAACGCGTTGAATCATTTCACAACCAATTGAATCATTTCACAACGCGTTGAATCATTTCACAACACATTGAATCATTTCACAACGCGTTGAATCATTTCACAACACATTGAATCATTTCACAACGCGTTGAATCATTTCACAACGCGTTGAATCATTTCACAACACATTGAATCATTTCACAACGCGTTGAATCATTTCACAACACGTTGAATCATTTCACAACGTGTTGAATCATTTCACAACGCGTTGAATCATTTCACAACGCGTTGAATCATTTCACAACGCGTTGAATCATTTCGCAACGCGTTGAATCATTTCACAACGCGCTGAATCATCTCACAACGCGTTGAATCACTTAACAACGCGCTGAATCATCTCACAACGCGTTGAATCACTTAACAACGCGTTGAATCATCTCACAACGCGTTGAATCATTTCACAACGCGTTGAATCATTTCACAACGCGTTGAATCATTCACAACGCGTTGAATCATTTCACACACATTGAATCATCTCACAACGCATTGAATCATTTCACAACGTGTTGAATCATTTTCACAACGCGCTGAATTTTCACAACACGAATCATTTCACAACACCAAATTGAATCATTTCACACAACATTCACATCATGTTGAATCATCTCAAACGTTGAAATCATTTCACAACGCATTGAATCATTTCACAACGTGTTGAATCATTTCACAACGTGTTGAATCATTTCACAACGCGCTGAATCATTTCACAACACGTTGAATCATTTCACAACACATTGAATCATTTCACAACGCGTTGAATCATTTCACAACACATTGAATCATTTCACAACGCGTTGAATCATTTCACAACACATTGAATCATTTCACAACACATTGAATCATCTCACAACGCATTGAATCATTTCACAACGTGTTGAATCATTTCACAACGCGTTGAATCATTTCACAACACATTGAATCATCTCACAACGCATTGAATCATTTCACAACGTGTTGAATCATTTCACAACGCGCTGAATCATTTCACAACACGTTGAATCATTTCACAACACATTGAATCATTTCACAACGCGTTGAATCATTTCACAACACATTGAATCATTTCACAACGCGTTGAATCATTTCACAACGCGTTGAATCATTTCACAACACGTTGAATCATCTCACAACGCATTGAATCATTTCACAACGTGTTGAATCATTTCACAACGTGTTGAATCATTTCACAACGCGCTGAATCATTTCACAACACGTTGAATCATTTCACAACACATTGAATCATTTCACAACGCGTTGAATCATTTCACAACACATTGAATCATTTCACAACGCGTTGAATCATTTCACAACACATTGAATCATTTCACAACACATTGAATCATCTCACAACGCATTGAATCATTTCACAACGTGTTGAATCATTTCACAACGCGTTGAATCATTTCACAACACATTGAATCATCTCACAACGCATTGAATCATTTCACAACGCGTTGAATCATTTCACAACACGTTGAATCATCTCACAACGCATTGAATCATTTCACAACGCGTTGAATCATTTCACAACGCGTTGAATCATTTCACAACACATTGAATCATTTCACAACGCGCTGAATCATTTCACAACGTGTTGAATCATTTCACAACGCGTTGAATCATTTCACAACACATTGAATCATTTCACAACACATTGAATCATTTCACAACACATTGAATCATTTCACAACACATTGAATCATTTCACAACACATTGAATCATCTCACAACGCATTGAATCATTTCACAACGTGTTGAATCATTTCACAACACATTGAATCATCTCACAACGCATTGAATCATTTCACAACGTGTTGAATCATTTCACAACGCGTTGAATCATTTCACAACACATTGAATCATCTCACAACGCATTGAATCATTTCACAACGTGTTGAATCATTTCACAACGCGCTGAATCATTTCACAACACGTTGAATCATTTCACAACACATTGAATCATTTCACAACGCGTTGAATCATTTCACAACGCGTTGAATCATTTCACAACACATTGAATCATTTCACAACGCGTTGAATCATTTCACAACACGTTGAATCATTTCACAACGTGTTGAATCATTTCTCAACGCGTTGAATCATTTCACAACGCGTTGAATCATTTCACAACGCGTTGAATCATTTCGCAACGCGTTGAATCATTTCACAACGCGCTGAATCATCTCACAACGCGTTGAATCACTTAACAACGCGCTGAATCTTCTCACAACGCGTTGAATCACTTAGCGTTGAATCATCTCACAACGCGTTGAATCATTTCACAACGCGTTGAATCATTTCACAACGCGTTGAATAATTTCACAACGCGTTGAATCATTTCACAACGCGTTGAATCATTTCACAACGCGTTGAATCATTTCACAACACATTGAATCATCTCACAACGCATTGAATCATTTCACAACGTGTTGAATCATTTCACAACGCGCTGAATCATTTCACAACACGTTGAATCATTTCACAACACATTGAATCATTTCACAACGCGTTGAATCATTTCACAACGCGTTGAATCATTTCACAACACATTGAATCATTTCACAACGCGTTGAATCATTTCACAACACGTTGAATCATTTCACAACGTGTTGAATCATTTCTCAACGCGTTGAATCATTTCACAACGCGTTGAATCATTTCACAACGCGTTGAATCATTTCGCAACGCGTTGAATCATTTCACAACGCGCTGAATCATCTCACAACGCGTTGAATCACTTAACAACGCGCTGAATCTTCTCACAACGCGTTGAATCACTTAACAACGCGTTGAATCATCTCACAACGCGTTGAATCATTTCACAACGCGTTGAATCATTTCACAACGCGTTGAATAATTTCACAACGCGTTGAATCATTTCACAACGCGTTGAATCATTTCACAACGCGTTGAATCATTTCACAACGCGTTGAATCATTTCACAACGTGTTGAATTATTTCACAACGCGCTGAATCATTTCACAACACGTTGAATCATTTCACAACACATTGAATCATTTCACAACGCGTTGAATCATTTCACAACACATTGAATCATTTCACAACGCGTTGAATCATTTCACAACACATTGAATCATTTCACAACACATTGAATCATCTCACAACGCATTGAATCATTTCACAACGTGTTGAATCATTTCACAACGCGTTGAATCATTTCACAACACATTGAATCATCTCACAACGCATTGAATCATTTCACAACGTGTTGAATCATTTCACAACGCGCTGAATCATTTCACAACGCGTTGAATCATTTCACAACACATTGAATCATTTCACAACGCGTTGAATCATTTCACAACACGTTGAATCATTTCACAACGCGTTAATTCATTTCACAACGCGTTGAATCATTTCACAACACGTTGAATCATCTCACAACGCATTGAATCATTTCACAACGTGTTGAATCATTTCACAACGCGCTGAATCATTTCACAACACGTTGAATCATTTCACAACACATTGAATCATTTCACAACGCGTTGAATCATTTCACAACCAATTGAATCATTTCACAACGCGTTGAATCATTTCACAACACATTGAATCATTTCACAACGCGTTGAATCATTTCACAACACATTGAATCATTTCACAACGCGCTGAATCATTTCACAACACGTTGAATCATTTCACAACACATTGAATCATTTCACAACGCGTTGAATCATTTCACAACCAATTGAATCATTTCACAACGCGTTGAATCATTTCACAACACATTGAATCATTTCACAACGCGTTGAATCATTTCACAACACATTGAATCATTTCACAACGCGTTGAATCATTTCACAACGCGTTGAATCATTTCACAACACATTGAATCATTTCACAACGCGTTGAATCATTTCACAACACGTTGAATCATTTCACAACGTGTTGAATCATTTCACAACGCGTTGAATCATTTCACAACGCGTTGAATCATTTCACAACGCGTTGAATCATTTCGCAACGCGTTGAATCATTTCACAACGCGCTGAATCATCTCACAACGCGTTGAATCACTTAACAACGCGCTGAATCATCTCACAACGCGTTGAATCACTTAACAACGCGTTGAATCATCTCACAACGCGTTGAATCATTTCACAACGCGTTGAATCATTTCACAACGCGTTGAATCATTTCACAACGCGTTGAATCATTTCACAACGCGTTGAATCATTTCACAACACATTGAATCATCTCACAACGCATTGAATCATTTCACAACGTGTTGAATCATTTCACAACGCGCTGAATCATTTCACAACACGTTGAATCATTTCACAACACATTGAATCATTTCACAACGCGTTGAATCATTTCACAACACGTTGAATCATTTCACAACGCGTTGAATCATCTCACAACGCATTGAATCATTTCACAACGTGTTGAATCATTTCACAACGTGTTGAATCATTTCACAACGCGCTGAATCATTTCACAACACGTTGAATCATTTCACAACACATTGAATCATTTCACAACGCGTTGAATCATTTCACAACACATTGAATCATTTCACAACGCGTTGAATCATTTCACAACACATTGAATCATTTCACAACGCGTTGAATCATTTCACAACACGTTGAATCATTTCACAACGTGTTGAATCATTTCACAACGCGTTGAATCATTTCACAACGCGTTGAATCATTTCACAACGCGTTGAATCATTTCGCAACGCGTTGAATCATTTCACAACGCGCTGAATCATCTCACAACGCGTTGAATCACTTAACAATGCGCTGAATCATCTCACAACGCGTTGAATCATTTCGCAACGCGTTGAATCACTTAACAACGCGCTGAATCATCTCACAACGCGTTGAATCACTTAACAACGCGTTGAATCATTTCACAACGCGTTGAATCAAATCAGGGGGGGAGTAAGTTTTTAAAAAAATTTTTGAGAAAATATGGCCGTTTAATAATAATTTAGCAATGAAGTTTGCTCGGATTTTCACGACAGCTGTATGCAATACCTTCCCAGCGTTACGTTTAAGAGAAAACGATGCAAGCCAGGAAATTTCATGTGTTAGGTCGAAGTGTGGGGACATGTTAATTTGGCTTCTCGAAGAAGCTTGTGAAAATTTTTGTCAAAACAAACTTGCTGTAAGTTTATCTTCCAGCCAAGCTGTTATAGATTTATCTTGGGAGAAAATAAACACTGGTTATTGGAAAGATGTTGATATATCATGGAGAAAATTATACTCCTTTGCAACGGTTGTTAAGGCTTTGGCACATTTTAAAATGGATAATTTGAAAGAAGCAATCAAGGTATGTGATATGGGCCTGTTGCTTGGTTGCCCTATTTTAGATAATATTTTGACAAAAATTGTTTGCTTCGTTCAAAAAGAAATGTGCGAAGCTCAAAAACTCAACAAAAGGCAAGAAAAAATTAGTATTGCAGAAGGAAACTTGCCAGCATTCCAGCAATCAACTTTACTTGGAGAGAAATATTCATCACTTGAGAGTAAACAAGTTAAACTGAGTGATAATGGCAAGCAAAATATTGAACAGAAGTTTTGTCCAAGTCTGAGTACATTTCAAAATGAATTTATGGACAGTCAAGTTCCTGTTGTAATACAAGGAGTAATGGATCATTGGCCAGCAAGAAGTTCCCGACCATGGAGTTTCAATTATCTTCAAGAAATTGCTGGTAATAGGACTGTGCCAGTTGAGATTGGATCACATTATACTGATGAATCATGGTCACAAAAACTGATAACCATTAATGAGTTTGTCAGCAGGTGCCAAACCAATTGCAATAATGATATGAGCAAAATCACATATTTGGCTCAGCATCAGTTATTTGATCAAATTCCAGAACTTGCAAAAGACATTGCTATACCAGATTATTGTTGCCTTGGTGACAATGATGATGTGATTATTAATGCATGGTTTGGCCCAGGAGGAACAGTATCACCATTACATCATGATCCATACCATAATTTACTAGCTCAGGTTGTTGGTAAGAAATACATCCGGATATATTCAACGGCAGAAACCGATAAACTGTATCCCCATGACTCATTTTTGTTGTCAAACACAAGTCAGGTATGCATATTAGGTAGTATTCTTAAATGATTTTTATGGTGACTAGTGACAGCAAATTGTTGTCAATGATTAAGAACTATGTTGGTTAGCACTCAGTACCTTTCAGTAACTTAAACATTAATTCAACATATTAGTAATCAATTGTAACTAATTTATCTGTGTCTTTTTATATCAAGGTTGATATTGAGAATCCTGATTTAGAAAAATATCCCTTGTTTGAGACTGCTGACTATAAAGAGTGCATACTCAAGGCAGGGGAAATGTTGTATATTCCCAAGAAACATTGGCATTTTGTTAAATCATTATCAGTCAGTTTTTCTGTTAGTTTTTGGTGGTAATACTGACTTCACAAAGTCATGCAGGATAGTGCGTTGTGCTGCTTGCTAGTGTTATGTAATATTTCAAAACTTTTAGAATTTTCTCTCCAACCTAAAAATTATTATGCAACTAATTGATTTCAAATATATTGTCTAAATATTTCAAATATCCAATGTATTTTGTAAAATAAATGTATTATAGACAGAAATAATGTCCATCAAATGAATATACACCTTACTATTTCATAATAATCTATAAAACTACAAAAGATTGCTTCACTGAGATTGAAATCTTACTTCTAGCATTGTCGAATGGCATAAACAAAAATTAAGAATAAACAATCTGTTATGAGGAATATATCTAAAACTCTACCATATAACAGTATTATGGTGTAGTCACTGGATAAGCCCAGTAACAAGCACCATTGTCAGCACCACTGACTCAGTGCTAGCGCCAGGCCCTCACTCCTCAGGTCTGAAATTCAAAATGGCCGCCAATTTAGCTGCAAGTGAAGAGTTTAGAATTTGGCTAGAAACCCAGGGAAATTTACGCTTTAAAGAAGCATTAAAATTATCAAAAGAGGGTTCTGGAAATGATCGTGAAACTGAGCCATATAAATCGAAATACGCCGCACGGGAAATACTGTTGAATATTAAAAATAAATTGGAATCATTTATTGTTGATGAATGTGAACTAAAATTGATATTGATTTCGGTTAAATGCGCTGTACATTATGAACTTGGTTTAAATCATATTGAGACGGATGAAATAAGCACTGGAGAACGATATTTAAACGGTGTTAAAGAGAATTTCGAAGAATATAAATTGAAACCAGAATTTTGTATAGTTATGGTAAAATGCTTGCAACAACTTGGAATGATATGGAACGAAAGGGGTGACATTGAGAAGTGCCTTGCGTATTTTACTGATGCAGAAATATTATATAATGAGTATACGGCAATTTCTGAAGTAGCACCCTGGAATACTGACATGTAAGTCAAAGAAAATGAAATCTTGAAAAATTTAGGAAATAAAATAGATAATATGTACCATTTGCATGAGAGATACTAGGGTGCTATCTACCAGGATCCATTCTATGTCACACCAAAGATGCTCTGAGGTTGTTGTCGTCTGCCAAATGAAGTTAAGTCTCAAGTGACTGAATGCTGTAAACACTAGAAAAGATGAGTATAAGGCAAAGATGCTTAAGTATGTGCCTAGCCTCAACATGATTATGCGCCAGTTACCCAAAAATCTAGGCACAATGTGCATGGGATGCCTTTTGAGGTTCCACTAATAAAATTAAAAATTTTAAAGATAAAGACCACTAACCTGCTCAAAAGAATGTGGATATTAAATTTGCCCATGAAATCAAATCTTTGTGTCGAATATTTTTTACCAATTAATTATATTGGTACACTGTTGCACATTGGATCTTGAACATTTCTGCATGCCTGGTACTGAATCAGTTCTTCATTGTATTTCATTTTAGGTTATTTGCTTTTGGTAGTGGAAGCAACTCTGGCAAAGAAAGTGAATTTGAAAGTCTACATACTCATACGTTTTATTATTTAACTCAAGCATATAAAAACAATGGACAAAATAAGAAATCAGCTGAGTATGGACACAAAACATTACAAAGACAACTATCAACAAAAATCTATGATCCTGTAGACTGGGCAGTAAACTGTGCCACATTGTCACAATATCACTTGACACAAGGGGATTATACAAGTGCAAAACATTGTCTAGGTAAAGTATAGTTTTAATATGGTTTACTACTTTCATAGATACAGCAACTTGAGAGTGCACTTTTTCATATTTCATGTAGAACATTTTGCTAAGGAATATTTAGCATTGTTTAAATTTGATAAATGCAACTGGTTTTCCTCATAATTTTTCATTATATTCTCATATTTAACTTGAAACATATCTTGATAACTTCAAACACAATGACCAATTGCACAACGTTTCTGGTTTTTTAATCATTTTAGCTGCTGCAAGTTGCATTATTGTTGAGTGTGGAAATTATGAAGAACAAGCAAGTCTTGATGTTGAGAATGAAGGAGAGGAAGACAGAAAACAACGAGAAAGAATTCCAGAGGCAAAAGCAAATGTTGCCCTATGTTGGAGTAAATATTTTTTAAATTTATTGAAATTATCTGCAGAAAGCGAATATGACGAGGACACAGGTAAATGTTGCAATAGTATGATTTATATAAAAAAGATAGGGCACAACTTAGAGTGAATAAGAATAGAAGTTAAGTATAAGATGTATATGTACTGATCCAAACGTCTTTTTGTGTTATGTAGATCAGCCTGAGGAAACTAAAGATCTAAATATACTTCAATTTGAAGGATTAGATGTCTCTCAAATTGAATCAGAAATTTCCTTCAGTAGAGCAAACAACTTTGACGAGGTACTGTATTTCATCTACTAGCTCTCCATACATTGAACATCAGGGGGGGGGGTGCTTATGTCATGGCAGGGTCAAGCAGTAAATTGCAACATGTTGCAGAACAACAACATCAAAACAGTTCATGTGTGCAATTCCTATTATTTGGTAATCCTTGAGTCATACACTTTTTTTTTCCTCCGAAATTTCAGGCACGTCTTCTTTTCCTTGCTGGTCAAAAACATCTCAATGCTGCAAAGCAGTTTTATCAACTTGACGGGTACGTCTTGAATTATGTGGAAATCATTCAAGACCACAGTCAGTTGTTCCGATATCTTACTGCTTTCGAGACGGACTTGGAACGACAATGTAAAATGTGCAAAAGAAGAATAGATATGTTGACTGAAGTATTAATAGAGTTGAATCCCCAGCATTATTTATTAATTTGCCGCCAGCTTACTTATGAAATTGGTTCCGTGTACGGAGATATGGCAGATCTAAAGATGGAAATTATAAAAACTGCAAACCAGGATAAACCTTCAGTACATCAGATAAAGAAAATCAACTCTCTGCTGTGCAACAGCGCCAAGTTTTTCTCAAATTTTATCGATTCAATGAAGCAAGAAGGAAAGTTACCAGAAAAGTTTGACGAGTCTCTATTGCGTGTTGCACTACTTGCGCACGTGTATCTTGCACGTGCGCACGCAAAACAAATCTGCGCAACGCGCGAGGAGAGATTGCTGAATCAGCAAAAAGCTTTAGACTTGTACAAGTTTGTTGTGAATTATTGTGATAATGACGAGAATGGTGCGAGAGCTTTCCAAGATGAGTTAGTAGCTTGTAGAGAGATGGTCGACTTATTGCCATTTAGATTGGATCAAATTGGACAGAAAGAATAGAATATGGGACTATATCCTGAGCGTGAACCAGTTTCCTAAATAGAGAAAAAACGAACGATATTCATTGTCTTGTTTAAGGCGGAGATATTTTTATTTCTAATATTTTGTTTCTTTTTATTCTAATAAGTGTCACATGACAGTTGCTGCTCTGTATTGGGTTCAGAAGTCAAGTATCAAAGTTGAGGGTAGAACTGTCGATGACAAAAAATACTATATTTATATAATGTACGTTATCTTGGTATTCCAGACTCGCGGCTGCACGGGTTATTGATAGTCGAACTTATAGACAAAGTAGATAATGGTAGAAAGTTAACGAAACAACGTGGTTATATATCTGAATAAAATACTTCATGTAAAACAGTAAATGTTGTGGAATAACTATCTCAGAAGGTATCTCGGAAGATCGCACAATATTACTCTGGTTTTTTCCGTTTAAAAGTTCTAAAAGACTTTAATTACATAAAATTCCTTTTCTCAGTGTTTCTTTCATCGAGAACACATCATGCTAGAGTGATAATTACGTTTTTTCCCGTAAAAGCACGGAAGAAATTGATATGTTATCGACCAGCAGATTTTTTAAAGCATTTTAATTAAATATGAATGAAAAAAATGTATGCATTACGTTCGGTTTCCTACATGTATTTTTTTATTTCCAGACTGTGTAACGTTTTAAGGATCGCTTTCAGAAGAAATCAGACAGACATAAGACCTCAGGCTTGTTGAATATAATATATCAATGAATAAAAAACTTGACTTTGTCTCAGTTGTTATTCAGTGATGTTTACCTTGCCTTCTGCGAACAATTGTTAAAAAATATATCATTCAAAACGTATGCAGCTGTGCACACTTGGTCGTGACGTAAGGAATTGCGTGTGATCTGTTGGTAATATCACATGAAAACTGTCAGCGCTTTTGGTCACACTGATGGTATTACAAGCCTCGTTTTCATAATTTGGAAAGACAGAGGCGCAACCTCGTACCCAGGGTTTTATTACCTTCAACCATATCAGTGACAGTGTTAACTACAAATCTATCCGCGGTGTTAGCCTGTAATTTAAAACATATTTTCAGATCCATGTTTTTCAGTGAAAAATTGACCTCGATAAATAAATCGTTTCAATCTAAATTAAGTTAAGTATAAATCCAAAACCCGACCGTCATGACGCTAATGATTACTTACAAGGTCTTGACGAGATAAAATATTTCAAAATAATGAATTACAATTATTACGTAAAGCAGGAGAGGTGTGTCTCGCGAGTTTTGACTTTTTATTTTAGATGCCTGTGATAAGACATCTTAGAAAAGCGTCAAACAAAATCAAACATGCCTGACCTAAAATATCAGCCGTACCGGGTGTAAAAAACCACAAAGTGGTTTTATTCGTCGTTTTTTCGATTACAAAAATCGTAGGCCCCCTGGAATTATTAGGTTGCGTTTTTTTTAAAGACCCTGTAGTTTCTGTTTCTTCCGTTCATGTCCATGTAAACTTTGGCGCTAAAAAAATCCATTTTGCATATTCAAATTTGCATTCATTGTTGGATCACTTAGCCGCACTTCTCTAGTGTTGACAGTATATTGTAACACCCATAAGCAAAATGTCTAGAATTTTGTAGATGGCGAAGCCGTTTCAACATCAAATCTTTACATTTTGAAGACGCTTCGAAATCGTACGACGAGTACCAGCTGTCTGCTATGGGTTGTACGAGGTGACATAACATTCCATACTCCACAAATGATCGCGGTGGTCGCCCAATCGGTTCAGACATGAGAGGCAACATTTCAGAGAATTGCTGGGTTGATATATTATATGTATATTATATACAGATGATATGACCATGTTTTAAAAACTACTTAGTTATGTGTAATGCTTTGGGAGTGGTTGAAGTATTTTCTGCACTTAAATATTTCAAAACATCTGCTAAATCTCTTTGAAGGAATTCAAGTGTAGCAACTGCGGTTTTCAGATAACTCAATCCGTGGCGTAGCAACCAGATACTTCATTGAACAGCGGGCAATCTGCTGCTGGTCATGCAGATTACATGTTTGGAGAGACCGCTATATGCACAGATCATGCACGGGTTGCTAATCAACTGCGTGCAGTGTAGAGAAATAATATATATTAGACGAAGACGTCAAATACTTGAGATATTTCCTGCTTACAACAGTAATATTAAAGTAATATGTCAGTTTATCTTTAAAATCAACGAATACATCCAGTTGTGATTACAACACAATAGTATACGTAAACAACCGTTATTTATACCCCCAACTGCGACATTTGGAACTGATCATCTCACGTCGTGGAGCTAAAACAACAACCTATTGTCTTTCTAATACATCTAAAATATTGTCTTTCTAATACATCTAAAATATTTCCAACACATTGAGCCAACTTCTCTCCTAAACCGAAAGTGTTTGCTGTCATTTTTTGTAGAGACACAAATAAGAACCTCAAAAAGTTACCGTGTGCACGCATGCAGTCACTTCATTCAACAGTCCGGATATCACGTGGTTTGGTCTTGACCAATCAGCATTAGCCTGGTGGAATAAAAAACCAGGGTATCCATCAAAGAGCGCACTTTGGCAGCAGAAGCAGATGGTGCAAGATCTCCGCAGTTTGCAAAAAGATTTAAATCAAGGTAAACGACATTTATTGCTGTGCTCGCGATTACATACTCCAAGCATGAATAAGATAAACCACACTAGGGTTATCAACGAAGTACAGATAAACGCGTGGTTAATATTTAGCTTAAAATATAGGTTTATTCAGAAAGAAAATCCTGTTGAATCCACAAGGCGGGGCTGAAAGAGGTTTTACAATATTGCAACACATGCATGATGCGATCAATCGGGAAATGTAGTTAGAAACTTAGTTGCTGTCGGGTACTGAGAATATGCAGTTAAGATCGATTCATTGATTTGCGAATATTTGCTGACCAAGTTTTCAATTACTGCATGGCTATCCTGTGAAGGTTTGTTCGCAGCATGCATGAAGCTTTCAATTTCAGTGCTGTCCGAGACTCAATATGAATTAATCCGATTATTTGCCGATATATGCATGGGTACCAGTATTCTAGAATCGACTTTCATAAATTCATTAGCCACGGATAAATACTGTGGTATTGCTTAATTTGGATACCACAGATCAGCGCACAGCTACAACACTATACATAAAGAAGGCTTTTAAAGAAGTCTTAAATTACTCTCCTAAAAGTTGAAGAATGCGAAGAATTTTTCGAAACTTTCCAGTGCTCATATGAACTGGTACAAATTTCTTGCTCTTGCAAACATCCCAAGGTACAGATTACAACAGAATGACTTTTAATAGATGTAATTCATAAACATTCAAGCTAATATTGAAACCGAGAGCTTGCTTGCATGATCGAGGTCTCACCGCAAGGTTATGCACCAGTGCCTGAGTGACAAAATGTCGAAATAATTTGATTGATGGATTATAAGCGTTTTAAATATCACGACACAAGCCTTTATCTCATAAACACTGGTAATAAACAGCTATTAATACTTTAAATATTTACATCAACTTGGACGCTCTTACAGTCTCGATATATACGATTTGTAGCTATAAATTGGTGCGTATGTTCATTGTAAGTGTATTTGAAAGAAGAGGAAGATTAGCGACGCATTAATTCTAGAAGTAGAGGTGAAAAAAAAAATCGAAATGATCCACGAACAATCGAGACATGCACCAGGTACAATCTGCAGTTTATCAAAGACAAAGCCGAAAATCCGACTTGATCGTAAAACCAAGTCATTAATTATTCTTCGTAATGCGAAAAATATTGCTTGAGCTGTCAGGCCTGACACCGACTTGTCACCGATTTGTCACCGACTCATTGTCTGTAATCATCCAAGGAGAAAATGATTTCAGAAAGACAAAAGATTTCACTCTCTTCAATAATCACCGAATACGTCGGTGTTATATGGAAACCAGGCTTTATTGTTTGGAAATCGATTAGATGTTGTCTATGATTAGACCTTTTGCATTATAGACTACTTTTTGATCGATGCAAGATAATCCAATCAAATCACCGCACTGAAAAGAGCGTACCAAAATTAGTAAACACGCCAAGTTTCTCTTTTCAGCTGCATGCAGTGATTCAGTTGATTGTATTATCTTGCATAGATCAAAAAGTAGGCTATAATGCAAAAGGTCTCTTGTATATATAGACTACAGTATAGTGGCATTATTTAAACCCATATCCGATTCTAAAAATATGCAAGCCATGCTTGGTAGTTGGTGCAAGATATGTAATATGATTACCAAATTATAGCATATAGAAATTATTCTGTCTCAGATTTATCTTGTAGAAACAATTAACTTAAAAACCTGTCCTGGTGTCCACTTGTATTTGTTATTCCGACTTATTCCTTCATAAACTAAATTACGCGTGCTGTTAATCATCGATATCTCAGCCTTTACTTTTTTACAGGCATATAGAATAAAAGAAACATTCTATTTTGATGTACTTTTATAGCTAATCTCTTGAATTGAGAAAACGACACGATGACGGATAAATACGATCAAACGTAAGCAATAATGTAAAAAAGAATAAAGAAAGGAAACCTAAACTAGCTACTAGCTCCGAAGTTATCTTTCTCAGGTAGATTTCTAGAAACATATTTGCTGTTATTTCATACAGGGCCGAAGGCGACCGCTATCGTGTGCAAAGTGATGCACTAGCTGGTTGGTTTATTGGTCCTAGAGCTGAGAACCATCAATTGTTCAATGAGCTTATGGACCAGACAATCAAACAGCATCAACAAAATCGTCGTAAATATTGGCCTACGGATCCAGAGTACATCACTAAAGCCCAGAAAATGACTCCAGCATACAAAGCAGAAAGGAAACAGTTAAAGAACAAGTTAAAGGAGTTGAATGATGATTTGGAACAGAGTACTCCAGTCTTTAGCCCACGTTTTCAAGTATGTAGGAATTACTTGTTCTAAATCTCTCTATGTATTGCCGTTATTCGAAAATTCAAAAAGTAGGCTGTCGAAATTTTCATGATTCGTATATAGCTGAAAATTATATTTCAAACAAAGATACTTGCAATAGTTAAATAAAAATTCCCACTACTCCTGAATCCTGATTACCCCCGGATGAAATTTATTTTGTCTGCTAGTTTCTAAACGGTTAGTACAAATATTCAAAATTGTTCCTCTGTTATTGGCCATGGAGACACACCCAACAATTACATAGAAAGACTTTTCCACTTTTGTGCAGCTCGAAGACAAGACTGCATGTTTCCTCGATCCAGTTCAACCCAGCTAAACCCGGCTATTTTTACAATTCTTATGTTGGTTTTTTAGCGAGTCGTAATTAATCTCGCGGTCATGCAAAAAATAATAATTTTGTGCTTCTCATTTTAGGGTCACATGAACTGGGATATCTCAATGCCAGCGGTGCTTGGTTATATCTCGGGAATGGTTTGGAACCCAAATAACGTGGATGTTACAGCCTCCCCGATAACTACACCTTATGAAATCATTGCCGCTGAACAAATTTGTGACATGATTGGATTTGATCGCACAAAAACAATAGATCCATGGGGTCATATCACTTGTGGTGGGTGGACAAAGAAATGCACGAAAAACTGACGAAATATTCTGGGATAAAAAAGGTTATATTTATTCTGTTTTCGTCTATGTAGGTGGATCTATTGCAAACATTGAAGCAATGTGGGCATCAAGGAACATGAAGTTCTATCCTCTCAGCTTACAAGATGCAGTTATGGCTGAAGGAGAACTATCTGGAGCGAAAACGTATATGGTCAATGTATTTAAACCTGGAAGTGGATTCACTAATGTGGAGCTTCAGCATTGCACTGTATGGCAGTTATTGAATGTCGATGTGGACGACGCTTGCAAGTAATTAATTTGGTTCATGCAGTTTTAACCACGGTCGGCACCATTGGGCATGCATATATGCAACAATTTTCTATCACATTTTGTGTAAAAATTGTGAAATAACGAATCCTTTGCGATGATTTTTCTTAGTACGTCGAATTACTACACTGGAGCTCTATTCATGCAGTAAAGCAGTTTAGTTTTGATAACGAAAAATATATTTCCTTGTAGTATGTCCGCAGACATTGCTAAAGCCGCGAAAGTTACAATGGACAAACTTTCTGAACTAGTTCATCCCTACGCTTATACATCTATTGGTATATACAACTTCTTGACAAAACACAACATCAAGTCTCCCCGAGTGTTTGTTCCAGCAACCTGCCATTACTCTTGGCCAAAAGCTGCTACAGTCTTGGGACTGGGTGAAGATAATCTAATACATATCAAAGTTGATAAGATGGCAAGACAAGAAATGGGTGGTGAGTATATATTGTTCAATATATTGTTCACTCCTTTCTAAAAAGCACCACTGGGAGGATGAGAACTCAAAGGACCAATCTAAAGTTTAGGTCGACTCTCTCTCTCTCTCTCTTTCTCTTTACCTCCACACCTCTCTCCCCCCCCCCCCCCCCCGCTTTAGACAAACGTTTACCGTATTGGAAATTTTCAGGTTGTCTGTTTGCATCGCAAATGATATATTTGGTGTTCGTGTGGGAATTACATTAATTCAAACAAATAGCTGAAATAGATATTTAAATATCTTATAACGATGAGATTATATTTCAAGACGGGCTATTTTCTAGTTTCTAGATCTTGTGAATAAATACTACAGGTAATATCTCATAAAACGTTGAGTTTTATTTCTTTTGTAAGATTTGCGTCAGCAACTGGAATATTGTGTCACAAATTCAATCCCTGTGATTTCTGTGACTGCTGTGATGGGTAGTACAGAGGAAAGCGCCTTTGATCCACTGACTGAGATGTTGACCATGCGAGATGAGTTAAAGAAAAAGGTAACAAATTCTTCCTTTTCCTTCCTCAATGAACAGCGCAATATTATTTACTATTTAGATAATGATTAATGATTCTTCAGATACCTGTCTTCCCTGAAAGACCCCTAACCCTGCAGGATCTAGCCGTTAACCGTAGCCAATTGCAATTGTCTTGAATATTTTCTTTCTGATTCATGTAAAAGAGAATCATTTACTGGTAAGGTTTTTAACTCTTGCCATCGTGATGTTGCCTCTCACTAGGGTCTAAACTATGCCATTCTTGCTGACGCTGCATGGGGTGCATACATGAGAACCATGATGATTGATCCTGATCACCCGGAGGAAGTACAGAAAGCTGAAAGAAGAAAAGGAAAGAAGGGAAGAGAGCAAAAAGAACGGAGCAAGAGTTCGCTTATATCAAATTATGTTCCTATCACCCCCTTAAGTCAACATGCTCAAGATAATTTAAATGCATTACGTCATGCAGATACAGTTACCAGTGATCCTCACAAGACCGGATACGTTCCATACCCGGCCGGGGGATTGAGTTACAGAAATGGAACTATGAAAGATTTTGTTCTTCTGGCTGCACCTGAAGTTTTTCATTCTGAAGATGATCTTAGCGTAGGAGTTAATGGACTGGAGGGGTCAAAACCCGGTGCTGCAGGTGCTGGCGTCCTACTTTCTCACAGGGTACGTGTTGTTGTTGTAATTATCATTACTATCAACATCACGATAACCAAGCCAAAAAATACATAATACAACTCTTCGTTCTTTAAGGTGATTGGCATGGACAAGTATGGTTATGGCCGAATCTTGGGTCAATGTGTGTATGGTTCAAAGCTTTATTACTGTTTGTGGCTGAATCTTTCTAAACCCACAGATCCATTTATCATCAAGCCATACCTTCCTTGTTCTGAAAAAGATAAGCTTCTTGCTAAAGAATTGATTATTGGAAAGACAAACTTGGAGATTGTTGAGGTATATGTGAGGTTTGAGATATTGCTAAATGCCGTCTCGGTAAATGATTGTAATGTAGAAAAATTAACCCGCTCAGATACTCAACAAGTCAGTAAAAAAGCGTAAAAATATTTACCGATGACTAACGACCAATACAACTTCTATCTTTCAGACCCCGGGCGCGATGAGTTTACTTGAACGAATTGGTCCAGACTGCATGATAAATAAGTTTGGAGTTAACATCATTATTGACGGAAAGACAAACCATGATGTTGATAAATCTACTTCGTATTCTAAGAAAATTGGACGACTCCTGTCAGTGAATGCTGACAAAGACAATCACAGAGTACCTCTTGTGATCTTTCAGTCCATTATGGAGCCAAAAATCTTTGGACCAGCGTTGAAGGAGTTTGAGATATCCATCGGTGTAAGTAATTCTTCATTAAAATTGCTTAAAATACAATGTGAATGATGTAATAACGACTGACTATTTGATAGTTGACGCAAAATCTTGAGAATGAATTTGGCTGCATGGTCAACACCGTCATGAACCCATGGCAAGCAAGTGGAGAATTTGTTTGGAGAGTTGGTGAAATTTACCGTGAAGCTTGTCTCCTTGCTCATGGCTGGGTAAGTTACGACATAGCAAATACAGCATTTAAGATGGTCCGCTATCTCACTCTGGAAGAAGTCTGTTCCACTGATAGTCTTCGATTACGTCTTTTTCATTGAAGACCGGGTAGAGAAACTGTTCGCTACATTAAAACACTACCTCATCTAGCTAGCCTATGTCAGTCAAATTCAATTCAAGGACTCGAACAAAAACCACTGTGTTCTTGATTTGACTAACCCGAACTAAACGTTCTCTGACTAAAATATTAAATACATATTTAAAAACGAACTTTCCACTTAACTGTGTAGTCTTCGATAGGTCAAAGAGGAAATTCCTGCAATTATAAGCAATTCCTGCAAAAAACTGAATATGATGAAAGAAAATGAAACTTTTATTTTCAATTAGCGTGAAACTAAATTGTCCATCTTTTAATATACGTCTGGTTTTACTAGGAAACGGATCAACCAGCCAAACATATGTTTGTTTGTGGTGACCTCCTACAAAACCAGGAAGACGAATGGTTCATGTTTGCATATATGGTGGGGCAGTTTGGTCGAAAAACAGAACAATATGAATGTGTAACAAAGCTTGGTCTTGCCAATCAGAGTGACGCGATCACAATACAGAACTATCAAAAAAATCATGGATTATTTGCGTCAAATAAGGAAAACGCAGTTTTATATCAGCTGTTATTGGATGCTGCGGGCGATAAAGGTAATTTAAACAGCAGTAGTTTGGTGGTGAACACACAAAAAATACACTACTACGACTGCTTGTTACTACAGGATATTAACTTTATTTGTAACATTTTTAGGCGCAGAGTTCGAGTTCACTGCTCGAGACGATTCAACCGGTGTCCTGTTTACAGCCTTTTTGAAAGTTCTTGACACACCACGTGTCAAACACTTCGAGACGCAGGAAGATCCTGATCTGAAATACCCAGATCATTATCAATACTTCATGTATGGTCAAGGTGGAAAGACCTATTTATCTCACATGATCACAAAGAAACCCGATTTCCAACAGGTCAGTAAATAACACTCTCAGAGCCCCGAGTGATCGTTATATCCGTCCTTGCTTCGGTTAATGCAAATTCGCAGCATGATATGATAATTGAATAACACCATTTCTCAAAAGCAGTCAATCAATCTAGGAGTAAGAGAAAATACCAACCAGAATGAATAACAAACTTTTGAAAACTTCACGTTTACCAGGTTGTTGAAGTTGAGAGCTCTGAGATGTCAGGTAATAAGGATGACTGGTTGCTGTGGTATGGTTTCCCTGTGACCTTTACAGGTCTTGCAGTAAGTTCTGACACCAAAGCAAACCCATTCACTCGAAGTGATCGTACCTACCATATCATGTTTGCTGGCGAGAAAAACAGAAAACGCGAGATGGATATTGTCTTGAAAGATAATACTGGATGGTTTGAAAACTACGTATTGAATAGATAAATGGACTTCGCTGAACATTTTTCATTAATTATTAGCAGCCTATATTACGTAATTGGGTCGTTAGTTTATTGGTGTTATTAACAGGTATAAGCGTTTTTGTCACAAGAAAAAAGAATATTACTAGAATTTATTGGAAATAGTTTGGTCTCACTAGTCTGTGTGTAACAGCGTAAAACACTCTCAAATGCTTTATGCTGAGTTTAATTAATTATGATGATTAGCGTGATTAAGTAATTGTTCATGGATAGACTTACAATAGAAATTGGAAGCACAGAGTTGTCCAGGTTATGGTATAGATTTTTTGACTAGGCGATGTTACAGATAGTCAAATAACGTTACTACCATTATTTGTATAAGGGTTAATATGGTGTATGGGTATTGCAAACGCAAATATAACAGTTTCATCTCATTATCTATTGTTTGAATAATTGATTGCATTCGACGCGACCAAAATGCGACGTTTAACGAAGAAATGCAAAGAAGTGTGCGACATAAGCACATTCCTTTGGCTTCGTTTTTGACCCGTTGAGGAAACGATTTCTTTTGTATTTTTGTTTATGCGTTCACTCATGTGAACCAGGCTTTAAAAACTGTCTGGACTCTGGAGTCTTCAAGTCTTGAGTCTTGATTCTTAACTGCAGCGCATTGCGGAAATCCCACACCTCGTCCTCATAGTCGTACCCAAGGTCGTAGCTAGACCGCCTAATTGGGGGGGGGGAGGGGGGCCGGGGTGTATATTCATATATTCATGTTTATATACCGTAGGAACAATAGTGTACAAAAGAAATCAGTCGGGCATAAGACGAATATATGAATATACACCCCCCCAATTAAGCTTCTAGCCACAGCCCTGGTCGTACCCGGTACCCTGGAAACGAGTAATCACATTGATGCTATAGTAAACTACATTACAAAATACATTACATAGTATTACTATTATATTTCCATAGTGCTTTGTGATTGTTCATTTATATTATGTTATTTTCCAGAAACGCCCAACTAAAAAACGTCAGGGCCCTTTATAACGGTTCTGTAGTGTTTTATCACACAGATTTAAGAGTTTGTAATAAAAAAGACCAAGGCCTGGTTCCAAAACAATTTTTGAAACTGATGGAGACAAAATCTTCCCAAAATTCGTCGAGGAGAAAAACAGGAGAAAAATACTACACAGAAAGGTATGAATTATTTTGCAACCTATACATAAACCTAATAAAATTGTTTTTCCACTGGAATGCAACTATATAAGATCCAAGTTAGACATGTTAGTGCTTGAACTTGTACCACCAAATCTCTCAGTGCAGTCATGTGATTAATTGTAGCCTAGTACCTTGGGGTTTTAATACCACAATAAGCCTAATTAGTTTAGTGACTTGGACCAACATGTCCTTAGCATAAATTTGATGATTTATCTAATAAAGTGTGGTAAATATAGAGTAAAGAATGTGAACATTTCCAAGAAAGAATACCTTTTTGGCATATCACCATGTTTAGCAGCACTTGAAGCAAGAAGAAGAAAATTTTACTCTATTTATTTGAACGATGATGCATCAAATACAAAATCAAGGTTTGCTAGAATTATTTTTTATGGAGTTCTTAATTTAATTAAACCATCCTTAACACATGATATTTTTTATATGATGGGTTTCAGGCCGCAATTTGAAGACTTGGAAAGAATATCAGCCAGAAGAAACATTCCAATTAAGTTGGTTTCAAGGAAACGCTTAGATGATCTTTCAGGAAATCGTCCTCATCAAGTATGTCATATGACTAATATCTAATTGTAAACCTAAAATTTGTGTGAATGGGAGATAAGATTGACCTTCTCACATGTAAACCCTTCACCACAGCCACAGCCAATTATTCAGATCATTCTATAACTAACTGTCTATAGACCAATTACATCTTATTACAATTAGATCGATTAGATCTTATTACAATTTACAATTAGATCATATTATGGATATTATTACAATTTAAAACCACTTTCACTGTCTGAAAAAGGCAAATTCCTAATTCTGATTTTAATTCTAATTTTAATTTTAATTTAATTCTAATTTTGAAAATCAATGTCATCACATGGCAAGATTCTCCATGTTGATACCAATATTTATGTTAAAAGAGCTTGATTATTTCTTATAGAACATTGTCATAAAAGTTGAAAACTTGTCAATGGTTCCTTTGTCAGAGAAGTTTGATAGGTAAGTTGGAGTATTTCTCGTTGCAACTTGTAAATGCAATTCTAGTCTACTTCTGAGGCATCTAAATTTGTCAAACACGTTCGTACGATGTGCTATAAACGTTTTTTGTTAGCATTTCGAAAACTCTTAACAATTTAACATCCCTCAAAATAATAATTGCATTGCAAGTTGCATAGTGTAACAGCTCCTTCTAAAATACTCCTACAGTTCTAGTTTGTGAATTGTGATATATAATAATATTATAATATAAACTATTACTAAAGAATTTTTATATAAAGTCTGAGTTGATGTGGTTGCGATTTATATACATTAAATTGAAGGGATTTGTTAACAGATCCCATATGGTCTAGTGGTTAGGATTCGTGGTTTTCACCCACGCGGCCCGGGTTCGATTCCCGGTATGGGAAAGTTAATCTTTTCCTTCACTCACTTTTGAAACTTTCCTTTTTCATGCGAGTTGATAGGCAGTGAAAAACTTTTGATTCTTTCTCCTGTTTTTTTTCAGCGATTCTACAACGGAAAATATTAATGGAAGTCGTCCATCAATATGGCTTATTCTTGAAGGAATTCAGGTTTAATAATTACCTTTTTTTTCAGTATAAACTTTCAAAGGAACAAATTTTATAATAAGTACTTTGTGAACTCGAATTTGTTTTGTATGTTCGTTATAAGTTCGTAGGATTTTTTCTGATATCTTTTCCCAACCTTCCCAACCAATTTTACCATCCTCGTTCCCAGGTTTGTGTGCTGTACGCGGAAATCTGGGAACGAGGATGTTGCAATTGGATGTTGCCATGTTGGATGTATTCAGGGCTTCCACAACTAGATGTATTATTTTAATAACTGTTACCGCTGAGGCTCTGAGCTGACCGTTAGTCACCCAGATTCTCAGACTATAGCCACTTCTATCTCGTAACGGCACTGGAACAAGTTTAAGTCCTGTTTTGCATGCTTTCGCTGGTAATCTATCTGCTCAGTCAGCTTAATTTAGACCCAGTTTAGCTCATTCAGCTCAGGCCAGCATACGAGCGAATAATAAAGGCGGGATCCTAACATTTTGCCTAAGCGAAACTGAAAATTTGTCCCACTTATTGTCTGCATCTTTCTTTGTACATAAGTCAAAATTATGTTCAAAGCCTATTTATACTTGATTATAAATATACGATCAGGTTGGTCTGATGATGATTCTGAAATAGAATCGAAATTTAAACCCAAATTTTCAGTTATCACAGTTTTTAACTGGCAAATCCTAAGTTTCAAAGTATTTGGTAGAAATAACAAGGGTACTAAAATAGTTGTTTCTTAGTTATTTCATCGTGATACTCGCTGCAAAACATTTACAACTTAGAATTTACCACACGTATTTTGTTATATCTCTCAAACTAAGGATCCGATGAATATGGGAGCAATTTTACGCACAGCTGCCTTTCTTGGGGTGGATAAAGTTGTTAGCAGTGAATTTGACAGGTAAAGCAAATACTGTTACCTAAACAAAACGTCGAAAACGTTAACAAAACAAGGGACTCTAAGTAGCTGTACTCAATTTAGTTGTGCTCTGACACCAACAGTAAGCAAAGCCAGTGCTGGAGCAATGGAATCGTTACCTGTGTACACAACAAACATCAAACATTTACTAAAGGTATAAACTTTTATGATATCCCGTTCTTTATGATATACGTCTACCACGTGTTTGAAATGTGCTAGAATGATAGAATCCACTTTAATTGAATTGCCAAAATGAAGCTCTGAAGCTCTGATTTAATTATTATATTCAGGAAAAAGGTAAAGAAAATTACGATATTGTTGGGACAGTTGGTGCAAATTTCGTTTCCACAGAGAGAACCTTGCCTGTTGTTACCATCAATAATTTAAAACTAGAAAAACCATTGCTGTTGGTGTTAGGTTAGTATAGATACATCCACAAGATGCGCATAGGTGGAGCTGATAGCAAAAAAATAACAAAGTTCGTGTAATAATCCATTTTTTCCAGACAATTACTAGACTTATATACTGTCACCTTTAAATTAACATTACCATACATTAAAAATTGTATTAATGTATTTAGGAAACGAGGGAAAAGGCCTTTCGAAAGAAATCCAGAACTTGTGCACGAAATTTTTGACAATTCCCTCAAAGAAATATAAGAAAATGAGCCATCTAGATTCTCTTAACGTCTCTGTGGCCACGGGTAAGGATATATGATGTTACGAAAATCAAGAATGTTATTTAACATTTAGCTAATTTACTACAGATGAAAGAGTTAATTATATTTTCTAGGAATTATACTGCATTCTCTGCTGAATGGTTAGATCGTAAACGAACTGCTTCATATAGGAATAAGATTTCTTTGACGCAAAACTGACGGAAGTATGGTACCAGTTTTGTGCAATTATCAAATTATTATATGTGCTGCCGAGCCACACAATTGAACGAGCCACACATTTACACAATTGGACCTCTTCTGCCTTCTTAAGGTAATGTTACACGACATAACTTTCAATATCAACTCTCAACGCAACAATGTTTTGAAAATGGTTTACGCGTCAAATATGATATATATGAGCTAGTTTGTAACACAGAAAATGTTTTGGAAACAAGTTGAATGTTTATGAACTGTTTTTATTCCATACATCATTGCTGTTTAGATTTTTGGTTTTTGTTGCGTTGCGAGTTGATGATGAAAGTTGCTTCATGTAACATTGCTATTTAAGGTAATTGATTAAAAGCAATCACCAATATATTACAACACCATCAATAATATTGTCTAGCAGAATCACAAGCTACACAGGCCTTTGAATTGGGGTGTATATTTTTAACTGTCATTGTCATAAATATAATAATATATCATGCTAAGTTTCTGCATCTGACAAGGCAGCACTTCTACGCGATAGTAACAGTTAGTTATTATTGGAATATTGGTGTCTATAAACGTTTATTCAATAATTGTGAATATTTGGAACATTTTGGCTGAACGCAAAGCACAATACGTAAAATGTGATTTATAACGCCGTGAATTACCGCTAAGTAATTCTGTAATTGAAAGTATGCGTGTAGGTCTAGGTGTGTTTCGTTATTTACAAAATACTAGTTCAAATATTCGACCATTGTTAAGAAGACGTATAAATACAGAATGCAAGAAAACCTATGATGTTATTATAGTCGGAGGTGGTGTAATGGGCCTTAGCTCTGCGTATTTTCTCGCGCAAAGACTAAATCCTTCGTCCATTTGTGTTATTGAACGGGATACAAAGGTAATTTTTGAGCAAACTTTTGAGTAATAAAATAAGTTTGAATAACTTAATTATTAAAATACAAGTTAATAATTAACACTGAAGTAAACTGTCATTTGCAAGATAAAGTAATATGATACATTTACTTGTTGGAATGTATGAAGGCCATTTTCAGACGTACAGACAGGGCTTTGGTGACGTGGACCATGTACGTGTCATACACCCCATTAATTTGATGCTTAGTTTTTGATAAAGTATGTTGACTTGTTTGCCACTCCCCTCAATACCGAGATAAAACGAAGCTATCATGTTATATGTTGGGAAAATGCTACGCCATGCATAGAACAGGTTTTCCGTTTTGCATTTGTCTTTAAAAATATCCAGTCACATCCCGATGACCTAATCAATGATATCTTGGATATTCCATCATGCCTTAGTTATTTTATCATGAATGATACTTTAGTTATTCTATCATGGATGATACCTTAGTTATTCCTTCATGGATGATACCTTAGTTATTCCATCATGGATGATACCTTAGTTATTCCATCATGGATAATACCTTTGCTATTCCATCATGGATGATACCTTAGTTATTCCATCATGGATGATACCTTAGTTATTCCATCATGGATGATACCTTAGTTATTCCATCATGGATGATACCTTAGTTATTCCATCATGGATGATACCTTAGTTATTCCTTCATGGATGATACCTTAGTTATTCCATCATAGATAATACCTTAGTTATTCCATCATGGATAATACCTTTGTTATTCCATCATGGATGATACCTTAGTTATTCCATCATGGATGATACCTTAGTTATTCCATCATGAATGATACCTTAGTTATTATTCCATCATGGATGATACCTTAGTTATTTCATCATGAATGTTACCTTAGTTATTATTCCATCATGGATGATACCTTAGTTATTTCATGGATGTTCATGCATGGTGCTATTTGATTCTCTGTTATACTCTTCAAGCTGTGTATTGTTAGGAAGACCTATAAAGTAAGTCTATATAATGGAACCACTATCGAAGTGAATCATCTCCATTTAGCTAGTATATGAGATTGTTTGTGCCTCAGGGTAAGGTTCACCTGACCTCGAAAATTTCTTCACATACTCAAAAGAGATATTGCAGCAGTTGTGCTTAACCTTCTGAGCCATAGAGATTTCAGTGACTCAACTGACAATAAACCCCACCAGTCTGGCAAATACTGTTACGAAATTGCCTCTATTGTGCAGATCCAGCTAAGTTTGCATGTTTGCATTAGTTGTGAATATCCAGCCTTAATTTCTAAATAGTTTAATTTCCTCGAGATCTACAACGTTTCTAATTCAAACCACGTTTTACTACTGAGGCAGTGGTTAAGGATTTGTCCTAATATTTTGTCTTTCTAAGGAGTTTCATTAGTGCAATGTTCGCTTTTACATGTCTTCCAACCAGACCAACCTCGTAAGTCAGAAAGCCTGGCTTTTAGTGGCTACGAGGTTGATATGTCTTCTTAATATATAATCAATGACAAGGATAGTCAACAATGGCCAACTCGACTATAAGAATAAATATCATCATAAAATGGCTCTGCTTAACACAGAAAAATGCATGGGAAGTGACTAATTCAGGTATAATATTTTTAGTATTCCCAAAACTCCACAGTGCGGTCATGGGGCTCTATACGTCAACAATTTTCAATTGCTGAAAACATTCAAATGTCAAAATTTGGATTTGAATTCTTACAAAACCTGGATGATTATCTTGGTATCAAAGGCGAGGATTCTCTAGATGTGCAGTTTAAACATGGCACATACTGTTTCCTTTCCTCTGATGCTGGGAGATCTATTTTGGCAGAGAATGCTGACATTCAGAGGTAAAATCATTAGTTATATATCATGCCAGCATGCTAAAATATCTTTCCAAATTTTATCCTCATATCTTTGTCCTCATAGATTAAAAGAAAATTGGATGTTGTTTATTTAATACTGGCGTAATATATTTTAGGTCAAACGATGTTGATATATCATTATTGTCAAGAGAGGAATTATCTAAAAAATATCCTTGGTTGAACACAGATGGTGTTGCGCTTGCCACAAATGGTGAGAGTGTTTATTAATGGAAAGCGGAATAATGCAATAATACAGAATACGAAAGCTGTAACATTTCTTTTTATTTAGTCAACCGTGGTGAAGGATGGTTCGATCCATGGCTGTTGCTATGTCATTTCAAAAACAAAATTTCTAATATGGGAGTACAGCTGATTGGAGGAGAAGTACATGATGTAGAAGTGAATAATGGGAGAGTATCAAAAGTACAGGTACATTGGCATTTATAAGAAATTGCTAGCGGTGTATTACATTACCAGTTGCTAGTGATTGTTTCATTTCTGTTTATCGAATATTAGTGCAAGTTCTTTCGTATCTGACTTTGTTCTGTCTCAAAGTTGATTAGATCGGAGAGTTCGTCAAAGGAAACCCTGCAATGTGGAAATTTAGTAAACGCTACTGGCGCTTGGGCCCAACCATTGGCTGCAAAGCTTGATATAAGTCTTCCAGTGAGAGCAGCAAAGCGGGTGACATATGTTGTTGATTGCCCAGATGGGTTTACTGATGCTGTGTTATTATTTGATACAGCTCAGAATATTTATCTACGCCCAGAAAGCAGTAAACAATTCATCGTGGCTGAACATCCTGAAGAGGTAGTGTGCGATGCTGCTAAATCTTATTATCAATTATTGCGTGAACCACTTAATGTAGAAATTTAGAAAAATAGTCATTCGGAATGAGGAACCATTTCAAAATTTGCTAAAAAAATATTTGTATATTAGAGGAAAATACTTCTTGTACATACCAAAATCTTGGATTTTTTTTTTAGCGCGAAACATTTCTTTGTTGAATGTTTGTTAGGTACACCAAAATCATGAAGAACAAGACGCCCACTCTGGCGTTAGCTTGCGATGCGAATTCTAGGCTGTAGTTACGAACAATATAGCTACGATAGCACCACAATTAGATTGTACTAAGGGTTCGATTACATGGTGCAATTACAGAAGTAGCTGTTGATGTATGGAAATGAGAAATATTGATTCAAAAATGCTGTTTTTCATTTATATTACGTTCTTAGTTTTCATACACCAACAGCCTCTGCGGAGTCGAAATGTCCGCCCAGGCTTAAGGCGGATTTCCACTTACAGCGAAATCGTTCGCTAGCGAAATATTTGCATATTTTCTTTTGAATTTTAACAGCATAAATAAATTAGTGCGACTTGACTGTTTTCAATTCAAAAGAAAATATGCAAATATTTCGCTAGCGAACGATTTCGCTGTAAGTGGAAAATCGCCTTTAGATTGCACCGAGTGCTAAAATAATATTTCGCGCTAATAGACCGCAAGTAGTATTAAATATGTCATGCATGATGATTTATTTGTACGTGGATAATTATATTTAGCTACCAACACCAGATCAGTGACAAACACTAATTATAATCACCCGAAAAAGGAGTTTTAGTCATGAACTACCGTAGTTGTACAGCATACCTTCAGGTTTTGGCGAACAATCTCACCAATAGACCAGATTCACTGTAAATAAACCTTGATTTTGTTGTATGCCAACAAATATATTTGGCCAGCGCGAGTTACAAACTATAGTAATTGTGACGTTACCTTATAGGAAGTTACTTCGTGTGGAGAGTATATACCGCTTCTATTATAGTAATGAGCCCGTTGAACAAACGGCAAACAGCTTCACGATCATAATATATACACTAAGCATATATCGAAATATGTTCACAAGTTTTGGCGTTCAAAAGGCTTAATAAACTTTGAATAGTTATTGCTGTTTTACACATAGTCTAACTGGTGTTAATACGTGGTATACGTGGCCATGCAGTTTTACGATGCTATAAACGTCAATGTAGAGATTCTAATGCCAACGCACATTATTTCCTCTAATGTACCATCACATGCATGCGTAAACAAACGTATCCCACTCCCATAATCCATGCCAAAGATGACAGTTATGTTAATAAATAGAGGAAGTCACACTACTTCACTGAGCTTCAGTGACTTCAGTGATGCTTGTTTTTAAATGATGTATTATACTATACTCTGAATTTAATACACAAAAATACCATGAACTCCAGCAAATACTAGGAATTACTGTACAAATAAATGGTATATAAATATAGAAAGGACTCCGATTGAAGGTCTTTGGTCTGTACAATAAACAACACTATAAACATCAATTGTATTCAGTGCCTAAGCAGAATCTATTCAGTTGTATCGGTTTAACTTTTCCGAGACAAGTTATGCTACAAACTGAATATGAGAATTATAGATCCAAAATTTTACTTTATTCTTCAGCTTTTTTGCAATTAAAATTTTGGACCCCTGTAGTGTTTTTTGACCGAGTGCTATGACCAAGTCTATACAAATAGCACAGCAACTAAATAAGGTAAAGGTACAGAACCAAACAACAACAAATCATGTGAATGCGGATAGAGGCACGCGTTTCAACCAACTTTGGTCATGTCGTCAATGCTCGCTGGCTGAAAGGACATCCGACCAGATAACTGTAAGCCTCCGAACAGACAATTCTATCCATTGTTTGCAAAATGTAAAATCGTGTCGTACAGGGAGCATAGACGTTAGTCTATAGTTAACAAAAAGCCTTTTAAAACGAAGTCCAGTGCAAACGCTTGATGTTTTACAACGACGCATGCGCTCTGTATTACACGCACGCTTGCTAAATGTCTCCCACAAGCTACCCGAAACACAATAGTCACGGTAATATATACGAAGGCGTTACGTATATCTGATGAAAGAATGATGAAAGATCATTAGCGTCGTGTTTTGACTGTGACGGAAGCTACGAAAAACTCCGAAAAACTGACGACTGTATGGTGTGATACTAAATATCCGGGGGGGGAGGTCAAACAGCTAAAAGATGTAAGACTTTTGGCTGAATAATAATCAGTCGCTTGAATAATAATGAGTTGCTGAATAATAATTATACCCCGTGGCCGAGCGGAGGTCTACTATCTAGAACCCAAAAAATAAAAAAAAAAAAAAAAAAAAAAATGCCCATTTTAAAGCTTGCTATGCTACGCATCGCAAGCAATTAGTTTGAGGGTATTTAGAGTATATTAGAATGCATCGCAATTTTGTCAACGAATTTAAATTATTGCGTTTTCACTGTAGGAAGATCACAGTCATCATGATAGAGATTTTGAAGTAGACTACGACTACTTTGATACAAATATCTGGCCAAAACTGGCGTATCGTATTCCAGCTTTTGAACGGCTAAAGGTACATTATTAAGGACAAGTATATGATATATACGAATACGACATTCAGACTTATCTTGATAGTCTTATGATTACGAAAGCAAGCAGAATACTTTGTCTTAATATAAGGTAACTATATCGCCCAATATAAGCTGATTACCTTGATTACCTTATTATATCAAGACAAACTATTCTTGAAAAAAGGATGATGCGTAGCCAGGAATAAAAATTATGGATAACAATAAAACGGTCTTGCACTGACCAAAAAGATTTTTATTATTGTATTACGAGATTTCGGCTGCTAGACTGCAGCCTTTAACAGATGAAATTTTACCGTTGAAGGCTTCAACCCCGCAGCAGAATTCTCGTAATAATAAAATTAATTTTGGTAAGAGAGAGTTTTATTGTTATTCTTATACAAACTATTTTTCTTGCTTTCCAGTCGGAATGGCCTGGCATTAATTTGTATAGATGTGGTTTAACTTGAATGTGTTAACGTTGATATAGGATTTCTATTTTTATTCAGGTAACAAGTGCATGGGCTGGATTCTATGACTACAATATTTTGGACCAAAATGGAATAATTTCCGGCCATCCTGAGATAGAAAATTTTTATTTCTGTAATGGTTTTAGTGGCCATGGTATTCAACAGTCCCCGGCTGTGGGTAGAGCAATCAGTGAACTAATTATTGATAAAAAGTTTAAAAATATTGATTTATCACGATTCTCTTTTGAAAGGTTTAAGGCTAATAACTTGATAATTGAGAATAATATAATTTAATCAATTCATTGATAGCGTTTATTTTTTTACCCCCCCCCCGGCCTGTTTTGGTACGACGTCGTACAAAAATTTGGGTCGCGCGTTTTTATTGCAAGAGTTACCTCCCCCACCAACCAATATGGCTTTGGTTTCAGGATAGAAGGGTTTTGTGTTTTGTTTAGGTGTACATATAGCAATCTTATTCTACCAAACCGTAGTTACCATGCACTCAGTGGTAGTTACATACTTCCGGTTAACATGAGATGCAGGCGGTGAGTCAGGACCTTAGTACCAGTCTCTCTAACCCATGCCCGTGTGCAGTCGTGAGCAGTAAGTATCTACCTAATATGAACGAGTTTTGTGATTGGCTTTTTTGTAACAATAGTGAACAGTAAACTCTGGAGTTTTTGGTTTTTTTTTTAAACTCCACTACCATGACTGTTTCGCTCACGACCAAGAAAATTACAAAAATTACTGCTCTTTCTGTACAATTATCGAAGTTTAGCGAAGTTACTATTCAACAGTTAGCTTCTATTATTGGAACTCTTGTCTGTACACTCCCAGGAGTTGAATGTGGACCGTTACTATACTATAGAGCACCAGAGCGTGATAAGACCCTAGCGTTACGACACTCGCACGGGGATTTTGAACAAAAATTGTGTCTATCACAGGCCAGTATTGATGAACTTAAGTGGTGTGTTTTTTTTCTCCTTTTTCTTCCTTCCACACGCTTTTCCTTCTTTAAATTGCTAGATGCCTATACGAAAAGTACTTACAAGACGAAATTACCATGATCATCGTGGTTCCAATTTCGACGACTTAGGTATAATTTACGAGAATTTAGTGTCAGTATACACAATTCTAATGCACGTGGGTTGGTCATCGGACTCTGTGTTTCCGAAATTCTATAACAAACCTATTATTGATGATAATGTCTTCCAAAATGCTGTGTTACAATAGACTGAGTTTTGCTCTTTGTAGGCTGTATCCACAATTGCTTTAAAGTCTCATGTTACCGCAAGTACGTAACTACGGTTTGCCAGAATTGAAAATTAAATGCATCTCATGTTAACCCTCAGCACAACTACGGATTTGGTAGAATTATCATCAAACTCCAACTTAAGGTAAGTCCCGTTTAATTTTCAATTATTTTACATATATCTTTCATACAGTCGCTGTGTTTATAGTTCCACGCTGTCCGGTTTTGCCTGAAGCAGGGCTGAATTTCTTAGTGTTCTAATGCTTTCTTCATTATGAAGTTGTTTCAAGCCACGAGGTACGCCCCGGCACGATGTGAGATTTATTTCCTTCAAGTTGGGACATGAACCAATAATATTTCTATAAAATTATAAGATATCCAAAATCATGGCGACTCGTGGTGATCAGTACCACACATTTTGTAATACTCTACCTCACGCCAGGCGTAGAAACACTAGTGCCAGCCAAATTTAATTTCGTTAAAAGTGTATTTTTAGTAATAGCCAGAGTTAACAGAGCAACATCGCTTAAATCATGGCACCAAGATACATCCAGTTCTTTCAAATTGTCTTGCCACTAAAAATAAATATGAATTATTAGGTAAACTAAGGTATATATTTACTATTAAATCAATTAGCCTTTCTCACGATGAGGAATGTGCCGCCATTTTTGGGGTACTTTTTTTTAAATTGTGAGCGCAAGACCTTGTCAGGGCAGCGCAGGCTATCTTTAATTTTAGGCTTAATTTATTGTTCAAATGGTCTATTGACTCTTAAAAAATGCTTTTTACATTGCTATTATTGTTTAAACGCATTTGAGAAAGTTGAAAGTACCCCAAAAATGCGGATATTCGTCATCGTGAGAAAGGCTAATTGGTATATTCACCACAAGTCGGTATGCTAGTCCTTTGATATTTGCTTATATATGGACAGAATCAGTTCCGACGAAAAGATTAAGTAAGAAGAGGTCAGTAAAACAATGAATATAGGATGACACCATTTGTTTACCCTTGCGTTGATAATCTTGAATAAATCTTTCCAGGAAATCGTGCAACGTGCTAAAAATAACTGTTCTACTGAAACAGCCGGGATATTCTAGAGGAATGGAAATATGTTAGCTTGGACATAGAGAGCTTGGACATAGAGAGCTTGGAGACGTTAGTGCAAATGTCCGATAAGCAACTGAATAATACATCTACTTTCCCCACATTTAAATAAGTACAATTGTAATCTGTCGTACTGAAAAAGCTCTGTGTGTGATTTTTTCACATCCACGTAAATCAAGCTGCCGTAACTTGCTTGATGTTTTCAATAACCTGTTGGGAAATAAGTTAAATATTTATAGATGTAAATAAATTCTTTGTTCGCGGACTGGTTCGCCTCTGCAATGGTGCCAGAAAACTCGATAGATTGCTCACCTTTGCAAGAAATCGTCATTTGGACCTCCGGTAACACTCGCAAGACTAAGTAATTCTAAATCTGGAAAACCAGCTGATGCGTTCTAATATATGTAAAAAAATTATTAGCTAATTCATCTTTTATGAAATGAATGCAAATGTTCAGCGCGCGACATAATTGCAGGGAATAAAAGGAAATTATTGCGGAAAAAATGGTTTATAATAATAAATCACCATTTCATTGACTGTAACTTTCAACGGTGTCGAGAATGATAATTGAGATAGCCGCAACTCCACCATTTTAGGGCATCCTGCCTGAGTGGATTTTTAAAAAAAATTCATGAGTTTATTGAGTAAAGACAAAATATCCTTGTTGAGCGGTTCAGTCACCTGCAATCTCTCTATATTGAAGTTTTCAATGGAAGTGCAAGAAAGGTCCAATATCTTCAAGTTTCGACAGCAAGACTAAAATATTTAATGATAGCAGTGGTGTCTGAGACTGAGTATAATTATCCCGTAATATAATCTCGTCTTTCGCAACATAGCTACCTGAATAAACAACAAACTTGGAGTTCCAACAGACTTATTACCAGCTAAATACAGTTCCTCAAGTTGTTGTCCGCATTCATTGAGTAAATTCTTAACTGACATATTTGCTGTTCCATTCGCCTGAAAAATCACCATTTACATTGAAGATTTTCTCCGGTTGTACTTTTAATGCAAGTCAGGTACAAGTTTCAAGACAGAAATTAAAGTTTATGCCAAACTCTCAATAACGTCATATATAGTCATGCAGCATCTGATATTGATACCGTACCTGAATGTGGGAAAGATTGATTGTTGTTAATTTTCTACAGTTTTTAGCAATGAGGGAGACTCCATTAGCGGTGATCTTTGAGCAATTTGATAAGTTTAATGATCTTAGTCGCGTACACTGGCTGGTAATAACCTAAACCATGCAGCACAGAATATAAATTTAGTTATATTAAGTAATTGTCACCAATCATAAACGTTTATCCTGGTCAGTGTTGCCAGATTACTGCAAAAGAAGCCAAACATTGTTGTAGTTGTCCCTTTGATTTCTTTGTTTGAAAAGAAATCAACGATTAAGTAAAAATTTTGGCTAATTTATTCAGTAATCTGGCAACCCTGATCCTGTTAGGATACATTTTCATATACTTGTGAACTGATTTGCATAATCCCAGCAGTTATAACGCCATAGCGTTCGCAGTGATGAAATTTGGTGATGACCTACCTCTAGCAACGCAATGACAGCGCTTGAACAGAGCTATAGTACAGCGCTAAATCGGCTTGTACATTGCGTTCTATAGTGATTGCGCCGTCATAACTTATCCTGTCACTATACTGGATTGCGTTACCATCAGTAGATGGTGCACGTCATATTTAACCTTTGCAAACCCTTATATATAGAGGATTGCACATTTATATAGAGGATTTGCATTCAATGCATCAAAAATTGCAGCAGTAATTGCAAGTTTAAAAGGGCATTTTCCAAAGTGAAATCAATTGAAGGAAATGATAATTTCATGCACGTTTTAGTTGCAGATATGGTCAAATAGTTTGCAGCCTATAAACACTTCGGTCAGAATTTAGTCTTCATCCACTGTAGGAAACACATACACAGCCTGGTAAAATATATACAGCTAAAATACTGATGCTAAGTAAGCCCTCAATATACCTAATTAGAGAGAATATAACTAACCAATATTCCCATCGCAATGAATCATTCTACCTCTACTCCTGAACTTGTCAATTTTTGCCAACCACTTAAGTTTAAATCTTGTACGTAATTAAGAAAATCTCTCCCTCTCAATAAACTTAAGGTCTGGTCCTTTGCATTCCGAGTATTTGCCATATGTGACAAGTCAACACTGCACCACAGAGAACAATCTAATGCAACTGCTTGCCATTTTTTACATACACAGGAAACTCTAGAAAATATTTTACAAAATGGAATGACTATATGATGGAATGAACTCAATGAAGTACAATTATACATATACAGGTCATACTTTAAGCAACTAATAATTTATTTTAAACAAAGTCACATTTTTTAGAAATGAATGATTTGTTTATACCTGCATAATAAAGGTACGGCAGTCAAACTATTGACAGCATATAATAACACTTTACGCAGCAGTTCATTAGGTATTCTATGAGACCAATCTAAACTTGGGGTATTCTCAGGCTGTATTTTTGTTGTTTTTGATTTCTTGACAAGCACTTGACTGGAATGTGATAACTTTTTACCTTGAATGAATATATATATATATATTTATCATTAAAAATATTTTCATATTAACTGGTCAACATTGTCTTTTCCTGATTTAGGTAGCAGATCTTTCCTGAAGGCAGCTGAACAATTGGCCCAATACCAGTATGATGACAGGTTTATGCTACAACAATACCTCGCTTTCTTTTTTTAATAATCGTACTTGGCATCTCCGTGATCTCACCAGTTGATGGTTCATAATCTGAGTCTCCACTGTCATCTGAAGGCAAGCCATCGGCACGACCAAATATCAATAGATTATGTTGTGTAGTACCAGAAAAATATTTCATTCTGTTTGATTTCTTTTTAACACTTCGAGACATCCTTATTGAATGAATTATCCAGGTATTAATTCGTATGTAAAACGTGGCTTTTAAACAAAATTAGCAGCTGTTAAACCACGGTCACCCAACCACGGTTACCATTATCCAACCACGGTCGACCACAATTCCTATTTACTTATACAAAGTATCCCCGGGAGATTACCGCAGTACCAATAAAATATCGGGCGCAGCTTTTACAGTGGTGAATGTTTGCAAAGAAAGTTTATATAAAAACTTTATTTTTTACTTGATTTGAGACTTAAAATGCTTGCAGACGCTATTTTAATACTGTGCATATCTGTATTTACTGCATTGTTATCGGAAGGTATTGTGAAATCTACTTTTTGTGTGTGTGTTAAATTTTAATTACAGAATACAGAGGTCATAAAGTATTTCATTATTTCAAACAATTTGTTTGTAACTTTATTTTAAAAATATGTTAGTTTACATTTAACTGTTTCATTTACTAGGTATCACATATATATTGGTGTACAGGACAGATAAATATAAGAAATTAAAATCTGAAGTAGAAAAACACAGCAAGAAGTGTAAGTAGCCTAAGCTAAGAAGAGGCCTAATGAGTAATTATTATTACATATTTATTATTATTATATTATTACATGTAATCATTTTTACATGTCATTACATGGTCTAATAGGTCTTTACGTTCATGCCACACTGTCACTGAAGTAAATAAAAGAAATGCATTTAAATTGAGCACCTTAATTGCATCTTTTAGTGATTTCTAGGCAACAGTTTCTTTACCCCTAATATTTTCAGACTACTGCCCCAATTTAATACAGAAGTATCAAGTGTCTATTTAGGGGATGATTTATATTTTTAAAATTTTATTCATCTTACCATTATATTAAAGCTCATGTCAGCTAGCATCTTTATAATTTTTGTAGTGGAGCGAAAGAAAGAAACCGCATCAGATATGTCAGGTGGACAGAAAAAGAAAATTGGTAAACATATATTTATAACCTTTAAATGTTAAAAATATATGAAATAGGAAAAATCATTTAATATTTAGAACGTGTTGAGGAGAAATTGAAAAATAATAACAGAGATTTATCAATGGTTAGTGAAGCATTATAATTTATTTTAGTGGCTTTTGATAATAAGTTATGTATACATAGTAATGCATTATATTTATAAATATTGTTTAAATCCAGGTTAAAATGAAATCAATGTTTGCAATTGGTTTTACCTTCACAGCCTTAATGGGAATGTTCAATTCAATGTAAGTAATTGTAAATACTTGTTTGATTCTTGACACTGGAGTACAACATAAATATTGTTTGTGTTTAGTTTTGATGGTAGAGTTGTAGCCAAGCTTCCTTTTGTACCAATATCATGGTTTCAAGGTTTATCTCATCGTAACCTTCCTGGGTCAGACTACACAGATTGCTCGTTCATATTTCTGTATATTTTATGTACTATGTCCATTAGACAAGTAAGTATTATTACATTCTATAGAGTATTCAGTACTCTTCATATATATACTTTATTAGTTTGTTCATTTTGAGGCAATGACCTGGCATGACATATATATTTGTACATTTCATATAATTTGTCCTATGAGAATAATGTAAATAATTTGTCAAGAAACTGTTTGCAAACTGATTTATCCATTGTGATATCTGTTACTAATCATAGTTTACAAGTCCTAATTGCCTTTATTACTCATTTTCAGAATATTCAAAAGGTTCTTGGTTTTGCACCATCAAGAGCTGCAAACAAAGCACCAGGCTTTCTAAATCCAGCTCCTGCATCAAAATAGACAAGCTAGAATCGAAAGGCTGATACTTACATAATGGTGGTTTCAAATAAATTCAAACTGATCATTTTATATTGTGGCATTGTTGTATATTTTGAGCTTTACTAGTAAAAAGGCCGTATCATAGAGAAGTTAAATTTTTAAATTATTATGTAATATATATTGTTTATCAAATTACTATTTTAACAGATAATTATTATTTCCCTTGAACTTTACAAGTACCCCCCCTCCCCAAAGGGAAGACCCAAAAAAGTAGACAAAACTTCCAAAAGATTTAAATTGAGTGAATTCAGAAGTGTGCGTTTATTTATCGTCCTATGCTGGTGTGGTAATCATCAGGGCTTTTGTATAATTATTGACACTATACATATTACATATATAATTTATGTCTATATTAATTCATGGAATGGAAGCTTGCAACGTATCTTTGATTTTCACGCGCTTCAACGTCTCGCGTGTTCTTCACGAAAGTCAAGGAAACTGAAAAGAAAATGGCGACTGATTGGTCGCGTATAGTTGAAATTCTTTCAGCTATTTCTCATGGTTCTCCTCACGATGCAGTCCCAGAACTGTGCAGGATTATATACAACAGGTTAGTGTTTATTGCAAAGTGTTTCTTATCCCCATTTAATAAGGCTGTTTCAAAAAAGTTAGGTAGTGAATTGATAAAGTAATACAGAAAGTAACAAATGTGCTAAATTTGTACCCGGAAGGTAGCAGATTTTATATATTTCTGTTGGATTTAGAAATAATATTTATGACTATAGGTTGATAACCTTAGTTTTACGTCAGTAGAGAAGAAAGTGCTGTTCGGAAAAAGGAATAATTAATATGTATTTATATATATGTACATTGGGCGTACATTTTACCTGCCAAAGTCATTGTTTTTCTTTTGAAAACACATCACGCGGATAGATTTATACAAAAAAAATTCTGAGAGGCGAAATTCATTGTAATACTGTGTGGTATGATATATCAGGCATATTCCTGAAAAATTTACGGAGCAGAATAGCGCAATATCACTATTACTCTCTGGACTTCGTTCAGACTTCAGACCTAGCTGTGCAGCTAGAGGTTAATTTTTCTTCAAGATTTTTTAATTAAATGAGCTGTTTATGATTCCTTGCCTGAAAGTCAACATTTCTTTTGCTTTCCATGCTTTCAAAAAATCTTTAGGGGCAGTTGTATAAAACACTCACTTATGCATAGTTTATAATTGATTGGGAAAGTTTTATTTTAGAAATTTAGATATATTGAATCCTGAAGATGAATTTGAGGAATTCTTCTCATCATTGGTCGCTTTGTCAGCACATTTCATCGGCCTTAATATCTCTTTATGTAAGTGGTAAAAATATTTTTTCCAGTTTTCAAAATATGCCATATTTCAAGTTTCAGTCAATTTTCTAATATGCCATATAATGATGTTTAGGCACAGATTATTTGCACCATGCCACTGGTGCATGTAAAGTCATCCTTAAATTTTGTTTGGCACGGATTACAAAAGAAAGGGATAAATTATTCTCAAAAGTAAGCACTAACTGGAAGTATTTCTTGCTGTTGTACTGTAGGCTTAGGTTTCACAAACATTTCTATAAATTGTTTTCAGAAAAATCTTGTGTCTGTGATCGAGGGCTTGTGTAAAGGCCACGGATGCTTGGATAGAACAGAAGTATCAACATTTATGGCTATTATAAAATTGGCGAAATATCCCAAGACTGATGCAACATTAACAGTTGAAGAAAAAACATTTGAATTTTATGGCAAACTAACCAGACAAGGACTATTGAACACTAATCAACATCTTGCAAGGTGCAGTATGTTATTATCTTTCATATCTATAGGTTTATTATCATATTTAAGAAAATATGACAGATAAATATGAAAATATCTCTACATTTTGCCTAAAAGGTAGCCCAGAAGCATATATGTATATACAGTTTCATATTGTGATCGTGACAAACCCATGCAAAATAGGATAGCTTGGCATCTAGATCTATAGTTTTGATCACTTCATTCAAAATTGTTTTTTCTAAAGCAGGCTTCCATTTTCAAGACATCAGATGTTTGGTTTTGAAGAGGATGATATAGATGTGAAGACATTTCTCTGTAATGCGAATGTTGCAACTCTGAGAGAAATGCAAGGAGGGCAGGTCTTGCTAGATCTTTGTGTGTCACTACCTAACATATCTCAGTTCATGACCTTACGTGGAATGACTGATGCTAAACCTACAATGAAAACCATTGATAATTTATCACTTGTATCCATGTTGAACTTCCATGTAAACAGGTAAAGAGGGATTAATACTAGAAATACATGCATGCAAGAACACCTTGCCATTTCAAATCTGGATAATGCAAAGTATTTTCTGAGCTAGCCAGACCCAATCCTTTAAGCTTATATTATGAAATGACTTAAATAAGTCAATAGTTGATGTTTTTCAGAAACAAACATAGTTGTAAAGGTTAAGTAAAACCACCTAGCTTCTTTCCTGCTGCATTATGTTACATGCATTTTTCGACTTTTTCACAGTTTTAAGTTAATACTTCATTACATAGCTAAACCTTGCATTGTTATGAGCAGAAAACTGATGCCATAAAACTGATACCACAAAACTGATGGATTTATCATCAAGGATAAACTATCTTTATAAATAACAGCTCAATTCTGTTGATAACTTGATTGATGAGCTGTAAACTGTAAAACCATATAGCATGATTTGTTTCCAGAATCATTGTTATATAGTAGATTGTGATGGGACCTAAATGAAGTTTCTGTTTGTCCCTGTTTTTTTCCACAATTATAATTGCTTTATACTTTTTTTGACACCAGAGTGCAAGAGTTGGCTTCTGAAATGAACTTAATCAGCAGCATTGCGTCAATTCCAGTTATGGAGCCTTTGAACAGTTATCGTCTCAATAAAATCATGCTGTTGACTTTGGGTTGTGTTGATATTGCTATGTATGCTGCCTCAGGATATTTCACCGCCACTGCTATCGGTACTATTTTAGAGTTTATGTTTGTTAACATTTGGGTGATGATTGATGAATATGTTAGTGCACATCAAATGTGTTAAAACAACTGCCTAAAATGGAAAAAAAATTGTCTAGACATTTCCACCTAATGACCCTCTTCAGGGAGAAATTCAAATGTCAAGGGGTTTTTTGTTGATTTTAAGCAGGTGTTATACCATGTTTGATGCAAAATTGTTTGAAGATGCTGCCAATTGCTCCCTGCTTATATTATGAATTAGACAACAGTGCATACTAGACATAAAACAGAAAACCTAATTGGAAAGTTATCTATTTATTATCATAGAAGATGTTGATGACATGGCAAAACAACTTGTTGATACCAGTGTATGTATCTTATTTCATATTATATTATATGAAATTATATATTAATTGTTGCATTTGTATCAATGTCTATTTTGATATTATTAAAACTATATTCCAACCTTTTTTATTATTATGCTTTTTAATTCAATCCTAAACTTAATATCATTGTCATAATCATTTTCAAAGTTGATCCTAAATGTATCACAAATTATTCCAATTTTGTTTCTCTTTTGTAGTTATCTGTAGTACATGTGATTTCCCACACATTGTCCACATCTCACCGAGCTGGTGGCCATATTGTTCAAAATTTCAATCTCTTGGTCAGTCATTGCATTCTAAAAGGTCTTATGTCACTCTTAAATGTCAGAGGTGTAAATGAAGAAAGAGCCAGCGAGACGAGGTAAGAAACTGTCTGGGTCTGAACTATCAACTTGGATATCAACCATTGTGCTCCAGTGTATATAGTTGACAAACTTTATTGCTTTTATTATTCAGATGGGAAGGTTTTAATGTATTGCGTATGGAACTCAGTAAGAAAGTGATTGGTATTCTCTCTTCATTATTGGAAGACTTGAAAGTTGAGAGTAATTATGATGAGTCTGGCATTGATACAACAGCAGAAGAAATGAATATTGAAGTACATGCATCAGCTTGGTGTCGAGTAAAACTCTTGTTTGATCATCTTGAGCTTGTGCCGCTCCTCATGAGAATATTTATTCTTTCATATTACAAGGTGTGTGAAAATAATTATATTCCTGCAATACATGCAGTCATGGGTTTTTGTTGATTGCAAGGCAGAAAAAATTTCAGTTTTCAGATTGCCATCATATCCAAAAACGATAAAGGCCAGGTCATTTCCTGTAGTGAGAGTACTGGATCAAGAGGAGATAATCTTGGCACTTTAATTCATAAAAACAGTTTAGAATTTTGAAGAACAGTTTGGACCTCTCAGAGAACTGATTGAGCTATAAACTCTATATTCTTGTTTGTTTCCAGGCTGATTATCTCGCTGAAACAATCCTAACATCATCAAAGGGGGATCAGTCAAAGTCATCCAACCATGATGCTGAAACTAAGTCAAATAACAGCAATGAAGGTTCCACATTTTATTTTGTAGCAAAAGACACTTCGACACTTAACACATGTGCTGTGTACATACAATATTCAAACAACGATAATCATAGCAAATTTTTATTTTAGATTCAAGTGAGGGTGAAACATTGTTTGGTGGATTGTTTGATACACAAGGAAGTGAACAAGAAACATCAGCACCAGAAAATGATCCAAAATCATGGAAAAACGAGGGGAAAATGCCTGTTGCTGAATCGGTGAGTAACTGTGAAACTGTGAAAATTGTTTTGTAATTTATATGGTTTGTAAATTGTGGCTGACAAGCATCGTTGGGTTGGGATGGGATAATCCGCCGTTCAAACGAGATGTCGCTATTGCATGGTATTTAGCTACTGTACATTACTGTATATTGAAGTATTACAAAACCGAAGTATTGAGACATTTATTATCACAGTAGAACGAGTTGATTTAAATTTAATTTGATGTCATTCATTTTCTAGTATCTGGAAATGTCGAAGATTATTCTTGTGTTCATCAGTGACTATATGTTAAATAACATCAGTCCAAACCTGATGTCCAACATTCAACAGACCTTACCAGTCTTACATCTGAATGATCTCGCATACCTCGTGCAAGAAATGGATGGAGCTAAGACGCATATCGGCTCATTATCTACGTCGTATTCCTTTAATCAATGCTTAGATCGTTACTTGCATATTTTGTTAACTTTTGGTGTTCTTTCGTATCAACAACAGGTATAATATTATTATAGTTTACAGTAACTAGTAGGAAGATTGAATAAAATACAACGCAGGTTTCTCTTTATCATACCTTTGCACCACTAGGTGTTAACTATTATGCAACCTCTGGAGTAATTTGGAGCAAATATCTATCTTACTTCTGGTTATCGCGTTATCTCATGCTTTTTGTTCCTCTTCGTAGGAAACCATTCTAAAACAACTTGGTATCTCGCCGCAAGTATCTGAACATTGGCCGTTATACATTGGTCCCCGCAGTTTATCAATCCTCGCGCGAGTACTGCTGGGAAGGCAAGAAAATTGCCGAGAGATGAGAGATAATCAGGATGACGAAAGTTGTGTAAGAATCTGGCAAAGATTGATCGAGACTCTACGAGAGATGGCTTTTAACGAGAGACGAAGACCAGGTGTGTTTTTATTTGATACGACATTTATCTTTAATCCAGTAATCCTGACACTAATCAGTAGCATTTATCTTTAATTCCGTCTAGTTCTTTCTTTCTTACTCTAATGTAGTTATTGCCTTACCTCTCTTATCCTTTTTAACTCTCATCTTTAGAGCCGTATCTCTACGTTCGCATATAAACAAAATCCTAATTTTTCTATTTCATATAGATCTCAATGTAGAACATTTACAGTTACTTTTGTTAGTGTGGCATAACTTTAGCATGAAACAACGGGACAAGATCTTGGTGCTGTGTATAAATGCTCTATGCTCAATCTCTCGTGATCCCGATCTGAGTGATAAGGTTCCTTTGTTTTCTATGAGATTACTCATGATACTTGACTATATGCTTCATCAATATAATGAACCACCTCAAGAGTTGCTAACACAGGTATTATTTCATTATTGTAAGCAAACTATACTAGTATTGTCAATATCAGGTTAATGGTAAATTTCAGTTGTAAATGGTAGCTGATTCCAGCACATTTTAGCACTAAGGAAAACTCTTAATTCCCTGTTAGCCTAATAGGATATGTGCTAAGTGAATTGATATAAAATACAGGACTGTTCAAGATTATTTAGTCTATTTTTGCCCTATGTTAGATCCAAAATATTTGGTGTAGATGATAAAGCTAATTTCTATTTTAGCTATGTTCAGGTATGTGCAATGGTCATTTTCTTATTATATCCAGGTGCAATACAATCTTTTCAAGACAAAGTTTAACTACATGTCAATGCTTCACATGGATGATGACATGATGAACGAACCAAGATTATTATTCTTTCCAACAGTTGAGCGGGAAAATCACGATTATCACAGACCTACAGGAGACCCGTTAGGACACATGTATGAAAAGAGGACTCCTAGGTTCTATGGTATACGCTGTGGAGATCAGAGTGAACTGCCTGACGAAGTGGTTGGTATCTTAAGCAAACATGAATTCTAAAATTTTCTACAGATATACAGATACAAAGGATTCACCTTTTTCTTCTCATTTTCAGTTTAAACATGTTCTATCAATTTTGGAGAAAGAGAGCAATTCTTATTCTCATTTCCACGCAAGTCTAATCATGTTACTTAGTGCTGGCTCAAGATGCGATGTGTTAAAAAGACAAAAATCAAAATTTGTTAACCTATCAGATGCAAAGATTGTTCGTTGTTTGTTTGGTTTGGGTTGGAGACTCGTTGCTTCATTACCGCCGCCTGCCTCGTTTTTATCCAGAATGCAAAAGAATGAGGATGTAGAACTTAAGGTGAATTGTGTATAGCAAATAAAGTTATTTTAGATTTGCTTCCTTACATGTTAAATATTTTATTTTGCAGACCGTTGGAGATTTTGTGACAGCTCTTGTAAGATTATTTTGGTCAACAAAATTGTTTCATTCTTACGATCCCTCCGGCTCCGCTGTCCAGGTCAGTCATGTGATGTGCATGTGTGATGTGCATGTGTGATGTGCATGTGTGATGCGTGTGTCGGTTTTTCTTCTCCATAAATTGGCCGCGCTCGATCACTTTCGCACTTTACATCAGACGTATGTTTCGCAAAAGGAAAGTAAATCAGGTGTTAGCCAAAAAAGAAAAGCTTTGTTTATTAAATGAAAATTTTTTGGACCGATCGAGGTCCATGAAATAGTACGTTATTATACGGGCTAATTAACACCCTAATAATCTCTCTTTTCAGAATACAGTGGAAGGACATAGCATGTCAACAGACGATGCTGTACCGCTGATGATTGACATCGTAACCGCAGCGACAAATGACGTACAAACAGTAAAACAGGCTTCAACTTATTTACAACAGGTATGCTGGTGTAGTAGTCCACATTTTTCTGAAAACTATAGCTACATTCGATTTATAAGTAGCTAATATCTATGCATTTTAAATCGCTAATGGTAAAAAGTCTTAGAAACGTCTTTTAAAAACACCTTGCATAGATATCTTATATGTTTTATATCATTTCTAGATTTTAGATCATTTCACTTATCATGGCGAAGTTTTGAGTTCTGATCAACTTCCAAGTCTATTAACTCTTATAACGGTTGATTGTATACTCACGAGGATATCTTCTCTAGTCTCGAATGCGAAGCTAGTTATGACTGAAAGTCTTAAAGTGGAGATTGGAAACTTTTTTTCCATTGTGTTAAAACTTGTTAAATATTACCAAGGCTTTGCAAGGTACGATTACCCCGACCTTATGAATAAGTTAAACCTAATTGTCACTCGAGCCGTCACTCGGGGAAACGGAATTATTTCTTGACGGAAATTGTTTGGCAACTTTTTTTATCAACTTCTTTCGTGTTTATTGTTTAGATTCAGTTTGTTGTCTCATCACAATTTTTCCATCAAAGTTCGTGATAAAGATATTGGAATTTATTCCAAAGTGGTTAGAATATCTTCATCTGTTCTCGCCAAGAATCCTACTTTAGCTGGTCCAGTTTTTATGACAGGTGCAGTTGAGAATACCAGTTTAACTGAAAACCTGAATTATTAATTGTTTATATGTCAAATTAAGAATTACGTAATATTATAAATGAACAACAAGTTGCATTTGATCAGCAGTTATACCAAACCCCATAGACGACGCTATTTCGTCATAGCTTTTGAGTGTCAACCGGGAGCAGACAAACTAAGACGAAGAGTGGAGAAGACGTCTTCTCCAAAAGACGTCTTTTAGACCAAAAATGCTATCAAAAATGAATGATTTACAAAGATCCAGTTCAAAGCTTGATCTAGGCCTATAGACTATGGAGGCCGAGATCTGTAGTCGCTTATGATAGCATTGTGACTTAAGGTGCTATTTCCTCTACAGGTTTCCCAATTCCTCTTGAAGAAATCAAACAGTGGAATAATCTTGGCTTTGTTGATTTCAATACTTTTGCTCCATCAGAAGACATCATCAATGAAAGCGCATCAGACCCGACTCAAATGATCACTTCATTACTGAGTTCACATATGAAAGTGATGTCTTTCATATTTTCTTTTAATCTTGACACTTCCATTAGACATGTCATGAAATCTCTCGTCCAACTCAGTGTTACTTTATCGACGTAAGTTAAAATACGTCATTATATGATTGATAAATTTTTCTCTGCATGAGTATCTGTGAAATACACTGTCAATACAACTCATTTGATGCTTCAACTGAATAGGAAATGTCCAAAGAAAGAAGGTTCAATACAAGAGATCTTCACCAAGGAAATCTCGGACGCCATAATCCCTTTGATTGTTGATGCCTCAGCTGAATATCTGTATGATGAAACGGAAACTATTTTGGAAAGTATTTATGGATCTTTAGATCACGATGAATGTTGGAACAGAGTTCAAGATTACTTGCTGGAAAATTGTTTTAATTTGATCATTGAGCATAGTCTGTCCCAAGAGTAAGTTTTCTATAATTCTTTGTAATCTACTGTCGCTGAGTCTGCCAGGAAATGAAATGATATATTAAAATGATATAGCCAGAGTTATCAGCCTTTATGAGCTGTGTTTATTGTGTGCTTTTTATGTAGTTATGTGTTTATTATATTAACATGCAATAAATTTATTTGTTTCGTTGTAGACCAATTCTGGCTGAAGATGTTTTTGTTGACTGCGAAAGATTCGTCGAGTCATTATTAGAACGAGCTCAAGGAAGGCAAACATTGAAAAAGTTTTTCGAAAATAACGATAAATTTGTCCGTCTTGTGCTGTTGTCTGGAAATCAGAATTTTTCCTTATCATTTGTTTATCGGATGTTGAAACTTGTATCCCGCACTCTCGAAACTTGTAAGTTGCTTTTCGTTTGAATTGCTGACTTCCAGATCTTTGCTCAGACCAAAGTTTTTTTTGTCATTTCATGGAATTAGCTATTTTGAAAACACCACCGACAGACTACTTCCCGTTCACATCTTAATAAATACCATACAATTTTGATCTCTCGCAATTTTAACTGTTATTTTAATTTCTTTCCACTGTTCAACGTTCGTCAGCCCTGGAGTACCCGTACCTAATATTTCTAATATTTCTAATATATTTTTATGTATTTCTATCTCTCTGTTATATCTTGACTAGATGAAAAACAGCCAAATGATCCGACAGTTCTTGCTCTAGTCCAGTCAATATCAAAGCTCAGTGAGGTCGACTCTTCCTTACTAACAACATGGTTAAACAGAATTATTGTTGGAAGCGTCACTGATAAAGAAATGACAGGGAAAATGGCGGATAATCGTTTATTGCTTCAGTCAATTATCACCTTTCTTGTCAGGGAACAAAGGTGTGATATTAAGACGTAACTATCATGTTTTGAGATGTTTATTCATGATGTTTATCTTGTTTACGAGCTTCAAAAATTATGCTGGATAAAGCTTGATTATCTTAGCTTAATTAGATTAATTATTCACTGACCTGGCTAGTATGAAAATTACTTCGGATTTATCAGTTAGGTAAACAAGCAAAATGCTCGAAATTAAGATGAGAATAATATTCATGTCACCCAGGAATAAGAGTTGAGTCAGTATCAAATTTGTTTTCTCTTGTGGAAAAACTGATATAATAATTTATTTTAGCCCTGTATGTGGCGCTGCGATAGAGAAATTGTTGGACTCCATCATTCCCCTGGGATCATTGCTGTTGAATATGGCTACAGATGAATCAGTTGTGATCGGATCAAAATTTGTTGATTTCTTATCTATTTCATCAACTCTGGCTGGATTTGGTGATGGAAGTGGTCATTTGAAATTGATGAGAGCCATTGTAATATGGTTACATGTTTGGTATGTGATCATTCATTTGCTGTTTTTCTGTAGAAAATTGAGTTTTGTAGAATGTAGAATTTAGCTGCAGTTAACGATGAAGTTAACGATGAATATTGTGAGTCGCCAACCGGGTAAGCTGAAAAATTAGCTTCACCACGGTGGGAATCGAACCCGCGACCTTTGGTTTGCTGGTCCTAGCGATGTTTGATATGCAATATTTTGGCCTATATATTGGTCAAACAATTGACTTAACCAGTCTCTTCTATTGTTAGTAAATCTGATCTTAATCCAAACTTGATTGGCGAAAGTAAAGCAAAGGATAACACAAACAGTTTGGTAGAGTGCACCAACGTCTTGCTGGCTCATGTTGCTGACGTGCTTGTCGTGTTGAAACGAACAGATGACGACGACATGACTAGTGGTTGTCATGGTGATGAAAATATTGTGAGTGATACAGAGTCAGATGGTGTTGACGATGATGATGACTCGGCAGCGGAGGAATCTGTAAGTGAATTAAATTTACACCAGGTTTCCTACTTTTAATTAAGAGATGATCCTCCCCGGAACTCTTATATGAAACGATGAAATTTACAGTATAAAAGAAATTTTTTTTATTTCGAATAATCCTTTTTTTCTTACTGGAGGAAGAGGATGTTGAAGGCAATCAACTCTGGAACAAATTATGCACATTTACGACGACAAGAAAAGAGTTTGCGAACCAACACTGGTATCATTGTCATACATGTCGAATGAATGATGGTGTAGGTGTCTGTACTATCTGCGCTAAAGTATGTCATAAGAATCACGATGTGACGTATGCTAAGTACGGGTCATTCTTTTGTGATTGTGGAGCTAAAGAAGATGATAGTTGTAAGGTAGGAAACGATTGTCTCAGTTGTACGGAGTCATCTCGTATTCGCCTAATTTCAGGAAGCTTTAGATTCGTCACAAACTACTGTAATAAAATAAATTTATACAAGCCGGACGACCCTGATATATGTGTTTTTGCAGGCAATGAAAAAACGAAACCCACATGACATCTCAGACATGGCAAGTCCTGATGAGAAAATATCAACAGTCAGCAGCTATCGTCGACAACTCCAGTTTCGTAGTGAAGTCAGGAACAGTATGTCTGCAGAATTGAAGACGGAGGATGGTGATAAAAGTGAAGAGAAAACAAGTTATGAGTTTGGTCAACTTGCATTCAGACGGGATCTCAAGAAACAAATTGAGGTAAGCATATGTTCTTTCTGCACATAATAGATGAACTCCATATTGAAATTTTATGATCGATGTATCAATGCTCGCTCTTTGGTGCAGTTAATTGTTTATGCCATCGTTTATGCTATCAATTGTTTTTACCATCATAAATTTCCCCCCAACCACGTTGGCCACCTCTTTAGCTCAGAGCATTGCTCCGGGCCGCAAAAACGTTGGTTCTATTCCTGCCGGAGGACCGATATTTGATACATTTCTCTCGACTGTTCCTGTCTTGAGTTTGAGATGTGTATGATTTTCACTCGCAATTCCAGATTCTTAAACCGTTTAACTCGAATATTTAGCCAAACAAGTTTAACTTGAATATTTAGCCAAACAAGAAAGAATTGACTAAACTCATCAAGGACAACGATATGTTCCCAATACTTCTAACTTTACTCAATACATTGACACGTACCGGTAACCATGGTAATACTGTCGTGGGTGGTGCAAGGCAAAGAATTTGTGAAGCATTGGAAGATCTACACTCGAGTGAAAAAACTGTTGAAAGTAACGAACAATTACTGGTAAACGCAAACTCTATATCTCCATCTTTTAATGCTTTATCATTTTGCTCATTAGAACAGTGAAAGAATATAAGATATTTGTATTTAAAGGTCCCAACATCAGGTTCACAGGAAGGGGCGTTTGAAAATGTTAAGTTGGTTTGCAGTGGTGAACAAGGTCAAGCTATTCGACAGTTGATTGGCAGCCATGTTTTACGTCGTGTTGCAATGTGTTGTTTAACATCTGCCAAAGGCCGAAGACAGCATTTGGCTGTTAATCACGAGAAAGGAAAGGTGAGCTGTTGTTAAAATCGTCTAATAATAAAAATAGACAAAAAACTTCAATATTTCAGCGAATGTCAGGAGAATCAATATCATTCAATACTTACAAAGGCCATAAAGTGGAAATGTCGAGAGGGTTTTTCGTCATGGAATATTTGTTTGTATTGTTGCATTGTTATATTGTTAAAAACCTGACAATTTTTTCTGTGTATTCTGTGGCTGTTTATTCTTCTAACTTCTCTTTTCGTCTTTTCGAAAATTTTTTTACGAATCATCGCTGCCTTTTTACTTCAGTAACCCTGTACCGATCGGAACACGCGCTTTCTAATTGGCTGGTAATCAGTAACCAGGCATTGTTATACATGTATTACAAAGTACTAGTTAATTGCATGGTATGACAATTAAGGGATTGTTGTACAGTGTATACATTGTTATACTACATGCAACCAATCAGACATGGCCTTTCGATTGGTACTGGCTAAGCTCTTTTACCTTCTTTTTATCGTCTAAATAATAAGACTAAACATTTGTTTAATTTTAGATAACAATACTACAATTATCTTCACTTCTCAAGCAAGCTGATTCAAGTCGGCGTAAACTAACTATAACACGTCTAGCCACAACTCAGGTTCCTTTTACAATCTTATCACTCACTGGAAATATCTGTAATGAAGATTTTCTGGCCGTCGCTGGATTAAAAGATTGTCATGTTTTGACATTAAGTAGTAGTGGCTCTGTTGTTAACCATCTTGTTCTACATCCGCAATTGGAGACTGGGAATTTTATTATTAAGACCGTATGGTTGCCTGGCTCACAGACCGAACTGGCAATTGTGACAGCCGATTTTATTCAGGTACATATAGACACCAGGGGCCAGTTGTATCTTGCATTCATTCTGCCTGCCTGCGTCTTGCGTCCACTCTGCCCGCGTCACGGATCGGAAAGGCGTCTAGTAAAATGTTTAGTGATTCGTTGGTTGATGAAATATTTTTTAATCATCTTGTTTCAGAGATAGTGACATTTCGCTACATGTAAATGTTTTACAGATCTATGACCTGTCTGTGGATGCTCTCAGTCCAGTTTTCTATTTCGTGCTACCGGCTGGTAAGATTCGTGACGTCACATTTATATTCCATTCCTCTCAACGTCACCTGTGCCTGATGTCGTCAGAAGGACTGATCTATACACAGCAACTGAATGAATCAAGCTCAGCCAAATCAGGCCCATTCTACTTGACCAATATCGTACCAGTTGAACACCCAGAGTTAAAAGACAGCAATGGTCAAATTGCTGGTGGCGGAGTGTCAGTATATTATTCACATGGGTTACAGATGCTTTTCTTCAGTTATGTTCAAGGTTTCGTATTTCATTTTTATTAAATAATACTAATACTTAAAAGTACACTACTTGTACATTGAGTATATGAGTGACAGTGATAGTGATATTGATAGTGACAGTGATACGGTATATTTAATAGGTCAATCTCCAGTAAGGTTTGTTGTAACTCTGCAGGTAAAACATTCGTTGCACCTTGGACTCAAAATCTCTCCAGCATTGATAAATTATTCGCAATCAACGTGAAACCATCAAACGGCAACAAAACTGCCCCCGCCACTTTATGTCAGTTCTCAGAAGTTCTTCAACATCCGGGACTTGTGCTATGTTTGACTCATACAACTGGTGTACCAATTGTTCTGATGGTCCAACCGGATAATATTTCAGTAAGTACTTGAAAGAACTCCAGTTCAGATAGCTTGCGTTTGATACAAAATCTAAATATAATCTCACGAAATACAAGGGTTTTTTACACTTACCAAATAACAAACGAGAATTTAAATTTGGGAATTAAAATTAATAACCATAGAGCTATCTGGCATAAAAATTTTTACTTTTGTAAAAATGCCGCAGTTTCAGCTTATTTTAATGTGATATTTTTTGAAGTTTCAAGAAATCAAATCAACGTCATCTAAGTCCAAGATTCAAGATGTAGTTGCGATACGACACAGTTTGTCCAACTCAGACCAGTCACGAACTACAGTCATATTACTATGTGAAGATGGCAGTCTTAAGATCTACATGGCTAGTCAAGAACAAGCCGGCTATTGGATGTCACGGGTTTTCCAACCGATAAGGTTAGTGCAGGTTATACGGTGTTCTTGAAGGCTTCTCTGGTCGTTCTAACAAATGAAAATTATGTACTGCTAATGCCATCTATCCGTTCAGTTGGTCAAATCAACCGGGGGAAAATCGTACTCGACAAATCGTGTCGTGTGATAAAGCCTCTATGATCCATTAGTTTCGAAGCAATTAATAGTTAAGGTAAAACCTGACTTATTTTTTAGTGCTGTGGCAGCTCTCAAACCAATTAAGCCACGGAAATCAAAGAAAAATGTTCGAATCAAGACATCAAGCTCTCCTCATTTCCCAATTGATTTCTTCGAACATTGTCAAGTTTTAAACGATGTCCAATTTGGTGGTAAAGATATTTTGCAAGTTTACAATGTTCAACAGGTTAAACACAGATTAATGACAGCGGGAATGTATATTGCTTGTACCAAGGTGAGAATTGTTTAGTGTTTGGTTACTGCATACCAAAAAAAAACAAGTGCAAGCAACACTTCTTGTTTGTTTAGTCCAACAGTTTCTCGATGACTATAACAAACTGCAATCCAGCAGTTGTCATGATGGGCGTTCGTGTCTTAGTTGGTTGTCAAGCTATTGATAAAGCACCAACATTTTTGGAAGTGTTTGGTCGTGTTATCGACGTGGAAATCAAAAGAAACAGGTGGTTTGATGTCCCATTCACAAGAGACGAAATTCTAACTACTGATAGAACGATGACAATCACATGTGAGCAATTGTTTTTGTTGCATTTATTTGTTTGTTGCGTACTGGCCGCCAGGGTTACATGCTCGAAGTTGTTGTTTCACTTTGGGCACCGAACAATTTGACAATCAATGGATCTTGTTCTTTGCATATACATGCATTTTGTAGTATAAACAATGTTTAGTTGAAACGTTTATTCACTTATCTTCTACAGTTGGTCAATCTCACGATGCAAGCAATGTAACGATGATCGACTCAATCAAAGTGTATTGCAAAAGTAAAGAAGCTTTTGGTTGGCCGGATGACCTGCAAGATGAGGGGATACCTCCACCTACTCCCACTCCCACCAGTGTTCCACCAGTTAGTCCGTTTACCCAGAACTCAGAAATCCTAACAAATACCGCTCCGCTATCTTTAAGAGAGATGTAAGTCTTACTGCAAATCTGTATCCAACAGCAAATAGTATTTCGACACCCTTCACTAGCATAAAGCACAATAACCGATGGTTTATATGCATGTTGTTTAGAATGACAGCCAACTCACTGAGAGCATTGGATGGATTTGTTTCCTTGGTACCGGCAGATGATGAAAATGACTACCAAAATATAGTAACAACAGCAACCTCGCTATTATCGTCTCCATTGCCACAGCAGGTTCAAGATCAAGCCAAGATATTACTGTCTTCATTACATCCAACTAAGATCACTTATAACAACCATAAGGTACTGCGGTGACGAGTTGTCACAATCACTTTAGTGTTTGTTGTTCACTTGATGTTTGGTTGAGATGACGTTTGGCGTTCAGATTAGCTTTAGGGTTCATTGAGTTGTAATACGGTAATATGCGGTGATTGGCTGGTGATGAACTGGTGATGAGGGACGCAACAGGTATTTGTTTGAAAGTTGGATGTGGGATGAACTGGGTGAGAAGGTAAATGAGGGTAAATATTGTATTTTGTCTAAACAGTTCAGCATTTTTGTTATTTTCCTTGTTTAGGACCACGCTCAGTTGACGTATATCGTAAACAGTCTTTATAGGAAGAAATCATCGACTCAAGATGAAATTGATTGTGAAGTTTTTGAAAGACTTGTTGTGATGACTCGGGCTGTAGCTGTCAGCAGACCAGAAAATTTAGTTAAGTTTACCAACGAATTGACGGATGATCTTATTAAAGCAGAGACGTCAGGTATTTAATTCCAGTCCTCAAACCAAAAGTGGATTAATTTATTATACATTCTCAAATCGTTTACCATTAGTTAAACAAATTAAAAAGGTATCATATCATATCAAAGGACGAGTCACTGTAACTGCCTAACAATGTTTGTTTTTCATGCAGCGTCCCCTTCGCCTGGATTTTTGTTACCTTTTCCGATGCAGATTATTTCAACATTTTGGAAATTTTATCAAACACAGCCTGGTAATTCTTCATTGGTCGCTGTGGCACATGCAGGAATGCAATATACAGAGATGATCATATTTGCTTTAGTTGAAATACTTCATGCATTTATTGCAACTGATAGCTCTTATGTCCCAATGATTACAGAGCTGTATATTGATTTATTGCTCTGCCAGGTAAGTTTTGCGCTGTCTTTATGTCTGCACAGTCGCACATTTCAAGTTTTTTTTCCTGAGATTAATCTTCCTTTCCGAATCATTAGTTTTCACAGAATGCAGTCGATGTAGAAAAATTATGCAACTGAGATGAAAAATTATGAGACTGAATTCATCGCTATAAATTTTACTCGTCTAATATAGTAACCTAGAGTAAAAGTGGGAAAAAATTAACTTGTTTTTTCTTAGGATACACGTGTGAGCTTTGCCTGCAAGCAAGCTTTGACATTCGTTCTGAGACCCAGCTCGCGTCGCACCACAACAAATATTGAGGGAGATAAAAATTTTGAAAACAACACAGCAGAGGCTTCTCATGCAACGGGTGCTGATCAAACTGATAGTACACAACAGAACGAAGCAACTAGAGCTAGTGCTGAAGCTGGGGAACAACAGGGTACTGAACCTCGTGCTGGAAGTGCTGAAGTTGGCGATGAAAGTGTAGAGCATCCTGGTGAAGGTGCAGAGGATGTTGATGAAGACGATGAAAGAATTAATATTGCATCACATTGGGAGATAAACCAAGAAGAGGTAAGAGTTTCACATATTGCGCCGTATCCATGTTTGAAAAATAAACTGCATACTTTTTCCGGGTTATGATCGAACACATTTCATTACTGCATTATTTTGGTTGGAAGCTGTAAAGTCACCTCGCACAACTAATTTTATTTAGGACGTGCCTGTACCAGACCTACCAGAGCCTGGTCCCTCAGGGGGGCGAGGAGCATCCTCAGCAGCCGGGAATCGTCTGCAAGCGCTATTGAATGCGGGCTTTCCAGCAGTTTACGAACTCCCCCCTGATGCAGACGATGAAGCTATGATGGAGCTTGCAATAGCATTGAGTCTTCAAGAGCAAGGAGAAGAAGCAGCTTTAGGATTACACCATCTTTTAGGAGAGGCAATTGAGAACGGGGCACCTGTGGACGAGGGAGAGGGATCATCTTCTTCAGCATCAGGTAGGTGGGGATATCGTCATGTATACAGCCTTGGTTTCATGAGAAGTTACAAGGCAGTATTTAGAGGTGTTAAATCGCAGTTGTTCATAATTCTTTACATCGACTGGCTTACAGGACATGCCAGTGAAGACGATTTGGAACCCAATACTGGTTCAATGGATCTTGTTCAAATACAAGCCGAAGCAGCAGCTCAACAGTCCAGTCAAGACTTAGGATCAGTAAGTGAGGAAAGTGGTGAATCTATAAGTGGAGAAAATGCTGGTGACGAACAAGACAGACAGGAGGATGCAATGGGTAAGAATAAAGCAAAATAAAACAAATTACTACAATAGTTTGACAGAATATACAATACGTTTTATATTTCTAGAAAGTGAAAGTGGGGTGAAAGCCGAAGATCAGACGGATCGTTTCAACATGTCAAAATATGATGACGAAGTTCGTGAAAAGTTGCACAACCTAAATATTGTTATTCTGCGCACGTTTGTCAATCATTTTCATAAACTTGCTGGTATTAATGGAGTTCAGGCGATACCATTCATGCAGGTTTGTTGGTTGAGGTTAATTCACTCGCCAGGGTCTTAGTCTTCCAGTGCCGCACAAGGTCCCCCCCCCCATGTACAAAGTCTAATTATTTTCAACTCACCTCTAATTCACAGGTTCTGCTTATGTTATGCTTTGACCTGGATAACACTGATGATGTCAGCATTGATCTCTTACACCAAGTATTTTCAAAATGTCTTCAAGAATTACATCTAGACTCAGCTGATATCTCAAATATAGCAACTCGTACCAGTTCCCGTGAAGTACAGCTCATAATAATGAGGTTCTTGAGCGTCCTTATGTCCAGATCTAAAGCAACAGGGAAATCATCCAGCCAGGTAAGATACTAAGAACACGGGCAACCACGAGACGACTATAAATACACATCTTAACCTTAAATCCTATCTCAAAGTAATTATTCCCAGATCATAGTAGTTCTGACTTTTTTCTTTTTTTTCCAACAGCAAACATCGTCGATGTCGAACCAGGTCGCTACATCTCTGTTTCAAAACAACATCATGGATCACTGTCTTGCAATATTAAACCGTCTGATGGAGCATTGGCAAGCACGAGAGAAATCTGTGGATAATGAAGAAAATATTGCTGCTCTTCTGAAACCACAACCTGGTCATTCACCTCCTGATATGTCGCCTTTCTTTTTGAAACAATATGTCAAGGTTTAGTAGCTTACTATATTCTCGATATTGTCATTAATTGTAAACTGTTCTAGGAAGTTCAATAAGGATAACTCTTTCATTTTCCAGTGTGCTACAGAAAGATACCCGGATCTAAACTAACTTTATTTTGTAAATGATGTCTTATAGAGTCATGCTAGTGATATATTTGAAGCGTATCCCCTCCTCGTCACAGAGATGGTGCTGCGTCTAACGTACCAAGTTAAGAAAATCGCAGATGGTTCCTCTGACGTGGATACTGAAGATTTACCTGAAGACTGGTTTACTTGTCTCTTTGAGGTAAATATTAAGCTGTCGTGATTTCTGCGTTTGTTTTCAGGCTAAATCATGATTGTCAGTTGAACACAACTCTTAACTTCGTCGGAAGACTTCAAATGCTTTTCAATCTCCTAGTACATGATGATTCAACAATCCTCGTTCGTGAAAATAAAGCGACAAGTTCGAAAGCTTCTTTTGTTCCTGTGTGGTTCAAAGGAGAAATACAGAGAACAGAGAGACTCGCATTCCTTTGGCGTTCATTTCAGAGATGTGAGGTTGGTATTATCAGGCTTGACAATAGATTGATTGTGTCGCGTCTCTATCTCAATTCATACCTAACTGTAAATAAGACGTGTGATAACTGGAGATCCGATATTGTTTTTTGCTGTGTCAAAGTGAATCACTCTTTTTTTAGACGTATTTGCGATGAAAGTGGTTATAACGAAGAACAGCAAACACCAATGAACATTGAATATGATACCTTGTTGGATCTCATTGAGCATCTCAAGGCCGCTGCTGATATTGCCAGTAATAGAACTAAGAACTGGCAAGCATATTGTTTAAAAAATCAGAGTAAGTCGTAATTCATTAACATGGGCGACATTTAATTTTTTGTTGGGAGAATAAAGCTTACAATTATATAATTTTCTACAACATTTTCTAGGTACTCTTTCCTTCCTTTTCAAAGTGAGTTTCATTATCAACGAAGGAGTCACCGCCACAATATTACAACTGCTTACTACAGCTTTGTGTGACGGTGAAAATCAAAAAGACACAGAGAATAAAACTTCTGGCAACACTCATCAGCAATTAGTTCAGCAGTTAACTGGATCCGTTGATATTGAAGCAATGCGTCAGTTCGTGCGCTGTTTCCTATTACAGTCAAATTCCACAAGCATTCGATGGCAAGCACACTCCCTACTTTACTCTATTCACAGGTTAGTATTCCGTTACGCTAAAATGATTAGCTAAACTGAAATCCCGCGTGTACATAAATTTACTTACGTTACATTGTGAATTGTAATGATCTTTTGATAATTTATATCCTATTATAATTCTACTTTCCCTCTATAATTCTTTATCTTACTAGTATTTTTGTATTCTTTCTTCTATCAATCTCTGCAGCTCGTATCCTGTTGTATCTCACTTTTAATCATCTTTCTAAACACAGAAATTCTGGGGTCTCACAACAAGATAATTTATCTGATATGATGTGGAGTGTTTGGCCTGAACTTCCTGCATTTGGTCGTAAAGCTGCACAGTTCGTTGATTTACTTGGATACTTTACAATCAAACGTTCTCTGTCTGAAGAGAAAACTGCCGAGTTTTCCGAGAAAGCTATTGCCTTATTGAAAAAGCAAAATGAAATACTACGAAATCATGCTAATTCAAACGTGTACAGGTCAGCTAAGATCTCGCTGTTAGGGATATTTGTTTTTTATGTTAGCATAAGACAAACTATATGAAAGCTGCAATAACATGATATATACTGGAAATGATGTTGTCCTTTTGCTTCATAATAAACGTATTTACACTTAATGGCATGCATAGTCACACTTCGTGTGCAAAAAATATATCGTAAATTTTCCAATCCTTTTTTTAAGGTTACTGTCAGGTCTCGTCGACTTCGATGGCTTCTATTTAGAAAGTGATCCTTGTTTGGTGTGTAATAACCCCGAGGTGGCTTACAGTAATAATAAACTTTCCGCAATAAAAGCCGATGCAAGATTCTCTACAACATCTCATATGGTTAAGTTGGTTGGAAGTCATAAGATTTCTAAAGTTACTCTTCGAGTCAGTGATGTCAAACGACAAAAAATGGTAAAGATATCTTAAAATTCGTCCATTGTGGTTTTCTAACGTGTTTATATTGTAATAAATGTTGCTTGTGTTTCAGGTGAAAACAATCAACCTTTACTACAACAATAAATCAGTCCAATCAGTGGTTGAACTTAAGAACAAGTCAGCTCTGTGGCAAAAAGCAAAGAAATGTCACCTCATCCAGGGACAAACTGAGGTTAAGATCGAATTTCCTCTGCCCATTGTCGCTTGTAATCTCATGATTGAATACGCAGATTTCTACGAGAACCTCCAAGCGTCATCAGAAACACTTCAATGTCCTCGCTGTAGTGCTCCAGTCCCTGCCAACCCTGGTGTCTGTGGAAATTGTGGGGAGAATGTATATCAGTGTCATAAATGCAGGTACGAAAACTCTGCTCAAGTGTCAGTGTCATGCATAGTGATGTCAACACATTCGTCAAAGTATATAGATATTCATTGTGTAGAATATATTAGTTCTTCAATTTGAACTACATTGAAGTGTTTTAGAAACCAGCTAATCAGCCGTAAAATATATTTTAGATCAATCAATTACGACGAGAAAGATCCATTCCTCTGTAATGCTTGTGGTTTCTGCAAGTACGCCAAGTTTGATCTCATGTTGACGGCTAAACCATGTTGTGCTGTGGATCCCATTGAAAACGAAGAAGATAGAAAGAAGGTTGATCACGGTTATAAAACAATCGTTTTTCATTTTAAAACATATTTATATATTCTTGCTTGTTTTCATATGCTAGGCTGTGTCAAGCATCAACACTTTACTGGATCGTGCTGATAAAATGTATCGTCAGCTGGTGGCACATCGACAACCATTAGATTCTTTATTGATGAAGATTGCCGAGCAAGGAGATAATGACTTCATTAAGGTACGTCGTTAGAATATGAACGATACCAGTCGGATGAACTAAGTTTATATTATTTCTTTGTTAGAGTGAAATATCACAAGTAAGTACAAGCACAGCTTCAAGTCACTCAGGAAGTCATGCTGTTAACAAGAGCATCCAGGCTGTTGCTCAGAGATATTGTGTTGACTGCAAAGGAAATTTTGATGAATTAAGCAAGATTACCCAGGTATATATAAAAGACCTGCATATTATGTGCATGTAGCTATGTTATAAGTCGCTTTTGCACATGTTAATGACTTATGCAATTATAGAAAGTTCTTGCATCTCGTAAAGAATTGATTGAATATGATTCCCGTGTGAGAGATCGAATAACAAGCAAAGCAATATCAGGTGAAACTCTACCACCTCGACAAGCAATGAAACAACTGTCAATGGTATCGGATGCACAGTCGGTACCTGGGCGTTGTTATGGATGTTCCTCTGCGGCGACTGAACATTGTGTTACATTGTTAAAAGCACTGGCTATGAAAACTTCTACACGAGATAAGTTAATTAAAGAGGTAAGTAAATAAGTATATTTTATTTGAACTGAGCCTAGTTTCAAATTCTGTTTTGCATCTGGGCCGGTTTTTCGAAAGGCGTTTAGCGTAACGGTGGATAAGCCAAAGTTTAAAGATACTCTTAATTTATGTCAATGTAGGGTTTGATTGTTGAACTTGTCAACTTCACATTATACCAAGGAACATCTTCAATCAGAAACAACGTTCGAGATTTGCTGTGTTTGTTAACAAGAAACAATCCTGATGCAGCTGACCAACTCAATACTATCTTGGTGAATCGAGTTACTAAAGGAATGAATGAACAGAGTGTTAATCCATCTGTTGTAAGTCTATTAAAACTATAGCCAGATATATTGCTATAATATCCACCCAATGCTCGTTACCTTGGCTATTATTCCTTATTCCTGACATGAAAGAAGTTCTCATCCCACGAATTTTTGATATTTTTAGTCTTCTTCTATAAGTCGTGATATGCAGTTGTTGACCAAAACTGTCCAATTAGAAGATTCCTGTTGGGAACAAAGGCTACGATGTGGTATGTTGAAATTTGCAGTCGAATTTTACGGTCGATACCAGAAATCTAAACTTTAGATTTGAACGTGATCCAAGGTTAACAATATGCATGACATTCATGTATAAACATGGCGTCACGCAGCTGTTTTCAAAATGCAATTTATTTTTTCTTTTAGTGACTCAGATATTCTTGCTTTCTGTCCAACATGTGAGTCCTATAGTTGTCCAGGCAGTGACCTTACCTTGTCTCAAGATTTTGTCACAGTTTGTTAAACCAAAACCTGCGACGACGAAAGCTAATGTTGTAAGTTGAAGAAATCCTGTCTATTATCATGCAGTAGGACATTTCTTGGCTAAGACTTTGCCTTTTCTCTTTTCACTTCAACTTTTCTCTTAGAACAAAACCATCAACGAAATAGCTTCAGTGAAGACAAGAGCCGCGCCAATTACAAATATGAAAGACTGGGTCAAAGCCCAACCTGAAGCAAGCTTTGAGGAGTGGAAACGTCGAACAGAGAAGCCTGGAGCGAGTGCTGTGGACAAGCGAGAGATTAGTGATGATTCAGCGGATGATCTTAATGAAGAATGGCTTAGAAACGTCATGTTCTCCCCATCATGTGGGGCACTAAGACAAGTTGCATGTAGCATTGTAGAGACAGTATGTCAGGTAGGATATGAAGTACTACATTAAATACTACACGGATAAGAAGGACGCACATGTTGTTCCTGGTTGATGGGAAACTGGACTGAGTGGATTGAGCAATGCTAAGAGGAGACTCGTACAACATTTTAAGATAACTGATACATTTATCTTACAAACCCAACCCAAGAAGTCGTTTTTCTGAGCGCTAAATTTACTTTGTTGTATTCTTTCAGATCCCCGGGAGAAAACGTAAGATTATGGATCTACTTACAAGGTTTGTATGTTTGTCAATCATTAAAATAATTACGGGACTTTGTCCTAGCTAAAATACAAAAAATAATACAAAAATATAATTGGGATATTTGCTTACCTTAGCTATTTACAAGGCGTTGGAGAGGCTGGAGAAAATGCGACAGAATTTTTCAACTTATATTTTGACTTAATGAAAGAGTCGTCATGGAAAGGTTATCTTGCCTCAAGTGGAGCATTGTTAGTTATAAGAGATCTTATTACTAAGGTATATTGACGATGAATATTCATTGTGTTCTTGCCTTGGAAAATACTGATACAATGCTGCATACTGTTCTTGCTTTTTTCAAGGAAATTGAACAGCTGGCATCTTTGGAAGAGACGACATTAAGTTCAGATTTGTCTCAAGGTTATTCGCTAAAACGACTTACAGGTAGGTATATCATTATGAAAGACGAACGCAAAACTAACGAAAGAAATGTGCGGCCAAAACTTTGCTGTTTAATTTCATAGAACTCATGGCGTCGTTTGTGGAGGATAAAAAGATCAAGCAGGATTTCAAATGCAAACTTGTTGGAGCAGTTTTGAATGGTTATCTTTCATTACGCAGGTACGTGAATGAAACTTTTATGAATAAAATTTTATTTATCGAATTTTCAATTTGAAGGTTATAATTACATTTCCGTAACGTTTGTCTATATTTTAGATTGATTGTGCAGAGAACAAAGTTGGTTGATCAGAGCCAAGAAATTTTGTTGACTCTTTTGGGCGAACTCACTTCAGGTTTGTTTTTGTCATTAAATTGTAAAAAATGTTCTATAAGACCTGTCATCAATGATTTCTGTTTGTGTAGGAACAGAATCTGAGAGTAAAGAATTCATGGAAATTTGCGTGAAAACATTGAACAGGTTTGTTTCCCATTGAAAAATATCTCACAATTGAAAACGTATTAAAGAAGTTAGAGCCTTCAATCTTCTCATTTTTTAGATACGAGTTGGATGACTTGCGCACTCCTGTTTTTATCTTTGAACGATTATGTAATATCATTTATCCTGTAAGTACAATTCGATGGCTGCATAGTTCTTACTCGTTTGATAGTTAGACATTACACGACTGATCTTACATTATGTTATATTACGTTATAGGAAGAGAATGACACCAGTGAGTTTTTGTTGATGCTTGAGAAAGATCCACAACAAGAAGATTTCCTCCAAGGACGTATGCAGGGAAATCCCTATAGGTACAGTATTTACACCTGACATTTATTGCTTTTAAAAAGGTTACGTAGAATATCTCCGTCTCTCATATTTCTAGATCTACTGATACTGGAATGGGTCCGTTAATGAGAGATGTTAAGAACAAGATTTGTACAGACTGCGATTTGATTGCTCTTCTTGAAGATGACACTGGCATGGAGGTGACTAACAGATCTTCATATTATTCATATTAAAAATATATTTTATGCTTGTATTAATTATTTGGTTTGTAGCTTCTGGTTAACTCTAAGATAATCAGTCTGGATTTGCCAGTCAAAGAAGTGTATAAGAAGATCTGGTGTCCTCAGGGCGAGGTACGATCAATTGTTTTTAGAACTTTTTGGCAGTATCCTCAATTCTTATTCTCACTCATTTCGTTATTTTTCAGGGTGAGCCTATGAAAGTTGTGTACCGAATGAGAGGTGAAGTCATGATATCATTATAGAAATGTTTATACGGAAATATTCTCACCTGTAATTTGTGTTTGGTGTAGGTCTACTGGGCGATGCCACCGAAGATATTGTTGAACACCTGGACAAAAACAATCGTAAGAAATTTCTAACATAACAACAGATTTGAAAATATCCCCCGTTAATATCATTCCTCCCCACACTTTCTTGTTGTGATAAATTTCTTTTTATTACAGAAAAAGGAATTGATAACGAAGTTGTTTATAAAATGGCTAATGTAATGAGCGAATGTGGAGGTCTGGAAGCTATCTTAAAGAGGTGAGAAATAACAGTTCACAACTGATAGATGAAGAAAAGATGATGATTAATAGACCTCCAGAAAGAAAGTTCGGAACTGATGGAGCTATCCAATATAAATAATGTTGGTTTCCTGGATCAGCAAGAGATAGCCTTAATTCACTCGGCCTCAAGCTGGTTTCAGAACTATTTGAAACTATCTGAAAATATTGGTTCAAGTTGGTTTATGATTATTCTAAAAAATGTTCTTGTGCGCAGATTGTCAGGATTACGAGATTTAGTCCGTGGACGTCAACTTTTAGAAGTCATCTTGAAATTATTCGGCATTTGTGTGAAAGTCAAGGTATGCTTTAGAATGACTGGATACCAAATAGAAAATATCTTGTAAAAGATTTATTCCTTCTAGGCAAATCGTGACTATCTTGCGAAACCATCGCTTAAAAGTTTGAAAATATTATTGGACGTGTTGAACCAAGTGAGTTTTAATATAAAATTCTGATGATGATGACTGTGATACTAACAACGAACGCGGGATCTATTTTAACGTCATTTTATCGATGTAGATCTTGCATGTAGAGCAAGCTACGCCTAGTGGAATTGGTACAATGGCAGAACAAATTTTGTCAATCATTGAAGCTTTGCTGCAAGGTGCTGGTGCAAACATGAAATTAATGATTGCTGCTGGGCAAGAAGAAGATTCTCAGCTGGAAATGTTACTAGAGATTATCAAAACACCTTATGTGGTGAGTCACTGGCGAGTTAATCATCGCTGCTTAGATCAAACACCCAAACTGTGTCAGTTAAACATTGTAGACCATACAATATCAGTTAAACATGGTTAGATCTTACCATGCATGTCAGTTGAACCTGGTTAAATCTTACTTTATCAGTTAAACATGATTAGATCTTACCATGCATGTCAGTTGAACCTGGTTAAATCTTACTTTATCAGTTAAACATGATTAGATCTTAGATCCCAGAAAAGCGTGCTCAGGTCAAATTATCAGTTACAAGCATTGTTAGGTCATCCTGCATCAGTTATGTGAACTATATTAACGTGAGGTTTCTTGATCTTTCAAGCGTTCAAATAACAACGTTCTACTGTCATTGATGCATATCCTGCCGTTCTTAACATTTGGGGATAAGAAGAGTATGAATGCCTTGATTGACCATTTTGAACCCTTTCTAAATTTTGAAAAGTAAGTATAGCGATATCGTCAGTAAAATAAAATAGAATGGACATCTGGAAATGCCGTATGGACGTCTAACTGTACATGAATAATTTTTAGGTTTGACAAAACGCATTCGGATGATGAACTGTTGTTTTTGGAGTGTTTCTGTAACATTGCTGATGGTATTGAGGTAAATCTCCATTTGGGAAAAGTTTTATTGTTAACCTTCCATAATACTTTTTTTTTCTTTTCAGAATGATGAAAACGGCAACCAATTAAAAAACATCATAATTGATAAAGGACTTGTACAGAAAGCCGTTCATTATCTTGAGCTTTACACTCCATCTCAGGCTTTCAGGTACGAATTTCATTTCGTGAAATCATAAAATCGTTGGTAGTAAATACCTTTTTAATTCAATTCATTGCAGCACATCCAATTTGAGTGACACAGACTTGTGGAAAGAATTTCTTTCTCGACCTTCGTTACCTTTTATTCTAAAATTTCTCTCAGGAATGTGTAAAGGTCACGAACGTTCTCAGGTAATATTAAATATAGAATTGGTTGGCCAAATCAGTGATTTCAAAAAATATTTTTAAAAAATTTGAAACATTTTTTGAATCCCAGCTGGTAGTGTCTGAAACAGCAGTGCCTACAATACACCGCCTGGAACAGGTTTCATCTGAAGAAAAAGTTGGTTCCTTGGCTGAGAATCTCATGGAAGCTTTAAAAGACCACCCCGAGGCTAAAACGAAAGTATGACGAAATTTTAATTCACCATGTCAGCCAGATTAGTCTATGTCTAATATAAGAGTTAAAACTGTTTTTGCTATCGAGTGCCAGACAAAATTATCGAGTAAGAACATTATGTTATAGGTGACCGCAGTCCGTCGTGAAACAAGACTAGAGAAGAAAAAGTTAGCTATGGCTATGAGACAGAAACAACTTGGAGCTCTCGGAATGAGTGTACGTATCCACCATTACCCTCGCTGTATCGATAAATCATCATCCTGTGCGCCATAATCCTGTCTGTATCTATCATCATCCTATGTGTATCTATCATCATCCTATGTGTATCTATCATCATCCTATGTGTATCTATCATCATCCTATGTGTATCTATCATCATCCTGTGTGTATCTATCATAATCATGTGTATATCTGCATCATTATTGCATAAGACAACGCTTATTTAGTGACTTGTCACAGGTTTTCATTCAAGAAATCTCTGAAACTGATCTCCACAATTTAAATACTTTTAGGCAACTGAAAGTGGAAAAATAATAACCAAACCGTCAGCCGTCCTTCAAGGATTTGAAGAAATATCCAATGAAACTGGTTTGACCTGTTGTATTTGCCGCGAAGGTTATAAATATCATCCTAATAAGGTGTGCATGGTTTGTTGAATGTTGGTGAAAATTTTGTTCCAGTTTAAAATTAGTGTATAACAATGATTTATCATTCGTCTTTTAGGTTCTTGGTATTTACACGTACACTAAACGTTGCATTTTGGATAATTTTGAATTAAAACAGCGGAAGACACAAGTGAGTGTTTAGATTGTAAGGCAAGTTATCTTGAAAAATACTTCTTTTTTAACCACGAGTACGTAAATAATTTCAGGGCTACAGTACTGTCAGTCATTTCAATATTGTCCATTATGAATGTCATGTTGCCGCAATCAGGTAAATATTAAAAATTTCCTTCGTGACTCTTCTTTGATAAAGAAAAGGAAGTCATCGATGATTTTTTGATGTTTAAATCTCTTTTAAATAAGTCCTCCTCCATTGAATCTTGCCTTAGACTAGCACGTGGTCGTGATGAATGGCAAAGTGCAGCATTACAGAATTCTAACACAAAGTGCAACGGTCTGTTACCAATCTGGGGACCGCAGGTAAAGTTTACGAAAGTTGTGAAGTTTATGTTAACCAGTTGATCCATGATCCAATTTTATTTTTTTGATGTTTTAGGTTCCTGAGTCGTCATTTGCAAGCTGCTTAGCAAGGTAAGCTCATACACATTTAAATAATAATACAAAATATTCTTATAAACCCGTCGATCTCGTAAATTCGATGAGCCAGATTTTTACCGGAGGCGTGTGCATGTTTAATAAAAGTGACGAGCTTGGATACGAAATTGGTGTGGAAGACGACTGTACGTAATTACTAGCATAGTATGAAAAATATTCCATGATATGTGAAACCTCTTCGAATGAATTATATTTTTTATCAGGCACAATAATTACATCCAAGAAGCGACAAGTCACATCGAGCCAACATTTCACAACACTGTTCATGATTTACGACTTTTGTTGGAGAGATTTGCGTTTGAGAAATCTTTTAACGAAGATTCTGGTGGTGGAGGCAGGCAAAGTAACTTCAATATCATCCCTTATATGGTCCACATGGCCTTATATGTCATGAACACGTAAGTTCTCAGCTGACATGAAAGAATTCTCAACTTTTTTTGTTACACCATGCACTATAAAAAGTAATGTTATGACTTAATTTGTATTTTAGTGCTCGTATACGGAGTCTGGAGAAATCCGTCACAACGTTTATTGAAGAGCCTCATGCAAACTGGATTCAGTCATCATTTGAAGTAATCGCCCATTTTCATTTGTTTCTTATTTGTAATCCACTTTGTTGAATTGTTGACTAACATCTCTTAGCTTTAAAATCCTCATCCGCCAATAAGCCAGGCCATATCTAATCCCAACGACACATGTTGTAAGCATTGCTTATTTCATACATGCAGGTGAATGTCCTCTCTTCATGCTGTATTGTCGCTGTTTACTCATTCCTTGGAGGATGGAAGAAACACGATTGACGTTCTCAGCAGATTGATTGTTCTTGCTCATGTTCGTGAAGTGACCCCCAAAGGAGCTACGAAGTACAGTATCTCAAGCAAATTCTTTCAAACTAAGCTGTGTTTTTTAAGATTAAGATTACAAGTTTTTTATCCTTAGTTACACGTAGAAACCAAAGTAAACTTTCTATTGTATTTATGTTGCCTCATAGACTCAGTGATGGTGAAGTTAAGCTTTATAACGTTTATCGACCGATGTTGATTTTCTTTGCCCTTGTTAACAAACTACAGCATTTGCTCAAGGTAAAATTTTGATATATGAAGAAGTATCATTATTTTTTATCAGTTTCATTCACTAGTGTTATGTGTTATTGTTTAAAAGGAGCATTTGGCATCCACGTCAACTTGGTGTCAGGATGTTGCTTCTTACATTCGTAAGAATGATGAAAAAGTGTTGAAGTCATGTGAAGAGGTAACTTTCTGGTTAATGATTAATGAGTTTTCTTTAATTTAACGTTGTTTATTTTTGGTATATTTTTTTACATTACAGTTGGTCAACTTCTACCAAGATGACCTTCTTCCAGCGGCATCTTTTACAGAATTCTGTGATGTTACAGGTAACAATATTCATTGCGCATGATCACCTCAATGATGCAGAAGAAAACTTACAACATTTAATGTCATGCCATCCTATTCACACTCGTGTTTTCTTTGCGATAAATTCATACAGAATGACCTGTCTATTAAAATTCTGTTAACACGAGACTTACCTTTAGGTTTGCTCGGAGAAATCACTGATCCAGGAAAATTCATGGGAGATCTTTTGAACTCACTTCCAAAGTAAAAACCAATTTGATTTTGGTGTAATATCTATTGCTCGTGTATTAAGATTTCTTTATTTTTGTAGGTGAATAACATGATTATACTGCAGCATTTACTAAAACCATAGGAAAGGGAAAATTGAGATAGTTAATTTCCCAAGTAGTTTATATGTTTACAATTGGCATTGTCTTTATTAATAAAATATGCATGATTATTGGAACTGCACTTGTTTGATATCTTTGAGTTCACACGATGCACGAAAGGTTGGTGTTCATCACCTGCTAACCCATTCTCGTCCTCTGAAAATACGACCAAGCACCTTGTGTAACAAGACAGGTTTTGTGTAGCTTGCATTACAATTTGTTTGCACAAAGTAATTGACAACGTTTTCTACCAGAAACACATCTTATTTATTTATTTTACACCACGCAAACAAAGACCGACGAACCAAGAGGACAATAAATGTTCACATGAGATCAGCAGGTTTGCAGACCACTGACCAACTGCTCCATGTATAGGGACAGTCTGGGTTTATATCTTCTCTGACGCCTCTATTTTTGTGAAACTTGTGAGTTGTGAAGGGAATGAAAAACTGTCGAAGTAAAATAACGAAAGAGACAGCGCTGCTGAAATTTTACGCGTTTTATAAGCACTGGGTTTTTTAAAACCACTCTTTGATTATATCACTCATGATTATAGTCTGAAGCAGTTTAAGGGGCAAAATATACGATCAATCATGTAAACGAGGAAAGTTCCCTGAACAAGATCGGGGTGGTTTAATTTTACTGAATTTTACCACAGTGGTTCTACCATCCCTGTTCGTGGTCTCCTCGCGGGCATGACACGCAAGGAAGAAAAGTTAAAAATGGCCTCCGAAGGTGGGAAAATTTTTCCCTCTAAATATCGTTCAGTACTCGAAAGATATTTTAAAAAGTTTTATAAAATAAGTAAGTATGTAGAATAATTGTATACGTGTTAAATGTAGTTAGAAATACCCGTGTGTGAAGGGTGTTGATATATTTTTTAGGTGCCGAACTTGTATGTATAACAGTCTATTAACTAGAAGTTGTTTTTTTTTGTAGACGTTGGCAATGTGCCATTTGCCGATCAATGTGTGTTGCAGCATTCAAACAAGTATGGAATTTAGTATATAGCTCCTTTTAAAAGTTGGTTAATACACTGTGTTAAGTAATAATTAAATTCTTATTGCTATTGCAACTGATTTCTAGGATATGTATAGTGACAGTTGCACCAAGACATCCTCTCCTAAGCAAGGGTGAAGTAATCAAAGTTGACTTTCAAGTCAGCAAAAATGTGAATCGTTTGGACAATAAAGTCAGTGGCAAGGGAAAGAGAGGAGCACAAATACTAAGACCACATCTTGCATTATGTGATGTTACCTGTTCAACTGGAGAAAAATACACATTATACAGGTTAGATCAGGGCCTAGGGAGCATATCAGAGGGTAGGGGGGCTAAGTCTTAAATAGACCGCCCCAGTGAGATTTTAATTTTCTATAATTAACTTTTTAAAGTTAATTGATTTTATTTAAGTAATTTGGCTGCGAAAAAAGTGGGGGGAAGGGTGTCTCTGCGGTCCATGAAGATTCGTATATACATCACCATGACGTGAGAATTTAGTTATTTAACCAAGAATCTTGTTTTCAGCTGCATAAGAGGCAAATTGGTTGAAGTTAATGAATCCTTAGTGACCAATCCCAGTTTACTAAATGAGAAGGTAAAACATATCTTGATAGTTTAAAATATGGCATAAGTGCTTTTGTAGTACATGTGCATTTTTATCTAACAGTTTGTTACTATCAGTTGCAACAGCTTGTAACATCTTTGGTATATTTCCCCATGTAGCCAATGACAGAAGGATACATTGCAGTTGTGCTACCAAAACTTCACGAAGTTGATGAAATAGTATCGGAATTAGTGACTGAAGCAGATTATGAAGTCTTATTGAATCAAGATAAAACATTAGCAATGAAAGACACAAGCATTTGCAAGAATGATGAAGATAATAACTGATGAAGGTATTGTGTCTTAATTCTCTTTACATATTTGCCTGAGACCTGCTTGCAATCAACCAGCATAATTGAAGAGATTGAGACTGTGTGTAATCCTGTTGGCTCATAATAGTTGGCCAGAGATAACCAAGTGGTGCACTGTTTCTGCCCAGGCTAATAATGTACTAGCTGCTAAAGGGATTATTAGGGTACTGGTGGATAATGATAAGAAAACCCTGTTTAAACAAAGTTTTTGTGTAAATACAGTAACATATGGTTAAAAAATTTTAAATCAGCCATGTCCAACTGTCTATGTGTACAAAATTATAGAATAAGAATACTAGAGTAATACCATCTCATTATATACAGTGTGTGTGTGTATGTTTGACAATGGTTATGAAAAATATTATATACAAGTTCATCTCTGCAATTACTGTATAATTATATACATGCAAATGACGTTACTGTTTTGGAGCTGGCCAGTTATTCCTGAAGACAAGGTGGTATTGAATCTCTTAAGCTTTCTAAATCTTTTATCTCTAATTTAATTGTTTCAACTCTTTCCTTCATTTGTTTAATAAGGATTGCTCTCCTCTCTTTAGCTTGCTTCAATTTACTGATCTCATTTCTTAGTTTTTCAAATAATTTGCTGTGAGTATCCAGTCGTGTTTCATGTGTTTTAGCTTGAACTGTTTTCTCAATTGTTTTGACTTTCAATTCACTCTCCAAAACTGTTTCATTGACAATTTTCACATCTTGATAATTCTCCTGTGAATCTTCTTGTGTAACATAACTTTGGTTCAAACTATCTTTTGCTCTATCACTTACATGTCTTGCTTCTACAAGTGGACACCTGGCAAGCAGAGGGGTCAGTAGATTTGATCTGGTGGTAATATTTTGATTATAGGTTTTCATACGGTTTGATGAACAAACTGTACTTCTGTGATGCTCATCAAGTGTTTTACTTCTGTTGTAGAGGGGGATGACACCCTAAGGAAATATAAGGGGTTAGAATCAGATTAACGCAATGTTTTATATTTTATATGATTGTTGACTTGTTATAACGGATGATGTTACTCTAGATCAAATCAACAACTTGGATTTTCCAGCTTGTGGCATATGCTTATTCTTCGATGCGTGTAGCTATAACTTATGTTTCTTGTGTGTTATTTGTTTTTGTATACGTAAATATGTAATCAGAGGAATGCCTCGCATGGGATCTCGTGTCCCGTTTACATTTTCTCCGTTTGAACATTGTTCAATAAATTTGATATATAGATAAAAGCACTCGTTGCTTGTTCAAAAATATTGAAGAACAATGGAATCAAAGTACGAAGGACCTCTGGTTTACTAATCTGATCTATTAAATAGTTTATATATTCATTTGAAGTATCTTTATGATCATTAAATACCTGGTTTTCATTTTGTGCTAACGTTTTTGCCTCATCAGCCAATCTCATTGCTTCGTCTGTATCCTTCAACCCATCTTGCACAGACATGCTGACATTTCTTATTATCTTTATAGATTCTTCACTCTCTGCTCTTATATTGCTTATCTCTTGTTCAGATTCCTTTGCCATATCTGCAGCATTTCGTGATAAATTTTGAAAGTCGTTTAAAGTTTTGCGGGTGTCCAGGGCATTCTTTAAGGTAGCCATTGCTGAGTCATTCGCATTTTTCGCCTTCTGGAGTATAGTGTTTACCTCAGTCAGAACGTCTTCAGTGCTGTTGAGAATATCTGTGGCTAAAGAATTCTGGTATTTTGTTTCTTTAAGTAAAATTGAAGTATTGGTGATGGATGATTCATATTCGGAACTCGGAGGAAAGATTGAATAATTGAACTTTTTCACAAGATTCTTGTTATCTTCAATCAACTCATTCAAATTACGAACTGTGACGAGAATATCTTTCGATATGTTGAAAAAATTGTTTGCTCGACTAGAAACGTCCATTGAAGTGTTTAATGTCTCTTTGCCATCCTCCAAAGATGCCTGTGTGGCATTCTGTAATGAGTTGATTCCATTTGTATTGTTATCTAATTTAATTCCAACACTTTTGGCGTTTGAATAAACTTGGTTGATCTTTTGTAACTGAGAGTCAGATGTAATAGTCAGATTTTCTGCAATATTCCACAGGGTTTGGTTTAGTTCAGACATGGTATTCCTGACCTGTTCTAGTGGTTGAATAAAACCTTTAATTACTTCTCTCATGTCTTCAATCAAAGTTCTAGAGTCATTTTCTTGTTGGAGACTACTGTAAGACGTTTTGGTCAAATATGAAGCGTTGGTAAAAAGATTCTGTAGTTTCCGTTGCCGTCGCTCCAAGTCTTCAACGTATTTCGTCAACTGCTGAATGCTCGATGTTAAATCATCCAGATCATCGATGGTTGTGTTAGGATTGTAAAAGTTTTGACTGTCAGTTTTGTTCGCTTCATGAAATATATTGTCAACTTCTTCCTCCGCTTCCTTCAAACGTTTACCAAATGTGTTGTTTTTTCTTGACCTAAATTTCTCGTTCAAACTTTGTACAGTTCCCTGAACTTTTTCGATGTCATCCCGGAGTTTGTGAACAAACACTATCAATAAACCATAACATTCAGGACATTCTAGAAATCAAAAAGAGAACAGTGTTTTATAAAGCGAATCAGTATCAAATCAGTAAACAACTGAGCATTGAGAGACTCACGCTGACATCCATGTGTTGTATTATAATAATTCTCAGCACATCTATCACATCGACGACCTCCAACATAACTCTTGCATAAGCATTGACCAGTCGTTGAATTACACACGCTGCTGTTGTGATACAGAGTGTTGCTTAACTCGCAATTACACGCTGAAAGAGGGAAGAGTTAGTTAGAGAGTCCTATATATGTAGACTTACCTATATAACGCATTACCCACATAAATATTTCAGTTCTTGAATGTGTATAAATACCCCAAAACATACATACCTCGACATCCTTTCTCTTCCTTAGCTATTTCCGGATGCCAGTACATAGGAGAGCATTGGGTACACCTTTTCTCAATATCTACACCATCTCCACACTCTTCGCAGTGATCTCCCTTAGAGAGTCTACATTTGATACATACCCCTGTTTCTCCGTCACAGTTTTTTGAACGATTATTGCACGCGCATAGACCACAGTTCACGAAATCACTGGAATTTGAAATCTCGCGCGTGAAACCTAAAAGAAAATCTATCTTCACTAAGTGCTCGAGGACTCTGATAACTAACCCTTAAAGGAATTTGAAAGGTTGTTCAGGTTACCTTCACTACAAGTCCGGCATGATAGTCCTTTGTAGTTTTTAGGGCATTCACATTGTTCCACGTGTTTCGCATCGTTACCATCTTGGTTACCATGAGTAGCACGAATGGCTGTTTTCATAGCAACGCTAACTTTGGTATCATTTCCCAGGTCCCCGCTTATATTCAAGGCCGCTTCGTGAACATTTGCTAAGATGGACTGCATTTGATAGTTATTTATCTTTTCCACGCTATTTTTCTCGTGTAATACCACCAAGAACATACCAGCAACTGGTTTAAGCTTGAATGATACACTAAAGTTCAGTCCTTTTAGATGCAACTCAACTGCGGTGTTATTTGATGTTTCTGTTAAATTGACTTCGAATTTTCTGACATAGGAGTTTAAATGGTATCCTTGAAATCTCTTTGAAAGTCTATGATACCCAGGTGTAAGTATTGTTAGGTTGCTTTGTTTTATTTCGCTTAAAATAAATCCACTCGCAGCTTTGCATTCCCTACTTCTGTTAAAACAAAAGCATGGAAGACAGCCGCTAGGATTTTCTTTCTCCAGAGAAAATGTTCCTTTAATACATTGCGAACATTTTGTGCCATTCGTGTTGGACTTACAAGAACATTCACCAGAACGATAATGACATTGTAATGATCTCGAGCCAGCCTCATCACAGTTGCATGACCTAAAAGACAACAAATAATTATAACAATTAAATTAATATAATACAGACTAGATACACTATGCATTTGCGCCGCAATGGTTTTTCATAATCGGTTTTACAGAACTGTTTTTCCTTCCAGTTGTCAACGCGACCTTTCACCATTGAATCTCGTAGTAGCCGTGATGATACGGAAAATTTATAGACAACCTGAAGCATGTATACAGCGTTTTCTTTGAAATTTTTCTACTACACGCCTTGTCAATAAAACAACTGGTATTAGAACTTACTGACATCCGTCTTGAGTAAAATTGAAGTAATTTTCTTCACATCTACCACAGGTATTTGTAACCACCCCAGGTTTACAGTAGCACATCCCTGTCATACCATCACATGACATATTCACTGAACCAGTCGTATTGCAATTACACGACGTACATCCTTCTCCGGTGTGAATACCATAGGAATGTTTTTCACAATGATCACAGGCTCTTCCCTCAACTGCTCGTTTGCAATCGCACTGACCAGAGTCTGGGTCACAGACGAAATTCGTGGAGCCAAAATCATTACATTTACAGGCTAAAAAGAGTTTGATAGTTAGTTTTGCACGTTAGTTTTGCAAGCAACAATCATTTTCCTTGCCTCTAGATAATTTGTGAGTTGCAGTTATGTTAAGACGTGAACGACCTTTATATATCATAGCTTCATTGTTTTTAAACTTAGAACCACTTCAAATTAAATGGATTGTTTAAAATGGAAAGTTTCATGAAAAATGATTTTTCATTCTAAACAATAAAAACGAACGAGTCTTCGGAGGAAGAACTGGAGCCCCGTTTTTATGTTTACGCTTATTTCGACATTTATTTAAATATCTTTCCCATGTAACTGTGTTGAAAACAATGTTGTTTAAAACACGTAATTATTGAAAAGGTTGCATGACAACGAAATTCTGCGTCCGGAACTGAGACCATCCAAATGTGTTGAACTTAGTTATTCTGGGAATCTTTGGCTGGTAATGATTTACTTACCTGTACAGCCTTTTTTAGTGAAATTATAATATCCTGGTTGACATCGGTCACATGTCCTTCCCATAACTCCCACCTTACATGGGCACTGGCCACCGTAAGGCTCACATCGTGTACTATTCGAACCATCCAGGTTACAGTCGCACGCTATGAAAATATATCACTGATTGTTTTACTTTGACATAACTAAACATGAATTTTATTACGATTTTCGCTGATATATAACAAGAACTGGCCCAATGGCCTTAGTATTTTCGCTCCCGTCTGACCCTCTGAGAAGTTTGTCAGGAATATTACTAATTATTACCAACTATTACTCACCCAGAGAACCATTAAAAAGTTCCACCATAGTAGAGAATGTTACATCTTTACATTGAGATTCTGAATCAATACTTTCTTGGATACTTGTCGCGTTCTTTTGACATTTTTTTATTATTGAATCTCCAATTTTGTAACTAATCAGTTCTGTGAGGTTAGGAACTAACAGAAGAGAGTCAACTTTGATTGAGCCATTACTGTCGACACGTATGTTATACTTGGTCCCAGGACAAAATTCTAATCTTTCAGGCCACTGCCAGTCACCACGAGTTTCATGCTGTAGGTTATCAACGCTGATTTTCTGGTTCACCTCTTTGCACTCTGATGTCGAATTTCCTTTTATCCATATTGTAACTCTTCCAACTGCACCGGAGTACCTCAATGCGATACTGAAGTTATTCTTAACCGCAAGTGATACGTTAAACTCGATATACTGAGTGTTGTTAATCTCTGCATAACCTCTCCCAGTAAAGAATTGTTTTTCATATTCACTAAGGTTGGACGTGATCGTGTAGTTTCCTGGTTGATACTCTGCCTCGTATAAGAAATAATCATATTTTGGATAAAATCGATCTTTCGTCACATTAGAACATCGTTCGTTTTGTATGCCATAACGACACAAACATTTCCCTATAGAAAATGAAAGTTTTTACGAATACAATCATTTAGTAATTACCCGTACGTGACGACGACTTTTTGGTCGGACAACCTGAGCTCTATCAACTATGAGAGGCGCATGAATGGCTAATTTCTAGTGGTGGGCGATACCGTGAGTATCGATTTCGATACGATACCAAGTACTTTTTCATCGATACCACTGGTATCGATACTTTTTCGATACCGATACTTGTCATTAGACAAAAAAATACACATACTATCAGTAAATGTATTCTTACAACAACAATAATCATTCTTCACTGGTATCTAACTTTTCAAAATAATCCTAGACTACACTTTGTGGACGAACATTCGATATAGATGCCATTTAGGCCATTTGAGTAATTTTACAAAAAAGATTGCATTAAAAGAACACCTGGAAAATGACTGGAAATAAAACTGTACTCATGCAAATATTAATAGATGAACTTCATGTAACATCAAATATTAACAATATTTTGACCACGTGACAAGTATCGAAAACATCGATATTTTACAAAAGTATCGATACCAGCTTTTGAGTTCTGAGTATCGGAAGTATCGATACTTTGGTGTCGGTATCGCCCACCACTACTAATTTCTCAACTATGGAGTATGTTGCAACGCCAACATGATGTCCCCATTCCCCAATCCCCATACTCTCGATCTGTATAACTAGTTACACAAGAGCCCCGAAATTAGGGTTTCTTACCTTGTTCTTTTTCACAGATGTCAGGTGTACTACCACCAGAATCGCAGTCACATTCTAAACAATCTTGTTCAGTTGCCCTGGGAAATTTATAGTATCCCAGTCTACACTGAGAACATGTTCGAAGTTCTGTGTTATTTTTACAAGTACACTGGCCTGTTTTTTGATTGCAATTTAAACTACCGATAGTGCCATATTCACTGCATAGACAAGCTATAAAAATAAAATAATATAAAATTGTGAGTTATGCTGATTAATATTGCCTGATAAATACCACAAGTTTTAGGATTGTAACTATAATCCTAAAATTTTGGGATTTTCGTATATTTTCGTCTCACTGACTCAATGCAGTCAACTATAGAGGTGGTGATAGCAGGGGGAGACAGCAGGGATGCTCCCCCTTGCCTTTTACTATAGCAGGGGCAAAGGTGCACTTTCATTTTAAATGAATCACCCATAACATCCAATATTTTACTTAAATTTTGGGAAAAAAGATGTATCCCAGGTTATGTATTAATATGGTAAAGGTTTCAGATAGACATATAGATTCCTCACATAGCTGTTATGCAATTAATCAGAAGGTGTGGATTCTTGATTTTAGTCTAATTGATCTGTGCACATTCTATTAAAAATATTGTATAAAATAAAGTATACAATACCTCTACAATTCCCAACCGGGGGATTTGTGTATCCATAAAATGTATCATTACACCTGTCACAGCGTCGCCCTGTTACATTTTTTTTACATTCACATTGTCCAATGTTGGGAAATTTTTGAGAACAGGACCCATTATTGGTGACTCCTTCTAATGCACAATAGCAATCTAATGATAATACAGTAAAAATGATTTATTTATAGTTTGTTAGTAAAATGATATCAATAATTCAATATGGCATGGTATGTGGATCATACTGTGTAATGGCACAAGTTGTTGTAATCATAGTGTATTATTATCATGGTATACTTCTTAAGTAAGCCCATAATTAAATTAAATACCAGCTGAACTTACCTAGACAGACAAGTGCATCATTTAGAGCCTTGCTCGTGTTTCTATAATATTTATCTTGGCATTGTTCACAAAAGTAACCTGTTGTGTTGTGTTTACAGTTATCACATATACCATGTCCTAAGGTGGCATTGTAGGTACAACTTGATGCATGCTGGTGACATTCACATTCTGAAAAAAGTTGACATGAAGGAGATACATGAAAAAGATTTTATCACTATACTTATTACAATATAATATAAATTATTGTAATCATTAACAAGTAAATTAGCTGCAGTATTAAATACTTAGCTACATGCAATTTACTTATATTGTGATATCACTATGCAAAGTTACAAGAATATTAACGACTTAGTCATAATTTTGTGCCCAATGTTTAATTCATAGTATGAAATGATAGTACTTACTTTCACAAGGATTTGGCTTTTCCATTGATGTTGCAGGCATCCATGTTTTATTATTATATAGTGGCTGGCATCTCTCACAGTTATCACCTTCTGTGTTATGTTTACCTTTACCACATTGGCATTTAGGTGTATTTATAAATTCACCAAGACTATTTTTTGTAAAATTACAATCAGGTGCGTGGCCATGACACTGGCATCTGCCATATATCTGCACATCTGAGATTGCATAAAAATACCTCTGTTGGTATTGTTGGCTATTAAAAAAACCATCATTTGCTGGGAACTCAAGTCTTAATTTCAAGTCAGTTGCTTCAATGACTTCCTGGATCTTAGTACTCCAAAATGTCTTCCTATTATAACAGTTTAAGTAACTGAAGTATAATGGTCCTCCATTGTGATCACTGTATTTTTCAGTACAAAGTGCATGCCCACTGGTTGAACAATTCAGCTCACTTGCTTCCATCCCATAATCCCGCTTGCAATTATAAGCAAAATACTGTAAAGGTGTCCAGGTTAGTCCAAAGTCTGTTGATTTTTCCATGACCATTTTAGCAGGCTTTGCAAATTTGAAAGTGACACGAATGTCCCCTGTCAGTACGTAGGACTTGTTAAAAGATATGGTTATATTAATGGGTAATGGTTGCTGACTATGATATTGTAACCATTCATGCCAATTTTGTGATTGCCACCATGTTTTAAAGTTTGATGTGCTGTATCCCTCCCCATGATCAATCATAAAACCTGCAGTATGGTTTGTTCCATGACAGTAAAAACATGCAGTTTTATCCAATGGACAGTACTTGTTATATGGTGGTTGACCACAAGTGTTATCTGCTAGTATTGTCCGTGGTTTTACAGCTATATCCTCAGCACCAGGAAGACAAACTCCGTCATCGTTGCATCGACGATGTCCGTTACTGTCTAAATTATCATCAGAAGCCGCTGAAGCAAGTTCTTTACAGGTAAATTGAATTACCAAAACACAAAATAAGAACCAATGCATCTTGGTTGACAACTATAAGAAACGGAACTCTTTCAGCCAAGAAGTTAAACTGGTTGAACTTTGTTTGGCACGAAATGAAATTAATCACGCAGTTTTAACGAAGAAATGTTTAAAAAGGCCAGCCGTAGCAACTAGCAACTGTTTGTTATTTAACTACAAAAGTATTAGTAATTTGAGCTCATTTAAAAAGAGTCAATAAAAACAAAAGCCACTCATTGGTGGACATTACCAAAGAGTCAATTTACAATTTCTCCTTAGCAACAGAAGCATGGCAAGCTATGTAGAAAGGTTTTAAGGATTTAAATGTGTTTAAAATTAAGTTTAACGGATATATGGAGAATTATAAGGTATATTTAGCATTCAAATATTCAGCTTTCAAAATTTTATTGGTCCTACTTTCATTTTGTACATATATTTTATATTATGTGAGCGTTTCTACCGCCTCTCAAGTTCTCATCAAGTGTCTGTAATCTTTAGCGGGAAAATGGACACTCTTTTTCAGACATCATTTGATTCATTGAATTTTGTTCGATGTTCAAATTTCGATGAGTATTGTATAGCTTAATCTAATTTGCGCAAATGTCACGGAAAGCTGTTTTTATCTTTTATTTTGTCTTTTCATCTCAGGCATATATTTGTAAACAAAAATGAAAATGTTATTTTATTTCAGTTAAAGCAAAGATTGGGCAAAGGAGCTCAAGGTTCTGTATATTTGGTGGAAAATAAATTAGATGGGAAGGAATACGTTTTAAAAAAGGTATGTGTTTCAATATTCATTTCATGTTGCAATTTGAAGAAAACTGTTGCAGACTTTCAGACTGTTCTATTTGAATTGGCTATTACTTCAATTTATTTTTTTAATTATTGCCATTAATTTCCATATTTCAAATCATATGCACTAACAGTACTGTTAAATATTAAATTATATTTGCAACAGTTTAACTGAACATTTATTGGCAGAGGTACTAATCTTTGTTTCATATTAATTCAATTATGCTTCTAAAATGTGGTATAACAGCTGCCTAAAATAGACAAAAAAACACTTCTCAGGGTTTTGATCTGGGCTGAGGACCATTTAAACTATTATTACTAACTCTCCTGATGAAGCCCCCAGGTCTAAATATCTAGACATTTTTGTCTATTTTAGGCAGTTGTGATACCACATTTGAAGTGAAGTTGTTCAATGATGCTGCCATGCAGGCTGCTCCCTGGTTATATTGGAATGTATCTATACTTGCATGTATAACATCAGACACTCTCCTGTTTACAGAGGTTACATTAAGCCCTATATGCTTTCCCAATGCCTATATTCTTCCAGATTTCTAATTAATACACCCTCACATCAGTTATTTTCGAATCATTAGAATTTTACTAAATAAAATGTCTACATTGGGAGGGATCAGGGATCACAACCTTAAGCCCTTAAACACGGTCACAGATAATCTGGTTTAATAACTTGAACTTTGATTTTCCGAATCGGTGTAAATTAAGTGGGTTTACTTTGCACTACCTGTACCATTTAGCTTGGCTACAATAAGCTTTTCTGCCTTTTTCATGTGTTATATATCTATCTTAATATGGATTTCAATTCTCATTTTTGAGAATTTTCATCTCTTTTTTTTAACTTATTTTTCACCAAAATATAATGCTTATTAAATATCACTACTAATTCTTACATCATTCATGGCATGCTTTATTATATTCATTAAAGTGACTGCTTTATTCTGCAACAATCAACCTACACACTGCATATCTTTTTGAACTCATACCTTAATGTATATAGGTTGAATGTAATGATGAATTTGAGGCAAACAAAGCATTCAAAGAGGTATCAGTCATATTTATGCCTTAATTATCTATTGGTTAATATTATTAATTATGTCACCTAGTGTCAGCAAAGGAAATTGCTACCTGAGTGATTATCTTCTTTGTTTTTTAAATATAACATTAATAAATAATGGCATGATTGCATAGGCAATGGCTTTGCAAGATTTACAACATCCTTACATTTGTGGCTACAAAGAATTCTTTGTAACTTGGGATAAACAAGTAAGAAACTTTGTCCTTATTCTTTTGTTCAAATTACTTTTCACATTAGCAATTTGTCAAATTAATTGTTTGTTTATAATAACATAATTTTAGGAATCTGCAATGTGTGTGTGTATTGTTATGGAATATTATAAGTTAGGTATGTATGGTATTGCTAATAGCTTGCTAAACTGATAAATATTTAAAAATATCAAATCAGCATCTGGTCAGAACCACTAAGTCAAAATGAACGTGTGTCCAGTAATGTATGAAGTTAAAATATGTTCTGAATCATTTGGAAATACAATAATTCAATATTTGTGTGTACTAGCTGTTGTATACAATATTTTTTCCATTTTTCGACAGGTGACTTGGAAAAAGTTTTAAGGCAGAAAAGATCTAAACAGGAAAATATTGAAGAAATGGTGATTGAGGCTTAATTATTTACCCTATTTTTTTCAAAAATGAAATGCCCAATTTTTATCGCTAAATATATGTCATATATCTTTCTTTTTTGAAGGTTCTAAAAAAATGGTTGGGTCAAATTGTTGAAGCTCTTGCTTTTGTTCATAGACATAAAGTCATACACAGGTATATTCCATGCAGTGCTGTTTCTCTTAACAGTTTGCTTAATTTAGATTATTAGTCTAGTAGATTAGTATTTTTTATCTTTTATCTTATATAGAGATCTTAAACCAAGTAATATATTTGTGACAGAAGGTTTGAATATCACAATAGGTATATACGTGTTCTTATTTTATAGAATTTTTTTCTCATGTTTCAACTGGCCTGCGTAAATCGTAATATATTTTGGCAAAATTTTCATGCGACTTTTATGCAGGCTTTTCTGGTTTATTTTGTGAGAATTAAGATATATGGGATCAATATGTTTGTATATCATCGTACAACCTACTATGACTGCATGTCCATGCTCTGTCAATGACTATGATTTCAGGCGATTTTGGTGTTGCTACGATCATGGATGACGCTAGAACAAGAACTAGAACTACTGTAGGTACAATGAATTGGATGGCACCAGAAGTTTTGGAAAGGCCGTATCCTTAAGTAAAATAGAATAGTATAGCTAGAGAATTAAGTCATGCAGTTCTCCCAGTTCTCGTGCAGCGCGTTCTTCAGAATTTCTGGTTCATCTGAATCTCTGAGTCGATCAGAGCTCTGAATTAAACAAAACATTATCTGTTTTTTATCCTTTTTCTTGATTCGTTGTATATCAAAAACATTTCTTCGTCTGTACCTCAGTGATTAAGACTGGCCAGATACAATTATAAGTGTAACCAGCTATACAGCCTATATTCTATAAGTTAGCCTTGGTGTCTGTATAATTGAATCTGATTACTGGTGTCCGAAACGTACTCGGACCTCAGTTACAGGTATAGGCTGTATTCATGCATTCAAGACTTCTAAACTACTAAGACTAAGTCTAAAAACGTTAGCCAGTTACATGCACTTGTATCTCGCTGGCATCTCGCTTGCCAGTTGCCAAAAGAAAAGAGCGAGCCTCTAGGGCTTGGGCAAAGCCAAAGGCAAAAGCCTCAAGTTCGGTCGTTGTCTATAATATAGGTGTAATTACATAGACGTAGTAGTGTCAACCTTCATTTCTACCTAAAAGATATGATGAGAGAAGCGATGTTTGGTCTTTGGGATGTATTTTGTTGGAACTGGCAACTACGGGTTTCCTTGATGTAAGTGCAACTGTCAGATGAAGAACAGGGGCCGGTTGTATAAAAGCCGGATAGCGCTATCGCCCGTTGTTTGCTATAATTTTGATTAAATCGTACTATTCCTAAATTGAGAATCCTCTTCAATAATTGTTGGTTCCAAAGTTGAAATTTTATTGCTTTACAAGCATTTTTAGAAAGGTTGAAAAAATCATTATCCACGGTGGATTCCGCTATCAGGCAGCCTTTGTACAAGCCTATGGTACAACCAGCCCCTGAAGAATACTAGCTGCTGCAGTTAAGATTCAAGACATTACACGTCTTGATCATTGGCTATTCGTGGTTATAAATTATAATATAACTATAATTATTTTCAGAGTGCCCAAGCTTCCAGTACTTTATTTCAAATCAAGCAGTCGCCTCATGTCTTAGAGGATGTATTGGAAAAAGTAGGCAAGGTAAACTAAACATTTCGCAAGATTTCTGCAATTAAAACACACAACAGGACGCATGCTGATATTTTGACTTTTTTAAAAATATATTCCAAAATCATATTCCTAAATGATAATATATGCATTTTCAGCACTACACAAATGGCAAAGAACTTTGTCAGATAATACAGATTATGTTACGGCGGAATTTTCAACAAAGACCGACGGCTTTGTAAGATTAAGAATATACAGTTTATTTTTTTTGGGATATGAAATATTCATATAGAATTGTTTATTTTCTACCAGAGAACTTTGCGATTTGCCTTACATAAAAGAAAGTATGAAACTTAGTGGAAAAACAACAATTAATAACCAAGGTACATGAATTTCTTAACCTAGCTTAACACACACACACAACTGGACGGCAAAAAAGAGAACAATTTACTGAATAGTATTATATTCCGATTTTTATCAAACTGTAGGCGACACAAGCAAAGGTGAGGTTAACAGTATGGTATATATATACATACGTCCTTTATCAAGTGTGAATACAACAAAATATTATTGCGATAACGGTCTCGTTTTTATTAATCTAGCTAAACCAGTTCCTAAAGACAAAGGGATATCAGGAGTTCTTGGTGAGTTTTTCTCTTCGCCTTCGTTCTAAAATGCCACAACAAAGCTCATTTTCCCTGTTTTCCACTAGGTTACATGAAAGATAACAAGACCTCGCCTACTTCCATAGTAAATTTATTTTGTTGCTTTATTTCTATATGCAATAGAAATTAGTGTGAGCCCATATATAGAGCAAGTATGTTATTCTTATCAGGTTGAAGCACTCAGTTATCTTGCATCATTCACTGCCAAGGGAGGTAATTTAATCTAATAGTACTCATGCAGTCCACTATTTTAATTGGATTCTTTCATTTGATGGGTTATTGTCTCATTAATATTTGTCATTCTACTCCTTTCTATATAGACATCTCTCTGAATGAGTCAGCAAAGAAACAAATTTGTCAAACAATGAAAGATAACCTTTGTGTGTTGGAGATTCAAATTCAATCTTGTCAAATAGTAATAAATGTTTTACCAACAGGTTGGTTAATCTATTGCATGCCCTAGAACGCATGTTAATCATCGATTTGATCATATTTGACTCGATCTTGCCGTCATCTTCCGTTAAAGCGCGTGCATTCCTTCTATTTGCAGTTGGTGACAAAGACGTCTTGTATTCATCAACGATGATTCTTCCAGTTCTTCTTGCAATGAGAGTAAGTGGAATATCGACGTGTAATTGTAATATAATACACTGTAGTAAGCAAATTATAGTTTGTTTATTTTCCGTTTAGTCCCATGGAGGATCAGCAGAGCTACAGAGAATTGGATGTCAATTGTTAATGGCTTTGTCTGCTGATGGTAAGGAGTAAGAGTAAAAGTATACTTCCGTATGTTTTATAGTCTAATGTAAATAGATTATTTATAAGCATATATCGTCAACATTCCAAAGTTTTCCCATCTCACTGGTTTCGATATAGAACATGCACGTAATCCTCGTTTGGAAAGTGTTATAGAAACGATTTGTTTACATATATAATAATAATATACGTAATGATGTTGTTGCAGAGTCTGCGGCTGATTTAATAGGAAGATCAGGTGGTGTTCAAGATGTGTTGGCTGCTCTACGGTTGTTTCCTAATGATGCTGAACTAGCAACCAGTGGTTGTGGTGCTGTGTGGAGTCTCGCTGTTAATGGTACGTCAACTTTTGTTGTCCTATAACTGCTAGGTGATCAACCTTGGGTATATATATAAGTTAAATAGTTCAGGGACTTTTGTTTTCCAACGAAAACTACATACGCTTCTTTACAAACTCTTCTTTTCCAAAGAAAACTACATACGCTTCTTTACAAACTCTTCTTTTCCAAAGAAAACTACATACATACATATTATTTTCATATTGTGAAAACTGCAGCTTATACCTATCAATTAAAAATGGATGAATTATCTTTCTTGGTTTATTGTTTTACTGTAGAGAGTAATTGTAAAATCGTGACCGAGGAACGTGGTCTACAAGATATATGCACAGCAATGATGTCACATGAAGCATGCGTTGATCTTATTGAGTCTGCTTGTTCAGCACTTTGGTCTCTGTCTATGGAAGGTAAAATTGACACCAGTTTGAATATGAATTTGTTGTAGTGCTCTCCTGAAATGTAATTATAATTCCACCGGCAATTCTATTAACATTGTATTCTATTGCTAATGTTAAATCCACGAACAGCACCTAGTGACTGTATAAACATTTCTTTCAATTTTGTATTTTAGATGATAACATTGAAATGATGCAGGATAATAATACAGTCAATTTATTGGTGGAAGCTGTTAAAACACATATTAAGGTGTTTATTAATTTCTTCTTCATAATAATTTAGCTTGCATTACTGACGAATGTAAATGACGAGTGACTTTCGTGCCTGAATCATTATAATATTCCTAGGTTGCCAAAGTTGTGAAGAATGCGTGTATGGCTTTAGCTAGCATTGTCGAGGCTGATGGTACGTTGTTACATTAGTGAAAATTATCAAGAATGCCCAAGTTTTTATTTGGTTTTTTTTATTATATCCCAGAGTCTTGTGCATTCCAAGTTCTGAACAGTGGCGGGGATTATGGTGGAGCTCCAATCATCGTACAAGCAGCTAAGTATGGCTTCAAACATTCAACTGACATACTCAATGTAATCGCCTTATCATGATAAGCGATGTTTCATAGCTAATTTTAAGAATTTTTTATCACTGCACATATCATCACAATAGTACAGTGGAGAGGGGGGTATGACTTGACTTCCAGCATTTTGCGGGACAACTACTTATGAATCCACCTCGGCAAAGTGAGGTCTGTTGAGAAAACACCATTTATCACTGGGATACTTTTTTTAAATTGTGAGCGCAAGACCTTGTCAGGGCGGCGCAGGCTATCTTTAATTTTAGGCTTAATTTATTGTTCAAATGGTCTATTGACTCTTAAAAAATGCTTTTTACATTGCTATTATTGTTTAAACGCATTTAAGAACATTGAAAGTACCCCAAAAATACGGATATTCGTCATCGTGAGAAAGGCTAATTGGTTATCACAGCACACTAAAATTTGGTTTCCGATGTTTCATTGTTATGTTTTAGAATCCATAAAGATAATGAAGAAGTTATGGAGAATATTTGTGCATTGTTTTGTGAACTGTCTGAATATGGTGAGAAATAATGTAGAAAATTGTTTAAAAAGTAGCTGTTGTGTGATATGTACTATGATCATGTTTTTTCCCAGATGAGATATGTACAGAGCTGAATTCCCTCAATGTAAAAACGATTTTGGCGGACGCGAAGAAAAAGTTTTCCAGAAACGATGTAAGTGTAAAAGACTGAGATTTCAAATTCAATTAGCATTTCACAACATTCAAAAAATTTTATTTAGGATTTAATGACGTCAGTATTAAACACTCTAACGAGGCTTGGTGGAGGTCAACACGCAGGGAAGAGAGTCAGTTCAGCAAGATCACGTCCTAGGACACCGTTGAAAAAGTAGTAAATCATGTTGAACTGTTTTGGGAAATTCCCTTATTGGCGTCAAAATAAATTATTTCATGTATTTACTAATTTAGTATAAAAGAACATTTGCTGGATAAAACAGACCCACATATTTGTAAATAACGCAATCGAACGTATATAAAATTCTGGTCGCGTGTCAGACAGAGGAAACCCTGGGTACGAGGTTGTAGTTTTTGTAAACATGAAGTGAGCATTGTAGTTTTTGCATATGGTCACAGCATAGACAATCAAAGGAATTGTCTTTATTTCATAACTACAATGAAACTCGACTTTCGGAAAGCGTGATAATGCACTCGCTTACGGCTCGTGCTTTTTCACGCTTTCCGAAAGTCTCGCAATTTCCCGCGTGCAGTATCACGCAAATGACGCAATCCCGCACGAAATGACGGAAAACATTTAGTTTTAGAATCAAGAAAGAATGGCCTGTGAAATTCCAGTTGTTGATTTCCAAAACTTCGACTCCGCTTCTTTCGATGAAGAAAAATTGGATGAGACAAATCCTGACATAAAAAAACTGTCGCAAGAAATTCTTAGCGCATTTACTACGGTGGGGTTTGTTTATATAAAAAATCATGGACTTCCAGAAACCGAGGTAAAATGGGGGCAGTGGCGTAACTAGAACGATAATTGGGGGGTGAATATTCATATATCCAGTTCTGCCCGACATAACTGCAATAGCTTACAATAGAAATTCGTCTAGCAGACAGAACTGAATATATGAATATTCACCCCCCCCCCCAATCATTGTTCTAGTTACACCCCTGCGTGGGGGGCTATGTAGCCTATGTTTGGAGGGCAAGTGTGCATGTTTGTTTTTTTGTAGGTAAATGTGAGGTGAATATTCTATTTTTCTTGCATACTTTTATAATCAGATTCGACAAGTGTTCCAAGTTGGAGAAAAATTTTTCAAGTTGCCAACAAATGAAAAAAGTAAATACTCCAAACCTCCAACATCTAATCATGGATATGTTGCTGTTGGAGTTGAGACGTAAGATTTTTGTATGTTATCAGATACCTGTGATTCTTCCTTGAGCAGTGCTGTAGACAAAACTTGACGATTAAATTTATCATAAAGTAGAAATAGTTAAATAACTAGATTGATATTATTATGATATTCATAATTTAATTATTACTGTTTTACTTTTGTTGTTTTCAAAAGTTGTTGAAAGCTTGTTGAATACATTTTTAAATTCCAGGCATTGCACATCTATTCGAGTGATAATCGTCCTATATATATATTGTGAGATATACGTCTTATGTTATGAGTTATTCATTCTATGAGTCATTTCAGTTATAGCTTGTATGAAATTCATTTAGTCCAGTCCCCTTCTTCCGAATTTTTTTCTTTTTCAGTACAGACCCAAGTAAACCTACTGATTTTAAAGAAGCTTTTAATATTACGGAGCCATTCAATGATGAGATTCCCTGGCCTGATGCTGGTGATTGTTCAGATTTTAGGTTTACAATGAACAGATTTTTTGACTTGTGTAAAAATTTGTCACACAAAATCATGTACTTGATCTCACTTGGATTAAAGTTAAAGGTTTGAATATATAAAGTTGAATTTTGTTATTTTGGTAATATTATTACTTTATCCAGACTAGCTAGCAAGCTTGCAAATTCAATTTTTAATATAGTTACCTAAAATTACTGGATATCAATTTGTGCAGTCTTTAAAAATCATGAACAACACGCTGTCTGTTAACATGTCTGTCATTATGTTAACGCAAAAGCAGTTGAGATTGTTGCTGTTTAGTTTCCCTTCATTTTTATATTTCATTTGCAAGCATGTTTGGTCAAAGCAAAGATAGAAAAAGCAAAGATTAAAGTATTCACAAGTTTTTTACTTGTCTATATTTAAGTATTTAGTATACTAATAAATTATTAGTTACATTAGAGGAGATTCCAGAAATATTTTAGCACTGAGATATTTTGCTGAAAGATAACCATTGTTTCAGGACAGAAAACTGTTTCACAGAACACATAAAAATATTGGAACACCAGAGAACAAGACAACGTTACGTCTTCTTTACTATCCTGTGATGACGCAATTGAGGGCAGGTCAAGTACGATTGGGTGAACACAGTGATTATGGAACAATAACGCTTCTTTTCCAAGATCAAATTGGAGGCCTAGAGGTTATAGAGCTAATACTAATAGAGCTAATCTAGTCAGTATAGATAACGGACGTTTCTCAATGGGCTTTTAGGAGAAAGACTAAATAACTGATTGAGCTTTCCAATAAAAATGAAATTAATTTAATAAATTAGTTTCTCCATTGCTGCAACTGAGACAATAAGAGATTGGAACGCTGGCGAGAGCAGTTGAGATTTCATGTTTCTATTATGACGAAATTGTCTAATTTAGCGTTAGAAAAGGTAGTGCTAAAGGCCTACCAGATCATGGAAAAACTGTTTAAATTGTCATCGATATTAAAACTGGATCAATAAGGAAAGATTTTTACTCTGGCAACAGCTTCTAAAAAGAACTGACTATGATTCCCTGAACTTGAGCTATACGGTATTACGGAGTATTCATAACTTCAAACATTGATTTCAATCAAACACAGGTTCGTGGAGGCGAAGGATTCATACCAGCTTATCCCATTGAAGGAACAATCTTAGTTAATATTGGGGATTTGTTACAACGCTGGACCAATGATAGATTAATGTCAACAGTAAGTGTCAGTTCATAGTACAATAAGGTAGAACTACGCAATCAACTAATAATGACTATTAGTAATAATGTGGTGTTCTCCTCAAATCAAATGGTATTTTCAAACAAATTGTTCAAGTTACAGTATTAGATGCCTAAACTGAGCCAATCCATTAACGAGGTTGGAACCTGTTTTCCACTGATGAAACTGTACATAGGAACGCGTCAATTTGTATATCCAGCTAGTCTAGTAATTAAATATCTGAAAATACTTCCTAAACCTTTTTTCCGTCAGAAACATCGCGTTGTGGTCCCACGTGAGGAGATACGTCGTTTAAGTCCCAGACAATCTGCAGCATTCTTTGTTCACCCAGATGATGATGCTATCATTCAATGTTTGGATGGTTCAAAACATTATCCACCAATCACGTCACTGGAATATCTTTTGCAGAGGCTTAACGCAACATATTTGTAATTTGTATATTGCAGCGATAAAGAACGCAATAATGCAAAATCAAATAACACAATATTTTTTTGGAAAATGACATTTTAGGAAGCTTCATGATAATCAGGTTGCCTGATTACGCGTAGTTTTAAAGTAACTATTTTATTTGTAATCGTATACTATGTAGTAGGTATATAAAAAATAATATTGTTATCAGGGACAGGGGTAGTAAATTGAACCAGGTTCAGATAGGTTCATGCTTATTTCACATATTATAAATCCACTAAGCAACTCAAGGTGTACTTAACACACAAGTTCGGTATATAAGTTTTTTATTATATAGCACTAACTTGTCGAAAAAAAACCAAACTACAAGGTAAACAACGAAATATCTATTCATAAAAGACATAATTTCAAATGGTAAACAGTCTAAAGGTCGAACGTCCAGGTGCGCCGCACGTGATTAAAGTTACATTATAGTAGTAAAAGCAATTTGATTGACTAATGGTTGACAGATAAATCGCGCAATCACGGCAAAATTCAGTTATCTGCTATTGAGCCTGCGGTGGTTAACAAGCGGTATTCACTTGAATGTATTTATGTTTTAATAATTGATGTATTTGGATGTTGACATTAAATAAGGTTTTTTATTCGTTCATACTGTTTACTATTCTTCAAATAACGCTTACCTCGACCTTGATAACTCTGCATATCACAAAAACCTCATCCAATAATTGTTTAATCTCACTCCGCAGGAGGTCGCGCTGGCGACATCAAATTTCGTCACCTTCGCGTTATTCGCTCTCGACCAATGAAATGCTAAGAACAGCTAGCCTGTGCACAGACGGAACGCAAAGTAATTTCCATTTCCGTCTGTGCACAGGCTAAGAACAGCAAGCTTTGACAAGTGATATATAATAAATTTATTTAACCATGGATAGTTTAAAGACTTTATCCATGATTTAACTATTTATTTATTTTTTAAATAATTTCGCCCAAATTCCGCACTGGTTATGAGCTGATGGTAATTAATTTCCGGTTTCCAGTTTCCTCTCACTTAGCCGCGCAGGGACCATAGCAGGAAGAAAATATGGCGGGCCGAAGAATATCTCAGTCTAACCAAGAACTTTGGTTAATGGCGAAGAATTGGCTTGCCAGTACTAATGTCTTGCCACAAGGACACAGGTGCTATGATTCTAATCCCACAGTGTTTGATTTGGCTCATTCGTTACGAGACGGGGTTGCATTGTGCCAAGTTGCCAACTGCTTACGACCTTATTCTGTCCGCGACATAAACCTCAAACCACAAATGTCCCCTGTAAGTTTTGATTTATAATCTTTGCAACGAAGATCATTGCACCAAAAGTACATTCGAATAACAGTAAAGTTACACGAAAACGCCATTTTTGTGAAATCGTTCTGTGTTTCTTTCATTTCTGCAAAAAAATTCCCCTTCTATCAATGTAAATGTATTTAATTGAAATTGAATATCATACATTTAATTTGATTTAAATTGTGCTTGAATTTGTAGTTTATTTTAGACTCACAACTATTGAGTAATAACTTTACAAATATATAGTTTTTTCAATGTTTCTTCTATAGTTCTATCGTATTGTTTGCATATAATAGGATATTTCATCCTGTTTAAAATTTCGTGAAACAGGAAGTGATGTTCGTGACAGCGTTATGATATTTTATATTACTAGATGTTTTGCAGTTTTGCCTAGCCAGAAATATAAGTTGTCCATTTTATTTGAAGTTCTGCATGACTATATATCACTATGATCATCTTCATCAAAACTGATAATACAGTATGATAAAATTTCAACAATCCAAAACAAATTATTGCAGTAATTAATTTATTTCCTATTTAAAGTTCCTGTGTTTGAAGAACATAAGAGCATTTCTCCATGCTTGTGAAAAACACTTTGGCCTGAAGGAAAGTGTGTTATTTGATGCGCACGAGCTGTACGATGTGTCTGACTTTGGCAAGGTTAGTTGAAAATTCATTTCTTTTGTGCACTTTAAAAGACATTGTGTTTTGAGTATTTCCAATATACACCCTATTGTTTAGTAATTTGTTTTTGTGGCCTGGCTAGTTGCAACTATTTCAAATAACTCCTTGTTATTTTTCTGGACTGAAAGAGCTGTTGGATAATATTATTTATACATGTAGTACAAAGGGGTGCACCTGAACTTGGTTCCTGCCGGTTACCTGTAGTTCGGATTTTTTAAGGGTTCCTGCCGGAATCGTAAAGAGGCACAGCCGGAACCGGAGCTGTGTTTTATTTCAGCACATTGTAAGTTATAATCATAAAAAAGAAACAAAACCCAAAATAATGGAAGCTAAACTACACAAACTTTACAATATGTCTAAACCTCTAATTGTCCAATGCTAGGTTAATTAACATGTTAACGGCGGTGGTATATAGTCCCTAATGTTATTTGTTTGAAATGGTTCAATACTTCATCTTATAATGATATATAGGTTTCTTAAAAATGTCAATCCTGGTCACTAATTGGAAAATTGTTGCATGCACATTCAGATAAAAGAAAGTTAAGACACATGAGCAGAACTCATTTGCCCATATATAGCTCAACAGAATAAGTTCTAGCCAGAAGTTCCGGTCCAGTGCACCCTTTGTAGTACATGAGGCTTTGATAATAATGCTTAATTTATTCTTGGCCAACTCAGAGAAAGAGGCCCAAATCTTGTTTAAAATAGGTCATTATATATAGATATGGTTGCATGTTTTGTTGACATCTTTAGCATAATTGTAATTTGAGTAATATGAATTTCATTGTTAGGTTCTCGACTGGGATACAAATATGTCCATAGAATTAAACCCCTTAAATGATGTTTCTAAGAAACAATCATAACAAGTTTTCATGTCTAATTGACAGAGGCTCTCAATAACTTTATTATTGGAAAAGTAATTACACTATTTTGAAAACTTATACAATGTTATCTTGTCAGGTGGTAATAACATTAAGCCACTTATCAAAATGCAAGGATGCTTTAAATGCAGGATTTATGTAAGTTAGTAATTTTTAGCATTTTCTTCAATATCAAAAAAGAAATCCACTCTAGAGTTCTCTCATGTTGAGCACGCAACCTCAGATAAATAATCATTATAATTCATGTTCATAATTTATATCTAAAATTATTAACTTATTCCTAAGTACATGCGCTGTAGTGTACCCTTCTTGCTTGCTCCAGGATTTTGCAAAACAATCTCTTTTGAAATTACAAATTAGAAAAAAAGAAATAATCATGTTTAAAAATTGTATACATTTTAGTCCATTTCCAAGTGATAGAGCTGCAAGTCTAAATTCATACTACAAAGATGAAGATATCTATGGAAATCTCGAAGAAATTGCTTTGTAAGTAAATACCTAAATCAACTAAATTGTTGACTTCTATCCATTAAACCATGTATCAGGTTTTTGTTTTGGAAGGTTTGCTTTCTTTAAAAACATTACCAATATTCCATCTTTATTAGCAAAAAAATTTCAAACAATATTATATAGAACAAAAGATGTTGCAGAGGAAAATGTATATGATGCTGTTACTATTGAGGATGATAATAAAATCTATGATGATATTGTGGCAATCAAAAAACGTCTTGATGCATCTAAGGTTTGTGACAGGCAAACATAAGATATTAAGACCAGTTTACACGGGCGATTATTACTGCGATTTTATGTGCGATTTTCTTCCTTTGAATGATGTGAACGAGTGATTAGCTATGAATGCTCTGATGTGTAAGAGCTCTTATATAAACATCCGTTACTAATTCACTCGTTCACATCATTCAAAGGAAGAATATCACACATAAAATCGCAGTAATAATTGCCCATGGAAACTCGCCTTTAGATACGGATGTGTAGCAAACATGAAGATGTGATGACAAATCATAACTAGGCAGGGCCAAGCTTTTTCTATTAGAAAAAGATTCCAAGTTGCAAGACTGCATATTGGACCGAAGATACTAGGATACAAATGCATTTTCACAATAATTAATAGAGTAGTACCCTCTATTAATAATTGTCAGGATGCTTTTAAATATTCCTCCACCAAAACAAGCACACAACTGCCAATCATTCCAGTTCTTTAGCAAATGTGTTTCATCACAATGGTCAATGATATTTTTGTAAATCCAAAGAACTGCCTGGAGTTCTGTAGAGGTAAAGAATTCTGTAAGGATTGTTGCCTAATCACAGCATCAACAGCACATGTAGTTTTTAATGCCTTAGTCTCAAGATTCGCATTCTTCAAAAGCTGATGAAAAACGATCTTATGTCATTGAAGAACTGTTGGGCACAGAGAAAAATTATGTTGAGGCTTTGACCTCCATCAAAGAGGTATTAAACTAATTAAATTCACAGAATAATAAATTTCCCTCTCAATTTTTAACTATGCCATTCTCTTTTATTCATTTCTTTGCAGAATTTTATTGACCAACTACAGAACACTTTATCTGCTGTAGATTCCAAAAAAATATTTGTGAATATCTTGGTGTGTATTTTTTGTGAAAATTACTAAATGCTTTCAATGGTATAATATTAAAGCAATAATTTTTTCCATTAAACTTTAGGACTTGTTAAGTATGCATCATACCTTTCTTGGTAAACTCAAACTTGCTTGCCGAGCTAAAAAAGATGTTGGTAGTGCTATCAGTAATTGCTTTATTATCGATGTAAGTAGTGGACACAGTAAGTCATCTAAAACTATTGTAAACTATGATTCATTTACTGCTATAAGTTAACTGCCACATTTGACTGCTAGAATTGACTGTTATGTGTTTTTTTAGAAAGACAAGTTTTTAGAGTATGGAAAGTACTGTAGAGAAATGCAAGCAGCCCAGAATCATGTAAGTTGTTTGAACCATGGTAATTTACATACTACTCTCAATAATCAATAAAACACTTTCAGCAGTATGTCCACCATATATAAAAAGTGCACGTCTACCGCACCTGTTTTCAACCTATCTTCAAGATCTTCATTCATAGAAAGAATAAGCTTTCTTTGTATACTGAACAACTTTTTTAGTGAACTTCATAGCGGGGCTCGAGATTTTTATACAACAATCAAGCGAGGCTTGTATTTTTTTCAACATTTAGAAGTATTCGCGTAAGGGCCATGCCATAGATTTATAGTATATTGATTGCGCTCAAAGTGGCCTAGCTGTCTTATTCTTTTGTAAATACAATTCTATACCAATATGAAAGCAAACATTTACTAACAAGGAATATCCATTTAATGTAACATTTAAGTGTTGTGTTAACATTTTTTATTTATGAATACTTTTTAGGTTGATAAACTTTGTGAAAATGATGCAGAAATCAACCGACATTTAAAGGTTTGTTTGGAAGTTTTAACATTGTTTCGTGATCATCATAGCCATTTTTAGCTTAAGTATGTTTTTATTGTTTTGAGGAATGTTGTCAAAATGCCAATGGGGGCAAATTTTCACTGAGATCATTACTGGTTGTTCCAATGCAGAGAGTTCTTAAATACCCTCTCTTACTCCGGGTCAGTACCATAAAATTACGATCTCTTTACCAGAACAAAATCAGAATATTTGTAGTACTTGTGAACAAATTCACCCCCAACCCTTATGACGTCTTGACTGGGTGATCGTATCATAAAAATCACGAAAGAATTACCCCCTTTAAGATCAAGTTTGTGTAGAATCTCTTGATACCTTTGAGATGGATTTTTTAGGAGATGTTGGTGTAATAAATATTGTTTGAAATTTTTATCTGTGTTTTTATTGTGTTATGTCAAAGAAACTTTGTGTCGTTGTAACTAGGAGAGAATTAGAAGAAACTTCTTTTATGCCGGGACTGGCTTTAATTCTGTATGATCTACACACGTATTATTTTAGGAACTTATAAAACATTCAAAAACACATAAAACAGACAAGGATGCTTTGGAAAAAGCATTAGCAGCTATGCAGGTAATCTCATTTACAACATATTTTATGATGAGGACATGGTTGCACCAATCACAATTCAAATGAAGTTGTTAAATGATCTATTATAGTGCGGTGACAAGGTGAGAAGAACATTGCGTGTAAAGTCGCCCTAAAATAAGTTATTTCATGTTTATTTGAATCTAGGATGTTGCACATTTTATTAATGCCGTCAAGAGAGATGATGAGAGCACTTCAGCTGTTCAACAGATTCAAGCATCGTAAGTTAAAATAGCTGATGCTTATCATGTTGTATGCAGGGTTCAAAATAACCGCAAGCCGACTTCGCCATTGAATAAAAAGAAAGGCAGCCGAAAGTTTTTTGGGAAGAACAAAAAGCGCCTGTTTATATAATACATCAGGATTTCTAAACGTTATTTTGGACTCTGATATATTATTGTTCCGCGATTCTTTGAAACGCATGCAGATTTACAACAAATTATATTAAACTTTTTTTTCTTTTTTACGTAGCTTGATTCGCGTAAGTATTGTTTGTGCATTCATTTATTCCTATATTATTCTTCTGGGTCATCAATTCTTCACTGCACTTTGTGGTATAAGATCATTTTTAATCATAGGACAAAGACGCGCCACCAAATTTAATCGAGTTTGGACTTTTGGTGAAGGACGGAGATATGCAAATCAAAATGAATGAAGATAAAACATTGAAGAAACGGTGCGCACAATTGATAGTCTTTTATTGTAGAAAATATTGATTCGTTAATAAATGCAAGCATTTTGTTTCAGATACGCTTTCCTATTTGACCGAGTTCTTTTGATGTGTAAAGTTAGGGTGGGTAAACTATAGCTACAGTACATCCGAACCGTAACACTGCGAATATCAGGTTTTTTATTCCTTACATCGTTGTCCTTGTAACCCCGGAAATTTATTAAACAAGATGAACCTAAATCCCTTTTTCACTGCGCTTTAAAGAATTAACTACTGCGAAAGAATACATGTATGTAAAGAGTGCTGAGTCTTGAGCCTTCTCAATTAAAACATTCTTACATTTTGCAAAATTATAATCAAGAAAATTATTCAATAAAAGAGACATATATAATCCCTTTTGCAGTTTCGTTAACGAGTGAGAATTTTGATTTTGTCCTTGCTGACATTTTAGGGTGAACAGTACGACCATAAAGAAACATTGTATCTAGATCATTATGATGTCAGCGATACAGTCACTCATTCTGGCAAAGGAAAAGTAATAATTTTTATTTAATTTTATCGCCTAGTAAATGATTCATAGTATCATCTCAACTCTATCATTATCTACTTCTTAGTTTGTTCACGGATGGACAATGAACGGAAACTCGCCTGAAGCAGGTGCATTTTTAGTCCACTTTCTTGCGTTGCAGGATGAGATTGTTTACGTGTGCATTTGAAATTGTGTTTTAGGTCGTGGTTCGTATGAAATGTTCACAAAAACTGATGATATGAAAAGAAAATGGGTTGAAGATATTCAGAGAACCATGTAAGTTCAAAATATTTGCAGCGAAGGTGAACTTAGCAGTTGAATGCCATATATAACGACTTGTGAGATTTCTAGAACATTTCTAGAATATTTGTTTTTATTTTGTAGAAGTAACCTCACACTTGCTGATTATAATCTAGGTGGATACTTGGACTTGTTGAGTATCTTAATAAAATGTGATATTTTCCTTAGTTTCTAGATGAGAAATTAATATATAGAACTTCAATGAAATTTTTTTGGTAGGAAATCATCGTTTAGAGCTCACGACGTTCGCTAAACCAACATACTGTTCTGTTTGTAAGAATCTACTCTGGTAAGTCGTTACAGATGTTGTCGTTACAGATGTCGATCCAAAGGTCTTCATATAAGATTTGCTTTATAGTTACTAATAATAAACTTTTTTGCAGGGGGTTAATCAATCAGGGTTATACGTGTAAAGGTATGAAGATTATTAGATTATTTCAATGCGATCTGATTAGGCAAGTGTAAACCACTGATTCAAATAGAGATGATCAGTCTAAATTTTAACACACAATATTCTTGCGTGCTGTATGTTAACAGAATGGATTTTAATAGAATTTAATAATGCATCACATGAATTTATGAATTTATGAATATGCCCCTCTCAGTTATCTATGCTTGGGGGTGTTTATGTGACTACGCCACTGCTTGGGGATGTTCATGTGACCAGGGCCATGTTGAAATTTCTCAGAAACAACGACAACAATTGCTTCAAATCCTTCTTTATTTCTACAACTTAGCGCTTCCGTAATCCTGACCTTATTTAAAACGTCAAAATTCTTATTTCAAATATGTATTTTAGATAATTTGGTTGTACAAATTTCCTTTTTCATTGTATATATTTAATTAAATACATTGAAATATTGTTACAGCGTGTAGTCACGTGTGTCACAAAGAATGCATTGAGAAGTCAGCAGTATGTAAATCATCAAAAAGTGGAACGGCTGGAAGAAGAACAATAGTGAAACAACCATCCGAGCCAGTCCCAAATAGTCCCCCATTACCTCCTAGATCAAGAAATAATTCCGCACCAGTGGTTCCTTCTTGTAAGTTTTCAGACCTTTCTACCGACTAAAAACTTCATCAAACTACATTTAATCGATATTTTTCCTCTTCAGGGACACCATCCACGGTAGTTGCAATTACAAGGTATAAACTCAGTCATCCACTGTCTATTATATTATGTAGTCTTCTCGTGTTAAGAGTGGATCGTTGAATTTGGTTAGGTTTCATGGCTGGGCCCCGGGCAAGAAGAATACGTTGGTGTTTGAAGCAGGAGAAGAAATTGATGTTTTAAAATCGCCTGACCCGGAGTGGTGGGAGGTTTGTACAGCCTATAATATAAGTTGAGAAGTTATAAGTTATAACATGAGATTGTCACGGCCAAACATTCAAACTTCAAAATTTCCCACCGGGACTATATACTATTTGACGCCAAGATATTACTTGCTACTAGGCAATCTCAAATCTGTTTTGTGGCTTAGGGGAAATCTAGAAAAACTGGAAAACAAGGTTATTTTCCAAGGAATTATGTGGAAATACTGGAAGACCGGAAAGGAAAGTTGCAGGTAGTCATGCAGTCATCTTTCTTATCACAGTACCTGGGTGGTCATTTTTCTTATCACAGTACCTGGGTTGTAGCTGCAGGTAGTCAGTCATCTTTCTTATCACAGTACCTGGGTTGTAGCTGCAGACATATCTTAGTCGTGCTAGAGCCTTTTTTCAGTCGTATTGTTTTAGACCTTGATAAAAACTCTGCACTGTGACGTATTTGCGGACAAAGCATTGGTAAATGTGGCCAGTTGACCATTTAGAAACATGACTTGTCCGCAAACTACGTTTCAAAAAATGTACTTGGTTTTATAAGAGTATTTCTTTCAGTTTGACTCTATTAATGCGAAATATTCAGTCAATGCATGAAATTAAAAGAAAATTAAAAAAAAATTAAATCAAAGTCGTTCGTATATTGAGTATTATAGTTAAATTTAGTGCTAACTTATTTCAGGAATCTGAAGTGTTCTTTGTGCGCAATCAGAAACGTCACACTATCTCACTGTCCAGTATTAATGAGAATGTGGGCTTGCATGGGCCTTCAACGCACGACAATCTGTTAACCAGCGGTCAACATGTTAAAATCGTCGTAAGTCTTAAGATTTAAACAGAATACGGTAAAAATAAGTTCTAAATCATATAAATTTATAAATCATAAAAAAATGTAATGGCAATTGAAGGTGTTTACCAACCTCAAGTGAATAATAATCTCTCCACAGTCATTTGATATAAATGTTATTAATATTATTTTTTAATTAATATTGATTTGAAATAATAAGAATCTAAAAATTGTATTTTAAAAGATGTGAAAAACGTAAACAAGCGATGACACAGCAAACCGCTCTATAATTTCGTTAAAATAGTTCATTATAATAATTCATTATATTGAGCGTAATTTTGGTCTGTTTTATGTTACTCTTGTATTATTCTTGTTTATTTTAGTCTTATTTCTTTGTTAGAGAGAGTTTACCAAATATGAAAAAAGTTCCGATCTTCCAACAACGTATGTTCACATATCTTTGTTACTGCATGTATCCCAAAAGCGATATTTTATTGCATGGAGCTATTTTATCGAGATTTCAAGATCTGTGTTTCATGATTGTTGCCATAGGCTGTTAGTATGAGGTATGGAAGATAATTTGGTTAAGTTAAAGTTCTTGCGCGGTTCCTAGTGTCCCATTCTTTAGTTCTTTACTATTTATATAGAGGGGTGAAGTAGCGCGGCCGAGGCAAGTTAAAAAACGACCCATATTAATAATGCCTTATTAGGTACGATTTTTTCTTCATTAATATAAGAGTTATCTTTACAGAACTGAAGAAGTCCTTTCTGATGGTGAAATTGACTTAACCAAATACCAATGGTTTGTAAATATGTTTCATACACTGAATCACTGGAACACCATGCATTATGGAGCAGTTTGTTAATACGATATTTAAAATATTTCGTTAGGTTCGTTGGGAAGATGGGCCGAGATGAAGCTAAAGAACTTTTGGAGAAATTAAGTGATGGAACCTTTCTTATTCGAGAGAGCACGACTGTCCCAGGACAATATGCTTTAAGTTTAAAGTAAGTTTATAATATTGTCTGTTTTCCTCTCGGATGAAATAATACAGTCAGTATATGGTCTGAGTTCATATCAAGTAAAATAACACAAATTAAGGCTGCTCGTGTGTTCTGTTTTTAGACATAAATACAACGTGAAGCATATCAAGATTGTCGTATCTACGGGAATGTTTTGTCTTACAGCGCTAAAACTTTTCCCATCTGTAGCAGTAAGTTCATTACTGTCGTAATTACACCTTCAGATAATCTTAATGCCAACTCTAATTAATGTAACATGTTTTCCTTACCGCCTGGAAAAATTCACAAAATGCATTCTGTTTAGAATTTGATCGACTACTACCGAAATAACACCCTGGGGGTTAGTTTTCCTGGCTTGGACACGTGTTTGACACGTGGTATAAATGAAGCCAGGCGTAAGTCGCCACCTCAAAGTGAGTCTGCTTCAACAATACTCAAGTGTAAATTCTAGTGTAAATTCAAGTTTAAATTCTCATGCCCACAGTGATAGTGTGATACTTTTTATGAGACTTGTGTTCCGAGTTTCGAGTGTCTCTCATCCTTTAGAAACATAGTTTCTACCTTATTGTTTTTTGTAGTTATTGCTTACGCTAGGGCGAAGTACGACTACGAAGCAAGAGACCCCAGGGAGATATCGATTAAAGTAAGTCGAAGTTTAATCATGATTCAAACGCGCAGCATACACGTGTACAACATAAAATTTCATTATTTTACTAAGTAAGATATTTTATTTCAGAAAAATACTCGAATTCTTGTGATCAACAAAGATGGTGAATGGTGGAAAGGCGAGAATGAAGAAGGACAGGTACTGGAAAATGAATGTTTTATACATATTTGAACTAATTAAGTTATCCTGTTTAGAAAAGAGTTAGTTTACCAGTTTCCCTCATTTAGTAACAAAGGATCAAACCTGATGTATGTAATTACGTGTTATGTTATTCCTTTAGGTGGGATTTTTCCCCTCAAATTTCGTGCAAACAATGAATGGCGATTCCCATGGTAGTTGATCCCTGTTCTCAGGCCTAACAACATATGTCTTATCATTAATAATTCTCCTCCAGGATAAGTCCTAATCCCGGCTCTTTATCAGCACTCAATTTTACTATAGTATAGGAAGATTTTACAATGTTTATCATTTTAATGTTGAATCCTTTGAGGTCGTTTTTATTAGTAATTATTTTAATGGTTCTGTGATGATGTACGTATATACAGTATTTATGAAGAAGAGATAATCAACATCGTAGACGGGCTGTGAGATTTAGGCCAAAATAATAAGCCAACACAGTGGAGACCATTTAACAATGTTTGCCAATTTCAAATTCTTGTATTTATCATGGCAGCCATGTAGCCACAGATGGTTGATCAATATAATTTTGCACTGCAACAGAACATTCAATAATTCTTCTAACGTTTTTGAATAGGGTGCAATTTTTCACACAACTGATTGAGCACCAGTTGATGGCATTAATGCATAGCAAACCTAGAAAATATGCATGCACCACTATAGAAGTATTCGTTCTACTATATGTTTGACTTGCATTGCAAACCCAGGGATTTTTAGTTAATCAATTATGTGTAATTAGAAAGCATGCTAGTTTACAATAGCGAATCTTGGTTAGAGGCAACTTTTGACAATTTTTATATCATGTACTGGAGCGAAATTTTTTAACCTACTGGAATAAAAATATTTTAGAAATCATGTAAAAATGCTGAAGTAATTCAAAGGATATGATAATTTGTACATAAGAAATTCAATTGTAGCATCAGTGTTTATATATTACAATAAAATATGGGAATTATGAAGTAATTAATTTCGTGATCCAGATATGCAGACTTAGCCCATGAAGACTGTTGTCCTAAGAACACAGAAAGTATAGTATAATCTGATGTTGGTGCGCGGAAATCCAAAGTAGCCTGCAGCCACCCCAACCTGAAAGCCCCTTTCATTTTTGCGACAATTGGGTCCAGAGCGTGTATAGCAGCAGAGCAGGTGCAAGTACTGAACCTCCACCTCACCCCAGCCGCGTACTGTCAACTTTCTGGCAGCCTTCGCCTATAACATGAATCAATCATCCTGTTCCCTTATGGCTTGGCTTAGCCTATCGCATGGGATCCCGATGGATAGATCCATCTATCCCTTTCGCCGGACCAGTCCCTCGACTTATACTCCCCGGAAGAGTCTTTCTTTCTAAGAAACGTAAACAAAAAGTAATTGTATTATACGGCTGCACATAGACCTCCTTTACGTTATTTAGTTTCCTTTAGGATGGCTGAAGTTGTCCTTAAAAAGGTATGCAAGTTTTTGCAGAACCAGGAAGACCAAGAAGCAATGTTTAAAACTTTTTGGGAAGGGACAAAGAGCTTCTATCCATCCGGTCAATCGAAAACAAAACTCAAAGAATGGCTGAAAGGACATTCCGAAAGCTTTGAAATCATCAAACGTGAGACTGGGGATCCTTTTGGTAAGATAAAACTGAAAGGAGAAGCACCAGTTTATGATTTGCCTGACACAACATGGGTAGAAGACTTTGAAATAACACAGGAATTGATTAAGTCAATTGATAATGAAGCGGAACATGGTCATTTGTTTTCCATCATTTGTAAAAATAAGGCATCAATATTTCCCGAGATCTTACAGGATAAGAAGCAAATTAGGAAATGGCTGATGGAGCATGAAAGAAGGTTCAAAATGGTTAAAGATGCTAATGGCGGACTTTACTCAGTTGAAGTGGCAGAAGAGGGCAGAAATTTAAGTAAGTGTGAGGCATTAATGTCACCAGCAATGCGCCCAAACAAGGACAGACAGTGCAAAGGAACCACAATGAAAGGAACGCCTCAAAAGGAAAGACACCATGAAACCACTGATCTTTTGTTGTTGGCTGAGAAAATTGTACAAAGAATTTCAGAAAAAATTAAAAATGAAGGCATGACCTTTCCTTTTGAATCCCTTTTGAAGGAAAAGGCAATTGTTGACCCAATAAATGATGCAACCGCCTTGAATGATTTCCTGGCAGCTTATCCTATGAAATTTGAAATAATTGATGTGGAAGGTTTGGGTCGATGGGTTCATCTTAAAGATACTAACGACGGTGGTACTCATGTGGGTAAGGGAATTGGTAATTCTACTGATGTAGTCAGTAAAGTTGCCAGTTTTATATGTGAAAATGGTGGAACTATTTCATTTGTCAATCTTTTGAAGAAAGCACCTAGTCTACTGGGTCAAACAGTCAACAATGAGAGGACATTGTCTGCATGGTTAGGTCTTAATGCTAAGACCTTTGAAGTTCTATGGAAGCCGGGTGACCATACCAAACCATGGCAGGTTAAAGTAAAATTTTGTTTCTCTCCACGATTTTGCCTCAACTATGTTACCAAAGGACAGTGTCAGAAGAAAGATTGTCAGTTTCTTCATATATGCAAAAGTTATGTATGTCAACAACCTCATGAATCGTGTAAACTGTCCCATGAAATCCGGGATGAGCACAACAAAATGATTATAGACAAAATGGGATTTTTGAGTGAAGAAACTGATACAGTTGTGCTGAATGTTCTATTGAAAAGTTGTTTTCCCCGTGTTTGTACAGATTACAACAAAAATGGCAATTGTCCAAGGGGTGAAGCATGCCATTTTTTACATATCTGTGGTAATTATGTTTTAAATCAGTGTTCTGCGTGTCCACTAAACCATAACATTGTTGATTGTCATCATAATATTGAGTTGCTAAAGAAATATGCTTTGCATCCATCTCAGAAAATGTCGGAAGAAATTGTCAAGGCCAACATTGCATTTGCTGTAGTAAAGAAACAGCAGCAGCCTAGTCAATTTGCTGAGTTGGATGTGAGAAGTTTACACATTTCCTGTGCTCCTGGTATGAGGGATGGAAAAATCCAGCAGCATCAAATGGTTGGGGAAAGAGTGAAAAAAAGACACCAACGTCGCGAGCGAAGAAGAAGAGTGTCTGGCCAAGCCTCAGGTAATGCAGGTGATTCCAGTTCAGCAGACGCCGACTCAACTGGAGGTGAAATTAATCATTCTTCAACTGCCAGTTCATGTCACAATTCAAATCAACCATTGTTAAGCTTCAAAAATATCCAGAAAGGCCACCTAGCTGCATCTCTGACTGGAAATGAGAAGGTCAATAAATGGATGGGTAGTTCTGCAACAGAGTCTGACCAGGTTTCAAATGAAGCAGGCAAACATTTGGGTTCAAGTTCAAGTTCCGAGGCTTCTTATGCTAGTAACCAAAGTTCTGCATTCAGTTCCCAAAGCTTAATTTGGCAAGATGACTTTCAGAAACAAGTTTTTCTTGTTATCCTTGAGAAATATGAAGGGAGTGTTCCTTTTAAGATAATCTCAAAAGACAAAAATCTGTTTGGTCCGAATATTGCTGATGTAGCAAAATGGTTTCAGAAGCATCCTCAGAAATTTATTTTGCATCGAAATGGGCAGGGCAAGATTGATACTGTGAGTGTGTTTTCACGTAAAGCTCGTGTCTGTCTTGATTATGGTGGAAAACGAGGATGTGATAAGCCTATGTGTGGTTTTTTCCATATCTGTCGAGACCATGTTGAAGGGCATTGTCCACATGGGAAAAGTTGTAGTCGAAATCATGATATTTCTTCCAATGAAATTTCCAAAGCTGCTAAGCACATGGGTTTTCAAGATCTTACAAAAAGACAGTTATTTACCCTCATCCAAGTTTCATGCCCATCAGTTTGCCATTATTATAATCAAGGCAATTGCAACCGTGGGCAGTTTTGCCCTAATTTGCATGTTTGCAAAGCATTTGCAAAAGGGCGTCGGTTTTGCAAAGCAAAATTTTGCAAATATGGCCATGAGAAGGCATTACAAGAAAGTCATGCAAAAAACATACTCAAAATGTATCAGCTTTGGGGTAAACAAGCAAACTTCAAATACATTCGAAAGATGATTTTTGTGTTTGACACAAAAAAACATGGTAAACATGGCAGGGTTGACAAGCATCATGATGTTCAGAGTGAGAGAGGAGAGGCCACTGAAACAAGTGTTTGTCTCATGGATATTGATTTAACCAAGACAATTGATAACCCAGGTACTCTATCTTGTAAGCCAGGAGTTTTCTTAAAAGAAATTATTAGATCCTTGAAACATTTGCATTTTTGGTCATTTAGTAAACATGTGAAAAGGATCCTAATTTATTTACATTACTTTTATGAACAGGCTAATGCCTTTCTTAGTTATTTGTAGTTTTTCATTGATCTGTTGCTGCAGGGTACCCTTCTTCCATCCTAACCTAATTTCATCCTCCCAAATGTGTGACATCTAGTTTTAACTGCTGGGAGACTTGCAAAATCCCACACCTCTTCTAGAACAATATAATTTCTGCCCATTCACACACTTTTACCAGGTTTTCATTCTGATGTTATGATTTGTCTTTCTAGTCCAAAATTTTGAGGAGACCAAAGGACCCGAGGAAGTTGTGCCAAATATTTGTGTTGAGTTTCTGACTGGCTACTGTCATGTTAAGAAATGTGCTGGCATTCACTTTGGCTTGCCTTATTGCTGGCAACTCAAGATACAAAACAAGTCTAGCTCTTGGTGCAATTTTGATGAAACAGATTGTATTAATTTGGAGAAATATTTTTGTGATGTAAACTGCACTGCTGCAGAACTTGATGTTTCTACAAAGATAGAAAGAGATGCGTCAAGGTGAATACCAAATATTTAGAGCTGAAATATAGATTAAAATCTGAGACAATTTTTTTTAACTTTTATATCATTTTAATTTTTTACAGTGTCCGTGTCAATTTCGAGGAAATGTCTGGTAAAATTCAAGTTTCACCAAATGCTAATTTTAAGATACGTCGTTTGGAATGCCCAAAGGAGAGTTCTTTTAGAACAAAGTGGCTGTGGTACAAACTTGAGTCTCCAAAGTGGATGCAATGCGAAGACAATAGGGTAAATTGACTTTAGCTTAATTTATATGAAAAAAACTACTGAAAAGTGACTTAACGAGTTAAGCCAATTAATACCCTTTTATTCTAGGCAAGTGTGTTTGAAGAATTATTCAACGAAGGGAAGTTTGCGATTAATTCCTCTTCTCAACGTCGTAGACCTTTACTAAGAAATCAAGAGGAGAGGTAAAAACGAGTGCATTTAAACTTCCATGTAACGTATTGTGTACAACTTCGCATTTGTGAGGTCTGTACTTGAGGTACGAGGCTATGTGGTGTGCTATGTACGTTTTACAATATATTATTATATATATAATAATATATATTTTTCCTTCGCGTTGGGAGAATACTAAATTGAACTAGATCGTTCACCGTTCTCTCTCTCTCTTATTCTTTTAAATGTACTCCATTAATGTATCAACAAATCTCATATTTTGTTAACTTGGCATAGAAACATTCCAGAAGAACAGATCAGAACTCCAGAATCACCTGTTTCAACTCAATCTCACCGACTCACTTCAGTGCCAGTAATTGAGAGCCTCCCTCTCCAGATTTCCAATTGTCACCGTACTAGAGTTGAACCTAGTTCACCAGATTACAGAGATATTGAAGAACTTCTGCGTAGCTCTGTGGGTCAAAATAGTCTGGTTATTAATCAGATAGAGAAGGTAGTCAGCGATGATCTTTGGGAGAAATATAAGAGGTATGGCTAAAATTTTTCAAGTACAATTAGATTGCTTATAATTTATATAGGTATACTGTATTAGTAGTACTAACTTGGTACGTGTGTTTCGATTAAAACAAGTTACACTCAAAGATTGTTGTAAGTTTAAAAAATGATTGAAAAATATTTTAAAAGCAAGTTGAAATGTAACGTAGGTCCTGCGTTAAGAGGGACACAACACCTCGGCGATGATTTCAATACAGTGCTCTCATGCACCACCAATTTACTGCATGGGTTTTTTTCTGTTTCTTTAAACTCGGTACGTTCTATTAACAGTAAAAAGAAATCAATGACAGATGAACTAAAACCAGGGGAAAATCTAAACTATCGCAATGATCTCTTCGTACCATGTCGGAATGAAGATCTCGAGAGAATTATGAAAGGAAATATCCGGAAGAGCAGAATATCATTACGTAAATATAAATATATTTTTTGTTTCACCACAATTAATTGCCATAAAACATGTTAATATTGCACAGTCACAGGAAACGTACCAAGAATACGCAACAAAACAGCGTACAGTGAGGATTCGATATTTGTTGAACGTGACCTACCTTTGATTTTATTTCAGCCAATCAACCGTTGGATCGTTATTACTTTACTTCAGACGCCTTATTCTGTATACAGAAATGTCGAGAGAATAATATTGACCCTCGATACCTTATTGTGTGTCAAGTCTTGCTTGGGGCCTATACTGAGGGACAAGGTCTTGACCAATTTCCTCGTCGTCCTGATGGAAGATTTTACGATTCCTTGGTTGATAGGATTGACAATCCCCGTGTATTTGTTATCAAAGATGTTGACCAGTGCTATCCGGCTTACATTATTGATTTCTCTTACGTCACCAGTCACATAGATGGAGGAGAGCCAATGCTACGAGGTTTGATTTGATATTTTTTTAGAAAATAAATTGACGTGAATGACAAATACATAAATTAGCCCTGTTTCTGATAAAAGCATTTGTCTTAGGTTTTGAAGTTGTCGAGAGCCATTATGGATTGGCAGCTACACCACAACTGAATTACTCCCAATCTCCTCCTTCTTATGACCAAGTTCCCCATAATACGCGTCCTACATATGCAACTCAAGGCAGTAGCATAACAAGTGTTGCACCTCAACAGCAACCGTTATCCCAAGATGTGCCTACACCTAATTATGTTAAAGCTGCCCCAGTCTATCCCGAACGACCTGCAGCACCGGCAGAACCTCCACCGGATTACACACCTCCAACTAGACCTGACCTTCCACATCCAGATAATGTGCGACAATCCCCCAATATCTCGCAAATGCCTGTATCACGTGCATTCAGAGATTTTAGGGAGAAGAAAGATAATTGCGCGATGATGTAACTTATGTTTTTATTTTATTTGTCATGGTTAATACGACTTTAGAATGATTGTTGGTGTGAATATGTTTGCTAAGTGAGAAAATTGCTTTCATTATAGGTTCCTGTCAGTCCGCATGTTGCGAACTAACTTGCCTGCATTGCATGCTTCTTTATTTGGTGATTTAGGGAAACTGATTAAATATTCTCTGTCTTTAAATTTATGGAGAAAATACTATTAAGTTAAATGTATAAGATTAGCGAAGTCTCAACCAGGAAGATACCTTGAGAATTGCAGACCGTACCTGCAAGGCACGTTTTTATATAAACCGTGAAGGCTTGAACGACTATGATTGACCTCAGCTCAGCAGTCGGCCAGTCACTATGATTTAGTGTAGTTACTCAAATATATTTATTCACTTCAACTTGTTGAGACTCCGCTAGTCGAGACAATGATGCATATAATACTAATACTTTCGTAAACTACGCTATTTGTCATGCAGGCTATCACGAGTATAGCCACAATGACCTACTTATTGTACAAGACTGGTGCAGATGATATTATGATAATGTTTTGGAGCTTTTGTTTGGGTTTTCATCACGATAAAGTGACACTCGATATATTTCAAATTAATTATATACCAAGTGATTCTAGTAAATGACTCTTGTGTCTGTTTATATCTCGAAATGGGACGATCATTTCCAAAATTGTACACTTCGTCTAACCAAACCCGAAAAAAATTGAGCTATCGGTTCGCTCATAAAAACGCGGACGCGCAAATATGAAAAATGACAACATCTCGTATGTTCCGGATTTTTCTGGTGCATATTAATTTAAAACCAGTTTGTCGTATTTCAAAAAATAGGTTACAGTTACATTACGACTAGACATCATCTTACGATGCACATCGGCGAAAACAATCAAGTCGGGATTAACAGTACGAGTGATGTCGGAAAATTTTGCCTGATGATGCGCAGATTCACTATCAACTTTTTCAAAGGTCCTTGTCATTCACCTTTTTATTCCTACTACATACCGCGTAAAATTGATAAATGTATATGTATGATATATGTAAAAGCCTGTAGTGTCCCTATATTTATTTTATTTGAAGCGCCTGGGAACGAGGCTGGCTTTTTTAGGCACTTCCACCGCACCAGCTTCACCAACCATATTTAAGACGGAGGAGAAGTGGCAACCCTACACTTTAGAGCCCACACCTTCCTAGCAGAATGACGTCAAAAATACTACAGCGTAGTTTTTTGTACCCATGTAATGTATTGTTGACAAGGCAATTTTAAGAAATAATTACATTTTATGGAAATCAGTATGTAAAAGAAGGATTATGTAACGTCATTCTGGTGGATGGAAATTAACGGTGGATTTATCTCCAATTACGCACTGGATGATAGCCTTTTTTATGACGCAATATATTTTCGCAAATTTTTTATAGTTTATACGTTAGAACCTCAGAAGATCCAACGTTAGAAGAAGATTTATTAAAGTAATTTGCAGGTTAGTGCAAAGATTTAGTTATTGTTGCGGTAAAAAGCTTACGAGTTTACTAAAAAGTCTACATTTTGGTGTTTTTTTTCCAAATCTATTGTATTTTGATTTGTGTGAATGATCAATGATGAGCTCAGCAAATTTTGCGAGCAGCTATTATATTAAATTTTGGTTTATAACATCGATTTATGCAAAGTTTCAACAATATTGACCTTGTTTTGTAATATTTGTGGAATATTGGAAATTATCAAAGACGGAAAAGCCTCTCAAAATGTCACTGTACAATTTTCATTTTTCACGCACTTAAGTAAATTTAATACCACGTTCTAGAAAATCTTCGTTTATTAAAAAGAGGGCACAAATATACCTTGACGCTTGCAAAAACATGTTGATTGTTGATGGAAGTGGAATGGAGAAACATTTCAAAACATTTTTAAGAATATTTAAAAAATTAAATGAATTCTGTTTTACCCAAAATAGAAGTATATAAACCTTATTGACAATATATAACTAATATAAGGCCAATATAGACCTTATGCATTGTTTATAATCAGACCACTAAAACAGAGCAGAAAATGGTACAGGCTAGTGAACTCTGGTAAAGGAGAGAATGATGCAATGGCAGTAAATTAGTTTTGTTTTGAATTAAATAGCAGACATGGCTGTAATGTTCCAAAACACCTGCCCATGTTCTAAGCACAAACAAAAGGCCCTGGGGACCAGGACATACAGGAGCAGCTTAATTTTTGCAACAACAAACAACTAGAACAAGATGTTTAGGCATTAGCTGCATGACACCACATTTTGTATTAAATACTGTAATCAGACATGTCTGAAATATAGACATATCTATACTGGTATTCCGGTATGTATATACTTATCCTAAGGCTAGCAACTCTCTGACCAAAAATATAATGCATCATACTATTGCCTAAAAAATATGCTACGTCGGTTAATCGTTTTGGTCACATGACTTCATGCTATTGTTATCCATTTGTTCTAACTCTGAATTTAGGCATGAACCTTATCATGCCATGAGAATAAATGCATTTGGATGAACATACAGCCAAGGAAAGGCTATGGACAAGGACATATACGCTCTTATGTTGTAGACACAATTCCATCTCAAGGTGGAGAGTATACAGAGAGCTTTCAAGCGATTGCACATAGATTTGAATTTAGTTTGGTATATTTCAAGGTGTGCATGCAAATTGCCTGTTGGAAGTTTGGGAAATTCCTTGACAGCTAGTAGAACAAATAAATATTCACTGCAAAATTTTATTCATAGAGTACATAATAACTGATATGCTCAGACTAATGATAAATACTACTTTTTCCTTCTCTAGCAAATATGGCAAAGCAATTTTTGATACAAATACTAACTGTCGCTACAATCTTCCTTCTTATTGGGGTAAGTAAGCAGTTAGGTAAGCTACGTATTTGAAGTTTTGGAGGCAAGTGTGTTTCTATTTAAAATGATTTAGGCTTCTCAGTATTTGTTACATCTGATTATATTTTAACTCACAGACCAGCCATACTTACTATTATGTCAATTTTTTAAGCTGAGTTTGGCTATTTATTTTTTAAAAATTAATAAAATTGTCACATGATTTTTGAAAATTAATCCAATTACTCACATTTATATTGTTATTTATTTTAGATGTGTGTTTCATTTCCTCACTACAGAGACACATCTACTCAATTGGAAAACTGTGATAAAAGTGTCCCTCACATTGTTATCATAAATTCAACTGATGGAAGAATATTAAATTGTCACAAATGTACCTTTTGTCAACAGGGCTATGGGTTGAGCACTCCATGCAATGGTCAGAATGTGAGCCAGACAGATTTAAATGTTGAGTGCAGGCCTTGTGTTGCTGGTGTGAACTTTTCTACTGGTGAAATGATTCAATGTCAACCCTGTCAGAAACCATGCCCTAATGGAATGAAGATTGAGGGAAAATGTGAGGTGATAGGGGACAAACGAACTTGTAGGAAGTGTGAAATATCAAATTGGTACTATAATACAACACTGGAGACGTGCTTGCCTTGTGTTTGTAAGAACATGACAGCAGAAGTAAAGCATATATGCATAAGATTAGGCTTCAAGTTTGATATGCAATGCAAGCATATTAATTTTAGTGATGACTCAACAAGAAACACATCAACAAACACATCAACAAACGTGCCATTTTATCCACAAAACAAAGAAAGAGATAATTGGAGGAAACCATTGATTATAACAGTTGTCATCATTGGTATAATTGTTATCGGGATAATTGCATATTGTTGCTGTATCAAGGGATCCAGAGAGTTATGTATTAACCATCCCTGGTGTAGCAAAGACACAATCTGCTGTATATTCTGTTATAACCAGAACACAAGCAGACCACCATCATATCATTCTGATATTGGTGAAGATAGACGGGTGTATAATAATGGTATGTTTGTTCTTCATTGCACAAAATAGTAAACCCATTTTGCAAATGCTTCAAGAATGTATTTTTCACTTTGGTTTGTAAAATATGTTTGTTTAGTAATGCATAGGCTTTAATTTTTGTGTAATAAATTCATATTTAATTATTGAAAAAATCTTCGTTGTCAATTAGGTTGTGCTGAACAAGTTAGATTTCTTCGTCAAAGTTCCTGCCCTGTGACGCAAAATGAAAAAATGGTAGTCAAGGGCAGTCCTCCTGGTAAGCTTTTATATTTCTTAAAATTGTTTCACATTGTTTCATATGATAATATATGAAGAATCTATGTTCATTATAGTAAATCTTGAACAACAAGATGTGAAATTTTCTTTGAAAAGTACAGGTATTTTACTAATTGTTTTACTTGATATTTTTCATTGATGGAAATATATTATATTTCTTTTACATATAGTTCTGTAGTTGGTCAGTGGTGTTATTTTCATCATTACTTTTATTGTAATATTGTGGTTTGCAGGCAAATTTTTTCTAAAATTCATGCCTGCATGTGCTCCCCTGTCACAACTTGCATAGTTAATATCAGAGTATCTTTCTCAACAAACTCTGGCATTATTCTAATTTGGTAAATTATTCGGACATTTTAGACTGTGAGCAAAAGAAGCTGAAATTCTTTCAGATGAATTCAGAGATCTGTCGTGAAATATGTCAAAAACTTAAGCAGAACATTCAGACAGGCATGGGTTATCCAACTCTTGCTGGTTTTATGGGGTTTTCAGCAGACAAAGTTAAGAGCTTTGAATGTGAAGGTGATGTGTGTGAGAATATGATGATGTGTTGGAGCAGTTTGGATCAAACAAATAATAATGTGTTAAAGTTGAAGGATTTGGTGGTCAGATTAAAGAGGGATGATATCTTGGAATTGCTTAAGTCTGAACTAAAAAGAAAAAGTTATGAATGTGGCTGTCCTGAGTGTATGGTGATTCTGTGACTTGGTAAGATCAGTCAATTAAGTCAAACTACAGTTTATAAAACACATTGCTTACTAGAGCTGTTAAATATGTAAGTAGATCAAGTACATTATATGTCTTGTAGATGTTTCGGGCCGTTTTGGGGATTATATGATGTAACGTACCGACCCGGCGGACCCCCTATGCTATTGAAGTCGTAAACTGCGTCGTTACTCGATTATACCTCATATATTGGTTTCATTCGAAATAAATTTAGCGGGCCCTACTAAAAACCGCCCAGGACTGAAGAAAAACCGCCCGAATTTTTCAATAGTTCGCTTGAATTTGATTTCACATTCCCGCTCCTTTGGGACGTTGATGTTTTCGCCTTTGGTGTGACGTCATAACGTAGGATACGACTATTTATCACACGTTATGACGTAGTAATCACACGTTATGACGTAGTAATCACACGTTATGACGTAGTAATCACACGTTATGGCGTCACACGATTTGGACATGACGATTTCACACACTAATCATTAGCCAATCAGAAGCTTTGACTTCTTTCAAATGAATAAATAAAAAAATTATTATATGGCAAGCGTCATTCCGGTGAAATGGAGCTCAATGCTTGGCTGAGAAGAATTTTGAACGGTCCATTACTTTCCCGTAATGGACCAGCGTTACCGGCGATCCATTACGAGATGAAAAACAGACAAATTCTGAATGAAAAAGGCAAAAATAAATGCTGAAGAGAAAATTTAATTGCTTTTGAAATTAATGAGACGTCTCCAGACAGTTTAGGTTTTGAAATTAGTGAGACGTCTCCAGACAGTTTAGCCTTTAGGTTTTGAAATTAGTGAGACGTCTCCAGACAGTTTAGGTTTTGAAATTAATGAGACGTCTCCAGACAGTTTAGGTAAACTAAATGATTCAATATTCTGTTTTTGTTTTGTGCACGAATTCACGCATTTCTAGGTTTGTTTCAAGTGCAAATATATTACTTATTGTCTTATATATTACTTATATATTACTTATATATTACGCCATATAATAAACTTTTTTATTAACCTTGCTTGCTCGGTTTTTACCGAGAATATCGGACCTCAATCTTTTTGTACAAACCTCGCTTTTCGATCTCGGTCTGTTCAAAAAGACCTCAGTCCGATATTTCTCAGTAATACAGCTAAATATTTTTTACAATAGAAAATATTGTTTTAAATTTCATTTCAGCCTGCTAATCTGTGCTAGCTAGTCGCGAATGTTCTTGTCTGACCAAGCATTATAATCGCTTCAGGTTTCTGTCGGGCGGTTTTTTTAAATCTCGGACGGTTTTTCTATATTTTTCGGGTGGTGTCGGGCGGTTTTTAGTACGACCGAGAACTAGCGAGTGATTGTCTGCCCTGAGGCTGTGTGTTTTATCTATGGTTTTATGAAAACTAATGCAGCGAGCAAGATTACCGACACGATTCACACAAATATGTGCTGGCCGCTTCTCAATCTCAGTGGTCTGAAAAGTGAAAACCATTTGGTTTACCATCCTCGTCCCCAGGGCCTTGCTCTCCACATAGGAGAGCAACGGAGCTAGGCCCTAGGGACGAGGATGTTGGTTTACTAAAAAAAATGCAGTATCCTCTATTACTTGAAGTTGGCATCATGCTTATAGCTGTATCGAGACACCTGAGAGTGCCGAGTGCGGGGAGATTCGTCGAATGCCCGGGGTGAAAACATAATTGTATTGGATAAAACTTGAATGTTTATCAACCACTATATGATTATTTATTCGATGCCCGGGATGAAGATTTTGGATGTTTCTTGTAATATATAGCATTGCAAAATCTTGTATCTTCCATGACCCGGCGACTCCCGAGCATTCATGGAGATAACACGTTTTTTGAATGCGACAACTTATTATAAAGAAGTGTTTTTTTATCGAATGACTAGTTATTCATAGTGTTAGTGTAAAAATTCAAATTTTATCTTATACAATTATCCTTTAGTTTATCACATGATTCCACTCCAGTCCCCAGGGATTCCACTCGAACAAGTAGTGGAAAAAATATTAATTTAAAAAAAATACGTTTGAAAATACGTTTTGGGCGCAAGTTGCAATTTGATGTTATTAAAGGACCTGCAATGCCTGAATCATCACTTTGTAACTTACACACAAAACAACGTTTATCGGATCAGAGAAAATTATTTTCTTTCAACCTTTCTTTAATGTGTCGTGTTGTATGCCATGTATGGCGCAACCGTGTATTTTGTTTGGTTAATTTACCAGGCCAATATTAGATCGGTTACAACCAACACTCCACTTTTGCGTTTTTTTGCACGTGCCAACTTTTAAAACATCCCAAGAATCAAAGTCTATAGTCTATACCTCAATGTCAGCATGGCCGTTTATCGGCGTGTTCGCACGTGCAATATTAAAACGTGAAAGTGTGGATATCAGCGCTAACTAAAACAGTGTTATAATAATAAGTATATAATGAGTACAGTATTCATGTGTAATGTTTTATTCACGCAGTTGTTCACGACGTTATCCATAGCAGGCTAATGGATAGAATGTATGAATATTGGCTTTGAGTTGTAATCTATGTAATTTTACCAGTTTACTACATCATCAACTGTGCGTATTTTGTAACTTTCACAGCATTAACAGTTATTGATTGCAGTACGACTGTCCGTAATTTACTTTTCGTAACGTTTACGTAAAGCTGGTCTTGTAAAGTAATCGTGACACAAAGCCTTCAAAGACTTCATTTGACACGTGAATCAGTAAAATGGTTATACAGTTTATGGTCAATCTAATATAAATGGGAAAATGACTTGTTGCCGCCATGCAAGCCGTCGCTAGAAGCTTAATTGGGGGGGGGAGTAGTGCATATTCATCTTATGATTTCATCTTATGCCCGACTGATTTCTTTTGTTAGCTATTGTTTCTATGGTTGTACGAACGTGAATATATGAATATACACCCCACAATTAAGCTTCTAGCGACTGCCCTGGCGCCATGCAAAAAAGGGTCAATACATATATCCAATAGGAACGATTTAGTCATTTACTTTCGATCATTATCAGCAACACTGTCCCAACTTGGCTGGATTTTAGAAATGTAATATATTTATAGATGGTACATTGCCAGATTAGTTTGGTTAGGATTTATGTCACTTATTGTAAAAGTATTAAGAGTTAAGTTGCTTTAACAATAAATTGATTTGTGTTTCAAAGTTTTTTTCACGCATATATTGGGATCCTGTCAATCAGAGGGCTTGCAGAACCATTAACCATTTTTTTCATATTGAATAGAAACGGAGTGAGTCACTGTGAGTGTTGCTGCCAGATATTTCTTCATTTACGATATGTTTTCTAAATATAATGTTCTTGCTTGATTTTATTTTGAATACTATTCAGGCCTTCCACTCAGTGCCGGGGCGTAGGAACCTGGGGGGACGTGCCCCAAACTTTCAAAGTGGTGGGAAAAGTGCTCTTATTGCATGACCAACATTTGCATGCCCTTCTGCAAGTTATGAGCTTTGTCAGAATAAATATAGTAAAAATTGTGGTAGTAACCCTGCTTGCCGATATTTGCGTAAAAACAGGTAGAAAATGTGGATGGTAATGAGCAAATATTTCACTGTAAATACTGCCACTTTTAGATTTTCATTTAGACTGCTTAGCCATTAGCCTTTTTACTCCGCCTGCGTATGCGCAGCGGAGTCTTAAAATGCCATGGTCTTTTTTCCTTTTCGTCGTTTTGGGCGACAGAAATTGGCATTTCTACAGGTAACCCAAAACATTTTGACCGAGAAGCCCTGGGTTACACGGTCCACGGATGAATTAGGTACATCAGTTGGCATGCAGGCGGAGTGAACGCCTTGAGCAGGCGTCTTGTTGTATAAAAAAGTGCCTCTGGAAGCCTGAGCCCCGAGCAATAACTTGCTTCCTACGCCCCTGTTGCGGTTTAACAAAGAATTGGGAAAAATCGGCAAAGTTAATAACAAAAGCTGAAAAACAAAATCAACATCAACTACCGTCAGGCATTGCGCCCCAGACAGTTCACCACAGTTCCACACATGATTTGAAATCACTGATCCTCTGTAAAATGAAGTATTGCAATGGTTTTGGTTTAGAAATTGATTATTCGAATCTTCTCTCGTTGATCTTCTCCCACGTTTTTACGGCATTGCCGGCATATACCAAGAACTATTTGAATGGAAGTGTGTCTTATTACTACGAATAATGGCAGACAGCAGAGTACAAGAGAAATACATTAGTGTTGGTTGCAATAGAAATCCATATAGTCTTGATTGGGGTTCAAATGGTTTGGTTGCCTTTGGAGCTTCGAAATCGATCGCGTTATATTTGCCAGAGGTATGTTGGATAGAGTTTTCATTTTTGATTAATATTACTACACTCGTAAAAATATAATATCTTGTAGCAAGTCTGATCACAAGCTGCAACAAGATTTGTTTGCACTGCTTGTCCCAAGCTGTTGACAAGATGGGACAACTTGTTAACAAGTTTGTAACAAATTTGTAACAAACTTGTCGAATCAAAAGACTTCCTACAAGGCTGTTCCAACAAGTCTGGTATAAACATGATGTAACAATATTGCTATCAATAGTGCTGTCAAGTTCGTAATCGTAGCAATGTTATTGTATCATATTTCTATAAGACTTGTCAGAACAATCTTGTAACAAGTTTGATAATGCCATCGGACTTGCTATAAGTTGTTAACAGCTTGTCCCAAACTCGTTACAACCAATTGGAGCAAGCAGTGTGAACAAATCTTGTTGCAAGCTTGTGAACAGACTTGTAACAACTTGTGCATTTTTTCTGTGCTCACAGAACTGAATTCTGCGCATGCAACTGAACTCTGTATGTACTGTGGGTGAGGGGGGGAGGAGAAGAGTGGCTGTGGACCACAGTGACCTTTCTTTCTTTATGAAAAAAATTCTTTATAAAAAAAATTCTGGGACTATTCATGAAATAGTCCCAGAACTATAAATTGCCCGGTTCCAGTTCACTTTAGTAGGGTGTGCTGGACAGCAGATGACCATAGGGTGGGATACAGCAACAGCTGTAAGGGATAAGTCAACATGAGATAACCAGCTGCTTACAGTAGATTGTCACAGCCCAAGAACACCAAAATAATCATAATTGTGTAGTGAATTACCAGGCATGCATGGAGTGGTAAACCACTGGTATAGAATCTCTGATAACTTGCATATTCTTCATATATGCATTTCTTCCAAATGGTCCAACAATAATCCATTGCCCACTAAGAACGTTTTATAGAATAATATCCTTATTTAAAATTGAATTCTATAAATTATAAGTTTTCTGGTTTTGGGGCCATCTCTTATATCATTTGATCTAGAGCATTTATTTTGCCTGTCATAGGATGAACAAGATGCAGGAAGGATAAAATGCTTGTTAAATGGACACAGGGAAAGAGTAAATTGTGTCAAATGGATTTCCAAAGAAAACCTTGGTAAGTATTCAATATGTACATAACATACACAACAATGAGCCTGAATTTTATGGGGAGGTGTGGGAAAGTGCACATCCCCCCTTTTGTTGCACCTTTACTGGGAATATATACACACCGTAAGAGTCAAGCACAATGCCCCCCCCCCTCTCCTCCAATGAAAATTCAAATCACATAAAGTTCTTGCAAGCAAGTTTTTAAGTTTTAGATTTTTACACCCATTAAAGAATATTGATAGTGAAAAGCAGCATCGTTATATTTCCACCTCCCCAATTTTCATATTAAAAAAGCTGTGACTGTAAAATTTACTATAATGGCCATGTAACATTTTTTATTGCTTCTGTGGAAGAAATTTTAATATTTTTAGGAAATGAAAGTGAGCTAATATCTGGTGCAATTGATGGGCAAGTTATAATATGGGGACTAGTTGATGGCAAGGTGTGTTAAATTTCAATAATTATAATTATGCTTTAATTTTAAATCTATTAAAAAGAACTGAATGCATGTGAATATTTTTCTGTATGTATTGTTAGTGGGATCAGTGTGACACACTGAGTGGCCATAGTGGAGCTATTATTGCTGTAACAGGAATTTGTGTTCAATCACGAACTGTTGTTGCAACCTCATCTGCTGATTCATCTGTCAAAATATGGAATAGAAATGGAAGTAAGGTTCTATTAATCAGTGATTAGAGCTGCTTCTGATAAATTAATAATTGATTACTTTTTTACAATCGATTTTATGGGAAGTTTAATTTCAGTGCCAAATTGTTACAAATTAGCAACAATGAATGCCGTAATGCCTCCAATTACCAATGTCCAAATATAAAATAAACAGATGTGACAAACTTTATGATTCAGGAAGATTCAAAATGTTTATACTGATACTGACAGGTATAACCTATAACCTTAAAAACATTGATAAGTGAATGTTTTTCCATTGTGAATAGTTTAATTATATATTTTTACAAGGAGTAATCTATTACTAATATATCAAACTAATATTCTGTAGGTGCATTTCTAGCTGGTACTGTGTGTTAGTATGAAATGGTTGTGGGCAATCACTAAATAGAGAGCATTAAGTTAGAGTGTGTTTCCTGTAGCAGAAGTATTTGAATAACACATGTCATATTCTTTTTAGAGGTATTTGAATTTATTGAGGCACTGAATTTTGATGGGGAATTCACGTTTTCAATTTTTCTCTCAAACCTACCCGGAACTAAAAGTACAGTAAATAAAAAGTTGCTCAACGTTTTTTTTCTATTTTCACAAAATTATACAAATATAGTTTATATTACACTTTTTTCTCTTTAGTTCCAATTTTAGCATGTGGTTGTGAAAATGCCACGGTTTACTTATTTACTGAAAAAGATTCCAAGGTTGAATTCTTATGAAATGGCATTATGGGTTGTACTGTATTTTTTGCAGTATCGTTCTATGTTGCAAGCACAATTTTGTTAATTTCATAGTTTATTCTCGCTCAAAAGCTACTTGGCCACGAAGACTGGATACGTGACGTAAAGCTTGCTCATTTAGGTAATTTTTTTGCATAGATCTAACACTAGCAGTAACATCGATGATTATGAAACTTGATTTAGGTAAGTTTCGAACTGCCATTCTTTTTATATACTAATAATAACCCCGCTTGTATCAGTCGAGTAAGAATACGAACAAAAAATATTTAAAAAGTATAAAAAATAATTAGAATAAAAATTATAGACTCCTTATGATAAAGAATGTCAAAGCCGTACCGCGTTCGTAAAACAAATTAAAAGCTCGCTATTGATTCGTCACGCCGCAAGTGACTTTCAATTGTTTATCACACATACGCAAAAAAGTACAATAAAGTTGACTTTCTGATGGGTTTCTGTTTTGTGACCCGGATTAGTATGTGATAATCACTGATCGCTAAATTTATCCTGTAGATAACGGTGACGTCATGTTAGCAAGTTGTTCCCAGGACAATTTCATCAGAGTATGGTGTATATCAAAAGTCATTGATCGTTCTGGTGAATCTAGAGAAATTGATGACATCATGAAATTGAAATTAACTTCAAACAAGTTTTCTATTACTTCTGAAGGTATGAAAAACCTTGATTGAGAAATTAGCCGTATCCTATTTCAGTCACGTTAAAAATTGAAATATATACGTCCAGAAATCAACGCTTTGCCATCGAAAATGTATGTGTGATAGAATTAGTGGGCCATTTTCTTTGTTGGGTAAACGCGATTTTTTTGCTTGAGGGAAGAAGACGTGTCTTTGGATTACTCGGCTGTATTAGAGACAATTTTATCAGGACACGAAGGATGGGTTTATAGTCTTTCCTGGCATCCAAAAATTCGTCAAGGTACATACATCATATATGAAGTATTAATTTGACTTAGTTTTCAGCCGTATTAACTTTGACGACTTCTAGGCAATCATTATCATCAACCTTTATGTTTGATGTCGTCTTCCATGGATAAAACGATTGTGATCTGGCGGTTTGATAGCGAAGCTGGAGTATGGATGGATGATGTAAGAAAACTACAAAGAGCTGTATAGAATTTTCTTTCAATAATCGTTGGCTGAGAAAACTTAGTCTGGCACTGCAAAAGATATTACAAATTGTAACAATTGAAGAAATTGTTTTAGGTACGTGTTGGCGAGGTCGGAGGTAATACCCTGGGGTTTTATGGTGGAGTATTTAATCCTACCGGTGAAAAGATCCTAGCTCATAGTTATCAAGGTTCTTTACAAATGTGGCAGAAAAACAAAAGTACAGTAAGTTTGTCTACAGTTATTTTTTAGCTGAAGGTACTTATAGTTGCAAGTTTTTTCTTTGTCTGTTCATAGTTATGTTTGATTGATGACTTCTAAGTCAGCAGGATTTTAATAACAGTTTAAAGTTGGGATGTTTTGCTTTCAATAATAGGAATCCAGCACATGGAAAGCAGTGTCAACTGTCAGTGGTCATTATGCGCCAGTCCAGGTATGTTTCAACCTTTCTGTGTCTGTTGCTTTAAGATATTGCTTGATACACTCTGTTGCTTTAGGATTTTGCTTGATATACTTTGTTGCCTTAGGATATTGCTTGGGATCCAGAAGGCGGAGAATTTCTAGTTTCTTTGAGTTCAGATCAAACCACCAGGATCCATGCACCTTGGAGAAGGACTGGGCACACGGTATCCTCTGTTTTGCGTTTTCGAACCCAGTAGTCAGTCAAACATCTCTCAAATTTGTTTAAGATATGATTTTCTGCATGATTTTTATGTTCAGTCGCACGCGAAGTGTCATACAGGGAAGTAGAGAGACAGAGCGCCCCTGCACCATTACGTGCACGTAGCCCCGGTCCTGTCCGGTATTTCGGACTTCGGTGTGAAATGGCTCTATCAAAATGGCACAGGCACCCTTATCATTATCGATATTGTCATTATCTTGCAGTATTATCTATAAATACCTCTATCCTAGGGGATGGCCATTGCTTCATATCTCATTCAAGAATTTAAAATGCACGCTAAGCTTTGCAGGAGCATTTTGGTTTATTTCCCCGGGCCCTTTTTTGCGATAAGCGAAATTTTATGTACCAAATATTTAAACGAATACATGATAATTTATAATTGTATATTTCTCTGCAAGACAACCTGGCATGAAATAGCTCGTCCTCAGGTACATGGTCACAATATGCAATGTCTCACAATGATTTCGAGATATTGTTTTGTTTCCGGAGCAGATGAAAAGGTAATGAAACCATTCCTTCTCTTTACATTCCATGTGCCGGAACTAATTACTTTGCTGCTACAGCTCGCCAAATAATGTTAATGTATTTTGTATTTGTGGAGGTTATACGAATATTTGAAGCACCGAAAGGTTTTGTGGATATGCTCAGCTCCCTGTCAAAAATCAATTCTAATGTAAGAAGTGAGATTCAATACTAATCTTACCTTTGATGTAACACATTTCAAGTTGTATATCTTTGTGAAGGAAGTTGACTGTCAACCTCTGGGCGCAAGTGTTCCCGTGTTAGGTCTTTCAAATAAAGCTGTGTTTGATGGTCAGTCAGTAAAATGTTTCGCTTTGTTGCATTATATATATAGGACATCATATCTTGCCTTATTTTGTTATATTGGAGGATTCGTTATTAAAAGATGAATGTGTTTTTTTCCCAGATGATTTGAAGAATTTGAAAGATGATCTGAATGACCCACAAAGACCAATGAAAGCTTCAGCATTTGCAAGTGAAGAACCTCCACCATTTTCACCGTTCGTTGTAAACGGTAAGGTGATATGTTTGCGTTTTTTATTAGCAAGAAATCAAAATAATGAACACTGTGCGTGTTTCTAGCAAATATTTTCTCTTCTTAGAACCGCCAACTGAGAATAATCTAATGCAAAGCACTCTTTGGCCTGAAACACAGAAGCTGTGAGAGTTGTTCTTTATTTTTACACTCTGAATGAACTCAAATCAACGATGTGTTTTGTAAACTGCAATTGTTTGGTTTTTTTTACAAGTTATGGTCATGGATATGAAATATTCTGCATGGCATATGAAGCACATTCTCATTTGCTAGCTTCCGCTTGTAAGGTTGGTATAAAATGGTAATATAATATATAATCGCTATAAAATATAATTACTGCTAGGAGACTGTAATACGACTTATTGAGAATGATAATTTTAGGCGTCTAAAGCTGTCCACGCTAACATCTTATTATGGGATGTATTGTCTTGGAAACAAGTTGGTTCTCTTCACGGTCATTCGTTGACTGTTACTCAGATGGAGTTTTCACATTCAGGGAGATATTTATTGTCTGTATCACGTGACAGGACGTGGTGTCTTTTTGAACGAGCTAAAGAAGACGACGAAAGTAATTTTATTCTATTATTTTGTTTTATTCAGTGTGGGGTAATGTTAAAGGCAGGGCCGTCGAGAGGGAGGGGGCAGGGGGGCATTTTGCCCCGGGGCCCCAATCTGAAGGGGCCCCTGACTTTAAGAAAGAACCTAAAATCAAAGCACCTTAAAAATTGTCGGGCTCGGTGTATTATTTGCACACTGGTCAAAAGTACGAGTGCAGGCATTGTTATTTTAATTTCTGAGATACGTTGATATTGTTTATAAAAAAAGTTTGTTTGTTAAACTTTTTCACATTGCTTTGAAGTACTTTATGCCTCCCAGATATTCAAAACCATGAAGTCAATTGCAATTTCGCTCGGCGGCCCTGTTAGATTGATTAACTAGTTCTGAACTATCGTTCATTAAAACCGGATAAAAAAAATTCCGCAAAATTTTTTTTATAAAAAACATCGTGGAAAACCAATGACCTGGATCTGCTCTTAAACTATTTTACAGGTCTGTTCAGATTAAAAGCAAAATACAACAAAAAAAGCAAAGTAATCAGCCGCGTAATTTGGTCATGTTCCTGGACTGTTGATGATCGCTATTTTATAACCGCTTCCAGGGATAAAAAGGTTTTTATTTATTAATTTGAAAAATCTGTGGAGCTGTAATCTGGCGACAAAAGAAGTGGAATCACCGCGAACACTTCGACCTAATAATCTTTATCGTGCACGAGAAGTAACAGCTTTCTATTTCTTTTTACAAGGTCGTAATTTGGGGGCAAGATGAAAAAAAAGAAAGCTGGGCTCAAGTAGGGACCCTATTGGACGCCGGCGAAGCTGTTACAGCGGTTGCTGCGTCATTGAGTACTTCGTTCTTTCCGAGGTTAACGTTTTCACTAAGCAGTTATTTAGCACAACATACTTAAGAACATACCGAGTATAACTTGGTCGAAGGTGGTCTGCTCTTATTTGCGAATAAGAAATACACAAATATATATTTATGAAAAAGGTGGTTCCAGCTTTTTTTTTATCTTCTTGTATTCAGTTATCTTGTGGCATTAGGAACGGAGTCCGGTGATATACGTTTGTATGAATGGAGTCTAGAGAGTGGCTGGAAAAATTGCATCGAAGAAGACAAAAAGTATCCTGTCAATATAGCAGTTCTAAATTGTTATACGTCCTATTAAATTTACCTTTAGAGTTCGTATCTTTGCTTGATGGTATCATGCAATATAGTTTTAGGTCATTTCACTAACTCCTATGTAATCCGACTAGAGGATATTGATATTATTGTATCTTAACCTTTTACTCAGAATACTTCACACAGGGACCGTCACAAGAATTCGTTGGCGACCTGGCTATACGGACACGCTTTTTCTTGCAAGCTCTTCAACTGATAATTGTGTCAGGATTTTTGAGGTCAAACTGCCAGGGAAGATACCAAATTGAAGTAATCTCACTCAGTGAGAAAAGGTGGAAAGGTTTCATATCGCAAGAGTCGAATAATGGAGAAAGACTTAAGAGTATCACGACTTGAGAGTATCGTCTATTTGGATAGTGAGTCTGCGCGTTTATGATCTGCATGCATACGCAATTATATGTTTATTCAATGAGAAATACTGGGATAGCACGGCTTACCGAACACCGAACCAACCAAGCAATAATTTATATAATATTATAAATATATATAAATCTAAAAAAACACAAATTTTGGACTTCTATGCCCTTTCTCAGTATATGAGCAACCCGTGTGAATGGCCTAATTTCTACTACATATAAAAGACAGACGAACTAGAAGACGAACTTGGGAAAGAAAAAGATAGTTCGTCTTCTAGTTCGTCTGTCTTTAAACCCGGACCATCCCTCAACACAAGTTAGTTATCAACATAGTTCGTCTACTATTTAGACGAATTTGAATGGGTAGTTCGTCTAGACACATCATCCGTTGTTAGCATCAATACGGGAAAGGTTAAACTGCGGAAAATTTCGTCATAAAAGTTAACATTCACCGAAGGCGTTAAACGAAAGTGAAGTCTCATTACTGAACGAAACAATCGTTAAAATGCAGTTTCCAATTGACACGGCTAAAATGGATCCGGTACCAATTCTACCTATGCTCGGTCTTTGTATTGGTAGCCTGAGCACGGATAAAATTGGGTGCGGGAGTGTAGTGTAAACGGGGCTTAGAAAAATGTTTACTTCTTTCTCGACTTCTTTTTGGTATTTTGAACTCACGCTTAATTGTTATCATGAATTTCCCCTACATTAAATCATATTTTTAATTTTAAATCATTTTTGAGGCAAACAAACCGTTTTCTGACTATGTTTAATGAATATATTCAGTAGTTCTATTATTGAACAAACCAAAAAGAACGAACACACAAATTATCTGCCTGAATTTAAAACTGTGCGAATAAGTCTGAACAAGGAAGTAGGATTAGGAACACGAAATGAAATCGCATGTTTTTCTTCGCTCTTATTGTTCTTGCTAAGGCTCACCCCATGATGATGCTTTGCATCTCCCTAGTATATTTTACTATTCTGGACCTAATTCCCTGTAAGAGTAGCACGCCCGCTATAATAACTAAAATTCGCCGGAGATGTCAAACGCCCGCAGAATATCAAATGTCGAACTGGCAGCTATATTATAAAATTTTAGATCATTTTAAATGTAAATTGGGAATTGACAATCTCTTGCATGTGTACTGTATATTGTCACGAATTTGCATGAAAATGAACGTAATAATTCCCAAAGGGCAAAACGGCAAACCCTTGTACACTAACTTCGCGATGCTCAAACAGCCAGGAGAAACAATATTGAGATAGAGTCAGAGAATGTTTTAAACTTCGCATTTCTAAATGTCTTTTTCGCCATTTATATTAATGTTGTGATCGCAGAACCATTTAACCACACTTCCAATGATTGCGAATAAACATGCTTGTTTCAACGGTGTTCAGTTAGTATTTTTCAAGCATATTTTGAACAAATTACTCCTGGCTGCAACATGTGCATACTTCCAAGGGCCGTACGCGCGTATTGAAAATTTGTTCTTTCCGAGAGTTAGAATTGCCTTTCACATTGGATGTTCGTAATCGGGTACTTCTGGTGCTGATTTGGCTTCGAATGTATCAGGAAGTCGCTGTTATCTGGCATGATTGCCTCATGGTTCGTTCAACAACTGCTCAGAGAGTATGGGAGAAGTTCGTTATCTTATGTACCGACTTCTGTAAGCGTGGTCTAATCTGTTAATCAGTCTTATGGTGGTCTTATTTCATCAAAAACCTGGTTGTTGGGCTACTGTGATCGATCTAATGTTTTGTTTATCAAGGCATTTCTAATGTGTAGTATCCAACATTAGTTTTTAACTAAAGTAATTTAATGCAAAACTATTAGGATTATCAAGGGTATGAATAATTTAACCTTTGGAAAGAATTTTGAGGCGCTCAGTTATCACTACGTCAAGGAAACTCAGGAAAGTTGTCTTGGTGAAATCGGTTATGTCTTTTTAGATTGTTGATGTTTTAGATTGTTGCAATATTCTTTTAATTTTAGTTTGATCACGCAGTTATGAAGAGGAATGTAAGTTAGTTGGGTTGTTTGTATATATTTACTCTATATACTGCTTGAAACCGATTATTTTCGTCAACTATACTATGCACCCGGCCACGTACGATCTGTAGGTTGTAATTGATCCGCCATATATTAAAACATGGTTATGACTCGTGGAAAAGTATACTGAGATTATGTAATGACTGCATGGTTTTACCCACTGGTTTTACCACATATATAAAACGAAAAGGCCATGTTCAGTTTTTTGCCTAATTTATTCCGGGCAAACTTGGTTGGGGAAATTACATGATTTGGTGATTATCTATTGTTGTTTGTTTGAATGATTTTTTCGTTTGTTTTTTCGTTGCGTAATATAATTTAATCAGGAAATTGAATTTCATAAGGAAGTTGTATTTGTATATAGCTAACTGCTAACGCGATTGATAACGACGGTATTTATTTCTGTATTAAAGAATCGTCGTCGCTTTGGGACGTTTATGCCTCAATGCATGCAGGCAAATACAAAAGTCTGTTTCGGCATTTATATGCATGAGTGAAAAATGCGTCGGTTTTAAAGGCTTTTTGGCTGCAATATACTGGACATTCTTCTGTTTACCTTCTTCATTTCGAAATTTTCGGCTTGCGGTTCTCGCATGGATCTAGGCGGTCGTGTCAAGCAGAGTCTAGGGGCCCCATCACTTGGATTTTCTCCATCTTGAACGACAAAAAAAAATCGCAGAAAAGAGAGCGGCTAAAAAATGAAAATGCATGCATAAGAAATTGTATTTATTTGCAGGAGATAATAGTCGAGTGTTTTAATCTTCTCAGGTCAGAGGATCACATTACAAATAAAGTAGTATTACATTGTCATACTATAAAACGTGCATGCATGCATAATATTTTGTATTCACGTGCGCAATGCTTTAAAAGAGCGGCTTTGCAGATGGTTGAAGGTGTCGTATATTTGATCCTACATATTTTATCATAAATAGCTTAATAGCATTTAATTCTCTGTTGGAAATGGAGGATATGCATGACGATATTTTTAGACATGATGATGATGAACGAACGTCCCAGGATGACATGATGAACGAATGTTGCAGGATGGGATAACAAACGAATGTCGCAGGATGGAATAATGAACGAATGTCGCAAAGTGAGATGATCAACGAATGTTGCAGGATGGGATGATCAACGAATGTCTCAGGATGAGATGATGAATGAATGTCGCCGGATGAGATGATGAACTAATGTCGCAAGATGGGATGATGAAACAATTTTTGAGAATCGGATGATGAACGAATGTCGCAGGATGAGATGATTAACGAATGTCGCAGTATGAGATGATGAACGAACGTCGAAGGATGAGATGATGAACGAATGTGTCAGGACGAGATGATGAACGAATGTCGCAGGATGGGATGATGAACGAATGTCGCAAGATGAGATGATTAATGAAAGTCGCAGGATGAGATGATTAACGAAAGTTGCAGGATGAGATGATTAACGAAAGTCGCAGGATGAGATGATGAACGAATGTCGCAGGATGAGATGATGAACGAATGTCGCAGGATGAGATGATTAACGAAAGTCGCAGGATGATATGATGAACGAATGTCGCAGGATGAGATGATTAACGAAAGTCGCAGGATGATATGATGAACGAATGTCGCAGGATGAGATGATTAACGAAAGTCGCAGGATGAGATGATAAACGAATGTCGCTGGATGAGATGATTAACGAAAGTCGCAGGATGAGATGTTTAACGAATGTCGCAGGATGAGATGACGAACGAATGTCTCATGATGAGATGATGAACGAATGTCGCAGGATGAGATGATTAACGAAAGTCGCAGGATGATATGATGAACGAATGTCGCAGGATGAGATGATGAACGAAAATCTCATGATGAGATGATGAACGAATGTCGCAGGATGAGAAGATGAACGAATGTCTCAAAATGAGATGATGAACGAATGTCGCAGAATGGGATGATAAACGAATGTCTCAGGATAAGAAGATGAACGAATGTCGCAGGATGAGATGATGAACCAATGTGTCAGGATGAGATGATGAACGAATGTCGCAGGATGAGGTGATGAAAGAATGTCTCAGGATGAGACGACGAACGAACGTCGCAGGATGGGATGATGAACGAACATCGCAAGATGAGATGATGAACGAATGTTGCAGGTTGAGATGATTAACGAAAGTCGCAGGATGAGATGATAAACGAATGTCTCAGGATGGGATTATGAATGAATGTCGCAGGATGAGATGATGAACGAATGTCTCAGAATAAGATGATGAACGAATGTCTCCGAATAGGATGATGAACGAATGTCTCAGAATAAGATGATGAACGAATGTCTCAGAATAGGATAATGAACGAATGTCTCCGAATAGGATGATGAACGAATGTCTCAGAATAGGATGATGAACGAATGTCTCAGAATACGATGATGAACGAATGTCTCAGAATACGATGATGAACGAATGTCTCAGAATAGGATGATGAACGAATGTCTCACAATAGGATGATGAACAAATATCTCAGAATAGGATGATGAACGAATGTCTCTGGATATGATGAACGAATGTCTTAGAATACGATGATGGACGAATGTCTGAGAATAGGATGATGAACGAATGTCTCAGGATAGGATGATGAACGAATGTCTCAGAATAGGATGATGAACAAAAGTCTGAGAATAGGATAATGAACGAATGTCTCAGAATAGGACGATGAACGAATGTCTCAGAATAGGATGATGAACGAATGTCTCACAACAGGATGATGAGCGAATGTCTCAGAATACGATGATGAACGAGTATCTCAGAATACGATGATGAACAAATGTCTCAGAATAGGATGATGAGAGAATGTCTCAGAATAGGATGATGAACGAATGTCTCAGAATACGATGATGAACGAATGTCTCAGAATAGGATGATGAACGAAAGTCTATGAATACGATGATGAACAAATGTCTCAGAATAGGATGATGAGCGAATATCTCAAGATGAGACGATGAACGAATGTCTCAGAAAAGGATGAAGAACGAATTTCGCAGGATGAGATGATAAACGATTGTCTCAGGATGAGATGATGAACGAATGTCGCAGGATGAGATGATGAACGAATGTCTCAAGATGAGATGATTAATGAAT